TGAATGCCCTAACACACATATTCTTGTACTGCAGGCTTGTGGAGCGAGACGACTACGAGATGCAATTGTGCTCGGATATCAGCTAAGAGGAATTTCTGAACGGAACGCTAATGTTCCAGATTGGTATGTCCATGCACCATTCCCATCGCAGGAACACGAGCAGTCTATCTCCAATGAAGAAATGTGGGTTCTTTATTATTACCATTAAGATTCTTTGACATTATGTGTTTTCTTCAACACTTCACATTGAGATCTTTCTGCTGGGAGACAACTTCTGTTCAACATTTATTCTTTTGCAGAAAATGGCTTTTAGTTAATTTTCTATACACCACGGTTCACTTATTTTCCCCTTTCTAACTTTTTATCTTTTCTCTTTCCGTTTATTTTATGCTCTTGCAGACATATACCAGATTTTGAAGTTCTCCATGGGGACCTTCAAGGTCTTTCAGATACTGCTAGTTTTTTGAAGGCTTTGGGAGAGCTTAGTGCTATTGACTTTGAAAGGGATAACAAGGACCAGTTACGTGAGCGTCTAGCTGCCGCCAGGCTTTTCAACTGGGAGGTGATTTTCAAACTTGTCCTTCTTGCTGTGCACATTATTAACTGAATTCTTTTTAGATGGAACTGGTTCTTTGAACTTCATATGAAAGTCTAGTAGCCATGTTGCACTTGCTTTTTTATGTACGTATGTGCAGAGAAGTGTGTTTCAAATGGCGGGATATGGAGAATCATGGGGGTAATATCATACTTCCTATAGAATATACTGATACTGCACCTTAAATGTGCTAGAAATTATCATAGACATTAACTCAGAATGATATCTGGCTTGGAGCTTGCCCTTTTGTCTCCTGTCTGTGTGTGCATAAAATGTGACAACGAGATTGTTGCTCATATGATGCATAAAGCAATGTAAATGCGAGATCATGTATTGGCGTCCCTCTTTCATAATAAGAGAAGAAAATGAAAGAACAAATATAAAAAGAAAAAGAAGACAATGCATGCCTTGTTGTTTAAGTTGTATCTGTTTTCTTAGGGTGGTCATACTAACTTTCATTGCTTATCCGGTCCTAACCATAGGTTAATAGCATTAATTTTCTGGAAAACCCTAATTTGCAATCTTGTTCGTTAATACAGGAGGAAATATTTGTTGCAAGAGCTCCTGGTAGACTGGATGTGATGGGAGGAATTGCAGATTATTCAGGAAGTCTTGTTTTGCAGGTTTTGTCATTTCTCCTTTTATGTTCATTGTTCAAATTATTCTATGCTCCTTGGCTCCTGAAGTGACTGGATTTCACATAATGGTTGGCAAATATGCGAGGGGAAATTTATGTACCTAACATGAACCGTCTCACAGATGCCTATCAAAGAAGCATGTCATGCTGCTGTCCAGAAGAATCATCCTAGTAAGCAGAAGTTGTGGAAGCATGCACAGGCTAGACATCATAGTGACAGTGACAAACAAACACCTATTCTAGAAATTGTATGATCTGGCTCTTTGAAGCGTTTTACCTTTATGCTTAACGCTTCCATGTCTCTCTTCACTGTTGTTCATTTGAGATCTTTATGCACAAAAAGCAATGACAAATCGATGTGATCGTAATAGAAAATAATCCAAGCCCAGCAGTAGCAATGTTTCATGGATTGAAACACCAGTAGTCTCAGTTCATACTGTCTTTGGGATATGTTCTTCTGATCTCGTATATCTTCCGCTTTTGACTGCTTCAGGTTTCATTTGGAGCAGACTTGAGTAATCGCGGGCCAACGTTTGACATGGACATATCTGACTTTATGGATGGCGAGCAGCCAATTTCTTATGAGGCTGCACGCAATTACTTCTCTCGAGATACTTCCCAAAGGTTTGCCCCACATATTTATTAGAGTGTTTGACTCCCGGCAACTTTATAACAATTATCCCAGTTTGAACATTCTAGGTGGGCAGCCTATGTTGCTGGGGCAATTCTGGTACTAATGACCGAGTTGGGAGTCCGTTTCGAGGACAGCATAAGCATTGTGGTTAGTCTCTCTCTCTCTCTCTCTCTCACCCTACCATTTTTGCACACTTTACTTCCTTTTACCCAGAATGATTTTACTAATACGCTAAGTTATCCAGTGATGCTCAATTCATTGTATTTCAGAGAATTGTTTACTTTTATCAATATAAGGAAAATGTCGTCAGCTCTTGTGTGCTGTGTGCAATTGACCATGTCAAGATGTTGGAAACATACAATAGCAGGCTGAGAGAAAGTTTCTTTTGCATATACGGATTATTTTCTTCTAGTACATATTTCTTTTTCCTTTTTCATTGAAACTTCTTCCATACTTCAGATATCTTCGGCTGTTCCAGAGGGCAAAGGTGTTTCCTCTTCTGCAGCAGTTGAGGTTGCAAACATGTCTGCTATCGCTGCTGCTCATGGTGATTACTGGGACTCGAATACTAATAAACTAACCCTTCAATTTCTTTGATTTCTTGTCTTCTATAACTGTCATTTACTGTGCTACTGAATCCGCAGCTCTACATTCTGTGCTGATAAAATTCATGATTGAGCTGTATTAGTAACAATGTCCGATTTGTAATTTGTGTAAAGCGTTCCAATTGTAACCGGTTGGCTACGTTTTCTTTTCTACGCGCAGGTTTGAAGATCGCCCCTCGAGACATAGCTTTGCTCTGTCAGAAGGCATGATCCAATGGCCTTCCCTGCTGATAACCCTTCTCCTAGTCTCTACTAGTCTATTTTGTTTTATTGGGATTATTAGCCCATCCCATTTCTGGACATTCAGGAACTCCCGTTGAGGACTTTTATTGACCGGTAGTTATCTGCAGGTGGAGAACCACATCGTTGGAGCCCCATGCGGAGTGATGGACCAGATGGCTTCAGCATGTGGTGAAAATAATAAGCTTCTTGCTATGGTGTGCCAGGTAACAGCAGCATATACTTAATTCTGCTCATGTTGTCACTATCAAATGCTACCGCCTCATAACCTTAGTCTGTTAACTTTTCAGCCAGCTGAGGTGCTAGGATTGGTTGATATCCCTTCTCATATAAAATTCTGGGGGATTGACTCAGGTCTTAGACACAGGTATATCATGGCATTCTCTCTTTTTCTTTTTCTTTTTTTGGTATTACCACGTGAGAGATGTAATAGTCGAAAGTACTGTTGACCCAATACCTGTTTCTCATTATGTACTTCAATACTGTGTTGTTTCAACTTAAAAGAGCTTGTCCATGCCGTTTTCTTCCAACAGTAAGGAAATAGGGGCGTTAAACTTGCTTTCAAACCATTAACTGAAATGACTTCATTTCTTGTCCTTTCACAGTGTTGGTGGTTCGGACTATGGTTCGGTGAGGATTGGTACTTTCATGGGCAGGAAGATGATGAAGTCGATGGCCTCTAACAAAGTAAAGGAAAATAACTCTGATGAGATGGGAAGGAATAGCACAGAACTGCTTGAGGCCGAAGCTTCATTAGCGTACTTGTGCAACCTGCCACCTCACAGGTATGTGAGAAGGCCTTTCTGGTCAGAAGTTCAGGCGGGCAAACACTTGAATTCAATCGAAATAATTAAGCACAGGACATTTGTAACGAATGATTCTACTATGCCAAGCTATATTACTACTTTGATCTCAAAAGCACATCATTTCACCACAAGAAATATGCGCTCGTTAATATATAATAACTTGATGGCCAGCTTGTGGGCTTCAGGACAACTTCCCAGTCTTACCCTGCTGTGTTTTTCTCTTACAGGTATGAAGGTGGGTATGCAAATAAGCTTCCAGAACGAATCACCGGTGAAGAATTCCTAACCAAATATGCGAGTCATGATGATCCTGTCACTGTCGTCAACAAAGATCTGACCTATGCTGTTAAAGAACCTACCGCACATCCTGTTTACGAGAATTCCCGAGTCAAGGTTGGCATTAACATTCTCCAATTGTATTTATATATTAATTTTTCAGTTCAACGATTTCACATCTGTTCGCTTGCTTGATCTGCAGGCTTTTAAATCATTGCTAACAGCCGCTGCCTCAGACGAACAACTCTCAGCTCTAGGGGAGCTTATGTATCAGGTTTTTGTGTATCCCATAGTGACATTTCTTCACAACTAAACTAATCCTTCATTTCGAAGCGAGAGTATCTCAGTCGAGAGTTACTTTTTGGTCGTCCATTTTGCTTGCAGTGCCATTACAGCTACAGTGCTTGCGGCCTGGGTTCCGTTGGCACAGACAGACTGGTGGAATTGGTACAGATGATGCGACTCAGTGGGACTCTATACGGAGCCAAGATCACTGGTGGTGGTAGCGGCGGAACAGTTTGTGTCATGGGCGAGAAGAGCGTGAGAAGCAGCGAACAAATTCGCGAGGTATAAAGAATTTAGCACGACCAGAGTATCAATATCTTGCAATCCAAGCAATCCTGTCATTTTGTTTGTTTCCAGAGTATAAAAGTTTGCCTGACAGATAATCTCTTCTCCAATTGCCACAGATTCAGCAGAGATACAAGAGCGCCACAGGGTTCATGCCGTATGTGTTTGAAGGATCGTCACCTGGTGCTGGCAAGTTCGGCTATCTGAAAATTCGCCGACGCAGCAGCCCCAAGGCAGACCTTGCTGCTGCTTCAGCGGTATTGAACGGAGTCCATGTTTGAACTCCGAAAGGTCGATTAGAGAAAAGGAAAGGTAATCAAATTGCCTAATTGGTTCCTTGCGCCGCTATTTATACCCATTGATCAATAAGATTATAAACAGCCCTGCCAATCTGCTGAAGCAGCCGATTTCAGACCATTTATGTGCAGCCATTCCTGTTTATTGAAAGACATTGGCCTCTTCCCTCCAAAGCTTGGAGGGTCTTAAATTCAAGTGTTGATTCTTTTATCAACCATGTTTCTAATGGGCTTGGGACGAGTATGGTTAGTGTCTTCTCTTATTTTCCAAGCAGAGCTTGTAAAATAAAAAAGAATGACATATAAACTGATAACAAAACATTTTTCAACGACTAGAATTGTAGATATTACTTAATTTGTTGTTAATATGGTCTTGGAGCCTTCAATCGGGAAGTCTCGTGTTCGAATCGTTATGACGCTCCCTAATATAGACAATGATTTAGCATAAGGGGTAATATGTTAAACCTGTGAAAACCGAAAGTTTACAATAAGACTTTGTTTGAGATAGCATGTAAAAATAAAAAGAAATGACATACAAAACTTCTCACAATTCGATTTGTTGGGGCTAAATGGTTTGTTGTTTAAAAGAGCGAGAGATGAGAAGTTCCGTTTATCGGTCTCTGTAATCTACTATCATCATTTCACTCACATGAGAATAATACAAAATCCTTTCGTGTTCACCACTTTATTTTCCATGAATTTGTTTTCTCCTATAATATTTTATTAACAACTTATTCATGGGACTCATTAATATTCAAGTTAGCATGTGACTCATTAATAATTTGAGTACGATAACCGGGATTTATTTTTCATGAGGAGATCCTATTATCCGTCTCTGAAGTCTACTATAATTATTTTCATAAATTTATTTTTTCCTCCTATTATACTTTACGCATGATTTCCCATCTTTAGCTACGCAATTGAAATTTTCGTGACAGTGCTCTCGTTTATACATAATATTCCAATTAGCATATCACCCATTAGTAATTTGAATTAAATTATATTAAATAGAATATGGGAATATTATTTGACTTATATGAGCCAACTCATTAACTACAAATTAATTAATCGGTAACGGAAAAGACTATCACTTAATTATTTGGACTAGTTAATTTATTAATTAATTAATTACTGATAAATTTCATTCTGTAATTTCTACTGATAAAACTCATTTTAGCATTTACAAAACTTGAGGGACTGATTTAGCCACATTCTGAAGATTAGGGACCTACCGGTGATGCTAATCTGAAGAATCATAACAGGCTTTAGCGGCGGACGTGATTCCCGTCACCAAAAGTTACAAACCATTGCCAAAACCCAGAATCATGCAAATTCATCGATGAACTCGCATATGGATGTAATGAATCGAGAATCTTCACTTCTAAGTTCTAACACGTGCCTAGTACAATATACAAGGATTCTGGAAGCTGGTTTCCTTGACTGATAATCTTTCGAGCCCTCGAATCCTTACCGTCGATGAGACTGTTCAAGAACACATGTTTCAGGTTAGCTAACAATGGATTAGGGAGCAAATCAAGCTTATCTTGTAGTCAACATGGAGCAAATCTAGCTTACGAAGCAATCTAGACAAGAGCTTATAACATTCTGTTCGTCACCGAATGATCCAACAAATGCTACACTGTAATATGCATCCAAACCATTCCTCTAAAAAGAGACAACTCATCTAATAAGAAGAGAGAGCATATGAGAATCTTTACCCAGGGGGAATTCGGAGACCCCTTTCTTGCCTACCGAAATGCTTCAGAGAGAATCCGGTTCATTGTCGCTGGCATCATCTTTGCTGTCGATCTTGTCATCAGTGCTGTCAAGAGTCACCATCATCTACGCTGTCATCAGTGTCACTCTCACCATTGCTGTCGATGTAGCTATCTCGTTCATCCTCAAAGGGAAAGAAAAGCTCAACTTGGCAAGTGCTCGATCGTCTTGGAAGCTTTAGTAGCGAGACGAGATCTTTGCGTCCCATTAACTCGAGAAAACGACTATTTACATGCATATTCACCTTCCTCAATACAGCTCCGGACTTTAGCAAATATGCTATCATTTTCTTCTCATCTAGATATGCTACGAGTTCCCTAATCTCGATTTCCTCCAGGCTTGATAACAAACAGTGTGGCATGCAAGCAGTTTCTAAACCTTCCCACCTCAATGGTACTCCCCAGTGACCCCTCTGCTTCATGTAGAGATTCATTAGAAAAGTTACTGAAGGACAGATCACAATCAAATGAACAGTGGACTTACCATGTCAATGACAAGAGATTGTAGTTTGGAGGCTGAGTTTAGCAAAGAGTGCAGAAACCAGCTAGTTGGCCCAAATAGCCCGATTCCAATTGTCAAATGCGTCAGAATGGGAAAGATAGGCAGTCGAACATCATCATCGGTGGCAGCTGACAGATGATTCTGTTGAAACAAAAAGTTAAGAAAAAATAGTGCTCTTATGAACAAAATTGAACACTGGAAAAGAAAACATTGGACCTTATTACCAGAGTCTCCCCAGATAAGCTCAGTTTTCTTGCATTGGAGATTTGAGAAAGGAGCCGAATCATGTCATGATACGAGGTTCGACAGTCCTGGCCTACATCAACATGTGCCACATGAAGGCAAGACAATGGAATTTTGCCTTTGAACTGCAACTCAGCGAAGTGCTCGAGATAAAGATCCTCAAGATTCGGCGCTTCAATAAAAATGGGACACATGGGATCGTCCCAATTTGCATAATCGCTAACCTTAAAGTTCTTCAAACGCGGTAAGGAAACCTCGATTCTATCATTCTCATTCTTGCTGGAGGGGTGGCAACTCTCCAGGAGAACAATCTCCAGAACAGGGCAACCAGAAATGATCCTGCCTAACGACTCAAAGTCCTTCATCTTAACATACGAAAGCTGTAAAATCTTCAGGCTAGGAAGAAAGACGGGCCGGTTTATCGCACCCAGTACAACCCCCGAAAGCCTGGCAACTTTCAGATTCTTCAAAGTGTAGAAGGTTTCTGGAATGCAGCGCATACATTGGGGTATCCCGAGTGCTGTTTCCCCACAAACCCTAACATCAATCTCCTCAATGGCAGGACCAAACACCAATTCTCTCTTAAACCTAGTTCTACGAAGCACCGTGGAGAACTGACGGTGCTCCACTGAGAAATGGAAGCGGAATCGAGTAAGAGAATTGAGATTCTTATGCTCTCCCAGTACCTTGTCGACGAAGTGGCAAAATTGCGAGTCTCTCCTCTTAGCATCTGATGCATATACAATTTTCAGATCGTCGTCCGAAGAGTCGTCGTAAACCAGGCGGTTGTCGAGGTCGAGAATCGAAACCCTAGTCCAGAGACCTTCCCACCGTCGACTGAGAGCTTCGGTGCCGACGGCGTACTTGGTTTCCATGAATGAGAGGATGTAGGAGATGATTTGGTCCGGTAAAGAGCTGAGCCTGTCGTCGCCACCGTCGATTCCGGGCCATGGCCTCCAGATTTTAGCGTCTTTCGCCTCCATTTTTGGTCTGGAGATGAAACTGAGACTGGAAAAAGGATATATCGGAAATGAGTCGGCGGAGAATAAGGCGAAACAGAGAGTAATTAAACAATCATGGGCCGAACAACTGCATGGGCCTGAATGAGAACAGTAGAAACGGACCAGGATTATATAATTTGGAGGGAACATCATATGTTTGAAATTTGGAGGGAACAATAATGAACTGTCAAGTCGGGTATGATTTGATCGGAATACAATTGGTGGTTATGTTGATTATGTCAATTTAACAAAATTTTCAGGAAAAATGATAAATCAGTAACACCAAAAGTATACATATGTATTTATCAAAAAAATTATACATACATTATCAGTATGTATAACTTATCTCAATACAATATCACTATAAGTTACATTCATATTTAAATAAGATATGACATTACAAGCAAAATCACAAATTCTCGTATTCATTTAAGAGATATTCAAATGTGTTATGAAGTCTGTACCGAATAAGTTAATGATATGATATTTTATAATAAAATCTTAGTTTTAATCGTTGTTCAACCGTTTCATACCACCAAATCATATATTAACTTGGGCTCTTGGAGGCGATTTTTTGGTCGGACCGATTTGTATCATTAAAAAACATTGATTTCAATACAGTTTTAAATTTCATCATCAAAATATTTATATTTAAATCCAACAAATAACATCAACATGCATATTTAAATAAAATACAATATTAAAACAAATTGTGGAAATCCTCAAATTCGTGGAAGGATTTTGAAGAAAGGTAATTCTTGTTAATTCATCAATCCACAATATTATTTGTATACTCAAACTCAATTTTAGTGTCACCAATCTTAATTTGAAACCTTTAATAAGATTTCTTGTTGAATTTTAATGGAATGAAAATCTAGGATGGTTGACTTCATCGATTTTAAAACTATCATTTTTGGTAAAACTTGAATTTTAAAAAATTCTATATATAATGAATTTGTCGCCATTATGGATTTGAAAGAATTTATTGGATTTGCTTGATTAGATCATGAATTTTTTTTATCACGTTCCAAATCTCACTTCTTGATATGAGATTTTCAAATTTGTGAAGCTCATAAATTTGGATCTCCCGGTCATAAATTTGGATCCTCAAAGTTTATGGTTCCTACAGATTTGATTCTCTGCAAACTTCAAGGAGAGAATTGTACAAAATTGATAATGGATTTAATTTGAGACCCAAATCGACGAAGCAAAGCCAAAGAGCATGACCCAAATCCAAAGAGGTGGCGAGAGAGGTTTTCACACTTTTTGGCCCTTTTTAGTCCAAATTTAGTACTATCCACCCCAGATTGAGAGTGTTACTGCTTCAAACACGATCTCAGTCACTTGCATATGGAATGGGACAATAAGGAGTGGATCACATTCGTCGGGAGGAATAATTATAAAAGACCATAGTGATTTGATTGTCTTTGACTCGGGGATTGCATATCGATTATATTGAATTATTGATAATGCACCAACAGTAGAACTGCCAGTCTTCCGCGAGGCTATCTAGTGGTGTCTGGATTGTGGTTGTTTGGTTTGAAGGGGACGCAAATGTGGTCATTGATAAGATAAAGCAGGCTGGTAAGCAAGATAATCACTTTGGAGCCATTCTCGAGAAAGTTCGTGATTTGCAGGCAAGTCATAATGTCTTAATGTATGAGTTGTAGGCCGAAATACGTATCGTTCTTTTGATATTCTTTCCTGATTGTATATCAGGGTGTAATGAATTTGATCTGTTATTAATCAATACAAGATTATCTTTTGGGGAAAAAAACGAAAAAAAGTTCACCGTTTTTTCCTCCGTTGTGAATAACAAACAGCTATAAGCCTGTAATTGTAGTTTCAGCTTGCTTCGTAGCAGTAGGGCTGGAAGTTTGGTACTTATTTGGGATATTGCGGGATAATGGAATGAATTTACCACTATTTAAAATTTTTTTAGAGTATTATTTCCAATTCAGTATTATGAGATTGAAATTGGTAATATATAATCGAAATTTATCAAAGCTAGTTAATTTTTAAATATTTTACTCCATCCACCGGATGATGGGCCGGCCAAAGTCGAACCCGTCATTGACGAGAAAGCCCGGCCCAAGCGGTACCAATGAAAAACGCAGTGACGGATTAATCCTTGCAACAAAAACGGCTTTCCTCTCTCGGCCAATCGCGAGCTGGAGTAGTGGGTGGAGCAACCAGCAGAGAGATTGTAGAACAGACTGTGGCTGCGACGAATTGACGGGGCGGAATTGCAGATCGGAGAGAGGGGAAGGAGATCGAAAGAGAGGCGGCGAAAATGGGCGGAGGAATGGAGGCAAACAAGAACAAGTTCATCGAAGACTGGGGCGCCGCCCGCGAGAACCTGGAGCACAACTTCCGATGGACTCGCCGCAACTTTGCCCTCATCGGCTTGTTCGGCATCGCCCTCCCCATCCTCGTTTACAAGGGCACCGTCAAGGAATTCGTAAGCTTTTCTCTTCCTTTCTCCTTGGCTTTTTCTGTCGTGATTCTGGAAAATTGCTCTCTGGTTTCTGTTGGTCAATGAACGTTTTCCCCTCATTTGCTGATCCAATTGTGCTGGTACGATTGGGATTTAGTTGTTCGAGACTGTTACTGGTTTTTTAAGGGATGATAGAATTTGTAGGACTTGTTTTGTTTTTGGCTTCATTTTCCTTCCTCTTACCGTTTCTTCATCCCACTGGATGCTACCATCGTTTAATGATGGTGGCCTAATTGTTTTTTTTTTCTTTTAATAGATGGTGATCTAATTGTTAGGGTAATGTGTAGATTTGGGTTTCTGAAGAATCGTAATAAAAAATAGTGCTCATTTCTGTCTGTTCTGTGTTTGTTGGATAGTTGTTCATTTCCTTGCTTCATGTTCTGAGTTCGCTGTAGCTGTATGCTGAACTTTTAGGAGAAGGCATGCAGTTTGGAAGTGGTGGTGGTTGCTGGTTTTCTACGAAGTAATAACTTGGTGATGATCTAGTATGTGCCAAGACTATAGAGATACTCTTGTCATTGCTATGACGCGTATTCACAATGTCGTATGTGGTCCGAAGCTCTTTAAGCTATTGGGTTGTCTTTAAATTGTGAGCTGAAGGCAGCATCGATGACCGTGAGGGAAGATCATTGGGTTTCTAGGTCTAAGACGTATGGTAGAGAGTAGAGACTGAGAGACAAATGCTCAACTATAGAAACAAATGAAGAAAACTCTGTTATGGTGGCTGCTGTCACCTGAGTTCAATTCGTTGCAGGCTTGCAGCAGAGCGAAATAATAGATCGGAGGAAAGCAAGATGGGTTGTGGAAGTGAGGCGATGATAGGCCAACTAGAGAATTGTCTCTTAGATTTGCTGTGTGCAATATTTAGATTAACTAATGCGTTGGGTTCCGTTATATTGCTTTAACTCGTTTCGTTGCTGTATTTGTATTGCCACCTTCCTTGTGTGTGCTAGATGTAAAAAAATGAAGCTAGCTTGCAAAAAGACAGGCTGCTTTGGTTTTCTCTTTTCTTTTAATTTTGGTGTTATGGTTAAAATCCTCATAATATGCATGTATGCCACGCCCTTCTGAGCCTCTCAGAAAGTATGTACGCTTGCATTCTTGAAATCGTCTTGAGGGAGCTATTGCTGTGCTAGCTTGTACATTTTGTTATGCTTGGTGTAGCAAGCAAATTTTTTGAAACAGCACTACAATGTTGGCTCAGTTAGGTTGCTAAGAGTTGTACAATGGTTTCTGTTGGTTAACAAGCATATTAGCTTTCACTGCTGCAATTCATTTTTACATTTCTGATAAGTCTTCTGACGACTATGGTGACAGCATATGCAAGATGAAGATGCCGGCAGGCCATACAGGAAGTTTCTTTGAGCTCAGCTGAAGATTGTGAAACAAAATAATTGCAGAACGTATGGATTATGGATTTAGTTTCTTGTCTATTTCCATTCGACAGGCTTCTGACTCTTTCGCCTGCAATGGTGACTCTGTATGTTCTCTTCATCTATGTCTTGGGTTTCTACTATGTTTTGCAATCATTGAACACTTTTTTCTTCACCAGTGATAATCTTGCATTTTTGCTCAGAGTTGTGATACCGTATCTTACTGACTGGTTGTATTGGTTCAAACATTTACTGGTGACCAAGCTGGTATGCTTTTATCACGCCTTTTTTAGGGTCTTGTTTCACAGTTCTATTATTACCTTAAACCGTCGGTCTCACCGGTGAAATCTTCAATACGGTTTCACGATCATTTCTCCCCTTGGTTCTTTCCCGGCTTGAGGAACAAATAAATCATGGAGGGTCCGGGTGGGTGCACCATTTCAAGTAAGCTAACCCTAACGATGATAGGAAACATGAGATGAGTTACAAATATCCACACAGACATGGATAAGAATGACAATTGACTCTTGAAAGCATTAAAAAAGAAGACATGGAGCTTTGAAGCTCAGGTAAACAAAGATGAGTTCGTCTTCTGAAGATGAATGAACTCTCTTCATACAGCTTTGGTTTCAAACGAATACTCGTGATGATGCCTGCTGCCTAGCTCCTAGAAGCATTGTAAATGTGAAACTCGGTACTTCATCGGAACTGGTAAATGGTCGACCACAAAGTAGTTGCAGCTGGCCACGGCCACTTGAACGCAATAGAGCCAAGCTCGTCGCCAGTATGGGTTTACCCACAGAACTGTCACTATTCCAAGCAGCATCACTGCGTAAGATCCTGAAAAGCTGACAAAGAAAGCACTCATGTCTATGAAACCATCACCGTCACTTTCCTCATTGATCCGAGGAGGGGCTTCGGGCATTCCATCATTCTCTCTTGTGTCGGAGCAATTTTTTGGCAGAGGCCATCCGCACAGCAGATCATTGCCTTGGTAGCTACTCTCATCAAATGTCCCAAATTGTGCTACATTACCTAGTGTCTTGCCTGACAAGTTATTGTGTGCCACACTGAAGTCTGCCAAGAAGTTCAGTTCGACAAGGTTGTTGGGGATTGTTCCGTTGAGCTTGTTGTATGATAGATCCAAGCTCTCAATTTGCTTCAAGTTGGAGAATGTCGACGGGATGGATCCAGAGAGAAAGTTATGAGACAAATTCAGTACCTTGATGTTGGTAAAGTTGCCGAATTCAGGTGGGATTTCGCCTGTCAGACCTATGCAGTCAAAATCGCGTTTTAAAACTTAAAAACTTACGATTTTACGTTTTTAGGTCACCAAAACGCTTTCGTTTCCATATAAAAACGTAAGTGTATAAAATCGGACTAAATTGCGCTTTAAAGCTTAAAAGCTTACGCTTTTACGCTTCTAGTTCACCAAAATGCTTTACGTTTTTGCGCTTTTAGTTCACTAAATGGGTATTCTTTTCATGAAATTAATTATAAAAAGTATATTTGAAATTAAATCACCAACAATATGATGTATTTGAGATGAAAAGATATATACCAAGTACTTGGATGCATTCTCAATTTCAATAGAGTAATCTAATTCACCAGCTAGGCTCTTCCCGAATTCATTAGCATAGAGGAAAAAGTGGCTTATTGTCAAAATTTATGTTTACGAACTTATTATTAAGATGCTATAAGTTGCTCTGCTTTAGGCATGAATTGCATGCATTTATTAACTTATCTAAATTTTGTGCATTCACATTTTACATAGTATATGTCCTACTTAATAGATTGTTAGTTATTTTTCAATATGCGTTAAAAACTTGCGCTTTTACGCTTTAATTCTACGCTTTACGATTTTACCCCTTTTCCGCTTCTAGGTAGAATCACGCTTTTGACGGCATTGTGTCAGACTGTTATTGGAGAGATCTATTCCAGACATGTAGAAGAGGAATAGATCCTTGGTACAACTGGGACAATCCCTTTACTGTGAATTCCAGAAGCTGGAGATGCTGGCCTGAGGTAACAGAAGGTGCAGCCTCGCTTCCAAGCTGCCACGGCCGCCCGATAGTGCCACTGCTCAACCTTATCGAAGGCAAAATGTGTCCAGAAAGGTTGTTGCGAGACAGATCAAGCAAGCTCAGCAGCTCCAACTTGCATAACTCCATTGGAATTGGTCCTTGGAAGTTATTGTTGTTCAAAAGAAGATGTGTCAGTTGAGAACACCTTCGAATTCATCCAGCAGTACCATTAACATCTAATGTGAGAGAATTTCCCAATTGTGTAGGAATATTGCCGGACAATCGGTTGTTGGACAACACCAGAATTTCCAGATGGTTCATTCTGCCAATTGAATTTGGAATTCTACCCATGAACCAGTTGTCAGACACGTTCAGGTATGTTAATCTTGGAAATGATTCCGCAAAGTTCAGTGGGAGCTTTCCTTCAATGGCATTGCTTGAGATGTCCAAGGCTGTTAGTCAGCAAGTGAGATTGGTTGGGTAGCAGGAGGATCCCTGAAAGAGAACTGTTTGCCAGAATGAGTTGAGCCAGATTGGTGTTATTCTCCAGCAACCAGGAAGGGAAACCACCTCGAAATGAATCATGCGACAGATCAAGAAACTGCAGATGCCTTCTGATGGTATAGAAAGTTGGGGAATGGTTGTCCAGGAACATGACTCTGGCTGCTGGACAAGTCAAGGGTCTGCAGTTGGAACTCGGGGACTGAAGAATTAGGCGAGTACTTCTCATCGTTTGCATAGACTCCTGTTATACAATTGCTCTTGGATTCAAGTTTCTGGAGATTTGAGTGGTTGAAAAATGGGGTTAGGGAGATTGGGAGATGGAAATGGTTGTCTGACAAAGACAGATCTTTTATGAACAGTAGATTTTTGAGTGGTGAGTTGGACATCATATATCCAGTTGAAGTGATTGTCAGAGAGGTCTAAGCTTCTAAGTGATGTGAGATTTGCCAAACATGATGTGATACAATTGAATATTGAGATGGTTTTGAAATGAATCGAATGATATGATTATGAGGAGAGTTGCAAACACACACCGATACCGAAATTCATAATCTGTTCGGCTTTACCTTGACGCGACAGTAGTTAATTTATGCTTAACCTTTTGTGTTAACTGATCCCATGAGACTGATGGAGGAGAGATCCAGGATTCTGAGAGATGGGAGGGCAGCTAGAGATGCTGATGTTCAAGTCATTGCCACCTAGATCAAGCATCTCCAAGTTAGTGAGTCCTGATAACCCTCCAACAAATCCTGCAAGATAAGATCTTTACATGTTAATGCCATTTTTTCAACTAGTGTAGACTGTAGAGTATAAGTAGTGGTAGCAGTTAGGGATGGCAATGGGTCGGGTTGGGGCGGGTTTTGTCAAACCCAAACTCAAACCCATGGGTTTATCCGCCAAAAAAACCCGGGGTTAAACCCGCTGGGTTTGAAAAACTCAAACCCAATCCAACTCGCTGGGTATCTGCGGGTTCATGGGTACCCGTGGGTTTTTGTGGTAAATAATTTACAATAACAAGTTTCTTTCAAAATAAAAGTTTAACATCAATTTTCTCATACAAATTATTCATACAAAAAACACCAATCAAGAGAATACAAACAAACCGCAAATGATCAACACAAATTGTTCAAAATTAAAGATAAACATCTATAAACAATAAGATTAATTGAAAGCTTCTTCCTCATCAACTAAGTTTCTTCACTCTCCACTTCATAATATCAACTTCATTATAAACAATTAAAAAGAACAAATTATACATGTCTCCACAAACATAAAGAATATTAGTTGTTTAAAAAAGATATATTATTTAGAATATTAAATATACCGGGAAAGTAATTATATTTTTGTGGGCGGGTACCCATGGGGCGGGTTTACCTAAACTCAAACCCAACCCGACCCGGTGAATAGTGTAGCAGGTTTAAACCCGAACCCGGCCCAAAACTCGTCAACACGGGTTTTACCCGCGTTGACCGGGTTGGGTCGGGTGGGTACCCGTGGGTTCGGGTTTTGTTGCCATCCCTAGTAGCAGTAAACTCTGCATTGGCTGGCAGCAGAGCAGACCTGTGATGTGATTCCCCGGTAGGCAAAGGCGTGTTTGGTCCTTGAAAGGCAGAAACAGAAAGACATTCGGTCGCCAATTAAAGTTTCGGATTTGAAGAGGGTGTGTTAGTAAACGACGGTACTTTGAGAAATCACATTTCACAAGACATAATGACTCGGGTTGTGATTGAACAAGTCCCCCCTCGAGAATTATTATTATGAATTACTTCATATGATTATGAATCCAAAAAATAGATATATAACCGAATGCCCAAGTTAATGCCTCATCAATCTTTCTCGTCTAGCGTTTCATAAAATTTGGTCGACATAACTCGTCATTGTTGTGGCCTCGGCAGCGCCGTGCGTGGAAACTGCCAACTGATCACTATGGCTCGTAAGTCAGGGTAATGACGGCAACACGCAGTCCACAGCCGAAGATCTTTCCTCTTTGCACAAAGCCGTTTTTTTTCAGTTTAATAAAAGTAAAATAATAACAAAAAGCAATTTTCCAGTCTTTTCCTCTAATTTTTATAATTATATTTATTTATATTAAAATATAAAGGCAAAAATCAACGGCGTGTGGAAAACGCTGGGCCAATAGTGGGATTGTTCTTTAATCCTTTTTTCCTTCTAGATATTCGTATTTATTTTAATAAATATAAGTCCTCAAAAAAAATTAGGGATGTCAAAAATATCCGTAATCGTGGGTATCCGCCCGAATCCGACCTAATCGGGTAGGGTAAAACCCGAACTCGAAGGACTTTTAGTGGGTACGGGTAAAACTCGAACCCGAATATTGCGGGTAATGAGTGGGCATGGTTTTCTCACTATCCAACCCGAACACGCCCGATTATATACATGCATATATATTTTGTCTAGAAATAATCAATATTTTTCTCTAACATACTTTATATTTAGCATATAAATATCATTTTTTATGAAATTGTGTTGTTTTAATTAATTTTCTTCATTCTAGTGAATTATTGTCGCACTTTTCGTCTTACGTAACGTGAGAATACGTGTAAATATTAACATATTGGTTGGAGTTATAAAGAAAAACTATTATCCATGGATAACCGTGGATACCCGAAACCTGAACGGATATGAGCATGGTTTGCATTTTCTACCCGTTTCTTATGTGAGTATAGGCATGGGTAAAACCCGAACTACTTTGAATAGAATAACGAATATGCACTATCCGGAGTCCCCGACCCGTTGCCATCCCTAGAAAGAATGCACACAAAAAATGAAGAAAACAATCCCCATTTGATATACTTTATGAATTATTTTGGGGGAAACCAAAAGGACAGAAAAAGAAGGGAGAGAAGGAAAGGTAACAAAAACAGCACCAAAGAAGTTTTTTTCTTCTTCTTTCCTTTTCTTTTCTTTCGGGTGAGAGAGAGATATTCGAGAAGAAACAAATTCTCTCCTCCTCAACGAAGCGCGCCGTGGGGCTGTCCGAAGTCTCGCTGGAAACGAATCCCCCCACCCGGCAACGCAACCTCAACCCCGCTAATACACCAATTTCGATCTACCCCACAGAGAAACCCCTACAAAAAAGAGCGCTAAAAAAACCAATCGCATTTTCGATCTGGAACTTCATTCTTCTCCCGGGTTTCGCACTTTTGGTAAGTTTTGATTCCAGGTGAAACTGGGTTATGATTGTTGTTTCCAGATTTTTGGTGGGTTTGTCTCGAATTTCCTGAAATTGTTTCCAAAATGTCGTCTTTAGATTCTCCAGCTGCGAGTCTCCTCCTCCTCCACCACCTCTTGTTTTCCGGCGAAGCAGCAAGAGGGGGGGAGAGATGGATTACGAGAGCAGTAGTTGGATCTGGGATGGGGTTTACTGCCATCCGCATCTCTTCGGCGGCCTGATGCTCACCGCCGCCTTGCTGGGTTTATCCACCAGCTACCTCAGCGGGATTGGCTTCTCTTCTTTCCCCTATATGTTCTCCGATCTGGGCATCTTCCCTGCCAAGAGGCGGGAGAACAAGAAGCGGGTCCGTGTCTACATGGATGGCTGCTTCGATCTCATGCATTATGGTCATGCGAATGCATTGAGACAAGCCAAGGCCCTGGGGGATGAATTGGTGGTTGGAGTTGTGAGTGATGAGGAGATCATTGCCAATAAGGGCCCTCCTGTTTTGTCCATGGAAGAGAGGTTAATTTTTGTCCCCTCATTTTGCTTTTGGTTTTTGTCCCCTTTCAATTCTTCTTTTGGTTTAACGTCTATCGTGATCCTGAAATGGGGGGTTTTCTCATCTGGAGCTGGGATCTGATTGTGACAGCAAAGTTTGGTTCTTTGTGATGCCTTTTTTGAATTGCAGATTGGCCCTCGTGAGCGGATTAAAATGGGTGGATGAAGTAATCGCCGACGCTCCTTATGCTATTACGGAGCAATTCATGAACAGTCTGTTCAATGAGCATAAGATTGACTATATCATACATGGTGATGATCCTTGCCTTCTTCCTGATGGAACCGATGCCTATGCCTTGGCCAAAAAAGCCGGCCGTTACAAGCAAATTAAACGGACTGAAGGTGTTTCCAGCACAGATATTGTAGGTACTACTACTACTTCTATCTCAGTAGTCTTATCACACTTGTTGAAGGAAGGTGGCTAGATGGTTAGTTTCTTGGAAATGGTGATGACATCCATAGTATGTGCTGTCTCAGTTATTGAAGAAATAGGTGAAACTTTTTTGAGTGAGAAAGTGCTAGTGTCGAGAATTCTCTATTTTGTATTAAAGTACACTGACCACGATTATGACCTCCAGTTAATTTATTTGGCTTTTGGGAATGTAGGAAGGATACTTTGCACGACCAAGGACGATGAGGTTCGAGACAATCATGATGGTTCATCACCTTTACCCGCTGATAAGGGAAATCAATCCCATAGTTCCCATGTATCACAATTTTTACCAACCTCTAGAAGGATAGTGCAGTTTTCTAATGGCAAGGTATTATTTGTTTCAAAGCTCATTGCATGATTCATACGGAACTCGAGCATAGATTTCAGAAACCTAGGAATTTGTGTGTTGAGATCAATCATCGGTCCATCTCATGTTGCATGCTGATCTTACTTGTATGTTTTCTTCAATCAGGGGCCAGGGCCAAATGCTCGTGTTGTTTACATTGATGGAGCATTTGACTTGTTCCATGCTGGGCATGTTGAGGTATGTAACCTAAGAAATTGGTTTGATTAATTTTTTGGTAATTAGTGTTTCTAAGTTCCTTGTTAGTAGGCCATGACAGATTTTTCCTACTGTCATTGAGCTGGCTTTCTCCTTTGTCTACCATCTTTTATGGTTCTTCTCTAGCTTGTACCTCTATGTTAAGAAAGCTTCTGTTTCCTTTTCCTGGGTTTCTGGCTGCTGCACTACTTCCTTTCATTCCATTATGGAATTATTTATAGGTTCAATTGTTTTTCCTGATGCATCTTGATGGAATATGGAAACTTCTCATGTTTTTGTCATCAACCATTGATTCCTATGCATAAGGTCCTGGAACTTTAAAAAGTTTGGAGCGTGGATGATGTGCTTCGATTGACCAGTATGTCTTATCTTCCTCAGATTCTCAGAAAAGCTAAGCAGCTTGGAGACTTTCTACTCGTTGGGATCCATACAGATCAAATTGTCAGGTATGCTCACTTCTGTCTAGCTGATGAGGATAGTTCATTACTGTTCGTATTCTTGGTTGATAATAGTGTAAAAGACCTTTTGCTTTAGAGCATCCATCGTTTGATGTCCGCATTAGGATTCTAAGTAACAGTATTGGTGTTTCTTGCAGTGAACAGAGAGGGAGGTATTACCCAATCATGCATTTGCATGAGCGTAGCCTTAGCGTTCTAGCATGCCGTTATGTTGATGAAGTCATCATTGGTGCCCCGTGGGAGGTCTCCAGGGACGTGGTATGTTGACTGCCATTCTGTTCCTCACTGTATATACTGGAACTTTTAGCTTTGAAATGCTCAGTCTAGGGTCATACAAAACCAGATAGGATTTACCTTCTATTTAGCAGTGATGCGACATTATAGTGATTCGGAACTGTAGATCTCTTCTTCATCAAGTCATTTGTTTGTGAGAAGTGGAAAGTGCTGAATTGAGCCTCATTTGCCTTCTCCAGATAACAACTTTCAACATTTCGTTGGTTGTGCATGGGACTGTTGCAGAGCGAAACTCCTCATCACCTGTAAGCTTTCAGGTCTTCCTGTCTCTTCATGTTACACAAGAGATTGGTACTCTGACATGTAAGTGACCAAACTGATCTTTTCGTGCAGGGAGGAAGTGATCCTTATGCAGTCCCAAAGGCCATGGGTATTTTCAGGATGCTCGACAGCCCTAAAGACATAACAACCACATCAGTCACCAAACGAATCATTGCTAACCACGAGGCTTACACGGTAATTCTTAGCTTGTCACCTCCCCTCCCCCGTGGCGGAGTTCTTAAAACGTGTTTGTCAATCGCTTGAGCCAAAAGAACACATGGGCCCTGACGATCATTCACAGTAACAATAGGCCAACCTCAGTTTCTCTTTCCTGATGCAGAAGCGAAATGCAAAAAAGACTCGGAGCGAGAAGAAATACTACGACGAGAAGGTGTACGTTTCAGGGGACTGACAGAACAGACTGAGCAAGTAAAGAAGTGTTTGTGCAGCAGCATATGTAGGCTATGTTATATGGTTTGTTGGAAGGAAAGAACCCGTAGAAGATGGAACCATGTTTGCCCCCAAAATGGTTCAGAGAAATGGTGGCCAAAGGTGTCATTCAGTTAATGCTAGAATCATCATCAATATCATGCAGAGGCAGAAAGATGAAATCAGAGCGATTCCCGCGGCCATCACAACAGCCTTGAACTGCTGCTGCCCCCCTGTGATTCTTTCAGGTTTCGTAGTCGAAGCAGCCAGCAGAAGCCCTCCAGAGAACTTTATCATTAAGTAGAAATGTAGAACAGTTAAAATTAGTTTGATCTTGTAGGGAGAGGGGCCTTCTTTCTGGTTTTCGCTGCTGGGTTTCTATCCTTTTTTTTTTATTATCCTACATTACGTCCCATTCTTTCAGTACCTTGAGATCGTGTACTCTCAAGGTGGGGGATGACCGGGTGAGGAAACGCAGTTGATTTTGGTGAGTGGATTATTGCCGAGCTAACAAAAAAAATGCTAAGCCTGTATTTGGAAGGACTTGATCCAAATCAAAGGTACATTATGGTATTCTAAATTGTTAATGGGAACTTAACGGTTTTGTTTATTATGAGTTTGTTAAGCCGAGCTAAAATAAAGATGCTAAGTTAATGGGAACTGCTTTGTCTAAATGTTGATAATTTATTGATACACCTTATGTTCTACAGAAGGTCAAGAGAAAAAGGACAAAGCCCTAGACCCCTTACACCCTCTCTATAGTAACCAGGTTACAAAATCGAGCGATCCTAACTCTAAAAGTAGTCATGATTTATGAACGGGGTTTTACATGCCATAAAGGTAGTTCAATTGATATGAGGAATCGTATAGAAATTATGTCGTCTGCAAAAGAAGCCAGTTGGAAGCCTCGCCAAGGTAGGATCTCCCAAGGAGTCATAGCAAACACCCTTTATGGAACTAAAAGATGACGACTTTTGAATCGCCCTCAATATTCATGTCTGGACAACTAAAGGCTGGATGCAAAGAGAATGACAGCTCAGATTACAGGAAGCTCTAGGATGCACGAGTTTTGAGATGCCAAGATGATGACACCACGAAGCCAGATTAACAAATTCGTTAGAGCCCGAAACAACTATGCCTATAGAACAAAAAAAATCCCGACAGACGTTAGTGTCAAAATTGACTTTTAAGAAGCCATGAATGGGGAACACCACTTGAGTATGGGCAGACGAAAAGGGAGTGACTGAAAAAAGGAGGAAGCATAAAGACAAATTTCCAAACTTGAAAGAAATCCGGACGCGACTAAAACACTGAAAATGTTGTTAAGTAAGCTAAATATTTACATGTACGAGACTTGTAGATTCTAAATAATAGAAAAATATGAAATTAGGATGATGATAGTGTAAATTTTACCAAGAGCCATAAAATACGGCCACGTCAGGCCATAAATATCTTCCTTCTGGACCTTTCTTGTTGGGCCCTTTTGCTGCGGTTTGGACCATCGGCCCATTACAGGCTTTTCTGGAATCGTCCAGACCCCAAAGAGAGAGAAAAAGATACGGGCCTCCCCGAAATTTCAGTATTTCACAATCTATGTTCCTCTCCCGCCACCTGCCCTCATCTCCCTGACTCCCTCCCTTTTTACTCTCCTTCCCACTTTCCTCCCTTTATAAAATCAGCTAAAATCCATTCCCCCATCTCCTCAATCACTTCATCAGCAGGAACAGAGTAACTAATTAGAAAGAGAATTGATCATCAGCTCGTCAATCGAATTCTCTGCAAACAGTTAGGGTTTCGCGATGGCTAGAGAGTGTGGATACAAGAGGAAGGGCATCGATCTCGATTTCGCCCGTGATGATTTCTCCGACTTCTCCCTCTCCGCTCCGGCTCTCAAGATCCGCCGCCTGGTACCGTTACTAATTTCCCCGTCTCTGTCTCGTTTTTCCCTCTTTCTTCCAATAGAATGCCGTAGCTCATCTCCTTCAAACGAAATTATCATTCCTGTGTGTGTCTCGATAATGTTGACAGGCTGCTGAGTCGTTGCCTCCGATAATGGAGGAAGAGGGAGCAGAAGTAGTTCCGGCGATGTACGAGGCGGATTCTCCCATGGTGTCTATGGAGGATACGGTTCCGCCGCTGCCTCCGTCGGCGGAGACGGAGAATCTAGAGAGAGCTCTCGTGGTCTACAAGCCAGCCAACTTCCATCGTCCGTACTACTCGCCTTCGAGTCTCTCCGTCGCGCTGGATTCCGGGATTCTCTCCGGTTTTACGAGTAAGACTTCTTACCTTGCTCCTCCATTGTTCTTATGCCGGCTAGGTGTTTGATTAATTGTCAGCGATTTTAAACTCTTTCAATTGTCTCTAATTAAATATATATTGTGTCGAAACCCTCGCTACAGGGGATCAATTTCTCAGATCAGAGATCAGACCGGTTCAGGAAGATGAAGCAGAAGCCGTGGGCAGTTACAAAACTGCAGCGAATGGTGGCGGATGCAGGGCTGTTGTACCGTGGGTTGCTTCATCTCAGCATTCATTTGGCAACCAAATGCGAGATTTCCAAGCTGAAGCACCGGAATCGGATGAAACTGGCGTAGCATCAATGGATGTCGAGGAAAGCAATGGTCACGGGAGCATCGAGCAAGGGCAGCATTTTGGCAGCATCGGCGGAGATGATGGGTTGCGTCAATGGCAGCAGCACTGCTTCATCCCGGAGCTGCCTCCCAGTAACCAGACGCCTGTCACCTGGTTGAGATAACCGGACAGTTAAGCTTAGTCTGCCTCCCTCTCTTTTGTGTTTTGAGTAGTTTTTTGTGATGCTGAAACTATCGAGGGTTAAGATCTATGGTAGCTTGTTCAAGGTAGCCAGCGGCTGCGACATGATTTCTGTAAGTTGTTCTTGCATAGGATTAAGCTCCTTTAGTAAGGAACAGCCTCGCCGCCGACGAGTCGGTTTTTGGTCAAATTATTGCTACCGAGGCTGTCAGTATGACTAATTGTTTCTTGTCCAGGACTATCATCTCCATTGGAAGGTCGATTCGGGTTTTACTTTGTCGTTTGTTTGACCCATTTGGCTGATAATTTCTTCCAGCACTCGAGTCGTCGGTTCTGAATTAGCTCCGGAGGAAATCACTAATGGCTTTGTGTCCTAACTCCTAATTCCTAAAGCATTATCAGCCAAATGTACACCATCGTGACTTGAACCCAACTCGAGTTTCGATGATTTGGCACGAGTATTACCCCCGAGCAGTAACCACTAGGTCATGGTTAGTCGCACACATGTCCAAGACTTTGGTGGCTACTGGTGCCTGTGAATGCTCTAAGCCTGAGTCTTGTATTATTGCTTAAGATGAATATATAGTACATTGTGGCAACAGATTGCCGTGTTTACTGTAAGCCAGTAACAGTGTGGCTGTGAAATAGATACTGAAAGTGATGGAATGCGACAGAAACTTGAAGTGGTCAATATTCCTTATCATGCCCCCATGGACCAGGAAACCGGATCGTACCGGCCGGTTCAACCGGTTCAATTGGAACCGGGCCAGAAACGAAACGGCAGGTATTTGGTGGCAGAATTATCGTGCCGGGCGATTTTTACGGTTTGACCGGTTGGAAACGAAATATCGTCCGGATTTGTTCCAACCGGCGGTAGGCTATTTGCTAAGAAAGTCGCCGTTTTATGCAACGAACATGAGAACAAAGAAATTAAAAAAAAAAAACCGGCGTCCAAACTCTAATCCCTAATCGAAGGCTTTCTTTCATCATCGTTTGCCTTCAAGAAAAAAAAAGAAAAAAAAAGTAAAGAACCCCTAGCCCAATCCTCGACTGCTCCACTCCAGCACTTCCTTCCTCTTGAACTTCAATTCAATCCCCAGCTCCTCAACTTCTATCTGCCGCCAACGCCAAACATTCATCCATGACCACTGTTGCCGATCAAATCCCCCGACGAAATCCAATCCGTCTCTCACTCGTGATTATTTCCAGATTCGGTAGCAACACTCGTCGCCACTCCTTCATGCAGTAGCCGAATGATGCAGATTAGGAAAAATAAATGATTTTAACAACATGCAGTAGATCGATTAAAGGCGCCACCAACTATATGCAAAAGGCCTCGGATCTAGTGGCTTGACTGATTATTCTTCAAATACATCTCGTTCAATACATTGAGTAAGAGAGTAGAGCGGAAGTGGGAACTTGGAAGGAATCTCTCTGTTTTTCTTATTATGCTTGCTAGTAGAAAATTAAAATGGGGAAACAGGGACAAGATGGGAAACAGAAAGAGAAGGAGAGAGGAAGAAAGTCGAGACTCAAGAAACGAAGAGACTAGAAGGATATGGAATATAGGGTTTGAGAGGAGGTTTGTTTTTAACTATTTATATGTCTTGTAATGTAATCAACGGTCATGATTTGATTAGTAGCAATCGACTGTTAGGATCACAAGAGACTTAAATTACTATTTAATATTTTACAATCCGATATCTTTCGGTTTGATTCCGGTATTAATCCGGGACGATACCATGATTTTCCGGTACGGTATTTTGACAAAAAAATATTTAATTATTTTAAAAATGATATTTTAACGGTACAAAAGGTTGAACCACGGTTGTACCACAAAATATCATATCAGAGATGAAACCGGTATGATGTCCGGTACGGTTTCCTGAACCATGCATGCCCCCCGCAAGTGAAGCCGAGTAAAGGCAAAACTTGGAACAAAATTGATGAAAAGAGAGTAGTTATGGTGTCGTCACGTCGGGCACACACCTGCCGCCCTTGTTGGTAGTCTTCTGCCGCTTGAAAATTGATGATTTTGTGGGTACATCCTGCTAGAACTTCTGTGCCCTGGGTATTGCACCGGAAAGAAAAAGCTCTCGTCCATGGTGTGGGGAAGAAGGAAGGAGCTGCTTGGGGGAAAGTAGAGGTATCCTGGGTAATTGATCTATGAATGGGAGAAGCGACCTGGTGAGTTTGGACTCATCCTGCCGATAAAAGAAGGGGAAAAAAAAGTTTTAGGGTTCCTAGATCTGAAGGTTGTTAAGCAAGATGCTTTGTAACATGTGAATGCTCTAAAAGTCTGAGTCTTGTATTATTGCTTAAGCTGAATATATAGTACATTGTGGCAACAGATTGTCGTGTTTACAGTAAGCCAATAACAATGTGGCTGTGAAATAGGAACTGAAAGTGATGGAATGCAACAGGAACTTGAAGTTGTCAATATTCCTTATCAGTGCCTACACTCGTATAGCATTTTACTGGTGAGAAATGGTTGGAACATGATTAAACAACGGTTTATTGACTAAGTTCCACTCGTTTTACAATTTTTTGGTGATTGGGTCTCAGCAATATGTTGCTTGGGTCTCAGCAATATGTTGCTTCATGACCCCTCGTGCAATACAAAGCCTACTAGTTGTTTATAGCCGATCTTAGAGATAGTGTTCACGTCAATTTCATTATTGACATCGGTTAAATCAAGTTTAACTAGCGAACATGTCACCGACTTAACAACCATTATCATAACTCATCCAGATGGTGATTCAAACAACGTTGCCCGAATCACCTTTGCCGTTGGTTGGACACTTTTACTTACATCCAGTGTTTGGTAGGACTGTAGGAGGTTAAAGCATCAAAGCATGTAGGCATGTAGCCAACGGCTCCTTAGTTCCTTTTTTCCCCTTCCATTTTATAATTTTCTTGTTTTCAAATTGTACGTTTAGATCCGGCCGGAATTTTCCCGTAGGGTTTTCTCTTTGGTCTCCCCTGCTGCTGCTGCTAATATTGCACAGCCCTCCCCGCCGCTACAAACAGTGGACTTTTAATTGTGGGCATTCTCTTCCGCCGCCGTCTTCCTCCCCTAGAAATCCCAGCTCTTCCCCCTCTCAATCTCCGGCGAACTCGAAACCCAACTGCCTAAACAATGACGGAAACCCAACTTCCAGCAGGGCCGGCGCTCATAAAGCAGCTGGCCGCCTCCGACAACAGGACCCGCAGCAGATCTCTGCGCGCCCTCCTCTCGGCGTGGCTTCCTTCCCAGTCCAGTCTCCCCGACGAAGACATGAAGAAGCTCTGGAAGGGACTCTTCTACTGTCTCTGGCACGCCGACAAGCTCCCCGCCCAGGCCCACCTCATCGACCGCCTTGCTTCTTTGATTCTGGCCCTCGATTTGCCCTTCTCCGCCCACTACTTCTCCGTCTTCCTCCTCACCATGCGCCGCGAGTGGTCCGGCATCGATTTCCTCAGGTTAGACAAGTTCTACCTCTTGATGCGTAGGGTTCTCCGCTCTGTTTTCCTGCTCTTGAAGAATAACTCGTGGGATTTGGAGCTGTCGAATCGGTTTATGGGTATTGTGGTGGAGAGGACGTTCTTGGCGGATGACAAGTTCCCAGGGGGGAATGGTGTGAACTATCATGTCGCGTCTTGTTTCCTCGATGAGCTCAAGCCGTTTCTCCCTCTGAGCAAGCCGGTGGTTGAAGCGCTCTTGACGCCTTTCGGTTCCGTGTTGAGGAAGGTGATTGATAAGGTGCTGTTGGGGAAAATCAAGGGCAATGTGTTTGATGAGTTATTGAATATGGGGTGGGGATTGCTGGAGTTTAAGAAATCTCATACGGATGGTGATTGTGAGAACAAAGATGTGGTCTTGCTTGGTACAATTGCCTTAGCTATGGGGTTCTCTGCTAGGTTTTATGAGCTGGGTTCTTCTGCTGAATGTCCTCAAGGCAACAGGAAAGTGTTGTTTGGTTTACACGAGGAGTTTTTGAAGTTAGAGAAGGCATTGGCTCTGTCCGGGATCGAAATTTCTCTTCCTCAAGTTAATGTTGATAGTACAGATAATGATGACGATGAAGTGCCGACTTTGGTGCCCATTGACACTCAGATGAAAGAATTGGAAGGTCGAAATGGAGGCGTTGGCAAGAAGGAATCGAAGAAGAGTAAAAAGAGGAGTAAGGATTCCTCTGACAATGATGGAAAAGATGACAAGGAGAGGAAGAAGAAGAAAAAGAAGAGCAAGAGGGAGAAGCCGGAAGATAGTGGTGGTGATTGCAAGAAAGTAGCAAATGGTGATAATGTTTCCAGTGACGAGAAGAGCACTGATCTGGAGAGCAATGCGATTACTTTTGACGATGCTGTCATAGCAAACCTCCAAAAGCAGTTTGAGGGAGCCGCAGCTGAAGTCAGTATGGGCGATGGTGTTGGAAGCTCGCTCGAGCTCGTGGAAGTGAAAGGAAATGTCCTACTAACCAAGAAGAGGAAGAAGAGAACTAAGACTAAAGATGTGAAGCAGTCTGGAAATGTAGATGATAAAGATCAAGGGGATGCTGCCGCCAAGAGCGAAGACAAAAGCGTGAAGAAGGTAAGGTTTGCCATGAAGAACAACTTGGTGTGGAAGCCACACAACCCTCTGCCTCCAGAGAGCTTGAGAATACCGCCCTCGTCCACCCCTAGAGGTAGTGCCCTCAAGAAAGGTATACCTCCTGGTCCTATCAGGGAAATGCCCTCTGCAGCCAACAAGGCTAGAAAGAGAGCCAAGTCCCTGAAGGTTGGTGTGAAGGCAAGAAGAGGTGTCCCTCCTACCGTCAGACACCTGAAGAAAAGAAGAAGTTAAACCCCTCTCTCTCGCCCCGATCATAGTTGACAAAGTCTGCTCTAGTTTCATTTTTGTTGTCTGAATAGTTTGATCTTGTCTGAGCTTTTTAAGATATGATGAACTGTGTTGATACCATTGATTTATTTCATCGACGTTCAAGTGGAATGGCGAATTCAGGCCATGAACTTGATATAAGGGTATTCTTTCCATTCTTCAGTAGGGCATTTTCCGGTTCCTTGTCCAAACTCTTCCATTGTCTCTGTTGTGGAGAATAGTAGAATGCTACTTCTGGTGGGTTACAAGCCATACTATTTGCCTTACCTCACCTGCCACCATGATTGAGTTGGTGATCATGGTGGTCGGAGTTTACCTTAGCGTCCGAGCTGAGAATCATTTTGTAGGAGTTTTTCGAACACCATGATAGGAAGAAACTGAATGAGTGGAAAAAGAGTTGCAGCAGTAACTATAACAGATCTATACAACGGTTGTAGAGGAAGAAACTAAGCAAAAAGGGAACAGAAGCTTGAAGTACAGGGGAAAGCAAAGCTGATAATAACAGTTGTTTGTTTCTTATAATCAGGGCCTGTGCAAGTATCTACCAGCAAGCAAGGCAGCATCCATGACTACAGAGATGACATCGATGACGTCGGTGGCCTGGCAGGTGCTGCCTTTGAAGCTATGTGCTCCTGATTTGATGAAGTTCTTCATGCAAGTGATCAAGTTCTCGCTGCATTCCTCACTCAGATAGTCATCTGCATTTGCATATGTGGATACATGGTCTGATGGTCAATACTCGATCAAAGGAAAGAAAGACGGCAATTGGAAAGAAAAGGTAGGTTTTTTTTTTGCTAATTATGTTAAGCGGTTAGGCTGGCGATGTACTGATGTTTGGCTGTCAGGCTTGGTTGGCCTTTTGCCAAATTTGTTGGGCTAGGTGGTCGCGTTTAGTCGTCAGCTTTACTATGTTAAGCTTTCAAACTGCCATAAAAAAACGAACACTTTGGAACAACAATAAAATTTCTTTTATATTATGTGTTTATGTCTAAAAAAATTAGACCTCTGTAATGTGAGCTTGTGTTGGATTAAGATCTATTTCCGGCCAAAAAAATATCTTTTTGGAAGTTAAAAATATATTCAATAATGATGACAAACTATGAAACATTGAAGTGAAAATTATATTAGAAACTTCATCATAAGTACGACTAATGAAAAAGGGATTAAAAATTGAGGGGGCTAAATTTGAGAGGAGTAGGATTGGAGTAAAAAAAAAGGAGAAGGTGAAGCCAAATTTGAATATTTGAAAGGAAGCAAGGCTAAATTTAAGTAGATGTGGTGAAGTTAATCTGAAATGAAAAAAAAAAAAAATATATATATATATATATATATATATATATATATAAAGGAAATTTACCTGGTGATCTACTGACGCTCTAAATCCTAACTAATCTCTGCTTTGCTTATAGCCCTAAAACTGAACCCAGGAAATTTACCTGGTGATCTACTGTGCTAGCTAGCTTGCCACTTGTGGGCGTGACAGCGTGGACTGAATTGGTTGGCTGGCTGGCTGGCTTGGACCACGTGGAATCCAACAATAATATATTAATTAATCGGTGACAGCTAGCATTAGCAAGCATCTTCTCTTTTCTTCACATGAATCTTTTCTTCGCATACTTTTGAGTAGGGGTGTCATTCGGTCGGTTTCGGTTTAACCGAAAATCAAAATTTCGATTATCGGTTAAACCGAGCCACTCCCTATGACTATCGGCCACCGACTGTGAGAAAGCCACGGTTAGTCGGCCTACCGACTGGTCAGTTTCAGTTTTATGCTCGGTTAGCCACCTGCAAAAAAAAACCTACTCCTTCTTTTCAAAACGTTTGCTGTAACATCCCGAACCTTTTCTCGACAAGATATTGTCCGCTTTGGGCCTCTACACCCGCACGGATTTCGACTTGGGGTGCAATTCAAGGTGACTTCCCATAAGGTCACCCATCTTTGTTGTACTCCACACTGAGCACGTTTAACTTCGGAGTTCTCACAAAAACTCGTCCATTACACCCCAAAACGCGTCTTGTCAGTTAAGGTCGGTTTCTTACTTATGAACCATGGATCTCTCCCGTGCTTTGTCGATGTGGGGTTCGCCTAAGGTGTTACATTTGCGTTTAATTAATAAAAAAAACTCACGGAAGAAAATCATCCCCCATCTTCCTCACAACAACTTCTTCTCTCTCCTTACCTTTCTCCATTTTAGATCAGCCTTCTCTCTCCTTCCTTCTCTCTCCTTCCATCTCTCCATTTCAAACAGGAAAGGACGACGAAGGCACGGGAGAGGAGGCGCTCGCCTGCGGAGGACGACGGAGGTGCTCTCCTGCAGAGGACGACGGAGGCGATGAAGGCGCGGGAGGAGGCGCTCACCTGCGCGCGGCGAATGGAGGGGCGATTGGAGGGAGGCGGCCGGAGTCGTCGCCGGCTCGCCGTTGCTGTGTTGTGGCCTGTGTGGGAGTGGAGTGGGGCGGCTGTGCGAAACAAGAGGAGGGAGGATGGGGGAGGATGGAGGAACGAAGGGAAGGGCTGCTAGGGTTTAGGACGGGGTTGGGTAGTTTTATTTAGGCCAAAACGGGGTCGTTTAGCGTCGGTCGGTTAGCCGGTTAACCAGCCTTGGTTTTTTGGCTAACCGCCTAACCACTGAACGCCTCCGACAACCGATCATCACCCATTTTTTCGGTGTCCGGTTAGCCGCTAACCGGCGGTTAACAGTTAAACCAGCCGGTTAGCCGCTAACCTGCAACCGAACTGATAGCCCTACTTTTGAGGTCATTCCCACTGGTTAGCTAGCTAGGATTTGTTACATGCAGGAATGAGAATTTCATGAAATCGAAGTCGAAGGAGGAAGACGATGAAGGAAGAAAACGTACTGTTTTTGGACTGGACGCAGAGGTCGTGGTTCATGCAACAGGAGTCGAGCCCGTCGCAGGGCCGCTCCCCCGGGCACCCGCTGTACAGCAGCCCGCAGTACTTGCCGTACTTCAAAAACGGCGGCACTGCATTCATGCAATTGCAACCCACATTACATAATTAAGTAGAAAAACACAAATCAAATCAAATCAAATCAAATCAATTACCGGAGCAGAACTCCGACTCGCATTTTCTGCTGCAGTCCTTACTCTGTGCCAAAAAAAAAAAAAAAAAAACATCACTCAAAGTCAAGTAAACCAAGTTAATTTATTGATTAATTAACATCTAATTACATTACATCAGATGATAATGAATTACCAGAACGACGCCGGGGCGGTCGATGGCCTGGACGCCGACGTTGAGGCCGTCGACGGCGGTGGTGCTAAAACAGGAAAGCACGACGGAGAAGAGTAGAAGCATAAGCAAAAAGGGACAAGAAGCTGCCATATCTCGATCGATCTCTGCTGGTTTTGGGGAGTAGAGGAGATCTGATCTGGGTAGGGAGCTAGCGATCGAGGGAGTTTGCTGCAGAAGAGAGTGAGAAAAAAAAAGAAGGTACAGGCTCTAAATTTTATAGGAAAAGTTTAGCAGAAGACGGATTCAGAGACAGAGTGACGACTGACGAGAGAGCAGCTAGAGATGTAGGTTGGGAGGCGGAGGAGGCGTTTCCTTTGGCATGTAGTGTCTCGTGAACCTGTTTTGTATTCTTCTTCTCTGTTCCGTTCACACTGCCCTGCCTCTGCTTCTTTTACGTAGTTTAGATTAGGTTAGTATAATTGGGAATATTACTGAAGAGATAGATTTAATTATTAGTTGGTAAATAAACATGTTAATTACTATCATTATCTCTGTGTAGCATTAGAGTTGTAGTGCGATTGTGTCATGTTACTAAGAATGATAATGGGCAGGTACGGGAGGGATGGGTTTTCACTTTTTTCAGTTTTTGGTATCTAGAACCGTCCCGTGGCAGGGTGGGTAATTTATTACGTGTTGCGGGTCGGGATAGGTCGGCCCAATGGGTATGCAATTTATATGAAAATATAATAAATATTTATTATAAGACCAAGGAAACAAACAATGTTATGATAAATGTAGTTAAATTATTGGAGAAATTGAGGTTTTCACTAACTTACAACTTTATTAGAGCTAAAATATGATGTAATAAAAGGAAAATCCTAAGTAATTTGACTAAGATTACAAGTAATTTAGACAAGAATGGGTCAAGAATGAGGCGAGTTAGGGTAGGTTAGGTCGATGAAAGTACCCATGCTCGCCCCGAAAAAGAAAACAAAAGAAAGAAAATAAGTCTTCCATTCAAAAATAAAAATGAAATCAAATGCATAATCTACACTTCTCCCATTGAAAACATTACTGCTGTTTATCCTTGGCAAGATTATAATACGAGAATAGTGATTATACCACTCATTGAAGTTGAAGGTCCGAGGTTCAAAACCATTAGATAGTACCTAATTAAAAAGGTAAAACCTATACGAGAATCTACTTCTACTATACTTATAATACGCCGAAGGGGAAAACAGCTTCCCCATTTCAAATTTCCTGCAACGAGAGTGAAAGTAGGAAGGACATTTTGGTCTTCACAATAACTTTTTTTTAATCATTAAAAAGACATGTACTAGGATTCGAACCATGACCATTTTATAGAAAAGCAAGGATCATAACCAATCACACTAAGTAGATTTGTTGTATCTTTTTAAATTAAAAACATATAATAGCATGGAGGAAAAAACTCTTCCCCCATTTCAAATTCCCTGTTCCAGGAGCGTTTGTAGGAAGGGTAGAATAGGGAGTGTCAATTTTTTTTCTCTTTCCTCTGTGGAACGGGCCAACTTACCGTACACATGCGGATTTAAACGGGTCCAAGAGTGTCAATTTTTTTCTTTAATCCCTTTTATTTCTCCGTGGTGATAAAATATATATGAAAAGGCAAAAATAATACTCCTTTTATTGTTAAAAATAAAAAATTTAACAATAAACTAATGAATGGTATCTAATGGCTAACCGCTAACCATAAAATAAAAGAGTTGAATGGGTCTGACCTACACGGGATTTGGCCATCAAGTAAAACAAATGAACATCATTGGTTTGCCATTCTAAAACAAGCTATTTTCTCTGGCATAATATATATTATGCTATTATTTTATATCTTATTGGCTAAAATATAATGTATTTTAAAGTTATTCAATGGTTCAACCTCGACCAACCCAATTAGTCCAATTTTTATCATTTCAAATATATATTATATAATTATTTGATATCATAATGATCAAATTATACTGTATTTTATAGGGAATCGTTTGATATTTGCTAGTAAAAAACTAAACTGAAAGATCTATTTGGTTATTTTAAACATTAAAACGATCCTGAACATTTTCAGTTCCTTTTGAATTTCTATGGTTTTATTCCCGAATAAGTGATGTGCAAATGGCGAATTGCAGTCATCTCTTTTCTTTCACTATTTTTTATTTTCAAATAGAAAGTTTAAAATTAAAGAATAATTAGGATTTTGGCCCGTTTGTTTTATGCATTGCAAATTTATTAGCATGTTGATGGAAATGGCTTGGAAAAAAGACATATAAGTTGTACCTTTGCAGAAATGTCCTCAAATGTTCGAATGCTTTGCGAATCAGGTTCCATGACTTTTGTGATGGTGTATGTGCTTGACGATTGCTCGATGTTGTAACTACTTAATTTGAGAGTAAATCTTTTGATTTTCCCTATGAGTTGTGATACCAAATCTGGTGGTTGCAGCATGTTGTCGTTGTTGGCCTGTAAAAGTTTTTCCGTCGTGATGCTAAATACCTTTCTTTTTTTTTTTAACAAATTGTGTAGTAGTGCTATGAAACAGACCACCCATGAACGCTACGCTTATTATGGTCTATTCTTACTTCCGGTGGTGAGAAATTGTGAATTGAGAATCATATTCGCCTACCGCACTGTGTCCGGCTGGTGGCTGCTTACTGTGCTCTCTAGAGTTATGAAATAGACTACCCATGAACGTTTACTTAAGAGTCCATAACTTTGCGAAAAAACCAAATTTAGGCAATCAAAGGTGGTGGATGTGTGATGATTTTTTATGGCTTAATTGTTTGTGAATTGGATATCTGATCTTTGTATGATTAGAGGGGATGTTTGCTTAATAGAATAATCCATTTTAATTCATGTTTATTTTTAACATGAACTTTAGTAACTCAAAACCTTCGAGACACATATCACCTACTGCATTGTATCATTTTGCCTGGGTGCTTGTTGTGTTGTCAAACTTCTTTGTTGCTGCTACATTTACACTAACAGGGGAGTTAAGAACCCATGAATGTTTCCGTTTGACACAAACATGAGGACTTGCTTCTAAATCGTGCACTAAAGATGATTGGAGGAAACATCTCTGATGCAGTTGATATACTGGAGACCAGAACAAAAGCAACGTATAACATCAAAACGAACCATCTGAACTATTAGCATTGTTGCTTTACTCTTTTTTCGTGGTTGAGTCTCCTTAAAAAAATTTAGTTTGATTTTAGAAAATTTTGCTTCTGCAGTCCTATCTTGCCACCAACGTGTTCAGTAGATGGAGATGGTGGAGGCGAAGGCTATTTTTGTGTTGTTGTTTCTGGTTTAGGGATCGGTTTGTGAAGAAGAGGGAGAAGAGAGGGGGGAAAGGGAAATGCAGGAGAGGGGGATAACTCTTTTCTCCGACAAAAATGGAGTGAAGAAAGGAATTATGATCAGTAAGGATATGGTTATCTTACATAACAGTATCTATTCCGTTTGGATTGAGCTTGGGAGGCAGTGATAAGGACGAGCTGCAACCAATTCATAGTGAGAAGAGAGCTATGAACTGTAATCATGTCTTATTTCAAGTTAGAAGGTAGTTTCAGTATAAGGATTATTTAAATTGACAAGTTGTTTCGTCCATGATTCTTGGTAGTTTCAGTGTCATTCTAGCCATTGTTTAGTCTGTAATTTTTTAGAATTGATGTGCGAGTAATGACTTTCACTTAGCTTCAACTATTATGTGTGTATTTATTGGCATGTGATAGAATTCTCTTTTCCTTTTCTTTGAATTAAGTTTCATACTCTAATTGTATCATTTGTACATAGGCAAATCATGCTCGAGATGACAACTCGCTGATATGGCTGGTGCAAGAAATAAAGCCATCAGTAGAATTCAGACCGACAACGGGGAGGGATGCACAGGACTAATTCAATGATGATTGATGATGGTATAATAAAAACTGCAGTCTGCATCAGCACCAATTTCTAGGCCTAAGTAAAGTTATTCAACCCAGAACTCTGTTTAGCGCTAAAAGTTGCCATCACCCAACTTTGATCCTGTTTGACCCACTTCTGAAGAGTCAAGATATATGACTAATCCTCTTCGTTCGTATTTTCTTATTGACTCTTTATGACCCTTTAGGTTGGGGTGGGTCGGGAAGAATCAGATTAGTGGGTCGATCCTAATCAAGTGGAATCCCAATCCCTTCACTCTCACTTGCTTTCTCTCCCATTCCACAAGTGGGAAACATACAGTAATCCGGCCAACGGACCGGGTAATAAGCTAGTAGTGATTATACCACTCCTTTGAACTTGTAGAACGACTTATTACTAGTATTCATAGTCTTCATGGCATAAACTCGTGCTTGCTTTGCGCTACTAGAAGCAACTGAAACAATTTGCCTCCGTTTATCAAACTAGCAAGGATCCATGTTACCCGGTAGTATTTCAAATTCCTATTCTCAAGGGAAGAACGTTTTGGGTGGGTTTAAAACTTAATATAAAAAATCTATGATTGGATCGAATGTGCATTTTTATTTTAGATGGTGAATGAGTTAGGCTTTTTTTTTTATCTTCGTTTTGCACATCAAATCAGGGAATGTGTTACAATTGTCTTTTTCTCAATACTTGTTAATGGGATTCTTGCAATGTTGTCAGAACCGAATCGGAGCATGATCCGGTAATGCGAATGGCTCGCACTTTAGTGGTCCAACTGGTATTAGACCGTTTAAAACCCGTTTAGAGAACCGGTACCTAATAAACGTTATCAGTATAAATAGTGGACATTTCTTAATCAGAGCTCGTCTCTTCCTTCGAAATTGTGAAATGAAAATAAGGATTCAGTCTGTGAGCCCGACGTTTTTGGTTTATTTCAATTTTCAATTTTCTGTAATTTTTTTAATTAAATTTAACGACTGAATGACAAAAACCGTACGAGCGGCTCGAGCGGTTAACCGTCTCGGCCGCTTGTCAACCGCTAGATAAAACCAGAGCGGCTTTTAAACTGTTCCGAGCCGATTTTGTGATCGGGTGGCGGTTTTACCGGTCGGACCGAGCAGCTCGGCTTTAATAACACTGGATTCTTGTAATTATATATTATTTTTCAACTCGTGGACATAGACTGTGGGCTCCCTTCTTTATTCCTCCTACCGAATAACTACTAGGCTTATGAGGAAGAGAAAGAGGAAGTCTGCTGGAGGAGACGGCCCAAGTCGTGGCCCAAGAGAAGATGAGGTGATGACCTGGCTCCCGGCCTAGACGGACAAGATAGACAGGAACAAAGAAAGAAAGCTGGACGGGGGAGATGGAGGATTCATTGGACCGAGAAGGTGGGCCGTCGCTCGGCCCAATATTGTGGAGGGTAGTGAAAACGAAGTTAGACATGTGGTTGGTTAATTTGTAGTTTGATACCGGCTCACTAATAAATAACTCAAATTACAGTGAGCGGATTATTAATGTGGGTGGATTGTGGACTTAATTTTTTTTTTATATGCACTTATTCTAAGGATGTGGGGTTGCGAGTCACTTGAATGACCAACGTTTTACATACCAAGTGACTTTGTTTTCTTTATCGTGGAATACTTCATTCAAATTGTCCAAATAAATAGTTGGCATGAGTTATAAAAAAAATTTACATGATCACAACTAATATATGGATCCACATGAGAAAAAAATGAGAAGTGTCTAAATTGCTAATTTCTTATAATTTGTGAGAAATTTATTATAAATGTTAGTAAATTTGCATAATGGCTAGTCAGGTGATTGCTTTTGAGGGTCAACTCACAACCTAACCCACCCATCTACCCAACCTGAAGAAGAATGCGGAGTGAATAGTGGATTATAATTGTACCAACTCGTTAACAAGCAGGTGGATCAATTTGATACCAAAATCTACCCAACCCTAACCATCGCCCACCCCTCAAAGTCAATTCGATATGGTCTTCTTCATGTCACTTTCATAAGGTTTTATGAGTATATCTCGGCTAGGTACGATCTTTTACTCCATAATATTTCCCTCATTTTTGTGATATAATCTTTATCGATATCTCTATAAAATAACTGTGAAACTCTATTCGACCTGCACAAAAAATGGACGAATAAGTATTAAGGGTATATTTCTTTTTGGTTCTATAGTGTATTCTCTTTCACTTTTTTCAATCACGATTTATCAATGAGAATCACCGGTTTAACAATTTAAGACCATGTCTTAGTAGGAAACCATGGTTAACTCGTTGAAAATATTTGCTTGTTCGTAATATTTCTTAATGAAAATTATTTTAGTTTCGATGTGTTATTATAGAAAAACGTTAAAACCCTTAATTGCTCTTTGAAAATCATTGTTTTGCGCAAACAATCACAAATTGTACATAAAACGTCAACAACATGCACAAATACATATTTAATCACCATAACAACGATTTGGTTGTTTAGGGTTTCAGAGGATTCAACGTGCCTCCTCCCTTCTTCTCATTCCGACATATATAGTTTGGATCGATTACAGATTCCAGTTGTGTTGGTAAAAGGACGACAGTGAAAATGGCAAAGGAACAAAACAGTAAAAGAGGTCGATGTCGACCGTTACAAGATCAGCAATGTCATTGGTCCATTCATGACGAACCGCAGCAAGACGCGTGTCCACCTGGATGCTGGTTGGAACTAATGGAAACGGCAGCGTTTCAAATACTTGGTGATCTGGCTTCCTTATGGTTCACGTCTGTGGCTTGAGGAAGAAGAAAATCCACCATTTTCTTCTGTTACTAAACATTATTACTTAACATAAACACATAAAAAAAGATATTACTTTGTATGAAAAGAGGTAGTTACTTGGTGACAACTGATTAAAAAATATGTATAGTGAAGGAAGAAGAAAGCGAGGAGTTATAGAGAATGGATAGAAACAGCAAGCAACAAAATGATGTACTTGTATTCTGGAGGGGGAGTGAGTTGAGAATAATTTTTGGAGGTTATTTATGCTCAACACAAAATGTTGCCAAGTGAAGCGATTTGGGTCATCATAACACTGTAAAAAAGCAGCGATTTGCGCTCAGCCAATCTAAAATATATAACAGCGATTCACATAAATTATTTTCTGATCCGGTGTTTTAAAGTGCAACAACGTTCATTACCAAAAAAAGTTATCATTACCAAAAAAAAAAAAGTGCAACAACGTTTTCTTTGTAAAAATATTGACATGAAAAGCATTTTTGTCCAAATTTATATATTTTGAAGAAGAAAAAAAAGAATTGTTTTGCAATGTAGTACTTGGAAAAAAATCCTTACAAAACAATGTGCGCAGAATGATAACTTATTTTAATAATTTATCCTCTTAAGATAAAAAGGGGTGGTGGATCCAGGCCAGAGGCCACAGTTTAGAGTTTAGACCAAAACCAGATCCCAATTCCCAACCCTAATCATCATATATTTTATTATCAGACGGGCTTCAGTTTTATCCAAAACTTTATAAATAAAAAACCTTTTTATCCGAAACAGTTCCACCGCGGGAAAACCAAAACCAATCCGCTATTTTGTTTACCGCGGCCCACTTTCTCCGCCACTATAAAATCCCCATTTTCCCTCCCTCCCTCCCCACACTGTCTCTCTCTCATAATCTGTCAAGCAAGAGACGTAAGAGAAACAGCTTATTCCTTCCTCCCACCGCCCCGCTACTGCCACATTACACACTCTAGAAGCTTTAAGCACGCACCAGACCTCGAATTTGCGATCATGGCGACCCCGAAGCTCGGACGAATGCCCAGCATGAGGGAGCGCATGGAGGACACTCTCTCCGCTCACCGCAATCAGCTCGTTTCTCTGCTCTCCAGGTTCCTATTTCAAAATTTTCCCTTTCTCCCCCGCTGTGCTTTACTTTTTTCTTTCTTTCTTTCTTCTGTATCTTTCTGTTTGGTTCCCGAGAATATCCGATAGGATGATTGATTTTACCTGCAATTGATCTTGCTATTAGAACAGAGTAGCGTGTACACTTTCCGGAGAGAGAGCAATTTGTTTCCTCTTTTGGGGAAATGAATTGAACATGGCGGTTTCCTTTGTTTGTCTGTGTGAAGGTACGTGGATCAAGGGAAAGGGATTCTGCAACCGCATAACCTGATCGACGAGCTCGATAACATCGTCTGCGACCCGGAGGCCAGGGAGACGCTGCGGAACGGGCCCTTCAGCGAAGTCCTCAAAACTGCGCAGGTATTATGATGAACTCGAAGAGTAGTAGTTTTTTGAAATTAAGCAATGGTTACTCGTAATAACTCGAGTAGTTGAGAGATGTTTAATTGTAGATCGTATATATCATTCACTGATGTATCTTTCAAACAAAAGCGGACTCGTATATGGGCGGATATCACGTGCTTAATAAATCAAACGGAGGTCATCGGAATTTGAATAGAAGACTTCTTGATCTTTGGTATCATCATATACCATTCACTAACGACTCACGGCCTTGAATTTGGTTATGTGTCTTCTGAATTGTTGGTCTATGTGCTTCAGGAAGCCATAGTTCTGCCTCCATTCGTGGCGATTGCAATTCGGCCGAGGCCCGGTGTTTGGGAATATGTGAGGGTTAATGTGCATGAGCTCAGTGTGGATCAGTTGAGCGTCTCCGAGTACCTTCGATTCAAAGAAGAATTGGTGGACGGGCAGTAAGCTTCTCTTCTTGTTTGCTACTCTTTGCTTGATGTCCTGCTGTTTCTCTTTCTCATGGTTGTGTGTTTGCTTGGGCATATCAGGGCGAATGATCCCTATGTTCTGGAGCTGGATTTGGAGCCGTTCAACGCTAGCTTCCCTAGACCCACCCGTTCTTCGTCAATTGGGAATGGGGTTCAGTTCCTCAATCGTCACCTCTCTTCAATCATGTTCCGTAACAAGGAATCGCTGGAGCCACTGCTCGAATTCCTGCGGTCGCACTCGTATAAAGGACACGTAGGTTTTGCTGGTAATCAGAGTGGTAGTGTATATTGTATATCATCACTGTGGAAATGATAAATTCAATGGCTTATGGATGTTGCCTGCAGGCCCTTATGTTGAATGATAGGATTCATAGTGTATCGAGGCTCCAATCGGCGCTTGCTAAGGCAGAAGATAACATCTCCAAGCTCCCACCTGACACGCCATACCATGAGTTTGAATATGCGTAAAGTTCTTTGTTAAATCATGATCAATATGACTTGGAGAATTGCTGAGACATTTGTAGGAATTCACAGTTTTGAGTGACTGAGATGTTGTGCCTGCTTTTCCCTTTGGTTGCTGTTCCTTTTCCAGGATACAGGGAATGGGGTTCGAGCGAGGCTGGGGCGACACTGCGGAGCGAACAATGGAGATGATGCATCTTCTGTCGGATATCTTGCAGGCTCCTGATCCAGCAAGTTTAGAGACATTCCTGGGAAGAGTACCCATGGTGTTCAATGTGGTTATCTTGTCTCCACACGGATACTTTGGCCAAGCTAATGTTTTAGGGATGCCAGACACAGGTGGACAGGTATCGAACCAAATTTGATCATCCCCATTGACTAGCTACCACTACGATTCGACGGCTTAGGAATTCATTATCTTCTGGATATGGCTGCAGATTGTTTATATTTTGGATCAAGTTCGGGCGTTGGAGAGTGAAATGCTTCTGAGGATAAAGAAGCAAGGGCTGGATTTCAAGCCTAGGATTCTGATTGTGAGTTTTCTGGTTTAAACTATAGCTCCAGTCTACATCATTTTGGATTGGAAGTCCCCTTATCTTTTGGTATCATTGGTCAACTCTTTTAGGTGACCAGGTTGATACCTGATGCAAAAGGTACAACATGCAATCAGCATATGGAAAGAATCAGTGGAACGGACTATACCCATATCCTTAGAGTGCCCTTCAGATCGGAGAATGGTATTCTTCGTAAATGGATCTCCAGGTTCGACGTGTGGCCATACTTGGAGACCTTTGCTGAGGTACATACAACTCTTGCCTGCTATGCAATTTCAGGAATGATCAACCACCCAACTTTTGTTTTTTCGCATCTGCTCTTTCTGAACGTCGTTAATTTCTTTGGTTAGGATGCGGCCAGTGAAATTGTGGCAGAGTTGCAGGCAATTCCAGATTTTATCATTGGTAACTACAGTGATGGCAATCTTGTTGCGTCTTTGCTGGCTTACAAAATGGGTGTTACACAGGTTGGAGTTATGTTTCTCGTACCAAGTAGTTATCGATCATGGTTCCTTCCTTGAAAGGAATTTATATCTTACTGTCAACTCACCCTTGCAGTGCACCATCGCCCATGCATTGGAGAAAACAAAATATCCAAATTCAGATCTCTACTGGAAAAAGTTCGATGAGAAATACCACTTCTCCTGTCAATTCACTGCCGATCTTTTAGCCATGAACAATGCGGACTTCATCATTACCAGCACATACCAAGAGATTGCAGGAACGTAAGTATCGACCTCTTGTTTTGTGATAGTTCAAGTTGCTTTCTAAGTTCCAAAGGTTGTTATAGTGTAAGTGGTAACAAAATGGTATGCAAGTCTGCCCAAGATGGTTGCTCTAACTTGTGTACTTTAACTACCAGGAAGAACACTGTGGGACAATACGAAAGCCACACTGCATTCACCCTTCCTGGATTGTACAGGGTTGTTCATGGTATCGATGTCTTCGATCCCAAGTTCAACATTGTCTCGCCTGGAGCTGACATGACGATCTACTTCCCATACTTTGAAAAGAAGAAAAGACTCACAGCACTTCACGTGCCAATAGAGAAGATGTTGTTCGATCCAGAGCAAACTGACGAGTGCATGTAAGTTATCTGATGATGCTTTGCTTCCACATTTGGTGTGGCAGTGGAGGAATGAATGACTGCTGTCAGAGCATTTTCTTAGTGAAGTATTTGTTTGTTGCTGTTGTTACTGCAGTGGTACTTTAGACGATCGGTCGAAGCCCATACTCTTCTCCATGGCGAGGCTAGACCGTGTGAAGAACATAACTGGATTGGTCGAGTGCTATGGGAAGAACACCAAACTGAGGGAGCTGGTGAACCTCGTTGTGGTTGCTGGTTTCATCGATGCCAAGAAGTCGAAAGACAGGGAAGAGATCGATGAAATCGTAAAAATGCATGATCTGATGAGCAAGTACAGCTTGAAAGGACAGTTCCGTTGGATCACATCTCAGACAAATAGAGCTAGAAATGGGGAGCTGTACCGATATGTAGCAGACACCAGGGGAGCTTTCGTCCAGGTACTCCTTATGCCATGACAATGGCATGGTGTCTTCTCTCTTCTGTTTCTGTAGAATTCTGATAATAAAAAAAGTGCAAAAACTAAATTGGGGCGTTCCGAGAATCGAACTCGGGACCTCTCGCACCCAAAGCGAGAATCATACCACTAGACCAAACGCCCACTTGCTATGCATAAAACGTAATTTACCGCTAATCATAGTGTGATTATCGGATCCAAAACTTGATGGTCAGCAGCTCATGTTACGGTCAGCTTATAAATTTCATTGGTGATGCAGCCCGCTTTCTATGAAGCTTTCGGCCTTACAGTTGTGGAGGCAATGACTTGCGCCCTCCCAACTTTTGCCACTGTCCATGGCGGTCCTGCAGAGATCATCGAGCATGGCGTGTCCGGCTTCCACATCGATCCGTATCACCCTGATCAGACTGCTGAACAAATGGCGGATTTCTTTGAACGATGCAAGGAGGATCCTAGCTACTGGAACAAAATCTCCGACGGAGGACTCCAGCGAATTTACGAGAGGTCTGTTTGTTACTCTTACGTAATGAGGTTGCATTCATATGACATGCTGCCATCTATTTGCACTGAATCTATGGAATGGCTTTATCACGAATGATTTAAATGGTGCCTGTGAAATGAAAGGTACACTTGGAAGATCTACTCTGAAAGGCTGATGACGCTTGCTGGCGTATATGGTTTCTGGAAGCATGTATCCAAGCTCGAACGCCGAGAGACCAGAAGATACCTGGAGATGTTCTACATTCTCAAGTTCCGCGGTCTGGTGAGTGCTCCTGTTCTGACTATATGCATGCTCCCCTGTTATGTTTTTAACATTCCCCTGTTCTAACCATATGCTTGTGCCCGGATAACATTGTTGGAATTTATACCTTAAACGAGTACTAGACGCTCTCTATTGGGCAACAGCGTAAACCAACGCTATAAAAGACACTCCGCGGGAGCCAGTAGGTCGATGAACATCAAATGAACGTAATTTTATTTAACCAAGAATTTGGCCGTCTAATGGTTTGCCTGTTCTTTCCAGATGAAGACTGTTCCGTTGGTGACCGATGAGCATCATTAGGCTACACGCTTTGGGAGAGGTTGAAAGAGCATCCATGACCAGCAGGCTGCTGCTAGTACTAAGAAATAATAGTCTTTGGGTCGATGCTTTTTCTCCCATTTCAATAGCTATAGCTAAGCATACGTGCCTTTGCGTCGGTGAAATAAATCTGCGAGACAAGTCGCAGTTATGTGTTAAGGATAACCACGGCAATAGTTTCCTTATATGTACATATTACTACGCGTCTGTGTCATGGCCATGGGATCGAATGTGTGTTGTTCGAAGTTCATCGAACACTATGTATAGTGTACTATGTAGCATGAAGCTTAAGGTTTGAGTAAATTCTTTCCTTAGTAACTTCTGTTGTCAACGGAGAGAAAGAAGGGCAATGAGCAACAAGATAGGTGGGAATCCTGCTTCCAAGCTCAGACGTTCTGAATCCTCAAAGCATTCATGGATGTATCTTCTCCGAACAACAACTCATATGGACGGAACAAAGAGCAGCGATGAAGAAAATGCTGGAGGAGAATGCAAAGTAGAGAGCAAGATCAATAACTATGTCTATTTACCAAGACTACTACCCACACACAAACTCCATAAAAATCTGGAAAAAGATGCAAGGAAAACACCATCTTTGAGTGAGGTTCTGTAGAAATCTCACTAACAAAAGGAACATTGAAGGAACAACGAAATCAAACAGAGCAGACGGAGGGGGAAAATGGGCTGCTGCCTGGAGAGGTTTCAGAGAGAGAGAGAGAGGGGAGTCTTTGAAGAAGAAAATGGCCAAGCAAAACTAAATATTCAAATAAGATTCTAGTTCAGCCCAAACAACAGAAACCACGGTTTGCCTGAAACTAAATTCTGTACCAACAGCGTATTGGAGCAACCAAAGATCCCAAAATTCTCCAGTTTCCAGGTCTATGTTCTACCTTGGCAAATGAAATTTCCATTGAAGGTCAATATGAGCATGTTCAATGTGGTTTGGCGAAAAGGCTCTGTAGCAGTGTTGGCAATAAGCCGCTAGTAGTAACCCTTCTTATTACTGAATCCGTGTCAAATCACGAGAAATAAAAACATACCAAAAACATCCTTCAAGCCTACAAAATATGGCAGTGCGAAATGAATAACTAACAGTGGGCGCCTTCAAATCATTGAAACATTTCCCTCCTACACATTACTGGTCTAAGTTCAACACTGTTCTACAAACAGAAGTTTGCAACGCACCATATCAGCTAAAGAAGCTACAAGATTGGAAGAAGGAAAATAAGCTCTCAGGAGAGGAAGTTGTATACCTGTTCCCTCAATGGGGCTATAGGCTGTTCATTCCATCACAACTTTGGCACCAATAGCTTTCATCTTCTCGATTATCTTCTCGGCATCTTCCTTCGACACACCTGCCTTCAACACTGCTGGCGTCTTCTCCACCAAATCCTTGGCTTCCTTAAGACCCAGATCAGTAAAACTCCTCACCTCCTTGATTATCTTAATCTTAGAAGCAGCTTCATACGATTCCAATTTCAATTCGAAAACCGTTTTCTCTGGTTTCTTTTCCTCCTTGGCAGCTGCTCCAGTTGACCCCTTCATTCCCATCCCAGCAAGTCCAGCCGCTGCTCCACCCTTTATCACTCCCACGGTCGGTGATTCTTTCATTCCTTTCCTTTTCATTATAATCGAACCCAGCTCCGCGACTTCTGCCAATGTCAGCGAGGCAATTTCATCGACGAGCCTGAACACACGCTCGGTGGGTGGGCTACGGTGCTCCGTGGGGTCAAAAGTGGCAGGATCATAGTCAGCTGGGAGCCTCCTTTGATCGATTTCTACTTCTTCCTCTTCTTTCCTAGCAGCTTGAGCAAAGCTCCGTGGCAATACACCGTTGATGCTTGCTCGATTCAAAGCAGGAAGGTGTGATTTTGCACACAACCCATTTGCCAGGTGATGCCTTAATCTCACAATCAAACTCATATCCGCCAAAAGCTTTCTCTATTGCAGCCTACAACTTTCCCGGGAACCTAAAAAGATTCCATCTCTCAAGCTATTGCTCGAGCAAATAAACCCTGAAAGGAAGACGAAAAAATTGAAGAAACACAGTGGATATGTGATGTGCAACCACAGCACCATTGAAGGGAAAACAAAAAAACGTTCATTTGCGGCTCGAAAGCGCTTTTTAACTGGGCAGCAAACCAGAAACCATCAGCATTCACAGAGGATGATAAGCCTAAGATATTAACAGTCTTGGAAGCCAATTTCAGACGCGAAAACCGAGCGTGGCTAATTGAACTAGAAAGCTCAATGCTTCTCGCTTGAAGATCGCGCAGTCGGTAACATTTCACAACTTCCCTATCGTGATATTTCTGATTCCTTAGAAAAAAATCAATTCTTCCAACAAAGAATACACTCATCCTACGAGAGAAAGAGAGAGAGAGAGAGAGAATAAGAAGAGGGAAGGGGGTAACCTGTTGCCCGTAAATGAATTGCTGACGGCGGTGTTCCTCAGGGAGGCGGATGAGAGATGGCGACGGCGGTGAGGGAGGGACAGAGGTGCGTCGAAGAACGATAGGAAGGAGAGGAACGGTTGGGTACTGGCCTGAGCACTAAGGCCTCATGAGGTGATGGGCTGGGCCTGGGAGTCTAGGACAAGTTGGGTATGTGATTGGTTTTTTCTTGTTTAAAATCGGTTCGAGACGACATTTTAGCATCTCTATCGAAAAGCAAACAAGATCATAGTATAAACAGAACTTTCAACTCTAGTTAACACGACATATCTTAAACTTCTAAAATTCTATCAAATTTGTAAGGTAAACCCCAAAAACAGCACCATCTTTCAAGTTAGTGGACAAAAATAGCCAAAATTGTTTGAAATACCATAAAATAGTCCAAACTTTCAATATGTCGGACATATACAACCATTAGTTTGTCGACATGCTCTTTTATCTTCTCGGCCGAGGGGTTCCCATCACAACATTGGACCACCGCCTACTTCCAGAGTGATCCATTGCGACGACTCGTTTGTCTCGGAATCCCTCCCGACAGCTTATGGGATTACTATTGCTAATTCTCAAGGTCAAGTGTACGATGACAAGGCTGAGTCTTTCTTTTTTTCTCATCTGATTCAAGCTGAGGCTTTTGGGCTCCTTAATGCTATCTTGCTTGCAACGCAAGATCCAGTCCCTACCTGCAGTCGTTCAGATTGTCAAGTGCTGACTCTTGCATTGCATCAGGATCTGCATTCCTGACCTTGGCTTTGTCAAGCTTTCCTTGCGCGTATGGCTTCCATCTTATTCTCATCGCCTTGGATTCACATTGAGTTCGTCCCAAGGCGGCTGAACATGTTGGCGGATTGGGTTGCTTGTCAAGCTAGATTGGAATCATTACCTGTAGATTGGATTACAATTTTTCATATTATTGCTCAACTCTTGTAATGAACTCTTTTATTTGCTTGCTTGGATGGAAGGAAAGTTGCCACTTTTCAAAAAAAAAAAAAGTTTGTTTTATTTGTGATAACGAGCATGGCTAACAAAAACTGTGATGAGATGTGATTTTGTGACGTGGCATGAAAATAAATTATTTTTACCTTGAATAAAAAATTATTTACTTCATATTCATATTCGAAAACTCTCAATAGAATGACAAAATACATTTCTATAGCCAAAACTTTTGTGTTTGTGCCAATAATAGCCAAATTTGGAGAAATACCACTTATAGGCAGAATTTTGAAACTTTTGTGCCAAATATAGCCATTTTCATTACAAACTTTAACGGTGTTAGAGATTCCGTCAATTAGTTTAAGATTAGGCTGATTAGGACGCCAAATTCATATATTAATCATAAATAAAGAAATGAAAATTTCACACAAAAAAAAAACAAAGAAAGGAAAATCATTTCTCCCCTATCGCAAACCACTCCGCCATTCCCCTCACAATCGGAATACACACCTTCCTCTGCCTCTCCTCCGCCTCCACCAGCCCTCACCGAAATCCACCCAAGCTCTTGAATCTTGAAACCCCCTACAGCTACGATACCGATTGTTTGTCCACCGGCGAGTAAAAAATCTCCCTCGAATATTTGACCGCATTAGCACCTGCAGATTGGGCCCCGCTCAATTGAAAACCATTGCGCTACCATGCTTCTATCGACATTCTGAGTCTGACCAGCAGCTAGCCAATCAGAGAAGCACTCCTATGTGCTTTGTCTCCAGTTGCTCACGCAGTTGCTTGTGGTTGGTGGACGAAATTCGGTTTCGTCCGTGATGGCGAACGACGAGATTAGCCAATTCAGTGAGAGCGGAAACCAATTGGAGATCCGTCATTCTGCTTTCGGTTCGTCTTTGTTCACTGTTCTGCTTCTGGGTTCGTCTGCGGTTGCTCTATTTGAGACTGCCACTCCCCGTCGTCGGCTTCTTATTCCCAAGTGTTCCAACGTCAATAGATCTTCACTCCCGCAGAAACTCCTTGCGCCACTCCCACAACTGCGAAGACCCAACTATGCCGAACACAAGTGTTCCAGTGTCAATCGATCTCCACTCCTGCTTGGGTTTTCGTAAGAGAGGAGGGCATTGTGGCTGGGCAACCCCGGGAGCGAAGAGGGAAGTGGTGTCGGGGCAGCGACGGCGGAATCAGCGGCAGTAGTGGTTTGAAAAATTAGGGATTCTAAGAGATAGAAGGGGAAAGTGAAAAGGGAGGGATGGGTTTTGAGTTCCTTTTTATTTCTTATTTTATTTCTTATTTTTTAAAATTAATCCAGCGTGGATTTGTCAAGGGAGAAACTTGCCAACTCAGCCTATTGGTTAACACCGTTAAATCATTGGATGGAGTGGCTATAAGTGGTATTTCGTCAAAAGTGGATATAAGTGGCATAAACGTGAAAGTTTTGGCTACACAAGTGTATTTTGCCAATGAATTATATCGAATGACTATATTTGTCAAACATATTATTTTTTTTGGCTATTTAGTGATATTTCGGATAGTTTTGGCTATTTTTGTCCACTATTAACGACTTCAAATGTTTTACTATTTTTGGGTATTAATCCAAGTTCTAATTTATATACAAACCACATTTTTTCACTATTACAACTTCATTCATAGATCCTAAATTTTGTTGAGTGAGGAATGAAAATTAGGATGCACTAACACAAAGGAAAATTGACTATCTTACTCCATTTCTCTTTTGTGATTGATTGATTGTTTCCAGTTTCGTGTGATATTAGAAACGATTCTTATTCAGTGTGATATTAGAAACGATTCTTATTCAGTTTGCCATACTCATTCACGCTGTTAAGCATCAATTCCACGAAATCAAGTGTTCGATTCGTCTCTGATACCATACACCAAAGGCATCCGAAAACACCCCGCATTTGAGCATTTACATATACACCAAGGTACACACACTACATGGCTGGGGAAGACTAAGAAATTAGAGCTTGTTCAGAAACATAGCTCAAGTGGTATGTATTGGTATATTTTTCAGATGTATTGCTTATCCGGAAACGAAAAAAAGGAACCCTAGCTCAACTGATTGCGTCGGACATAGACTGCTGGTCTATCCCAGATTGATTACACACAAACAGAAGGGCAATGCATTCCAGGTCTCGAGAGTATATCACTCGATTAGACTCGGAAGAAGATGCCTCAGAAGGGCAAAAACGGCAGCAGACTCCATTAATCTAAAGAAAATACCCCACTGCAGTACCTGCAATGAAGATGGAACAACAAAGAGCGATCAGTCCCAGAGTGGAAAGTGTAGAGCTTTAGCTTTTAGCATCCAACTTTTCAGTTTCAGAAGATCGGGTTAGCGGTAGAGAACACAATCTCGAGCCAACTATGAGGGGGAGCTAATAATGGGCTCCAATGTAGAAAATATGTTATGTGTCAATCGCGAACCTGTTGCTGAACTTCTCCACAGCATCAGAGGCATACAGAAGCATTTCGCTGGCTTTTTCGAGAACCATATAAAGCTCCTTCCCTCTTGATGTCCGTGCTATAACCCAGGCACCATTTTTGGCTCTTACACATATTTCCAATTCTTTGTCACAATTTACCTCACTGCTGCTGCATTTTGCTCTCTTCTCCAAATTCACCTCTTCTCTCAGCTTGCTCATGGCAAGCAAAGAATCCTGTTGACACAAAGGCAGGAAGTTACTTCAGTGTAGAACTGTAGATACTAAAAGCAGATTCGTATAGTGTACTGCGTACGACACGCGTATCTTAGCATTTACCATATAAAGATATATGTATGAATTGGAAAACAAACCATTCCATGATATAGTACAGCAATTTGCCATCACCCCAGACTGATACAACATTGACAGGATGCTCATCACTTACAATAACCAGCAGACCAAAGCAGTTCATTGAAGTGTCATAATGAAAGTGTGCATAACCTGACATAAACTTACAGTTCCAACTAGCCAAAACATCACAGATGCTGAATGAAATATATCGATCTTTAATATCCAAGAATAAAGCTTTTCTAGTACTTCCCAAATTTGGTTGTTTAAAATTATAGCTTCCATGCCCGTTTTTTTCAAACATAACCTAAGCCTTTTTTCAGAGAGAATATCTCCACATTTATAAGTACAAACTATCTCCTGCACTTGCCCTGTTTTGTGCTTCGCCATCAGTAACAAGATAGTTTGGACCATTCTGGCCTTTGTGATACTAGCAAATAACCAAAAAAATTTAAAAAAAAATTCACTTTAACAATTCATTTTTGCATACTATTAGACAGTAGCAGTTATTCAGGCTTTGCGGTGTCTCAGATGTTATAGCATTAGGATTTTGTAATGTTATCATCAAAATCTTTCTGAAAATGTTAAGAGACTAGACAAGCTGAAATCCATAACTAAGTTTAAAACATAATTTAGAACTTATCCACATTTGAGGTGTCTTAAGATAGACATGGCATCCACTATTACAGAAACATCCAGATAATTAAATTAAGCCATGCATCATTTTTCTGAATGATGTTATTGTCTGTATAAATTCTTATACGAAAATTCACATTATTCGTAAACAAGGTGATGCAAAAGACAACACAGCGCCAAATCAGAACTCTAGTCAAAATGCCTGCCAACAGTCAATGAGAAACTACCTTCCAAACATCTGAATGTTGGTAGTTCTTACCTTGGCTAGAGTCATGACCTTTGCTGGAGGAGAAGCCCTGGATACTCTTTCATCATCAACCAGTAAGTAACGGTAGCCACTAACATGATAAGCATTTTCTCCACCCCATCCCTTTGATAATTTCTCCTCGACCCTCAACATTTTAAGTGAAGCCTAGTGCATTCAACAAGAAAGAGAATGAGCCAGACCCAGACCCAGACAACATAATTACTTACATATATAAAGTTGTGGCTGCATAACAAGACAGCTAGAAGCCTAAAAATGAGAATATAACAAATATTGGTTTTAGAAATCAGAATACTGAAGGGTTACTTATAGCAGCATTCACCAAAAGTTAAGGTTCATAAAGAAGCCTTAAAGGGCAGATAGATAGAAGTAGACAGTAAATTCCCCTGTCACGTTATTGTCTATGAGGGTTTGTCCTACTCATCTGCATCTTAAAATGAATCGAAATATAGCAAAATATGCAGCATCTTCATCTTTTTGCCATTATTGGTAATGAAGGTGCAGTGACATGTAATATAAAAATGCAATACAGAGCATTTTAGAAGACTTGAAGTTATTTATTTTCCTTGCCCCAAGGTATGAACCTAAGCCAGGGATACTTGAAGGCTTCAAGCTACCTGTAATCAGTCAGGTATTTGCAAAGGAACCAAACCTAAACAACATAGCCACCAGCAGGCGGGGATGCGTCTTATGATGACACATTATTACCGGAACGATTTACAATGTGCTCGATAGGCCCCAATGTAGAGGATGCAGAAGTTTTTAAGAGCAGAACTAAGTTGCTACTTCCAGGAAAGGGGAAAAATAGAACAAAAATTAAAATAATATGAAGAGAAAGGAAGTGGAAAAGTAATACGAAGAGAATGGAAGTGGAAAAGTAAAATGAAGAGAACAGTATATTTACGGGAACAGAAAGGACACACACATTTTCAAAGACTTGCTGCTTCACGAGTGAAAGTCCTTGCTCGCCGTTGAGAATGGAGGAAACAGGAACCAGAAGGATTATGGTCAGGCTTTTATATTGATAGGCACACAGGTACATCCTTTCCTCAGTCAGCTGGAGGTAAACTATTGGGGTGACAGAAGTTTGACTACCATTATCAGCTCCCCAAATATCAGAAGCAAGAAAACCATCGTTTCCCCTAAACCACCTATTATGATGTAATGGTCTTTTTACTTGACAATTGTTGTCTTGGTCCAGCGAAGTATCACGTGAGCGATATATGTTATCTGAAACAGACCCAGAGTTGGTAATAGTAGACAACGCGGGAACTTGAGATCCTGCATTAGTTCTTTGTAAATAAGACCAGGAAGTTGCTCCGGATGACAAAGCGTGGGGAGTCAACCTTAGAACAGCATAAGTAAACAAACTTATGGTGTCATCCTGAAAAGCACAGGTTCAATAACAGAATTAGCAGTCATTTTGACAGATGCACCATGCAATTTCATAGTCTCTTTATATCTTTTATATCTCATGTCAATTACTATTCTGCTGGTGATAGTAAATTAAATACATATAATTCAACAAAGAACACTACAGAACATCCAGATTAAATAAGCTGTAGAAGTTGAACCGTACGGGAGAAAGTGTGGTTGAGACAAGGAGGTCCTGGAACAAAACCAGAGAGTAGCAAGATGTAGTCCCAGCAGAACATTCTAGTACCTTGACAAGGGACTGCAATTATAACAAAGTGATCATCATTGACTCACCCAATTATGAGTCCATGCAGCAGCCACAGTATGGATAAAAATTTCAAACAGATAAAACCAAACTTCCTGAAGTTGCGAAGATGAGACAAACAGAATGCAAAGAGAGATCACGTGAGCAATCACGAGCTTGTCCAAGTACGAGGAGTCTGTTAAGTAGTCTTGCTTTATTCGTGGATGAGGGTTGGTGGTCAACATAGAGAGGCCAAGAATCATGGACTGGGGAGTAAGAGTTCTGTATATATTGTTGAAGTTGGTGTTTTTTATTTTTAAAGATGTCAGTTTCCAGTGAATTGGTTTTTACAAGGAAAAAATCTGCTATTGTATATAAGCAAGCATCCATCTGAAAAAGACGCATGCGGAAAGGGGTAAAGAGGTCATAAGGAAAGGAAATGAGACAAGTTCAGCAGACCCCAACCGTTCATATAAGTTTAGTTAGCAAATTAATTGGTTCCATCTGATCTGGTTTTGGTATTTGAGTTATATAAGAGCACCTCAAGAGATTTTCAGAAATTGAACCTGGACTTCAATTGCAGCTTCCCTTCCAACAGTAAGCATTTGAACAGTTCCACGCTCCATTAAACAGTCATGAAATGATGGTAGTTGGAGCTTCTTCCCAATTAGAAAATCTGCCCAAAAGTTACAGGTAAGATTCAAGTCCGCAACTTCAGCAATTGTTTGGCAGATCAAAACTGTTGAAGCAAATTTTGATACAGCAACTTGAGAATTACCCCAGCAGCAGTTACACAATAGAGACTGCTTTTTTTGGTATGCTGCAATTAGTGACATGAGATGAATAGCATACTAGAACAAAATCGTAGGGCCTACAGAATTCTGCATGCAATGAAATAGTATAAAGGCTTACCACTAAGATAATCCGTGATGAAAGGATATAAATGAGATCGGATTAAGCCTCCACTAGTTTCCTTCTCAAGCATCGATCTCATTGTTCCATGGAACAATACAAAAAGAGAGTGAACTTCTTTGAGAACCTTTCGTAATGCATCAACCTGACATGCTGCTTTTGATTCCTTACTTTTCTCCACTACCTACACCAAGATCAAATACTACCCAGGATGAACAATCAATCACACATAATTTAACAAAGAGATTAATCACACCATGTTCACCTAATATGATAGACAAGTACACAATAATAATGTTGAAGGTACATTCGAGAAACTAGAGTAGGATAAACATTTTGCACGTTGAACTAGGACAACCAGTACAAAAGCCTTCTACATGAAGAGAAAGCTTCATATAGATTAAAGAATAGAAGACAGTTACTGATGCTCAACTTGGAGGAGAAACACGATATTAAGACATATTCCATGCTCTTTATGATCAAGAGTCAGAACACAAATCCACTTCAATAAACACGCAGGAAAGAACACTAAACTGATTAAACATAATGAAAAGAAGACTCAGGTGTTGAACGTGGAAACCAACTCAATCCAGTTAAGATCCCAAAGCAGATAGGCCATGTTTCGTTCATGTTTCTAATGGATTTCTAGGACATTGAAACATTAATACAGAAAGTAGAAAGCCTCATGAAATGGGATTGCAGAAGAATCATTGCACTCCAAAATCAAAGACAAGAACATGTGTCAAATTTAGAAACTATGGAAACAGGACATGGATCTTTGGCAAAGACATAGAAAGAAAGCGATCTAGGCAGTATCAGCTCTCCGCTTTAGGAAAAGCCATGGGGTCACTATAAGAGATATAACATACCATCACCATCCAGATGTCCGATTCAGCTTCAAAAAAGACATGGGAGTGCCTCTCTGCTTCTATCACCTCACAAGCCGCATCTGGAGAGAATATCCTGCATAAAGATCATCACTTTCAAAAAACAAAACCCCCACAAAGGAACTTGACAAATAATCAAATCAATCAGCTGATTGTGAATAAGTAATTAGATATTTATGGCATGTTATGAGTAACAATATGGTTTAGTCATTCTTTAAATGGTAAAGTAGGCGCGACTGGGAAGAACGGACTAAAACTTCGCGTGTACAAGGAGTACTTAGTCTTATCCAGAACTTCAATTATGTTCCATTTACTCATGAATACGAAATTGAAGACCATAGGTGCCCAACAACACTATCGTTTGGAATTTAATTGTAAAGCTTTTAGCATTCTTTAAAGCAAAGGGAACCTATTTAAAATATTTTATTTATAGATTGCTAACCACAACAGGTAAAAAGGAAATTGCTGGCAATCATCAAGCTTCCAACATAACCAAATGATTCTCCCTTCCGCTCTTTGCCACGTCATTAGTATGCATTTCATAATTTGAACCCTATAGCTACTAACCTTGTAAAAGTTATGAGCCCTTCGCTGAGTCCTATCACAGAAAGCTGGGTTGCAAAAGGCAAATCCGCAGGAAAGAAAAATAAAATCTTGTCGAGCTCCTGCCCTTCCTGTTGTCCTCTTCTCAAATCAAATATGCAAAGTTGCATACCTTCACTGGCAGTATTAACAGATGCCATACCCATAGTTTGCTCTAATTCTAAACCTGATGAGCAGCAGAAAGGTGATCGATATCAGATAAACTATCATATGACTGAAGCCAATATGGTAAGGTAAATGTTGACTGGTAGTGATTCTGAAGCAAAAAGGTCACAAATTATATTATTGTTTAAAAACTTGCTATATATAAACAAACTCATCAGCCTCATTATCCGCAACAAGCCCTTCACTCAAACCAGAAAGGAATCTAGTCATCCACCTTCAAACAATTTTGGGAATGCATCATAAGGGGTGGACAGAATCTTATGCAATGCTGAAATCTAAAGCTCACAAACCAATCCTTCAAAGCATTACCGAAGAAGAATCATTGCCCCAACAGTAATTGATACGAATTGAACTATTCAGCCTTGGTGCTACGCATAGGAGGAGGCACTAGTAATATCCTGGTGAACTGCGAGCGAGCAATGTGTAATGTCATTCAACAATCCATTAGCCTAAATACCACTTCATTGAAAACTCATTATGATTGAATTGCATCCGATTGCAGGGCACTGACGAGGCTACCAAGTTTTGGAGCTACTTCTGCAATAACTTATTCTCACCGAAAGAACTTTCCGAATCAAAACTCGGGGCAAGCACCACTAATCTCTCTATTTATGCATGTAATAACACAATTTTTTTTTCATAAAAAAGGATATAATAACACAAAAGAGAGGCCAAAGTCCAGGGAATTATCATGGAAGAGAACGCGTAACTAGAAAGGGAAGGGGATCGCCAAACTTGTAATGAACCTTGTGAAGGCCGTTTCGTTGGGCGATCTTAGAATTCAGCTGTCGAAAACAGCTATTAGGTCTTCTCGAGATGGAAATTCTGAGGTGCCGTGATCGATCTTTTTCTTCTCTCCTCGCTATCAGATCTGGTGTTTTTTTTATCCGTAGTCGGAAACTGGACTGTAACACCGCCGGGGTGCAAGAATGGCGGGCACGATTGGAAGTGGGGAGGACCGGAGGAGAAATAGCCAACAGGAGGAGGGTTTGGAATAATTGTTCAAATGATACTATAACTTTGGTACGTACACAAAATGGTGATATCTCTTCTATGTTTTGCCAAAATGGTATCGTAATTTTGGTATTTAGTTGCCTTCTTCTCGCCTTTCCGAGAGGAGTCAAACTAACTAACGACTCGCCGGTGGGAGACGATGGAAACAGGGAGAGTGACAGTGGAAAGAGTCGGAGGGAAATCGACGGTGACAAGATCCTTCTCAAAGTATCCTCTCAAATTTATCCTTCCCAATAAGGTTTCCCTTCATCTCAATCTTCTTCCAATTTGCTCGCTGACCATGCTGCAACCATCCGTTTTTGGGGGTTTCTTTTCATGATCTGTTCATCTCTTTTTGTTGTTGTTGTTGTTGTTGGATTTGGCTCAGGTGGGTTCTGCAGGGACCGATGCTGTGTGGATTTACGCACTCACATATGGTGGCGGTATTGTTTCTGTACGCTGCTGCTTCTCTTACTTAACTCTGTATGTTACTTTCTCCCATTTGGGTTCTGCTTACAGAAGAACAAAAAGTTTGCAGCTTTTTCTAATGAGGGTTTGATAATATGGCTTAATTGGTGAAGGGTGACCGTATATCTTGTGAATTTTTCGTTGGAAATGGCTGCACAGCTGTGTTAACCACCCAAGCATCCACCAAGGTTGGTAAAGAGTGTAATGCTTTTGGTTTCAAAGTTAGCATAATCAGAGCTGGGTTTTGACTTGAGTTTTGCTTGATGTGAAACCTAGGTTTACAAGTCCCTGGGGTCCAGATGTTCTGAACAGCTGCTGGAGGTAACTCTCAGAATGTTTCCATGTTTTGGCATTTTAATTGGTGGTTTGTTAATGCATATGCAATGGTGGTTTGTGATGAATGGCTGGCTTGATGATGATGGTGTTGCTGTTTATGTGATGGTGGGTGTGTTTTATGTTTATTATGCAGTAGGCAAGGATAGGGAGTGATGCCCTTTTGGTAGTGATTCCTGATCCAGTCACCTGTTTTTCAACGGCGAGATATGCTCAGAAACAAGTGTTCAGAGTTGTTGCAGACTCTAGCAGCTTGCTACTTGTGGACTGGATTACAAGCGGGCGACATGAGAGCGGGGAGAAGTGGGAATTCGAGCTTTATAAGAGCACCAACCAGATACTCTTGGTTGATGACGATGATCGGCCCTTGTTTGTTGACTCGGTAGTTCAATCGTTCTCTAAGTTCAGTATTCATTGTATTAGCGATATGCTACTCGTGTTTTTGAATGATGATTCGTGTATCTATAGGTATTGCTGGAACAAGGAAGCATCTCAAGTATTGCAGACCGCATGCTGGACTACCAAGTCATTGCAATGATCGTAATCTTGGGGTATTAAAGCGATCACTTATATGTGTTCTTCTCCCTGGATGGCTGATGCCATATATTGGAGAAACTGTTGTGCTGATAATATGAGTTTCTGTAGGCCCAAGTTGAAGAACATCCAAAACCAAGTCCACGAAAGTGTAAAAAGGTTGATGTCTGACCAACTGCATATGCCTTACTCTGGCGTGAGAGCCAGCAGCAACCATGCCAAACCGAATTCCAGCAGCGCCTTTAATAACAAGCCTCAACTCGTTGCTTCTTGCAGTCCATTTGGTCCCAAGGTATGTATCGGTACTGACCTTGTGGTTTCCAACATTGCTGTGAATCTTTCTCTTTCCTTATTCCATGTGGTTCGCTGAGCCTCGCTGCTCTCTATCAATCAACACAGGGTGTGGGAGTTGTAGTCAGGATAGCAGCCACAACAACTGAATCAGTGTACAAGTTCTTGAACCATCAACTGAGTGGGATGGAGTCGCTCATCGGTGTCCCACCTTATCGTTGAATTTGCTCTTTGCTTTCCTGGTGTGTTCGAAAAATCGCCAGTTGATTCCTTGTGATCGTATTGTTTGTAAGCGAACTATGAACTTCTGTTCCTGTCTGCAAAATGTTGCTGATTTTTCTCTGTGATTTGACTAAATGGTTTAACCCTTCGAATTGTGGAAGTTCTCATTCATTTCCGGTTCTCGATAGTCAAAACCTTACCAAAACCTGTCCATCTGGAGCTTTTGCACCATCTTGTGCTGTCCGTGAGTAAATGGTGATGGAGAAATTCATCAAAGTTCTCCAAATTTTTGAAGAGTGGATTCTGATTAGAGTGGATTTGACGATTTGTTTTATTAATATTCACTCGACTCATCAATCAACTCGTAAGATCGAATCGAGCTTTGATATCATATTGTTTAGTTCATAAGTTTCAATGGTGCACATCATTTATTTAATGGTAATTAGTATCTAATCAATTTATAATACATAATTTTTCTTTTATATTGTACGTGAGATATATTAGCTTGCTCGGTTTTAAATATCATATGTGGTGGTGCATATAATCTACAAAACCTATTATATGAACTATCAATATATCAATTCATTAGCTATCAATTGATTCGCTCATAAGCTCCTAGTTGAGGTGCCTCGCTAGTCACACTGTCAAGTCAACTCGTTGCTCAAAACGATGTAGCTCACCAGTTGACTTCATCAAGCCACTGAGTCGAATTAGCTTACGAGCACAGCGAGTTGAACACGGTTTAGTTCAAATTCGACTTGTTATTAAACAAAACAAGTGTTCGATGAGATTTTTTCTCAATAGAACGTTGAGCGTGAGCATCTTTGCTCATTTGCAGGGGTGTGCAATGGTCTGGTCCGTACCAAACACACCGAACTAACCCAACGTTTGGACCAGACCATACCGAACCGAGTATTGTGTGGTTCGGTCATTGGTCCTATGAATTTTATAATTATTTAAGAAAACATGAACCAAATCAGATCAAATGGACTGAATACAATAATGGTTTGATCTTTAATCCTAATATATATTTCACTAATGGACAGCAGTTCTCATAGGTTTGATCGGACCGAACTGTTGCACACCCATAGGGCATAACTCGCCAAAGCCCCCCGATTTGTGGTGTAGTAATTTCCTCTTACAATTTTCACCACAACCCTCGGGCCACAGTCCACAGCTACAGAGTTGCAGCGGTGGCTAATGAAATAAATATATAAAAGGAAGATCGTTAATGAGCAAATCGAGCTTTTATTAAATCAAACGAACTTTTATCGAGTTAGAGAACAAGCTATTGGCGACTAGTTCGGTTGATTAACAGCCCATCCACAGTCCACAATCCACAGTTGCAGTCTCAGAGTTGCAGGGCTAATAAAACAAAAAAGGAAAAGGAAAAAACATAAGAAAATGACTATTCATCTCGTCCAGTTCACTCACACTATTTGATAGCCACAGTTTTCTAGAGAAGGTAGGTCCAGCTCAGTTTCCTTTTGGTCGCGGCAGTGGAAACAGCGAGCGAGGGTTTATTATTTGCCTCGAGCCCTCTTCGCTCTCCCTTATAATCTCGCACCCCGGCCATAGCCAATGGAAGGTCAGGTCCCCAAGAAGCGAGGCCGGAAGCCGAAGCCCAAGGAGGAGAAAGACCACCAACAGCCGCAGCAAGGCAAAATGAAAGAAGGGAAGCGCGGTCAGCACGCTGCTTCGGTTGACGAGAAGTATACTCAGTGGAAGTCTCTGGTCCCTGTGCTCTACGACTGGCTCGCTAACCACAATCTCGTCTGGCCTTCCTTATCTTGCCGGTACTTCCCATATGCTTTCGCCTTTTTTTCTCCCCCCTTACAGCCGTCCCCCATTTCTAGGGTTTTGGGGTGAGTGGTAGTGGAGTGAAGTGGAGGGAATGTTCGTCGTTTTCGAGTTTAGGGGTTTTTGCCGTTTTGTGCGTTGTTATTAGGGTTCTCGTTTGTCTGATTAGTTAGGTAACAAAGGCGTGATCTTGGTTTGTTATTCCTTTGGGTTTGTTGTATCTGTTTGAGTTTTCTTTCTTTTGTTGTGCTTCATTGTTACTGTGGTTGATTAATCTTCTTCTTTTGGGCAGATGGGGTCCTCAGCTTGAGCAAGCTACTTACAAGAATCGTCAGCGCCTGTATCTCTCTGAGCAGGCGAGATCGAGTTCCTCTGTTTTGGGTTTTTTTCTACGGCGAAAGCCGAGATTTTTAGGTAACTTTGCTTTTCTAACACAGTCTTTTTATTTCTCTCTCTTTGTTTTCATGGCCAGACTGATGGTAGTGTTCCAAACACCCTTGTTATTGCTAATTGTGAGGTTGTCAAGCCTAGAGTCGCTGCTGCTGAGCACATATCTCAGGTGATGTTTACTGTTCTGACTCATGTATTTATCTAATTTCTGTGTGTTCGGCGATGTCTCGGTATACTGTATGAAAGCCCAAGAAGGTATCCGTGCAGCTGTATAATTGATTAGGTCATACTTATTTTGGTCACAGTTTAATGAAGAAGCACGATCTCCATTTGTGAAGAAATACAAGACCATTATACATCCTGGAGAGGTATGGGTCTAGAAGAAATTATTCATGACACAATGCATATGTTTCTTTCTTCGGTCCTTCATTATCCACAATTTCACAAATCCATCTTCCATTTCCAGGTGAACAGAATCAGGGAACTTCCGCAGAATAGCAGGATAGTGGCTACTCATACTGACAGCCCTGATGTGAGTGTGCGCTTATATATATTGAATTATGTATAAGGCTTGTTTTTTTGTTTGTTTGTTTGTTTGTTAGAGGTCTTATTACTTGTCTGAGAAGCTTGACGTTGCTTATGTAGTTAGTTTCATGTAAACTGTTGAATGCAGGTTCTAATATGGGATGTAGAAACACAGCCAAACCGACACGCAGTCCTTGGAGCTTCAAATTCTCGACCTGATCTGGTAAGGCTTCATACTTAGACCTCACTGCAGGCCTTTAGTCACTTCTCTTTACTTTTTATTTTCACCACATAGTGCTGCTTTGGAGCTTTGCTGTGGGATCAAACACTTGCGTTTCTCCTTCATATGTCTATTCCAAGGGTTCTTTTCCTCTGGAATGGGTTAGTAATTGAGGAAGTAATCATAAAAAATATTCAGGAATTGAAGTTTAACTTATTTCTCCTCGTTATGGAATGGGCTTCCACCATGAGATTCAGTATTTATTTGCAGGATTAGACATTTACATATCAATCTATGCGGAAAGTTTAAGTGGCCTCTGAGAAGTACAAGTTTCTGGGCTTTTCAGGATATGAAACCTCTCTGATACGGGGTTTGTTTCTTTGCAGATATTGACTGGACACCAAGAGAATGCAGAATTTGCTCTGGCAATGTGTCCAACAGAACCCTTTGTGCTATCTGGAGGTTGGGATTTTCTGTCTAGTTATTATAGCCTAAACAAGGACTAATTAGCACTGTTGCACTGATTAGCTTTTGAACGATTTGACCTGTTTTTGTTTTATTGTCTTAGGTACGGATTGGTTTTTGTACTCTCATAGGATTGTTAGGTTGTAACTATATCTATTTATTCAATAGTTATTTATTCAAAAGTTTGAACCGGGAGCTTTTCATGCAGGGAAGGATAAGTCGGTTGTTTTGTGGAGCATCCAGGACCATATCACGTCCTCCGCATCTGACCCAGCCAGCGGAAAGTCTCCAGGATCTGGCGGCGGCTCCATCATTAAAAGGGATGGTAATGATAAAGCTGTTGATGGCCCAACTGTAGGACCAAGAGGGATCTATCAGGGCCACGACGATACAGTCGAAGATGTTGCTTTCTCTCCGTCCAGGTACCTTTCTTGCCTGTGCATGGTAAGGCAGTTTCATTTTACGTAAATAGGGAATATCTTTATAGAATCCCGACTGTCTTTGAATTTGCGTATTTTTTCCTTTTTATAATTTTGTTGGTTTCAGAAGACGGTTAATATTACTTGACCATCATGATTAAATTGTTCTATTTGGATATTGCATATTACATATAAATTGATATAGATTCGATGCTACAAAGCAGATCTTGTGTCTCGTTTCCTGAACTTCTCTTGCTGATAAATTTTTTGCATCTGAAGTGCGCAGGAGTTCTGTAGCGTAGGGGATGATTCTTGCCTCATTTTTTGGGATGCTCGAGTTGGCACTACCCCTGTTATCAAGGTATCCTTCTTTGTGATCTCTTGGATTTTATGTATTTATTTTTTATTGTTGATTAGAATGCTGTTTGGATCACACTTTATGTAGTTCATTTAAGTCATGTTTGTATTGTTTTCTAATGCGCTGAGATGCATGGTTCATCCTTTTATAGACATTGCCCCCCTCCATATAAACTAGTCATGGTACTTGTACAAACCCTATTTACTCTTATGCACTAGTTATTATATCCTTTTTCCCCCCTGTAAAGTCATCTGCCTCTTGATAGTTTTTATTTATCTAGTTTTCTTTGCCCAGTGCAATGGGATGCCCCAGGTCTCTCTGTAAGCAATGTTTCTATTGGCCAGTGAACTTAATTTGCTCTTATGTTGGCCATAAATATGTGGTTTACAGCCAGTATATGTTCGATCTATTGCGTTTAAATTCAAACCTAGAAGTTCAAGTGGGAAGCTTTCGTTTGCAAGAATCTGGAAGATATGTTGTTTATTTTTCTGCTTCTTTTTTATAGTTGTTAAATCATCTGTTTTCTTGATTGTGTTGCATTCTTAGCGCATGTGACCGTAGGTTAGATTTCTCTGGTTGGAGTCACCAAGTTTGGAATGAACCTGCTATGGGCTGTCTGTTGTGATCTTTCCAGAATGTCTTCTCATGTCAGATATAAATTTTAAATTGGAGGCAACATAATTTGTCCTTCTGTCTTTTTGCGGGATTTTGTTGGCAGGTTGAAAAAGCTCAAAATGCTGATCTTCACTCTGTTGATTGGAGTCCACATGACAGTAACTTTATTCTGACTGGGTATGCTCTCAAATTTTCTACCACCAGCTGCTGCATATATGTATATATTTAGTAATCAGTCTACTGCTTTCTTTGATCCTTCTGTCTTCGTTTTCCATCTGCAACTACCCATTTCTCATTTACTGTTATCCAGTTTCATCTTTTGCGTACTTTTGGTCGAGATGTATGTTGTAAGGCGTACCATTGTGGCTATGCAGAGACATGAAACATTTCAAATAACTTTAATGATTGTGTCAATTCTCTTCAGTTCTGCAGACAATTCTGTTTGCATGTTTGACCGACGAAGCCTCACCAGTAATGGAGTTGGCTCACATGTTCATAAATTTGAGGGCCATAACGCTGCTGTTCTTTGTGTGCAGGTTTAGTGTCTTCTTGTCATCTCAACCGTTATTTTACTGCCATTTCTAGTCGAGGCACGTCATCTCAAAGAGTTAAGCTAACTGGTGCATTCTAAATATCTGCATCTTCTTTTGTTTCAGTGGTGTCCGGACAAGGCATCTGTCTTTGGAAGTTCTGCCGAGGATGGGCTCCTAAACATCTGGGATTATGAACAGGTAGGATTACAAACTCCCTTTTTATGTTTGTGCTTTCTGTATTCTGTTTTGAGATTGAACTCCCTTTATGGCCGGCCATTACAACCTGTTTCTTCTCTCTTAACCTTAACTCAATAAGCTGGTAACATAGTGACGGTACTAGTATACTGACCGGGTGCTTATTATCTGACATGCATGTTATATGGGCTATCGAATTATCATTTTTTTTTTTGTGTTTGTGTAAATGTGTTTTTTACTAATTATTAGGTATTACAAGTTTGTCTGTTCCGTTTAATACTCTTTCAATTGTGTTACTAATACTTCTTTTGATGCGTGTAGATCGGTAAAGAAACAGATGCAAAGGCCCCAGGAGCTCCTGCTGGATTGTTTTTCCAGCATGCTGGGCACAGGTTTGATACTCAGCTTTATCCTACTGAATAAGAAAGCAGTGACTTGTTTTTGAAGCTGTGTGTAAAAAGAGGTGTTTGGTAAGGGATTAAGGAAATGTTGAGTTGATGGGATGTGAGATATTGTTTCGTAATAAAAGATTTAACTCATGTGATGGTAAATAGTTTGACTGAATCTGTGAATGAATTGTTTAAGGGAGATGGCTTTTGGATGTTAATGATTTAAGTGTGTTTAAGCTTCTATTCACTAAGCTGAAACCAAACACCAGCATATACTAGCCTGTTTGAGATGATCGTGTCTGAATGTGTAATTAATTAGGGACAAAGTGGTTGACTTCCACTGGAACACACATGATCCTTGGACGATTGTTAGTGTGTCAGATGACTGTGAGACTAGCGGTGGAGGTGGCACATTACAGGTATGAATGCTCCACCCCTTAAAACAATAATAATGTCATTAATCAGAGCTTAGTAGTTAACAATTCGAAAACTGGGTTTGGTGCAGATATGGAGGATGAGTGATTTGCTGTATAGGCCAGAGGAGGAAGTATTGGAGGAACTTCAGACCTTCAAAACCCATGTGAGCCAATGCACAGCCAAGAACTGAAGGGCAAGAGATGGGGTAAATTCCGAAGCACCGAGAGAGACATGGTCGGTCGGTCCAAGCTTTTGTGTGACAGTAGGAGGTTGCAGGACTTGGTGGTAGTAGTGTAAGAGCGAGAGAGAGAGGGAGGGATATGAATTATGATGCATCTATTACTCTGTAGGTTTTTTCCTTTTCTCTGCTGACTTTAGGGGAGTGTGTTGAGTGACTAATTTGATTCTTGATGATAGGTTAAGTTGGGGAACGGGGTTTAATATTACAGGCTGTGTAGTACAGAAGTAGCCCGTAAGATGGCCGCCAATGTCTTAAAGGTTAAAGTTTGGCGGCCTGCCGTTATCTCTGGTCCCTTTGCAGCTAATAGCCTAATGCAATATGTTCTCTTAACTAGTTCCATTGGTCCTTTCCCCCCCCCCCCCCCCCTCCAGCCGAATCCTTCTTCAAGTTGATGTTCAAACAATGTATTACTGAGCAGCTAATGGTCTAGGGTGACATAGGTACTGGAGCCCGTCCTCGAGGGCTCGATGTGATCGCGTAGTATTACAGCCCGAATATGTGTTACAACTACAGTTCTATAGTTTAGATACACTAGCTTTGGTCATTTATATCACCTAGGTATTAGAGTTATCTCATATGCAAGACTCTTGATAATAGTCCTTATCTTTTTACCAACAATATATTAACGAAACTTTAAAGTAACATTGACATTAAAAAAAAAATCACTTTGTATATGATTATTCGGGAATGATGCGAAAGGGTTTTCATTGAATCGTGCATGAGTAGGTTCTTATATGTCATTTTACATTCGCTACGAGCAGTTTTGGCTTCTGTAATTGATTACGATTTCAAAACCATGAATTAACGATGATATATATGAAAATTCGCCTATCAAAACCAATTACCATTCCTGATTCCAATATACATGAAACGAAATTCTAACCTCATAGTAAAAAGACAAAGCAATCAACCACCAACAAAAAGATTCCAGTAATAAAATTTTCTGTTAATTAAAATGAAAACACAGGGAACTAAACTTCCATCCTTTCCACCACTTACCGTTTCCAATCAAAATTTTAAAGCACATAATAATTATGAGCAAATTAGGAAAATGAAGGAACAAAAAAAAAAAACTTGTGATTTGGGTGGGGTAATAATGTGTTTAGCAAACTGATCCCTACAAGAATTAAATATGATTAATAATTATTTAATCCTCAAAGTCAAAGATAGAAGTGAAGATGGGGATCAGTTATTGAAAGTTTTGGTTTCCCAAAACAGGGTCATCATAATCAATCTCTCCCTACTCCTAACGTTCTTTCTTTTGGCCTAATTACTTAATTAATCGTAATTATTCACACACACATTCTCTCTCTCTTGTTGGCTTAGTAGTAGTAGTTTGTCATTAGTACATCATTAAATCCACCACTTACCAACAGAATATAATATCCTCACAAACCCAAACAAATAAAGTTAAAATAAAAAAAGAAGAAGTTATTACATCTCCAATAACTGATGGTTGATTGAAATCATGTTTACTGTCAAATCTTCAAGTACTTCCTCGAATCGATACCGAGCACTTTCAAATCTTACTCATTTTAGTTATATACTTGCGAACGCAATTCATTTTGCAATTCGATGAACACCGTTGATAATGTCTGTGCCCTAACTTAATTGTCATTCTTCATCGACAGCCAAAATTGTTCGGTTGGATCTAGCTAAAAAGGTAGCAAATGATGGTCCTTGTTGGCGCGACACCAACGAACTTTTTTTAATGGTTGGATAAATTTCTTATAAAAAATTTCTTTAGGATGACGGATCTATACACGTAAAGGTTGAACATGTGGTATATACAGTTGGCTCAACCAGACATTGAGACATGAAACAAGTTAAAAATTATTGCAAGCTTGATCTTCGGTTGCGATCCATAAGAAAATAACAGGAACTATTAGTTATGTCCGCAAAGAAAAAAAACCCAGGTAGCCAATTAAGCAAAATTAAAAGGTCGGGTACCAAAAAGGATTTGAATTTTTTTTTTTAACCCAATAAAAGCCATAGCTAGTTACCCAACTACTATCATCTCCATTTTCTCCTCTGCTCTACTCTCTTGGGCTATAAAAAAAGTCACCTCATCATCTCACCACAACTTCCTCATTTCCCACATTCTCCATTATCCCAAACCCAAAACTTTCCTCCCAAATATTACAGTAAGATTCCAACCAAAGCTATTATCACCATTACTCACCATCATCCTCATCAAATTTGTTACCATATTATCAAAACATACTGAGGCCGGCGTGATCGATTTCACGGGTCGAGAATCGATAAAACTACAAATTCGGATTAGCAAGCAATGGAGGACGACTGCCACACGAGGCTGGGCCTCGGCCTGAGCATCACGGGCCCAAGTAGCCCGGCCGCGAAGCAACCGATTATTAGCAACCACAATTTTTTCCGCGACGACAAGGAGAAATTGTCGAGGAGGAAGAAGAAGAAGAAGACGAAGACGTCAGTGGCGTGTTTGGACCTCTCCTTTAAGCTCTTTCCTGGAGGAGACGACGAAGACGATGAAACCGTGGCTAATGATGATGATGATCACGACGATAACAACGGCGTAGTGGAATTAGCGACGAAATCGTCGTCGTCAATTGATACGGAAGAGCAGTACTACTGCAGCTCCGGAGGAGGGCGTAAAGCGGTGATGGATGGTAAGGAGATGGTGGGCGGCGGCGGGAGAAAGAAGCTACGGCTCAGCAAGGAGCAATCCAGCTTGCTCGAGAACAGATTCAAACTCCAAACCACCCTCAACACGGTACTACTAATCGATCAATTTTTCTCCATCCTCGATTTTCAGTTGCGGATTCAGATATTTTATTTAGAAGTGTTCTTTTATAAAAAACTATTTTAACAAGACTTTTTTTTTCGTACTATGAAAAACAAAATTTATACAAGAAAATATCCAACGAGTACAATCTACAAGAATATTATAACGAACTACTAATAAAATCTAGAGAACAGAAGCGCCGATGATCAGAGTGTATATATGGAGGCTAGAGCTAGCTGTTTGGGGGTTAGTTCACATGAATTTTTTTGACATACTATGAAATGATTTGTAATGTAATGAACAACACGTTAATTTTTTTTCGTAACTGCAATGTTCAACGAATTTGAATTTGTGAGAGAGACTATCAACTATAATATTTTCTTCTTTATTTTTCGCGTCGAACTCAAACTACTATCAGTCAGGGATCGATAACTCGAACTATGACTGCAGGCACAGAAGCAGGCACTAGCAGAGCAGCTGAAACTGACGCCAAGGCAGGTCGAGGTCTGGTTTCAGAACAGAAGGGCCAGGTTTGATACTACTATTGCATTCATTCATTCATTCCTCCCTATACATTTCGTGACGGTACATAAAAATGTGGTCACTAATTCATTGCATGCAGGACGAAACTGAAGCAAACGGAGGTGGACTGTGAGTTTCTGAGGAAATGCTGCGACAGTTTGAGCAACGAGAACAGGAGGCTCAAGGCCGAGCTCCAAGAGCTGCTGCGCTATGGGAGAAACGAACCATCGCCACGTGGCCAGGCCTCGGCGGCGGCGGCGACGGCGATGTGCCGGTCCTGCCAGAAGCGAAACGTTTCGTCCAGCGGAACGGCCAGCAGCAGTGGTGGTCAACCGTATCATAGTGGTGACAATAAACCATGACACAAATAATATAGTAGATTATGGAAAAGCAGTAGTAGTAATAATAATAATATGATATTAATAGGAAGGGTTAATAATTAATTTAACGAAAGGGGAGGTTAATTAACTTTTTGGTGGTCCGCAACAGTAATAAATTTTATGAGAGATCGATGATAATAATTATAAGTTTTTAATGTATATTTTCTGTTGGTCGTAAGGTCTACCATGATTAGATTAATAGAGGGGGTTTATTTTTGGGGGTTAGGGGGACGGTTTGGTAAAATGATACTTATTATAACTTCAAGATTTATTAGTCTCTTAATTACGTAGCTAAGCGGCCGTTCGATGGCTGTACTTCGCACTTCATAATTACGTCGTCAGTTATTATGAAACCCCTATATGGCCATATTGATTTAAAAAAAGGTGGGAATTTAGATGTGTTTATGATTTTTCAATAATAACTAGTTATTGAGATTAAATATTTTTTTTTTGCATGGTATAAGTTTTTTATGATTGAGAGCTCGTTGCTCTAGTGTTTGAATCTTGACGTCCTTCATGTTAAGCACATGATATTTTGAGCTCTGCAAAATTCAAACTCATATATATGAGTTGATTTTGGTTTAAAGAAACATGTTAGTAAACACTAAATAGTATAAGATTCATAATTGAGCTTCTCCCAACAAGTCGAGCAATTGAGATTTGGGACAAAACGATTTTAGACACAACCCACCTGCAGATAACTATAATTGATGAGGGTGGATCGTGGGACTAGGAATGGCAACAGGGCCCGTTCGGGCTTCAGGGTGTGGATAATGGATATCCATTACTCTTATTAATTGGTTTGAGTTTTATCCATAGTCAAATATATACATGATTTGGGTTATAAATCGTGTATATATGTTTTGGGCTTTGGTTATCCATGAATATCCACAGATGATAGTATTTCTTTATTGTCTTAACCAAGGTGTTACAATTTGTGAGTGGGTTCACATTATACATACAACTGAAAATGTTAAAACTATAAGTCGCTAATATTACGAGAAATGTAAAAAAAAAGTATTCATTGGGGGTGTTATATATCTACTACAAATGCTTAATATACTGAGAGAAAATATAAACGTATACGAAAAAAATACAAATATGCATCTATAATTGTCGGTTTTATAGTAAGAAAACCATGTCGCCCATAATCTATAATATTCGTGTTCGGATTCTATCAATACCACTAATATTGATTTTGCTTAGGTTTCACCAGATTTAATCGTGTCGGATTCGAACGATTAACCATGTTGGTGGATACTTCCCAATATAAATAGGTAGATCTATTAACCATACTTTTGAAATATAAAGAATTAACCAACCATTAACTCCCTGCTGTCAAGAACCAGTTACTCCCAATAACTCGAGTTGTTGGGAGAGATTCAATCGTAGATCATATACCACAACACTAACACGCCCCCTCAAACGAAAGCCACTCACAAGGGCTTGAAGTTTGCACAGGTCTGAAGACAAGAATACCATGTGCTTAACAAATGGGGGTCACCGGGAATCGAACACAAGACCTCTCGGTCACAGAAGGCTCTGATACCATGTCAAGAACCAGTTACTCCCAATAACTCGAGTTGTTGGGAGAGGTTCAATCGTAGATCATATACCACAACACTAACACCTGCTAACTGTTATTTTAGTAATGCTAATTTGGCAACATGATGTTGAGTTAAAAGACACGTGACGATTAACGTTTCAAATTTTAAGTATTTTAATTAAGAAAATATGTAGATTAAATACACTTTATTAGCCAAACATTTCAATATTTTCAAAATATTAGCTGAACTTTTTAAAATACAAAATATTAGTAAAAAAACCTGTAATTACGTTACAAAGTTTTACTCATATTTGTTGTCGTCAACAATATTATTAACTTAGCTTTCCATCAGCATCTACGTGGTCTCCATATCAGATATCATTAAAAATATATCATATTTATTTTATTATTAGAAATAAAAAAATAGAAAATAAACCGAATTAACATTTAAATCGAACCATATCAGAACAAACCGATCCGATTTGCAATAATAATCTGATGGACATGGACCGGACCGTTGCACTGCACACCTTGCCAAGTTGCCCCATTACCAACTCTCCGCTCATTTCTCAGCTCGTAGCGCATCCACCTGGAAGCTGGACCAGTTCGTCGTCGGCGATAATTTCTGGCTACAGAAGTTCACACTTCTACTTCATCAATGGCGGCAAGAGTTCGAGCGTCGTCGATATTCGCAGCTACAGCAACTCTGGCAATGATCGCCGCTGCATCCTTCAGCTGGCCGTCAGCCTCTGCCGCTTCTACGGCATCTACTTTCGTCAAGGAGACCATCAAATCCCACCAGATCGTCATCTTCTCCAAATCTTATTGCCCGTAAGTTCAACTCCAAAAAACTGCGCCTCTTCCCCAATTTTACATCTCATTTGTCGTGCTTTTAAGATTCTCTTTCGTTTCCGCGTGAACTTTGTGATAGATATGCAATACCCAGGAACTGATTTTGATGATTACGATATCGCGGATCTGATTCCTGTTCGGGGGGGCTGCTCTGGTTCGAACTCGTTTTCTCCGTCATGTCCTTTGTTGGGCCTTTACATAGTGTATTTTGTGTGATGGCAGGAATGCCTTTCGATGGAGATCTTGCTTCTTTCAATGGTTTAGTTGCTAAAGCTGGTACTGCTTATTGATGTTTGTGGTATGTTGCTTGTTGCTTGCAGATATTGTAGGAGGGCTAAAGCTGTTTTCAAAGAGTTGAACCAGACGCCATATGTGGTTGAGCTTGATGAGAGAGGTGAGTTAACAGATATATCTCAATTACAATCTGTGCTTGATGAATCATAAACAGACATGCTTGTGAAAGATATGTGTAGGAATGCTATAGCTGATTGATTGATCCATTTGATTTGAAACACGATAGTGGGCAAGATAGTGGTGCTAAATTAGACGGGTTAAAGAAAGACGGTAACCCTGCCACAATACAATGCTTGAATAGCAGAGAACCAACAGGCTTTGCAAGGGTAGGAGCTCTGGCTAATGTTTGGCTTCCCACATTGGGAATCTGTGTCTAGTGAGTAGTCGAATTGTAAACAAATTTGCTTTTATCTTGATTCAAATCTGACATTTATAGAATCTTATGATCTTGCCTGTGGAATTTAAAGTAGAATCAGGGTAAAAATCAGTCCTTATGATTTGGTCCTAAAAGTTAAAACAAGTTATGTTCATTAGGCATTTCAAATGGTTATGGCTGATGTATTCACTGCAAAAGCTACATTTTACTGATCTATGGAGCCCTTACCATACTTATATGTCTTATGATATACAGTTGACCTATCATATGTAACATTCAAATTTGTTTTTGTGCTTGTATAACTAGCAATGTTCTATTAAGAATGCTTATACTTGACGAAGTTGATTGGTCAATATTGATTAATAATGGCTTTTTATGTGACCAATAACATCCTATGATTCTAAGATTCGAGTTTATGATCCCAATCGTTTGTAAGACACCGAATTTACATTGAATCTATAGTCTGACACTGACTAACACTTCTAGGAGCAGGATCTAGAGATTGGTCCATATTTTGTTTGAGAAACCTGACTGCATTCACTAGTCTGCCTTGGTCTTCATTCTTCAATAATGATACTCACTATCTTGCCTTGTCCTCCCATTCCTAGACCCAAATGTATATCATAAAACCTATGCCCAGATTTTTCTGGAGGTCCATTACTCTATAATCAATCCCAGCAGATGGCTTCGATAGTTTTCCGTCGATAGCAATTGTCAAAAAATACACCATGACAAGTGTCGTCAGCTCACTGGCAATACTAGTCCCGTGAGAACTCGTTATCAGTAATTATAGAGTACAAAGTAACGTCTCAGTTAATTCTGAGTTCATAGTTTCACATGCTTAAAACAATGTTGGGATAATAATAAACTTTTCTTGTGGACAGATGATGGGCAAGACATCCAGGCTGCATTGGGTCAGCTCGTGGGGAAACGAACTGTACCTCAGGTTTTCATCAACGGAAAGCACATTGGCGGCTCTGATGGTAGTTCCCGATGTTCTTCAACTTCATTACCCTAGTAAATGCTCATGCTGTCTTAAAATTCAGTAGAGACCTGACTTCTATTTTCTCTCTTGCTTTAACAGATACTGTTGAAGCATATGAGAGTGGTGAACTGGCTAAGCTTCTGGGCATTGACGTGGACGAGAAGGAGGAAATGTGAACTAATACTGCATCCGGAGGGGTTATGGGTATCTGAATCCAGCTTGGTACGTGCGAGCAAGGATGTTCCTATCTATGAATAGAGGCTGTTTGTTGCTCGACATCCTGACTAAATAGTTGCAACCAGAAGTGAGTTCTAGTCAGTGTTAGCTATGAGAATTGACTGTAGACTTCGTAATGGAAAAACGAATCAGGTACTGCTTGAAAGTTCGATAGAGGATCTTGAATGACATCCCTTTGACCGTTGTATGAACCTATGCATGATCTGATTCACTTCCGTCAATCATCAAACATTACCTGCAGAAATTCGGACGCTGTTTATCTTTAGTGGATTGGTTATGCTGCTGATGGCCAGGATTATTTCAAGGTTTGGAGTACTGGCTTATGTCCAAGATGGCAAGATCCATTAGTTTGGAAGCTCTGCGTCGATCCTTGGTGATTGGTCAAAGTTGATGGAAGTTCAGATCTGCTACTATTGTGTCTGTGCTTGGTTTGTTTTGTTGTCCAACCGATCTCCAGCCCATTTCGGACCAATTGGTTGAACCGCAATCTGCAGCCTAGCCCGATCTTTTTTTCTCAAAGAAAACGCTTGATTGTGAAAATACTACGATGGAGCTTACAGAATATGCCATATCCATTGCCCACTAAATCTTGTCTTGCTAGTTGCTACTACTAAACTAAGTATAACTTTCAAGCTCAACCAAGATCTACCGACCTACTGCAACAGCCATGTAAATGTAGAACACAACCCAGTAATTGCCGTCTGGATAATTAATCCAACTGCAACTGCAAACCACAACAACGCGGAGGTCGTCTGGGAAAAAGAACCACTCGAAACTATCATCATCAAGGTTAAGAAGAAGTTCTGGATCTCATTACCAAAATACTCTAATTTAGCTGAAAACCGTCAACATTTCTTCTACATTAAACAAAATTTTCATCAGTTCTACTGGGAGTAAATTTCATAGATAGTCTAAACATAAAAAGGATAATATCATATATAGTCTAAACATCAAAAAGATATTATCATAGATAGTCTAAACATAAACGCCAGATGCAAGTAGCAGGAACAAGGATCCAAAACCCTGCAAACAAAGAGATATTAACAGGAGAATCAGCAATTTGACACAAAGGTGACATAATTGTGATTGCAAGCCATGTCAAGATCAAAATAAACCCAAGCAACAGAGGTATTACCAGAAAGAAAGATGCCAGCGCCCCTGTGGTCAGTTCTTTCGGAAGACTGCGGGTTTTTCTCGAGGATGTGGCTTCATAGCTGGATAAAAAGAACAGATTGACAAGAAACATAAGAAACCATGCCCTTCCTAGTACCAAGCTTCACATTCAGTCAACTAGATATGCCGATACAGGTGACAGATGGAAGAGAAATGTGAGTAATTCAATGACACTTCATAACATCCTAATGCGACAAATGGCAGAAAGGAAAATTTCATCAGTGACCAAAAGAGATTGATGAAGCTACCTGGCAGCACATTCAAGTAAACTCATCACCACACAGTTACCCATTTCGAATCCAGCAACATTCAGAGATGACATTTGAGAGCATTTCTAGAGCTACAGAGGGTGCACTGATTGTCTCTCGACTAACAGAGTCAGCGAAATGCCCAGGCATTCCTGTCTATTGCCATTACCCAATCGAGCTGATACTAGTAACACTAAAACCCTAAAGCAAAGGATCCACACTCCACAGTGGCAATTGTCATAAGATCAAATTGGAATTATTCCGCAATCATCCGAATGCCCTAAAATTCTCCCCATGTTCCAATCCGCATAAGGAAACTGGAACTCGCTAAGTCCCAGAAATTCCTCACCACGCAGTTACCCATTTCGAATACAGGAACATTCAGAAATAACATTCGAGAGCATTTCTAGAGCTACAGAGGGTGCACTGATTGTCTCTCGACTAACAGAGTCAAATAAATCCCCAGGCGTTCCTTTAGATCAGCGTTACCCAATCAAGCCAATACTAGTAAGGCTAAAGCCCTAAAGCGAAGGATCCACAGTCGCAATTGTCATACGATCGAATTGGAAATTGTTAGACAATCATCCGGCGGCCCTAAAATTATCTCAATCTCCCAATCCACACAAGGAAAAGCTAAGGGAAACTGGAGATCAGGATCATCGAACTCACATGAAGAAGGAAGCGGTGATGAGAAGGCCGATGGAGAGCATGAAAACTGCTAGGGTTGGGTACCAAGTGATCGGGACTGGGGCGGTGACCGGCTTCGACGCCTGGAAACACACGAGATATTCGATTTATCATACCGCAACTTGAAATGCTTGAGCTCGGATCGGGCCGAGTCAGTGAATCGGGGAATCGGAAATGGAAGAATGGATCAGATCGAGGGAGACTCACCATTGCTGCTGGTGGTGGTGGTGGTGGCGGCAGAGAAGGGAAGCGCGATTCTGCCTCTGGATACGGAGAGTGAAGTCACGCGCTGCGTTGACAGAGTGTCGGAGTTGCAAACTTGCAATATCGTTTCGTTTTTTCAGTTTATATATGTCAGACAGATGGGTTAATTGCAAAATGAGCCACTTAAGTTTTGGTGTTTTTCCATGGTGGCCATGTAAGTTTTTCTCATTACAACTAAATCATTTAAGAATTAAGATCAAGGTTGTCAAACCAGTTTATACCGTTACCCGCTGGCTTAACAAATGCAATGGATCCACCAATGGTACAACCGGTTCATGTCTGTTTAACAAAATATGCAGAAATGTGAAAACCATTAACATTATGAATTTTTTTTTTTTTTTTGAGAAATGCTTCCTGCTTAATTTATTAATGAGAATTGTTTAAACAAAGAGACTCCTCTCTAAGAAGAGAAACCAAAAAAACTGGTGGTCTATCCACCCAACACTCATCCTCCTCCCAATTACATTCAATATGGGCCATACTATGGGCAGACCTGTTGTGGGCTCGTTTTACATGGGCCCACTCAATTCTATCAAAACCCGAACCCAACTCCCTCACCTCCATCACGATCTGGCCTATCTCCAACGACGATGTCGTTTTGCCTTCTATCATCCTCACCACACGCTGGCAATCTGATTGGATGGAAATGGATCGCAGTTGGAGACGACGACCTATTTCCATCCCGAAAAGCACCGCCATGGCCTCCGCCTCCGCCGCTTCCCATTGCCTCCTGGTTCTCCTCACCGCCGCCGCCACAAACCCACCATCTTTCCTTCGAACAATCGCCCCAAACCCTGTTCCTTGATCTGGCAAACACCCTGCATCCACCGAAATCGTAAATTCCACAGACTGGGATAAACGCCACTCTTCATTTCCCCTCTCCGCCGCCTTCTCCTCCTCCTGAAATTCCAGGTATTCACTTAACCATGCCATAGCTCTGGGGATAATTTCCCATTCCTCCAATTTTCGCTTATTCCATACCTGACTGTTTCTTTGATCCCAGATGAACCAAAGAGAAACGAGGAATCTCCCGATTTGTGCGTCCTCTTCCGTCTCCTGCAAACTGCAGAACCATTCCTCACAGGTGAGTTCCTCCCCCCTCTCAAACAGTAGATGCATGTCAGTAGGTCTGGTTACCCTTCTCACCCACGCACAGTCCTGAAAAATGTGCTTTTGTGTTTCCGGCAAATCACAGAAAGGGCACCCTCCTGTTCCTTGTTGCGTTCTATCTAGAATCCTCTTCCCCGTCGGTAGGATATCCCGAATCCATCTCCACGAGAACAGCTTGACCTTAGGGGGTATATTTAGTTTCCACAGCCTCTTCCAGTTGACTGGTGTATACAACTCCCCCACCTCCTCCTCATCCTTGTCCTTCCATAGCCTGTAGGCCGATTTCACAGTGTATTCCCCTGTATTTTCAACACTCCACACCTTCTCATCCACACATGGTTGACGAGGAATAGGGATTTTTAGGATGTGTTTGCGGTCCGATGGGCAGAAGTACGTCTGTAATAGGTTCTGATTCCAGCTTCTGGTTTCCAAATCCACCAATTCTGCTACAGAGGTAGTACTACCCACTCGTGCAACAGGTGATTGAACCTTGAAGCCCTTCCCAGTGGGAATCCACTTGTCCAGCCATATGTCGATGCTATTTCCGTTGCCTACTCTCCATCTAGCTCCCTTCTTGACCAGACCTTTTGCCTCCATCAGCCCCTTCCATACAAAGCTCGAGCCTGCTCCCTTCTCTGCCTCTAGTATATCTCTAGATGGGAAGTACTTAGCTTTCATCACCCTAGCCACCAGAGAATTAGGCTCCTTCATCAGTCTCCAAAGTTGTTTCCCTAGAAGAGCCATATTGAAACATTTTAGGTCTCTAAATCCCAATCCTCCCTGTGATTTGGGTCTACTGATTTCCTCCCATCTTAACCAATGTGTCTTTTTCTCTTCTTGCTGCTGTCCCCACCAGAAGTTGGTGATTAGCCTTTGGATTTCCTTTAGCACCCCTACTGGTATCGAAAAAATTGACATTGCATAGGTCATCTGAGATTGAGCCACAGATTTGATTAACACCTCCTTCCCAGCGATAGACAGTAATTTACTTTTCCAGTGCTTTACCTTACTTCGTACCCTATCCACTAAGTAACCAAACGCAGCCTTCTTCCCCCTTCCCACCTTTGTTGGAAGGCCTAAGTATTTTTCATGATAGGGCACACATTTCATTCCTAGAACAGCTGCCAGTTCTTCTCTTTTGTCCATCTCCACATTTGGACTAAAGGACAATTCCGATTTCATCAAATTAACCTGTTGTCCAGATTCCTGCTCATAGAGGGTCAGAATGCTTTTCAATTGCTCACATTCCTGCTTGGTTGCATTAATGAAGAGGATGCTGTCATCCGCAAACAGGAGATGAGAGATTGTAGGAGCTCCTCCTTTGACTTTCATTCCTGTAATTCTCCTTTCCTCCTCAGCCTTTGTAAGTAATCCAGATAACCCCTCGGCCACCAATAGGAATAGGTATGGAGAGATAGGATCTCCCTGCCTTAAGCCTCTAGTTGGTTTAAACCATTCCGTTTTGTGTCCATTCACTAGGATGCTGTAGGAAACTGTAGACACACATTCCATTACCAGCTTTGTCCATCGATCATTGAACCCTATCTTCCTCATTATTGCCTCCAAAAAACCCCACTCCACCCTATCATAGGCTTTTGTGATGTCTAATTTAGCTGCTAGCAGGCCCCTTTTCCCCTTCTTCTTCTGTTGCATTGAGTGGAAACATTCAAAAGCTACCAGAATGTTATCTGTAATCAGTCTCCCCGGGACAAAAGCACTCTGATTAGGTGTTATAATGTCAGGGAGAATCACCTTTAATCTATTTGCCAGTACTTTTGAAAGAATCTTGTATAACACTCTACACAAGCTGATAGGTCTAAAGTCAGCAGGGGTTGTTGGGGTTTTCTTCTTTGGTATCAAGGTTATTAGGGTTCGATTCAGCTCCTCAGGGAACCTCCCCGACTCTAAGTAGCCTTGTAGATCCTTAGTAACCTCATCACCTACAATGTCCCAGTTCTTTTGAAAGAACAAAGCAGGCAGCCCATCCTCACCAGGTGCCTTCAATGGTCCCATTTGGTTTAGGGCTGTCCAGATTTCCTCCCTCGTAAACGGTTGCATCAGAGTTTCATTCATGTCCTCCGTCACCTTTCTTGGCACCGAATCAATGATTCGATTCCCTTGCATTCTACTCTCGGTCGAAAACAGTCGCCTATAGAAAGATGTCAGGCAAGCAGCTACCCTTTCCTGTCCTTCAAACATTTCCCCATTTCCACCTTTCAATTTCCTTATTGTATTCCTCTTCCTTCTCTCTGAGGCTCTGTGGTGGAAGAACTTCGTATTTTTGTCCCCCTCCTTTAACCATTCAGTTCTGGATCTTTGTTTCCATTTCAATTCTTCGATTGCCAGAATGTCATCTAACTCTTTCTCTAAGGCATCTCTCTGTTGGACTACAGATGCTGTCATATTCATCTTCTCGATGCGTCCCAGGATCCTTTCTATTTTCCTTTTCCTATGTCTTATGCTCCCAAAAGTGGTCTGGCTCCACTTCTTTAAGGTGTACTCGCATTCTTTTATTCTGTCCATCACTGAACCGTTTCTTGCTTTTTTCCATCCCTCGTCAACCACCCTTTTGATCTCCTGGTGGTTTTGCCAATATGCCTCATACCGAAAAGAGGATCCCCACTTTATTTCAGGCTCATTCAACTGAGTTACCAAAAACAGAGGGTTGTGATCTGAACCACATCGATTCAGGTGATAGACTCTTGCTTCTGGATATATGTTCAACCATTCTTCCGTTGCCACCATTCGATCTAGTCTTTCCTCTAAGAAGGTATCATCCTTGTGATTATTATCCCATGTGAATCTTCTTCCATAGAAACCCAGATCCTCTAACCTACATTCTTCCAGGGCCCTATTGAACCCGTCCATCTCCTTCTCTGCTGCTTCAAATTTTCCATTTTTCTCTGAGTAGCATTGGACAAGGTTAAAATCTCCTGTCACAAGCCAGGGTAGGTCCACCAGATCCCTTAGCTGTGTTAGAAGATTCCAAGTGCGATGTTTGTTCCTCTGCTCAGGCCATCCATACAGCCCCGTTAGTCTCCATTCCTTCCCCTCTTCCCTGATTTTCATATCTATATGATTATCTGATGATCCTTTGATCTCAAGGTGAACCTCTGGTTGCCATAGGACCATTAGCCCTCCTGACCTCCCATTCGATCCCACACCAAACCCATTAATCCAGCCTAGTTTTCCCATTGTTTCCTTCCATTCGTGGTGCTTTCTTTTCGTCTCCATTAAGAAGACTATGTGGGGATTTTGTCTTTGAATTAAAGACTTCACCTTCTTAATTGCCGAGGGATTCCCCAACCCTCGACAATTATAACTTAATACATTCATTGGGCTCGGCGGCTCTGTTCCTCGACAGAGTCCGCCTTGTCGCCATCCACCTTTTGTTGAGACCCATTTTGTGTTCCGTCCAGCTCCCCTGTAAAGTTTAACATTTTGGCCTTCTTATGGTTCGCTATTTCATCCACCTCCATTTCCATTTCTCCTTCTTGCAGATCTTTACTCCTCTTCTGTGGAGTAATCTGTATTCCTGCAGGCAGCCTCACTTTCTTCTGTTCTTGTCTACGCCACACATTTGGAGTGGTCCTCTTTGTAGTAAGCTCTACCTCACTTCCCATCGTAAATTTCTTCAAAGCTCCAATTGTCACATTACTTTCCTCCTGCCTCTTTTCCTTTGATTGAGTGCCTTGTTCACTCTTCTTCTCCTTCGCTTTGTTTGCATTGTCATATGGCTCCCTTTTTGTTATGAGGGGTGTCTGTTCCACTTCCATCACTGTTCCTTCCTTCCCCGATGTATTTTTGTTTTTGCTATCCTCTGCTTGCTCTCCTCTCTGTGCGTCGCTGTCAAAATTAGAGCCTGTACTATCTATTTCAAACTTCTTCTTCAACATTTCCCAAATTTCTGCATCTTCTTTCTTTGCCATAGTCGACTTCCAAATTCTAGGCCCAGGGGGTCCAGTTCTCATATCCAACCCAAAAGGGTCTCCCCCTAACCCTGATGGTTTAGGACACTTGAGCTTAGCATGCCCAATCCTGCCACATGAATGACAGAATAGTGGTAGTTTTTCGTACTTGACCACATACTCCACCAGTTCTCCTCCAATATTTAACTTCAGTTTCTTCTTGAGAGGGTTATTAATGGATAGATTAATCCTGATACGGAGATAGTCATCCCACATTGTCCCTGTACTGTTGTCGAACCACACTAGAGTCCCGAATCTTGTTGCAATTTTCTCTGCCATCTTCTGAGTTCTCAGCTCTGCTGGAAAACCCTGAATCTGAACCCACAGGTCTATCATATGCAGGTCTTCAGGCACCGGCTTCTTGATCAAGAAGCTAGAGGCAAGAACCATAATATTATTCTCATAATGCCATGGCCCTCCATAGCATGCCTTGTTCCTATCATCCATATCCAGGAACTGGAACGCAAATAGCTTGTCTCCCAGGTCAGTTATTTGAAAGCTTTTCCTCGTGTTCCATGCTTTTGTTAACGCAATCTTCAGTGATTTTATGTTTGGTTGTTTTTCAGCGACCAATCTACCAAACAGCCCCAGCCGCCTGAATGCTTCCATCCTAACAACGTCAACGTCAGAGTCCTCCACCATCAGTGGTTCCTCATCATCATCCTCGATGTTGAACTTGTCCATCTGATCAAGTAAATCCCCCTCTGAGCCAGGCGGAACTGTATCCACCACAGGGGACGTCAAGGAATCCCCTTTCTCAATACTCTCCTCCATTAAAGCAACACTTGTACGAACGTAGAGACCCTAGCAACCACACTCTGTATCTCTATAGCCTTTTGCCTCGCCAAATCTCACACCTCTCGTATTGGTATTGTGTTTGACAACCTTTGTACTCCCTAAATATAGATATAATCAGACCTCCTAACCAGAACCTTGTCCCTTTCGAGCTCGGAAACCTAATTTTCCTCGGAAACCCTAGGGTTCCGCCGCTATGCTACTTTCGCTAAACGAGAGAAAAAATAGTTTCGGTAGTTGTTATTACCTACACTTCATATTAAAATAAAAAACTACATTCCAAATAAAATAACAAACACTTATATTTAAACGTCAATATCTACAAAATACATGGGTACTTAGGATACAACGTTTAGAATCGGAACGTTACAAAGGAAGCCTTATTTTGAAACTTTCTAATGTACTCTCTCTAGGCTGATTGGAATGAAGGTGATCTTAACTGTAATAAAATAACCCAAAGAGAAACAAAATTCTGTACACTTGCAGTTGCTCTACTTCACAGTTTTACATGGATTGTTACATTACATGTGCACCCCTCAAATCAAATCAAAGGGGTTAAATTACTATTTGGTACCTGGACAATTATAAAAACATTCAAGTTAAATTACCCTCCTCTTTGACTGTGTTTTTACTCAGGGTCAAAACTCACTTGCTGTCATACCCCCCTCCATGCTCCAATTCTGCACTTCTTTTCAAGTCTCCTTGTCAAAGATTTTCTTCAGAACTTATTTCACCATTCATTCCTCTAGCCTCCTCCTAGAAACTGTGCATATTAATCAATATTCACACATAAACAAGGGTTGTCTAGTCCAGAGCTTTTCAATATGAACCTGCCCATTGTTTGAACATGATCCCATGTTCACTCACACTCTCCCCTCTCAATCTTCTCATTCTCTGCCACCACTCTCTTCCCTTCCCACTACTCAATGGGCCGGAACTCGAGTACCTCCTGAACGACGCGGATGTTGGTGCCTGCCTCCCGAATCTTCCTGATGTACCGAACATATCCGACAGCGTTAGCCCTCTCTCGATATCCGGATCAGAGTCGTAGTTGCTCGGCCCTAACCCCAATCTTCGGTCATGGAACATCTCTGGCACCAGCTTCCCTGAGGTGGTCCTCGCCTCGCCACCATCCATTGACAAATCACGGCTGGAGCTTATAGATCCTACTTCTTTCGCCTCATCGCACTCGTTGCACACCAGTTTCAACGCTTGAACAACTTCGCCCATGAATGGGCGATGGGACACTTCCGGCTGCACACACATTGAAGCAATGGCTGCAACTTTGGCCACACTGTCGAAGGGGACATCGTGGCGAAGAGATGGATCTATTATCATTTCCAACCCTTCTTGGCTTGTCAGAAGCGGACGTGCCCATGCTACTAGGTTCTCTTGACCTGGTGGTTGTGACATATCCACTGGTTTTCTCCCGCTTAAAAGCTCAAGAAGGACTACACCGTAGCTGTATACATCGCTCTTCACTAGAAGATGACCGGTCATTGCATACTCAGGGGCCACATACCTGTTTTTGAATGATTACCAAGTATGTTTCTTATCATTATCATGCATCTTTCAACTAGTGTGACCAAGGTTCTAGTAGAGTTGCAACAATGAAAGGCATGAAAGAGGAATTCTTACCCGAAGGTTCCCATCACACGAGTGGATATATGGCTGGTTTCCTCATCCAGGGCAGATCGTGCCAAGCCAAAGTCGGAGACTTTTGGTGTGAAATCACTCTCCAACAAGATGTTGCTGGATTTGAAATCCCTGTGGATGACCCGTGGACTTGAATCCTCATGAAGATAAGCCAGACCTCGAGCTGCACCAAGTGCTATCTTAATCCGGACATCCCAATCCAGAGGTGCAGATTCCTTATCGTCCCCTAATAAGACAACAACAAAGGATACGTGGAGATTAATGTCAAGTAAATCACCTAATTAGTTACTAGCTCAAACCTACTTAAATGGAACTAGCTGTACCATGCAAATGAGATTCCACACTGCCATTAGGCACTAGCTCATAGACCAGACAACGTGCATGCTCTTCTGTGCATATCCCAATCAACTTGACAAGGTTCCTGTGGTGAAGGCGGCTAAGCATCTCGACTTCTGCCAAGAATTCTCGACCACTTTGCTGGTCGTCCCTTTTCAGGACTTTGACTGCTACTTGGGTCCCATCATCAAGAACACCACTATAGACACGTCCGAAGCCACCTTCCCCGAGTGTCCTTGAATCATCAAAGTTATGAGTTGCTCTCTCTATGTCACTTGCACTGAAGGTTTTGGCAGATCCCATATATGGTGCAATACTAGAGCCAAATGACAGTGAATGAGAACTGAGACCACTCCCAAGGGCCGACACAGAAATCCCTGCAATAGTATCACAGCATCTCAGTGTCAACTTCCTGCTTTTGGTATTAACAAGAAGGGAAAGATATTAATTGTCGTGCACGCAAGGCAGCACCTGAGGGTTTTGCAACAGAAGCAGGCAAAGGTGGCGGAGCTGGCGATGGCTCTCTGCCATGATGGCCTCTCTTCCTAGAAATAAAAATCCAAGCAACTGCCGAGCACAAGATGACAACAATAGAAGCTGACAGAGCAATAATAGCAATGACAGCACCATTAAGTCCATCCTTTTGGCGCCTTTTGGATACATCAACTCCTAGGGGCTTTATCGTTCTTGCGTTGTTTCCATTGCCAGAGTATGGCCCATCATCAATGATAGTAATCCCAGAAGATGCTGAAGGAGGAGATTCCGGTAAACCTACATAGTGCACATCATTATTAGATAATGTAGCTAGAGCAATGCTAGAAATTTATTAGACCGAACTCTAAAGCTTCTACCTGGATAGCGCACATAAAGGACTTGGTAGTCACCAAATAAGGAAGTTTGTATTGCCACTTGTTTCAGCCAAAACCTTTGGTAAGTCAAGAAAGCAGTTGTGTTGTCAAACTTTTGTCCAAGTGGAACCAAGTCAATGAGGACTATGGTCTTGTCAGGTTCCTGGCTAGCAGCATTGGCTCCCATAATCCTGACTTGACTTTGTTTCATGAAAACCCCAGTAGCAAGTTCTTTAGCAAATTCAGAAACCAAAGGAAAAAATGTATATAGTGCAACACTAAGTCGCAGTCCGACTTGCATGGGCAACACACATCCACATGGAGATCCGGGAGGAGTGTTTGCATAAGGTTCCATGCAAACAGTCGTTGAACAATCTACACGATACCATCAAATTTTATGTGTTACTACAGCAAGTAGGATGGAAATATCACCAAACAACAACAGCAAAATGACCATATTGTATAACCTTGATTGGGTGGCGGAGGTGGCAATGCATGGATTGGCGGAAACAAGGGCATAGGATTCTTTGATGAAGATCTCGGAGAAATTTTTGGTGAAAGAATCGGTACTATAAAATGTAACGAGAAGCAAAGGTAAGGTATCCCATTGATGACACATGAATTCAAGAGCTTGAAGAGTTTGGATTGACTGCAATAGGGAAAGAGGGTAAACAGTATTACTTGTGGTCCAGTTGGATGCTGTTGTCTTTGATGGTGAGGGGGCAAGTGGAACACCTATAACTGGTTTAGTACCTGTAGTACATGAACCAGATTAACAACTAAACCTGTTCTCGAGATTGAACAGATTAAGTCTTCAGTATTTAGTACCTGTATGGTGAGGTGGAGAAGCATAGTGTGTGGGCCTGCTAGTTGGAAGAGATGAGGGAGGGAGTGCTGGACGGGGAATAGAAAGGAAAGAAGGAGACAGCAGTTGGTAAGTTGGACATAATAAATTCAAGTGGATGATAAACCATAAAACTACCGTCTCACACTCTTTTAAAATATGATAGGTAGAAATCTAGACCTGGCTCTTCTGATGAGTGAGGAGGTATAACATATGATGATTTGGGAGGAGCGATGCTGCTTCCATTTCTTGCATTGTTGTGTTTATGAGAAGAGGTAGAAGATGGAGAAGGAGCTTTATTCGAATGCCGCCTAGCTTTGTGAACAGAAGGAGCCACAGCAGGAAAAGAAGCTGAAAATGCCAATACATTGTTAAGTTACTCTCCCATCTAGTAATAATTTTAAGGGCAGGGTAATTTACTTATTGTCCCTTCACCCTTGTGTGACGGGGTTTGCAGAACCTATACCTTTAGCGGGTGCATGAGTTGTAGGTGGCAACACTGGTAAGGGATTTGGTATTTCAGCCGAGGGTGCAGTAACTGGAGTTCCATCTTTTGTCCAATGAGTCCTTGGAGGAGTAGATGATGGAGACGAGACCTCAGGATCTGCAACAAGACACAAGTATGATATCTACATTTAAAATGCTGCTTCTTTGCCAAATATCTATAGATTTCGCTCAGCCATAACAGCATCTACAGCCAATTATAAGAAATATTTCCAGAATGAAGAAAAATCTAAGTATCTGACATAACGGGAACCTTCCAATCTATTCAACGGAAAAAAAAAAAACCTTCCAATCTTGGAGGAGATTTCATAGGAGCAACTGGAAGATTTCTTGACGAATTATGTGGCAAATCTCCCAAGGGTGACTGAACTGGAATGGGACAAAATAACCTGGAACTGGTCAATTTGGGCAGTTTGAAAAGAGAAGAAAAATTAGTCAAATGGTACTCAAAATGAATAAGGCACACGCCTGGGGAGACAGAGGGGATAATGACTGCTGGTGCGATTGGATGTTGCACTGGTTTCTCCCTTCCCGATATCCTCGGAGGTAATGCAACTGCTGGCCATATATAGGGCAAACAAATTCAAGAGATCAAAATTATTTGTTACCAAACTGAACTTCAGTCTTCAGGTATTGTGATATTCAGCAACATACTGCTTTTCATACCTGGAACTGGTTTTTGGAGAGGAGAACCATTAAATGTTGTGTTTTTCTGAGGAGCACTCCCGGTCGAAGGTTCTGGCACACCTGGGTGGATGGACGGTAGACTTGGCGGTGAATTAGCTGGAGGTGTTGCCACTGGAAACAGATATGGTAAGAATTTCAGAATCACATTCAAACTTTGAAATTACTAGCATTCCACCATGACTAATGTCCAAGAATCTACCAACCTGGCATAGGGGCAGGAGCCTTCTCACCTGGCTCCCGTCTTCCAGGACTGTTTGATGGCGTAGGTGCTACTTGTCCTTCAAAATTCCGAGGTGGAGGAGCTATACTATTATGTGGTGGAGGCACCAAAGAGACACCTCCTCCAGAACTGCTCGGTGGCGAAGGTACAGGTTGTCCTTGAGAAGTCTGGGGAGGAGAAACTATACTATTTGGAGGAGATGCTAAGGTTACATTCCCTCCATTGGAGTTTGACGGCACAGGTGCAACTTCTCCTTGAGATATTTGAGGAGGAGGAGCTATACTATGTGCTGGGGGTCTGCCTAAAACACTTCCTCCGGAAGAGTTAGATGGCATAGGTGCTACTTGTCCTTGAGACATTTGAGGAGGAGGAGCTATACTATGTGTTGGGGGTCTAACTAAAACACTTCCTCCAGAAGAGTTAGACGGCATAGGTGCTATGTGTCCTTCAGAAGAGTTGGGTGGTAGAGGTGCAGCATTCCCTCCAGAAACCTGGGGCGGCGGAGCGATACTTGGTAATGGAGGTTCAAGAGAAACACTTCCTTCATCAGCTTTTGATGGCAAAGGTGCTACATTTCCTTCAAAATTTTCAGGAGAAGGAGCTATTATTGTCTGTGGTATAGGTGTAAATGAAACAGTTGGAGATTCAGAAGGCACATTTCCAGAAACAACTAAAGGTGGAGGAGGAGTTCTATAAGGTGGTGGTGATCCAATTGGACTAGGCTGGTACGATGGTGCCTGCCCCGAAATCGATTCAGGTGGGGTGTCGAATGTCGTAGGCCCTGCAGTTTCGGCACCAGCATTCTCAATTTAATTTATCCCGATATTAGCAAGAGCTAACAATTGTTCACAAGTTTGAGACAATTACCATCTACGTGGGACTCTGAGCTCGGTGGGTTGCTTTCGAATGGCCTAATCTGATGGACTGGACTCTGACCTGCCCCTACCAACTGATTTTCGATTCTCTGAGTTGGTGATATACTGACTCCTGAAGGAGAGGCAAAATAGTCTCAGTTACCCAATTCAAACGAGAATTGCACTAAGAAACTTGACAATCAAGTTATATTCAGATGAGCAATAAGCCACACTTAAGACTGTTAAATGCTGCTATCCAGCAACAATTTGAAGTGGGCAGTAAGTTTCCTAACTCATCTCTGCCCATTTCCAATGAAGGAAGTAAAACAAACAATAAAGCCAAACTACTGGATCTCAAGTCGATATGCCCTCCAATCTAACCCAATGAGAATTTCAAAGTTATTCCTTACAGATTCAATTGCTTCCCAATTGGGTGCCCACAAAATTTCTTCAAATAGCAGTAGCAGCAGAAATATTTGACCAACCCAGATCATTAAAACAGAATATCCCCATAAGGAACCAAAAAGGTAGAAGGAGAAAACAAAAGAAATGGCAACAACCAACCACCACCAAGAGCCTAAGAAAGAAAGAACAGAACTTTCATTTCCAAATTTAGACAAATCAGGCTGAAAAGAATAAGAGGTGACGAGTATGGAATTTCACCTGTAGATCCTTGGATGGTGAAAATCAAGCTGATGGCACAGAGCTTCACCAGCTGCAACAACAACCGACTGGTGACAACAAACCCCATCCCACAAACAGCCACACACAAAATTCCGAAATCTCTATTGGCGGGAGGAGATTAATCAGCTACAAATGCTGTAGGCAAAAGAGAGGCAGAAAGAAGTGTGTCTTTCTGCACAAATACAAAATGAAACAGTGTTTGCTTCAAGATTACTCGAAGCAAGAAATAGTGGAAGACCTGGAAACATCGATAGAAAAGCAAATGGGGGTGTTTAGAGAAGGACCCAGAATTGGTTTGGTGAAAATGGGGCAGGAAAGTGCTTGTCTTTGAAGTTAAAGCTCTCAAATTTGCAGAGCCTTTTCAGATTGGCGGGTGGGAGAAGAAGAGACCGTGGTTTTCCTGACATGGGTTTGTGAGATTAAGAGCAGTAATGAGTATTGGAACTGGGAGCCGGCCCTTAAACCAGCAGACTGAGTCCGTGATTGAGTTTTGAGGGATGGTGATTAATGGAGGAGAAAGAGAGAAGGGAGATTCATGGTGGGGTGGCAAAATAACAGAGAGGACAGAAGAGAGGAGAGGAGAGGGAAAGAAAAGGTGAGATAGTGGTAGTTTGTGGTTTGGACTGTGGGACACCGGGACTTGGGCCACAGTGACAAGACAGCAAGATTTCAACCATATTTCTTTCTTTTATTATTTTATTCTATTTTATCTTATAATACAAAAACTTAAGTGCAAAGGAGAATTTTATTGTATGGATCACAGGACCAGTGTTATTAAAGCCAAGCTGTTCGGCCTGACCGGTAAAACCGTCACTCGGTCACAAAATCGGTTCGAAACAGTTTAAAAGTCGTTCCGTTTTATGTAGCGGTTGACGAGCGGCTGAGGCGATTAATGACTCGAGTCGATCTAGCCGCTCGTCCGGTTTTTGCCATTCAACAGTTAAATTTAATTAGAAAAATTGCAGAAAATTGAAAATTGAAATAAACCTAAAACGTCGGGCTCTCAAACTGAATCCTTATTTTCATTTCACAATTTCGAAGGAAAGAGACGAGCTCTGATTAAGAAATGTCCACTATTATACTGATAACGTTTATTAGATACCGGTTCTCTAACAAATTTTAAACGGTTTAATGCCGGTTAGACCACTAAAGTGCGAGCCATGATATGGATTGATTAATGCCTGTCCCCGTGGACATACATATGCTTCATTGGAGTCAAAAGGAAATTCCACATTCACTTCATCAACCAGTCATTTCTAGCAACAAGTGGTGAAGATTTTCTTATTGGAAGGCTAGACATTTCTAAAGAATTTTCTTATTGAAATTACATATTATTTCTTTATGCATTTGACATGCCGTTTGTCGCATCATTTACAAGATCGAGATACACAAAATCAGTTTCTTTAATCAAGGTGAAAGGAATTAAATATTTTTAAGAATTCATTTGATTCATTAGAAGATGGTTAAATTCACGAGTTTTAAGGAGGTTGAAGATATTAGATATCTAACCTCCCGTTTTCTTGTGAAGTTTGGAGATTTAGTCACGACTCATGAGAGACTTCGTGGGTGCATCTTCATGTATGAGAATTGCCCTACGGTTCGGTCATGTCACTTGAAGGTGTCAAGGTGGTTGTCCTGGATATGGATAGTGAGTAGAGTTCTTACTTAGGGATGGTCGAGATTGTCAATTTAAGAGGATGGAGATGGTTTTCCTTTTGAATTGATAATTGGGCTCCTGGAAAACACTTGACAAATGGATTAGCATCACTGTAAAACAAAAGTCCGATTCAATCAGACTAGTAATCGTTCCAAATCACGGAGAATAAACACCGGCAAGAACAAAGGTAAAACCCAACCGTGCATCACACTATCATGTGAAATCTATCAAAGAACTTGTTTCCAATTGAGACATAAACTCAAGCATCGGTCTCAACTGGTGTCACCGAATCGAATTTATAACTAATCATTCCAAGATCCTGCTCCTTGCTTCTGATGTTACCAACTAATAATAGGAGAGTACTACTAAGTTTTCAAGAAGAGAGGTGTAATAATGAAATTTCACATCACAGTGCAATGACAAATTGTGAGGAATAAGGATGGTTAGATAAGAGATTGAGGAAAGGTTTCTCTCATATCTCTGGGGAAAAGGTTTGGGGAATAGTGGGGAGATTGTGATGTTTAACATGGCCAAGTCAAAGTTTTAAACAATAGAAATGGGGATTGGTGAGTTGAAACTTTTAGCGACCGGTGGTGGTGGACTGGGAATTCCAATTCATCATCCTCTACTACTACGCTCCACATCCCACTCTCCCGGTCTCCACTTTACAAAACCCAAATACGAATTTCCTGTGTTAAACAATTCTAATCCACACATCCATAGCGCGGCTAGGCCTACCACTTTCTTCACTTCTTTTCTTCTTGAGCTTATAAAACTAGTAATAGAGAATTAGAGATAATAGAAGACAAGGGTTTTGAATAAAAATTACAACAATTTCTTAATATCGAACTTGAGTTAGGGTTACCTATGAGCACGAAGGCATAGATCTTCTGGCAGATGTCACTTTCTTATTTGGTGTATCTCAATTTTGATAACTTCGATATTCAGAATCGGATCAAGTTCTTGTTGGTTTTATTAAAAATTATACATGGCGTTGACTAGCGAGCCAACCTCGTTGTTTGTTGTATAACCAGGGCAGAATTGAGACGCGCAGTAGAGAGGCTTCGGTTAGCTTGGGATTTTGGACATCATCTGTTCGGGTTCAATTGGATTCGAAATGTGTAGTTCGGCTACTCCTCCCGCCGAATGGTAATGATCATCTTCATGTAGCAATAATTCAGCACTTTCTCGATCTCCATTCCCGAGACTTGAAAGTTTAAACATATCACATATATCGAGAGAGTAATAAGTGTGCAGACCTCTTGACCAGTCGAGATTAGGATTGTTAATAAGCCGAGCCGAACCCAACTTTGTCTTGTTCAGGTTTGGTTCATTTATAAACGAGCCGAACTCGAGCTCGACTCGTTTATAAACGAGCCGAACTCAAGCTCGGCTCGTTTATGAACGAGCTGAGACGAGCCGAACACGAGTCATCTCATTTATTGAATATTGACTCATCACTAATATCAAAATTTAGGCTCGAGCTCAACTCTAAGATAATTTATGAATTAAATACCCTGATATTTATATGTCATATACGATACATGTGATTAACTGTATACGAAACATATTTGCTCACATACTTAAATTATTAAACATCACAGGAGGTGTGATATACAATTTAATAAATATATGCATCGGTAACAAACCAACTCATAAGATATAGATCGATTTTCTCATAAGCCGTAATCAAGTTGGCTCGCTAGTTACAATGTTGAAACATTTCATACGATCAAGATGAGATAGTTCATGAGTCAAACTCAACAAGCCACCTAATCGAGCTAGTTCACGAGCCGAACAAGGTTGAGCTCAAGCTCGGCTCGTTTATAAACAAATCGAGCTTTTATTGGATCGAACGAGTTTTTATCGAGTTCAAAACCAAGCCGTTCACGAACAGCTTGGTTCATTAACAACCCTAGTCGAGATCATACATTACCGTTGATTTTCATGGACTTTCAGATAGTGACTTCTGGGTCGCGCTAATAACCTATTATATCGTGATTGTATGTTTCTCAAATTGATCACGCTTGATATCCTATTGTGTGCATAGTTCCTATCATACAACAGCATTTCATTTCTACAAGGACCACAAACTACCACCTCCCTACATAACTTTAGCGTAGCCAGCAAACGAATAAGAAAGAAAAAAAAACAAAAACAGGACAAACTGGGATTGGAAACTTATGTATGATTGATTTTTTTTGGCCCATGACGTTGGAGGGAATGCCCTACAGCACATCTCGAATTCAAGCTTTCTCCCTCATTTTCTCTATTCTTATAGTGCTTCTGCAAGTTCACGTGATGATCAGAACGTAGCACCAAAGCTGAACCAGTGCCAGCTTCTTCTGTCAATGATCAGTGTCCGTGAAGGAATAAGGAGATTTGTTTATGTAAGAACACTGGCCGACAAACAAGAGCTAAAACCAAACCTTTCCCTTCCAATAATTCTTTGGTTTTCGATGGCTGGAATAAAATGCATATTCTCTCTTCGACGCAATTTTGATATCTTCGCTTACAGCCAAAATTGTACACCCGACCAAACTACATATATATGTTCGGCTTTGGTGGCACTCACTTTTTCGAGTGCTTACTCTACACCATGCCTAACTATGTCAATAGTCAATTGCGATACGATGAGCGAGAAAAATGCAACAATTTTCACAAGAACTACACTAATAAATTTACTTCGATTTAAAGGACTCAGTGGTTGTAGTTCATAGTTTAGAAATTAGTGTTCATAATTCAAGATTTAGGGCTTAAAATAATGCATAAATTAGTTGTGGTTCTATGTTGTACCATCATAATAAACTAATGCTAGCAATTAAAATTACAGATATTTTAAGACTAGTTTTAGAGTTTGAGCACTTAATTTTGTGAGTGGACCGCAAAAGTCGCTAACCCTAACTTATAACATAACGAATTCAACTAAAATCAATGTCCATTCTAAACCTAAGCCCAACATATATGAACAAATACTTGCTAGCATGCTGATGGGAACAATACATCGATTGACATCATCAAATGACAGGGTTTGTAATCCATCCGACCTAACCTACACAACATGCATCCAACGAGTGAGATTACATGCCATGCCGATGGAATCGATGCATCGATTGACACCATTAAATGACATGGCTAGTAATCCCCCGCGACCCAGAACACAAACATGCATCCAACGAGTGAGATTACAGGCCCGTACTATCCAATATGCTCTTGCACCAGAACCCCTGTCAACAAGCTGGACCGGGTACCAAACACCCAGACCTCCTTAACTTCTCTACCCCAAATATTTAATACATGGACATGCTCGAAGGCGTCAACTTAACTGACTCCACAAATTACAAGTCACTTTCTTTACCTCTTACTTCCCCTTCAATTCGGCAAATCCCCCACCAGCCCATAAAGGGGAAAAAGGGGAATTCCTCAGGCAGCAGCCTAACTTGCCGTTTTCTTCAAGCAGCTGAACAATTTAGAGCCTAAAAAGCCAACGGGACCATCTTCTCCCACCACCCAGAAAAGAGAAAAGAAATTAAAAAGAGAAAGTTCCCTAACTTACTTTGTTTCTCATCCCCATGTGGGAAGACACCTTGTAAATTGGAACCCCTACTTCCCCTCCCATTCCTTCATTTCCCTTAAAAAAGGGCCGAAAAGAGACTTCATTCGACTTTATAAAAAACCCTCACCCGCAAACATTTGGTTGGGATCTAAAGGAAACCTAGATCTCAAGGAACCTTCCAATGAGACAGCAAAATTCCCTTGATTTTCTGGCAGACTACTATTTCAGAGGACATATAATCAAATAGGATCCTTGATGGGCAGGGTTGGCAGGCAGCAACAGATCCGAAACATGACGGTGCTAACAGGAAATAGGATCCTGGATATTGTTTGAAACAGGGTTTGGGGGGGGTGGTAAGTTTGGTCAAACCTGAATAAAATTGGTTAATTGGGGTCTAGCTCTTTGAACCCTTCCTTGAATTTTTCCACAGCGCTTGTTTCCTCTTCCTTGCTGAGGCTGCAGTTCCTCCAATCGGCCCTGTCGGGCATATTTAGCAAGCCAGCTAACACCTGCCAGAAGGTTTTCATCACATGGTAAAATTTTAGTACGGAACAGTGAAGGTTTTCATCAGCCAGGTTGGCCGTACTGTATCTCCATTAGCCTAGTCAAATCGGTTGTCTATTATAGTCCTGTTTCATATGCAACCAGCAACAACCGGCACAAAGACAATGCCAAGTGAATAATAACTTCAACTTGTTGAACTAAATAAGGGCCGAGTAGAGAAAGGTGAAAGGGCTGCATTTCAGGCTCAACGCATTTTGAAAGCATCTGAGTGACTTAGGTCACACTGGAAATAGTTTTGGATGGTTTGAGAAGACAATTTCTTACCTCGCGTCCAAACTGTGCTGGGAATTTCTCATTCTCGTCAACTGAAAGAGTTAGTATCGTGCCATCAGGGACCTCAGCATAGAAGAAATTACTATTCTCATCAAACTGTGTCCTCAACCACTTTCTTCTGTCTAAAATGTTGTCGACTGCGAGAGAAAAGCAACAGGGTGAATAACAATGAAAGATTGCCCATTGAAAGATTAACACATACATATTCACCATTGGGCAGTTGGAAGTGCATCCAATGAATTTAGATAACAAATAGACAAGCTTATCAAAATTCACAAGGAACTGAAGATATGCGAAAATAAAATACATCTAATCTAAATGGTCAGGAGAAGGAAGGAATGGCAGAAAATAATGATAGTGTCTGTTTTTTTTAACGTGTCAATGTTAGCAGCATTAGTAATGTAGATACTCCGACTTACATTTCTTGGAAACTAATTTAAACCCCATTCTTTTAGCAGCCATGTTAAAAATATCAGGAACAGCAGCTGCCCTTGATGATGGAACAGGAACAACCTGTTCAGTGAAACAGATAAAGAGCAAAAGAAAACGACAGAGAACGTTGATTTCAGAAAACGCCTCAATAAAAAAGGAGGATCTAATAAGCATCTCGAAGTATTAATGAACTCAAATGTTACCTGAAGATTGGCATGGGAAACCCGCTTAGAAACCCATTCAAACAGAACAGCTTCCTTTTGCCGATTCTGGAAGTATAGTTGGAGACTGTCACGGAGTCTAACCAGTTCAGACTCAAATTCTTGAGAAAGAGTGAAGGTGTTGGGCAAATGCTCGATTGGTATTACTAGTACATGATCCTCCACGAGTGGGCCTTTAGCAAGTGCACAATAGTAGTTTTCTCCGACACTAATGATTAAATGGGACTCCACATTCGGGCTTGACAAACAAAACCAACATTCTTTTGACCTGTAACATTGAACAAATTTTGGTCATAAGCAACAAATGCAAGCGGCGACCAATTAAGAAATAAGAAAAAATGACACATCTGTAACTACAGGAACAACATAGAGGCAAGGAGCTTCAGCAGTCAGTGTCGTCCACAAAAAATATTCACATACTGACCTGTTAGCAGTCATACTTCCGGAACCAACTCTTCTTCGAGGAGGGTTCTCAGCTTCATTCTGCAACTCATGCTTAAAGCTGCACTCTGGGCCCTTCTCACATTTTCCCTTGAGAAGGAGATCAAGACAAACTCCCCTGCGAAATTGTTCTCTTGAATCCATATCATGCTGAAAGTTGCATTGTTCACCTCTTGGACAAGAACCAGTGTATATGAATTTAAAACATAATCCATCCCCATCTCCAGATTTCTGCCTCTTTTTAGAAACATCATATCGCCAATACTGTGAATCAGACATGCTATCACCAGGCCGCTTGGTGACTTCTTTAAGTCGACCTGTTTGCTCTTCAAACGTATATGGTGATAAGGTAGCATTTGAAGGCTTCACGCTGATTTCAGAGGCCGACATAGTACATGCAGGAGTAGGAGAAATTGCATGGATGAATTTCTGGAAGCCAATCACAGAAAACAAAAAATCAGAAAATTTTGGGAATCAAATATATATTGTCAGCAAATAATTTAACTGCATCATCATCTGGATCAGCATATTGACATCTTGTTAAGTTTTTGTGTTGTAACAGATGGAACTGTAAACTAAAGAGCACTTGTCGTTGTTATCTTTACAATGATTCTTGTTGAAGCCTCATTTCACAACAGTTTCATTAAATAGAGTGAACTTAATGAGAACCTGAGTAACTGTGTTGCAAGGGTACGTAAGAATAAAAGCGCTTCCAGCTAACCTGTTTCTTAGGATTTCCAACTGAAGCAAGGCCCAAAAAACGAGTGACATGCACAGAATCGGTGTTGGAATAAGGTTCCCGGGCATAAAATATATCTTTAGTACCTGCAATATGATACCTGACAGGCTGCAGAAACTCAGTAAGAGAAGAAACCTCTTGAGTTCAAGAACAGAAGACTGAAATGTTTGTGGCTAGCCAAGGAACAAAAGCAGTCAGAACTCAGCAGAAAGAAGAAATCCACTATCAACTGTGCTTTTAGTCTTTGTTATTCTCACTTTCAGCCATAAAGTCACAGAAACAAACAATCATCCAGCAGGTTTTGTGGAACCCGCCTGGGCTGGAATACCTATTCATAAATTAGGTCATGGCGAGTCCGATATGAACTATAATGGAACCTTTAGTAGCACTACTATCAGAGAAGAATCATTAAAGAATGACATGAGTTTGCTGGATCGGTCCATCTACTACATGACAATTCATTCTCCTAGACAGCCAGGAACAGTAGAAGAGAAATTTCGTTTCCTACCTAAAACCTAATCATCGAAACAAACTAAGCAAACATGCCAAAGGATCACATATTGCCTAACACAGCAAAGTATAGGTCACGCCTAAGCTCCAATGTAAAGCTTCGGTTTCTGCTCAGTGAAATGATCACTTTAGGGCAAGACCTCTTAAAAGTAACCCATTTCAAGGCATCTCACTCCATCTTTAAGAGTGTACGAGCTGTTCCCTAACAGGACATGTGACACAAAAGAAAGTCATTCATACATATTGGTGAAGTGCCACAGCATGTAAACAATAAACATATGTAACCAACTTACCGTGGTTTGATCTCGGCTACCAACTCTGATATAGCAGGATCACACCCTGATGAATCTGATGCTTCGGCAGGAACATCTGCCAAAGATGCTCTAGTTGTGACCCCACTTGGCCATTCATTAGTGAGAACTCGTCAAGGAAGTTTGCATATTCCAGAAAAAACATATGAAGCTACAAGAATGTAACATATACTATAGGAAGAAAATGAAAACACGATGCTTATCAAGAGCATAGAGGATATGTTAAGAACAGATCAACCACTCCAGATTCCTCAGCCAATGCTCTCAAAGCATCAACATCATCTTGACTGTATGTACCAAATTGTTGACCCTCCGATGAGCTTCTACCAGACAAGTAAACAATGGACAAACCTAATAGCACAAAAGTAATCAGTGGAAACAGCAGATAGCCTTCCAATACAGAACAGCAGAGAATTCACTGCAGTTCAAGTTTCATTGCAGTTAATGTGACAGTTGAATCTCAGGGATTTCATTGCAGTTCAAGTTTCTTCCAGCAACGATTTAGGCTAAATAATAAGCACAGACAGGCAATTAAGGGAGGAAAACAAGTGATCATATTATCAGGCACCGTACCCTGGAAGGAGAACTTGCCGCTGCCCCTAAGCCAGTGAAGGTTCTCGCATATGGTGAGACCGTCCATTTTGAACCCTAAGTTGGCAGAGTTCTTGGATGCAGTGGAAAGGACTTTAGGAGCGGCAACACCATAGTCGCCGATGAAGTAAGTAGGAAGGGGGACAGAAGAGCGGCCTTCGACGTAGTTCATGAACTCCTCAAGCCTCTCCGGCGAGTCGGGGAAGAACTGGCCGACGCAGAAGAGTGCGTCGAAGGGACCAGCAGACTTGTTCACCTGTGAAATGTCGTCATCAAAATATAGTTCAAGAATCGGGATGATGGGAATTAGCTAAACTTCGAGAGAGAACGGAAGGTACGAGAGGGAGAAGAACAGAGACCGATTGGACGCGCTTGAAGAGCTGGTTGAGGCGGCCAAAGACATCGCCGGCGAGGAGGATTCGGGGAGCTGCCATGGGGACGGTTGAAAGAAAGGAGGGAGCAACTGTGACTACGAGTAGGATGGTGAGGAAGAAATTGAAATTCGAGTTAGGCCCATATTTGAGCTTTTTCAGTCCATCTACTTACTATGTGGGCTTGGGCCTTCAGCATCAGTGCATACAGTAATATCCTGTAATACTGCTTTACTATCAACAAATGGTCAATACTATGGTGCCGCTATCAAAAGTGCGGCACCGGTAACGCTGCATTTAATTGGTCTTCGTGGCAACGATAACGTCACGTGGCAGTAGTGGTTGATTCCCAACCCAAAACCGTGACCATTAACCGAACCCGATTTTCCTTTTCTATCTCTCGTTGTCGTGGCTTCTTCTTTTGCCATAAATACTTTTTCTTAGTTCCTTTCCAATTCTTTTAATTAAATTAGTGATTTTTTTTCATAAAAAAGCGACTCAATCCCGGTTACAATTTGGTTGTCTTCTTCGCACTCCACCTACATCGGACTATTACAGCAGCAAAACGTCCGACAAATTTCTCTGCCGCCGATCCATCTCCTATACAACCTGTTTGATTAACCTCCTTTTAGTTCCATTAACGTCTTCCTCTTAGAATCATACCTCTCGCTACTCGTTTTTCTGCTTCTTTCTCTGGTTTTGCTCTCAATCGACCTCATGGGAAAGCCTGAATCACACTTAAATAGTAAATCAATTGTGTCTGTTTCTTTTTCCTGTTTGGATGAGATCGAACGAAGTTGGATTTATCTTCTCCCTTCCCCTTCCATGTGATGCCATTGCGCTTGCATCTATCGCTAGCAAGTGAGATTTGGGTTTACATCTTATCCCCTTCCTCTGATCTACCTTTGTAGCCGTCGGGCGTCAATTGAGAAATCCTAGATTTAAACCCAAAGAAAAATTGCAGGCTGTGCTGAGGGAGTAATACTGATTTGCCTGATTAAGTTGAAAGCCGAAGAAGAACTGGTTAGGGACCGTTGAGGGGGGCTCGCCTGCATTTTCCCCCATTGATAGTCCCAACGGAGAGGAGAGGAAGAAGACGAGGTTGTTTGGATATTTGCGTCCTTTTTTAATTTTCTGAATAAAAACAAAATAATTAATCACTCAAAAGAAATTTAAAGAGATAAATACAAAAAATGATTCCGTAAAAGAGAAAAGGAATTCACAATAAAAATAAATGGGATGCAAGTAGTTTCCTTTCTTCCTGGGTTGACTGTGCGGTTGATGAGGAATGGGTTTTGGGTTGGATTTTAAGAAAATAATCAAGCAACATGGATTGTCACGTGGACCAATTAAATAGAGTGGCACCGGTGCCACACTTTTAATCGCGACACTATAATATTGGCCTCAACAAATTCTCTAGATTCTCTCAACCGCACCAGCTTCGCTTCTTCTTCTATCTTTGCTCTCTTTTCAAAAATCTTTCCATAAGAGCACAAACTTTTATGCAATCAAGGGATTAAAGAACAAGAAAACTATTGTTGACAAAAAAAAAAACAAATTTTTGCGCCATGAAAGAGTGAAAGGCCAGCTCCATACTAAATTTCAATGGTGCAACTAAGGCTTGGATGTTGTGTTGGTTTTATTGGGTTTTCAAAGAATAAGTTGATTTAATTTGTTTTTTTTTTTAAAACTTCTATGATACTGTGCATAATCCTTTTCCGTTGAGCTCCTAGACTTCCAAGATTCTCTTTGTTGGTGATTATCTCATTCTTACATTGATGTTCTATGTTGTGATGATGCACATGTCATCATTTAGATGGTCAATGCGAAAGACTCGTCTCACGCTCTAGGTGGCACTATCTTAATTTTTAACTGAGGTTCGGGTGTTAAGGTCCTCTGTCCAGCGTGTCTTCTTCCAATTCGCGCTACATATGTAAAATAGGGTTGGCCATATCGTGACTAAACAAGCCCTTCTATCGTTTGATCAACTTTTGGTTGACTAGCTTCCTTTTCTGTTTTTAATTTGTGATATGGCCTGCAAATGCCTCGTATGTTTACGTATGGAGCTATTTCGTCTTTTGGTAGACCTTTGGAAAACCTACCCAGGTTATCCATTATCACTACTATTATTAATCCTCCATTAATATATGGTAGAGTTTTGTGTACTTTTATCCATTTCAAATTTCCTGCAACGAGAGTGAAAGTAGGAAGGTCATTTTTGTCTTTACACATTTATTATTTATTTCATTTAAAAATAGCAATATAAAGATTTGAACCCGGGTCTGTTCAAACAAAGATAACAATTACAACCAGTTACACTAAACAAATTTATTGCATCCTTCTTGATACAAAACATAGACAAAGTTAATCTCTGAAAATCAGAGGACTTTTTCATCATAATTAGCAAGCTCACTAAGTCTGCCGTATGTATTTTCATCGAGCTTGATACTTCTATTTTCATAGTAGAGTTTCGTGTAATTTTCTCAATTTTAAATTCCCGCTCTCTCCTTAATTTTTGCTAAAGGTAAATGGGTAATTAGCTAACATGGAAGAAACTAATTATGTAACTACGTGTTGTATCCTTGCATTTTTCAATTTAAATTTAAATTTTGTGATTTTTTATCTTTGTTCTTTTCTCTTTCTAACTTCCTCCGAAATTTCATCCTTCGTGCAATAGTTTGCGCCTTTCACTTCCCAGTACAAGACTGTCATTGAAAATCAATCTTCAGGTATCTCTTGGCACTACGGTTTTATTGTTGGGGATTTTAAACTGGGCGAGTAGAAGATTTCAACTCTGATATCAATCCATGGCGAATAGAATGGAGTTCATCAATAACTGGAGTTGTAGAAGGAGGATTAGAAATTGAATTTTTGGTTGAATATATGCCTCTTGAGATAGAAATTTGGTTGTACAACGGAGAGTGGTGGCAATTGGGTCTTTAGGTTTATGGTTTTTGCAACTGTCACAACCTATTTCTATCTTAAAACAAGTAATCATTGATTGTTTGTTTGAAATAGGTCGCTTCTTTATTCAACCTACTGGAACTAATAGATAAGGAGTGTCTAATTTTGCGCCTTATTACTTTGATCGAGTCTATTCGTATATTGGAGATAACCCTGATTTTTTCTTTTGCTCTCAAGTTGTGATGGTCCCCTCTTAGCTGAGTTTTTAGTATATAGATGACTTGAATCAACAACTCTCCATTTCTTTTTGATTAGTGACATATTGTTTCTAAAAGGAGAGCATTGAACCCTTTATATAGGATTGTGATGTTTAAGTTTTAGTTTCAAACTATCTATGGGTCGTGTGAGAATTTCAGTAAGCTTTTATACTCTATATTTCTTGACTGTAAAAAAAAAAAAAAAACTAACCATTAGCATTTTAACATGGACTTAATTAGCATTATGAAAATGGGGTTAATGATACATTTTTATATTTTATATTCTTAAATGATTATGATATTTCTCCGAATATTCGACCTATATATTATTTCTTTATGTATCATCTCGATCGAATGATTATCAATAAGATTAAACGAGTTAATAGACTTAAAAGTAACATAAAAATACAAATAATCAAATATGAGCATTCCGGCCCTTTGGCCGGGTTATAAGCTAGTATTAGGATAATAACTATTCGATTTAGTAGTAATTGAGTAGTATTAGATTATTTATCAAAAAAATTCCAATATTTCCCTACACGTATGTACTTTGTGTATTATGCCAAAATCACGGGTAATTAGCATAAATGGTAACAAACCTTTGCACTTAGTACAAAACGGTCACAAACCTTTAATTTGTAACAATACGGTAACAAAGCTTTGAAATTGTATGAAACGGTCACCGCTATTTAATTTGTGACCGTTTTGTTTTAAGTGCAAAGGTTTGTTACCGAATCGTTACAAATTAAATGTTTGTCATGTTTTGAGGTCGGGTAGTTTGTTCGTTAAGTATATGACACTAACCACTTGAACGACATATAAGGTCATGTATTCATCGACATATTTGCTTTGCCGAATAAGAATGCCCTCAGTTGACCTTTGAATTTCGATACCAAGAAAGTAAGAAAGTAGACAGAGTTTTTTCAACTAAAAAGCAATCTGGAACTTTGTGAGCCATTGAATTCTTTCATTGTCATCCTTTATGACGATCATATCATTCACATACATTAACAAAACCACCATACAACTAGAGCGAATTGTAACGGTGATTGATCGTTCAAACTTTTGAACTTAATTTGTACAAACGGTCACCAAAAGTTTAATTTGCAACGACATGGTAACAAAAGTTTGAACTGGTATGAAATGGTCACACTGTTTAATTTGTGACCGTTTTGTTCTAAATAAAATGTTTTGTTATCAAATGGTTACAAATTAAAGGTTTGTGACTGTTTTGTACTAAGTGCAAAGATTTGTGACCATTTATGCTAATTACCCCAAAATCACCCTACAACCCTAATTTCTTTTTTCTCAATTTTCTCTCGTCCTTCACTTTTCGATGGCCTAGGACGAGTTTTCCCCCTCTCATTCTTCTCCTCTAAGCTACACCCAAATTCCTAATTCTATCCTCAATTCTCTATAGATTACTAACCATCGATCAATCCCCAATTATCAAACCTGACCCAAAAACACCATAGATCCGAGTTTCTATAAAAAACATTATTGGCAATGGCTAGGGATGGCAATGAGAGCGAGTTTAACTAAACCACCCCCATTTCCAAATACTCAAACGCATACCCATGTGAGGGAAGATTTAGCATCCTCGTCCCTATACTTGTAGTTTTCAGGTACCCGTGGTGTTTGAGCCTAGAATGTTCTAGGCGGTTTGATGAAGAACGAGCGAAGCGTCTGTTTCAGATGGTGGGTGTACTCATGATCCCTGCAAAACAAGGGTCTGTGGGCGGTTACCCAGGACACTCTCCGATGCTTAAGTTAGAGAGAGAAGAGAGAATTTAAGTTTGTGTTTAGAGAGAGAGGTAGTAGTTGAGTTACCAACAATGCAGGTATGAATGTATTTATAGTCAGTTAGGTTGGGTTTGGGGCATTAAATGTTATGTTAGGTGACCTAGACACGTTCCTTCTTTATCTAGACCGCCTGCGGCAGGCAATTAATGCTTATTCCTGTGATCTTCGAGGCAAATATCCTAGGAAGATCTCCATTTCCTGTCACCAACGGTACTTTGTGTCAGGCGGCCTATCCCCTGTCTTGTCCTAGGCTAGCCGCCCGCCATTCTCTTTTCCCTATGAATGCTCCTTCCTTGGGTCCTCCGCTCGGCCTTGCCTGATTTACTTCTATTGGGCCTAAAGCCCAACACCGCTCAACTATGGGCCAAACACGTGGGTAATACATACCCCGTCCTACATTATTATATCTAAAATTCAACTTGTAGATTTTTTAACTATACTACTCTATGAACCTAATAAATCATGAAATCAATAAAGAAACAACCATTTTAATAGGAATTCAACGCATTAAATCCAAAATCATCCATTAATTCATAAGCAAAGTACAATATCATAAAAAAACATTTATTTACGACTCTGACACATTTAATAAACAATAACTAACCAAAATAATCTTGTTAAACGTGAGAAAGAAGTGAAGGAGTGAAAAGAGAATTGAGGAAAAGAAATTAAGTTTTGATTTGGGTGACCAATCAAACTTTTTTTTAATTACCCCTCTTTTTATTGTAATGTTACAATTTTATCTCGCTATTTTTTATACGAGAAGAAATACTCTTGATGGGCGGGTATGTGGGTGGGTGGGGATTTTAAGACCATACTCGCTCCATCCCCATCAAATATCTTGTGGATTTTACTCAGTATCCACCTCATACCCAATCAATTCGAGATTTCCTCGTTGATTAGGTTGGAGGCGATTAAGTACCTGCGATTGCAGGTTTGATTGTCATCCCTAGCAAAACTGCTCACTGGTCACAGAAATGTGTAGGTTATATTTGGACAAGAATGACATTGTTTGCACAAGAGACCAAGGCCAATCGTTATTATTGCAGCATCAGAAGCAGGCACGCCCGTAGTACAGCAGCAGCAGTACTAACTATACATACTACAAACTACGACACGCACAATCTTATTTACAAGGAAAATGTCGACCTTGATTCTGCATCTAGACTTGGCTGGCTTGCTTTCAGCTGCAACTGGTGAGGTCGGGCTTCAAGATGAGAATGACGGAAGAGTAACTGAGCATTGGGTATAAATTGCCATCCAGGAAGTGTGCAAGCTGCTGAATGGCCACCTCTCTCCCAGGCAGATCCTCGGCAAGGAAGTCAAACGGTGCAGCTTTCCCCGTGTCGACCAATGGCTCCCATCTGTATCCTGGACGTTCAGGGAGTGAGATGGTTACCGGCAGGTGACTAGCATTGAACCCGATGTAGATCTCTCCCTTCACCGCGTCAACCTGGATGAGATTCGTGCTCAGTCTCTTACATGATGAGACGCCAAATTATATTCATCATGACTTTTAAAGAATGATATGCATAGTTGCAGTAACGTAGATAGCAAGTACCAGGGAAAAGCCAACGAATCGGCTTGTTTCTGACCAGTCAGGCACCCCAACAGCATGACCATGCCATTGTAGCCGCTCAGCAGTTGGGAAGTCATTCAAGCCTAAAGATTCGCATTCCCTATAGCACCAGAATGAAAAAAAGCCAGAGCAGCAAATCTGAGTAGGGGAATTGCATATCCAGAAGGTGCATCTGGGGAGAAGAAAATGTATATACACATACAGTAGTAGTACTAACCGGCGGAAATTGGTCATGAGGCGACAAAACCTGAAGAAGTCTGACGATGCCTCGTCCTTCTTGTCCCAGCGAAAATAGTTTATCTGCATTAGGCATCAAACAGTTATGAGCAAGAATCATCAGGAAGTTTTGGCTTGCTTTTTGAGATGATAAAGAACCCAAGAAAGGGTGTAGGGAGGGAGAGAGAGAGAGAAAGAGAGGTACATAGTTGTCGTGACAGTATGTGTTGTTATTCCCTCCCTTTGTGTGACCATATTCATCACCCATGTATATCATGGGAACACCCTGGACACAGGAAAGATCAAGAAGTGAGAAATGAATGCCACTCATAAACAAGTCAGGCCATGGTCTAAATCCTCGACTGGTTCATTGACTCGCCTGTCTTCGATGAATGCTATATTTGTTGTGCCTGATTTACTGGCTTTCTAAATATTTCAAAACAAAAAACTACCTAAAAAAGGAACCAGTCAAGCATCCAACGTAAGAATAAAGCTGAGCCCGAATGCTTCAATCTGTTAATAGAAGCTAGCCCCAGAAAGTACAGGTATGAAGGATTGCTGCATCGGTACAATTTTCTATGCTCGAAAATGATCCACAGTGCCATACTTCCAGCCTCCTTGTTTCTTGTTGGACAAACTTGCAACACCATTTGGCAATGGAATTCAGCCTGACGGCTATGCATATCAAATTTTCAACCTTATTTTGACGACGGAATATAGGAAAAAGACATAAAACGTCATTTTCTATTCAATCAATGATTTTTTCATTCCTAATCTAGAACTACTTGTTTCCTTTTTCCATAATACTTCCCAACTCAGTATTTACTTTTACAGGTAAATATGAAATACAGTTTAACAGGTATTCAACAATGTGAGCTAAACAAGTCATATAGTTCTGAAAGGCATATTCACAATCTAAAGAATATTATAAGGGATTTCTCAAAAAAGGGATCACAGATTTGAAATTCTCCAAACGTGAAGGGTCCACGTCAGCACAGTGTAATAGCCAATCAAATTATTTTCAAAAAAAAAAAAAAAAAAAATCAATCAAATTTTTTTTCTTTTGCAATTTCACGTTTCTTCCTTTTTAGATATAAGTTATATTAGTTACCATCTAAAACATTGCTACCATATATTATATTTTAACTATATATAAATTTGTCACCGTGTTTATAATACAAAAAAATAGAGTTATATTTTATATGCACTAGCAAGTTGTAGTGTATAATTTGAGTATATTGGGTAAGGTTCGGTCCAAATATTTCAAACATTAATTGCACGTTAGTCTAAATTTTGGAAATTATGGAATGACATATATTGTTTAGATATTTATTTTGAGTGTTTCATGCATCTAGATTTCACGAATTGCGATTTGAATTTATTTTTTAAAACTTTATTTCCACCTGATTCAAGATTGGATAAACAAGTCATTGTGAGTGTGATGATAAACAATTGAGATATTATAACATGATCATGTTATACATTTAGTCAATAGTTAATATATCTCAATTAAAAGTTAAATATTTTCACTTATAAATTAACTTATATCGTATCAATATCGTGGTTGTTCCCCGAGGAACTAAATTAACTTTGTATATACGAGTCAAATTTTCAAACCATACATTCAAGTCATACACAAAGAATAACAAATATTTGTTGAATAATAATTCAAGTATGACAACAAATTATTTAATATAAATTTAGTGTATGCATGTAATTAATGAGAGTTTCAAGAATATGAATAAAATTTCTCAAAATTAATTTAATATCAAATAAAACTCACCCGGCCAATGGCCGGGATCAAAGCTTAGTAATATATGGGACATTACCTGAGAAACCATGAGACAGAGAAAGAAATTCCGCATTTGTCTTTTCCTTAATTTCTTCACAAAAATGCTCGCGAACTCTCCCTCCTGCATCAATAAAAAGTAGTGAGCTCGTGTAGAAAGCGACAAAAGTAGTTGCTAGATCGATGTTATTTCCTCTTGACTTTCCTAGATTGATTATTTAGATATAATAGAAAAAGCAGGACTAGCAAGCTTGCGAGCAGGAACTAAACTAACTGAAAGTCATATTTCCTTGGCAGTGTCCGTTAATAGCTGTCATGTCCAAGCTAGTACGCAGAAAACACAAATCACAGCTAGGAAGTTTGAAGACCATTCATACTTATAAAGAGAACAACCTATCAGCTAGTACATACATGAAAAATTATCACCAGTCCAGATATCCATTAATTTGGATCATCATGTACACTAATAACATATGACATTTCCATAATTATTTCACTAGAACCAATGATAAATCATCCATATATATCATGCTGCCATATCTAGCATGTTTGGCTACTGATCCAATACTGGAAAACCCTACTTTTGAAAAAACATCATTAAAAAAAAAAAAAAAAAAAACCTTGAGTGATTGAGTGGGTATACCTGTCCACAGTTCCAACTATTATTATGGTTTTCTCCATCATTGTTGTTTTCCCCATTGGCCAAGTTATGTTTGTTGGTGTAGGTAACTAAATCCGCTAACGAAAAACCATCATGGGCGCACACAAAGTTGATGCTATTCCAAGGTTTCCTGCCTCCTGCCTGATGAATTATTCATTGGAAAGCACAATTAGAAAACCTTTGGAGACCATGCTTCAAGACTAAGCCATGTAACACAAAACTAATCAGGTGCACACGCATTTAGGCATGATGTTGGTCCTGATTTCAGCAATGCAAAAAGAGCTTATCAAAGACAGAACCGGCTAAAAAGTACATGACCAGATTTTCAATTGTTTTGGAGTTGGCTATACCCAATATATCATAAACTAGCTCTTTGTGCTTCTAGAGAAGCAATGCCCCAGTACCAACTGACAATGACATAAGACATTGCTGAAAAGTCGGGCATTTATAGCTTCATTATTGATTTACCCTCCTTGTCCTTGAAGACTACCTTTGGCCTCTAAGCAATAAATTTCACAAGGGTAGCATAGATACAACATTAGAATTTTTTTTTGTACAAGTTACAACATTAGAATCTTTGAAATAATCTCCTTGGTCTGTTTGTTTATCAAACGGGATGGGAATGATGTAAGAGATAAGAACATTTAACACTACATATGAAGGACTCTGCAACTAACAGAAGACCTAACCAGGAAAACGAAGTGGAAAGAAATAGATAACAAACCTGGTATAAGTTGGGGCTCCCACAAAGACATTCAGCAAATGCCCCAGAAAAGCCATCTGTACCCTTAATGAACTGCCTGACAACATCACGATACTGCAATTGAACATAAGAAAATCATGGACGACAGGCCTGTGTTTATTCGAAAGATTCTTTACCGGAAATAATAAAATGACATGCACAATAGGTGAAAATTCAGTTCTCCGACTGGAGAAGGAACTTGCAGGCAAAGCAATTCCCATGAATACTAGAGAAGAAAGATCGATTGCAGAACCCCTCAAAAAACCAAAAGCAATATGCCAACTTTTCATCAAATAAATTCCATGGTAAAGCATTGTTTTAAGTAAGAAAATTTTATATCATGGAAAGCGCTTGGGATGGGAACTACAAAAGTCAAATGATGGATGAAGTGCTGCAGAAAAGGTCCGAAAGCTGTGTACAGAGTGGCTTATTCTTGTTAAAGCAAATGTAGAATATTAGAGGATCATTGAAGCTTGCTATTTCAAAATATATACATTTCAAACAATATAATGTAATTCGAACAAATGTTTTAGTAAATTGCATGAATTTAAAATGTTTTCATGTACAAGAACAAATAAATAATGTGTTTGGAAACTCAGCCTTTCTCTAAGATTTCAAATACTTGATTTGCATTCATCTTTTATTCATCATTTTTTCTGTAGTTATCTTTTATTCATCATTGGCCCTCACACCATCATTCATTTTTTCCCTTCATTTGACGTATCACCCCTCAAAGCTGTAAAGGACATATTGGTCTCTTTTCCACATACAAAAAAGACGGTCACTTTTAGAGTTTCAAATCCATCACTATACTCTACCCATTCACACAATCTTCTTATTTCAAATATTCTCAAAATATATGAATCACTAAAAGGCTGTTACATTACTAAAACTGAGTTCTCGTATCTTTCCCGATTTGCTGCATGATCCTAAAGACTATACACGACACATTTAGTAAAAACGTTATACACACAAAGCCTACAAAGAACTATGAAAGGGGGATAAATCACATACAATTCAATAAATAGACAGAGCTATAAATGTAAAAGAGACGTACTCAAATTTTATTTTCGTTAGCTGGATACTAAAAGCTACAAACTTCCGTACATAAGTTCTGGAGAGCTCTGGCTTATGACAGGTAATATTCAGAGCACTTGGAGAGTATCATATACTGACCTTCCCATTCCACTCTGACCAAATACACCAATGAGGAAAGGTACCAACTTGATACAAGCCCCCAGCATCCCATGCTTCTGCAATAAGCTAATTGGAAGAGATAGAAAAAAAATTAAGAAGTTAAATACAGTACGTTTAGATTAGATCAGATGACAAGCCATTAAGATGCATAGTTTCACACCAAAATGTAATAAAATAAAAAGGAAACCTATAGACTAAGCCACTAAGGCTATAGATGAACCTGTCTAGCACATTCCGACACTTTTGAGGATTGGAACAAAAAGAAATGTTTTCTTCCACCTCTTTACCCATGATTGCTATATTGGAGAGAGAGGGGCTGCTTGGATGGCCTACATTTAGATTCTTTTCCATTGATTATAAATCCTTCATCACTAGTGTAATATGTCTTATTCTAAATGCTGCACTCAATGGCATAATCAGAAACCTGGTGGAATGAGATGTGCTGCTTTTCACACTCAGATTTCCCCTTTTCATGAAGGGTGTGGAAACAAGAATTGGAAGTGTAGTTCAGTCTATTCGTTTTGTCTCACCAAGATTGAGATACAGCATTACTAAATACTTAAGCAATACTCCAAAAGACATCTCAAGAGTTAAGATAAACGTGTACTTCTAGGTTCTAGCATCACCACCATCAATGGGTTTTTTCTACACTATATCCACCAATTTTCGAATTCTTGTTAGAGACCTAAAGAAGCTGGGAAAAGCTAATGATTTCTGAGATTTCTAATTCTCGGTCTGCCTTTGGTGATACCTAGGCTCTAACGCGTGGTTTTCCATAAAACGCATTGTTTCTTCAGTACAACATAGTTACCGTATCACATGCTCCAATTGCATTACTCATGTAATCATGCAGAGCATAAATTACCAGCCAGAAGAAAAAAAAATTGGGAGGAAGAGGACTGGTACTCATTACAGGAACATAGCAAATAAGTGAGGACAACTGCCAGCTAGCAATGGCTATAATGAAGTCATTGGTTATAAATTTTCTCTGTTAGCTAAGTCATAGTCCTCCGGTATGGTGTACCTTAGAGATGAAGAATTATGCATTCCAACCAATCTACCTTGCCTATTTTGAGTTTTTCTCCACAGAAGAACTCAGTACAGATGAGTCCTTTGCAGCTGCTAGATGATTCAAAATATAACAAACTCTAACTCATTGCATCAACAATTTAAAAGCCCAAAAAACATAACAAAAAAACCTTAAACTAATTAATACCTTTACGTCTCGAAGTACAGGATCATTGCTTATCATGTCAATCAATGGGGGACTGCCAAGAGGTGTTCCGGTAGTCAACAAGTCACCTTCCATTGGACTTCCAAATACATTAGCAGCATCACATAGACTTGTCGAGCAAAACAAATTTCACAATAAAGGAGAAATTAATAACAAATTCATTTGAGATTAAAACAGGAAAAAGCAATGATATAGAGTTTAAAAGTTCAGGAGACAAACCTACTACCCCTGGTCATAATTGAAGCAAGATCAAAGCGAAATCCATCTACATGCATTTCCAATACCCAATATCTGCAAACCAATAAAACGTTATGCTAAAGTTTCTGATACTCATACATCAACAGCAGCATTTTTCTGATACTCATACATCAACAGCAATAGTGGTAGCCGAAGAAGAAGAAGACGGAGGAGGAGGAGGACGAGGAGGAGGAGAATATGTAATTTCCTCTGTTTCTGTTCCCTTATGATCCAACTTAGCAGTTCAGATCATCACCAGCTAACACAGGGTGGTATGTGCGTATTTTCAAGGCCATATTTCACCTTCATTACACTAAAAACAAAAAGGAAAAAAAATTCCATTCCCAACTAAAGCGAATATCTAAAAGAGCACTTTGCAATGAGCCAATGACCATGAAGGACAGGTTAATAGTGTAAGGATAACATATGCCTTCAGTTTCTTTAGACTCAGATCTAGATAGACAACTTCAAACCATCTCACCTTAAGCAGTCAACTATGAACTGGCGCACAACAGGATGGTTGCAGTTGAATGTGTTCCCACAGCCTGAATAATTATAGAACTCTCCCTACAAGATCATAGGCATGAGGTGGCATTTAAATCATAATGATAGCAAATTCTATTAACACAAATTTAAAACCTTCTAACTCCTACACATATTCTTTTCTCAGCTTTCCTTTCAGCTAAACTTTCAAGCAGATTAACATACATTTTCTTTGACAGCAAAATATCTCGATCAGTCGCAATTATAATGAACTATTAAATAATTTTGACTTCTTTTATAAGAATTTCTTTCCTATATTATTCGATAGTTATTTCTATTTCAAGTGACATTGCACTTGGAAGTTAAAATTTTCTTAGTCAGCGAGTTGGCCCCAAAATACAGATTGAGCATGGTACACATATACTTGTAAACGGAAATCCTGAAATTTTGCCTTCTGGTGGACCAGGGTACGCCACAAATAAGCAAAACAAAGCTTAAGCAGTTCCAAAACACAGCATATCTGTTCTCAGAAAGGATAAGTTGAGCAACTATATCAGAACTGTGTTTTGACTCCACAGTCCAAAGGAACTTTTCTTTTTCAAACTGGAATATTCGTTAATTTCTAGATATCCTTAAACAAATATAATCTTTCATCAATGACATGGCATATCTTATAGTCAAGGGCCATACCTTTGGAGCAACCATGTAGTAGACACTGTTGTCAAGCCCTCTGAAAGAAAGGATAGGGCCTTTTTCATTTCCTTCTGCTGTGTGATTGAAAACAACGTCCATGAACACCTGCTTAAGTGAAATCATATAATAACATTCTAGAGATTAAGAAAAGTACCAATTCAAATTCCACATTATGATGCATTGAAATATCACCTCAATTCCTCGCTTATGTGCTTCTCTAACAAGAAGCTTGAATTCGTTTATGGCATCACGGCCACAATTACGTGTACCAGCAGATGAATATCTCGTCATAGGTGAAAAGAAATTGATAGTTGAATATCCCCAAAAGTTCATTCTGGAGGAAAGCAGAGATATCATATTGGAATCAGAAGAAACATAATGCACAAACATCTTGCATTACCATCCAGGCAAGCAAGCATGTCGATATTTATTTGAGTCGTGATGGCTTACCTCCGTCAAAAGGATAGAACCTGAGTAGGGAGACATAAACATTTGCATAAGTTTTTTTTTCCTTTTAGAAGTGGGGTTAGCCTTAAGGTTTGAATGTATGGTGGGTTGGATGTTTTTACATCCCTTTACCACTAGGTCATCCAATTGTGCATACAAAACTAAAGAGGTGGTTATTCAAAGACTACAGCTGCCTAACAAATCATCAAAAAAATCCATATATTTATAAAGCTTTTTTTTGGCTATAAGTCATTTTGTTATCTACATGAAGACTCACTTTCCCAAAGTCAAAAGACATGCATGATAACAGGATGAACTTCAGAAGGAATGACAAAAATGGCGTACTTGTAGTCACCCATAACCGAATTGTATTTGTAGTACTCCAACTCATTAAATTCCTGGCATGGCATTAATTCTATGCAATTCACACCGAGATCCTGAAAAGCAAACAACCACAGTAAGCACAAACATGCAAATCCAACTCAGATGGATAAATTTATCTGCCACTTGATATCAATGGAACCAAATATAAGCTCTGAACAGATAGTGGAAACTTATTGACAATGATTAGCAGAGCCAATTCATATTCATATAGTCAATACCAGAACAGGATCACATCCCAGTGAAGCCGAGCACTAGAACAACTCCACACTCACCTTTAAGTGATCAAGCTTTTCCACAATGCCAAGATAAGTACCAGGTTTCTCAGCTCCGCTTGACTCATGCTTTGTATACCCACGAACATGCATCTCATATATTAGCAGCTCTCGCTGGGGAAGCTTCAATGGCAAGTCTCCTTCCCAGTCAAACTAAAGCAAGAAAATAGATAAGGGCTTAGATACTGTTAGTGCAGCTGCCAAACTAAACTATTCCAACTAGTGTGCATTGAACCAAGTAGTCTGCAAACAAGATCTAGACTATGTTACATAGAACTAATTACAATCCATTTCCCTATTGGACTGCTCAATTTCTTAACATAACCAACTAGGGATAGCCATTGTTGCATCATTTCCAAATTCGGCTAGCCTGTGACTAGCAAGCAAAAGATCACATACATGGAAGCCCTCCCAAGACTAAAAGAAAAGTCAAGAGGCCCCTGCATTACGTACCTTGTCTTCAGCGGCTGGTATCATGCAGGCCATTTGGGGCCAGCAATTGTCCTTCTGAGCTACAACCCCGAATTCATCTCTGGATACAACTGCCTAGAATCAAGGAAGGATCAGCATCCACACAAATAACGAGTAGAGAACATGACAATCAAAGAACTTACTCTTGCGTAAGGATCCAAAAGAATCTTGGAGGGATCAAAGTAATGTCCTTGTTCAGGAGCATACTTCCCATCGAAACGGTAACCGTACAGCATATCTTTGAAATCCCCTTTCAGGAACACATGCCAAATGTCGCCTGTCTTGTTCGCAACTGGGTGGAGAGGGATCTCCGCCGTCACTCTACCCTGCATCCCGCCGAGCATAAAAACCATCACTTTCTTCAATTGAACCCTCAGAGCCGTTGAAATGAGTAAAACGAGAGAACAAGCAATGTACAATTGTAAAGCAGACCTTGGACAAATCAGACAGAGAAATCAAGCAGAGAGCTGCGGCGACGGCATTGGAAGAATAGACAGAGAAGTTGACGCCGCCGTCCCGAGCGGTGGCACCAAACGGAGCGGGATGCCCTTCGGAGACCTGAAACTTCCCCAATTGCCGCTCTCGGATCACCAAGCTGGGCTCTTTGATCTCCACGCTCGCCTTCCTCGCTACACAGACGACGATCGGCCGGGAGGAATTCCGAGGAGCATCGTGGAATGTGCCGAAATTGGGAGGTGGAGTGGCTTTCGTCGTCGTTCTTACCCTTGCCAAGGAGTCTGTGCCGGGAAGGAAAAGGGAGCGGGGAGCAGAGCGAATAACCTCCATTACTGGTTTCTTTTCATGAAACAATGGAGAGGCGGAGCGGGGGAGAGGAGAATCGAAATGGGTGGTTTTCAGAATTCTGAAATCCCGAAACCTTTGGAAGTCAGTATGGAGAGCAGAGCATCCTACTGACAGTTGAGTGAGTGGCAGAACAGAAGATGCGAAGAGAACTCTCGCTCTCCTCGGGAGAGAAAACCTCCGCTGCGGGCGGAACTAACTCTAAATCCGGAGGTTAGAAGGAATGAGAGCCCTTGGATCCAAATCAAAGGTGGAAGGAGATTCTCACTTCTTTTGCGAAATACTAGTCTAGTAGTTGAGTGCTGCTCCTTGTTGTTCCCGTCAAACTAGTTCATCCTTATCATTCCTTCACAACTAACTGAAGTTATGCTAGGATTTGAACTTGTATGAGTTGGTATCGGAGTTGGTTGAAAATGAGTTTTAGTGACAAATTCTTCTCGTGACGAGGGAATGCAAAGAAGTTGCTTTGGCCGATGGTTTCGGGATGTCCTTTGGTGCTTTAAGTTAGTAGTTGATTCTAGATTAGATATGCATCGAAAGAAAGATGATAAAGTGGAGATGAAAATCAATGTCGTTTTTAATCATAGTTGGAGCTTAGTGTTTTAAGCATTGTCTTTTTGTCTTGCATTTACTTGAATATATGCTGACCGTTTATATTGGTTATTGGTTTATCGTCAAAGGTGTAGCCGATTTTTACTTTGAACTCGTGGTGTAGCCTATTTTTGTGTGTTTTTCATGGGTTAATTCAGGTGAGTGTATGGTGCATGTGTTTTTTTCATACATTGATGATTTAGAGACTTAGTTTAGGTAGAGGTGAGCATCCCCTTTGCCAAGTGCTCACAAAATTGATACTTACTGGGTAAGTGCATGATCATTCCCTTATTTGATTTATGTGCTTACAGGTAAAACACATTTAGAGGGGTAGAGCTTACCTCTAATCAACCTGACTACGTGACCTCGAGTCGGTAGATGGGGCTAGAAGGGGGTCGGGAGACATGATCATTGCACAGATCTGCCATATTATTGACCTTCACACCTCAATTATCACAAATTTATTTATCAACCAATTTCATGTTATGTTCGATAGTTAGGGCGAGGGATGCATGTTCGGAGTATCGTTTCTTTCTTGTAACTTTTCTCGTAGTTTCATCTTTCATATCCTACATAATATATTAGATAATGACTATGGACAGGAGGGCTAGGTCTGGGGATACAAACTTGGTCAACTAGTGTACTATGGTGCCAATTAGAGTTATACTTGGTTCGGATTGGGGGTATTAGTGTTGTTATTAATTGAGATTATAAACGAATCAGCTTGTGTCATGGAGCTTGAGGGACGAGGGGGTGGCACATTATGGGGAAATGATGGTTGGAGACTTTGTATATGTGGCTAAATATTCATTGCATATATGAATTGTGTGTCTTATCTCAAATTTATTAATGCTAAACACACATATCACATAGATATCGTCATCCAAATATGAGTTACTTACTAACTCACCTATAGACTTCAAGGTTTAGTATATGAAGTGGTTTTGTTGAACTATGTTCAAATTTGCTAATAACTTTTTGTTGGAACCGGATGACTCAACAAAAGTTAGGTTACGAAAGCAGCTATTATCCATATTTTATACCTCAATTTCAACTAGAGCAACAACCCATTCAAATTTTGCTTTGTTAAGAAATGTGTGAGAAGCAAATGGAATGTTATCGATTTAGATAAGATAGGTTATCTGCATGCAAATCCATGATGAGGGTTTCTCATCTCTCTGAAAATCCATCTCTTCCTTCCAGCATTCTGACTACTTCAGACACTTTCAATGACCAAAATTACAGAAAGATTGTGGCTGAGCTGTAGGAAAAATGAAACAAAATTACAGAAATCATGCTTTGTTTTGCACCACATCAATGACCAAAATATATAGATGTAAACTTTACCAAATTATATGATAGTGGTGGGTTTCTCTAAATCAGAAGCATGGCTTGGCCAGTTGGCCCTATGAAATGAGCTAATGGTTTGCATCCTCTTTGTCCATGATGGTTGCTTAGGTAACTGTCAAAAGAATTGTTGTGTTGTTAAATGAGCTCAATGAGCTTAAAATATGTCGGCCTCAATGAGCTCGTTCGTGAGCTATTAACAAGTTGAGATTAGGGCTGGTATGCGGTAGGCCGGTTAATGGTTTAACCGATAACCGTACCGGTAACCGCGGTTATCGGTTAAATCGTTAACCGTGAACAACGGTATACGGCAGGGGGCAGATGGCCAACGGTATACCGGGACCGGGAATGCACCTTACCGACGGCTGGCCGGTTATCCGATACCAGAATCTGAATGGTTATGCCGCTCCATAAATCCCCAACCCTAGCCTATTCTAATTAGGAATAGGAGTAAATAACTGTAAGTCTGTAACATATTAAAACTTAAAAGTAAATTAATTTCTTATTTCGTCTCTCGCCTCTGCCTTCATCACAAGTTCACAACCCAAACGCTGCCGTCAGACCCGTCTCCTTCGACCCAACCCCGCTCGTCCGCGTTGGCGTTGGAGCTTTCCCGCTCGACCAAGCCGCCCAACATCTCGTCGGAGTTCAAGTTAGAATCAATTAACTGATTAAGTGTGATTTGTTAGATTTGGCCAAGTTGGAACAATTAATTAACTGATTATTTTTCGTGTGTTAAACGGAAGAGAGTAGCAGCTGCACTCTACTTAGAAGCAGCAAGCCACCGCTGGAGAGTAGAAGGGGAGCAGAGGAGTTGCACTCTGTTTTCTTGCTTTGTTAGGCTTTAGCTTCTTTCTTTTCTTTTGTTGTTTGGCTGTTTGCTGGTGGACGGTGAACCCCATTGCATTTGCATAGCCAGCTGCCCACCACCTAGTCATTGAAGTCTCTTGTTGTGAATTTGTTAATTCGGCAAACGGTGTACCGAATAAAAAACCGGGGAACATTAATTCGGTAACCGGTGTACCGACCATCACTCGGTATCGGCAAACGGTGGCGAACATGGGTTTCGGTATTACCTGTAACCGTCCAAATAGTAACCGGTTTAACCGATTACCGATCGATTACCACCCCTAGTTGAGATATAGAATTCTCAAATTGAAAGGTAGTACTGATTTTTTTTATTTACCATGAAGCCATGACTTGTTTTACAAATAATATGTCATCGAATTTATGACCGGTTTGTAATATCTGTTAACCGTTGGTTTGCCAGTAAACCTTTAATCTCTCACTAATACAGTTTGGTATCTGTAAGGTTTTGACAACATTGCATAAGACTAATTATTCTAGTGATAAGGTTTGTTAACCAACAATGGGCATTGGTTCAAGTGCTTAAACCTATAAGTTTTAATTGGCTCATAGGGTTGTTAATGGAAAGTTAGTGTTTAATAGGTGGTTAAAGATAATTAGGGTATTTATATTATTTTTAAATTGATAACTTAAAATCAAAATCCCTGCGGGTCACTCTCCTCGCTCATCATGAACCTTAAGTCGTCGCTCTCTCTCTCACACATACATTATCGCCTCTTATAAGTTTTATTAATGTTGGTGGGGCTGAAAGTCAACGAATTTTTTTTGACATATTGTTCCTTCTGGGTTAATTTGTATGCTATATTTTTTCATTCTTTATTAAGGTTTTGCAAATTAATAGTAAATGATTCTTCGTATGATATATTTTGTGAAAGGTTTTCAGTCGTGCTATTGAATCGGTGGGGTTATTATTAACATTTAATAGTTGGTTGTTAACGTGTTTACGTTGATAACGATTTGACAAGGAGCCAAGCATTGTAACATTTTTTGCTTTCATTTTAGACAATTTACAGTGGTTAATTTTGTTATATATAGGTATTGTTAATTACTTACGTTTTGTCTTAGTTTGTATCATTGTTAATGGGCGGGTATAAACGTATCAATGTTTGAGAAAAATTATTAATAATTTAGTGTGGTTGACGATCATTAAATCCGATCATTATCAATGGTTTTGTTTGCATTTTAAACGAAACACAACATAGCTATTAATCGTTTTTATTTTGCCATCAACATTTTGGGAGAGAGAGGTATTAGTAACATGTACTATGAGTATTACTCATTTAGATGCAGTTATTGTCAATGATTTTACTTGTATTTTCAATGCCAATACAACTTAGTTATTAATGATTAAGAGTGTCATTATCCACATTTTTATGTAAACTTTTATAATATTAAAATATTGATAAATATTTGAAATTATTAATAATGATGGGTATATCAATTATAATCATTGCATAAACATTAATAGTACCATTAAAAATATTAATAATGTTATTGGAAGTCGCTATGGAGCGTGGGTATTTTTATTTTTTATTTTTAAACATTAAAAGTTAATTCAGATTTCTAGTTTTAGTTTCGAATTTCCTTATTAAATAGCTGCCAAATTTATGAAAGGAGAGTAGAATTTTCTTTTTAAACTAATATCTTTAAATATTAATAATATTATTTATTTTCTCATGATATCTCATTTGTCTTTTTATGTAGTTAGCGTTCATTCCACTCTTAGCAAAAGTTTCAAAACTTTTTAACTAATAGGTTTAATAGTATCCACATTAATATTTTGCTCTATTCCAAATTCTACATGACACACAATATGCAATTGCAAAGAGTATTACACTAATATAGGGGCACTTGTAAATATACAAGTTTTCGTTAAATGAAATTGAAGATCCAAACCATATAGAAAAATAATAAACAATAAATATTTTTGCTTTGTTGAGTTATTTATTTTAATTTATTATAAAATCACTTAAATGCTCATATATGCAATTGCAATTCACTTGCAATTGATGTAAATGTTATGAAATAAAGTTGAGTTGAATAGCATATTAATAATAATTAGGTTTTGCAAATTACTGGATATATGGAATTTGACCCGTCAATAATGACAAGTTCGGTAGGTTTGATTAGGGTTGGGCATGCGGGTGGATCATTCACGGGTTTGGCCCAATCCACTCGTATTTGACCCGAATTTCGTTATGTGGATGGGTTTATGGGTGGGTAACGGGTGTACTGGGAGCCACCCGCTCAACCCAATAGCAAAAAGAACAAAGTCGTTGGCGCTGAGGGGGGGTGTGAAGACTTTGGACGGAAACTAGGGCTTCTCATGGAGATTGAACCTCAATGTCAATCTTCCAAATCGCGATCCCCTCTTCGTTCCTTTATTTTTTTCTCCAATTCTTGTGCCTATATCACGTCTCTTTCCTTCGTTGAATTATTTTTCTTATTTCCATGCACTTGATAATCATCTCCATTTGTAGAAAACTCATCAATAATACAATTTCTATCCAATTTCATAACCAATTCGACATATATTTTCCTAATCAATCTCCATGTTTTCGTCCGATAACTCTCTCCACCAATTATCATGTCAAGTTGACTCCTTTGTAGTATGTATATTGTGATGTGGGTGAACCCGCAAACCCATCCACATCATCCACCATCCGCCCAACCCAACCCGAGACTAAATGTGGGTGTATGGTGGGTTAAAAAGGGGTCGGATACTATGCTAACCCCTAAAGTGGTAGTGATTTTCGACACCCTCCTATTGATTGGTCAGTTTTATATTTAATTATTAGACAAGTATTAATGGCTGTCCCAAATAAATATAAATGGAGAAAGAATTAATTGTCATATTAATTATGCACGAGAATGGGGCAATTTAGCTGGATCCCCTTTCCCTCTGTGGCGTTTCTACTCCCTTTCCCTTTGTTTCTATTTTCCCCCTCCCTCCTCTGCTATTTCCCCTTGTTTCTTTCCATTGTTGTGGAGAACCATAGCTCTGGTTCATCATTACACGGCTGGCGGATATCCCCGCCGCCCTTACAACAAGTCCGACCATCCATGTCGTCGGCCGTCTGCCGTCCTCCGTCTTCCATCTCAAACATCACCTTCCAACAACTTCCTCTTATCCACGGCCTGCGCTTGATCTTTTCCTGTTGACCACCGTCCTTCCACGGTAGAGATTCGATCAACCCTAAGTGGCGGCGACAGAATCTGAAGGTGAGGGTGGTACCACTAGGCGGCAGAGGAAACACACCAATGGACTGGTACGTGTACCAGTGAAGTGGTACGTGTACCAGTGGAGTGGTACGTGTACCAGTGGAGTGGTACGTGTACCAGTGGAGTTTGGAATACATCGTCATGAAAATATTGTGGTCTCCACCACTTTTGAAGTTTGGAATTGATTTTATTATTTTTCTTTTGTCTTAATTATTGGTCAACTTCTTTCAATGTCATTGAAATATCTTTGCCGACGAGTAATGAATAGAAATGGTCTTCGCACAACTTCGGCGGTAATAATACTACTTCAGTGGTACATATATACCACTGAACTTGTACTATACCACTAGACTGGTATACATATCAATTAACTAGTACTTATACCACTGAACTGATACTAATTAAGACTGTCCTCAATATACCAATACTCAATACTTACTTGATCATGAAATATAATTCTGGCACAAGCAACACAATAAACATTTAAATCAGTCAACAAAATAGGAACTTTATATTAGTAGCCAAAAGTTGTGTTCCAAAATGGGTTGCAAAATCAGGGAAATGCCAACAACAATGCCAAAAGCAATAAATTATCCTTCGAATGTGAATAAACATAAAGTCTTCACAATTTTTTTAAGCCTAAACAGGACATATGGTTACTAGTACCACTCCACTGGTACACGTACCACTCCACTAGTATCACTCCACTGGTACGCGTACCACTCCACTGGTACATGTACCAGTCCATTGGTGCGTTTCCTCTGACGGTGGCTCTCACAGCGTTGCTTCTTGTTGGTACTCGCACTCGATGAATGATCTTGACCTACCCCAACTTCTACATGGCGAGGAAATAGCTTCCATGACTCTTTCCTTTAGGCACTCCAAGTTACGGTCTCTTCGTCTTGACCATTCCTACAGACAATAATCAACACTATCAATTTAGTGGTAGAAATATGAGTTTGATAAGTAAGACAACTATCACTATAGTGGTAGAATTCAGTGGTAGAATTACCAATACATCTTTGCAACTATCACTGCAGTGATATAAATCAGTAGTACATACCAGTACATTGGTACTAATACCAGTACACTGGTACTAATACCACTCCAGTGATAGACATACCAGTACACTGATACTAATACCACATGAAAAAATCCACACGAAAACCCAGATTTGAGTTTGGGAGAAAGAGACAGTAGGGAGAGAGAGCTACCTCAGTTTCTTCGTCGTCATCTTCGCCGGGAAGGGGAGGAGGGTCACCGCAGGGACGACATGAGTGAAGTCATCTCGTAGGGAAGGTGAGGAGGGTCGTCGTCTTCTCCGTCGATCCCTTTGCAGTGCCGAGCTTTGTGGAAGGAGATGGAGAGTCGCGGCGGCAAGCCTGGTGTTGCTCGGAGAACAACGACAACCATCATCCGAGACTTAGCCCACGACGGAGGATGGGGGAGAGTCGGAGGGAGAGGATTTTGTTGGTGTGTCGACGATCAAAAACCATGGACTGTGGTGGGGAAGAGGTGACGGCGGCGAGCAGGGGAAGAGCGAAATCGAGGGAGAGAGAAGGAGAAAGGGAGAAAAAAATGGGATTGATTTTTGAATTAGGGGTGTGAACTGTTTTTTCCTAGATTCTTTCCATTTTCCAATATAGTGAGAGAAACTTATTTTGTAATTAATACCTAATACACAATAATCAGTTTCAATTGTGTAATTAATACTTAGTGAGAGGATTTTGTAATTAATACCTGATTAATCCTTACCATTGGATTAGATGGACGGTATCTAAGAGGGGTGTCAAAAATCAGACCCCCTTAAGAGGGTAGTCACGCTAACCGCTCCCGGTTAAAAATTATCCATCCATTTAAGCGCGGGTGGGTGCACTTTATGATCAAAATCCACCCGATGTCCACCCCTATGTTTAATTGATCCGCACTTTTATTAGTTTAAGGAACTTGATTGGCTCACAATGAAAGCTCAGCAACTTATATGACCAAAATGAAGAAGTTTAGGAACCTAATTGACCTTTTGCCCTTTTTTAAATCAATCAATGGCAGGATTATGAATGTGCATCATCATGATTCATGAGCAAAAATGAATCGAAGCTCCGGAGTCAGCTCAGCACCAACTACCAGCCCCACAATCCACAGACATCGATGTCTTGCTGTCAGCCTATCTCCGTCACTTGATAATCATCAATGGCGGTAGTGAGTGAGTGATCTGTTTAACACCCTAACCTTCCATCTGCCGCTGGTTACTGTCTTCCTTGAACTCTACGTTTCGTTCTCTTCCTCCATCTCTTCTCTGCTTCGGCCGAATTTCAATTTCAGGGAGGGGAGACGCTGAAGAATAATCTCACTAGCAAACCCACCAGAGAAAAAGAAGAGCCAGTCACCGAGCAACAATGGCTGAAGCTTCGTGGCCCAGTGAAGATGAGGTAATAGGTCACAATAATGGCTCGGTTCAATCCCATTCGGTATTCTTCCAATTCGTTGTTTTGGACACAAGTTTGTTTTTGGCGATGGTGATTCATTCGGATTTCTTATAGGTGAATGATATGAGAAATCTGGTTTCTTCAATGGCTGGGAGAGACCCTGGTGAAGTTAGGATTGTGGCGTCTCCTTATCGTATTTGTCCCCTGGGTGCTCATATTGATCATCAAGTTTGCATCTTTCCGATGTTCATTCAGTATTTCCATTTGGGTACTCTTCCTTTCTTCGACCCTCTCAATCTGTTCTTATCTTCTTTACTGTTGTAGGGTGGAGCTGTTTCAGCTATGACGATTAATCGAGGCATATTGCTGGGTTTTATTCCTGCAGATGATGCAAAGGTAAGAAATAAAAAGAAAGACCAATGCCCCATTCACGTTTCAAAGTTACACACCGTAACCCGTGAGGCTTGGAAAGAAATAGCTACACGGCATGCTTAAACTTCGTATAGTTCGAAAACCAATATCTACAGCATTTTATCACATGTGCATAGAGTGATGAATGCTGAACTTCTTGTGTTGTACAATTGCTGCGTAATATGCTTCTTTATTGTGCAGTCTCCCTATTATGCACCTTAGCGTTAGTAATTTGGAGAAGAAAGTTCATAGTTTTTTTAAATGTGGAGGTTGTAACCGTACTTTGTTTGGTTTGCTTGGACTCCTTTGCATTTATCATATACTTCTAACTGTTACAGTACAGAATGTATTCAGTGAATGCGAGAGTGTCAAACTAGGAATTTCCTCCTAAACTGAGCAGAGCAGTTTTTCCCTTATTGGTTTATGCTATGAGTACAAGTTGATGGCTTGAGCACTTGTTGCTGTAGGTTGTGTTGCGTTCAGGACAATTTGAGGGAGAAGTTCATTTCAGGTGTGTGAAAGTTTCTTTCCCCAATTTGGCTCAAGTGCATGAATGGAGATTTAAATGTCTTTGTCAGGTTATCTGGGGTTTTTTTTCATGTGATTGTTAAGATCTGGCATCTGCCAAATGGTTAGAAGAAGTTTAACAAACCCTTAAGCATCTTAGTTCTAACCGTGGGCAAAACATTGTATCAATCTCTTCTGCCAAACCAAGTACGAGTTTGTATCAAGTATGAGATTAACCTCTCCAGTTGGTTTTCATACAAACTTATGAGTGCCAACCAAGCAAGGAATAGAACAATGAGGTGTATGAGGAACCTATGAGTGGTAGGAACACATTTAGTTTTATAATTAGCTTGGAGAATCATCTCCCCACTTTCCAAAGTCCTATTTAATATTATTCTCATGCCATTGATGAAAAGTGATCTTTTCTTGAAGTGCTATGCCCGTATGGGCAAATGGAATGGAAGCGAAAGGACCATTCTCTATTTTTCTGCTAGATTTCAGTTTTAGTTGGCCTTCAACAGAATTGAATGTTTTTATATTGGTTTTTCAGCGTAAGCGATGTCCAGCATCCTGTGCACAGCAGCAAGAAGGATGTGAATCACACAACTGACTCCCCAAACCGAAAGGAAGAAGATAGTCAATGGGGAAAATTCGCAAGGGGAGCTGTCTTTGCTTTGCAGAAGATGGGACACTCTCTTGATAGGGTAAGGAGAAAAATCTTGTCCCCTTGAACATGCGGTAAATCTTGCTGTAAGTTATTGGGACTACTTTAGGAAAATCTCCTACTTAATTTTTCACTTATGTTGGTCTTGCAGTACATGCCAGCTCGTCTATTTTTCCTGCTCAATTTCCCCCCTCTGGAGTAGGATGAGTTACTGATTTGAAATTATATCAATACCTGTCTTTCACTTTTATCCTTTTTGAGTTTTATGTGTATTTTGCCGGAGGACTGCTATAAGCTTTACCACGAGATGTTACCAAATGTAAAATCTAAGAACTTGTTACTTGAAACTCATTTGTAGGCTGTTTTTTTCACTTAGCCTCTTCAGTCAACCATTTCACCATATCTGTTGTCACTTCTGTATTAATTGAGCTTAAGATATTGTAGAAGGTTCGTCTGTGAAGCTTATGGGGGAAATCAAGTTTAGCTCCGGATGCTTAAGTAACAACCAAGGGGAAGGTTTTCCTAGTAGAAAAGAAAACAACCAACAGGAACTTGAAAATTAACCATTACAAGAGGAGGCCTGCCTTCATTTTTTTCTTTCAGAAAGCAGAAAACTTCAGAAAATATTGGGTAAAATATAATAATATATTCAATTATCCCATCCAATCAAAGGTGTAATTGTAGAGTTATTAATTTCACGGTACCATTCCAGCTTTTATCACCTATTCCTGTTCTAGTTGAAATTAAGTATAACTTAGAGCAACGTTGCTGCTTCTATTTATCATTCTTGCAGGGAATCACTGGATACATATGTGGTTCTGAGGGCCTTGACTGTGCAGGGCTCAGCTCTTCAGCTGCTGTAAGTGCACTTTTCTTCACCTACTATCACTCTGCTAAATCCAATTCCTTCGATCATGGTGCTTGAGGATAGTTGTCGGCCACCTGCAGAGTGCACTGGAGACATTAGTACTGATTTAGAGTTCTGTATTTACAGTTTCTACAGATAAATGTCTAGTTGGGTTAACCAATATCTCTTGGTCACGATATTGAATTGGGCAGGGAGTTCCAGAGTTCCACTTGCATAGGGAATAAACTCAATAGCAGTTTTTGCTCTAATCCTGAAATTTAACAGAATGATGACGTAGGTTTTAAGCTTTGTGATAACTGGGTTGGTCTTTTTTCAATTTGCTTCTAAAAAGTTACTTAGCTGATAGGATTCGTTTCAGGAGGCCCTGGTAGAATTTAGAAGGGTTATAGGTATAATATGCCCCTCTATTATAACGTTTTATCAAACATGCCCCTCTACTATTTTTTACATCAAACATGCCCTTGTACTTTACAAAATTATCAAACATGACCTTCTGCTAAAATTTCCATTGAAAAAATCGTCAATCATGGTTGAATCGAGATTTAGACGACCTGACATCGGCAAATGGGAGGGAAAATATCAGTTTTGTCCCCTGTTTTATTTCTCTGGGTCTCTTCAAAGTGAATTTTTTTGAATTATTAGGCTATACAAAAGAACCAAAAAAAAATTCTAAAGTGAAATTATTAGGGATATTTTAGACATTTGTGTTGCCCAAACCAAAGTTCGGTGTTGGTTAACCGTTTTTGGATGAAAATTTTAACAAAAGTGTATGTTTGATAATTTTTACATAATACAGGGGCATGTCTGATGTAAAAAATAGTAAAAGGGCATGTTTGATAAAACAATGGATCCCCCCCCCCCCAACCCCCAATACATAAGGTAAGGGGGGGGGGGGGGGGGGGGAGGTGGGGCCTTGATATTTGCTTATCGAAACTCAGCATTCTGCCAAAAAAGTTCTATTAAGCAAACCTGCTCAATGTTAAATCCAATACTCAGAGTTTCAATGGCCTATTATATAAGTTACTTTCATCTTCTCCTTTTGGCTATACCTTCTTTAATCCTGCTGTTTATGGTCCCTGTTGAGCCCGAGCCCTTTTTCATTGGAGTGGAATCCCCATGTTCATGCCACATTGATCCTCTGTTGTCATATTTGACAGGCTGGAGTTGCTTATCTGCTGGCCTTTGAAAGTGCGAACAACTTAACCATGTCAGAGGTGGAAAATATTGAACTTGACAGGTGGGGTTTGGTGGACACTAATTTGCTTAAAGTTTATGTTTGCTATTACCTTGTCATTAAGAACTTAATGAAGAAACCTCTTCAAGCAAGGAATTGTGCTGTCCATGTTCGGGCTTGCCCTTTTCAGCTTGACGAAGTTATTTATAGCCTCCTCACAAAGAATTTTATGGTGTTTAACATGTAATATCAAGTTAACTTAGGAAGCTGAAATAAATATGTGCCTGCTGAAAGTAATAAAAGGTTGAACATTCAAAAAGCTCGTGACTAACTTGGCTGCATCTCTGCTGGTCCAACTGATAGAAAGAAACAGCCAATACTTTGAAAACTGAAGCAAATATGTACCTGCTGAAAGTAATAAAGTGCTGAATGTTCAAAAAGCTCGCGACGAACTTGAGAACCTTCGTAATCTCGTGAATCCTGCTAAAGTGAATAACTTCTTTTGCACATTAGTCCTGGAAACTGGCCCAACTATCTGTTTGTTTGTCAACTATTAAACAGGGACCAGAAATAAGTCTTATAAACTATCATTTCCTTAAAGTAGCCATCAGATTCTCCAGATAGCCAGTTATCAGCTTAGCTCTCATGAACCCTCAAATGTCAAGACTTGCGACTGTTAGACTCATAAAGTGTGTAGCTGATCATTGAGGTAACCTTTTGTAGAAAGTTGGAAATGTGCTTTCAACTTTGTAAAGATGCAGGGGCTTTGCTGAGACATATTTCTAGGATCCATGAGTAGAACTGTGGACAATTCACTACATATATTTTGAGAACTGCTGGTCTCTTATTTATTGGTACCAGAAAATTGTTTTCCCAAATCTTTATTCTCTGCTTATGCAGGTTGATTGAGAATGAATATTTGGGTCTGAGAAATGGCATATTGGATCAATCAGCAATATTGCTTTCAAGTCATGGTTGCTTAACTTACATGAACTGCAAGGTAAAGATTGAGTACCTTCTCCTTCGTGTGCTTGTCTTGAGTTCAAAATCATATTTCTGTGTACTATGGATTAATTTGATTGCCTTAAATTAGTAAGCTGCGCTCAATTTCCTGTCATGTCATCACCCATTTCTTGGGTTGGAAGTTATCTGATGCATACTTCTCTGCAACTGTAGATTCTTTAGCGTCGATTCTTCTTGTTGAATTTGTATTACAGGCTCTTTTGACTCGCAACCTTTCTTTTTCTACTTTTTACTTTTTCATTTCCCCTAATCTTTTATTGTCAGCTGAATGGTGTCTTACTGTCAAGTGTGGTATTTGTAGACCAAAGAGCACGAGCTTGTACGTCCGTTCAAACTGCAGAAAGACCATCAGAGTGATCTGCAGAAATCATACAAAATATTACTAGCATTCTCAGGCTTAAGGAAAGCTTTGACCAGCAACCCTGGTTACAATCGCCGGGTTGCAGAGTGTCAAGAGGCGGCTAGGGTTCTGCTTAAGTATGACCCCCCTTTCACTCTACTAAGATTCTGATGTTTGGATCTTATGATGAAGTCTATAAAATCCGTTCTTCTTAACCTGATTTTGTTAAGCTCTGGTTAATTGCCTCCAAGCCAGCGTTCACTAAATGTTGAATAAAAAATTCATTGCACAAATTGCCGAGACTAGGCTGGTCTATGTTTCCGAAGCCTGACATAAATGGTCAGACCTCAAGAGTAAATGTTGTTTTGAATAAAAACACTGTGATGGTGCTGTAGAATGTGATAAGGGTTTTGTAGCAGCGTTCTTGTCTCTGGGCTGTAAATTGATTTTAATCGAAGAAAGCATACTATAATCCTTCACTGATCATTTTTCCTCTTTCCCTCTTGTCTCAATCTGTAGAGCTTCTGGAATGGACAAAGTGGAGCCACTCCTTGGCAACGGCAAGTACACATTCTTTCCAGCTCTGAGTTCTATTTCCTTTAGTTTGTAGTGATGGAATTTCGCAGACTTCACTGACACCCCCCCTTGTTTTCAAACAGTTGAATTCAAGGCATATGAAATGCACAAGGTAATTAATTTGCTTCATCCCTAATTTAAAAGCTCGTGACTTTCTTGGGAACATGAAACATTACCTAGCTCATTTAGGCATGTCATGGAAGTTTCTCTACCAAAGAAAAAGATGGCCTAGCACTGCACTCAATTCGTTGACCTCTATTCCTATCATCTGTAGGATAAATTGGACGCCGATCTAGCCAAACGAGCAGAACATTTCTTCTCAGAGAATATGCGGGTAAAGAAAGGTATTTGCTTTTGTCAATCTGCCTTGCAAAGTGTTAAAACTGCAGGTGTCATTTTGCTCTTTTCAGAACATCTTCTAATATCTAGCCGATGTGATGTGACACAGGGCTTGAAGCTTGGACTTCTGGAAACTTGGAAGAATTCGGCAGGCTTATTTCGGCCTCCGGTTTAAGCTCCATTAAGAACTATGAATGCGGTACGCCTCTTTAACTGTCAACTTGCTCTATCCCCCTCTAAGATAAGTGCAGATTATAGTACTTGCGATTGATTTGATTCCGTTACAAAAATGAAAGAACTAATCAAGATATCATTACCAAAATTCTACTTAGTCCTAAGTCCTGTATCAGTTAAAACTTCATGCAGAGCCGAGAGAGGTATTGTTGAGTCACATGCTGCTGCTGGTTGATTAGGAAGATGGTTAGGTTTGTTTTTGGTAGTTGGGATTGGTGATTGAAAACCTAAGCTAAGCTTCATTTTCTCAAATGCATTAATGACTGATTGTGGCCTGTTGAGTCAAGAAAAGGCATGGTCTCCTAGTTAGTGTATAGTTTCTTGTAGCCTCACCAAAACAGGAAGGAAATTAGGAAAAATTAGAAGAACAGATAAGCTACCGTTTTCATTCTATACTCCATACTATAATCCAGAAAAAGGTTTCACATCACATCACATGCATCTATCTAATCTATTATGAGCCTTTTTCTCTCAGACCTAAAAACTTAGCTTTCTTATAGTTTTCGTGCTAGGAATTCCTTTTGGATGCCTCTGAAACAAGCAATTTGTATCAATTTCACTCTGAATCAAACATTCCATTTGTATCAAGCATCAATTGGTTCTTGGTCGTGCCTCCGGTTGATCAAATAACAAACTTTTCGATCGAATGTATCCCAATTTCTATTGTTACATTTAAAAATTTAATTTTGGAACCACACTAGTCATGTAATTACATCGTTTCGTCACCTAATCATTTACTTGTTGTAATAAATTCTTTCACAACACACTTCCACTTCTACTATTTGCTACAGTTGACAGCCAACTTTCCAATCGACACTTTTTCCCATCTGTTGCATTGAATCAAACAGAAGATAGTTAGGTAGAAACCAGTCTGTTCATTATTAGCTCTTATTCGATCGTGTTGGAACATATGGTTGGTTGGATTTACTGAGTTGTTACTTACTTACTGTTGCTTTCTGGGGTGATAATCACTTATTCACTGCTTCTTTTGGTGAAGGTTGCGAGCCACTGATACAACTGTACGAGATTCTGGTGAATACACCTGGCGTGTACGGAGCCAGGTTCAGCGGGGCTGGGTTCAGAGGCTGCTGCATTGCCCTCGTCAGCGCTGATGTGGCCGACGAAGCTGCTGCTCTCGTGAGAGCCGAGTACGCCAAGGCACAACCCGAGCTGGCCGCCACGATCCACCCAGATGCCGCAGTTTTGATATGTGAACCTGCCGACTCTGCTCGTCTCATCTCTTCTCTGCTGTAAAAAAAAAACGCTCTCTTTCGTCGATCTGATCAGCCATCTCATTGCGAACGAATCATCGCTGAGTAGTGGACATTGATCCGACTGCGTCAACTTAGAACGACACTGCATACGTACTACCAACATTCATTATTCTTAACCTTCCTACAAACTAAAAAGGTTCATCATTGGATTCGATTCTTTCAGAGAGTTAAATGATACACATTACTATTGTTTTCATTATGAGACCCCCGTGACCTTGTACGGAGAGACTCCAGGTTCTATTTGTTTGTTTAATTTTTGCTCGGTGTACTGTTCGATCACGTGTTAAATGTGAAATAAGAGATGATGAGCTGGATGGAAAAAGCTAGTTGGGAGTGTTGTTGAAATGAAAAGTGAAGCTAGAGGCAAAAACTAGGACTAGAATGCGTTTTTTTTTTTTTTTTTACAAAAGGAATTGCTTGCATTGCATTTTGAACGATGGATAACAAGAGAAATCAACAAGAAAACTGGAATGAACGTTGAAGGGGGGAATTTAGAGATGGACTTAATTAATATGATTAAACCCTAAACCCTAGGAATTAGAGCTAATGCCCTGGTTAAAGGGAAGGATCCGATTCCAAATTAAATCTGGTCCCATAGTATTAGATATCGAGGGGGAAAAAAAATGGATACACAATTCAAATAATACAATTTTGTCTTATTTTTTGTTATGAAAAAAAATCATAAAGGTGAAAACACCCACATCAAAGGTGTAATCAAGTTGAAGGCAATTAATGAGATGATCGATATTGTTTTTTTTTTGTGTACAATTATCCGAACCCAAATAGATCTATTTAAGTCCGAGTCAAATGAGTTTACCCAAATCGAACCCAATTTAAATTCGAGTTCATAATCATTAAAAATACATATAAATCTATTTGAATCCGACCCAATATTCATATATTTCAACTTAGAATATATTAAAGGGGTTTGAGAATTGAACCCTATCCACGTCAGCCTTAAAGGCTTCTCCTCAATCCACGGTAATTATATTTATTTTTTTATCTTTTCTTTTTATGTTCTGTTTTCAACTTTTCACGGCACTTCATCTTTTTTGAATCTAGCCATCATCCTAATCATATTTTTTAAATATTTTATTTTTTCAAAATTTTCCCTGGAATTTTTTGCCTTTAAATCGGAGTTTATATTTTTTTTGTTGTTTGTTTTAAGCCGACACTTTCTCATAAGTAATGGCTTTCTATAATACGAAATATTTGAAATTTTATAAGAATTTCAACTAGATTATTTTTTGACATTCCAAATTTATTATTTAAGCGATTTTACGTTTGTATGCTCTTGAATTTCAAAGTGTACGTTGTATAAGATAATTGATTAGAGTGTATTGATTAATGTCAATAGATACACAAAATAAAATGAACATGCAAAAATTTATTTTTTGGAGAAGATGCTACGAAAAATATCTTAAATTTAAATATCCAAAATAATTTGAACATATAAACAACCAGATTAATAATATTAAGGGAGATAATTTGAACATATAAACAATATGATGATTCGATCGAATTTATAAACCGGGTACATTCCTATTATCTCCCTTAATACATCTATCTATCTATCTATCTATCTATCTATCTATCTATCTTCTATACATAATATTATGGCAATTCAAAAGTAGTTTGTTGCCACATAAGCATTTGGAGAATTTACAAGGTGCCATGGTGGACACTTTTTTTTACAAACAAAAAAGTTAATTAATGATCAATTAGTGTAGCTATATCTATCTTTTTTTAATATTTTTCTTTTATTTTAATGACCATTTATGTAGCTATCTCTATCTTCTTTTAATGTTTTATTTTTTATTCAATAATTTTTTTGCAATATATATTTGTAGCGGCAGTATCTTACGTTTGGAGAGTGACACATATTGTAATTTAAAAAAAATTGATTAAATCTGATCAATTAATTTTGATTTTTATTAGAAGTTAATATAGTGAAGTTTAGATAATCAATATTTAATAATCAATTGAATTTGAATCTAAGTCTTAAAGATTAAAATCTAGGTCTTAAATTTATAAATCTCATACACTAAGATCAGTTTAATTATAAACAAAAATCAACGATCATGATTCGACAAAATATATGCAACAAATTACCTGCACAATCTTAGGGGTTAAGCTCTATGATTTAGATAACTAAGACCTCGGGTTCACTTATCAAGGGTTAGGGTATAGTATCATGCCACAAATCCGGTTAATTCATGATTCTGATAGCGTTTTCTTACTTAGAGTATAGTATCATGCTTAGATATGGATTAGGGATGTGGCACTATACTAATAAAATGAAGATATTAGTATAAGTAATGGAATTTTTATCCCAAAACAAACACCAAAGATAAATAAATTTTAGCAAATGCATATTTGATAAGATAGAAAATTATACCCTAATGGACCATGTTAAGATTAGAACCCTCGATAGTGTGTGAGTATCTTGGACCGAGATTCTAAACAACGACCATGAGTTGAGGGTGAGTCAAAATTAAACTTTAGGTATTAACAAGTGGTACATATTGTATAAGATATTAAATTGAGTGTCTTGATCGACAAATATGATCATACACTAAGATAGTAAACTTTCAATTGGGATGACCAAATTTATCTAATATTGAAGTACCTTTATAAAACAATTCTAACTAAGTTGTCGTCATGTGAGCAACATCATTGGTTGAGAGTTCGTCCAAACTCGAGATTCATTGAATGGCATATATTGTACAAGATAAAAAAATTGAGTATCGTTGTTGACAAATCTTGACATAAGATTCTATATGGGACGTGATATATCTTTGTGACATGATTTATGATCAGATAATCGAAATATCATAAGTGAATGTGCTAAGTATTGAGAATTTTTAATTTATAGATGCACTGCATACTCACATATGAATGAAAATGTAAAAAATTTAGAAGATCCAAAATAGTTTAAACATATAGATAAATTGATTAATGTAAATGATAAAATGAAACTCACCGGCCAACGGGCCGGGTAAAAAGCTAGTTTAATTATATTAAAATCAACCGGCCGTCGGGCCGGGTATAATGCTAGTAAATATGAGAGTGAGATGTATAAAACCTCTCCTCGAACAATTGATCTTGATGGATTTATCAATTAGATGCACTTCTAGAAGTAGATTCGGGAAACAACAGATTGCTATCAATCTACACATAATATAATACACCGAAGGGAAAAACGGGAGCCCCATTTCAAATTTCCTGCAACGAGAGTGAAAGTAGGAAGGACATTTTGGTCTTCACAATTACTTTTTTTTATTCATTAAAAATATATGTACTGGGATTCGAACCATGACCATTTTAAAGAAAGGCAAGGATCATAACCAATCACACTAAGTACATTTGTTGTATCCTTTTAAATTAAAAACATATAATAGCAGGGTGGAAAAAACTCTTCCCCCATTTCAAATTCCCTGTTCCATGAGCGTTTGTAGGAAGGGTAGAATAGGGAGTGTCAATTTTTTTCTCTTTTCTCTGTGGAACGGGCCAACTTACCGTACACATGCGGATTTAAACGAGTCCAGGAGTGTCAATTTTTTTCTTTATACCTTTTTATTTATCCGTGGTGATAAAATAAATATGAAAAGGCAAAAATAATACTTCTTTTTATTGTTAAAAATAAAAAATTTAACAATAGACTAATGCATGGTATCTAATGGGCTAACCGCTAACCATAAAATAAAAGAGTTGAATGAGCCTGACCTACATGAGATTTGGTCATCAAGTAAAACAAATGAACATCATGGGTTTTCCATTCTAAAACAAGCTATTTTCTCTGGCATAATATATATTATGCTATTATTTTATATCTTAGTGGCTAAAATATAATGTATTTTAAAGTTATTCAATGGTTCAACCTCGACCAACCCAATTAGTCCAATTTTTATCATTTCAAATATATATTTTATAATTATTTGACATCATAATGATCAAATTATAGTATATTTTATAGGGAATCGTTTGGTATTTGTTAGTAAAAAACTAAACATAAAAATCTATTTGGTTATTTTAAACATTAAAACGATCCTCAACATTTTCAGTTCCTTTTGAATTTATATGGTTTTATTCCCGAATAAGTGATGTGCAAATGGCGAATTGTAGTCGTCTTTTTTCTTTCACTATTTTTTTATTTTCAAATAGAAAGTTTAAAAGTAAAGAATAATTAGAATTTGGCATGGGTCGGTCAAACAGGTTGAATTTCAAGTTTTGGCCCATTTGTTTTATGCATTGCAAATTTATTAGCATGTTGATGGAAATGGCTTGGAAAAAAGACATATAAGTTGTATCTTTGCATAAATGTCCTCAAATGTTTGAATGCTTTGTGAATCAGGTTCTGTGACTTTTGTGATGGTGTATGTGCTTGACGATTGCTCGATGTTGTAACTACTTAATTTAAGAGTAAATCTTTTGATTTTCCCTATGAGTTGTGATACCAGTTCTGGTGGTTGCAGCATGTTGTCGTTGTTGGCCTGTAAAAGTTGTTTCGCCGTGATGCTAAATATCTTTCTTTCTTTTTTAACAAATTGTGTAGTAGTGCTATGAAACAGACCACCCATGAACGCTACGCTTATTATGGTATGTTCTTACTTCCGGTGGTGAGAAATTGTGAATTGAGAATACCGCACTATGTCTGGTTGGTGGCTGCTTACTGTGCTCTCTAGAGTTATGAAACAGACTACCCATGAACTTTACCCTTAAGAGTCCATAACTTTGCGAAAAACCAAATATAGGCAATCAAAGGTGGTGGATGTGTGATGATTTTTTATGGCTTAATTGTTTGTGAATTAGATATCTGATCTTTGTATGATTAGAGGGGATGTTTGCTTAATAGAATAATCCATTTTAATTCATGTTTATTTTTAACATGAACTTTAGTAGCTCAAAACCTTCGAGACACATATCACCTACTGCATTGTATCATTTTGCCTGGGTGCTTGCTGTGTTGTCAAACTTCTTTGCTGCTGATGCATTTACACTAACAGGGGAGTTAAGAACCCATGAATGTTTCCGTTTGACACAAACAAGAGGACTTACTTCTAAATCGTGCACTAAAGATGATTGGAGGAAACATCTCTGTTGCAGTTGATACACTGGAGACCATAACAAAAGCAACGTATAACATCAAAACCAACCATCTGAACTATTAGCATTGTTGCTTTACTCTTTTTTCGTGGTTGAGTCTCCTTCAGAAAATTTAGTTTGATTTTATAAAATTTTGCTTCTGCAGTCCTGTCTTGCCACCAACGCGTTCAGTAGATGGAGATGGCAGAGGCGAAGGCTATTTTGTGTTGTTGTTGCTGGTTTAGGGATCGGTTTGTGAAGAAGAAGGAGAAGAGAGGGGGAAAGGGAAATGCATGAGAGGGGGATAACTCTTTTCTCCGACAAAAATGGAGTGAAGAAAGGAATTATGATCAGTAAGGATATGGTTATCTTACATAACTGTGTCTATTCTGTTTGAATTGAGCTTGGGAGGTAGTGATAAGGACGAGCTGCAACCAATTCATAGTGATAAGAGTGCTATTAACTGTGACCATGTCTTATTTCAAGTTAGAAGGTAGTTTCAGTATAGGGATTATTTAATTTGACAAGTTGTTTCGTCCATGATTCTTGGTAGTTTCAGTGCCATTCTAGCCATTGTTTAGTCTGTAATTTTTGAGAATTGATGTGCGAGTAATGACTTTCACTTAGCTTCAACTATTATGTGTGTATTTATTGGCATGTGATAGAATTCTCTTTTCCTTTTCTTTGAATTCAGTTTCATACTCTAATTGTATCATTTGTACATAGGCAAATCATGCTCGAGATGACAACTCGCTGATATGGCTGGTGCAAGGAATGAAGCCATCATTAAAATTCAGACCGACAACGGGGAGGGATGCCCAGGACTAATTCAATGATGATTGATGATGGTATGATAAAAACTGCAGTCTGCATCAGCACCAATTTCTAGGCCTAAGTAAAGTTATTCAACCCAGAACTCTGCTTAGCGCTAAAAATTGCCCTCACCCAACCTTTATCCTGTTTGACCCACTTCTGAAGAGTCAAGATATATTACTAATTCTCTCCGTTTGTATTTTCTTATTGACTCTTTCTGACCCTTTAGGTTGGGGCGGGGCGGGAAGAATCGGATTAGTGGGCCGGTCTTAATCAAGTGGAATCCCAATCCCTTCACTCTCACTTGCTTTCTCTCCCATTCCACAAGTGGGTAACATACAGTAATCCGGCCAACGGGCCGGGTAATAAGCTAGTTCATATTAGGTTGAATTTAAGCTGATGGATTATGGTATGTAGATTTTGTGAGACTCTCGTAACAATTTAACCAAATTATCCAAGTAAACGTGATCATTCCTACAATTTAGTTTGCAAGAGTGTAGAGAACGTCCCCCCCTTAACAAAATTGACCTGATAATTAATTGGTTGGTTCATGCATGCATATATATCTTCATAAAAGCGCGTGATCGGTAAGCTAGCCGGCGACATGCATGTTTCTGATTATATTACAATCAAGTATTAATTAACTACGTTAAAATATTTGATTCGGAACCAACTTTATTGTTCTTCTACGTTTAGCTGACCATGAACTCCGTCGAATTAGATCCAAAAGTCAAGATAATTTACATTAATCCACATTTCTATTTAAAATAGCACAATTACGTACCGACTTAGAAATTTTGCATAATTTTTCAAAGTTCCCTTGATTGATCACGACAGTCACTATTTTTCTGCTAAACGTTGGAGGTGAGGTAAGTCGGTGCCGAATATTTTTTTTTTCATCATCTTTAGCCTAACTGGGGATACCCGCAGTTACGGTTATAATTGCCATCCCTAGCAGTAACTTTATAATTGGTGTCTTTACTAATGGTTACTAAACTCGAATTAGGTCGGTAAAATTTTACATCCCAACAAAAACATATATTTGGTAAAACAACCCTCCAAAAGTCAAGTCAATATATAAACAAATGTTTACACGTTTTGCAGTTGTATTCACAATCATAATATGAACTTGGTGCTCATCTTCAAGCATTATAGAATACGAAAATGAAACAATTTTTCAAAGTTGGTTGGATTTGTACGTCTTTGGAGAAGATAGATGGAGGATCGTGACAGTTCCCTGGCTATAAGTTGCCATTGCCATATTTTGATGCTGACCCCATCCCCATGATTGTGATCTTGTACCAACTATATTTGTTGTAATTTAATTACAAAGTGCACACAGTTGATTAAGACAAATAAATTGGTTTACTTTTCTCTTTGGCCTTTCATCTATCTCTGTGTGTATATAATTATACATACACGGAGAGTTCTACCAAATTAGTGTGAATATGGGATATACTCGGCGGATCCAGAACACAGAAGAGCACTAGGTCGCATTTTATTAAAAAATTAAAACCGTAAATAAATATAATAATTTTTTTTGCAATATAAATTGTACACTATCGTATTTTTTAATTTAGCGTATGCAACAATAATGGAGTCCACATCCATACCAATAGTATAAACTGTTTCAAATGAAATACTTGAGCAATCCGCGAGAAATTCATTACTCATTTTATTGCGCAAATAAGTTTTTACACATGTTTCATTTTTGAAAAAGTTCTCCCGGTAGTTGCTGTTGAAACGAGCAGCGTGAACACTAGACAAATCAATCGTGCATTGTGTGTCCATCCCTAGATTCCAACTACTCTAGTAGATTTTCAAGGGGAAAAAACCTCATATTTCTTCTAATCTTTTACGTTTTAGACTTTTAGATTTCATTGTTTTTCTAGACGAATAATATTTGGGGCTAGAATTTCTAGTCTAGATAGAATAATGATTGAAAATGTTAATTTGAATTATTTTTCTATTTATACCCAATCTTATTATAAAATAACACTGAGCCGAATATCTAGTATCGAAAAATTCATAAGGACTACACTAATGCCGGATCCAGAGGAGGGCTGGGCCGGGGCCCGGGGTGGCCACCCCCTGTATCCGCCACTGTACTATATAAATTTTGAATATGATACTAGAACCTAATCTTTAATTATTGAAATCTAGGTCTTAATTCTTTTAATCTTATACATTAAGATTAATTTAATCATAAACAGTAATCAACGATTATGATTCGTCGAAATACATATATGCACCATCATAAAGTTTACGATTTATTATTTAAATAATCATGACCTAGAATTCACGCATTGCAAGTTGAGACATATTCCTTGTTGCTACGACTTGAAGACAGATTATCTACCGTTGACTAGAAGTCGGTGAGCTGGGGTCTGGTGCAAAGCAGGGGGGGGGACACAAGTATGTGCTTATGTAATTTTTATATTGTCAAGTATGGTAAAAATGCTATCTCCCACCGGTGGACATATCTAACACACATCGTATTAATAAAACACATAAATTTATGTGTTCTTTACTTTTTTGTATCGCAATTTCTCAATCCGTTATAAAGGGGTGGCAGTTCGGTTACTGTTACCAGTTAACTGATTGGTTAAACCGATAACCGACCGGTTATCCACTAACTGGTAACCCAACTTTGGTCGGTTATTGGAAGCTGGCCAAAATGGTTTTTAGTCTTAAAAGTGGTTCGGTTAACCGATAACCGAGGTAACCGAGAAACCAAATCTTATTTCGATCGGTTTTCGGTAAGGAGGGTGTTTATTTCGGTTAACCGATAACCGACCAATCGGTTACCAGTTATAACCGAAATAACCGAATTGCCAGCCCCACGTTATAACGTAGTCAAAATATACCCTCCATAAAAATTCATCCGCACAAAGTCACTAACAGTAATAATATTCTGCAAAATCAATTTTGTGGTGAGAATAAAAAAAGAACCATACAAATCAAATTGATCAAATTTGTGGTGAAAACTGGCCCTTAATTCTTAAACATTCTTTATTACTGCCAAAAGTGAAAACATAAACATTCCTTAGGGCTTCCATTTTCTGGTTGTCGTGGCGTGCTGTTTGGAATCACCAGGCCGGGCTTAGACTAATTACCGACGTGCTGCTTACTAGGCTGTGCTTTGGACAGTGGAATGAATCCTTAATTACGTACCTAAGTACAATTATTCTTTAATTTGGACCTCAATCCGATTGCTATATGCTTGTAGTTTTACAACAATTTCCGGGTTCGTCGTCCTTGATCCCCCGTGGAAAACCAGTTGGCCAGCCACGTCAGGCAAAGCTTCTGTGCTCTGTCTACTAATTCATGGTTTACGCGGAGATTAGCTGTTAATTAAATCCTCCCCATCGCCTAATTCAGTCTCATGGCTTCTCCCGTGTAGTTATCTAGTTGTCATAGGATGATAACAACATTGACCACACTCTGAATTCCAACTTGCAATAATTATATTTAATAATTACAACAAAAACTTTGCTACAATCACCGTGATTTGGAGAAAATAGATGACAGTTTGCTTAAAATGGTCTAACTGCTTACGCCCTAATGACCGATCGGATGACACACTTTACTTATTACAACGAAACTGCACCATTACAGGAAAAAAATTTAAGATCGACGACTCCAATATTGCAACGGTCGACCAGCTGCCTGACCATTAACAATGTTGGAACAAGAGTCTATCAAAAGAAAGTTTCAATACTGCATGAAAAAAAGATGATAACCTAATGGATAATTGAATCTAACTAGAATTGAAAGATCAAGTGTTACTAGTTGAAGGAAAACCAAAATAGAAGAAATATGAATAGATTTTGTAAGAAATTGAGATAAAAGGGCTAAAAACAGGGCGAGCGGGGGAAAGTAGATACCCATGCCCGCTCCACGCTACTGCGGGTCAAGTCGTGTAATATACGACGGGGCGCAGGTTCAAATTACCTTCCATATTGTTGAAGAACAAAAAGACGTCGGCGAATATCAAAAGTAGTTGCTCTTGCTCGTACAAGTAGATTAACAAGTTGACCATGCAGGTTGTTCAGTTGACCTTTAAGGTGTGCAATCCATAGGTTCATCTTCTTTAGAGCACTTTTAATTTGCAGTGTTGGTTAATGGTTGGGGTATGAAGATATCCTTGGCCTTAATTGGGTGATCTTTCCATAGTAGGACTGTCTACCAATTTCTTTCTAAACATCAAAATACAATGTTATGGTTGGCTTCCAATTGGTCACAATTTTCGATAGCGGTCGATCACCTCTCTCGTTTTAACAAAACGAGTATATGATCCGAATCCGATCAACCATTTTCCGAAATCGATTGACCGTTTGTCCAAGATACGATAACTTGAAACTTGGAAGACATCGTGACACACCCTAAATACTATGTCATTACTTCACGCACTGAGAATTTGGTAGTGGACAACTGGAGATTACAAGCCGCAGTCAGATGTAATTTGCCAAACAAAGGCAAACGGAAGCTCGCTTTCTGCTTCCTGCAACATAAAAAATGTGACGCGTGGATGTCGTTTTGGGTTTAATCAAATATAATAATAATAATTAGCCAAAGATCATATGTTAGTAGCTCAATGATAAACGTCGGGCCATCAAAATTCAACACTTAAATTGCATGTTGTCGTTGACCATAAACCTACAAATATCTCCACGTGGCTCCACCATAACACCACAATAATGTATTTAGCATTTCATTAATTATATCGGTCCATCGTCATTAAGGCGTAAACGTTGATTAATCAAATTAAACCTTCTCCTCCCTTCTCTTCACTATTCATTCACACTAAAACCCACACGTTTCCACTACAAAACAAAAAACCACACTATAATGAACAACTCATTTCCCACACACCACTATATATACAAATTCCCTTCCGTCCCCTTCCTTCCTCCATTACCTTCTCCCTCTCTCCCTCCTGATTACGCAATCCAATCCACTCCTCAGCTCGCCGGCAATCACTCCGATGTGGACTTCCGTAGCCGACTTGTTCACTCCGACCTCTCTCTTCCTCTTCCTCAACCTCACCATCGCCGCCATCGCCATCACCTCCCGCAAGAACAACAACAACAACAACAACAACAAGCACCCTCCTCATGCCTCCTCCCCGCTTCTCCACTCCGACCACTACTCCGACGACCGCCACCGCCATTTGAGGGACGACGGACCGTCGTCCCACCCATCGACCCCCACCGCGCGCGCTCTCGAGCGTGCCTCCTCCCTTTTCAAATCCATGAATACCCACTTCTCCCCGCTCCGTAGATCCGGCGGACCTGACCCGCCGGAAACAGAGGACCACGGCCACCTCCATCTCTTCGCCGACGACGACGGATCGTCATCTCTCCCGGCCAGTCCCATGGCGCGGGGGCTGGAGAGGGCGTCCTCTCTTCTCAAATCAATCAACCACTTCTCCCCGCTGCGTAGATCCAGCGGACCCGACCCGCCGGAAACAGAGGACCACCACCACCTCCATCTCTTCGCCGACGACGACGGATCGTCGTCTCTCCCTGCCAGTCCCATGGCGCGGGGGCTGGAGCGGGCCTCCTCCCTTTTCAAATCCATGAACCACTTCTCCCCGCTGCGTAGATCCGGCGGACCCGACCCGCCGGAAACAGAGGAGGACCACCACCACCAACTCTTCACCACCGACGACGGGTCGTCGTCGTCATCCTCGTCGCCGGCATCGTCTCTCCCGACCACCCCGACCGCGCGAGCGCTCGAGCGGGCATCCTCCATCTTCAAGTCTCTCCACCACTTCTCGTCCCCTCTCGGCAGGTCCGACCCGGAACCCGGACCCGACCACCTGGTGAAGCGGAGCGGGGCGGCGGCGGCGGGAGGAGGGGCCAGGAGGGCGGCGACGAAGATGACGAAGTCGGCGAGCGAGAAGTGCACGGCGGAGGTGGTGGCGGCGGTGGCGGTGGAGGAGGAGAAGGAGGAGGAGGAGAGGCGGCGGCCGGCGACGGTGAGGCTGCAGAAGGCGGTGTCGATCGGGGACGACCACGGGGTTGACTCGAAGGCCGACGACTTCATCAACCGGTTCAAGCAGCAGCTCAAGCTGCAGAGGCTCGACTCGCTGCTAAGGAACAGAGAGCTGCTCCGATCCCAACAGCAGCAACACAGCTGAACCACGAGGGAGTAAAAATTACCTTTCGATCCTCCCTTTGTTTAGGTAGGGAAAAAAAAAATACTTTTGTTTCTATTTCTTGCTCCTCGCTTCCAATGGAGACGGGGCAGGAGGGTAATTTGGCCTTTTATATCTGTGAAAAAAGGGCCAAACGGAAGGGTGTATTTGTCACTGAAAAGTTACGCCGGTGGAGGATGGGGATGCCGTAGAATTTGTTTTATTCTTTTTTTTTATATATATAATATGTATTTTTCCTTTATTATTATTTATATGCTAAGGAGGTATGTTTAGTGGAAATCGGGAACTTTGAAGTGTCCAAAACTTGGGATTGAGGTAAAGCGATAATAATAGCTTTAAAAATATTTTATTCATAGTTAATTTATAATCAAGTTCTTAAAGATGCCTCTTAAGAGGCATATATAGAATAGAAAGTGTGTTGTGCTTGCCTTCTAAAGAAATACAAACTCTTTTTGGAAATAAAGTATATGGACATGAGATTTGTTTCATCAAGTGGGTACATTTTTATAGTCCATTAATCATAAATGGTTCTGGTGTGAATTAATGTGTCTTTTTGATTCGAACATGTCGATCCAAGCTAGTATCAATTGATTCGCCAAAAAAGAAAAAAAAAACAATATACATAGATCTAATAGCATTACATTCGAGAGGAGGGATGGATCATGTAACGCATAATTCATATACTTAATCGTGTAACTAAAACTAGGTTCCAATAATGCACTTGTCAACCACCTAAATCAAATGTGTATAGCTACTTAGCTAGGTTGCTTTTGGCTAGTCTAAGTATTGGGACTCTTGATATATATGGTTTAATTACTATGATGATCATCTCGTTTTGACTACTCGTGCTAAAAAACAAAACAAAAAAATTATAAAGCACTAACCAGTTTTGTCTTGATTGTTATAAACCAGTTAACTCGAGTTGTTGGAAGAGACATTCGGTCATGGATTTTACCACTCTTAAGAAAGTGATTTTTATAAGTCCGAATATGATGTACTTAACAAATGAGGTCATCGAGTTTTGAATAGAAGACCTCTAGATTAACAAAAGACCTAATATCGTATTAAGAACCAGTAGCTAGTCTCAATAAATCGAACGGTTGGTCGTTGTTCAATTATACATCTAATAATGCCATATACTAATCGTGATTAACGTACTAAGGAGTAATTTATTTGGTCAAATCGCTTTATAGCCAGATTAGTTATTCGCGTGGGCTGTTCGTGATTAACGTACTAATGAGTAATTTATTTGTTTATGGTGGCTGCAGATGATTTCTTAGATAGATTCGACGCTACTAGCTAACTCATGCTGTGTACACGTACCTGCTCTGCAATTTAGTTCGTTCATTATTGCACAAGAATAGGAGGTTGCCATTAAGACGCAAGCATAGTGTTTTATTTATTGACGAGAAGATCATAAAATATTTAGTTGACCAACTGTTACATTGTTAGTATATCGCTATTATAAAACGAACTCATATAACATATAATATGCTATTGCGTTTACACTTATTAGATTTATCTTAATATATTTTGATGAATCAGAACTCGTCGGTTGTCATTGTTAGACTAGATGAATTTAATGTTTTGAGTTACTTAGGGGTCGTTTGGAAGTTGCGATAGTTTTGTTGAGATTGTCATTATGCATGTATTGTTTACAATGCATCGTTTTTTTGTTTTTTTTAGCAGAAACAATACATGGATTGTTTCTGTGACGTGACAGAAACTATCACTCATTTTGAGTGATTGTTATATCTCAACTTTTAGTTGTGATTGTTGAGATAGTTGAGTTGAGATTGTTTTGTCTCAGTTTTTAGCTGATGCGACATACACAATCACACATACCAAACGTTGTATTCTACAATGCATCAAATTCGACAATACATGTATAGTATTATACATGCATTCTCAACAATACATCTATTTAACAATCGCAACTTCCAAACGACCCCTTAGTTATGGACTGAGATTCAGCCATTAGACATTAGGGTATAATACTATGACTTAAACAACAAAATTCATTGAACGCGCGATAAAATTAACGTACGTCGGACATTCACGAAACTGAGCCTATATGAAAAAAAACTAGCATACACCTGATGTACGCAATACAACGTGATGCTGATGAGAATGAACACAAGAGGCTACTCGAACTCGATTCGTTGATATGATTCAGTGTACCACAATAACGTTTTATGGGCGTGACTGTGATCACATGCCGACATGGACGGTTCAGGAGACGGGCGTGGGTTTCGACCTTGAAGATGTGGGTTTTGCTTTTGCATGCTAGGCAAGTGCATGCTTCGAAGTTCAAAGTTCGAATACGTAAGGCGATACGAGATCCGAGGTTTAAATGTCGGGTATTATTAATAAATAATTAGTTGCTCAAGGCTCCTCTAATTCAATTTGTATTACTTTGATTTCTATTTCAGTCATGTATGATGATACTAAACAGCTTTTTGTAGAGGGGAATACCAGCTATTTCTCGATATATGATATTAGAGTTTTTATTTTTATTTTGTTGTGAGGTTAACTACTCAAAACCTGCTATTTTCAAATATAAATATGACATTAGAGAGCAAAAAAGTATATATAGTAGGCTTATGCAATCATCGTAAGGCGTAAGTAGGAATGGCAATGGGGCAGGTCTGGGCCGGGTATCTCGATACCCATACCCGCCTCATGGCAGGTCGGGTCCAGGTCGGATAATTTATTATGGGATGCGGGTCGGGACAGGTCGACCCAATAGGTATGTAATTTATGTGACAAATTATAAAAATATTCATTATTTTCATTAAAATACCAAGAAATAAACCATAATATGATAATATGATAAAATGTAGTTCAAAAAATGAAGATAGAAGCTCAAATCCGAACTTATGTCAGATGTAGTCAACCATATAGCTCAAATTGGCGTCCCGAGCATCATTTCTCAAAGAACCTAGATCACCCCAGAATTGTGTGAATATGCATTACTTGGAGGCTAGCCCAGGAAATGCTCGAAAAATTCGGCTAAAAGATTTTTACTTCTACTTTATCTCTCAGAAAACCTTACGAAAGAGGTTACATAGACTCTCTCATCGAGCATTAGAGCATGAAGTCATACAGGGAGGTTACTGTGCCTACACAACAATGCGTAAATGAATTATCTTATTCAGATTCAGTATTGGGTACATCTCCCAAACCCCCAACAATTCTTGTTATTAATATGTGACAGGTTTTTTATATGATATATGTATCTAAACGTATCGTTGAAAAATTATTTATTTGAAATCTACTAATTTCCAATATCAACACTTATTTAACCACGAAATATGGTCTAAGCATGTGCAAACTCTCATTTGAGTGGCAATTGTCCCGATTGTAAAGGCAACCGCAAAATTCAATTGATTGATGGAAAATTTTACCCTCTTCAAAAAATGGGGGATTCTTCTTCCTCTTTCCAGAATTGTACATTATACCTCTTTTGAGTGGGAGGTCTACTCAGTGAAGTTCAGCATGTACACTCCTATTTCATGCAAGTAAGTAGGCAGATCGATCCCCCAAAGTGCAAAACACGTCGGAATTCGACTAGAGTGAGTGAGTTCCCATCACAGAACCAAAAGCAAGAAAGCTTAGCTAATTCTACTAAGATAACCGACCAAATGTATGCGCATCCATGTTGTAAATCCAATAAAGCAATCCCCAACTTTCCGTCACATATATAAAAGTGTTAAAGGTGACAACTTCACCTTTTTGGTGTTCAGAATCATGCAAAATGTTTCTTGTAGAGATTTTGGCTTCAAGATTCCTAACGTGTTATATTTTTTTCCTATTCGTTTTCATAGTTCGGAGATGGCAAAATTTTATAAGTATGAATATTGCGATACAAAAAATGTCATTGTTAGTTCCTCATCCAATAAATTCGTAGATCATACATGAACCTTCTATTCGAAAGTGTGCTCGTCTTCTGCATGATTTTCAAGGCTGGATGATACCGTGAGTGGGTTAATTTTTCGTGATAATGTTTTCTCAAATTGATGATGTTGAATCTTGCGTGATTTTTTTCGAACTCTCCATCCATCTGCCTACCTATATAAATATATAATGGCGAAAAAAATCATGTTGACTTTAATTTTTTTTTAAATGTTTCAACAGAAAAAAAAATTAATGTTATGTAACTTGCCGAACGTTATTTCGACTAATATATTATCCACTTTGGGCCTACACCCTCACGCTTTTTGCCTTGTACTGCATATCAATGTGGTTTCCCGTAAGGTCACTCATACTTGAAGTGCTCCACTGTGATCAAGTTTAACTTCAGAGTTCTTACAAGAACGCCATTTCACTCAAAAACTAGTCTTGTCAATTAAGGTCGGTTTCCTACCTTATAAACCATGGATCACTCCGATGATTTGTCGACGTGGAATTCCGATGATTTGTCGACGTGGAATTCGCCTATTGTGTCTATCTAAATGAAAAGAAAAAAAGTCGGCCCGATCTGCGGAGCCAATTAGAAACCCAAAAATCAATGCTTGTGAAGTGTGCGTGTCTGTAGAGAAGCCCTTCAACGATGGGCCGGTCCAAAGATTTTGTATCTGAGCTTGGGCCTGAAACAGCCGCGAAACTGGCTCACCTTCCCCGACCTTTCCTCCCAGGCTCAGAAGCACAAAACCTACACAAGCCGCCGGCCCGTCCGCTCTCCCGCCACCGGATCATCGTCGCCTCCTCCTCCGCCACTCTCTCTTCCTCTCATCATCATCCCCTGCCGGCCGAATCCAGCCATTTCGCCTCCGCCGCCAATTCTCTCCGGTTGTCGCACCAAAGACGCTTTCCTTGTGGTCCCAAGCTTCAGGTAGGTAGTAAGCCCTTCTCCTCCCATCCAACTTTTTTTTCCGGCATCGAGCACTCCCCGGCTTGAAAAGTAGTGCGGTTGATAGTTGATTAGATGTAACTTACACCGAAATGGCTGATGGATTCCTAGAATTTGTTTCGATGATGGTATTGCAGCAAAAGCTTGTAACGCCGAACAAACCCCTAAACCCTAGCTCAGTTGGCCATCTTAGGATCGGGAATTATCTTTTTACCGTGCTCTTTGATCTCATTTGATATGAATTTTCATCACGCAGAGACGAGTAAGAGGGGAGGAAGTGAGAAAGAAAATTCAAAATGGTGGTCAGGCTCAGATTGTCGAGGTTTGGCTGCAAGAACAAGCCATTCTATCGAGTGATGGCTGCCGACAGCAGATCCCCTAGAGATGGCAAACATCTTGAAGTACTGGGATACTACAATCCTTTGCCAGGTAATACCTTTCCCTCCAATCCCCTGAGTCTCAGAATCATGTAGGGAATTGTTATCATTTGGTAGCAACTCTGTCAGTTTGCCATTCGTGCCGTACTGATTTTCTGGATATGTCGATTTCTGGTTTCTAGGACAAGATGGTGGCAAAAGAATGGGTCTTAATTTTGAGCGAGTTAAGTAAGTAACTTAGTCCTTTCATTTCTTGTTTTGATCATGTTCTCTAGGTCTCTTGAGTTCTTGTATTTTACGATCTTTTGCATCTAAGATTCGTTTTCCTTAATCTAACTCATACGTGATTTGCAACAATAGGTCTTTTGATCTGATTTTTTTTTTATTTATCCGTGAGATTCTTGGAAGACTATATCAAAGAATGAGGTTTGGTTGTGAATGTTGAGTTCATGCTTTTGTTCAAGATAAATGTACAACCTATGGAAGTAGGAATTGTTAATAGAGGGAATAGTTAAGAGGTACCATGCCAAGAAGAAAACTTATACAGTGGAAAGAGAAGAAGCAAAGAAGTAGAAATGGGTTGAGAGACAACTATCTTTTTAAAGGACACTGCTAGTTCTTGCCTTGTGGCTGTATAACCACCAGTCTGCTAGGGCCTAGGAGATGGAAGAAGTGAAAATTTTGAAAGATAGGAGACGGAAAAAGATGATTTTGTCTTGAATGAGTGTGCAATTGGAGATTTCTCTATTTAGGAAGTAATCATGGGGGTATCGAGGGCATATATGATGAGGCACTTGTTGAGCTTTTGATTCTTATGTTCCTCGGGGGTTTGTCAGACAGCCAACTGGTTTTTGTTCCATATTGCTGGTTCAAGAATGAATGAAAGTGCCATTTTAGTTGCAACCGTTGCTGCTTCCCTTCCTGCAGTAAGAAAACCTTATTTGTGAAAGTGCTCTAGTAAAATTTCCTCCACTTATCTGTAGTTGTACATATGCTGCCTCCTTTTGCAAGTATCTGTTAATGGCGAGAGTGATATTCCCGAGTTGGAAATCTTTAATTAATAACCGACCTCCACTCTTCAATTTGCCCACTGTCCTTTCTTTCTGTTTCCATCTGTTGTAGTATCTGATTTAGCCATGCATCGATATGCTAAATCTTTTACATGTAGTGTGTGTTGTTGTAATACAAAGACTACCAATGATATTTTGCTATACATTCACCATGCTATCTGTGTGGGTTTTTTTTCTTCTATTCCAGGTACTGGTTGTCAGTTGGTGCTCAAGCCTCGGACCCTGTCCAGCGGATTCTGTTCAGAGCAGGGGTTCTCCCTCCGCCACCAATGTTGGCAATGGGTCGCAAAGGTGGGCCACGTGACACCCGTCCAGTCGATCCCCTCACCGGACGAGTATTGAACACTGAGAAGCCGCCAACAACCCAATCAACATCCGATGATGCAGCTGGAGCTTCAACTTCATGAAAACTCATATCTCAGGAAGCCACCGCCCACCAGTTTCAAGTCTTATGTTTCTCTGATCATCCACTGCAACGTGAGATTAGGATCAATGGCTTTTAAAGAGCAACGTGACTTAGTAGAAGCGCGTAGTAGCGCACAATGGCTTTTAAAGAGCAACGTGAGATTAGGATCATGTTCTTTTGTTCAAAATTATGGTTTTCAAAACCCTAGAACAGCAACTTGAAAGCAGGAATAGGTGGAAAATGGTAATATCTGAATCTTTTCTCAGTCGATGTAATTTCAGTAACTCGATATGGGTTTATAGTTGATACTTTACGAAGTATACTAGGGTGCTATGATAGTATGATTAAATGTTTGTACGCAGAGGAGCGCACCATAAATTTTTACGGTACCTTTGTTCTTTGAAAAGCAAAATAACCGGGATTTATTTTAGAAAGCTGGATTTGGGGAGGGTTTGCCTCGGCATACTTTTTCTTTGTTTCTCAAACGTCTGTTGGGTTTGATCCATCAACCGTCAGTGGTTATGGCTTTTGTTGCCATCCTTTGAAGGATCTGGCGATCTCGAAATTGGGTAGTCTTTGAAGGCAAACAATTTGGGATCTCGACACTCATGCGATAGTTTAACCAACAGTATGAGGAATGGGTGGGTCTACCAGCTAGGGGTGGCTTTTTGGACCGGGACCGGATTAAAAACCGGAAACCGGACCGTATAACCTGGACCGAGACCGAACCGGGACCGATTAGCAAACAATCCAATCCAATCTTTGGGCTTAAATTTGAGGTAAAAAACCGGATAAAGAACGGATAAGAGAGCTCAACACCCAAAACTTAAGGGTAATTTGCATAAACGGTCACAAACCTTTGCACTTAGTACAAAACTTAACCAACTCCTCACCCTTTAAGGCCTTAAGCCACTCAAATCCCACAATATCAATGTAAAATCAAGACCGAATTGGGACCGGACCGGATCAAAACCGGACCGGATCAAGACCGGACTGTATCCAATCCAATCTTCGGTCCTTATATTTTCAAAAAGACCGGACTGGACCGGATCCATTTGGGCCAATTTAACCGGACCGGACCGTTTAGCCACCCCTACTACCAGCGAATCAGGCGCCTAGGGCACAGATTCCGATAATACAATCTACAGTGCAAGTGGGTGATCCTCATTTGGTTTGCATGTGGGGAGCTACTAAGGGTGGGTCACATTCGACTGGTGGGATGGTTCTTTTTGACCCATAGCGGACACTCCTTATGGCTAGAGGGGTCCAGTTTTCTCAAATTGATGATCCTGTAGTGGTGGAATTGCTTGTGCTTAGGGATGCTATTATTTGGTGTGTGGAGCAAGTTTGTCGGAGGTCCGATTTGAGGGAGATGCAAAGGTGATTATTGACAAAATTAATCAAGCCGACACGAGAGATAGCCGGTTGGGTGCTCTTCTGGAAGAGATTGCTCATTATTTTCGTACTCAGCCTGGCTTTAGTGTGTGTTTTGTAGGTCGGGAGAACAATAGGGTAGCTCATTTGGTAGCTAGGAAAGCCCTCTCTTTGTATCCGACTATGAGTCGCTTCTTTGATTTCCAGACCTGGCTGGTTTCCAGAATGTAACTGTCTATTTTTTCGATCAATACATGATATCTTTTGACAAAAAAAAATCATTCTTTATGGAAAAATGAATGTTATTTCTGGCAACTCTATGGATCTTGCCACTTCTTTTGTTATTTCTGGCAACTCTATGGAAAAAATGAATGTTAAATGAATTTTATAGTTCATACATAGAGAATTAAATATTGGGGTTCACATTAGAGATTAAGGTATGGTATAAGTTAATTCATGGTCTAAATAGCAAAATTCTTTGAGCGTATGATAAGGTTAACATACATCATACATACGCTAGTTTTTGTCATATATATATATATATATTAATTTGTTTATTAACTTACCATTTTTTTTTTTTAAAATCCCACATATATCTCCTTTTTTTTACTAGAATTTTTTCCTTTGGAAAGAAATCCATTTTCAGTTATGCATTTACTGTTTATATTTAATTACCATATATTTTTCTCAACAACCACCTTTCATCTTTTAGTATTTATAAAGAAGCAACCCCCCGGTATCTCCCACAAGAGAAGAAAAAAAAAAGATTGAAAAAAAAAAACTTAAGCCTTAGTGGTGGCAAGTACTTTTGCCAGATCTTCCTAAAGGTGTGGTGTTGTGGCAAAGCGAATAACGACGCGATGACGGAACAGACGACAGAAGTAGTAGCCGAGGAGATCAGCAACAACAACGTGTCCATTGAACTTCTCAAGGCCAAACTGGCAGCGTTTGCAAAGGAAAGGGACTGGGATCAATTTCACAGTCCTAGGAACGTCCTCTTGTGTTTGGTATTATGGCTTCTAAACTGACCCTGCTTCGCCTTAATCTCAGTGATTTTTTATTACTTCCAGTATGCTTTGTTTGTTGCACGATGATTGATGAATGAGAATGGTGGAATTCGGTGCAGGTTGGGGAAGTTGGGGAGCTATCGGAAATATTCCAGTGGAAGGGGGAGGTGGAGAAAGGGCTGCCAGGATGGAAGGAAGATGAAAAGGTTCATCTTGGTGAGGAGCTCTCTGATGTGCTGCTCAACATTGTGAGGCTCTCTGATGTCTGTGGGATTGACTTGGGGAAAGCTGCTCTCCGTAAGCTCCAGCTTAATGCAATTAAGTACCCTGCTGACATTGATTACACCAACAACTACAGCATCAAGAAAAACAGGGGTGCCAGCAGTACGAAAGAGGTGCATAAATAAAGGTGTATGAGTAATTGAATTCTAATCAATGAGCCCATAAAGCAAAAGAAAATAATAAGGCAAGATAAAGTAAAAGCTTTCTCAGTGTTTGTTTGTCAAAGTAGTATATAGATTGAAACAAAGTAGTTATATCTTGGAGGTCAGCCATGTCTGGTGATCAAAAAGACTACTCATAGTCGGGTACAAAGAGAGGGCCTTTCTAGCCACCATATGGGCTACCCTATTGTTTCGCTGACCTACAAACCGAACACCAAATCCATCATGCGAGGCGAAGAGATGAACAACTTCTTCAAGAATGGCCCCCACCTAGTTATCCGCAGTGCTACCTCTATTAATATTGTCAATGAGCACCATAGCGTCCCCCTCAAAGCGGACTGCTGTCAACCCCTGAGCAAGGCACCACCGCATAGACTCTCGTAAACAAAGTAATTCGGCCACCAAAGGGGCATCCACTCCTGGAAACTGATACCCTTGCGCACAAATGACCTCCCTATTAGGACCCAGGAGGACCATCCCACCCGCAGAATGAGAACCATTCCGAGTCGCCCCATCCCACATACACACCAGGGAACCACTGTCCACAGGAGGACCGGGGGCAGGATGAGGGTTAGAGAGACTGGTGCCTGTATCTTTTGGCAAAGTGACCCACTCCTCATATTGCTGGTGGAATTGACGCATCAAGGCAGGAATCCCAACCTGTTTTCCTTCAAAGGCCACCCAATTTCTTGACCTCCAAATTCGCCAGAGAACGGCCACAACTGCCATGATAATTGAGGGTTGGGACAAAAGGGACATCAAACGCTTAAGAAATAAAGGGAAGGTCTGACGCGGCAACCCCTGCCCTAAATGTTCCAAGCTCGAATGGTCCCAAAGAGCTCGCGCCACTGGACAGTACAGGAACAGATGCTCCATGGTTTCAGTTTCAGCCAAACAAACCGGACGACGGGGGTGTACTGGGATTTGTTTTTCAACTAGCATAATGACCGGCCCGTTGGCCGGATGAGATTAATATAAGGTTGTTGTTGTTGGTATAAGTATGGCACAGAATGTGATCAAGCAATCTTATGTGTATTTTCACCCGGCCCGTTGGCAGGTAAATTTTTTATTTGGTTTATATACTATCATATTATGTATCCGTTATACCGCCCAAAATTCTCAATCTCTCAAAACCATACGATGGCAAGTTGAGTATTTTAGTTTGGGTGCAAAACAGGATGGATATGTTCATGAGTATACATTTCAAAGAAAAATATTTAACATAAGAAATTCATTAATAATCTGGGAGAAAAATGTTATATAAAATAGAGGCTATGCTATAATAAATATAATTAATTATTTGGGATACCCGTGAACCGAATTTAATGGTTCATGGTTCTTCTTCGAGTACCCGAGTACTAATCTCTCCCACTGCCGACACAATTTCCCTCGCCCCTCACTCTTGATTCCTTTACTCCATCGGTGTAGCCATCCACCTAGCTCCTCCTCCCTCCCTCCCTTACCAATCCCGCCTTCCAACCGATTCATCACCATCGCCGACTTCTGTTATGTAGTGGCAGCGATTAGAGCCGGAGAGGAGCAGCGGACTCTTCCGCCCCACCTTAGGAACCTCTCCTCGGTTCCACCTCGATTCCGTTAGGTTTTGGTTTCGGTTCTGGGTTTCACCGAAACCCGAAACACAGCCATATTAGGAACCAGACTCGATTTTTCTTTTGATGCATCGGTTTTCAGTTTCCCGATACCCGACACTTTTGGTTTTGGATCCGGGTTACCCGGAACACCAAACCTGAACGTCCACCCCTAGCTAGAAGCCAATATTCCTGCTTCAATCCAATTAACTGCTCCAATGAATATGAAGGAGTTTGTGTCTATTGTGATGTGTGACAGTGTGACTGAGTCTTGAAATCAATTTTGAAATGGAAGCAAAAGAGTTAGATCAAAGCCACCCAAGAGATGAGAAAATAGTATATGAGGAATCGGCCACTACCTCTGACCACCTGAACCTTTGAGGTTGAAATTTGATGTATTGCACTGTACACAGGAAACATTAAAGCAAACTTTTTTAGCAAGCATATATAAAATATGAAACGGAAAGAAGTTAAGGGAAGAAAATGTACCAGAATATGACAATCGTTGACAGTTTCATGAACATAAGGATCCCAATTCAGCAGAATAGAAAAATCATGTTGCTTTGGTGCTGTTGTGAAGCTGAATTCCACAGGAAATGAAGCAAGACAGTTCAAACCGCGAGGCAAGCTTCTTCTTCTTCATTCGCCCCCTTCCTCACATTCTTGTTTCAAAATCTCCTTAAACCAGTAGTTTGCAGGTAACTCACACAAACCAAGAACATAAAACATACCAAAGATGATTGCTTCTAAACATAGAAGAAGCAGTTGGTCTTACCATAAGTGGTTGGAACGTATCTGCTTGTTGTTGCCTCCCCAACCGGAAGAATGTCTGATAAACCTAGAAACCCTCTCAAGGGGTTGTTACTCATGAAAATTACAAAGCGATATTGAAGGGCTCAGGTAAGGAACCTAGATCGAAATATTGAAAGAAGAAGAAGTAGAAGAATAAACGAACATACCTGAAATCCTGAATGCAGCAGCAATCCAAACAGGCTGAACGTCAAACACACTTTAGAGGGCGGATTCTCAAAAACCATAAGTAGATTTTGAAGGAGAAGCCAGAGAATTTGAAATCCCTGAGGCCTGAAAATGACGGAAGGAGCCCTTGAAGTAGCGTATGTCAAGGCAACTCCCTGCTGCAACCCGCCACAGACCAAGAAATCGTAAAAATTAATAGTATTTCAGAAATCACGCCAAGTTCAAACTTATTTGATCAAGCAGAACAGAGACACGAACACGTAACCGACAAATATATCTACAACACAAAACTGAAACAACCTCGCGCCTTGGCATAGATTGAATCACTTACTGATTTTCAGAAATCACCATCAGGAAACCAACATACATATATCTGAAACTGATAACAGGACAATTGGCAGCATAATGCAACAACATGACAGCTCAAAAATGCAAGTGGAATGGCTGGACATGAATATGTCTCCCACATCAGCTATGAAATCCAGAAACACAAAACAACTTGGCGGTAGGAATTACAAAACTATGGATAATGAAAATAATACGAAGAAACCTATGACTGGGGCACTACCGAAATGATACCATAGAGCATGACAACCTTCTGATTAACTTCTATCAATTTTAGAGGCACTGTCTAATATTCAAACAATTGCTCAAGCAAGCACTGCCGAAACAATAATTTACACTATTTACAAAATCGTTAAAGCACTCAACACAATCTCGGTTCAAACGCTCCTACTAAACAATGGCTAACAAAACAAAACCAAAACCAAATTAATTGTTAGAAGACATCTACATCTAACAGGGTCAAGTTATATTAAACTCAAAAGACCTAACAACGGGCAAGCAAAGACAGTTAATTAGGAAACAACGGAAAGTAAATATTACTTGTAAGGAGGTTCACTGAAAGCAAAAATGAACTCACCAATTGAAAGGACAGAACTTCAATTACGGTCATGTCAAAATGAACCAAAGAAATATTGTAATGTAAGTTAAGGGCGGCAATTCCAGTACCTGATCGCGTACTAAAACCACAATTGGGGTTGGGGAATCACGTGCCCAACTCTTGAGAAAGAAATCAATAGATGAGGTCAAGGTTTCCAGTTACAGATTGAGAACTAAAGCGACAGTAGGCATAAGAGATTCATGTTCCCTATTGACAATTGAAATCAATGGTTGGGTCAAAAACTCCAATTTTTGTTTGACAAACAAATCGAAGACTTGGGGATGGTAAACTGATCCAGAGGGCTCACCTTTTAATCGACCCGTAGACAACAGAGATTCAAAATCTTTGACCCCGATGACGTCGTAAGCCAATCCAAAGCTCCCGTTCGGCTCGCACAAACCCATGGAGTTTCACTGACAGAAGAACAACCAGTATAGAGATATCAGAGAGGAGAAACACCAAACAGAGGAAAGTGAGATAACAATGAATTGGCACTAAAAAGTACCGAAAAAAGATATTTTATATATGTACCATAGATTGTTCAAATCGCCACCGTAGCAATAGATCAGGAGCTGAAGGAAGGTCAATCAATATCCAACCAAATGCAGCAGGTAATTGCAGAACAGAACAACTTATGGAAGTGCACATAGAAATTAACAGAAGGCGCAACTACAAACTTGGGTATCATCCAACATTGAAATCCTTCAAAGTAACCACATTCTACTCACTGCGCCTAGAATTCAAACTCCCACCTCATTTCCCAGCTATTGTTTAATTACATGGCAGCAATATATAGCAAAATCAGATGAATGACCTTAACATGGCTTGATAAAGGGGTGGCAAAGAACAGTACTTCACCATCTTTCAAGCTCTTACCTCGTCCCTCGAGTCTTCTGCATCAACAGATTCTGCTTTCTCTATGAGTTGGTCTTCACCCGCTGCAGATTCTGCAGCAGCAGGAGCTGCCTCATTAGCATTAACATCATTTCCCTCTGCAGATCCTGTCTCCTCTTCCTTGTTCTTAGGTGGAAAGAGATTAGCAATGGTAATTTTTGCCCTTCTCTCGCTTTCGCTTCAGCCTTTAGCCTAGCTTTTTCTTCCATAAGATTGTCTAGTTCGTCTCCTCTCCCTTCCTTGTTCAACTCGCCTTTCACTATCTCCTGAAGCTCCTCATTCACGTTGATAGCCTCATTATCCAACATTGCATCGACCAATTGAAGCACTTCGTCCAACCTCCCATGATCACTTAGTGCTTTCATTATGAACTTATAGCTCTCATTATTCATCCTCTGTTTCTTCACCATCAGCTCGTACAACTATTTTGCCTCGTCAATCTTCCCAGCCTTAACCAACTGATCAACCAGTCTATCATAAACAGGCAAGTCCGTTCTCAGCCCTGAATCGACCATCTTCCTAAAATATGCAGCACCATCATCAATTCTACCCTCGCGAAAGCAAGCATACATCAATAAAATTATCCCTTGTGACCGATTCCAATCTGAAATTATCTAGCATCATCATCATCATTATCATCAACATCAAGTAAAATGGAAAAGGACGAAAAGGATCTGAAAGGGCATCAGACCTAGCAGTCTCGGGTTGACCCAGCAAACTCTTCTGGAAGGGATTCGGAGAGGATCGGGAAGAGTCGGGAAGTCACTGGCGAAGACGAATCAACCACTGAATTCTAATTCCGCGATGATATGGAATTTGCCGGCCACTGGTATGAGGTGAGGACGAAGGGACAATTAGCGGTTGCAGGGGCGATTAAGCATGGCTGAGTTGCAGATTGGGAAGAAGCGGCACCGTCGGAATGCGTCGCTGGTATGGGTGAGGAAGAAGGGAAAATGAGCGTTTGAGAGTCGCTGGAATGAGGTGTAGACGAAGGGATATTGAGCAGTTGCAGGGACGTGTATACTGATTTTTCGAATAATAAAATATAAGGGATCCACTAAGACAATTTACTTTCCACAATTGCCCCTAGCGACAATGCAGGAGAGGCCAAGGATTTCAAAATGGAGAAAATTAGCCGGAGAACGGCTATATATTATAGGAGGATCAAGGCTTCCGTAGTGGGCAAGATTCGGTCAAAGATCTGCCACATAAACACCTTCAATTTGGGTGGAATATCCGCATCCCACAGACAAATCCAACTGCTCTTATCCATCCATGCAGGTTTTTAGTGATATTTATTGTTTTTTATTAATGATCACTTGAATTGCATTATGAAAGATCAGTTACCGTATAAAAAAGAGACCAACCAAAGAAAATTGAAACTAGATCAAGAGGAGCTATTCCAAAGCATTTGGTTAACAAACCATGCATGCTCGAGAGATAAAACATAAAGAACACTGCACAAAGTGAATTAACCCAACACTGAACAAACCATGCACAAAGCGAATCAACCCAGCAATGAACAAACCATGGCTCGGGCTTGACTCGCTATTAGCTCATGAACGAGCTCATCGAGCCCAACTTAACGAGCCAACGTATTTTAAGCTCAACTTCATATCAGGCTTTAACAGCCCAATAATTCCTTTGACAGTTACCTATGCAGACATTGTGAACCAATGCAAAGCAATAGTTCGTTCACTGGACAATTTGTTAGACATCACTTCAGGCCATGCTATGAATTCTAATTTAGAGAAAAAAAACCCATCACTAGTATATAGTTGGATAAAGTATGAAATCAATATATGGATATTTAGTCATGTATACAAAGTCTTAAACCATATTGAGTTCTAAGATATGTAGTATAGTCAACCTACAAGTTATATCACTAACAATAAGTTGAAACATATGCAATCTAACCAACCTACGTGTTATTTTACTTACAATAGGCCAGTCTATGAGCTAGTAATGAGAAGCTAATCAAGTTGGTGTGTGATCCATACCATCTAGTTTACTTATGATCTTAAATGGAATTAATCTTTGAGCCACAATATCAAGTTATTTCGTGAATTTTGATGGAGCTAACTCTCTAGCCACACTATCGAGTAAGCTCATGAGCTTTAAACGAGCTATCTCAACAAGCCGAGTTAACTTGATCGAGTTGAAGAGGCTCTGAATCGTATTTAACTCATTAAAAAATGAGTAAGCTCATGAGCTAGCTTATTAAAAATCAAGCCAAACATCGAGCGAGTTTTAATCGATCTGAGCTCCATGCCACTCACGAGTAACTTAGCTCATTTGCAGGCCAAGTAGTAATTATATGTTCTCCAATCGACAAGGAGTGACCTAACGCACCTGCCAGGATATGACCAACAAACTCTATATCTTAGCAACCAACACAAGTGTGGATGAGTATTAGGTGTCGTATGAATTAGTCGGATGACCATCTGTGAGTCAAAATGCATAAAGTCCTTCCTAATCTCCAATTCCCAATCAATTTTGAATATATGCGCAAATCGAGCCAGCTCTGCATGGGTGATAGAACCCTCCTCCAAAAGGTTCACTGAGAATGCGTGAATTAAGCGACCATCATTTTCCCTCAAGACGTTGCTTGTCGTCGTATCAAAAGAAGAGTGAACAATCGATATGTCATTGTTGATGCTTGCCTAGTGCTGTGATGGTCTCCAGCGGATTGGCCATCATTCTACTATCCTCTCTAATATAGAAGACTTCTCTCCTTCTTGCGGGCTAACATAGTGTGTTGCCTTAGCCCTTTGATGTGCAACTGAAGTTGTGGTCTCGAGCTTGCGTACAAACTTATGACTATCTTGGTTCTTCCATAGAAGCCAATATGTGCCTGCAAAAAAACTCAATACCAATACTCTGAATCTGGCCTGAAATGTAATGCATGATCCGTTTATTTAGGTTCTCCACGAAGAACTTCGCATTTGGTTCGTTGTTTAGGAAAGTTGGTCACACAACCAGGGCATATGGGCACTTTATAATTATATAAAACATTGTTTTTTATGCTCCCCGCAAATTGTACATGCCACAATTGTTGTCAAATGCCTCTTTTGGCGCTTAGAATTGGTGAGAAAGTGTGGTTGCGTGGCCACCCAACCACACTTGTTCGGTTTGTGGCCTCGTTTCTTTCACAGTTGCTTCGTGCAACATGCACTCCCTTTCTCCTTCTGTTCCACCCCTATCTCCATGGGTCCTCCAATTCTTCAGTTATATTCCCCTTCCTGGCTTGCCAATTGTTTGAGCCAAGATTCCCTTCTCTTTCCTATGGCGCCCCAGTCGTCAATTTCCTCCACGTGCAAGGCGCCTAGCGTTCTACATGTGAAGCGCACAACAGACTTAGGTGGTCCGTTAGCACTCGGACAATTAGTTAGCACCACGATTTAGAGAGAGAAGTAGTGGAAAGTTTAGCGAGAAAATCCAACCTGAGTAAATGAGGTTCACCTACCGCCTCACGTCATCACCGTAACAAATGCACCGTACTTTTTTATCACCATGCGCCTCAACCATCTGACACCGTTTTCAGAGGTCCAAGGCGCATGACCTCACTTCACTGAACCCTCCGTATGCTTTCGACCGTTGTGTCTCCTTGTCCTTATGCACCCCGTGTCAGAAGTTGCATCCCACCCATTCAAGCTATCAATTGTCCACTTGGGCCGAGCCCTATCCTCATTATGCTCGCATCTCGGGCCTTGACTGCCCTTTTGGGCCCTTTTCTCTACCTATTGTCATACCCCAACAATTATCAAAATATAAATGAGAAACCAAAAAAGTCTATTAATTAAGTGGCTAAGTACATTTTTTAAACTCCTTCTGAAATTACAAATATATAAAGCAAAAGTATTAAATAAGGTAAATAATTTCGATTTTTGGCAGAAATATAAAATTTTGAGATAAGTAGCCAGAGACAACTAAAGAAACTTGTCCAAATACATTTGTACTTTCACTATGCTTAATGTGTATGCATATCTATTATTATGGTGTGTAATCTGGAAATTGCCTCTATCTACACATTTGCCCACAATTTTTTTCATTTTCCATCAGAATTATATGAATTCATTTTAGAATTTCAGAAAGTTAATAAATATTTTTATTTTTTAGTAGACTCTATATTTGTTTGTCTTTTGAACTTATCATGACAATAATTATTTGGAAACCAGTCTAAGAATAAAAGGCAAATAACATAAACCTTACAATTTTGAGAAAGAAAAAGATAATCACGCCAGCTTCCCAGGGAGATAAGATAATGTACCATAAATATTTTTTTCGTTAAATAATATACCATAAATTTTAATTTGCAGGAAATATGAATAAAAAAATATAGAAGGACAGGCAAGTCAATTCACATTTTATGTTTAAAAATGTATTTGAATTAATAGAAATATTTTCAGTAAAAAAAAATCATCTGCGCATAAATTGTAACATTGTTATTGATAAAATAAAAATATTCTCTATAACAATATCCGTCTGCCATGCATCAAATTTTAATTGAAATAAAACTTGGTTAATTCCGTTTTATCAAAATTTCATTGAGATTATGCTTTGATCAATACTTTGTAAATTTATATAGAGAGAACTAGCTGTAGTTATTTTCGTAACCTGTTATTTAGTTTAGTGCATTGTTGTTTACGGCTTGCATTGACCCCATATTTCAAACCAAAATTATTTATGAAGCAATCTATTAAAAATTTACGATCATAATAATGCGTGTAAGCTACACGCGTACTTGAAAAATATGCTCTAAGTTTGAAATAATCTATATTTTGTGAAGTGTATTATTGATTGGTATTTGCATTGAACATAAGCTATTATATAGATTTCTTATGATGATTGCAGGGGTATTAACTCATACGCGAATAGGAAATCGATGAGTGAATCGCCTAGAACAAACGGAAGTATAACTTTGACCAACTTATCACAACTTATCTCGTTATATGTGTGCCTGTATTAAATTTAAAACTAGAATTGCGCTCGTGTCATGTACTTAACTTTCATATATGACAATTATATTTTAAAATTATTACCGAGAATGAAGTATTACCAATAAGTATTTATATTAATAAACAACAATCATGTTAGCATAACCTATATATCGTAACTACGTAAATTGGATCACTCTCATGCGCTTTCGGAAAATAGGGTTAAGTGATACGATTTCATTTGAGTTTCACTAATCACGATAATAAATAACACTCTTCTTACTATTTTATGAAAGTATCTTTACTTAAAAAATGAACCCTAAATGTCAATGCTCCACCGCCTGTGCCCTAATTTTACCCTTTCACTTCGATTTTAAAAACCAACATTTCTAGTTCTAATTAATAAAATACCAGGTGTTCAGTCAAAAAAAAAAACCAACATTTCTGCCTTGAGATGAATGATATTTTTTTTTTGTTTCCTGTTAACACAAAACTTGAAACAAATAGCTACACTAAAGAAGCCAAAGTTATCCAAAATGTCCATTATGTCCTTAAGAAATTCGTCATTGTTATTTCTCAAAGGTAATTTGTAACAACTAAAACTGCCATATTGAAAAATATACAAAGGAGGGAAATAATTTCGAATTTTGGAATAAAACTAAACAAATAATTCCATTCACAAGGAGAAAAGGAAACAAAACCCTAAAAGAAAATCAAAATGGTAGAGAATGTAATGAAAAATAAAATAAAATTAAAAGGCAAAAAATTTGATGCCAGCCAAGCCAGGGGCAGGGCGCAGGGCTTTAAATAGCCGAAAGCCAAACCAAAGCGATTCAATTCAACCATTCAGCCGTGAGAGAGAGAGCTGGTAGACGCTTTTTCTCCCTTCCTCAGTTCTTTTCCGCGGCTTTGTCTCCTTTCCCTTGCTCTCTCTCTCTGCCACCCTAATCTAGGGTTTTAGGGAGACGGCCACTTCAGCCTCCTCCAAGCTTTCTCACTACTGTTGCTTTTCGAGCTTCCTTCTGAAACACCATGGGCAGCGACAAGGCTAACTTCAACATGGCCGATCTTAGCGCAGGTAGAAGAAAAACCCTAATAACTCATTTTCTCTGCTCCGTTTAGTATTTTTGCTCTGTCTATTGACCGTGGATGGCTTTTTGGGGTCGCAGCTTTGAACGAAGGGGATCGTGCTGGGCTTGTTAACGCACTCAAGGTCAGTTTTTTTCAGTGCCTTGCTTTGCCGCCTTATCTTCAGTTGCTCGATAGGGCGCTTTTTTATTCTGGGTTTGTTCTTGTTGTTCTGAAGAATTTGTGTACGGTGTTGGGTTTTGTTCTTGATATGGAGTCTGGGTGTGATAATTGATAATTTGTGCAAAAAAGCTTGTGATTGTTGGGTATGGTATGGTTACGTGTTTATTTGAGGAGAGAAGGGTTTCAGTTTGGTGATGATACCGAGATTGTTGTTGTTGTTTGGGATTGTGCAGAATAAGCTGCAAAATTTGGCTGGTCAGCACACTGATATGATCGAGGCCTTGCCTCCCACAATACGTGAGCGTGTGGAGCGTCTCAGGGAAATTCAGGCATGTGTTACCAAGCTGTGACCTCTTTCTATATTTGATCTCGCTCTTTTGTGTTTGCACCTCTTAACATGCATAGAATGATTGAACAGAGCCAACATGATGAGCTGGAAGCAAAGTTTTTTGAGGAGAGGGCGGCCCTGGAAGCCAAGTACCAGAAGCTGTACCAACCGTTTTACTCCCAGGTAATGTGTGACTCATGATGGTATATGGTTGCTGCCTCTAATGATTGTGGGTATTTGCTAATTTGATTGATTGAAGCTTCATAACAAAATATTGGTTTATTTTCATGCAGCGGTATGGGCTTGTCAATGGTGTGGCCGAAGGTGAGGAAGTTCCGAAGAAGGAAGTTTCAGCAGAGGGGGATAAGAATGAGGCAGTTGAAGGTATCAATTCACATTCTTACTCATTTGGAGTGGTGTTGACTCAGTTTTGGTATGGAACTTGAAGTTAAGTTTGTTTTCTCTTATTGGCAGTGAAAGGTGTCCCAGACTTTTGGCTCCTGGCCATGAAGAATAATGAAATTTTGACTGAGGAGGTTCGTAGCTCGTAGCACAACACCAAATAGCTTAATGCATTGGATATATTGAGGAAGATAAATGTTTTGTAACAATATGGTCCATTTCTTTTGTGTGTTTACTTGGATTAGATAACTGAGAGGGATGAAGGAGCTTTGAAGTATTTGAAAGATATCAAATGGTGCAGAGTTGAGGAGCCGAAAGGGTTCAAGCTTGAGTTTTTCTTTGATACCAATCCTTACTTCAAGAACTCTGTCCTAACCAAGACATATCACATGATTGACGAGGATGAGCCAATCCTGGAGAAAGCTATTGGGTAAAACCATTTAGACATTTGACAATTTGTATTGTTCTGTTCACTTTATTATTATATTATCAGCTGTCTGCCAATCCTGAATTTTCTCTTACGTGATCTGTGGTGATCCTGTAATTTGCAGGACTGAAATCGAATGGTATCCAGGGAAGTGCTTGACCCAAAAGCTCCTTAAGAAGAAGCCAAAGAAGGGGTCCAAGAGTGCTAAGCCCATAACCAAAACTGAGGACTGTGAAAGCTTTTTCAACTTCTTCAGTCCTCCAGAAGTCCCTGAGGACGATGAGGAGATTGATGAAGATACTGTACGACTTTCTAAACCTTATTGTAACCTTTATTCATCGAGACTTGCGGTTTTTAATCTGGTCTGTTAACCTTCATTTACGGATGTTTGTCCTGGGAAACAGGCTGAAGAGCTTCAGAATCAGATGGAACAAGACTATGACATTGGGTGAGTAGTGATTTTCTGGCCTGGCCTTGATCTGCATCCTAATGTTATTTCATAGCCCTGACTCTTTAGTTGATTCGATTGTTGTGATGGTGATCCAGGTCTACCATCCGGGACAAGATTATCCCCCATGCTGTGTCATGGTACACAGGGGAGGCTATACCGGCTGATGATGATGAGCTTGATCTGGATGACGATGACGACGATGACATTGATGAAGATGATGACGAAGATGAAGATGATGACGAGGATGATGAGGATGAAGAAGATGAAGACGAGGGAAAGCCTAAGAAGGTGGTTGTAATATTATAATATCTCCACTCAGCATACAAGTGGTTTATATTCCCCCCCATTTTCATGCAATTTTGGTTTCCTTTTTTCTGTTCGAGAACATTAACTTCGTTTACTTTTGCTGGCAAACGCTCTGCAGGGCTCTGCTGGTGGAAAGGTATTAATAACTCTCTCCATATTTCCATTTCTGTTGCAGACAGATAATAGTTTCCATTTCCCATGATGTTTTGCTCTAACAGGCAAACGACTAACGACCGATAACGGATTTTAATCGTTTTGCAGAAGAGTGGTGGAAGCAAGACACAAGCCGCGGATGGCCAGCAGCAGGGAGAGCGGCCTCCAGAGTGCAAGCAGCAGTAAGAGGGGGGCATTTGCAGTAGCAAGCCTCCTTAAGAGTTTTGGATTGTGGAAAGAAGATGATGATGATTCGCCTTTGTTTTTATTGGGCTGGGTGGGAAAGAGATGGAACTCAGAGGGTCGTGGATGTTTTCGGGGGTGGTTCTTTATATTCATTGTTTTTCTGGTTTCGTTTTTCTTAAGTTGCATGCAAGTCAGTTTGGTGAAGAAGGGAAAGATTGATTTAGGGGTGTAGTAGTAGTAGTCCAGAGTCCAGATACAGAGATTGATTTCCTTGATTTTGCTCTTTGTTATTCTCGTGTAATCCATGGCCGGCAGGGTTTTATCTTTAATGGGAATGTGTCTCCATTGGGTTTGTCTATGCTACTCTTTCCTTAAACCAATCAAATTCATATGGAATTTCTTTTGTCGAGGCATGAATGGCGCTTTTGAGGTGGGACTGGAAATGACTTCATTGCTTTCCTTCCTTGCTTTGGTTTCCTTGTTTGATCACAGCTTCAATCCAATTGACTATTGAAATTTCAAAGTCCATTACTTTGTCTTCTTCACAAGTATTTTGTTTTCAGTTTCACACTAAGGTGTCATGATACTACTTCATAGGAAGATACATAGTTAAAACTTAAAAGTTTGGATTTGAAAATTGGAAGTTTTAAGTTTGGATTTGAAAATTGAAAGTTTTGGCCATTGAATTTGGAAAGGAAAATTTTGATAAAATTCTTGAATTTGAAAAAGAAAATAAAGATTTACAATTAGGGATGGCAATGGGTCGGGTTTGAGGCGGGTTTGTCTAAACCATCCCCATCCCCATCTTCAAATATCCAAACCCATACCCGCCCCATACCCATGCGGGGGAATATTTGGCAAACCCATCCCCATACCCGTGGGTTTCGGGTACCCATGGGTAATATCCGTACCCGTACATCCAAGATTATTATCCTAAAATTTACAAGAAAAGTGTTAACTACAACTCTAAACGTACCTATTATATCACGAATTCAACAAAACACGATCATTTTCTTAATACGGTTCAAAGAATATGATTCTAAAACATTCGTTAATACATAATATAGAGTATAATATTTTTCAAATTATTATGTTCTAACTCTGATACATCTACTAAGAAATAATTAACTAACATAATCCTGTTGACAATGGGGGAAAGTGAAAGAGTGAAAGGAAAATTGAGGGAAATGAATTAGATTTTGATTAAGGTGGTCACTCAATTGCATTTCTATTATTTATTTCCTCGAGTTATCCTCATCATCATTGATAGATTACAATTTGATCTACATATTTTTGTATATGTGAAGAAATTCTCTTGGTGGGGCGGATATGGGTATGGGTATGGGGCGGGGGAGGCTAAAACCATACCCGCCCCATACCCATCAAACTTTTTGCGGGTTTTACCCATACCCGCCCCATACCCGGTCAAAGCGGGGATTACCCGCGTTGACTGGGTCGGGGGCGGTCGGATACCCGCGGTCATGGGTTTGATTGCTATCCCTATTTACAATGGACTTGGCCCTTGGGTTATGATGAATTTTAAAATTTGTTTGGTGGATTTGATGATGTATATTATTATACTGGACTTATGATTATAGTATTTAAAACACCTTGTTTACCCCAAAAGTTGTTTTAGTTCAATATATAAGCGTTTACTTATTAGCTGTCCTTCATTTCTCATCTAGGTCTATTTCTCAAACCTTCAGCGAATGCTCCATCTCTCAAAATCAATCTTCAAAGAAAATCGATTTTGTAGGCTGAGTGAATTGGGTCTCCATGAAAATTAAAACCAAGAGAAAGCAACCATCAGTTGGTAAGTTAAACCCCCAACCTATAAAGGGAATATAATATTGAATCAAGGGGTAAGATTGTTATTAACTTGTGCACGGGTCGAGTTTTAAATATCTAAAGTCAAAGCGCATCTACTCTAACCCTAACAACGACAAGTATACCGATGCTAGGCTTCTTGTAAAGTGCCCGGTAACAAATTCGCTTTGGTGCACATAGCCTTTTTTGTGTGTATGTGCACACAAAGCCCTCATTGGTCCACCTCAGCAAAAAGACCACCCACTTAAAAATGAGTGGCCAGGAAGCAACGGCTGGAGGAACTGAGGAAGGGAGAAAGAAGGGGAGGGAGCGGCCATTGAAGAGAAGAAGAAGAATACCAAAACTTCTTTCTTTCAGATCTCTTTTCTCTTTTTTTTTTTATTTGGAACTTCTTCTCTCGCAACCTTCTTCCTCATATTTTTTTCTCTCTCCACAATCTGCCATTGAAAAAATGAAGAAGAATACCAGAGCTTCCAGATCTGGATTTCAAAGAGAAGGAGAAAAATAGCAAAGCTGCTTTTTTTCACCCACTCTCTTCATCATTTTTCTCTGAAAAATCCTTCCCATTTCTCTTATTCTTCAACTCATTGATCGATCTAACCAGCTTACATGGCTGTTACAAATTTCGACACAGAGAAGCAAATGGCCGTTTACAATGACGAGCAGAAGAAAATTTCAAATCAGTTCACATGAGACCTCCAAAACAGGTCCACCAAAACCTAGATCTGGTTCCTCCACGCATCACCTCCACCACCAGATCCTCATCCGATGCACCTGTTCCGTACCCGCTCCACGCCACAGAAAATCTTCCCTGCCACGCTGGGTTGTTTGATTAAGTTTGGACCTAGCCCTACCCGTTTGTTGGAACCTGTGGTTGGTCTTGTGCTGCTTGAATATGAGTTGGACAGTCACTAAATTTAAGTTTGCATGGTACTGAATATTACCTAAATGACAAGGAATATGAGTGAACTAGTATTCAATATGAGTTGAATTTGTCACTTAATTTAAGTTTACATGGTATCGAATATGATTCAAATTGACAAGAATATGACTTCACCTATTATTGAATATAAGTCGAATAGCCAATGAGTTTAAGTTTACATGGTTTTGAATATGACTTAAATTGACGATTAATATAAGTTTAGCTCACGTCAAATTGAGTTTACTTGGTAGTGAATATGAGTTGAACTAAACTCAGAACATGCATTTACAAATATCTAATAGGTGGCATACCCATATTACTTAAAAGTTGAAACATAAAAGAAGAGTATTGAATGAGTTCCAACAGGTATTCTCATATTTAGTGTTAACTGAAAATTATTCAAATTCTCATCTTCGATACTAGTTCAACTCATATTCATATAAATGTCAACGCATATTGTGTACTATGTAAACCAGTATTCAACACTATTACTAACAGTAAACAAAGTACATAAAGATCATTTTTCGTTTTGTCCGTTAGTAATATTCGTTTGTGTATGGAGTATTTGTTCGTCTATCTGTCGAATACTTGTCAATATGTTTTGAATAATAGTTCATGTGCTTTTCAATAGTTCATATGTTTTTCAATAATAGTTTGCGTAACAATGTTTCATGTTTAAATTGTCCGCCAATTTCGCTATGGTGCAGGTAGCCTTTTTTGGTATGCCATATTCAAATCTATAGAAATAAAATGAAATCCCATGTATAATTCATTATCAAATGAATTCATTATAAAAGAGGATAATTATATCATTTTATTATAATTAGTAAATACTTGTGGAATTCATTTGGAAATTCCATCTCAATTCCTCGGAATGGCTATAACTAGTTTCAATTCTATAGAATTTCAAAATTTAGAATTGAAAATAAATTCTTTTAAATACCAAACACAAATGTTTCATTTTCCGGAATAAATTTCTCAAAATTTATGAAATTCATTTATACCAAACAATATGTTATAGTCCAAAACCCCAACAAGCCACAACTGATCATAGCCTTCCAAGTCCCAACCTCGGCAGCCAGCCAGCCAGCCACTACCTTTTCTCATCTTATCATCTCTCGCCATCGCTAGCTAGAGAAGAGGATACAAAGCAAGACGTCGCAGTCCTTGGGCAGCTGTGCGACTGGATTCGATCTGAAGCAGGACGACACAGAACTTGAGAAAGGGGTAAGACTGTTTCTAGATCTTGGCCATGAGAGGCGAGAAAAGACAATCTGTACCGACGATTCTTAGGCTGACATCTTGGCAGCGGCGCGCTCGATGGTGGCTGGTGGAGTGGCTGCATGTGAAGCAGACCTGACGACAGCGAACCACTTCCCTTCCTACTCTCTTGTTGTTACTCTTCCCCATCGTATCTGTTTTCCTTCCTCCCCTCCACCTGGGATCTTCATTGATTTTGGTGTTTTGATGTTGTACAGTTAGAGTGGAAAAAAAAGGAGAGAGACGGAGAGGTAGAAAATGAATGAGAAGAGCGAGAGGGGATGGTAGTCGGCAGATCACAAGCCAAGAGGAAGAGTTCTGGGTTTGGACATGAAAACAGATTTGTATTCTAGTTCGGATTGATCGAATTGAATTTGGTTCGAATTCGGTTTGGGGTCTAGATCATATAGGGACCCGATGCGTGCCTCTCATGGGCATGGCCAAAACAACGTTGAATCACCCGAACTTCGAGTCTTGTCATCATTCCAGTGTCGAGACTCGAGATCGTGGCCTCCATCATGGGATCATGCACGGTCGTGATCTTTTTCGGGGTCGAAAATCCCCTTGGCCCTCTAGTCGGGTGTCGAGACTTTCTACCCTCTCATTGGCTGGTTGCTGAAGTTCGCGACTATGTTCACGGCCGTGATGTGGTCGTGACCTATGCTACCATTCTTACTTCTATGCAATGCAAACATGTCCGGATGAACTCCAAATAGATTCTTGTGGTGCATTATAACACCAGAATCATTAGGAGATCAGTTATTATTATTAATAGTGTAGGAGATAATTGAGGTATGTTTTAGAGTGGGTTGGGATTAGACGTAGTTGGCCGCAATTGCTTGGCCGAGTACGTAACATAGGGTTAGCTATTAGGTTTTTCTACGTTTTTCTATAAATATGTACTTTGTGGTTCAATTATGATGAGGAGAAGAAGTATATTTCAGTTATTGTTATGTTTTCGGTGTAGAAGTAACGTACGTGTTCGTACTCTCGTCGCATTAGAAACTATAATGCGCCATCCCGATCGATTGTAAACGAATATATAAGACCTGCAATTTCATCACTAAAACCAAGAAAATCATAAAATACGACAAAGTAAGGTCGATTTCCTCATGAAAACCTTCATATCAAGCTAACTCATGCCAAAATTGATGTTTAGGTTGATGAAAGATGATGAAGGAACTATATCAGATATTGTTGGCCACATGAGGCTAGGGTTTGAGTCCAAAGGGACATTGGAGATCGTTCAACTCACTTTCATTTTGATAATGAATGGGCTACAACGAGTGGGGGTTGAACACTTGAACTTACTAATGATGCCACTAATCAGATGTCTCCGAGAACGTGATATCAGAATACAGTGTCTAACATGCAAGAACTATGATAAAGTTCAAAACTTTAAATTCATCACTTTTTTTCACCACACAATCCACAATTCAACAAGGCGGCGTTTCTGTTCCATATATGATCCAAGAGCTTTTGCCTTCTCTTTGACCTAGCCGGAAGGAAGAAGTCCATTTTGATTCTGAAATAAATTTAATGAGCTGAGTCGAGTTTTGTCATGTTCAGATTTGGCTTGTTAATAAACGAGCAGAGCTCGAGTTTGGCTCATTTATAAATGAGTTGAGTGTCGAACTCGAGCTAGCTCATTTATTAGATAAACCCTACTTAACTCGTCATTAAGATAAGTAGTTCGGCTCGACCTCAATTCTATGATAATTTATAAATTAAAACCTAATATTTATATGTCATATACGATATATGTGATTAACTGATTTCATGTCATATATGACACATATTTGCTCACATACTCAAATTCTTAAACATGTGAGATAAATAATTTAATAAACCTATAAATTATCAACAAGGCAACTCATAAGATATAGATCGATCTTATCATAAGCTTGTAGTCGAGTTGCTCACTAATCTCAAGTCTCAACTAAGGGGTGCTAATCGGTTAGGTATCGGCTAGCCACTAACCGATATGGTGGTTAACAGTTAACCAATAAGCATGAAACTCATATCAATAACTGAACCGATAAGCCTTATCGGTTAACCGTCTCTTGTCAGTTCGGTTAGCAGTTAGTTTGGCGCTTAACCAATAGCGACTTACATACGTTCCAATAAGTATGAATATACATAATCAAACCAAATATAAACTAATAACTTTATTTTCTTTCATGAAATATAATAAAGTGAAGCAATAATCACATGTAATACACAAATCATCATCCAATTAAGTTTAACATGTGTCATTTAATCCTAACCACTTGTAAAACAATTTAATTGTACTTCTATACTGTTAACACAAAATACTATTGATAATAAATAACATCAATACACATCCATCGTGAATTCATAATCCAAATTCCAACACATAAAAATAAAATTAAAAAATCTTCATCTAATTAGTGGATACCAACTACCAAGACAAGACATCAAACACAAGAACTCCAAGATAATCTTCATCCACCAACATCAAAGAAACAAAGACTACTAGGGTGTGATGCTAGCTCCGTCGATTGCAAAGGGGTGTAAGAGAGGATGACTTTTGAGTTCTAAATCTTAAACACATTTAAGACAGTGGAGGGTTGTTTGCAATAAGTGTAAATTGGGATGTCTGGAATTGCACTTTGGTTGGTTTTGAACCTTTGAACTCTTTTCCTTAGCCAAAGACCAAAAATATATGGTTATACTAGTAGGCGGTTATCGGTTAAGCACTAATTAATTAGTCGGTTAGCGGTTAACCACTAAACAAAATATAGCTAACCGAAACCAAACCACTAAAAATTTCAGCTTATAGGTTAACCATTAACCGTTATTGGTCGGTTATCGCCTTATCGGTTAAACCGATAACCAACTAACCATTTACCACCTCTAATCTCAACATTGAGACATTTTATGAGCTCAAAACAAGAGAGTTCACAAGTTGAGCTCAACAAGCCACTTAGTCGAACTGTCTCACGAGCTAAACAAGATTTAACTCAAACTCAACTAGTTAATAGACAAATTAAGATATTTTTAATCGAACGAATTTTTATCTAGCGATGGCTCGACTCATTAATTCATAAACAATCCATCACTTCGATTCATTTCAATTGAAGCCATTCTTGGGCTGGCTCCTTGAGGAGTCGAGAGATGAGGTTGCAGGCATGTCTACCGAATGACAAATGAGGCGGCACACATAATGGCACATCTGAAAATAAAATGGAACAAGACCGAGATTTGGTTTGATAGACCCTCTATGAGTAGGGGTGACAAACGGTAAGTCGGTAAACGGTAAACCGTTTACCGACGGTATCGGCAGCCGAAGGTCAAATGGGGAAGCTCTGTTTACCGGCCCCAGTATTGGTAAATACCGATGGTAATTCGGTAATACCGATACTGGACAAGTTAAGGCATTAACTAATAACATATACTTCATTATTCACAAATATTACATACATGAATGAAAGTAAGTAAGTATAGGCCTCAAAAATATTATAAATAAGAGTTAATAATAATTTATTAATTACAAAAATGAAGAAAAAACTCATAAAAATCAAAATATTACAACATCACTCTATTGCCCAGAAATTCGGTTCGGTAATTTTCCGGTAAATCTAACCGAAAAACTGTCCGCAACTACTCTTTACGGTAAGTCGGTAAAACCGGTTAATAACCGTTTACCGGTAATTCGGTAACCGGTAAACCGGTTACAAACCAGTATCAGTAATCGATTCCCACTTACCCATACTCAGTATACCGAAAATCGGTAAAGTCGGTAACTGGTTACCGACCGAATACCACCCCTGAGAGTATAATGGACCAGCTAGAGTTGGATTCTGTGATGGCTATCGTAATAAAGCCTAGCGCAAATTTCTGTAAAAAAAAAAAAAGAGAAGCCATTCTTGGGCTGGGGCATGAAGGCCTGGAAAAAAGTTGGACGAAAAGCAAGCCCAATTCAGGAAACCATGCTCTCCCGACCCGGCCCGAACACACCACCCGTTAGGCCTAGGCGGCAATCGCCCTGTCTCTGTTTCTCCCTCGCGAACTCAAAACTCCTGGCAAGTGGAGAGCACATGTGAAAATGGAAAAGAAAGGAGGGAAATCAAAAAACCTAAAACCCTAATAAACATATTTGCCCACTCCACTGTCCACTCCCACACTCCTCTCAGTTCCTAAAACCCTTCTTCCTACTTTTGCTGCATGGAGCATTAGACTACTTCCCCAACTTCTTCCCCTTTTCTTCCACCCTACAGAGCTACTCTGCGAGCCATTCCCATGGCGAGGTTTCTTCTCCGGAACACTCTGTCCCTGAAGACGTTTCTCGCACCGGAGGTAAGCTTCTGCAGCAACCTCTCCCCACGATTCATCTGGGTTTCCGCTTCCGGTAGCCCTATTTGGTTTACACTCTCTGTAGTTGCTCTTGAAGTCCTTTCCGCTACTGTTTGCTCCGATCAGTTTCTGAGTTTGTATTTGTCCACAGATGAACAGTTTTGAAGGGGTCTTTTTGTTTCACTTGTGTCGTTTCAGCGTCACCATCGTTTCAGCGTCACCATTCACATATTTCACTTCGTCTTTACAGGGCTTGAGGAGAGGGATATTGGGAACATCATCTCAAGTTTGCAACTTTGCAACCAAAGGTGCTCCAAAATTTCGTCTGTCGTTTGGTCTGTCTGATTTGATAGGAAGAGTCTCTTGTTCCATTAAGTGTGCGACGTTAACCGTTGGAGGGTTTTGAGCTGTTGAAAAAGCTTAGGACTTGCTGCCCCTAAGGCTTCAGTTGTCTGTGTTTAGTTGGTGAAGTAAAAGTTTGTGAGATGGAGAATCAATTGATTGTGTTGCATAGTTTTGTTCTGGCTAGCTCCAGTGAGTTTTAAGCGAGTTCTAGGGCTTGTCATTTTGGGTTTGGTTTCAGCCCTCGTTCTATTGAGTTAGGCTAACCATGCTGTAGGTGTGTGTTCTGTTCATTCTTTCTGGTTGTGATAGACCCAGACTTGCTCTATTTGAAGGTAGGAGAAAATCAAAGTCCGATGGAAGTGAGTCTAGTGAGGATGACTCGTCAAAGAGAGAGGTAGCACTACAGCAAGCTCTTGATCAGATAACTAGCACGTTTGGGAAAGGATCTATTATGTGGTTTGGGCGGGCGGTTGCTCCAAGAGATGTGCCTGTTATCTCCACAGGTTCTCTTCTTCTTGATGTAGCTCTCGGCACTGGGGGATTCCCAAAGGTACGCTGAAGATTTTGAGTGAAGACATCCACAACTTAGTGCATTCAAATGCTTTGCACAACTTCTCAATGGTTGCAACTTGGGTATTTTTGTAGTTGGTCATGTGTGAGTGTTGTCTGGCAAGGTGGACATATGTAGTTGTAGCGTTGACTGGTGATGTGCTTATTTTGCATGGCGGGAGTGCCTATAATCATTATTTATATTCGTTCTGCAGTCCTTTTCGCTTCTTGCCAACCACTGATTCTGGTGAATTCGGAATTAGTATTTATCTCTGATTTTAAAGTGACTATGAGTTGCATCATCACTTGTGGTTTCATATCTAACGGCTTAACTTTATTTCTGTTTTGGTTAAATTAAACCATCAATGGTTCTCTATATGACTTCATTGATTGAATTTTTACAGGGACGCGTGGTGGAGATTTATGGCCCTGAGGCTTCTGGGAAAACCACACTTGCTCTACATGTAATCGCTGAAGCACAGAAGTTAGGAGGTTGGCCTATATGTCACTCTAGTCGTTTTTCTTATGTAAATAGGAAATTTGCCAGATTTTCAGTGTTAGGATGGTGGGACACTTAATAGGAATAGACACTACTCATCTTGTCTGCAACAATTACTAAATATAACAATGAAAAAGAGTTTGGATATGTCTCTCTGGCTATTCTTTTGCTCTTGCAGCAACACAATGATTTTTTTGCCTGCACTATGCATTCCAGTTTTAGGAGTACGCAGGACTTGATAGCTAGTAAGTAGTAGGTAGTGTACTACCGTATATTGTTGTTAAGCGTCTTATAACTTGTACCCATTTACATATCTGTTTCTGCCTTCGTATCTAGGAGGAAAAAACTAGTGTAGCTGTTTAACTTGTGCATTCATTTGCAGAATACTGTGTTTTCATTGATGCGGAACATGCTCTTGATTCATCGTTGGCTGAGGCTATTGGAGTGAACACTGAGACCTTGCTACTTTCACAACCTGATTGTGGTGAACAAGCTCTCAGCCTCGTGGATACCATAATTCGTAGTGGTTCTGTTGGGGTGGTCGTTGTTGACAGTGTAAGTAAGGTGCCATGCCTTCTCATATTTTTGTGGATATGCAGCGGCTATTTCTTTCTCTGCTTGTTGAAGATGACTGGGATTGGTGATTTTGAGCACTATTGTTTTGTTTACCTTAGCCTCTCTCATCTGGCATGCCGTACGATATTTTCTAGTTAATGATTTGTCTTTTTATTTTCTGGATCTATATTCTCCCCTTCTTCAGTGGTTCTATGGGGATGGTTTGATACATTTCACTGCGCTTTGCACTGAAGGATGCTAAATGGAAACTTTTGATCAGCAAAGTCTGATAGCAATCAAAGACAAATTTTTATTTAGGGCTAAGCCCTTTACTCTCTGTTTTGGATCGTTGGCAGGTTGCCGCCCTTGTTCCTCAAAGCGAACTTGATGGGGAGATGGGTGATGCTCATATGGCAGTGCAGGCTAGGTTGATGAGCCAAGCACTTCGGAAACTAAGTCATTCATTATCTCAGTCACAAACAGTTCTGATATTTATAAATCAGGTAAAGATGCTTGATTTGTATCTGCGGCAGTCTTGATTAACCTTTATGGTTCTACTTGTGATTATATTTTTTATGTGTAAGAAAATGAAATGTCACAGGAGTTTGATTCTAGTCTGGACTGTTTTTAAGTATAGACCATTTCCATCTCTGGAAATTATGATGAACTATTGTGCTCTCTCTGATGAGTATGGGTTCATAACTAATTTCTGAAGGCTCCATGGTCTTATTGTAGAAGCAGAGAGTTATCTGATTGTTCCATTTGGACACTTGATGTTGTTTTTCTGAAGACCCTTTTAGTGATAATCATATTTTTTTTATTGTGTTTCCATGAGTATGCAGGTCAGATCAAAGATTGCTACCTTTGGAGGGTTTGGTGGGCCTAAAGATGTAACTTGTGGAGGTAATGCCCTTAAGTTCTATGCTTCAGTGCGACTGAACATAAAAAGGATAGGGCTTGTCAAGAAGGCAGAAGAGGTAGGGATTTCATATCTATTGAATGAATCATATTGCATGTTTGATTATAACACGTCTGTGCTTTCCACCTTTTCTTCCTCCCGCTCTGGATGTTGAGGCTTTTATCACGATGAGCTTTATTCTAATTCCTGATCCTGAAATTTCATTCCTGTGAATGCTTTAGCAATTTCAATCTATGCTAGAGGTGGCCTGAAAAATACTTTAACAGATCAAAGTTTTAGAACGGTGGTATGCAGTTGTGGCTCCTTGACCTTTGAAAAACCACCTTATCCTAATCATAATCTCTTTTGTTTTGCAGACTATTGGTAGTAGGGTTCAAATAAAGGTGGTCAAGAATAAGCTTTCTCCTCCATTCAAAACCATTGAATTCGATCTCGAGTTTGGCAAGGGTATATGCCAAGCATCAGAGATAATAGACTTGGCATTGAAACACAAGATATTGACAAAGTCGGGCGGTTTTTATACTTATGAAGATAAAAAATACCATGGTAGGGATGCCATGAAGGCATTTATAAACAACAATGAAGATGCACGTGAAGAAATGAAATTGAAGATCAAAGAGAAGCTAGCAGCCGGGCATACAGAGAAGGAAAAGGTAGCCGATGCCACCGCCACCGCCACAGACAGTGAACCGACTGAAGTCATTGCATCTGATTCTACCGACGACGAGGTAGCTGCTGTTGAAGCTTAAGTCGGGGGTTTGGAACATGATATGGAAGTTAATTGGTGAAGTTTTATCTCTGCACATGGTTAGTTTTGGAAAAGCCACAAACTTCGGATGGAAAGTTCAGAAAGGTCATTGCTTTGAAGGATGAGATGTGACCTATTGGCCCATTAACTGTAAATCTTATGGTGTCTCATCTCTTGACTAAATGTTTGGTGGAACTTGTTAGTGACTATCAGAGTAAGAGACCTCAGGAGGGAAACGGCTTCAGTGGGTCCTTGCCCTAGTTTTCCTATGTTTCCCATTTCATGTTCATATTTGTCAATTGTCGAACCAAATGATTTTGTAAATGTGAATTGTGTTTGTATCTGACATTCAGCAGCCTGGAAGCATGCAATGTGAATGCCGGAATACTTGATTGAGAAACTTGTAGTACATGTGAAATGAGGAAGTTGGCGGGGCGATATAGATGGGAACAGATGAATGGTTAACGTGAGGGCCAAGAAACACTACGGAATTTGACATGATTAGAGAACAAGGTTGGATATTTGAGGAAGATGGTGTTGAAACACATTCCACCACCAGTGGCACTTTTTCGGTTCGTTATGGTGACCATACATTTCGTATCGAGCTCAAATGTTTCAAGTTTCAACTGGTCAGATCGGATTATGCTGATTAAATTAACCGAAAGATATGGAAGTGATACTGGAACTTATACCTATCACCAATAGCCACCTCCTTCCTCTGACAAAATGCAAATCAATCACCCACTGCTTACTGCTAGGGTTATTTGCGGGTGAATCGATATTAACATGCGGGTTAACCAACCACGTGCACATCCCTAGTACTAGTATAGAGAATTATCGGCAGGTTTGGTCGAATTCGGAGTGTGTCCGCAGATTTCACAAGTGCAATCAGCAGCCGGCCACAGCACAAAGGATTGGTGAACAAGTACAGGAAAAATTGAGGTCAAAAGAGGAGCTTTTGGTGTGGGTTGATAATCTACAAGAAAGATTAACTACATCCATCTCTGAAGATAAGTTCCACTAGTACAAAATCTTACAAACTGACCGAGAATCAGGACAACAAAATTCATAGTAGTCAGCACCGACATTTCCTGCACTGTCTCCAAACACACAGCGGCAGGAAGAACAACCGTAACTCCCTAACTTCTTCCAGCAACGTCTCCTTCCAACACGAAACTAAGAGAACCACTGCTGACAAAATCTTTACCATTCTCGGGGCCAACACCGTGCAACAATAAACAGATAAGAAGACTATTCTTCATCATTCTGGCCGTCATCCTTGACAAGTTTGATCATGTCATCTATTCGAAGAATCGTTATGGCTGCTTCTGTGGCAAACTGGCAAAAGCAAGATATAACAAACCAAAAAGGGTTTAGTGTGGTCCTTTGACATTTGATGAATAGGACCTTTAGAGTTTAGAGGACAATATTCTCATGTCCAAGAAAACAAATTTACCTGAATAATCTTCACTTTGCTCATTGCAGGTTCAATTACTCCAGCTTCTAAGTTGTTACGGACGGTACCTTTTGAAAGGTCTAGTCCCATGCTGCAATAGTTTGAAGGTGAATGTTAAAGGAGAAATTACTTGCGAGTTTAATTGAAACTACAGCAATCCATCTAGGAAACTCAAATCTGATCTCATGTTGCAATAGGACGAGATATTTATATCAGAAAGGGTAAACCATATTGAGTCTAAGACATGACGAGTATTCAAGAGGATGTGGACAATAGAAAGGTAACACTAATCAAGAAGGCAGCTTACACATCTCCCAAATAAAGATAGTAGAAGTCAAAAGTTAACCAGAACCAGCAAGAATACCTGGAGAGATGCTTCTTGTCAGCTTTTGTTTGTGCATTGTGGTGGCAGGCTCTTAGCTTTGCAACCAACTCAGTTGCATCCTTAGCAGCATTGACAGCAAGCACCTGCACCATATATTCAACTCATTTACTCGTGACATAGATGTAAGGAGGCAGTAAACCCGGGATAGAATTAATAAAAGCAGGAAAAAACCCCTTTCTACTGAACCTTTGGTATGATCAGTAAAGATTCAGCAAATTCAGCAATTGCCAACTGCTCTCGTGATCCGAGAGTCGTGGCAAGGTACTCCAGGTACACGGATAAGGCAGACTCAACAGCACCTCCACCTGCTACCACCTGTAAGCATAAAAAAATCAGAAAAAATTTCCACCAGGCTTTGTACTATGCCATCCTTCCAATTTCAAGTGCTCTCGAGTTTACCGTGTTGGACTCCAAGGTCCTCTTCACTATGGATAAAGCATCATGCAGAGATCTCTCCATCTCATCAAGCATATAGTCATTTGCTCCTCTAAGAATCAGGGAAACCTGGCATAACAGGTTGTACTAAATCAGAAACACTTCATAAAAAATGGCAGCGCCAGTGAAGTGTTCCAGGTAACAACAGCCAACGCTTCTTCTAATTTCCAGAAACAAAATCAGGTTGCTATCAGAAACAGAGAAAGGGAAATAAAATCTTTATCATTATTCAGAAATGCATGATTCATAATTCAGAAACTGATTTCCTCACCGCACTAGTGGTCTTTGTCCCTTTTATCATAACTACATCATCATCTGCAATACGCTCTTCAATAACTTCATCAGCATGCCCAATAAGTGAAGAATCAAAGGTCTCATCCCCTTCCATATCAGCAAACGTTCCCACCTGCAGGTAAACCAAATCAGAATGGGAGCATGAATTAACTCAAGACAGAAAAAACTTGGACAAGAAAACACAAGACTACATAAGAGTATCAGAAACTTGACTTCAATAATCAATTGCAAGCTGATTACAACTATGTATGGCTATTCAGAACATAAACATACAGTAAGCTGACGCATGGTATTACTAAGTCAATCCATCAAGGTTACAAGATAGTACCATGGTTGCACCAGTGGCCTTGGCAACATGGCGCATATCCTCTTTGCGGACACGCCTCACAGCAATAGCTCCAGCCTCGACGAAGTACTGGACAATAGTATAATGAATAAGATAATCAGATTTGCTAATTAATGATATCATTCAAATAAGAATAGACTAAGTATGTCTTTTCGATAATTTTAGGAAATTCCTAAAGTTTTAGCTTTAGGAGAAGGGAAGAAAAGATTTTATTTGGCGACGTTTACGAAAAGGAAAATTTGATTGGATATGAAATACTATTTAATAATAAATAAGCAACTGATGAGATAATATACATTAGCTCAATAAAATAGATAACTGGATCATTTCTAAAAAATAACTATTAATTCTCAACTTTGAATATACAACAGAGGGTCAAAGTTTGAAACGAAATTATCCAATGCCATCATCCAAAGACATAAAGCTAAAAGATCATGAGAATCTCCAGAACATTTTGTGAAACAAATAACTACCTTTAGAGCCATGTCATCAATTCCTTTGGTAGTTAAAATCACATTGGCTCCAGCTTTCAAAAGTTTCCCAATCCGCTCCTTGGTCATATCAGCTTCCCTGCAGATATTAACATCACATATTCTGCTTCAGTGACAATTGATGACAAAATCAGAAAGCAATGATCTACAGCAATGATCTTCACGTAAATGAATCTTGAATGATACTTGGAAATATAGGCAACTGTGTGATAACGGAATTATTATAGTAGATCACAATTTTAGCCAGTCACTCACTGAATATAGCAGCTTAACTTCGAACTGAAAAGGAGACTAAAATGTGTCTATGGTACCTTTGACGAATTTTCTCAAGCTCCCTGGGATCAGTCACAACAACTTGTACACCCAATTGCATCTTTGTCTTCTGAAGATTGAAATCAAGACATGCAATTCTAGCAGGTGAAACTCTTGTAGGCATTCCTTGAGCAGCACGCCCAGTATTTAGAGCATACCCATTCAGCAGGTAACTATCTCTTGCACTTTTACCATGAGCTTTCAGAATGTTAATACCCTGGAAGATTTAATCGTGCATGTCAGCGGTAGTACCTCATCAGTGCAGCTACTCACAATATAGAAACCATAAGCCACAAAAATAAAACATGAACCTGACTAAACAGCAAGCACGACTGAAAACCAAACAGTGCTGACCTTGATTGGATATCTGATTTCACCTCGTACATTTGTCATCTTTACTGATTGTACAGCATCAACAACCTATATAGGCATTAGGGTGTACGTTATAAACTAACTCAAAAGAAGGAAATATACTCAAACTTCAAAGAGAAACACATACCAAATTTGCGAAGAAGTCACTGTCACCAGCAACCAATTTTGAGGACAAGCTGGTTTTTGCACAGTTCACCAAAGAATCCTTCCCAAGCTTTTCAACCTAGTTAAATCAGAAAAGGGTACAACCAATCACTAAACAAAAAAGAGATAATAGATGGCAGTAAGACTATGGTAGGGAATCCATGATAATGACAACCAATAAGGTTAGTTGGTATTGAGTTTTCATTCCCACAATTCAGAATTCTCTTTGTTGAACACAGATAAAGCAAAAACAATTGGAAGTAGCATCCAAATAGGATATACACTGGTTACAAGACAATACACATGTCCCAGAGCAGACATCGGTCTTTACTCTATGGCAGGGTACCAGATTGCAACTCACTTAGCCGACCTTGATCAGTTTCAACAAGCACAGGTCAAACACAATATATTCCAACAGCCTAATACAGCAGTATCTTACCTTCACGGCCAATTTTTCCTCAACATATTTGCAAGCCTCCCTCATTGCAAGCTGTCCACCATTAGAGAACCGTTCAATAGGAGTTTCAAATAAGGACAAATGAAAACATTTGGTAAAAGGTATAACAGGCAGCATGTCTAGAACATGAATATATGAGTGTACGACACCCATCCTGTAGGACACCAAACAGGACCTCAAACAAAAGAAGAGAAAAAGACAGCAGATAAGAGATTTTGGAACAACTCACTCGGTATCCACTAATAATAGATGTTGGATGGATCTTGTTCCTCACTAAATCATTAGCTCTCTGGAAACAAAAACGGATTGTCAAAGTTCATCCATACCAACCCCATTGCCAGCACAAAATGATTGTCAAAGTTCCTATCTGTCTTAAAAGACAGTGGAGGTCATGAATCACCTTTAGCAACTCTGCGGCTACTATTACCACTGAAGTTGTTCCATCTCCTACTTCTTTGTCTTGGAGTTCAGCCAATTCCACCAGCACCTGAAGACAGAGAGGATAAAAATTAGATTCCGAAGAAATTAACTCTCGCTAGCTCGTTTTCACTCCCAAGGCGTCTACCTTGGCAGCCGGGTGTTCCACCTCTAACATCTTGAGAATGGTTGCACCATCATTAGTAATTGTAACATCACCAATATCATCGACCAGCATCTGCAACGAGCAAGGGAAAACAACGCATTTAGCCCCACTAATCACTCCGCACAAAGACTTCACACATGACAATCGACATGTAACAACAACAAAGAAGCTTGTACAAAACGGCCATCAAATCTCATTTCCCGGAAAGTCATTTAACTCTGGATTGAGCATCTTTGAGGGACGCAATATGGCAATAAGAAAAGATAAACTTGCATTCATGACATGTATGCTCTTCCAGAAAGTTCACAAAATGAAGCGAAAAAAGTTGCAGAAAAAAGAGGTACCTTGTCAAGCCCGACGGGACCAAGGGACGATTTGACGATGTTGGCAACTGCTTGGCAAGCCATGACTGCCGCCATTCAACAGGTTCCACAAACAAAGAACACAAATCAACTTACTATCAGTAAAACGAAGCTTAGGTGTTCTTTTTGCAAAGATCAGCTCTTATAAGTGAAGCAGCGAGCAAGATTTACCGTTTTGAGCGCGGACATCCTGGCCGGACTGTCGTTCGCCATGAATATCAAGAGTTTGGGATGAGAGCGCCATATTACTCACTGGCAGGAGAGAAACCCTAGAAGAAGTTGGGTTTTGGCGCAGAGGAACTTCCGATCCGCCGCACTTTGCACTGAAGAATGCTAGATGGAGGCTTAACTAGCAGAGTCTGGTAGCAGATCAAGACGAGATTTTGGTTAGCACTAAAAACCCTTTCACTCTCTTCGGTGTTGGAGTATGGCAGCTCTTGCGTTCCTAAAAGTGAACACTCCAGGCGAGGCGACTCGAGAGATGTACGGGTGAATTGCTCATATGGCAGGGAAGGCTACCAGGCTAGGTTGGTTTTTCTTTTTTAGGCCCAAACAGAGAGGAGGATCCTGAGCCCATATAGACGTAGCATTCAGGGCCCGTGGAAAAGAAAATGGGTTACACAAATTTGGCCCTAGGTCTACTTTGGAAATTAAACAATTTCCCAAATCCCACCCACCCAAGGTTGTCAACCGGTTTAGCCCGTTGACCCGGTCAAGCAATTGAGTTGAGGGTTAATGGGTCGACCACTTTAGCTCGGTTTAACTCGGACATATCGTAAAACTCATAATATTGTTAATACATATATAAATTATATGAAATCTCATCCAACATATGAGTAATAACATGTAACATTACACCAAAATAACATGTCGTACTTGGATCTAACATATAGTGAAATTCACACATGCTTATATAACATTAATGTTCAATTTAGAATTCCAAAGATTGTACAATACGAAAAGAAAAATCGGAAAATAAGCGCATTTCGCAAAATAAAGAAAAAACGATGTCGTTTGACCTCCAATTCAATACCTTGTAGCGGGTCTACCCGATGGGTGTGTACGATCCATTTTTCTCACTGAATCAGGGTCAAAGCAGGTCAATCGATGGGTCGACCCGCGGGTTGACAACCTTGCACCCACCTATATATAATTTCTCTGAAAATCTATGTCGTAATATTATTAAAATATTCTCAACAAATATATATATATATATATATATATCAATAAAGACTAATAAGATCCATATTATTCTTCCCACCAACAAAAACAAAAAAAAGATCCATATTATTAGGTTCATATTGATATAAAGACTAATAACATTAATAAATTATCCATATTGTTCATTGTTAGAATGGATCTGGAAATCGACAATACAAGAAAGTAAAGAACCCACAGATTTGCATGGTTCACTAATAGAATGTGTGTTAGTTAGACCACGAGCAAGATAAAACCAGTTTCACTATACTTGAGGAGATGCGTATTACAGAGGAATTGAGATGTATATATAGTACCTCTGCAGATGGGTTAACCCTAATCCAATATGGTAAAGAATAAGGTTCCATACCAGGCCCATAACATAATTCCAAACGTGCAGTGGCGAACCCAGATATTTTACATAGGGATGTCCTATTTCAAAAAATAAATAAAAATAATAATTAATCACAATTAAATAATTCTTAAATAAGAAAATATCCAACTCGTACAAGTTAAAAAAGTCCATGATGTATTTTCATATTCTGAAAAATTTGTAAAATATACTTGGTGTCTACACTGCTCAACAAAGTTGTCTCGGTATATCCTACTAGACAATCATTCATGAACTGACGCATATTCGACTTCTAAATTTGTTCTTGATGTAACTCAAAGCTGAAAAGACACTTTCAACACTTGTCGTACAACCATAAAATCAATACAAATTAAGGGTAGCTTGTAATTAGATTAATTGTTAAATTTTGAAAATAAGAGAACAGAGTTTTGCTATTACACGGTGTGTTTAGAATAGAACAACAAAATAGTTGTAGCCTAATGGATATTATATTTATTAACAGTAGTAGTGTCCTGGGTTTTAATTACCCAAACTACCACTTATATTCTCATACATAAACTACAAATGAGAATAGGATAATGTTTTTTTTTTTCTTCAAATTTCAGGGTGTCCCGAACTATTAATTATATTTTTTTTCATACGTAAATTACCACCGAGAGTTGGATAATTGTTTTTTCAAAATGTAGGGGTGTCCAAACCCCCTGGGTACGCCCCTACAAACGTGTATAAGCTCATACACCATAGGCCAGATCGTTGCCCCCCAAACACTCATTGGAGGAACCTTGCTCCTCTGAGCCCCCAAATCCTCATGACTTCCTGTCGATGACGGATAATCTTATTCAAGTAATATCAACATCCATATTAGATACAAAAATGACATTGTTTCTCTTTTAAGTGCGAGTCGGGTGGAAAGCGGGTCAGGTTTTGACAAAACCCATACCCAATTACCCCCTTCTGATTTCATAAGCGGGTAAAACCCACACCCGACCCAAAATTCGTCAACGCTGACTTTTACCCACTTTCACCGGATTGAATACCCGTGGATTTGGGTTTATGGTCGACCTAGAACCCAACATTTCCTTCTCTGGCGATCCCTAGCTTGGTCACTCGATGAGCCACAGGAAAGTTCAGCAAGGTCTTTGCTCTGATGCATCAAATGTGACCCCAATTGGCCTAACATTTTGAATATGTTGAGCATTACTGTAAAGCATGTGGTGTCTCATCTCTTGACTAATATGCTCGGTGGAGCTTGGTGACTATACTCAGAGCAGGGGACCTCACGAAGGAAAGGAAGTGGGTGGGTCATTGCATGCCCTAGTTTCCCCCTTTTGTTTTGCATATATTCATGTCCATAATATGTGTGGCGATTAACGAACCAAACGATGATTTTGTAAATGTGAATGGAGTTGTCTCTAACATTCAGCAGTCTAGAAGCATATGCAATGTGAAACGATGATGGAATACTACTTCCATGAGAAACCACTACTTCTGATACATGAGAAATCAGGTATTCATTGGAAGTGATGGATGGTTGATACGATGGCCAAGCGACTGTGAAATCTTGACATATGACTAGGGAATCGTTGCACATTTGAGGAAGAAGATAGCATTCAACGTATTCCAATAACTGGACCATAAAGAGTGAATACCAACAAACATGTATGTACGTATTATACTTAGGTATTCAATGACCAATTCCCAACGACGACATTCATTCGATCTGGTCTGCTGACCACATACAATTTGTACCCAAACTTGAGGATTTCAACAACTCGAATCATATCATATTCACTAAATTGACGAAAAATATGTAGAAAGGATACTGAAATCTATCCTTATTTTTTATTTACAAAGATTCGAAATCACCTTTTGTTGGCAAAATCAAGTGAAGTCTTGTTCTCCATTAGGATCATAATCATACACTCATTCATCTCATTCAACCATTTTGTGGATTGTTCATGGCACATAATGTATGAACTTTCAACTCTATCAAACAAAATTTCATTATCGTAATACCTTGTTACTCACCCAAATTTTACCGGTCACATAGAAGATGATACATACCCACCGATTATATACATCCTGTTATAACTGAGCGAACTCATGTAACTTTAACGATTGACCTATTCATTGGTCATCCCAAATACGAACGTATTGATGCGACGAGTTTCACCAAAACTTAACTATATATTATTACCAGCAGCCAAAACTTACCGGGCCTACAAAACAAACCAAAAAAAAAAAAAAAACCAGCAGCCTCCCGTTAGAAACTATAGCCCCTGTCCCCTGTTTTCCATCCAAGAAATTTCTCGTCACCAGCAAGGTTTTTCTTCCTCCTTTCTTGTTTCTCTTTTGCGTTTCAATATTCCCTATCAAATGATTTCTACTTTGACTGTGTTTGTACCATTTTTCCGTTCCAGAATCACAAGCCAGATAGCCTGAAGCCTCCACCGCATTTCGTCACTGTCCATCTGCTTATCAGCCTGCAATGGTGGCTGCTACTACAGAAAAGATGAATGAACCATGCTAGCTAGTCATTTTGCCATTCTTTCCATGTGTATGTTATATAAGCATTTGAAATCAAGCATTTACCAAAACCATTTCACCCGTCAGAATCCGCCACGACTTCACGCACATGCATGCACACAATTTAACCTCTATGAAATTTCACCACTAAGAGTTTTTTCTTTTCTTTTGTTATGTTTGGGTGTGATAGAGAGAATGTTGACTGAGTTAAAGCGGATTGGTTTGGTTCTGGACTGACTCGATTGATTTCAAGCCTCGACTTTTATTTTTTTTCTCCTTCCATTTTAATTGCAAGAAGATTAGTTTGTCGTTAATAAAAATATTTGGCGGATAAATGCCAGCCGTAAATTGTGTGCATACTCGTCAATTTACTGTATATCATGATTCATCTCAGACTTTTAGATGCTTTTCAACTTGATCCAATGCACTTTACTTCGTTAGAAACCCCTTTTTTTTTCCCTTACCACGTTGATAAACTGCAACCACTACGCAGTATATAAATTCGCAATCCGCACCACAATGATATTGTTCATTTAGTTACCATGGTGTTTGTTACCATGGTTTGGTTCTGGACCGGCTTGATTGATTTCAGGTCACGACTATCATTTTTTTCTCCTTCCCTTTTAATTGCAACAAGATTAGTTTGTTGTGAACACATATCTCGCGGATAAATGTCAGCCGTAAATTGTGTGGATACTCGTCAATTTAATGTGTAATCATGATTCATCTCAGACTTTTAGATTCTTTCAACTTGATCCAATGCACTTTACTTAGTTAGGAACCCTTTTTTCCCTTACCACGTTGATAAACCGCAACCACTACGCAATATATAAATTCTCAATCCGCACCACAATGATATTGGTCATTTAGTTACCATGGTGTTAGTTACCTCCGTGGTAGCTAGACGTACGACTTGTGCACTATAATAAAAAAAAATTCTGTAACCATATATGTCAGAATCACGAACAAATTTTCTTTACCACTGTGGTAACATATTTTCAGGAGGCCGACTCAAACTCTTTTTCTTTCGCTTTTAAGCATATGAAAATTAGAAACTACTACTGCTGATCAGAAAATCAAAGGTATGAAGAAAATTATAGTTCAATGTTTTCTCTGTGGAAAAATTGGAGACAGGTAAGTGAAAATGAAAGCAAAATTAATTGTGGGTTGGTGAGAATAATCTTGACGTTGATGTGCTCTATTTTGGATCCTTTTGGTCTGTGGACCGGTTGGACCAGGTTTGAATATTGATTTCAATTCAACACAACTTGGGGCTTTCTTTACTCATCCATCCATCCACACAAAATAAAATAAAGGAAGCAAAAGGGTTTGGTCAATGGATCCTTCCAGCTTCCCCAGAAAAGCGTTCGTAGTTAAACCTCGGCAGTCAATTTGGGCGCCTTAAATTATAAGTGAATTTGCTAATTAATCATCTTTTTAATTAATTGAAAAGAGATAAAAAAAAATTAATCTGATAGCTCTCGAAGTAGAACGAAACTCTTGTCTTTTTACTCATCCGAAGCTTCTTTCCAAGAAAGGACATAATCAATAGCCACATTTTCTTACAAATTCGTTTATGACATAGATTAAATATGTATCTTAATGTGTTGGTAAAAATTTAATTTGTATCTGTATTATTTCGCACAAATTCTTTTATACTAAGTTCATGAAAGAGGGAGAGAAATTTGGAGAGGGAAGGAAAAATATAAGAAGAATGAAAATTTGAGAGCAGTGAAATAACAAGAAGAAAGTGGTGTTCGATTTTGAATGGGAAACGAAGGAAAAAAAAATCAAAAAGTTCATTTAAACTTGTGAACAAGGGAAAAGTTTTGAATCCCTTCATTTTCCTCTAGTTTTCCCTCGCCCTCTAATTTTTCTTCTTCATGAACAAAGGATTGTGAAACAAACTACACTTGTACATACAACGTTGTTGTACAAATTCAACTTGTTTCTAGAAGCACCGGTAATTATGAACATTGTAAAATTCTTTTATAATCAAATATATAACAATAGAGGAATTTTACAATACTTTAAAGAATAAGTATTGCTTTAGTTTTTTTTTTTGTCTTTATGGTACAACTGAACTTGTACCTTGAACGTTATAGTACAAATTTAGTCTGTACTTATACATTTATGTACAAATTCCTTTATGGTACAACATACTCGATGTTAAAGCTAGAGTTTATAGTAGAAGTAGATAGTAGGATCTACCACCATGAGTTGGATGCTCGATGTAAAAACCGAACTAACTGCACCACAGTTGGCATAATTGGCACTTAAAACCCGAATTCAACACGCCTAATCACCGAAGCCGACTAACTTATCATTATCATATCAAGACCAACATCAATAATTTCAAATGAATTAGAAACTACGATAAAACATAATTTTATGCATAAAGCAAACAATTTCAGTCTACTTCAACATAAACTTGCTCAAAACTGAGATGTATAGATGAACTCGACGTACACAAATAAAAGCTTACTTAGTGTGAATAAAACTCTCCTAGCTAAAAACAAGAAAGTACTATTTATATGCTGAATTAGTAGGTTCAATTGTGTATTATACAAATAAATCTATAGAACTTTCAAACCCCAAAATTTGGTTCACTTGGTAGCCTACAAACTTCTTCTTGGTTTCTTTTCTCCCCATCAATCAAGCTTTCTGCAAAAGGGTTAATGGGTGGTTGGACAAGTGTCATTGCGCCAGGTCAGCAACCACCCTTCTTACTGCTTCCTGAAAGGCGGCTTCGTCCCATTCTTCATCTCCCTATCAAAACCACACAACCAAATAAGGAAGATGCCAAGAAAATCACAACCAGTTAACCAGAAAAGAAAATCAATTTTATTTTATCAATTATCAAATCAAATTTTCTAGTCTCCTTTTTTCTCATATTTGTATATTGTCATTGAGAAAAATTTTATTGACTAGTTGTCTCCGTAATGGATAACCATCCAAACTTACATCCAACACAATATTATTTCTCTATTGGAAAAGAAAATATATTCGAGACTCTTTTTATAAATTTTATTGACCACTCAATTTATTGAAATCAATTAGCTTAATTTATATGATGGGATTGTATAAAATTCGAACACATTAATCAATTTTTGTCTCACATGAAAGAATGCTGTAAATGAATGATATCATATCGATTTCAAATATCTTGACGTTTATTTGACAAGACGGTGTAAATGAATGATATCATTTCCATTCCAAAAAAAAATCGAAACAAGTCGAATTTTTTTTACAAATTTATTATCTATCACCTACATCCATCATCAATCATTTCAGAAAAATTAAGATTACAACTCATTTAATGATCTCATTATTTAATAAACAAAAGTAACGATCGGGTGGGTGGGATTTCTTCCTTAGTTACGAGGACAAAAGAAAGGTATTTGGTCAGCTGAGTGTGATGGTCTTATTTAGTTTATTATAACATGTGGTGGTCCATTTGTATTTAATTTTTCTTTTTAAAGAATAAAATGAAAAAAATGTCAAAAGAGACAGAGTAGCGGGACCAAACCAAACCAAACCACAAATTAATTTATTTGCTCAGATAATTGAAAAAAGGAAAAATAAATGGAGGAGAAAACCCTAGACTCAAATCAAATATATCGCCTATTAATTAATTACGTACCTGAATCTGCAGCAGGAAAACAGCTCGGCTGATACTTGGCCTCGGCTCCGCCGTCGACGCGGCAGCAGATAGTTGGCGTAATGTGTCTGTACTGGCATTTGCTTCCAAGGCCACCAAGTCAACGTTGTTGACTTGTCGGAGAAACTCCAGCACCCGAATCACCACATCCGAGACCAGCGGCGACGACGACTGATCTCCTCCTCCTCCGACAGTGACGTGCAGCTCCACCACGCGGCCGTGCTGCTCCGACGTTGTTTCCTCCACTGTTCTCAGCCGTACGTCTACCACCCTGATCTGCTCGCATGGAATCGTTCCTTCTGCTCCCGAGTACTCCGGCGCGGCTGCGGCTGCTTTGATCCTGACGGGGACAGTACTGCTAGTGGCAGCTGGTGGCAGTGGTCGTCTGGAATTCAGGAGCTGATCAAGTTTGGATTCGAGGTGGCGGTTTCTTTCTGCCAGGTCGGCCACTTGGGCGATCAAGGAGCTCATGTACTCCTTCGTCCGGCTCAGCACCGACGCTTTGTCTTTCTACATTATGCATACACATCATATTGAATTCAGTTAATTAATTCAATCAAACCAATTAATTAAGCTTAGACGATGTCCGTGGTTCTTCTTATTCGATGTGAATGATCGCTGATGATATGGAATTCTTGATTTAGCCACATATATAATTAAGGTGGTGAACTGTTAAAGTGTGTTAGAGATCGATCGAAACATATATGGGCGTGCTAATTAATACTAAAAATAAGAGATGAGGTGTGTAACGTCAGAAAATAACTGGGAGGTTTCATCTTTGAACAAGAAAGCACGAGTGATTGTCGCTAGCTTTAGCTAGGTTAATTAGTAGAGGTAGGTTACCTTGGCATCGGGAGGGAGGAGGGAGCGGAGGGAGTGGAAGCTGTCGTTGATCTTCTCCCGGCGGCGGCGCTCGGAGATCATATGGTGGAGCTGCGTGGTGGTGGGACGGCTGCAGGCCAGCTGACTCATGTCCCTCGCCGTGAAGCTCCTCCTGTAGTACGTAATCGCCCTCTTGAACATGCTTTGCCCTCCAGCTCTCACTCCTCGCGTAGGAGGAGGAGGAGGAGTTGCAGCAGCAGCGAACTTCTTGAAAGCAGTACTAGTAGTCCGACGTGGCATCCGGCGGCCCTGATGATTAGATGGAGCCGCCGCCGCAGTAGCAGTTGGGGGATGAGAGGTGAAGACAGCCAGCAAGGCTCTGGTCATGGCGGCGTCCTCCATACTCGCCGCCATTTGATGAGTACTCGGAAACAGCCCCACGTACGGCTGCTGCTGCTGCTGACGTGGCGGCGGGGGAGGGTGGAAGGCGGGCGAAGAGGTGGAGGCGGCAGCGGTGGTATTGGCGGTGAGGTTGAGGAGGAAAGACGAGTACTCAGGGCTGTTCTGATCAAGGGAGAGCGCGGATGATCTGACGGAGGAGGTGGACGAGGATGCTGGCCGCGGCGGCAGCCCCGTAATATTATTCGCTGTCGTCGTCGTCGTCGTTAGAAGCCTGGAGAAGTCGTCGGGGAAAAGCTTCATCATCTCCCCCTCGATGCTCATCTGAGGGTAGATATATACGTACGTAGACACAAATGTTAATTAAGTTGAACAAAATCGGCGGCTTGTATCGTAACAAATACGTCATTGATAATAGTAGTAGTGCTTACTAGTTGTTGAGCCGTCGGATTAGACCAGCCGAGCTCGATCTCGCCACTTCTGCAACCCATAAACACTGCTGTCTGTTTTTGCGCCGTTAATTAATTATTATTAGATTCGTAGCTATTTATGATTAAAAAAAAAAAAAGAAGAAGAAGGGATCACGTAGCTAGTAGCTAGGCTAGAGATAGTGGAGGAACGGAACAAACCTTGATCTCCGCTTCCTGCATATATAATACAAAGTTCCAAAAGAACCAGAATGTGTCAGATAAGACTGATTAATGATTAACAGCTAATTAATGGAGAGTGATTCTGGTCACGGCTTTAAATTACCTGGTAGAAGAGGCGTTGTGAGAGATTGGACGCCATTCGCAGCAGCTCCGGTGATTCGTTCAGCTCTACGTACGGGTGGTTGATCAAGAAGGCGTGCCCCGGAACTCGACTGCGCCATCATCAAATTAGTTGATCATCATCATCATAATCATCATCATAAACACAATTAATTTATCGATCTTACTCGTTGATGGGAGTGAATGTTGACCGTGTGTAGTCCTGGAAATGCCGGTTGGCTGCTGCGGCGGAAGAAGAAGAAGACGGAGGAGGCGATCGAGGAGAAGAAGAAGAGGAGGAAGAGGGTATTGGCTGGTGGTGGTGATCGTCGTCGTGGTGTTGCAGCTGCGGCCGGTAGAAGCCTCCGGCGAAAACGAGCAGGCTGGATACAGAGTTATTATGAGGGTGGCGATGGGGGAGATGGGACCAAAGGCAAATGTAAGAGCTCCCCAGGTGCTGCATCAACGCCTGCAGATAGGCGGGCAGCTCCATTTCCGGCGCCATCCCGAATACGCTCTCCATATTTAATTTAATTTCCTGCTGTGCGATCGGGATAGTAGAGACCCAGTCTTTGCAGCGGCTATGCATCGACGACGGTGATCATCTCATCAGGTAGAAAAGGTTTCGACCGGTTTGGTTAGTGGCCGGGTCGGTTGTTGAGTATTTGATTGGTCTGTGTGGAAATCGGCGGCGTTCGGTGGTTTAAGATTTTATTAGTACAGAGAAAAAGAATAATAAGGAAGGAAGGAAGGAGAAAACGGTTTCAAGCCGGCGGGGGAGGAGAAGTAGGGAAGACGAAGGAAGGAAAGAAGGGATCGAGAGGGAATGGAATGGAAGAAAATAAATAGTCCAGCGGCGGCCCACTTGTATGAAGAGGGGACTCCTCCGGTTTGGAATTTTCCAAACAACGGGTGGGTGGGAGGGAGAGGGAGGGAAGATTATATATATGAAGAAGCTAAGAAAAGTATTCACTTTGCATTAATTTATTATAATACTAATTATTATATATAATAGCTGATATATAAATAAATATATGAAGTTTTCTAGCATATGGTACGATATTATACATCAATTTTTATATAAAGGATGAATCACAACTCCTAATTCGTTAATTCAAATAATAAGATTCGTTTAATTAAAAAGTATAATAATCGAGATTTTGGATTGATCGAAATATATTGAAGTACACCTTCACAAATGTGAATTCAAGACCACGTAGGCTAAGGTTTGCCATAATTATACATATTCACATGTTATTTCTGCTACTGGGTTGGGTTCCGCGGTGACAAATCATAACAAGAGAGAAAGAAGGAGAAAGAGACCAATGGACCTTTGAAAAATGTTGTCTCGTCGTCTGTAGGATAGATGACGTGTAGTGTGCAAAGGGTAGAAAATGGTGTGGAATAATGCAATATATAAAAAAGCTAAATTATATCAATCACTCAAATTACATAAATCTTTCAATTTTGTTACTCGAATTACTTTTCTTTATTATTGATCACTAACTTTACAAATTGTTACATCGTTAATCACCGACCGTCAGTCTTCATCAAACTCCATAAACTCTGTCAGTTTTTTTTATGACGTAGCAAATGGAACTCCTATTAGAGCTTTCTTATCCCCCTTCCACGCTCTCTCATTCATCTTCAACCCTTCCCTTCCTTACAGCAACCGCCGCTGAAGGCCAACACCTGAGAACCACCATCCAGCTCTATCGACTATCTCGCCATAAAACCACCATCGTCGTCTTCTCCTTCTCCCTCTCTTCCCGACGCCTCCCTCTCGTTCCCTCCTAACACCTTCCTCCCCAGTTGAAGAAGGCAACTTCCTCAGGCAAGAGATAGTCTTACCATCGAGATCGACCACAACATTTGGACGAGGCATACGCAAAATCGAGGACAAGGTTAAGGAGATAAGCAATTGCATAGTCAAAAGTACCCAATTCGAAGTCGGACATTCATGAAATGAAACCCTAATTAAAAGCCGCGATTCAACCCCCCCTTCCCCTCCCCAATTTGCCAGGCTTCAAATCGCGATGGAGGACCATATTCCGGTGGCAAGCGTCGAGGCCGGAGAGAATCTACATCATCCATCGCTTGACCTCGCCGACGGATCCCTCCCTTCTTCTTCCCGTCCTGGATGACTGTTGCCTAATCGGTCCTGAGGAATTCGAGGACGACGATGTTGGGGCAGTTCCGGAGGACACAGATGGCCTCGATCTCGTGGAATGGTGACTGGTATTGTGGACGTCTTTCAAAGCGACAAGGAGGGCATCAGAGCAAGATCATCCTTGTAGAACTCGGAGTAGGCAAACAATGACGCATCAGAAGCGATTCTGACGAAGCCATGTACAAGGAGAAAGGAATTGAGCTCGTCAGACCAAGCACGAAGAGTGTGGCGAAGTCCATATATTTCTGGTATGCTTTCTACATTTATCTATCTACTTTAATTTGTGAGTTTTGTGGTGTACTTTGTCTTGTTTCTAGTATGCTCCGTTTCATAATATTTGTGGTAAGCTTCATTAGTTTTTGGTATGCTTCATAAAAATTGTGGTTAACTTTTGGTTAATTGATATGCTTCATAAAACTTATACTATTTGTGAGTTTTGTGATGTGATTTTCATATTTATAAATTTTCTAATATGTTTATCAAACTTGTGGTCATTTTATGAGGTTTTTGGTCTACTTTATAAATTTGGTGGTGTGTTGAGCTTTGTACTATATGTGGTGTGTTTTCTATATTTTCTAGTATGCATTATAAGGTTTTGGTATATTTTATGAGTTTTGTGGTGTAGCTTGTCGTGATTTTGGTCTGATATGATTTTTTTCTTATCTGCATCATAATACTTGTGGTAAGATTTATGAGTTTTATAGTATGCTTCAAGAAACATGTGGTCAACTTGTGAAAACAAAATCAGTCGATTTCAATCTTCAACACCAGCACTGTTGCTGCTCGTTATTTTCTATGCGATATCCAACACCAATGCCGCCACAATTCCTCTGAAGACTGAAATATGGAAAAAAAATATTTCGTGCGACTTCAACAACTAGCGCACACCGCCGCTCCTTGTCGATCACTAGTGCAATCTCCACAATCATTGTCGCTCCGCTTCTTGTCAGCCTTCGCTTGGATCTCCAACATCAGCTCGAGTTAGGGATGTAATACATGTGAACAAAGATGAGTTGTGAACAAGAGGACTACAAACGTTAGTCTGATTAGTTAATTTACCAAAATGACAAGCGTGCGCCTCCCTCTAAAATCATCATGAAATTGTGATGACTAACCCCTTAAACATAGAAAATAAGCAAATTGGAAGCTTCCTATTGATTTGTTTTAGTGTACCATGCTAACAAATTAGGTGTTAGCACTTAGCATGCTAACCCCAACCACTTATTAGATTTATTGACTCTGACACTAGCCCAATAACTTCTTTCCATAGTATCAGAGCTTTTAAACGAGTAGTTTTCTGTTCTATCCTCACAACCTACAATGTTAACAGTTGATTTAGCCAAAAGATATGACAGACCAGTACAAACTTTAACCTCGTAACTTTCATTTAAAGCGCTGTTAAAAACATAATATACAATTCACTCTTCAACATTTCTCTATCAACAACTCAAACTATTATTACAACCCAATTCTTTTTTGGTAAGTTATTACAAACAAATTCTTATCACATATATATGACTTTTTTAATTTTTTCCATAGGTGCACATAAATCAATCGCACAATCACATCATGATGATTATTATTACTGTTATTATCACAATCAACAACTCATATGGAGTTATGTCATATTTAGATCATCCCGTGCGACATATAGCAACATATTTCCTTAAGCCACAAGTAAAAAAAAGACCAAGCTAGGTTAACAAAGTTGATACGTTCTTAATTATCATATGAACTCATGTAATTTAATCCATGTCGAAGGTGCTAGTGAATCAATTTACACGTCGTACGTGATGAATCTAAAAATTAGTAATAATAACTTTCTAATCCCATCATATGAAACTTATGTTAAAAAAAACCCCAGTAGGGAAATTAGTAGAATGAACAGTTGAATGCAGGGAAGAATTGTCATTGCAAGGATGAAAAGTAGTCGTGAGTGGGGTTAGGGTTGATCGACGATATAAATATGAGTTAATTAGGAGAATGGTAGGAGAGAAGTGAGAATATTATTGTTTGCAAGCTGGGGGTGGGGTAGGGTATGGAACAGTCTTGTTTGTTTTGGTTTAAGGGATCATATTATCATAATATGAGTTTTAATTCATGAATTTTATAAATATAAAAAAAATAAAGTAAATTGATATTTGGATTAGATGAAACTGACCGAATACAATAATTATATGATTTTTTATTTTGATTTTTTTTACTATTATATTGCGTTTCTCATGACTTTGGCTGGTCCGTAACATTGTATACGAGAGATGACAATTGAATTCAGATTTATGGGTTTGTGTTTAGTTTTTTTTTCTTTCAAAACCCAACTCGGTTCGCACCCAAAAAAAATATAGATAATTTATGAATGGTAGTCTTTATACCAATGTAATCCAAATAATATGGATAACTTATATATGTTTTTTTTATCTTAACTTATATATATTATTAGTCTTTATGAAAATATATTTGTAATTTCTTTTATAATATTACGGTGTGGGTATCCAGAGAAATAATGTGCCGGTTGTTTTCTTACGCTCATAGGTACTCATGTATTTGTTGATATATGTAGGGTTAGATTGAAATTTCTCTTCCGAAATCCATTCAATATTTGTAAAAAAAAAAAATATTTTATAAATACACCTACTGAACTGGATTTGAATTTTTTTTATAGATATGGATTTGAATTTGAAGAGATCTGTAATATCCTGAACCTTTTCCCGACGAAGATATTATTCGCTTTGGACCTCGACCCTCACGGTTTTTGACTTGGGTGCAATTCAAGGTGGACTTCCCATAAGGTCACTCATCCTTATTGTACTCCACACCGAGCACGTTTAACTTCAGAATTCTCACAAAAACTCCTCCATTATACTCCAAAACGCGTCTTATCAGATAATGTCGGTTTCTTACTTATAAACCATGGATCTTTCACGTGCTTTATCGATGTGGAATTCGCCTAAAGTGTTACAATCGTTGCCTTCCCTGCTGCACAAACCTAGATGGAATCTGTGTTGGGTCCCACGTGTGAGTAGCCAAAGAGAACTAAATGAAAAATAAAAAAACAAAGCAAGAAAAGTAATGGTCAAAGTCCACTGGGGGCCCCTTTTTTCCTTCTTCTTCTTCCTTTCTCTGATCAGTGGCTTTGATTTGAAGATAGTCAACAACCAAAACGGAGACCATCCCTTTCCTTTCCCCCCTCTCTTCGATCTCCATACATTTTTTTACAGCTAGCTTAGCTACCTTCCCTCGCCAACATACAAGCTAATAATGAACAAAAAAGGTTTGACTCGGGTTGACAGTGAACTTTTACAATCATCCTCATATTAGCTCTAGACTTATTATTTAGTATTTTAATTTCATTTATTGAATTGCAATCATAAGTCAAACAAAAAATATAATAATAAAAGATCTTATGGGTATGTATATTAACCATTTTTGTCATTTTTATTAACAAAATACATCAAAGAATGATAATCATCTTTAATATGTTAACAACATTATGATTGGTTTCGTATTGCAACGTTGAAAATGACAACCATACAACATTAACGCAAAATATAACTTCATACACGTGTTCATCATTCGCGGAAAAGCGTTAAAATTCTTTTTAATTTCATTAATGATTACATATTAAAACATTAATAACAAATTTTTCGTTAATAATGGCATACTAGAACATTTTTCGTTAATAACCTCCAAAATTATTACTACTTTCGCATTACAACGTTGATAATCACTAACACTCATTATCCACACCAAATTACTAATAACCACGTTGTCATTATTATTAATGAAATACTGTCACTTTTCAAAGGGAGTCTAAGAGAATGACGACGACCAGGTGTGCTAGCGGGATGGCGGCGTCGCAAAAAGCTGCATCGTCGGGATGTCGGAGATGCTAGAGCTGTAGCGGCGTGATGATGGCGGGATGGCGAAGGTTCTAACGGCGGGACAAAGCTGCTGCTGTGAGGAGAGCGACTGCTGGAGTGGCTGCCGGAGAAGGGACGACCGGACGGAGAACTCGGGACGATCAGACGGTTCGCCCACTTGCGGGAGGATGAATAAACAGACAGCGGGACGGCTCGGATTGCGGGAGGGAAAAGAAAGAGACGTGGGTTAGGGTTGGGAAAAGAAAGAGACGCCGATTTTTAATTTAATTGTAGTCTCCTTAATACCTCTAACAACTATTTAATTAATAACTCTCCACTAACTACCTACAATTGAGTTAGCCAATCACGAGGTTTTAAGATCCTCCTTAAAGTAAGAGGCCTTAAGGACCTCAACTTAGGCCATTTCGACTTGCGGGGATTTGTCTGAATTCTTTCTAGAATAAGGTAAGTGAAAAAGATCTTATGATGACCACAATCAAGAAATGAAGCCGACCTTGGCCTCTCCCACTTTCTTTTTCTTTTCTTTTCTTTATGGTAAAATTTTAATTTTTTTTAATTAATCAGATTCGTGCATTTAACTAATCAGCTAGATGTATCGAAAGATCTCGAATATAGTTTCGGATGTATGCATCAGTGAAACTAGACGGTAATAGTCTTGTCAATATGACATATGCATTATAATTGATAACTTCAAATGATGAGAAGACATGATCGCACCAACTAATTAAGCTAATAGTTGTTGTAGGGTTATATAATGAGAGAGCATGAGGATTCTAAATATGGGAGAGTCATAGGTCGATGCCTTGCCATGTTTGCTGTGAACCTGGGTATATGCTTCATTATCGAGTTGAGTTGAGAGGCACTGTATGACTTTAGTTGGACATTGTATGATTGGTCATCGTCACGTTTGCGTCGAGTTGGATTCTCAATGTACTGCTAGGTTGCTCAGCTCGACAGAAAGCACAAATCACCAGCAAACAACCATTGTTTCGAGCTTTAGAGAATTGCTCGCCCGTCCATGAGAAGTTACCATTGTCCATGTATTTCGACCTTAGAGCGTGCTACTCATTCGACGAGTCGACGACACTGTCAAGAACATGGTATCAGAGCCTTCTGTGATCGAGATGTCTCTTGTTCGAATCCCGATGATGACCCCCATATGTTTCTTTTTCTCTTAAGCACATGGTGTCCGGACATGTGCTTGTGCAAACTCTAAGCCTATTTGAGTGGCTTGAGTTTAAGGAGGTGTGTTAATAAACGGTATATGATCCACAATTGAACATTTCCCAACAACTCGAGTTATTGAGATCAACTGGTTCTTGACAAATTTATCGTTTGGTTTACTTTGTATTTCTATATCAATGAAAGGTAGGGTCCCGTTGCATGTAGTTATAAGAAGGTAAATATGGAAGAGTCAAAGAGGTAAATAAAAACAGACCAAATTAATTAAATCAGCAGGGGGTACGGTTCACATTGACGAACCGCTAGTTTTCTCCCTCTGGATGTGTAAAAGACTTCGAAACGAAACCCAAAACCTTCGAGAACGGACAAAGAAACGTCACCGTTTCCGTTCCCACCTTCGTCGTCCCCGACTGACTGTTGCCCCGCGGTCTGGCAGGCATCGAGAGTATAGAAAGTGTTGACCTGATTGGATTGTGATTGGACTCCAGCTGGAGTCTTCCATTAGATACAGAAGAAGAAGACGTCAATCAATCTTCCCGACTCAAACCGTTGCTGCTGCTGCTTCTGCAAGACAATGAAGCAAGCTAGCTGGTTGACTTCATCGTCGATCATTAATGGGTTGATTCTTCCTTCTCTTCGATCATGGGAGTTTGACTCCCTACCTACTCCCCAAGTACGCAGTATCTCTGGCTGTCCCCATTCCTCATTAACAGTTGTTGCATTGGTTTGCTTTCCTACTACTACTGCAGCAAACAACGAACCAGAATTTAACGTTGTACATGTCTGAGTACTTAACAAGTTGAGGTCACGAGAATTCGAACAAAATACTTCTCGCGCTTACAGAAGACGTTGATACCACAATGTTTAATTATGGACCATATACAATTTACTAACAAAAAGCAAAAACAAGGGTTCTGTCTAAGTGAATGAAGCGTACTGCATGAATGTTGGACCCAATTGCAAGTGTTGACACACAGCAGCACAACATTCTGTACATCTGCAATTTGTTCTAAAGCCTAGTCATCAAACAAGCTTAAAACAGAAGTTATAGTAAAAATAGTTTTGTTCTATGTACAGCCACGAATCACTCTCGACATGGGTGAGGCGTTATCACTTTCGATCTGGATGAGGCATTCATACGATATCAGGCTCCACGATCTCCACTCCGAGTCTCCAAGTAAGCGTGCTTTACGTTGTTTTCTTTGGCTGCCATTCTCGGAAGCACAGATGGAAACGAGGAAACTACTCCAAAATCAAGCACCTGGTTGTATCGAGTTTAATCCTGTTCTGCTACCAACATGCTCTGCCACTGGCCGCACATGATCAAGGATAGTCCTCTTCTTCTCCATCATCCTGAAAGATGAGACAGTAGTCAACAAGTCAGTTGGACGGAGCTATAGCTGAAATTACCTAAACATAAGTCAGATAACCGTGCCAGGCGTAGAGAAGTGCATAGAAAGATAAACAAGTCTTGGTAAGAAGTAAGAACATCACGAAACAACCAACAGGTGGGGAACTCATTTTTCTGACTAGGATATTGGCTGTACAAGCAAATCTTAGACGAGGAGCTCTCTGTTTTGGAAACCTGCATATCTTAAGACTTCAGCAGATAGAGCAACATCAGAATAAGTGACGGCTCTTTACAGGAAACTGTTTATCAGCATTAAGCAAGAAATCCAGCCTATGGAATTTAGAACGATAGTAAGTTCTGTTGCTCACTACGGGAGCTTAAAAGGGTGTGCAGCACATCAAGGAGCAGGGCTATATCACACAAGGAAACTGGATCACCTCACAGTGAGTCGAATGATATTTGTTGTTCATTTCAAAAGGCTTGAGCTAGGTGATTCTATGAGGAGTCCTGTGTTGAAGCTGGACTCTCTCAGTTGGAGAGAGATAAAGAGAGAAATCTCTTTTCCATAGATGCTCAGAAAGATTTTCAGTCACAAGTCACACCAGAGTCGAAGCATGTATAAAGTTAAACATATAGGTCGGAGCTGAACCCCGGGGTCAAGCTAAAACTACAAAGACAAGATGAATTGAACGTAAAAGCTAATAGGCTATTTTCATTGCCTGAGTTTTGAATGGATTGTGAAGGAATTACTAGTTATCTGGTGAGCGAGAGGCCACCTGAAGAGACCAAATATGCCCAAGTCTTCACCTTATGCAAACTCATGAGCCTCACAGCAACCTATTGAAATGAGCTACGGAAACTGAAAATCTTCCTGTTCATCATGATCACAGAACAAAGAAGCATTGTCCAACATTGTACTGACAGCCTTATCTGTGTGCAACGTCTTGCCAGCTTCAACATCTTGCTGCATAGACACAAGAGCAAGTTAATTAAACAAATACGGTAATCGGCTTGTACATATATATCTCCAACCAATTTTGGGAAAATACCATTTCAATTCAGACTTGACTAGTTCAATTCTCTCTTGCAAATCGCATGGTGCTTCAGTGCCTATAGAAAGGAATATATTTAAACTGAATTCAGAGAACCAAATGCTAGATTACCATAAGAAACATAATAAACAAAGAATAATATACTGCAAGAGTACCTCTCCTCTATGAAGTTCAACGGACCTAGCCAGTGCTTGTCTCCTGGACATCAAATTTTTAGGATTCACACCAAGACGGCATTTATAATTCTTCCCATTATAAGCTATAATCACACAGCCTTAGCATTTCTCCCCATAGCTACTAGGACTCCCCCACTTGCAGCTTCCAAAGAAATTGCAATATGTTTGATTTTGCAGAGTTTTTGCCAGCCAAAATTATCTCACTAGCTAGTGGTATTTCCAATGCAAGTGTTTGTTCTCTATGATACAATCATAGACCTCTCAACTTTCACCCCATGAGAAGAAGCCTGAACAGAGGTTTGTATCCTGGGCAACAGCAGGAAGCCATTCAGCATCAACATGCAATAGCCCACTGCTACACCAGTTCTTGAACCTTGGTCCTAATCCATCTAACAAATGTTCAACTCAGTGAGTTCCATGAGTTCGTTCTTTGAGAAATCCTTGAAACCCTTTGCCAAATTCTCTACAGTGGGCTCCGGGGTTCTCACAAGTCCTTTGGTTCCTTGGTCAGCTATAGCATCATCAATCTTCACTGCTTCATTAGATGGAGAAGCTTCCGTAATAGCCTCTTTGTCTTTCACGTAAGATCTTACACGTCAGGATCGATAGCTCATTCCTCCATACAATACGACTGAACTCCTTGAGCTCCATATCACCAAGCCTCCAGTTCTAATCTGCATCAGTCAACAACTCCGTCACATAACATACAAAAATTACATTGCGTTCTGCATATAATTACAGCAGTCATATCAAAGAGCATAACAACAAGCAAGTTCATGTAGAATAATGCATAGTAGTTTGGATGGATAAAGAAAAAAATTGCAGCTTTAAATACACACCAGAAATGCAAAATCCCATTTCAAGACAACTGGGGCAAACTTGAAGTCGAAATTATAGTTTTTACCCCCAGAAATTATGATTGGATTACTAAAAGGTAAACTCAAATATGAAAACAAGTAATGACAATTCAAGAGATGAGACTAAAAGCCCAATTGTGCCCCCTTTAACTTTGAGGCTCTATGTCGTACCAAACCTATTTTCTTGAGGGATCAACCCGATCATTTCCTTTTGTGCGCTCATCCTCTTGAATTCTCCCCTTCTAAGTTGTTCTTTGCCATAAGCTCTCTGACAATCTAAAAGGAACAGATAAAACTTTTAAATAGACTGATAAATTAGTTGGCATAGAGAGAGAAAATAACAAAGGATGGAGGGGGACAAGGAAAAGAAAAGAGTAAGTTGTTTCCAAACCTGTAGTATCAGATGGAAGTTGTCCCAACCAAACTCATCCCAGAGAAACTGGCCGTCTCTATTTATATAGATGCGATCAAGTGTGATTTCCGGAACGTGCGAGATGTAGCGCCAATTCAAAGTCTCCTCCAGCCCTGAAAAAATTCCAATTCTAAGCTCTTGCAGGGAAGTGAGGTGTTGCATCCCTCTCAGCCAGTCTCTTGGAGGGTCATCGACACCATAGATTTGCAGTTTCTTCAGTTTGGACAAAGGGTACTGCATCAAGTCCACTTCACTTGAAAATGAAGAACAGCTTGTGTTTCCTACCGAAGACGATGGGACGTTCATTGTGCACAGTAGCGGTTCTAGGCTAGTTCCAACCAATTGTAGACCCTTATCGAGTGTTGGAAATAATGGCATCATCGTCAGCAGAGGGCACAACATTAAGGACAGTTTAGAAAGTTTAGGAAATTGGGGCAGCTTCCTCCTGCGCCATCCCTTTAGTTTGGGGCAATTATGCAATCCAAGTTTCTCGAGGGAAGGAAAGAATGGTTTGGATGTCTTCTTGTGTTTTGTACCTTCTTTGGCCAGCACCCAGCATCTGTCACCGTCTTCCTCTTCCTCTTCCTCTTCCTCTTCATCTTCATCCATGAACTCTAGTTCAAGGAGCCTCACAATAGTAAGCCTTCGAAGGACCGGCAATTCTTGCAACTGGTGCAAACCATGGCGCACTTTGCACCAATACAATGAAAGAGTGACCAGGTTAGTGAGACAAGAAATCCAACTTGGACATTTCCCTCCTTTGTACTGAATCACCTCCAACGATTTCAGACAGGAGCTCGGTTGGAGGCCTTCTAGTAAGCTTTCATCCCATTCAGCATCTTCTTCTGATCCCGTCAAAACTTCTTCCCGCCCAATCTCTTCCCATTCACCATTATCAAGACCCCACCCTAGTATCAGAGTTTCAAGATGGGGCTTCCCCATCAAATTAGCAGCCGCACCAAGCTCAAATGCGAGTAATGGTGACGGAGACAATACCCTCGCTCTGCTTTGAAGGGCTCCAAGATTCGCAATTTCGAGCCGGGCTCTTAATTTGTCTAGCCTATGTAGCTCATCCAACCCACCTACTGTCTGCTTAGAAGTGAAACTATCCTCCTTTCCCACCACAAAATATGTCAATACTTCAAGACGAGTTAGTTCACCCAACCCCACCGGCATGTGTGTCAAGGCGAAACAGCCTCTGCATGCCAGGATCCAGAGATTCACAAGTTTGTTGATATCTCTTGGCAACTCTTGAAGACTACTACACTCAGAAAGCCACAGAGCTTGTAAGTTCTGTAGCATGGTGATAGAAGGTGGCAGCCGGGTTATCTTATTGTTTAATGAGATATCCAAATAGCGAAGATGTTTTAGTTCTTGAATGTCGTCTGACAAAACTTCCATCCCAGAGTCCCAAAATGCAAGTATACGCAAACTTGGAAATTTTGAAATAAAAGATCTGAAGGTAGACTCATCCCAACTCGTTCCAGACTGATACCACTTTTTATACACAGAAAAAAAGGTTCGCAATTGTTTGGCTTTTTCTAGGTGGCCTACAAGCTCTGTAGGACACCACAAATCATGGCTCAATGACATGTGATAAGTGGTTTTACTGATTGTTGCTGTAGGTTCATTTATTTCTGAGTAATTAGACCCAGACACTGAGACTGCAAGATCATGGATTAAACCATGCATTCGACAAGATTTTATACTATTAGACCTGTCTCGTTTTATTTCTTGAAAGAAGGACCTCCATGTCAAATCCATAAAATACTGGAGACCTAAATCATATAGACTCTGTTTGGTATCTTCAGGTGATGACTCAATAAACCCCAATGCGAACCAATGAAAAATTAGTTCGCGGACAGAAATGGGAATGTCTTTGGGATACAAACTACAAAGCAGGAAGCAGCGTTTCAAATGCGAGGGAAGGTAGTTGTAGCTCAGCTTTAGATTATGCAGCATGCTGTTCTCATGCTTGGCACTTAAAAGTTCATTGGATTGAAGGAAAGACAACCACTCAGTTTGAGGATCTTTAAAAGACAACAAATTGGCTACTGTTTTCACAGCTAAAGGTACCCCAACAGACTTTTTCATGATTTGTTCTTTAATCTGCTCCACATTAGATATGTTAAGTGGTTCCTCGACAGCTAATTGGTGGTTACCACCACCAGACATGACCTGCCTAAACAATGACCATGATTGTGGCGAGGATAGGCCGCTCAAAGCATACGGTGGATCTGGAGAACCACGACTCATCATCTTTGCAAAGTTCTCGAACCGTGTGGTGACTAAGATCTTGCTCCCACTGGCACCGCTCTTGAGCACAGATCTGAGCATATCCCACTCCTCGGGATTAAAGTCCCACACATCATCAAGCACAAGAAAGAATTTTTTGCCACCAATGAACCCCCCAAGGAGATTGGTTAGTGCTTCAGGCTCAAGATCTGATATCTTCTCCTTTGTAGCTGATTCAAGAATCTTTGTGGTAATCACTCTGAGCTCAAATAACCCAGACACACAAGCCCATATCCTCAACTTAAAATGCTCCTTAACTTGCCTATCATTGTAAATGAGCTGAGCAAGTGTGGTTTTCCCCATCCCTCCAATGCCAAATATAGAAACCACCGAGATCCTAGGGCCATTGTCGGCCAATAGAAGAAGTTGCTTAATATGATTCAGGTCATCTTCTCTCCCAACAACTATGTCAGGGATGGAAGAAATGGTGAGGGTATGCTTCACCATTTTGCCTCTCTCCTCGAAACGAGGATTCAGATGCAATTTGGTGTTATCATCATGTATATCATCCAACTGCTCCCCAAGACTCTTGACTTTATGAGCCATTTTAAGACCGTAAATCACCCGACTCGGGATGGAGAAAAGGAAGCGTACCACAGTCCAGCACCTGCTGGAGTCATCTCGATCCCTCGCAGCTGCTTCCTCCCGCAGAGCTTCCGTAGCAACATCATCAAGTAGATCCTCCGCATCTAGGAACAAGAGCTCCAGCTTCTGGAGCCAGTCTTTGACCTGACGGCTGTGTGCTTGCTGCTCCTCTGCATCAAGTAGAAGTGCCTGAATGGCGGTCAGGGTGCCATTCATCTTCTCGAGTTCACCTTGCAGGTTCCACATCAAAGCCGCCTCTTGCTGCACAAGAGGACCCAGTTTCTCCAGAACTGTTTTGCCAATGCTAAAAAGAGAACTAGAAGCAGCCATTTCTTTCTTGGCTTTCTCCTTTTTGGTGAAGGAGAGAGAGAGAGAGAGAGAGAGAGAGAGAGAGAGAGAGAGAGAGAGAGTAGAGAGAAGTTGGTTGGTAATCTGGTTCGTCAGTGATGAAGCGGAACTGCAACCCCCTTAGTTATACAATAACTAACTAGCCTGTTGAAGTCAAGATCTTGGTTGATTAAGTTACTAATATGCTGACTGTTGAAGATAATGGAGGGTTGGTGGCTATCCATTGAGCCGCCAGCCGCCCAAGTTGCAGAAATCACGAGAATTAATAGTTTCTGCTTGGATTGTAGGTAATTTGGTGATTTCCAGCCTCAAAGGTTCTATCTCCCTCACAATCTAAGCAGAAGCTACATCCCCTCGCTTAATACTACTTTAGGGTTAATTAATTCATCTCGCTAAATGTTCGAAGCCATACAAAACGAGCTTCCTATACCGAAAGCTTTCCTGTTTAAACCTCCAATGGCGAGAACTAAAACATCCAGACGACGACTATCACACACACCACAAAAAAAAATCGCAAAAACGATAAGACGAAGGGAGAGAACAGATAGACTGACCTAGCTCGTTGAGAATTAACATCTCAAGGCCGCAGCGGGAGGAGACAACAAGGCATTTCAACTCCATTCTCAGCCACCGCCATCGCCAACCTCTCGTCGGAGACAGATAAATCACGTCTCCCTCCCTCTCACCGATCGACCGTGGAAAAGGAATTTCAGATCCACCGCCGGCGTAAATTTCAGATGCTCCCGCGGAAATTTGGTAGAGTGTTCCCCACTCCCCAGCTTTACCGTTAACTTAGGGGTCGTTTGGAGAATGGGATTTAGGCCGTGGATTCATTAAATCCGTAGATTTTGTAGAAAGCTATGTTTTTTTGTTGCTTTTTGTATTGTGGATTTTAGCTTTAGAGATTTCAAATCTCTAAAATCTATGGATATCAAATCTCTCATAATCAGAGAAATTCTATATCTTGATTCATGAGATTTTTTTTTCTCCTACATTTTCTCTTTCTTTTATTTATTTATCATATTAAATATATTTACTAACAAAGTTTTTAATATTTCTCGAACTACTCTAATTTTTCATTAAGGATAAACATGTTATTTAATATAAATTTTTTATTTTTATTACCATTGAATGTTAAACAATCACAGTTACCAAACAATAAACATTTTAAAATCTATTTTCAACAATCCGAAGAGTTAGAATCTTTAGATTGTTTACAATCTATAGATTTAAACTCATATTCTCCAAACGACCCCTTAATGAATTCCTTATTTCATCCCGGAACTTTCTAACCATCGCCAAGTAAGTCCTTTTCACTGTTTTAATTTGAACTATTTCGTCCGTCGAATCACAAATGGCTGGCTATTTGGTTCGGAGTGTTTGGTTTTATCCGAGATCGGATCGTATAACCCGGATCAGGACCGTACTTGGAATAGATAGCAAACAATCCAATCTCGTATTTGGGCTTAGATTTGAGGTAAAAAAACAGGATAAAGACCGGATAAGAGACCCCAACACTCCAATCCCCATAAGCTCAATCTAAAATCAAGATCAAATTGGAATCGAACCAGGTCAAGACCGGACTGTATCCAATTCAATTTTTGGTCCTTATATTCCCGAAAATACTATCTTTGATCCTTATATTCCCGTAAAGACCGAACTGTGACCGGATGGTCCAATTTAACCGGACCGTATAGCCACCCCTAAATGTAACAGTCAGGTCAGCGTATGTTCAGTTAAAAGTGGGGTCCACAGTCGGCCGAAATTTTCCCGCCCGAGCTTCTGAAATTTACGCCACCGGTGGATTGACCTGAAATTTGTGGTCTCCCCAATTTCTCCGAACCAACAGTTTGACTGATAAAAAAGGAAAAGGAGCTGCGCTAAAGCGAGAGATAAAAAGAGTGGGGAAATGGTGGATCTGCCTCCGCCAAGAGGTTGGTATCAATGGCGGCCAGGGAAAACCTTGGCTCCAAAAATCCGACTCTATTCTGCTAGATTGTGATGGAAACAAGGTACGGAATTTCAAGTCACCCATTAGCACGAAATAGACGTGAATAGGAATTCAGCGTGGCCTAATCGTGATCAATCATCAATGTGAACAAGAATGGTGAATGCATTGACAAAACCTCGACCTGCATTTTGGTATCCGAAGCTGTTGTTGAGCTGCATAATGCTGCCTCGCATGAGAGCTGCTTGCTGCTGCCTTCTTTCCCGAAACAATGTGCCCCCTCTTCTCTCTTCCAGTCTTCCTAACATGTGTCCCACGAAACAAGCGAGTAAAGCAAGAAGCATGCCATGAAACAAGTAACAGCCAAACCTCAAAACTGAACATTTGCTGCAAACTGAACAAGAACAACAGAAATCGTTCAGGTCTACTGAAACGCATACAAATAGATTGAGATTCACAACAAACAAACCCCTATAAAGTCATGATAAACACCTAGTCACTGGGAAAACAAAGTTTCAAACCTTACACAAAGTCCCAAGGATTCAATCAACCGACTCCCAGCCTGCACAATAATCTTCCAGATGCGCAACGCAGCTAAAAATATTGCTGCTTACTTATGTAGCGGCATGATCAGCAACTGCACTCCCTTTGTTCATACTGAAAAGGTGACGCTTTCATTTTCTAACGCACTCTTGAACAAAAAGATCACCAGAACAAAGAGTTCTTCAAGCCCTCTTACATGCATGAATTACCTATGTCATGTAATCTTCCATTCTCCTATTATGCCCCTTCACCGGGAATGTAACCTTCACGCTGATGCAACCAATCCCTATCACATGAAACAATGATCAACTTTCCACATCAATAACAGATGTGGAAACAAGATGGAGCAATCAATACAGTGATGCAAGAAAATATAATAATCAGCTTAGGTCATCCCCACTCCAGACCAGCCCTCACAGCCAAATAATTATGCATGACGGAGTGGCTTTTATTGGCTAACATCGGTTATGCATCACATAATTTCATATTATTCAACAATACAATAGTTCCTTCAAAATTGTATCCTATACTTCACCATCCATCTGCATTAAATCTTAAACAGATATTCGTGCTCAATGGTCCTACTAAAGTAAACTAAATTACTTATGACGAATATCTCACAGAAAAAATATATAAGAAAAATCTTCTCATAATCATACCATTTAAACTATTTTCATGCTACAGAAGACAGTCAGTCGCGGTAGTCACGTCGATTGTCTCTGCGTCTGTCGTATTCATGATGTGGGTCATCGACATATCTGGCTCTCTTGGAGGAAACCACCCGATCATCTTTACTTTGTTGCTGGCCTTCTTCCTCCCTTTCCTGCCACCGAGTTCCATGCTTTTGAACATCATCATTGTCAGTAAAGCTTTTTCGTTTTTCACCATCTTGCTCAACTTTATCATTCCTTCTAGTTCTATGACCATCTTCTTCCTTCCCAGCATGCCTCTTGTCCCTTCCACGTTCTTCCCTAATGTCTCTGCTGTCACAATTTTCCCTAGTGTCTCTTCCACGTTCTTCCCTAATGTCCCTTTTATCACTTTGACGATCTTCTCTCGCACCCCTTTTGCCACTCCCATGCTCTTTCATGAAATCCCTTTTTTCTCTTCCATGTTCCTCTCCGAAGTCCCTTCTGCCACTTAGATGCTCTTCTCTAGGATCCTGCTTGTCTCTTCCACGTTCTTCCCTAGCATTCCAATCGTCCCTTCCAAGCTCTTTCCTAACGATATCTTGGTCACTTTCCCGCTCCTCTCTGGTGTGGCTTCTGTCCCTCCCCCATTCTTCCTTGGAGTCTTTTTTATACCTATCCCGCTCTTCCCTATAGCCCTTATTCTCCCTCCCATGTCCTTCACGATATCGTTGGCGGCTTTGACTTCCATATGGAGATTCGTCACCCTTATACTCTGTTCTCTCTGCATCCCCAACCTTCTCAGAGATACCATCCCTGGACTTAAGCGACCTAGAGTAACGATCATGACCAAAGTCATCCTTATCCCGGTACAATTTACTATCCAATTCTTCTTCAACAGTATTATCTTTTTTACCACGGCCAGTTTCTCTCCGAACAGTCTGCTTTCCAAGATCCAGATCTCGCTTCCCTTCTCTCATTCCATCAAAATGCTTCTCATTGTTCTTCGTCCTCACTTTTTTGTCATCAGACCCATCACTTGCAGAGTCATAATCAGCACCATTTTTAGTTGATTCCCTTCTGTGTTCTCTATCACCATTCTTAGCTGATTCCCTTCTGCGTTCAATATATTTCTCCGGACCTGATTCATTGTCCACGTCAGAGTCTTGGTTCTTCAAATGGACTCCTGCACCTAAAATTTTCTTTTCCCTTCTTTGGTTCCCATCACTAGAACCTTTGAGCGCTTTAAGGGTGTTTTTCCTCTTAGCCGAAACATCAGCATCAGAGTCAGGTCGCCTTCTTGTTTTGGCATGTTGTCTTGTCTCCCCAAGTCTATGTCTGGATGGCTCAGATTCAAAATCAGAATCAGAATCAGAGACAATGTCATGCCGCCTCTGAGATTTTCTTCTTTTCTCTGATTGAACTTTTGGATTATTCTTCCCATCATCACCCTCACTGTCATCAGCAGAAGAATCATCACTTTCACTGCCACTTCTAATTTTCTTGGGCTTCCTCGGGATACCATTCTTCTTTGGCTTTTTCTTCTTCTTGGCATTGTCTGAATCAGTGTCATCATCATATGATGAGCCATCCCTCTTCCGGCCATGCTTGCCGGTAGTGTGCTTGTCTGAAATTTTTTTTCTCCCATCATCAGAGTCAGTATCATGGCCAGATTCAGAATCATAGCTGTCTTTTCGATGTCTTCTGCCCTTGCGATGCTTCTTTGAAACTCGGTTCTTCTTGCCATAATCTGAATCACTGTCAGCGTAATCTGAATTTTTTTTCTTCCCATCATCAGATTCAGTATCATGGCCAGAATCAGAATCATCGCTGTCTTTTCGATGTCTTCTGCCCTTGCGATGCTTCTTTGAAACTCGGTTCTTCTTGCCATAATCTGAATCACTGTCGGCATCACTACTACCGCGTCTAACTTTGCGATGCTTCCCTCGAGTCACTTCACCCTCCTCCGCATTGCTACTAATATCAGATTCTGAACCATGATGACGCTTCTTTCTCTTGGCTTGTGCCCTTCTATCTTGTCCCGCTTCATCAGCTTCCTCTACTTTCTTCCTACTTTTTGCAGCACCAGCTGCCCTCTTGTCAATGTCCAGATCTTCTGCAGCATCTTTCTTCAATTTAAAATCTCTATCCAGGAAGGCATGTTCCGGTTTCTTAATCCACTTACTCCCATCATTCTTCCCACCAGCAAATGGTCCAACATCACTCAAATCAGCAACATCTTTGTTGGGATCGGTTGACTGAATTCCTAGAGCAGCCCTCAATGTTTCCATCTGTCTCTCCTTCCTCGCAGCAACTTGGTGAGACTGTGTGTTGGAAATCCTAACCAAACAAATAAAAAATTCAGACATTAATCCCATGTAGGATGGGGCCAATTTTACAAAATTCACAAACACCAAAACTCCTATGAAAAAAGGACTCACAATCAAGTTGTCATAAACAGGACTACTGACGAATGACCACGGGAAGCAACAGAGAACAGCTGTGGGAGCGCAGGTGTGTATTAGAAGCACAAACAAGTACACGCAAGATACAGAGCAACTATGAGTCCCCTATTACTGCCACTTCTACCTCATTAGAACAAAGATAGATTCTGCTGCTTAACGAACTTATAACAGAGCCCCAATGGAAGAAGAAAAAAAACGATGGAAATTGGTTGCTTACTTAGCATCCCCTGAGATCAAAGAAGTAGGTCCACCACTTCCCTCGGAGGCCGATGCTGCTTCCAACGTCTTCCTTGCTTCCTCCATCTTCTCAGCAATCTCAGCATCAGTATAACCTTGCTCAATCAACTTGTCCTCGAGCACCACGAGCTTGAGCTGAATCTGTCGCTTGCGGTCGTGCTCAAGGATGTCCTTGTTGGGCTTTTTGGATATCCCTGCAGTTCCCTGGTCTTCATCGAATCCCCTGGAAGCATGAGCGACCTTGTCCGTCCTTGGCCTCACAAAGAACCTATTGGTCTGGATGTAACCATTAGTTCCCGACCCCCTTGCCGTCTGCAATCCTATCCCGTTGTACATCTTGACGCTTCAACACTGCTTACACTCGCTGTTCAATAACAAAATTAATCATAGCTGTAGGCAGGGTTGGAAGCGATAACCAAACAAACAAAAAATAAGGAACGGAGCTTTCGACAGTGGGAAACCGGAAAAGGGAAGTGGGCTCGATTTCTAGCGCAAGAAAAGCTTACATTCTGGAGTTGGGAGGGAGGGAAGACGATGAATGCGGTCAGGAGAATCAGACGCCGGATGAGATGATGGAGGAAGAAGGCCAGGCCACGGCCGGGCGGATTACGACGCGAATCGGCAAATTTTAGGGTTTAGCCTTCGTATCGACCGAGCAGACAGCAGGCGAAGGCGGATGAGATTTGATGACTGCCAAAGCACCGAAACCGGAGGGTGATGCGAATCGGCAGCGAAGCGACGACGGCGACGCGGCGTCCGATGAGGGTTCACGATCGACTCATGAGAGAGAATTGCGAGGCAGAGCAAACAAAGGAAGGAAGGGAAAGGCTCGTGTCGATAATTTGGGGAAGGAGAGAGGCAGAGGGCGACGTCGTTTTGCTGCTTCTGAGTGCTGGCCGGTTAGTTACTGGTTTATCGGTTGAACCGGTCAAGAGATTAGCTTTTAGTTGCTTGAATACCTTGTCCGTTGATGTGACTTGAATCGGGTGCTGGGTCTGGTCTGTGACCGTTTCGTTTGCCAGATTGGATTAGCTTTAGACTTACATGGAGAATTACTATAAATACTTCTCATACTCCTCTGTAATCTGCTCGATGTAGTAAAACTGGTTCTCTCCCACCCAACACACATCGTGTTAGTGAACCATGTAAATCGTGTGTCTGTATTTTCCAATTCTCGCTTTCGTAATCTCGCTTTTTCCAGTTAGAATTCTGTTTATCAATTTTGATCCACATTGTCACCCGTCACTTCTACACTTCTCCGCCGCACCACCCAGCCGCCGGCGCCGGAAATCCGCTTCTCGTTTCCAGTATGTCTCAATCAACCAAAAACCCAGGTAAAAATCAGCCAACCCACGAGCAGAAAGAGACGATCTATAGAGTATAGACGGATTAGGAGAAGGGTCGCGTGTCCCATGTGTTCATTCGTTTGTTTGTTTGTTTTTGCACTCTGATTATAAGTCCAGTGCTCAGCGTTCGGATGAACAATGGGTCTCATCCTGTCGAATGCCGGAAGAAGCGTCGACTGCTTGAGCTACGGGATTGATTCTTTTCTTGTGTGTTATTTATGTCCACAGCTGTCGAGGAGAAGAGGGTCACAATTTCAAACAAGCACGGTGAGAAGCTGGTAGGAGTGCTGCATGATTCTGGGTCCAGGGAAATCGTTGCTGTGTGCCATGGCTTTCAATCCACAAAGGTTTGACCTGTAATCGATATCCTTTTTTTAGCAAATTCTTACGTACTGTGAGTCGTTCTTAGTGATTTGTGTTTGTGTTTGTTTCCTTCTAATCTCCAGGACAATACAATCATGAAGAAACTTGCTAAAGCATTGGTCAAGGAAGGAATCTCAGCCTTTCGATTCGACTTTGCTGGTAATGGGTAAACAACAGAAGTCTCTTCCCACTCAAAGCTCTTGTTTGGCCTTTCTTTCTCTACTACATTGATGATCAAAGGTCATTTGGTACAAGGTTCTTGGTTGGAAGGCTCTTTGTCTGCCCATTTCTTGCACATTGAGTCGCTGTTTTTTTTATTGTTGATTGTTTCATCTCATTGTCTGATTTACAGGGACAGTGAAGGTACATTTGGTTATGGTAACTATTGGAGAGAAGCTGATGATCTGCACTCTGTGGTCGAACACTTTGCTGGACAGAACCGAGTTGTTAGTGTGATTCTCGGCCATAGTAAAGGTAATTGGGCGTCGCCTGCCAGTAGTACATTATCGGGCCCTAATTCAGTAGAGAATTCTTGTTCTGATTCACCCTGTGTTGTGCTGTTCTGTTGCAGGAGGGAACGTGGTGCTCCTATATGCCTCAAAATTTAAAGGTATAAGAACCGTTGTCAATATCTCTGGCCGCTATACCCCGAAGAATGGCATCAAGGAGCGCCTTGGAGATGACTTCCTGGAAAGAATCAAGAAAGAAGGTTTCATTGATATGAAGGATAAAAAAGGTGACTTTATTTCACTTTCTCGTTTGAGTTCCCCATATTCTGGGGGGAATGAGTTGGCAAATTGCAGCAGTCTGCTGAATACCAAGTTACCTGAACCTCACTATGTCTGCCCTATACCTTTTGAGTTCTATAGGGGAAGTCTTGTACCGTGTTACTGAAGAGTCTTTGATGGATAGAATCAACACAGACATGCATAAAGCATGCCAGCAAATTGACCAAGATTGCAGGTGGGTGCAAACTATAACTTAAAAATTTTCTTATCTGTAATCACAATGATCGTTTCATCTGAAGTTGATGATGATCTCTGAGTGCATCCGCGATTAGATTTAGGTGTTGTCTACTTGTTTGCTGATGTGCTGATGCTCTCTTTACTGTATTGTATTGACAGTGTGCTTACAATCCATGGATCTGCCGACACGATTGTCCCTGCTGGAGATGCATCAGAGTTCGCAAGGGTCATACCGAACCACAAGCTACACATCATCGAAGGTGCTGATCATGGATACCGTTCTCATCAAACTGAGCTAGCATCTACTGTTTTGGAATTCGTAAAATCAAGACTGCAGCAGCATGACAAGAGCACTACTACCTAGACAACTTTCTGGAATTCCAGCAGTTGTAGTTTGCTGCTGTTATTCTCATTAACATCATAACAGTAGCGCTATAGTTGATATTGGATTGATTTCTTTTTTGGAGGGGATGCATGAAATGCTGCTCTAATGTATTGGTCACTGCTGAGACTTTCTGGTGCTGTCACAATTGGGAGCTTGACCATTGAACTTGTGAGTTTTTTACTACTAGAGGTTGGCTTATCATGCACGTTCCGATCATCAGTATTGTAGAGATGCATTTTTCATGCTAAAATTCTTATCATTTGAAAATCATTTTGACATTTTCGACTATTCAACTACATATTTGCTAATCTTATATACTTAGATAATGCATTTTTCATTTTCGAGTACTTATCGATTGACAACCTTTATGAGTAAGTATTAAACAAACAATGCTAAAACAAATGCATCGGTTGCCCTACCATACAAATTGATTTCTTTTTGGAGGGGATACAAGATCTAAATATGTTTAACTTGTTAAAAGTTTGGGTCATATAAATATATTAACCTTAGATCTAATTATTGCAACGCCAACCTATCGGACCATTTAGCTTATAAAAATTTATGTATCAACATTACTAGATTTCATGTACCAATTTATCCCTATATTATGAAATTTATGTATCAAAGTGATCATCAACCTACAAATGTTTAACCGTCAAATTCATCTTCTTCCCTAGAACGAACGCGATAATGAAACCAATACACCCAAGTAACAGTAATTCGTTCTCGTTGCAGCCACAAAAGGGCGATGCAAGTTCAGCTGAGGCTCCACTGTTTCCAGTCCCACTAGGTGTGCTGTTTTCTCTCTTTGGCTGCCATACTTGGATGATTTCTTCTTATTGTTCGTCTTCATCACCACCATCATCTTCTAGTTCAGAGGATTCAATGTAAGATCACTTCATTGTTCAATGGTTTCTAGATGCTGTCTCTTCCTCTAGGCGTGGAAGAGACCAAACAAACTTATTGAGAGGGTTCTTCTAGATCTCAAATAACAACAAGATATTCGCTTCTTGTCACTTCTTATTCTATTCGCACTGGAGAAGTAAAGTAAAAACCCCAATTCTCAATGGCGACTAACGTGTTTGCTTATAATTCGTTCGAGTCACTCGTTCCCAAAAGCTTTAATTTCTCACTGCCTTCACTTCCTATTGCACAGCAGGTACCCGTCTCCGTCTCATCACCCTGCCGCCGGCGCCGGATATCCGCTCTCGTCACCAGTATGGCGCAGTCTACCCAAAACCCAGGTAAAATCATCGAACGCAAAGCCAGAAAGTGACGATCTTTAAATGGATTAGGGTACGGGTCGTGCTAATTAAGTCTATTGCTTAGCGGTAGCGACAATGGTTTCTATCCTTTTGCTTCCGCAAACTCTTGTAGAACTTCATAGTTCTGTTGGGTCAGTGGTGCAATGCCGAAAAGTTGTTGGAGGTTTGAGTTGCAGGATTGATTCAATAGTTTGTTTTGTAATTTGGTTTCCCGCCATTTTCCCAGTGGTTCTGCAGAATAGAGTCATAATTCCAAACAAACATGGCGAGAAACTGGTCGGATTGCTGCATGATTCTGGGTCCAAGGAAATTGTCGTCCTGTGCCATGGTTTTCAATCTTCCAAGGTTTGGCTTGTAATCTATATATAGGTTGTGCGAAATCGGAAATACTAACGGTCATTCTTCCGGATATGGTGTGATTTGGAAAGGAACACGAGGGAAGTAGAATTAGTGACTGGATATTTTGTTTTTGGTATTCTGATCTCCAGGACTACACAGCCATGTCAAACCTTGCTAATGCATTGGAAAAAGAAGGGATCACAGCGTTCCGATTTGACTTTGCTGGTAATGGGTAAGCAAAAAGGTCCTTCCATTCATAGCTCATTAGCTCTTATATGAATTCTGCAATGATGATGAAGGTTATTTTGTTCTGCCTTATGCAAGATGCTTCAAAGATCTTTGTCAGCGATTTTCTTCTTGCAGATAGAATTGCTGTTTGTTCAGTGTTCCAACTGTACATGTCTCATTGACAGGGAAAGTGAAGGCACATTTGCTTATGGTAACTATGGGAGAGAAGCTGATGATTTGCGCTCTGTAGTCGAACACTTTGCTGGAGAAAACCGAGTTGTTAGTGTAATTCTCGGCCACAGTAAAGGTGCTTGAGTGTTGTTCCCAGTACATGAACAGGCACTAATTTCTTCGAATTGTTTTTCTGATTATCAACTAATTTGTGTGTGGGATGCAGGAGGGAATGTGGTGCTCCTATATGCTTCAAAGTTCCATGATATCAGGAACGTTGTAAACGTTTCTGGACGCTATGACCTGATGAGAGGCATTGAGGAGCGCCTCGGGAAAGACTTTCTGGAAAGAATAAAAAAAGAAGGGTTCATTGATGTAAAGAATCAAGCAGGTGACTTTTATTCCGTCACGCTGAATTCCCATTTGGGGAAATGAGGCAAGTATATCTGCAGCTGAATGTTTATCTGCCCCCATTTGTTTTCTGTAGGAGAAGTCAAGTATCGTGCTACTGAAGAGGCTTTGATGGATAGACTGAATACTGATATGCACAAGGCATGCCAGCAAATTGATCAAGATTGCAGGTGGGCGGAACTAAAATTGAATTCTTTTAAGTTTGTTTCCATTATATCGATGGTTACTTAGCCTGAATTCAGTAATAGCAAACTGCATTCTCCGAGTTTAGTTAAGGTCGCACAGGCCGAAGTTGATGCTCCGTGTGTAGCCATGATCAGGTGTTGTATGCTTTTACTGATTTGCCATTGCTCTCCATATTGGCAGTGTTTTGACAATCCATGGATCTGCTGACGAGATTATCCCAGTTGAAGATGCATTAGAATTTGCCAAGATCATACCAAACCACAAACTACACATCATCGAAGGGGCTGATCACGGATACAGCTCTCATCAAACCGAGCTAGCATCTGTCGTTTTGGAGTTCATAAAATCAAGACTGCAGCTGCAGGACAAGAGCTCCACTTCCTAGGAGCGTCGTCGATTTGAAGCAACTGCTATTTGCTATTATCTCATCAAACAATGTAACATTAGCTCGGTTCTCTATCATATCAGATTGGCGATTGAAGAGAGATGCAGCTTGAAGTTCTGCTGAGGCATTGATTAGTCAGGAGCCTAGACTTCCCAGTGATATGCATGTGCCTGTCCTTACTCCTAAGAATGGAACAAGTTGATCTTATTTCAGGAGTTGACTGTGGTACCCTAATAGCAATTGCATTGGCTTTCAAAGCCTACTAGGAACCTACATGGTAATTGGTAAATGGATTGCATGAAAGTAGACTCATTTGCACTGTTGTCTTGTCTATTGGGTATGGAATGCCACATGAGATTGTATCTTATCTTCACCTTCTAATTTCTAGTACCGAAATTACGATGACTGTAGTATATTAAGCTATAGGAAATGAATTTGAAGAATGTAGATAGTTTGAATATGATAAATTCTGTACTCGAAGATTTCCATTCGATCACATTTGCAACTAGCATCACAAGCTTGAACCTTGAGTAGCTCTTGTACTCGAAGACAAGATAGTGGCCAACACACAATTCCACATTTCAGTGAAGGGGAAAATGGATTGAGCAGCTGCTGAATCTCCTATCTAAAGCCATACTAGATAAGCTAAATGGATTTCAGGAAGATGATGATGATGATGATGATGCAGGCCGTTGCAGGGCTATCAGGATTCAGGAATCCGAATCACCCATTCGGATGACAGTTGGGCCGATTTACAGCCCTGGGTCCTGGTTAATAGAAGATTATGGAGAGCCCAATACAGTTAGGCCCATTTGTGCAGCAATCAGTGTAACTTTGTCAAAACGGGTAATTACACTCGTTGACTGGTTACGATCGTGTAGGGTAACCATGATTACGGGTTGGATTGACATCCCTAGTCGACCCGCCCCTCCCCATACCCGCACGAATTTTCCCGCCCCGAACCGTAGTAGCATGGGACAGGGCATGGGTATTGAGGTACCCGCTTGCCCCATTGCCATCACTAAATCAGTGGCCTCGTTGCCATGCCAGCTCAATCCCTTACATCTTCTTGAGAAGCAGAATATAAGCATTGACTCACACAACATATGAAGTCCAATGATTTCTGTAACTTCTTCGAGAATTTGAGATGCGACCGTGTGAGACATGCAACCATTTACTTATGATGAGAATCAATCGGTCATATCACACGTTTGAAAATTCTAGGTTGCACGAGAGAACAAAATATATACATTGAAATAGATTGTCACCTTCATAGAAAAAAATATATGCACAAGTCATCAACATCCTCGATGTCCCTTGTATTGTACCCATCAATCTCCACGGGTTAACAGTTAAGCATAGAAAAGTTTCGATGTCACAACTCGTGATACAAAAAAGGTATCACTAATTTTTTTAATTAAAATATAAAATATAATTGTTTATTATATAACCAAATGTCAGCTCCACAACTCATTTTTAGAATAAAATTTAGAGTGGGATTCATAGAACTACTAAATTCATCAGAAATTCATGTTTTTTTTGTGCTACTTTTTGTATCATAGATTTTAGGTTTGGAGATTGTGAATCTCCAAAACTCTCATAAATGACTAAATTTTATATTTTGATTTCGGATAACCAAAAAAGAATAAGCTTTGAACGATTTTGATTTTGATTTCTGGGCAATTCAATTTTCAATTTCTAATATTTTTCAATTCGGTTAACCGAAACGCCACACCTACTTGAAATGTCAGCTATTTTATCCAATAATTGTGACAATAACAAAGAAAAACCTTCCATCATTGAGTCTTCCCCACTTTTCTCCCTTTGTTTGGTGGCAAACTTTCCGACCCAACACAGGGAACGAATCAGGTCAGTAACCTTATGGTTAGTAACCATGAGTAACCCGTCAACATCAGCATCACTCTCTCTCCTGGAAAGCCTTTAATTTTCTCCTCCTTAATCTTTGACGGACGATTTCTCACTTAATTCAAAATATAATTTTTTTTGCACAGTTAGATAAGATTAATTGTGCTCTTCAAAATGATATTCACTTTGATATATTATTCGAACAAAAAAAATTGAGCCTTTTTTTACCGGTCTATACCATATGGTATTGACTGGTATTGAAATAAGAGCATACCTATGGTTTGAACCACGATAGTATGAACAAACCAAGACTGTAGGATGGTTGAATACATGATAATATAAGTATATTAATTGTCGTTTACGACTTTTTTTTAACATTGTGTACCACAAGATACCACCCCGTACCAGGGTGGTATTGTGTGGTATTTTTTGGTCCTGTAATTTGTTCACCCAGAAATTTGTCAATCCAATAGATCATGATGAACTCGTTCCTTCTGTACAAACGTTTTCAAAAACGAATCATATGGTATGCAGTTCGTACCGAGAGGCAATAATATTTTTTTTCTGTAAAAAAATATTGAAAATGTATCTCATTTTGTAGAGCATGATGAACTCGTTCCATCTGTGCAAAAAAAAAAAATTCCGAGTTAAAACGAAGAAAATATGAGCCGATTAAGAAAGCTAAGGAAAATAAAAATAACCTTTAATTCTCCATCTTTAAATCTGGATTTTCCAAATGAAGAGTACAGATTTGATTATGCCCCTATCTTGAACCCCCAACACACAAACAATTAGGGCTGGCAATTTGGTCCCGGACTGTTTGGTTTTACCCGAAACCGGACCGTATAACCCGGACCGGGACCAGACTGGGACCGGATAGCAAACAATACAATCTCATATTTGGGCTTAGATTTGAGGTAAAAATCGTATAAAGACCGGATAAGAGACCCCCAACATCTAAAATCAAGATAAAATTGGGACTGGATCGGGTCAAGACCGGACTGTATCCAATCCAATCTTTGGTTCTTATATTCCCGAAAAGACCGGACTGGAACCGGATCAATTTGGTCCAATTTAACCGGACCGGAACGTATAACCACCCTACAAACAATAAACACTCCCTTCGTGTGCATGGTATGATGGTGCCACCTTGGAAAGAAAGAAAAAAGGATATGGCGCCAGCGCATGCAGCAGCAGCGGATCACTTGGTGGCCGGCTTTGTTATTATTATTATTCCTTCCTTCCTTCTGTATCCGATTAATCTAACACTAATTAACCTAAGCTCTTGAGCCCCACAGAATGTTATGATTGTGTTGTGTTTTAGACAGACCTTAAAGCGACCTTTTTGGTGCCAGCAGGCCGGCCGGCAGTATCTAAAAAAAATAAAAGAGAGACGATATCCGATCCGATCGCACTGAAACTGGGATCTGTTCTGTTCCTCCGATCCGTCCCTAAAAAGAAGAAAAGCAACACTTTCGCCGCCGGCCACTCGTGCAGTTTTTACGTGTGAAATCATTCTCCTGATAATGATGAAGAAGCTAAGCTAATGATTAAGCTGCGAATTCGACAGTAGCTAAGGTAGGCGGACGTTTCCTTGGCGCCGTTCATATTAACATTAAGTGGATCGGATCGAGTAGCACTACTTAGAGAAGACGACATTTTTCAGAACAAAGGGCAAGCAGCAGACATCTAATCATTAGGGTTTCTAATATTGACTTTTTTTTTTTTTTGGTGATCGGATTCAGATCCTCCTTCCCGGCCGGCCGGCCGGCCGCTGCACAAGTTAAAATGTAGCTTTAGATACCGACAAGCCCAGATCTGTAGACCAAGGAAAATTATGGCCCATGTCCTCCACTATATCTATATTGCTTGCGCCTAATTCCTCTCTATAGCATTATGATTATTATATGTGTTGTTAGAGCTTGCCAAGGTAAAGCTTTTGACGCTATTTGTGAAATTGTACCGTAGCGGCGATCCAAACCAAATTTTTTTTTTTTAGTTTCGAAAGTTAAATTGATAGGTGGTTTTGAGTAGTACGATACAATTAAATTACAAGTAATACGATTAGAACATAAAATACTCTATTGTTAATTTTTACGGTAAAAATCACAATGCTTGTAGATGTTGCCATTTTATAAGAGGCTTATCTCGAGATTCAATGTATTTTTTACAATGATTCCCCCCTCCTTTTAAGTGTTTCTAGAATGCATGTATCCAAGTAATTAAAGTAAGTTTAGTTTAATTTAAAATCCTTCAAAATGAGAGAGGTTGAAATCTTACTGTTATGTGAGATATGGAATAAATGGTTGTATATGACATTTTGCTTCCAAAATTTATAGTACTTTCAGAGAAGTTCGACTCGGCCTTAATTTTTGAAGTAAAAAAGTATTTTCAAAAGTCCAATCAAATATAGACTATATATATATGTTTTCCCATAGAACTTTTGTCTCCTCGGAGTCAAAACTGTGAGGACGATGTACTCAACAGATATCGTGTGCTATTAAATTGAGCGTTGCGCTTTGCAAGACTGTCGAATAGATGTGGTGACTTTTTTATCAAATAAAATGTCACCGTGTTCATTCAACGGTCGCAAAGGACTCCAACCAAATATTGGGATCTTGAAATACATGGGTCCGTTAATAATTGACTTTGGAGGTCGGTTTATGTTGGTTGACTTACTGTTCTAGTAGTATGACTGCTCCAGTTAGGTTTTGTAGTGCATATCGAATGATGTTGTTTGAGGAACGATATAGGATACATCGCCTTTGGCAACATGAACGTGTGGATGGATATTTGTTATGCTCTTTGTCTTTGACCACTTGCTCTCCGTTCTTTTTTATTGCATTGTATTGCGACAGGGGAATTTTAGGGGTGATTTTCAAAGTTTCCTTTGTCTTCAATTTACTCCATGAAGGAAACATGACCTAATTAACCTCGTGGTTGAATTGATCTCTTTGCGTGTGTTTTCCCATTTGCTTCACTAGCTATGCCGGCCAACACCTCTTCTTTCCTCGACGCCATTCTAGATATCCCTTTACATCTCGCATCATCTTAGATATTGTTACTTTTTTTTTTAATTTGTCGACCATATCACAAGGAACATTTGGATTTCGAGAAAATTTTTTGAGTTAATCAAACCATATATGCAAAGGAGTTTGTTCAGATGATTCACACCCAGTAGTTCAACAAACTAGTTACGGTCGATCGGATCTCGATGGTGAATTTCCCTCACACCGGCTGCTTGATTTCTGTAGGTCACGGGATATTGACACGATAGTCATGTTGTGGAGTGTCTGCTATTGGCGTGAAAGCATCACCGGCCATATGTCATTGAATTGATATGAGCGTGCACTTCTTTTTTTTTTTCATTCACGCGTCCTAAATAGATTTTGGGTCACCTCTTTGTGAGAATATTATCCATACCAACTACTATATGATAGTTCATTTATATATCTTCCATAGATTGACAATTTTGCAAATGCATAAAAAGGAAAAAACATTTAAGAAGTTAGGAAGTGTATTTTTCTTGTAATTAGTGTGGCCTTAACATGGGCGCCAATTGTTTATAATGCCCATAGAAAACCATGGCTGACAATGCCTATAGCTAGGACCATAACTTTGACTAAAAAAAAAAGAGCTTGAGCCGATGTTTAATTCAGTAGAGAAAGTGAGAAAGATGGTAAAAAGAAAAGTTTTAAAAAAATTGGTGGAATTTTCAAAGGATTGGAGACAATATATATGAAAGATCTCATGCCTAGAATTTTCAAACGATTAGCTACTTGCCCAATTATAGCTAGCTATATTGGATCTATTGTGATTCTTGTAATGACATTAACCTCCAAACTTTTGGAATAGTGATTTGGATTACGAATGGATCTCATACTACACTAATTAATGGAAGTTTTCTGTGATTTTACGTAATCTTGACTCCTACAGAATCTTTATTACATAATCTTGACTCCTAAAAAAGGAAATGAAGGAATCGCCAAAACTAATAATCAAATCTTTGGGAGATCCCTTCTGTGATTACATAATCTTGACTCCTACAGGAGTCGTGTCTTTCGTGGCAAACTGGAAATGGCTTTGAGCAAGGAAAGTTCCTCCGAAATTGCAGTTCTTCCTGTGGCAGTGTTTGCATGGCATCTGTTTTTTAGTGGGAAAAATTATTTGCATTGAATTGAAATTAATGCACATTGACTTCTATGGATAATAATTTCTAAGATATGGCTCACACATATTTAAACAAAATTTGAACGAGGGTGTTTGATTGATGATTTTCGGGAATGAAACTAAATTAAATTATTCATATTGCTATGCAGGCTCAACAAGAGCTCCAAACTATGACTATGAGTCTATGACTACATTGGCAGAGAAAAGATAAAAACTTGACGTATGTGTCAGTTGTGTAATTTCGGGAAACATTTGTCTCTGTTGGCACCCCCTCTTATTTATAATTATAGTCGTGGGAAGATAATTTTGGTAGAAAACCGTTTGTTGGATAACTCCCAAAAAAAAAAACTACTCGCTTCTTCCTTGGACGTGTCTTCAAACGTGGAATGAGTGACAATTTCTCCCTCAACCGCCGCGATAGCTTGTCTTCAGTGGCAGCCCTCAACTTTTGTTTGTCTTTTTGATGATGAGGCTTCCTCTCCCCATCTCACTGATGTCTGGTTTCTTTTTTCAGTTTGCTTCTTCTGACCTCCTTTCAGTTAGATTCTCATCCCTTTGTGGGTCTTTCCTTCGCCTATCCTTGGGAGATGGTTATTTTCAAGCTCAAGCCTATGTTCTGCTCTAAGATCTATAAGCTCTTTGGAGGTTTATGTTCAGTGAGTAAAGGGTGTAATACTTTTCGTAGCTTGTCTTCTTTTTTGTAAACCTCCATCTACTCCATTGTTTCACCGAAAGATTCGGTGATCCGGAGATGCAAAAAGTAACCTACTAATCGTAGATGCCTAAATGAAGTTTATGTATAAAGAAGGACGACATGAAAACGAGAATGAGCATGGGAACAAAATATATGGGCTAGCCTGGCACGAACATGAATAATTTATAGGTCATGTCGGGACTAATTTTTTTAAGACTCTATTGAGTATAAGCACGACATGACACAAAAGTACTTATTTATTTAGAAAATAAATATAAAGATAATTATGAATTCAATTATTACGAAATACAACTATAAAAGTATTTATTAATTGTTGTTAGAAGTAATTATAAAAATATTTGATGTAATTACTACCATAAATAAAAATGATCGAAGAATTAATAAAACATGTGGATGCCAAATCTTATTTGTTAAATTGCTCAAACATTCTCAATTAATACTTTCATTCTCCATCCAATTTTCTCCTTTCTTTCTTTTTTTTTTATTTTCTTTCTTTTCATTAAACATGTATATGGCTCCCTCGATACTGGATGAGTATTATACATCTGTATGTTAAAGTGATTAAGATGGTGGAAAAGATTTGCTCTAACTTCTTATGGAGTGCTGATGAGAGGTGGGGGGGGGGGGGGGGGGGGGGGGGGGGGGAACTAATGTGATTTGGAGATATGTGGCTTTGCCAAAGAAAGAGGGTGGTTAGGGTTTAGGGATGTCAAAAGCAGAAATGTTGTTTGCCTCATTCGCCATCTTTGGGTTATCTGTTCAAACTTCTCTTATCTCTGGTAATTCCGTCAAGATGATCTTCCTTGGTTGGGGTAATAATTTTTTCTTTCCGATCTCTACGCATTTCACCGCTCCACTAGAAATTCCCTCTTTCGAATGCTTACCTTACAAAATGATCCTAGATCTCAAGGACCAGGCCTTCGATCCTGTGGTTGATGTTTGCCAGGGACCAAACCAGGATTTTTAGTTTGGGGGCGAATTTTTTTATTATATTATGGTAAATAAAGATTTATTTACCATAATATAATAAAAAAATTCGCCCCCAAATTTATTTTTCTTGAAAATTAAAATTATCGGGAAAATAGTTATCGCTAAAACATATCAATTGAAAGTTAAATAAAAAATAAAAAAATAAAGTTAAGGAATTAAATTAATTTTGCAGTTGGACTATAAGTCTATAACTAATAACTCAAAATAAAAGGTAAAAGATGAGATAAATTGTTAAAGCAACAATTGTTAAAACTTCCACAAAAAATATGTAAAACCAATACACTAATGGGGATTTAAACAATGACAAGGATGTATAACATTAGCCGCTCCACTAGGGCAAATCACTTCATTCTCAACAAAAAAGAAAAATGCAGGTAAAACTCGTCAACACAAGTAAAACTCGATTCCCTCCCAAAACTTTGCCAGCAACAGGTTCAACCCACTTTGACCGGATAGATTGCTTTCTTTCTTTTTTTTTTTTTTTTTTTGGGTGTGAGAATAGTAATAAAATAAAAATGAATAAACAAAGAAGCAGATAAAACCATAACGCAAGCATTTTACAAATAGCCCTTCAAACTTTCACGAAATAACAAAAATGTCACTCTTTTTCATGACTCTAAAAAATAGTGTTTTGAAACTTGTTCTTTCAAGGTTTTAATTAATTAATTTAATTATGTACACTCTGTAGCAACCTCTTTTCTTAAACAAAAAACTTCTTTTCTTGAAAATAAAAATGATAACTTCTATAGACATGACAACGTTTGGTTTTGTGGAGAATGAACCAATCGAGAGCTAGCTATAAAGTAGCCCAGCAGGGTTAATGATCAATATTCTAGTACCATGCTTAAATATTTAGATCATCATAATCACATGCACCTCATGTCAAAACAACCTAGCCACGGTTTTGTGACAATTGAAATAATTGGCGATGGGAGGATTTAGAGACAGATTAAAGTGATCTCTAAGCTAACAACCCCACTTAATTAACTAATTAATTACATGTAGAGTTGGATACAATAATTTGATTCTAGCTAGCTAGCTAGCTAAGCGTTAAAAAGATATGATTAGGGTGGAATTAAACTTGGGGCAGAGGAGGGCTGTGAAAAAGGTCAAAAATGTCGGAGTTGTGTCTCCCGGATGCCCGCAAGCTGCAACCAAAGTTGCAAACATTCTGAATCAAGCTGCGATTTCGACTTGGCCCCATTTCATTCATTATCATTCATCTACAATGGAAGTTACTGTTGATCCATGCTATAGCTGCAAATGCCTATCTCATCCTCCAGCTATACTTGTTCTTCCCCCAAAATGAGTCTACATTCATGATAGAAATAGCTTGTCTTTGTTTATTGGCCATTCTTCGTCTTAGGTATTGTGGATAGAGAATGATGTTTGCCTCGAGATTTAAACATTTTAGTAAGATAAAAAAAGAAGAGGAATCTAGCTAATTGGTATGCAAATTCGATCGGGGCAAGCTGTGCTGGACAACACGCGGGAGAAAAAGGTTTGCGAGAATATGACACTGGGCATACGTGAGTTTTTTTCCAAAAAGGAACTCATGCGACGCTCATGGTTTCGAGGTGCGTAGGTTTCTACAAAATATTTTGTAATCCTGAATAATTATCGTCCAGGGCGAGCCGATTTCTCCCCCTCTCTGCTCTACAACCACATAACTAGCAAGAAACCTCATTACGACATTTAGTAACAATCAACTGCCTTCACCAAACAGAGCACCTCTTCACCCCCTAAATCTGTGAAGTCGTTGGGATAAGAGGGGTGGGAATTCATCGATTCGACATCCATCACTCCCTGATCTCATTGCTTTAGTCCTCTTAGAAGGAGAGAGAGAAAAAACATGTGGTTTCGCCATTAACAAGCAAAGATAGCATAGGTGATGAGACACATCCCTTAATCCACTTGATCCAACTATTAGAAAACTCCAAAGACTTGGATGCCAAAGATAAGACTATCCCAGTGAACATTATCGAATGATTTTTCGATATCTAACTTGATCGCTAAACATGGTTTACTACTCCTTCTCCTCTTGTCAATAATTCCATTAGCTATTAAAGACCCTTCATGAATTTGCTTGCTAAGAACATCAACACTTTGATTACTAGAGATGATCTTTGACATCACAATCCTCGACATATACTAAGAATCTTGGTCATGATAAACTTGTTAAAACCTCCCAACAAGGTTATCCTCAAGTCGCTATATATGTTCTTCCACTGCAACCTGTTTCACGCAAACAAATGAAAAAATGTGCCACACATTGTGGAGGAATTTCCTTGCTATGAAATTTCTTCAAAGGGCTCCATGATATCATGTTTGATGATTCCCCAACAAGCCTTGTAAAAATTCAAAGTTAAACCATAAGGATCTGGAGTCTTATCTCCATCACAAACCTTGATAAACTCCCACGCTTCCAACTCAGAGAAAGATCTTGTGCATAAAAGACCTCATAACAGGCGTGTGAAAGAAAGTGAAGACGCTAGAGGCAAGGGTAGTAAGTGGTTCTTACCAGCTTACAAACAAGGAGAGGGAGGTGCAACTAACAAATGTACAAGCAGCGAATTTGTGAAGTCTTTCAGGGACAAAGCTATCTTGTCGGATATTTAATAGAAAATTAGGAAATCACGAAGTAAATCAATGAAAACCAGTCGTACCCATTAATTTTGCTAGGGACTTGATCACCATACATAATATTAATGAAAACCTTACGAACCGAACCATTTATGTACATTGATCATATCATTTCATCAAGTCGAGATAATTAAATCTAATCACCACACTACCAAACTCAACAAAATTCCACTATATGAAGAGTGAAGACTAGATACTCAAAAATAAAAATAAAAAGTCTAGCCAAGAGAGAAAGGATGAGAGATACAAAATCACTTTCTGTGAAATCTCACTTCTCTCTCTCTCTCTCTCTCTCACAGTAGCTATCAGAAATTAAATTAAATTATTATATCTTCTATATACGTCAATTAATTGAAAATTCTCTGTCCCGGGGAGAGCATCTTCATGGGATCGAACTCGGATTTCCTATGTCGGAACCTTGTCCACTTGGGACCAAAATGCCTGGCCCACTCCTCCGTCGTGGCGTAATGAGCAAGATACTGCTTCACTCCCATCCCACTCCGCTCACAGAACTCCACTATCTCCCTGTTCTGCTCCTCCACCTCCTCCCATCCCTCCTGCCCGCTCGAGTGCAAGAACCCCACCGTGTAGAACACATCCTCCTCCTCCGCCGCCGCCGGTATCACCGCCGACGTCCTCTCGTCCCACCTATACATCATCAACCAAAAACACAACACAACACGTCTCAGTACGCAACGTTTTTTTATCAAATAACTCGAGTCGTTGAGAGGGGGGGGAAAAAACGTGACGAAACAACGCGTAGTTACTTGTTTCGGTTCATGGGGTAGACGAGGACGGGACCCGTGGTGACGTTCCTACGCAGGACGATGTCCTTGAAAACGCCCGAATCGAATTCCGCGATTCGGGATTTGGGCACGAAGAGGTTGAGCCACGGATGCGGAACCTCCCACAGCCCTCGGGACTGGAGCTCCAGTTCCCCACCTCGTACCCGGTCGAGGAAATCCACGTAGGACACGTCTTTGCTGTGCGCGAATCCCGGGACGTAGCTCAGCCCGTGCAACAGTCGCTCCAGCTCCTGTTGTTTTTTTTCATCCCCCAATATGTTAATGCCACGTTAGGAACGAATTAATTAAACGACATAATCATGATGATCATGTAATTAGTAATTAATTACCATGTCGAGGTGGTGGTGATTAGTAGTGTAGGAGTTGATGGCGAGCTCGAGACAGTAGATGACGCGGTGTTGGGCGACAAGGGACACGATCCTGTGGGCGTCGGAGGTCGGGAAAAATGAGGATCTCCAGTGGCTTGGCGGGCCCCCTCTGTCCACCATTACCGAACCTTCCAAATAATCCAATTCCAATCCTCCCCCATCATTGTGATTACGAACCTCTGATGTGTCGTGTTCTTGCTTCCGGCTGCTTGCATGCACAGTGATCAGTCGCTCCTGGTCGCTTGTGAAGGCGGAGAAGTCGCTGTACAGCATCCGCACCCACCTCACCTGTGCACGATTTCGGTCCCAGATATTGTTACCGTCATATAACATTTACGTGGTTTACTAACACGCGAGTGGTATGGTAGCTAATGACAGAGTGATTACCTTTTTAGGGGCCGAGCGCAAAGCGATGCGGGCCCGGGTGATGATGCCGAACTGGCCCAGCCCGCCGAGAACAGCGTAGAACAGGTTAGCGTTGGTGGAAGGGGAGCAAGTCACGAGCTTTCCTGTCCCTGCGCCACGAAAACAACAAAACCCCACCATTAGGAGACGGAGACCGGAACGGCAAGCCGGCCGGCCGGCCGGCGGGTCTTTTTTTTGTTTTTTGAAGAGAGATGGCGACAACTTAATAACTTTGGAATGCATGTGGGTTCATTAAATTCAGCGTGTTTGGCTAATTGGGTACACACTCGATCGAGGGGAGTGTGGCGATGCAATCGAATAAGGAAACAATAAATGCAAGACAAGACAGAATTTGATTCGGAAGGTACACTACTCCATATCGCAATCTTGCTAATCGGAGAGAGAGAAGAATATGTACTACTGTAGAGGTAGGGCAGCCAGACAAATTGGCATATCTAGCTGAGCGCATTCGTCATCGTTGGATGGACGTGGTGACGATTTTTATGAATATCCTCGCATCCATCCAACGACTAAAACAGACTCACAATCTATTTGCGAGCTATTGACACACTAACCTCCACAACACAAACACACGTTTTCTAGACTTCAATAGCTAATAAGGTCTAAAACGACAATCTGAAAGCGGGGACTCATGCAATGCAGTGGTCAAACGATACGGTTGATGACAACCACCAAACGGTTGTTTCTTTCCCATCAATTTTTTTTTTTCAATCAATTTCTAACGTGACTTCTAGTCCAACGATATTATCGTAGAATCATTAATGTGGGTTGGGACAGGTGGAGGGAAAATGTATAGTTGAGTTAGTTTTTTTTTTTAGTGTGTAAAATTTAATTACCGGTGACGACGTCCATTTCATGGACGTTGCTGATCTGAGGGCCGTGGCGGAAAGTCTGGCCGCTGATTCCGGCGTTGGACAGCGTCCCGCCGACGGTCAGGTACAGGTAGTCGGTCCACGAGACCGGCGCGACGCCGTGCCTGAGCGCGGCCTCCAGCACGTTGATCCACAGCGCCTCCCCTCCCACGTCGGCGTACGGACCCGGCTTCGACGACGACGACACGACGACGTTTACGTTCTTATTAAAACGCGCGCTCCTCAGCCGCATCATGTCGACCACCACGCCGTTCGCCGCCGCCATGGCCTGCCCCCGGACCGAGTGGCTCCGGCCCCTCGCCGCCACCGTGAGGCTCGCCGAGGTGGAGTTGTTGTTGTGGTTGTGGGCGTTGTAGTCGTACGCGAGGTTGACGAGCTTGACGATATCGTCGACGGAGGAAGGGTGGAGGACGGCGGCGGGGCGGCGGTGGATGATGTGGCCGTAGTCGGTGGCGGCGGCGGAGACGGCGGTCGCGTCGGTGCGGAGGGCTCCGACGGGGAAGTGGCGATGATTATCAAGAAGTGGCGGGTCGACGGCGGGCGGCGACTTGGAGGTTTTGATTCCTTGGAGGGTGGAGATTAGGCGAGTGATGAAGAGGAGTACGATGAAATATGTTGGCATGGTGAAACTCTCGGCGGCCATGATTCGATGGAGACGAGAAAAGGGATATTAGTGTAAAAAAATAATTGGGAGATGAGAAAGGAAGAAGAAGGATGGGGTGAGAAGATTAGGCTAAGGAGAGGGAGATATATATATATAGAGGGAAAAGTTTTTTAATAAAATATAAACTTAAAAAAAGGGTTTAGAAGTTTTTTATATAATAATATTTTGAAAGTTAGGATTTATGATATAGTGTTATATTGAGTGGTCAAACCGAACTTGGGGGTTAAAAAAAAAAAAGAGAAATTTTACAATGCTATATAGTATTGGTGCTATAGGGTTTTGTCTTTATGGTACAACTTAAAATTGTACATTTATATTATGGTATAATTTCAGATTGTACCTATACTTTTTTTACAAATTCTTTTATGGTACAACTTGAACTTGTACATTTAAGTGATGGTACAACTTCAAGTTATAAAGTTGTACCATAACATAATGGTACAAATTGCTTTATGGGACAACCTAAACTTATACATTTAATGTTATGGTACAACTTTAAGTTGTACATTAAAGCACCAATACTATATAGCATAGTAGAAGTGCTCTAAAAAAAATATAACAATAGCATTATGGAATTGGACTTGAGTTTTTGGGGTAAAGGGGATGTTAATCTATCATTCTAATACTTTTAAACGTTTGTTTACCGTATGAGTCATATTCTATATCGCAATTCCAAATATTGAGAGGACTATAACCCATTTTAGAGTTTGTTCTCTCTGATTATTATGATTCTAATCAGCTTGATATTCAGATTTCTTATTTCTCTTCTGCACATAGATTAGAGCATATATAATCGAAAATTCTAAATTGGGAGAGAGATTGAGAGAGGGAGGAAGAGGGAAATGATGTATGTTTGCATGGAAATGGAACATGATGAGAGGAGTGAGGAGGAAATCTATTGGGAAATCTGTGGGTGGTGGCCTCATCATGACTTAACGTAGCCAAGTGACACAGACAGACAGACGGCTGCCAGTGTTCACTGTTTGGAGTTTGGACCCCCCGCCGAATTTTCTTTCTTTGCCTTTTTTCCCCCTTTAACTTTCCCTTTTTGATATTTTTTAATACCAAACACGCTGAAGAAATCGGGGGAACAGCCGAACAGATTCTTTTATTTATTATTATTATTATTGAAATATACATCAACCTAACTTGTATTTCTCGATCCCATTTTTTTAATATCAAACGTTTTGATTTGGTGTCAGTGCACTTTGTTTTCTGATTTTTAGATTAGATTGGGTGTGTATTTTATTATTTTAGAAAAGTATAAATTAGTGCTTGCAGTTTCAGTTGCAGAAGCAATATGACTAATTCTTCCTTTTCAGCAATCGCAAAGTGGCATTGCAAAGAGTGGAAATGCTGCGATATGCTTTAATTTGTAATGTCACACACCTACTACTACTATTATTATTATTATTATTATTATTATTATTATTATTATTTATTCATAGGAATATTTTTTGTTATTATTATTATTATTTATTCATAGGAATATTTTTCGTTATAGTGTATTATTATTTCAATAGACTTTACGTTTCGGGTGCATAATTGTAAATTTCACTAAAAGATGTAAAAGCACTTTTTTTATTTTAATATATGATTTATATTTATGTTTTGAAAACAATTATACATATTTTGTTCATAAACCAACATAAATATGATATGATCCAATTTGGGTCAACCAACAAGCTTGAATTGCTTGATCGAAAAGTAATCTCAAACACTAACAAGAATTATGAATTTTGTCTAAGTGTTGTAAGTGTTTCAGGTACCCTTCTTTGCACGTATGCAACTTGTGTTTGGCTCGATGAAAAAGGGCGAATGAAGGCTTGTTGTGAAGCTGGGAAGTTTCTCTATAAGAGGAAAAGGTTGGAAGCTCAAGAAGAGGCCAGGAAGACTGATTTTCAAGCTGCTCAAAACCCTTTGCTGAAACCAGAAAACTGCCAAGATTTCTCTAAGTCTTGAAGACAGTCTTGGTACCAACTTTTGGAGCTTGGTTCGAGGAGATAGAAGGGGAATCGAGTCTCGAGGGTCCAACCACACGAAAGTACATTTCTCATAGAGCAAAGACGAGGCATTGGGTGATCAAAACCATACCTTGAAGGTTTCCAACGAAGACACGCAAGATCGTATGGAAGCTGCCGAGAAGACTATCTTGCAGAGTACTCCGAATCCGACTCGGACTAGGATTACTACTACTATGTTTTACCTTTTCCGTTTTGAGCTGGGTTTTTGTGTTCGATTGTGTTAAGGATTTCCGGAGATGTTTGATTAGTAGAGTAGGTCTATTTAAGAGTTTCAATTGATTGTAATTGTCAGTTTTTAGTTCAAGTTGAATACAACCCGAGTTGCTTCACAAGCTTGTGTGCTTCGTGAGTTTGAGGAGAGTGACTTAGAGGGATTCTAGGTTGCTTGCTGAGCTTGTATCGATCAATCACCCCCTTGATCGTGGCCAAGCATCAACTATCTATTTCGAGCCTTTCTCCTCGTGAAGAATTGCACGAAATTGACCATCTTCATCGTGCTAATCATCCATAGTTTGCTGCGTGATTCTGAGCCAAAAGACCCAATCTGGGGTTTATCAAAATAGATAATACTTCTGTTGGATCTCGATCAGATCACAGTGGTAGATTAAGGGGATGGCCACCCCAGGTCACGGTCCAGCCTACCTCGAGGTCCGGAGCTAGTATAGCCTTTATGAATTTTTTGATTTTAGACATTCGATCTGATATTGTTATTTTATAATAGGATTGTGTGTAACTAGAAAAATAGTTAAGACGAGCAGGTTCAGATCACTACTCTAAATTTAGCCTAGAAATTCTAGCCTCAATGATTTTCTTCTAAAAAAATAAACAATGAAACCTAAAATTCTAAAAGTCTAAAAAGTAAAATACTAAATGAAATATAAGGTGTGCCCACTTGAAAAATTACTAGAGAAGTCGGTGGAAATACGGATGGACACACAATATAAATTGATTAGTTGATTGTTTTGTCTAGTGTTAACGTTGCCCGTTTCAACGGCTACTATGGAGATAACCTTTTCAACAATGAAACATGTGAAAACTGATTTGCCCAACAAAATGAGCGTTGAATTTCTCACCAATTGCTTAACTATTTTATTTGAAAGCGAATATGCTATTGGTATTGATGTAGATTCCATTATTGATGAATTATCTAAATTAAATTATCATGTGTACAATTGACATTGTAAAAAAACTATTGTTATTATTATTATTATTATTATTATTTTACTGTATCTAATTTTATAATGAAATGCGACTCATTACTCTACTATGCAGTGGCGTAGCCATTATTTCGTCTATGGTGGGTCCACTTAGGAGAAAAATACACATGATAAAATAGTTTTTTTTTCATTTCTAATCATTCTTGATATAATATTATATTTAAAATCTTTGGTAAAATAAAATACGTACATTAGTAGGTGAAACTATCAAGAATATCACTCTAGGTACCAAACAATTATTAATAATTTAGTTAGTCGTTCTATTTCGAATGATGTTCTTTGTCAAGAACCATTTAGTATCAATGACTCAAGTTGTTGAGAGAAGTTTAATAATAAATCTTACACAAAACAATAATCCATGATATTTAGTTAGTTGTTCACTTTCTGAATGATGTTCTTTTTCAAGAACCGTTTAATATTAATAACTCAAGTTGTTGAGAGAAGTTCAATAATATATATCTTATACAATTTACTAGCACGCTCCCTCAGAAGAAAGTCAGCATAATTATACGGACTTAAAGTTTCCACAAATCTGAACACCGTATGCTTAAGAAATGATGTCGACAAGATTCAAACATGTACAAGACCTTTCGATAAACTATTCTCAATTTGACGCCCCTAATTTTTTTATATTAATGAACTATTGTAACTAATTTAACCATTTTCCTCCCGAACTAGAATGGGTCCATCACTGCTATACTATGTCCTGGATCCGCCGCTGCTATCCAACTATATATACCACTTACTTCACTTGTTCAAGGATAGAAAAGCGGATTTACAAACTTTAACCTAAGATTTGAAACCATATAGATACTATGTCCGAAACTATATAGGTAGGTAGGTAGCCCGGAATATTTAGTTAGTGAAAGTACAATGAGGCACAGCTCTTTCCCCTCCCTGTCATAAAGCGTACGATGTTATTGAGAATGATGGAACTGATCGATCAAACTCCATTTTCATCATAACGTGAGAGAGGCACGAATCTGATTTGCTCTCTGTAAATGGCGGATGGGTGTGAAAATTTTTGGCCAACTTATTTCGTCAAAGATATGGAAATTAAAGGACAGTGGCTGGCAGCTGGGAGATCGAATCCATGACTTGCTTGCTGGCGTCATTTGACAATCGATCGTTCAGCTTTTTTACGTACGTGTTCCTTTCCCAAATCTTAAAACGTATCGAGACAACAAAAACAACTGGTCCAGCTAAGCTAAAGCTTCTTTTTTTTTTTTTTTTTTTTACGTGTTCTTTTCAACATGGTTGCTGCTGTGTACGTTTCTTAGCTCTCGATCCGGCGCTGTACGTTACGTGTTTTCTTTTCTGTAAGATCGCCATGAACGATTGTTGATAAGTAGTTTATACTGTTCTGGTTGGGTGGGGTGGGGTCGTCCTTTTGTGATATGGTCATCGTTTCAACGTTTAAACGATTCATCAGATTTCGATGAAAAGGAAAGAACAGAGGGAGTGAGAGAGAGAGAGAGAGAGAGAGAGAGAAGATTCATAATTTTGAAAGTTAGGACGAATCGTGGGGGTGGATCTTGCTGTCAGTATCAGTGGATCGAGTTTGGCGTATAAACAAACAAAAAAGGGGAAAAAAGAGAAGCCACCAGTCAATGGGTCAATGTTTGGTTTGTTTAATCTTTGTTCTTTGATTTCCCACTTAGCTTGTAGGTGTTTCCGTTGAACAAGCTAACGAGAAATAAACGATAACAAGAACACCAAGATTTACGTGGTATTCTCAACGTATTGTTGAGACTAATCAACGAAGAGGAGTAACCTTTCAGAGTCAATTGTATTCCACCGAGAATCCTTAGGTTTACACACATTGGCTAACAACATATATATAGCCGCCAAGCAACCCTATCTCTAGGCCTAAGCGGATTACCCAAATCAACTACCACAAGGATTAATGGCCAAATTACAATTGACTACCCATAACTACTAACACCCTCCCTCAAATTGTTGGTGCTTACGCAACATCAATTTATACGCAAGAAACCAGTGCCGAGACGACGCAACTGCCTTGGTGAGCAAATCAGCTGTTTGTTCCTCAGAAGTAATATATGATAACGCAATCACTCCTTCAGACACCAATTGCCGGATATAGTGAACATGAACTTCAATGTGCTTGGTGCGATCATGTAGAACCGGATTCATAGCAATACGAATAGCACTGGTATTGTCAGCATACAAGCGCATAGGAATAGCACACGGCATACCCAGTTCAGTCAGCAAGCGCTGAAGCCAGACCAACTCAGAAGTGACCTCAGACATAGAACGATACTCAGCTTCAGTAGAGGATTTGAAAACACGCTCTTGTTTCTTACACCGCCAAGATACAAAAGAGGATCCAAGCCGAATACACCAGCCAGAAGTTGAGCGACGGGTATCAAGACAGCCAGCATAATCAGCATCAACATAAGCTTCAATAATGGCATCACCAGAGGAGGGAAAGAACAAGCCTACATAAGAGGTACCACGGAGATACCGAAGTATTCGGTTAACAGCAACCATGTGAGTAGTACGTGGAGCAGCCATAAATTGACTAACAGCCTGAACAACGTACGAAATATCCGGCCTAGTATGAGTGAGATAAATCAAACTCCCAACTAGACTGCGATAAGACGAACCATCAGAAAGCAAGTCGCCATCTGTCTGTCATAACTTCAAGTTCTGCTCCATCGGAGTAGCACAGGGTACACAACTATCCATATGAGCAGTTTCAAGCAAATCAATAATATACTTCTGTTGACTGACCAATAAACCAGTAGAAGACCGATGAACCTCAAGACCAAGAAAATAGGAGACATCCCCTAGCTCTTTAAGATTAAAAGCTGCACGAAGAGTACTAGTAAGAGTCTGAATACCAACAATATCATCACCACTTACCAACATATCATCAACATAAATGAGTAACACCGTAATTCCAGAGGCCGTACGGCGAAGAAACAAGGACGGATCAGTATGACTCTGAACAAAATCTGCTGACAAGATCGTATCGTGAAATTTCTCAAACCAAACACGTGGAGCTTGCTTAAGGCCATAGAGAGAACGACGAAGCAGACAAACCTTAGACTTGTCCCCAGACAAGTAACCGCCGGGGGGGGGGGGGGGGGGGGGGGACATTCCATGTAAATTGTCTCCTTAAGATCCCCATGAAGAAACGCATTCTTCACATCAAGCTGCTTCAATTGCCACCCTCGCATGGCTGCAACCGCAAACAAGGTACGAACTGTTTGCATCTTGGCCACCGGGGCAAAAGTTTCTTCATAATCAATTCCATATTCCTGCCTAAAACCTTGGGCAACAACCCGGGCCTTAAACCGCTCAAGAGTACCATCCGGATGAAGCATGACATTATAGACCCACCGAGAACCAATAACAGGTGCAGTAAGAGGACGATCCACAACATCCCATGTATGATTAGCTTCAAGAGCATGAATTTCAATATTCATAGCATTATCCCATTCTGGATGACCACAAGCCTGTTTAAATGTCGCAGGAATAGGAATATTAGGAGTAGCAAATGCAACAAAGTCAGACATGCGAGGAGGTGGAACACCCTTGGTTGTACGCAGGGAACGACGAGGAGCAACAACTTCTTGATCAGGTGAGGGAACAAGAGGAAGCAGAGAGACTTCACCTGAAGAAGAAGACTGCTGAACGGCCAGAGTGTGAGATGAGGCCGAGAGCTGGGGGGTGGACTGTGTGGATGAACACGGGGAAGAACTGGACCAGTCATAGGGAGCGAAGGACGTTTCATGAGGAGGTGAAGGTGGATCAGGAGGCTCTCCAGCAGCCATATCACGAGAAGGAAAATCCGGCAAGGGAAAAAGAAACTCAAGGTCTGATCGAGAGGGCTGATCGGCCGAGCCATAGTACGAGATATGCTCGAGAAAAACAATGTTACAAGATATACAAATGCGTCGATTGGCCACATCATAACAGACATAACCTTTGTGTTTATCACTGTAGCCAATAAACACACACTTTGCCGCTTTAGGAACAAGCTTATGACGCTCACGGCGAGGTAACAGAACATAGCAAACACAACCAAACACCCATAGGCTCCGATAATCAGGCTTTTTCCCAAACAAGACTTCATATGGACTTTGATTATTAATAACCGGAGTTATCTGGCGATTAATAAGATGTACGACCGTGTGAACAGCTTCAACCCAATAACCAGTAGGAACACACGACTGAAACAGAAGAGCTCGAGTGAGTTCTAAAACATGTCGATTTTTTCGCTCAACGAGCTCATTCTGTTGAGAAACCCCAGGGCAGGACTGTTGAGGTAAAATGCCCAACTCCCTGAACACAGCCTGTAATGGTCCAGAAGTGAATTCACCACCTGGATCCGATCTGAAAATTTTAACCTGTTTCCCAAATTGAGTTTTCACCATTTGCAAAAACTCCTTAGCCACTGACAACAAATCCGACTTGTGGCGCAAAAAGTAGACCCAGGTAAATATCGTGACATGATCAATAAAGAGATCGAAGTAACGAAACCTAACACGAGAAGTCACAGGAGAAGGTCCCCATAAATCAGAATGAACCAAGTCAAAAGGATCAGAATATTCAGTAGAACTTGACGTAAATGATTGCTGAGACAACTTAGCTTCAATGCAATGCACACAATCACGAGAATCCGAAATCGAACTGCCCGGCAATAAATTATTTTTAAACATCTCATGTAAACGTGCATTATTCGGGTGGCCTAGCCGACGATGCCACAAATCCCAATTCGACAACTTATGGATTGATAACTCGTTCCACTAGGGCAAAGTGTATGTAAAACTTGTGTCTAAATGCTCAAACCTACGCTCCTATTTATACTAATTACAAGAGGGGGGGGGGGGGGACTGTCTACTTCATAAGGAAGTTTAGCCAAAACGAGAACTTTTCGTACTTGGATTGTGCTGAAAGTTAGTGGAAAGCTTCTAGAAGGTTCCAAGACCAAGAGTCCCCCAACCAAATTGGACACATTTGGAGCACGACATTATCAACTTTACACTATGTTTTGGGCCTTATTAGCCTCCAAATGGCCCTAATTTTGACAGACTGCGTCCCCAGTGTCTCCAGGGGTTGTTCTTTAAATTTTAGCTCAATTGGAATTCCTATTACGCGATGTGACCTTCGTCAAAGGTAAGCTTATTGCAATGTCAAATATGCTTCTCTGAGCATCTAATGCCCACTCCATTTATGTTTGAGCCCGTGAGCTTGTAATCTCATCCTCCGTCTTATCCATTGATAATCCAGATTATTCTTGAGCATATTGTATCCTTAAAATGCACAAACCAACACCAAAAGGCGCAAAATAGTACAAAAACACACCAAGGTCTATCTTAGACACGTTGATCATATTTATATGAAATATAGTAAAATGTATCAAATGCGGGAGTGACAAACACTATAATTTGAGCATCATCAATATGTGCCTCTCTCTTAAAACCATCATGGGTCTTGAAGTGTAGTTTGCCTCACTTAATCTTGTTCCATGCGATCTTGTGCCATGCTAGTCTTGTGATGAGCATGTGGTTTCTCATAAAGGGGATCGTGGTACTCTTATTCACCAACATGACTCATTTGTCTCATACCCACGGCCTTCCCAATCATGCACATGGTCATATTGTCTAGCGGCCACATACATCTTACTCGCACCCATGATTCTCTTAACTCATGTCCATGTCTCCTCTTGCGACACGACCATAGACCTCTCAGACTCATTATATGATTGGGCATTCAGTCTTGGCCATGCGGCGTGATCTCATGGCATGGCCTCTTGCTTCACAACTATGGAGTCTCATTCGCAGCGACGACTTTCTCACTCAATGGCCCCTCTTATTTCGCGGCCAGGGACTTCTACTCTCACCCATGATCCTCTTAACTAGCATTCGTCTTGCAACCAAGGATGAGTTCTCACTTGCGCCCATGGCCTTCCTAACTCGCGACAATGGATATTTCATACTTATCGTATTTTTGCTTCCTTTATGTGAGGCTTAGGACCATGATTTTTTTATTCTCGTGGCATGACTTGACCTCTTACGAGAAGGTCTTGCCCATGCTCGCAAATAACTTAGCGGCTCGACTTAAAAGTCAGGGTCCATGAGACCCAACTTAAGTAGCATGAATTGTTATAATTAATCTAACCTTATAAGAGCATTAATCACATGGTAAATCATCACTATGGTACAAAGATAATTTTTTTAGTTGCAAACACAATTCTACCTCAATTCTTTGTGAACTCATACTCGATTCGACCTTTTATCTCTTCTCAATTTCCTTTCTAATCAACCGTTATACTTGACTCTTCTCTTAGTCCAGTAGGCCTCCTCGCTGGTTGAAATGATCACAATATCTTAAAATGAAATCCTGACACGATCAATTCATCGACTAATCAGAAATCGTAAAACAAATATCATAGACTTTATCGAATAAATTTGTAATAGGGTATTTTTATTTTATGTTTAACTCATGGTGGTTGAACTATTCATACTTGTAAAATTGCCTAATGAATTGGGTTCCTTGGACGGTTTTTCCGATCTTACAAATTAAACTTATTAAAGCCTGCTAAAATCTTATGGACTCATGAGTTGCAGCCCATATACAATCACTTAAACCAGAAAGTAAAATGGTCCAATTCTCAGTGAAAATGGCCGAAGTAAGGATTGCTGCACCGCAACACGTTTCGTTGCTCTTTCGGTAACGGCGTCGTTTGACTCCGCAAAGTTTCTAATCGTCTGTATTCTTTCCGCCGGCCGCAATTTCTGCATCCTGCCCCGTCTACGCCGCCGGCAAGTGCCGGAACTGCAAGAAGAGAAACCGAGAACTGAACAGTGAACTACTCCAAAGTCCAAACCGAAGCTCTGAACTCAATTTGAAAAGGGGAAAGCCATTGCAGCTCACGCTAGACTTTCCAAACCACAGAGGAGACGCGACGAACTGGGACGAGAAAGCCTACCGAGAGTCTTTAGGACGGCGTGGGCACCTTCTCCTGATCCCGTTCCAGACGCCGTCGTTGTAGCCTCCAGTCATGGATCGATCGCTTCGTACTCTATCTCTTCTTGCGCCTCCAAACTCGTAAGTACTTTTTAGCTACGATTATCTGATCAATTTTCTGAGACGATGATCTGATTAATTTTCCTTTTGGCAACAGCCAGTGGGTTTCGGCTACGGAATGGCTCAGCGGTAAGTACTTGACGAAGCTGGTGACTGTTCTCTGACGGACGGGTGACGATACGTTGTATGTGTTTCCAATTCCTTACTTTTTTTCCCTCTCAAGTACTCTGAAGGAGCTCTTTATTTTGGTCATTTGCTAGGGTTGAGCCTACTGGATTTGTTCAAGCCCATGATGGACCAGCATATGATGTCTCAAATTCTATGGCAGTGGTGAAGATGCTTTGTTACTGAGGTTTGGTACTAACATTGCTGTTGCTGTCTTCTTCCTCCACGATTTGCTTAATCTGTGATCCCTTTTATACATTGAGTTGGTGGGAAGGGCTGTGTCTGCAGAAAGTGGATTGCATCTATTAGTTTGTAATTTGGTGATGATGGCTTGGAAATGGAAGGAAGTTACGGAATCAGAGATTCCAGTTTCCACGCAAGGTAATAGAAGTAGATTTAAAAGAAATGAGGGGTTAAGCCTGTAGCTAAACAAACGTATAGAACATTGCTTGCTCTAATTGATGCACGAGACTGCTATACCATCAGTCAACATGGTTGCTTCAAATCATTAAATTAGCAGTCAGCTCTGGATGTTACCTGTTTTGTGGTTTCTGAATGGGTGTTTTAGAGGATTGGTTCCATATGATCTTGTATATGATCCTCTTTCGGCCAAAATTTTACGCCTCGGGGTTCTTTGCACAGGAAACCATATGGAGCCAGTGGTTGACTTGGTGAATCCCCAACACAGGTTAGTCAAGACTCATGATAAATCTTAATGGATATTACCATACATTTGTTTCTTGTCCTCTACCTTGCACTTGATTACTCACCGTAAAGGATGATTCATTATACATAGGATGGTATCACAACTCAAATTAGGTCATGAACTATTGGTTCATCGTGGTGCCTGATGGATCACTGACTTTTGACTGGCAACATAATTTTGTTAATTTTCCTTTGGTTAATGGGTTCACGGACGAAGTTTGTTTCTTTTGCCATACTGTTAACGTCTTCTCAGAATTATTTCTTTTATTGACATCTTCAGAGGTCCATGGGGTGCTCTTTCACCAATCCCTGAAAACAATGCTATTGCTTTAGGCACTCAGGTTAGAATGAGTGATTTATGCATTGTGCATTGATGTTTGAAATACCCCCTGTTGCTCGAACAAAAAGTCCATTGTTAAAACTTGCTTGTTTAATAGGACGCATCCATATTTTCTGCTGCTGGTGATTCTTGTGCATATTGTTGGGACGTGGTATGTACTTGCTCAAGGTGCAAATTTTATTGGTTTCACTGAATCCACATGGAACTATTTCACTGACAGTGACCATGCATGTTTAAATCCATTCTGCAAATTCAGATCAATTATATCCTGATTGCTTTGTAACTATCCAGGAGACAACTAAGATTAAAATGGTTTTTAAGGGGCACTTGGATTACTTGCACTGTATAGTTTCCCGCAACTCTTCCAACCAGGTAATGTTATTTCCTCTTCAACATCGTATCTTTTGGTTTCTAAAATACCATGCTCTTTTTAAGATGGTGAAAGTCTGGTGAAAGGATTTATGTTTTGAGTGATCATCAATTGACCCGAGTAGGAAACTATCTCAGAAATTATCTCCTGGATATTGCTCACTATAGGTGCAAAAGTTTGCAATTATTTTCGCGAAGGAAAAATTACATCCATAGCCTTTTATTCTTATTTGGATTGTTGCATCATAGGAAACCACTGGGAAGATGCTGTAACTTGTATGAGGAGCCTCATGGCTATTAGTTCTCAACTTCTGGGGTCTAATCTAAGATTCTCATATCAGCCTCCAAAAGAATGAAGACTTCTGACTGTCCAAGCACACAAATTATAAATTGGCTAGTTTTCATTTGTTCTTTTATTATCATTGTTTGACTTTACAATATTGCTTTTGGTTATATTGCAAGAGTCTCATACTTATTTAGGCTCTGAGAGTCCTTTTGGCATCTAACTATCTGTAGATCAATTGCCTTTCGAAATGACTGTATGAGACTAGGTCTATCAATCAACTGCAGGGGTAACAGCTCCTGAAATTCGACCAATCCTGAAACATATACTGTTCTTTTTGGTGATCTTTTCCCATTTTACTCCTGACAGCAACACCAAGCATAATAATAGAGAAATTTGGTGACTGTATGTTGTAGATACTGAGCATGGTTACCCACCATTTGCCTTTGCTTTCGGGTTATAACTGGTTCTGAAGATGGAACAACAAGAATTTGGGGTAAAATACTCTTTTGAATATCAAGGATCGCAGCTACCTAGTCCAATTGAATATCAAGGATCACAGCTACCTAGTCCAATAGAGATAAAGTGACTGGTTGATTTTATATATTATATTTCTTTGATAGATATAATGCCAGTTTGATGACATTAGTTTGGAGACCAAGACCCCAACTATATCCATGCCAATAGGGGATAAGTTTAGAATGGTCATTAGTGTGGAAGAGAAGGTGATTGACTTTGTAATTTGTAGTCATTTTGATAGTGTTTTTTCCCCCAGCTTCTAGAGATCAGAACAGAAGATGAGAATCAGGAAGAAAAACTTATTTCGAATTTGTCTTGCGAGGTAGAAGTGGTGCTTTTTGGTGTTTCCGTTTTATGTTAGGCATTGGGAAAGCCTTTTGGTTATGCACCGGCAAATTTCGTCCCGAATCTGGTTGCAAGTTTCTGATAGCTACTTTAGCGATAATCTGAATGCCCCATCTGTAGTTTTATGCTCAGTTTATGATAAAATGGAGTAGCTTTTTCCAGATTGCAAAAGTGGGAAGTGCATCAGAGTAATTGATCAGGGGAAGGATAAGAAGTTGAAAAGATTCTCTACCTCCGTTAGATGCATTGCACTTGATTCAAGTGACAGCTGGTTGGTATGTTTTTGGGAAGATACCATTCTAGTTTGATGCATGTTCTGATATGATTGATGAAGGATGTCTGTTGTTGTACAGTGGATGAGAGGGAGACGAACATACAATCGTGTTTCCAATGTTAAGAAGTGAAATGTTTTGTCGAGTATTGCTGACAGTTAACAAGGCTAATAGTTGAACAGGGTGGCTTACCAAAACATTGTCCATGTTCATAGGCTTGTAGCAGTGGTCAGAGCTTATCAGTTTGGAATCTGCACGCTTCCGAGTGCGTTTCGAGGACTTCTACTAGTGCATCCATGCAAGACATGATATTCGACAACAACCAAGTAAAGCCAACTCTATTCCAAGTGACCTCCTAATGCACCAAACTTAAAATTGGCCAAGAGCTAGTTTTTATGGATACGATGAACAACCAATTTTTTTGTATACTGCAGTTAATATCATTTCGGTTTGTTTTGGCTTTTCTTTTTCTTACCTCCCTCTCTTTATTCCTTTCCTCTCTTCTTTGAGCAGCATCTGCATTTTGGTCTCTGAAAGTTTGTTGCATCACATAATGTCATAATATCAGGTACTAGCTGTTGGATCAGAACCTTTCCTCAGTCGATTCGATCTAAATGGGAAGATTCTTTCACGAATGCCATGCGCTCCTCAGTCAGCATTCTCTGTCTCTCTACATCCATCAGGGGTATTCTTCTACTTCTCTCTCGGAATACATTTTTCTCGTAGTTACCTGTTTCTGAAAGCTATATCAATCCTATCTGGTTCAGTCCACTGTGAGCCAAATCATAGCACCACCACTAGGAATGGATATGAATGGCTGAACTAATTGACACCCCTAGCACCCTCGCCGTGCTCCTTCTGATGCATTCGAATCTTTTTTTTTTATCATTCTGGATTCAGGTGACAGCAATTGGAGGTTACGGCGGTCTTGTAGACGTGATATCCCAGGTTCGAAGCCACTACTGCACTTTCCGATGCAGCCGAACATAAAGAGAGAAAGCGAGAATGTCTACAGTGTATTTTTATTCGCGTCACCTCTAGTAAATCACGCGAGAGTTGCGTCTGCAATCAGAAGCTGTCAGCAGCAACATCTGGATGATCCCATTTCATTTTCAGACGATTGCTGCAAAACAGTTAAAGAAGTTTAGGGGGGAACACCACAGCAACAGGAGAGGTCTCTCTGTTTTCAATTGTAAAGACGAATTGGGTGTCGCTGCGTCTTAGAACTTCTGTAGACATGATTTCTTTCATCTTAACCCAATTTGATGTTAGTTAACCCTCTTATCCCCATGAATCCATCTGGAAACATGCTTTCAGTGTCACTGTTGTGAATTGTGATCGATCTCGGATTCTCGGTGGTCGAGTAAAGTGGTAAAACACCACGGCATAATTTTTTTATGGGCAGGAATCGAACTCTCGATCTCATGATGAATGGACGAGACGACCAACCAATTACCATGCTGCGCTCTCTTGCTAGTCCACTGTTTTCCCTAGTCAGTAGGCGAGGAAATGGGCTTCTGAGCCGATCGATCATTCTAAAGGCCCAATCCGAATGGGCCGAGGAGTGGAAGCCCAGCCCGCAAGGAGTACGGATCCGGGAAGGAAAAAAGAGAGACGGACAAAAGCGACGGTATATATACAAGAACCGGAGCAAACCCTTCGCCTTCTCTAACCCTTTTGGCTTCCGCGAAAAAGCAAAATACAAGACTATCCCCAGCCGCAGCACAGCGGCAGCCAACCAGCAGCTCTCTCTCTCTCTCTCTTGTTCTCGACTTAGCGTTCCTTCTCTATTAACTCCGTGAGAAGAACCGCTCAAAACCCTAGTTCTTCTTTCCCGAGACGAGACTACTCCTCGTCAAACCGCCTTCGTCAAATCTCAGCAATCGTAAACACACAGGTTTCCCCCTTTTTCTCCCTCTTCTCGCATCTCGTCCTTGGTTCGCCGGTTGTTCTTCCCTTGATTTCTTTTATGCTGTGTCGTCGATTTACCACCTGAGAAATATTGTTGTGCGGCTGGGACCTTACTGGGTTTCCGATCTCTCTTTGATCTGGAGTGTCATGTTTAGCATGTTCTAAATGTTGAACTGGCGCATCTAGACGCTGTGTAGAGTAAATCTGCTTGAATTTTCGGTTGATTTGGTTCCTGTTTGTCCCGGTTTGTATGGGATGGGTTTCATGTCAGATTTTTTGGTTTGTTGTTGTGGTTCTCGGCTTCTTACGAGGTCGATTTGTATGGATTTTGCAGGTTCAGATATGGCAGGACTAGCACCAGATGGCTCCAACAATTTTGATGCCAAGAGCTATGATCAAAAGATGAGCGAATTGTGAGTGGCCATTGGTTTTGTTGTTTTTATTCTTTTGGTGGAAAAAGCTTCTACCTTTCCCCCTTCCTGTTTGTGTTTAGGTCTAACTTAACTTCTGCATAAAACTCTTTTGAGAAGCATCCTAATAAACCTATTTTCTTATCCTACAACTTGTGTCTTGTAGACTTTTGGCTGATGGACAGGACTTCTTTGCTTCCTATGATGAGGTCCACGAAACTTTCGACTCTATGGGCTTGCAGGAGAATCTTCTTAGGGGCATTTATGCATACGGTAGATCTGATTGTTCTTAAGTTTGTATTTCTTGTGGTGCTCTTGTTTTGTGATCTTTGCCCTCTGTGGACTGCTTCTGTGTGATGGTATGACTGTTATTTTCTTATTTGCTGATACTCTGCTTCTGCAGGTTTTGAAAAGCCATCTGCTATCCAGCAGAGGGGAATCGTTCCCTTTTGCAAGGGGCTCGATGTGATTCAGCAAGCCCAGTCTGGAACTGGAAAGACTGCTACTTTTTGTTCTGGTATCCTGCAACAACTTGATTATGCCCTGGTAGAATGCCAGGCTCTTGTCTTGGCGCCAACTAGGGAGCTGGCCCAGCAGATTGAGAAGGTTATGCGGGCACTTGGTGATTATCTTGGTGTCAAGGTCCATGCTTGTGTTGGTGGAACCAGTGTCCGTGAGGATCAGCGCATCCTTTCCAGTGGAGTCCATGTAGTTGTCGGTACCCCTGGTCGTGTCTTTGACATGCTTCGTCGACAATCCCTTCGAGCTGATTCCATCAAGATGTTTGTCTTGGATGAAGCTGATGAAATGCTTTCCCGTGGATTCAAGGACCAGGTAACATTTTTTGCTTGCGTCTTCTGTTGTAGATGATATCATCGTCCAGGATATTGCTTTACTTATTATAGTGTTTGCAATTTCACTATGGGTGCTTCTTTAAGATAAAGAATGGACTAAAAAAATCTTAAATAGTGGGTTTTAGACAATTTTGTGGATTTTGGATGGACTGTTTGAAAATGTCTTTGTATTAGCGTGGAATCCACACCTTTTGACATGTTTTTGTTTTGTGAGTTTCAACTTCCACCTTGTTGGGCAATGGTGCCTTGTAGTGCTGCTTCACGAGTATGAATGCCATGTGTAGCCCTAATATGGTCTCTTCTTGCTTGCACAGATCTATGACATTTTCCAGCTGTTGCCGCCAAAGATTCAAGTCGGTGTGTTCTCTGCAACAATGCCACCAGAGGCTCTGGACATCACCAGGAAGTTTATGAACAAACCAGTTAGGATCCTTGTGAAGCGTGAGGAGCTCACCTTGGAAGGTATCAAGCAGTTCCATGTCAATGTGGATAAGGAAGAGTGGAAGCTGGAGACACTCTGCGATCTCTACGAGACCCTAGCCATCACCCAGAGTGTCATCTTCGTGAACACCAGGCGCAAGGTGGACTGGCTGACCGACAAGATGAGGAGCAGAGACCACACTGTCTCTGCCACTCACGGTGACATGGACCAGAATACTAGGGACATCATCATGAGGGAGTTCAGGTCTGGCTCATCCCGTGTCCTGATCACCACCGACCTCCTTGCCCGTGGTATTGATGTCCAGCAAGTCTCCCTTGTCATCAACTACGACCTCCCCACCCAGCCTGAGAACTACCTGCACAGGATTGGTCGTGGTGGTAGGTTCGGAAGGAAAGGTGTGGCTATCAACTTTGTCACCAAGGATGACGAGAGGATGCTCTTTGACATCCAGAAGTTCTACAATGTGGTGATCGAGGAGCTCCCAGCCAATGTTGCGGATCTTCTGTGAGGAAAGGCATTTTGATGTGTTGCTGCCTTCCTTTGCCTTGAATGAATGAGTGAAGAGAGATTATGATGGATGGGAGACTATGTGAACCGGTGTCTTTGTACTCTCTTTTGTCTTCGTTTTTTTATGTTTTGATGCTTTTCTTTTTTTGGGTTGGGACTTGGTAGTATTCACTATGGAGAGTAGAAGTCTTGTTCTGTTGTGAAATTGTTCCAATTTTGAATTCTAGCAGCTAGTAGTTGGGTTGCATTGTGGAATACTTCTATTTAATACAGATGTCTGTATTTTTCATCCGTTGCTTCCTTCCTGGTGGGTTCTCAGCTTTTCGACCATTGCTCTTAGTTTGCGGTTGCCTGTGACGACGGGAACTCGGCAAGCTAGCAATCAGCTTAGCAATGAAGGAACTCCGTTTCTTTTCGTTCTTGTCAGTTTTCAGATTGTTGTTGTCGAAATCACAATGCACTTTCTGAACCCTTGTCAGCTTCCACTTGGATCTGAATTGCGCAGAAATGTGGAAACTGACATAAGTAGTTGTGGGTCTTTTTAAACAAGCTATGAAAAGTTATAAAGTTGAGAGATTAGGAGATTCTAGTAGGAAGGTTGGGTCTTTTCCTTTTGTGGGTTTTATTCGCTTAGCTTGTCCCAATTATCCGAGTTATTTATGGATTGATCGGTATCAAATTGCAGTTCTACTATATATATATTGATCAATAATCCTCTACATTTTCACCGGTTCACATTTGTTCGGGTTATTTTTGGATAAATCGGTATCAAACTGTTGTTCAACTATACCTATATTCACCCATGTTTGACGTTATTCACGTGTCAGACGAAAATTAGAAAGAACAGCCCAATAAACAATCGATTAGGCCAGATGTCCAAATCACAAGACGGCCAACCCATCACATTTTGATTCATGAAGCCGAAACTTACCGACTTCAATAGATTTTCCTCATAACTAAATCTACACGATCGAGATTTTTTTCTAAATGGGATTATTCCCACATCCAACTCAAGATAGACATCTTGCTCTCTCTTCTCCCAATTCCTTTCCTATATTAGAGTTAAAACATGAATGAATAAGTGGAAACACAAACTGCCAACACATTTTCCAATCAACGAACCACCCAAATTAAGGTATGATCATCATCTAATATATACTAATATAATCAGGTTCCCACTTAGGCCAAAGTCTTGCTCACAAAACTAAACAAGAAGTAGGCCGAGGTGTCGCTCGACATCCCTCTTCTCAAGGTTTTTTTGTTTGTTTTAGAAACACGTCGAGAGGTTGGAAAGCATTGATATCTCATATCAGCTTTGTCTTGTCCTTTTTCAGAACGTAGCAAGTTTGTCAACCCGCGAGTCGATCCGTGGGTTGACCCACTTTGATCCTCACCTGGTGAAAAAAACGGGCCGCACGCACCCGCCTGGTCGACCGCTATAAGGTACCGGGTTGGAGGTCAAATTGTGTCATTTTTTTCTTTGTTTTGCGAAATGCGCTTATTTTCCGAATTTTCTTTTCGCCTAACTCAATCTTTGGAATCCTAAGTTGAACATTTGAATATTAATGTTATATAAGTGTGTGTAAATTTTCACTATATGTTGAATCTAAGTACGAAATGTTATTTTGGTGTAATATTATATGTTATAACTCATATGTTAGATGAGATTTGATATAATTTATCAGGATAAGTACAATATAATGACGTTTTTCATATTTCCGGGCTAAACCGGACTAAAATAGGTGACCCATTAACTCTTGACCCACTAGCTCAACCGGATACAGGTCAACCCGCGGATTGACAACGTTGGAACGTAGCTTGAAATCAAGTTGGGGAAGGAAAACTGAAAATGAAAAGTCGCCAAAAAAGGTTCCAAGTGGTGTTCTCCCAATGTGTCCCACCTCCAACACGGTTAATTGCACTTCTAGAAAAAGCTTAAAAAAACTTGACATCGCGTATTAGGCGAAGGAAAGAGAGTTTGGTAACAACTTGCAAGCTTTCTTTGTCCCATTCATTTCTTAAATCTATTAGGTCTTTTATGATAATGGTCTCTAGTTGAAATGCTATGTGGGTTGAGTTTGTACGATAGATATGACTGGACACATAGGCATATAGGTCATGTGAAATTAAGATTATGCTATGCGAGATCGTGATAAGGTGATTTTGTATTGGCCATATAAATGATTGTCTATGGAAGATATGATTTTGTCTCTTCGTGGAAAGATGCTTTAAATGGACGAGCGCGCTCCATTAAGTTGAGGATTCATCTGTATTTTTGGCTGGTATCTGTGGTGTCTCGACCTTACGCTTACACCAGGACACCACAAATACCAATGCTCATCTAATACTAAGTGTAAGTCAAATTTAGAAATACTCATGTAAAGGATGATTCAAGATAGATTGACTCATTATAACATGTGATTGGAAGCAAACATGTACAACATTTCGCTTGTCAATTAAATAACAAAAAAAAATCCCTCTGAATTTTAAAACAAATACTGCAAGATATATGAATCCAGATTGTTCTCGAGATTGAGTCTCACAATAAGTCGTAGCTACTTTCTTTTACAGACTGGTCAAAATATCATAAATAAATAAGAGCAAATATGAGATAAAATTGAGATAGTACAAATCGTGAACATCATCTATCCATTTCACAAACTTTCAGATTATAGATTAAGATGATAAATTTACCGTGTTTACACATTCCTTCAATTGCAATTAAAATGTTAATCATGTTAGATGAATTATAATTCAATACATACATTACTTAACAACGTGATATCACGCGTTACATCATTTTAATTACACGACAACAAACCTCCCTCCCTCGACCGACCTAAAAACTACGGAACCTGCTGCCTCTTCATTTCTATTTATAATTTTAATTTCCATTCTCATTAGAAAGGAAACTATAATTCAAAGATTCGCAGCGTTAAATTTTGTTAAAAGAAATTTCCTCACGCGCCCATTCTGACGAAATCCGTTTTTCGTCCCAACCACAGCATCACATTAATCCTCCCGATCTAAAAATCACTCTGAATTCTCCTCTCTTCTCTCCCAAAACAAACAATTCTTCCCGAGAAGAAGCCTCCGCGGCCATATCCGGCGCCAGCCACCGCCTCTGCATGAACGCCACCTCATTCCCGTCTCAGTCTTGACGTCCTCGGATTCTCTTCTCCCCTCTCTTTTTTCTACTCCTGCTTTGCCGCCGCTGCTGCTGCTTCTTCGGTCTCCCAATGGCGGTGCTCGACACCCCCGACGATAATCACATAAACCCCACCACCGCCACCGACTCGCCCGATCTCAACGGCCTTCGACACCGTCCGGCTGCCGGCGCCTCCGACGAGCCTACTCCTTCATCCGCGCCAACCGATGAATCCGGCGCGGAGAAGAAGGTCGCCAATCGGGACGGTCAAGCTGCCAGATCGGATGTCAAATTCACGTACCGTCCTTCCAGGCCCGCTCACGTTGGGGTGAAGGAGAGTCCCCTGAGTTCCGGCGCCATTTTTAAGCAGGTGAGGAGGAGGAAACACTCTTCTTAATTTTGCGACGAGCAAATTGGAATTTAGGATGTTTCTCGTTGGAAGGAATTAGCGCGTTCTCGTTACGTTCCTTATTCGAGCGAGCAGTGGTAGTTTGAACTAGGATTCCTCCATTGGTCAGTAGTAAGGGAGAGAGAACATCAATGTCTTCTGGCAGAGAGCTTCGATTTGCATTTGATTGGCTTTTCCATAAATGCCGTTTACTGTATGCAATATGAATGCCCCCAAGTAGTCTGGCGGGGAGTGCAGGGACGGAACTTGGGAATTGAAATCGTTCATTGGCTTCTCCTTTTGTGGATTCTTAGCTCCTCATTTGCTCGTTTTTGCTCTTAGTTGGTTTGTTGGTTTGTTTGTTTTGTTCTTTCCCCCCGTCAATTCGTCAGAGCCATGCAGGCCTGTTCAACCTCTGTATTGTAGTGCTGGTGGCAGTCAACAGCAGGCTTATTATCGAGAATCTCATGAAGGTTTGTCCAGCTTCTTCATTTCTTTGTTTTGTTTCTCCTTCTACTATGCCTTGATTGAATATCAGGTTGAACTCCACTTTCCCACAGTTCTCTTCTTATACTTCTCATTTTATGCTCTGGCAGTATGGTTGGTTGATCAGGACTGGATTCTGGTTTAGTTCGAAATCATTGAGAGATTGGCCCCTTTTCATGTGCTGGTAATGTTTCGTTTACTTGGATTCCACTTACTGTTACCAATATGTCCTTTAGGTTGGTTAATGTTCCATTTACTTGGATTCCACTTACCTGTTGCTCTTTTCTTTTGGGGATTGAAGGTTAAACGTGTTGGTTAATGTGGGTTTCCCTTTGTTGCAGTCTGTCACTTCCTTTGTTCGCTTTTGCTGCGTATCTCGTTGAAAAATTTGCATACCGGAAATATCTGTCTGAACCAGTAAGTATTCAAGTACTGCCACTTTTCTGAATAGTAAGACAGCTTATCTGCTCAAATTCCTTCTCGAAAATACCATGTTGAACCCACTGACTAGTAGTGTCAACTTGTCGCTTGATTTTACAGATAGTTGTTTCCCTTCATATACTCATCTCCGTGGCAGCAGTTGTGTACCCTGTTTCAGTGATTCTCAGGTTTGTCTTCGTCTCCTTGCCTTACATGCACCATTGCTTTTTTCGTTATTGTGGGAGGTCCATCACCTGTCTGTTAATGTTGTTGAGATATTTCATGAAGATATGTGGTAAGAGAGTTAGATATGCCATATAATATGCAACTAGAGAAAACGAACACACATGTAGCCTGGTTGTTCGTTTTGTTGCCGGTTTATGCAAGATAGAATTGACAGATTGATACAGATCAGCTGTTAATACTTGATGATTTCGAGTTTGTCGTCAGTAGGAGATGGTGATTTTCTTAAAAGGCAAACCCAACTGTCTCTTTAATATGTCAAATCAATCTATCTGCTCATTGTTAGGACCACAATCGACGTCGAATTGGACGTATTGCTCTCCTTCATCATATTAAGTTGTTCTTCGCTGGTTCCTATATATTTCTTCTAGAACCATGTTCTTTCTTTACTCATTAACCTGGTGCTAGCATTTTCGCTAATTATTAAATCTGTCGGTGTTTTTTCTTTTTCTTTTGCAGTTGTGACTCTGCATTTTTATCCGGTGTGACATTGATGCTTTTTGCTTGCATTGTATGGTTGAAATTGGTCTCTTATGCTCATACAAACTACGATATGAGGGCAGTCGCCAAGTCAGTTGAAAAGGTAACAATCTCTTGACCTTCTTTGATTTTCATTTGTATCTGTGACTTCGGTGTAGTCTGAATTATGGCCCTGGTACTCATTACATATCATCACCCATCTCTTGTTGTTCCCCTTTCAACATTAATTTAAGTATAGTCTTGTGTTACTTTGTTTAGGTATTAGTATCCTCTGGTATTCCTTAGAAGAAGTAATTGGCATACCCTGTCCCGCTTTGTGTGAACAAAGGAAAAGATTAAGAAAATAGTTCAAATAGATGTTCTTGTCCTGTTCCAATCCTTTTACACAAATATTCATTTGTGATTGGCCACTTTGATTACAGGGAGAAGCACCTTCTGCTGCTCTCAACGTGGATTATTCTTATGATGTTAACTTCAACAGCTTGGTGTATTTCATGATTGCCCCGACATTATGTTATCAGGTAATCTGTCCTTGACCTGCTAACAGAGTCTGAATTCTTCAGCCTTTTAGATTGCTGAGAACTTAAGGTTGACAATTGGTGTATAGAAAAGATATGATGATGCCATGTCTAATACTGGATGGTTCACATCCGTTGCAATAGTACTTAACATACTTGAAAGAAAAATGTATTAATATATTTTCTCTGTCAGTGCACATTTCTAATATCTTTTTTTTTTTTTTTGTGAGAATATTTCTTTTATCTGCGTTGTTCATTATGAACTGCCAAGCTTGAGAGCATCATGTGCTGGTTTTAATTCTAGCGCTGAATTGTGCTTTCCCCTGCCCCATCTATCCTGATACAATTCCTTATGTTCTAATTTGTAATTCTCAGCCGAGTTATCCTCGCACACCATCTATCCGTAAGGGTTGGGTGGTTCGTCAGTTCATCAAGTTAGTGATATTTACTGGTTTAATGGGATTTATAATTGAACAGGTAAGCAGAATCTCAATGTTGAAGTTAGCTTTCTTTCCCTTTTTTCATTTTCACTCATTTCATACCATGTGGTTGGTTCTGCAGTACATCAATCCTATTATCCAGAACTCAGAGCATCCTTTCAAAGGGAATCTCTTGTATGGAATTGAGAGGGTTTTGAAGCTTTCTGTCCCGAATTTGTATGTGTGGCTGTGCATGTTCTACTGCTTCTTTCATCTGTGGTGAGCTCACTTTTTATGTATTCCCTGGCACTGTAGGTTTTCTTACTTATCAAGTTTCTGATGTTATATGCTCCTTTAGTATCGTGCCCGCTGTGCATTTCATGTGGTCATATTCTTCTTGCCTTCATCTGAACTGGTTAGTTTGGTGTAATGCATTAATGCTAAGCCAAGGGTCTGTTTTGGTGACTTCCATATGAATTTTTTTGTCTACTAGCTTGCCAGATTGGAATCAATCAATTCTTAAATCAGAATTTGCTTACGTCATTTTACTTTCTTTATCTTATGGGGTATTTATTTCCTAGAATGAATTTCATATATTTCTTCACCCTTGCATTATCTAAATCTGGACATTATGATAACCTATCAGGGTATCTCCTTTCAAACATTTGTTAAATAAATCTGGACATTATGAGACCGAGAACTATGATATGATTTTCCCTTTTTCTCTTCCCCGTGTCCATCTTATTTCATGTTTGTAGTAACGTAGACACGAGTTCCTTTATTCAGCTTGGTGGTGATTTTACCATGCATCTTTCTCTTTTATGGTCTCCCTCACTTCTCCCTCAGTAACATCTTGCTACTATGTTGATGCTCTTTCGTTACCCTTACCTATGTTGCTACTATGTTTATGGTGATCCATGCATTGGCTAAGTCGTTCTTCCTTCCTTTGCTGCAAAAATAGGTTGAATATACTTGCAGAGCTCCTGCGTTTCGGTGATCGAGAATTCTATAAAGATTGGTGGAACGCGAAAACTGTTGAAGAGGTGGGGGTTTGCTGTCATTGAAATTAATTCTTTGTTTCTCTTATCGTGCTTCTGATTCTAATTCTGATTCCTTGTGATTGGCAATTTTCCCGGGTTTGCTGCTATCCTCAGTACTGGAGAATGTGGAATATGGTACACCTCTTTACTCAATAATATTTCTGTTAGTCATTGTTGTGCCTCGATTCCTTTCAAGTTTCTATTGAAATTTCGCTCATTGCCTGAGTTTCTCATATTACGATCTGACAAATATGATGCACACGAGAGAGTTTCTCCCTCTTTTTTTCTATTCCAGTCTCCCTCTTCTTTTTCTGGAGTTCATCTGAGCTTGCAACCCTTGTTTCAATCTGAAGTTGTTGGAAATAAGTATTGACTGATTGCTATTGATCACAGCCAGTTCACAAGTGGATGGTTCGCCATATCTATTTTCCATGTCTGCGCCACAAAGTTCCCAAAGTAAGTTTCAATCCTTACCTTTGGAGTAGCATTTCTGTTCATTAGAGTTTCAGATTTCACTAGATAAATATGAACTTTTTGTTCATACGAACTGTTTGCGAAGGCTATATTCTAACTCTGTATATTGTGCAGGGAGTAGCAATATTTATTGCGTTCTTTGTTTCCGCTGCATTTCATGAGGTATAATGAGCATCCTTCCCTTATTTATGCTTTCTGCCCCGATCTCTCCAAGAAAGTCGATTTTTGGTATATCAATAGGTTTTGTAATTTATATTGTCAGAAGTAAACAGAAGTCGAAATGTAACACATTAGCCTTATCATGTAAGATACAAAATGTAGGATTAGCTTGGTAAGATCATGGGTTGTAGGCATCATTAGAGTTGTGTAATATCAATAGGTTTTGTAATTTATATTGTCAGAAGTAAACAGAAGTCGAAATGTAACACATGAGCCTTATCATGTAAGATACAAAATGTAGGATTAGCTTGGTAAGATCATGGGTTGTAGGCATCATTAGAGTTGTGGCGAACATTTACTTTATAAGATGGATCACCCAACTTGCGTAACTTTCTCTCTTGGTGTCGGGTTGACTACATAATTTTCTGCCTGTCCATCTAGTAGATGGCCCTTGGCCCTCCATCTTCGATATGCCTTTGATCTATAGGCATTGTTTGAACTACTCTGTCCAGTTAGATAATTCCCAGCCTGTCCATTTAGTAGATGGCCCTTGGCCCTCCATGTTCACTTGCCTTTGATCTATATGTTACTTATGTCCATCCTAAGATAAGACATTTGCTCTCCACAGCTGTGCATTGCTGTTCCTTGCCACATCTTCAAGTTCTGGGCGTTTCTTGGAATTATGTTCCAGGTAAGATTGAGCCATGTCACGACTAAATTCACTTTTGTGCTGATTTGTCCGTGGAGATGCACTTAAAAAGTTCAGAATTGTCGACAGATCTTTAATTGAAAGTCCCGCATGTAGCATATTGATGCAGTTCCTGAACCATATAACTATGCTTGAACTTTTTCTTGACAGATCCCACTTGTCTGGCTTACAAACGTTCTTCAGGAGAAGTTCAAGAGCTCGATGGTAACGTCTTAAGCTTCTATTATCCAGATTTTAACTACTCAAATGAGGAACTGCAGATGTCATCTTCGAAAAAGAAAAAGAGGGAACTGCAGATGTTTAGGACATGACTCGTAACGCAACACTTAACCAGATAACTGAAAAATGCATAAGCGGGAATCTTACGTTGTTGTTTGTATTTGTTTGACCTCTTTGACAGGTGGGGAACATGATATTCTGGTCAATGTTCTGCATATTCGGTCAACCGATGTGTGTGCTTCTCTACTATCACGACCTGATGAACAGGAATGGGAAAGATGGAATCTGAAAGGGGAACACTACTTCGAGCACAGACTTATATTTTGCAATCTCCACGCAGTTCCACTTCATTCACTGTTGTTCACGCGGGGAATTATATAGACTCTGCAGCGGCAAAGATGAGGTCATCAGGGAAGTGAAATCGTCGTGCATCAGGGCACTCTATCAAACACTAGTTATCTACCATGGCCATGTGGGGGTGTACCCTTTTCGGACACTGGAAGCGTAGAGGCGATTTCGAAACCCAGCAGAGAGCAGGCACATATAGCTAACGAAGTGCCTGCCGCCGTCAGGGAAGGATGAAAAATCGAAGGTAGTGCAGGAGATATGCGAATTAGTAGTTTTAGCTGGTTGGGGAATTTGTAAATCGAAGGCTATCGAAATGTGTGTTCATGCTCTGGACCTCCCACATAATGTTTCTGCAATGTTGTGATCCCTTAGCTAAATATAAAGAAAAGAACCACTGGAAGTATGGAAAGCAAAGCACTTAGAGATGATCTGGTGGTGGTCTAGATATAACCGGTACCAGAGGCCAAAGCCTCGACTTTAGCATACTTAATGCACTGAAGTGTTCGATCATTTGGTCGTAGCAAGGAATCTTGGTTGTCTGTGCTCTGTCTACCTCGTCGTATAAGAGATGATCATCGCCAATTGTAGGAGCGATACGATCCAATATTGATCGTAAGTTCCGAAGTCTGGAGATGTCTGTGTTATGGTTCTCGTGTTCTGTTCTGAGTTGCTCTACCGGCCTCTGAATGTGCTAATCTTGAGGTCTTGCTTGCAATGGGGAATCCATCAGTTTTCTTCTGTCCATTTGCGCATCCGTTTTATTCTTTTGTTTTGTTCACATATGCGTCATTTTTTGTCACATCCACAATTTCAATTTTTCTTTTGGATGAAATCCACAATTTCATTTATGTATTCTGGATGTTCGCTGTCTGATTTGTACCATATTTAAAGCCTTGTGTCGACACATTGAGTGATGGACAGTGTCCAGACCATAGCTTTTTGTACATGAATAGGTAGTTACTAGTTAGCCATTAGCTGCAGCACTGTTGCTTTCTCTTTCTGGATCGCTAAAATGCAATCCTAAAATGATTAAACATCATCCTAAATTTAGTATGTGAATTATCGAAGCTTTCATTTTTAAAATTTTTTTTTAATTCAACACACCAGTTAATCATATCTCTAATTCTTCTATCCTTTTCCATCACGTGTGCAACGGCTTGTCCGTACTGGACAATACCGGGCCAAATCGAATTGACATTTGACGGACCCAATCGGACTGAATGCACTGTTATCCTGTCCTTGGTCCTAAGATGTCTTCCATTCTTGGACTGCGGTTTTCATGAAATTGGCCCAGTCTGCATCGGACCATTGCTTGTCCCTACCCTTTCCCTCTCGTAAAATTGTTGACCCTCTATCCGACGAGTGCCCCAACGCCGTCGACCCATACCAGTCAAGACTAGGGACTCTGGCGAGCTATTTCAGCTCAAAAATGGCGAATACCGGTCACGAGACAACGAATCTAAGGGATGTTTTGATGTCATCGTGGTCAAAGCAAAGTCAAACTTCATTTTGGCTATAATCTCATCCGTGGAGTTAAACTCGTATTTTTTCTTCTTCTTCCTTCTTCTAATTGTGTTGTGTGATTATAAACATAGTTAGCATTGTGCTAACTACTCTAGAATTAACATAGTATATCTCATTGATACTATTTGGATGAAATCGGACATCTTATCTATTAGTATAAATCTTGTTGAGGACCACCTTTCTACAATTGGTGATAATCATCTCATTATTAATCACAGTCAATGAGTGTGAAATGATGAATCATATGACATTTTCTTCCCTAATCCATTCCCTCCATGATGGGTTTTATTTTAATGCCATTAAAAATTGCCACCGACGTCGGCTCGGGTGGCAGCAAACCATATCCCCCTACCCGATAGTCAGCGCTCATCTCCCTCAATCAAACCTGAAAATAATCAGACAATTCGCTCCGGACCAAATCAAACTCATGAAAATCGCAATCTAGTAATGAAAAACATTTTGGAATCAATAATCTGTTTTATTTTATTTATATAATCCAGTTGAAATATCAATTCGATTCATTCTTCGGTTCGATTTGATATGGTTCGAACTTTGATCCGATGCAATTTGGTACGAACCAAATCGTCGTATACGCCTACCCAAAATAATAATTGTTTTTAACTGTAAAGACTAGACAGGTGAAGAAGAAACCAAAGGCCAAACACTCTCCCATTTCCTAAGGACTCTTCTTCCCCTTTTTCCCTTTTCTCCCGTCAAAGCAAAACCTCCATTTTCCATGGCCGCTCCCTGATAAAAACCTCCTCTTTTCTCTCTTCCGCCTAGATAGACTACTAGGCTCTTCCTCTACTTCTCCGAAATGGAAGATTACAGATCCAAGTCGTACGCCGACGGACGCTCCTCCCAACTGGACCTCTACCACCACGGCCCGCCACCCCCCGCCGCCGCCGGAGGCGGAGGAGGAGGAGCAGGGATGCAAGATCTCAGGTGCTACAGCGCCTCCTACGCGGCGTCATCCGTCTACCCGGCTCAGGCCGGCGGTCAATTCGAGATGAACAGGGACAATCCCAAGCTGAAGAAGGGCAAGTCGGCGAACGGGTCGGTTTCCAAGACGTGGAGCTTCAACGACCCGGAGCTGCAGCGGAAGAAGCGGGTGGCTAGCTACAAAGTGTACACGGTGGAAGGCAAAGTGAAAGGCTCGTTCAAGAAGAGCTTCCGCTGGCTCAAGGATCGCTACACCAGAGTCGTCCATGGCTGGTGGTAGTAGATTCGAATTTCCCAATTCAAATATCACTTTCCCTTCCCTCTCTATCTCTCTACTACTTAATTCTCCTTCTCGTCGATTGTGTTTCTTTGCTGCTGTGTTCACTATACATAAATCTCTCTGTGCGACTCTGTTGTAGCCGTCCGTCAAGTCTGGTCTATTGTTTGTTTGTCTGTAAGTTGTTTTTCCACCAAAGGGTATATGAGAGTGTTATCAGAATACACTATAGTTGGAATTCATCAATGGTGTTTGGTTTGGTCCATCCGATTCAAAGTTGCCCTCTTTCTGTTGTCAGTTTCACAATCTGAGCCTATGGTTTCTGGGTTTTTGTCTGGGAAACTTGGATGATTGTGTATGTTTGGGGTTTGAGGGATTACATGGCTGAATCTGCCGCGCCGTCGCCGCATTTAGTCGAAGCTGAGATGATTGACATATCTGGCAAATTCAACGGTTCTGCAAGTGGAAGGATTCCTTGCTTCCTCGGTTGGATTATTCCCAAGTAAAGCAGAGAGGATAAAGGGTCTTTGGCAGAAAGCGGAAAGGAGGATGGGCGCTGGGGGCCGGGGAAGGAAAAGTAGTGCTACGTATTCAGAGTTGGATGGCGTGATGTGGCCGTACGCCGTGGTGGCTGTTGCGGAAGCACGACACCTTTGTGGATTGGAAATGGTGATGGGCAAAGGAAAGTAGTCGGCGGCGGCAGAGGCAGAGGCAGGTTGCCGGTATTGACCGGTCCCTTGTTTCCATTCCGTGGTGTTGGTATTGCAGTCGTAATAATATACATTATTTTGATGTTTGATTTGTTGGGATGGAGAAGATCCTTTTAGCAGCTTGTGATTCACACCCTTGAGACCATGAGCCTTGGCTGGAAGCCTGGAGCTGCGTAAGAGAGACCGTGTCTACTGGAAGCTGTGACGAACTGAACTGTTAAACCCTAACTCCGAGTCGAGAGTTCATTTGACACTGGTCGTTGTTTCGTGTTCCCCTGCACTTCTCATGCTTGCGGCCAGTGAGATAGCGAAACACATAAGTCTGGACTGAAGATCTCAATATGATGTTGAAACTTGAAAGGCAAACGTTCCATGCCATCCCAAGACTGCAGAGGAATAAGTAGAATTGCTTCACAATGACACGAACAAACTGGTTAGCGATTTTAGGACGTTGATTAGCGATCTAGAACTTTCAAGGCGGACCAACCACCATACCACAGGACAGAGCAAGCAGGGAGGACGGACTGTAAACCCCTACACCTCCTTCACACACTAGAGTGAAGTGAAGTGAAATCTTTAACCAATGCTTTAAAATGCCGGGATCAAATTATATGAACAATCCACGAGGATCGTTCAAAAGGGCAAATCTGTATTTGGAACTATAAGGGCTTACACACAAACACTTGCTGCAGAGAGCAATTCAATCCCCAGAAGAAGCTTTGCCTTTCTATATCCTGTATGTGCATTTCTCACCGGAAAAAAAAATCCAGCATTTCACCCCTCAAGACTGTTATTCCAACTTCAATAACAAACTCATCACACCCTTCTACCAAACTAAACTAGTCTCTAACCGCTGAGGCACATCATCGGACATCCTCCTGCTTTACAAACAATTTTTGTTTCTCTCCTATCTCGGCTGTGGATTGTTGCCTGCAGAAGACAGAATCTCCCAGTACGGAACTTTGTCATCGCTGTCAATAGTCAGACCTTCAATTCCCTTCAGGGCAGATTCGAAGGGGGTCTTTATCTGAGTTGTTGTATTTCTAGCAGAGGATGATGTACGCCTAGCGGGGTCACCCGACGACCCAACGTGAGGGGGGCTTCTTTGACCACTCGAAACTCTCACCAGACCAGCACCTCCACCAGACTCGCTTCTTCCAGCAGCAAACACATCACCATGACTGCCCGAAACAGCAGCTACAGCACGCCTCGATGAACGACCCAAAAAATTGGAGCTTGGTAACTGCATCTCATCATCAACCATAATACCCTGTCAATTCCTGTCATACATTCTTTAAATGGATAAGCAACTGAGTGAGAATATGAGAAGAATTTAACCTACAATTGGATCCTTAGTGACAGGAGCATCATTTCCAACCGGACTCTTTTGCTTATTATTAGTATAACTTGCGCTGTTCAGTATTGGTCCAGAGTATCTCCGCCGAGAGGGGTCCATGGATTGGCCAGCTGCAGGGCGTGATTCTTCAGCTGCACATTACATGGGCAAACAGTACAAACTCAAAATCACAACCCTATTCTGATAACCAAATTAGTACAAATGGGCTGCCACTTCTGGAAATTCAATTGATAGTCTTGCTGAGAGTAATAGTACCCCATCGAGATATAGTTATATGAGTAAAGAGGAACGATCAAGGCTATAGTAGATCACAGAGTTCCTTAATCCACAAGGAAACAACAGAAAGTCATGATATGCTAAACAAGCAACAATTTGCAGTACCTGTCTGTCGATCAACACTGGCAATAGGAGGCATTCCAGAACTAGTCCCAACACCTGGGGCCTACGCATAACAATAACCATTTCAAAATGCTGTTCTGCCAGGGACTAACATTAGCAAAAATGAGAAGCTACAACCAAGACTTACAAGTCCACGAACTGGGGGATTAGCCAGCTGTGCCTGCTGATACTTCAATATTGTCCAGTCAAAGACATAATCAAACTGGAAGCCTGTTAAAACGTTCATTTCAAAAATACAGGTTCAGAACCGAATGAACAAGCTCCATCTTTATCTCGGACACATTTAGAAGGCTAAAAAACAATACATGGGACACGACGAGTGGCTATACCTTCACGGATGAAAAGATCACGAAATATTCTTTTCAGGTATGCATAATCTGGCTTATCGTCGAACCGTAATGAACGGCAGTAATGGAAGTAAGAAGCAAATTCACTTGGATATCCCCGACATAAGGCCTGAAGAAGCATTGGATATCAGATTCACTTCATGAACTCAAGCAAAACGCTGTGTGCGAATCTTACCTCAATTGAGGTAGAAACTTTCTTTTCACTAATTTTCTCATACTTCTGTTTCTTTGTTCCTGCTTTTAGTCCCTGCCAAGGAAGGCTACAAGGACAGTGAATAATCAGAACAGGTGCTACCAGGATATAGTATCAGATGCAGGACAGCAGGAGTGACATAGGGGCAATAATTACCTTCCTCTCAGGAAGTACATAAGAACATAACCAAGAGACTCTAGATCATCCCTTCTGCTTTGCTCTGTTTAATACAAGTACCAAAAGGTAAGAAAAAAGAACATAAAAGCAGAAAGTCAAAAAGGACATGAAAGCAGCATAAATGCATACCAATCCCTAGATGAGTATTCATGCTTGCATATCTAGCAGTGCCAGTCAAACTCTTGTTTTCCCTGCAATTTTTATCATCAGTTGCCATAATCACATTTCAACCAAATTCTACAAAAAGACTAAACAGAACCGGCATTACATACAGCAGCTTCTAGTATCGATTCCACATGGACAAGAAAACGAATGTATATCAATAAACAAAATTACAGACTGTAGTTGCAGATAGCTCAAGCATTCTGCATCTATCAACAAAGCAGCAGAATGGGGAAGAAAACGCTAACCCACAATACTGGTCACATGTAAGAATCTCATTACTATGGCACCATTGAGAAGTCCCAGCAATCATCCAATAAAACAAAACAAGTCAATTTAGATCTTCGTAGGTAAAGTAGTGGAAGACCTGTATGGAATGTGCTGATGAGTTGAGCTATCCCGATATTTCTTTGCCAAACCAAAATCAATGATGTAGACCTATAAGAATGCAATGAACAGCTTCATTCCAATTCTTCAATTCAAAACTGAAGAGCTCATAAGAAAGTATTTCAAAGATTATTAAACCTGATTGGCACGTCTTCCGAGACCCATCAGAAAATTGTCTGGCTTGATATCTCGATGTAAGAAGGACTTTGTGTGAACAAATTCTACTCGATTGATCTAACAGCAGGTAATGAACCATATTAGGACAACGTTGTCACCAAATACAGATGCTTGCCGCAAAGAAGTAAGATAATGAAGCATACCATCTGATCTGCAAGCATAAGAACAGACTTCAAAGAGAGTTTCCGACTGCAAAAGCTAAATAGGTCTTCGAGACTAGGACCGAGCAAATCCATCACTAGAACATTGTAGTCTCCTTCAACACCAAACCACCGCACATTCGGAATACCAGCTGTGCACCAGACAAAAATAAATAAGCAGAATGGATTAGCACTGAAGCCAGATTTCAGCCATGCACGTGCTATAGGTGAACATACAGTTTAATATATACACGAGAAAAACAGCCAATGAATAAATTATATTAGTAAGTATGATTACTTCCTCCCTGCAAGATTCTGTATAACTTGGATTCATATAACAACTGAGGATGCTTTGTCTTCACATTTTCCTGCCCATCATGAAACAACATTGGTCAACATGCAATTTATAAAAATCAATTCTAGCATAAATGACAACACGAAGCGACAAAATTTCAACAGAGCATCACATGATTATTTAGTCTTAAGTACAGATACAGTGCATCCAGATTACTCACTTGTGCTTTCACAATGAAAGAAAAAAATCATCTCAGTTCATGGATGCGTCTGATAAAAAAGAGTGGCAAGTACTAAAGAAAAAGCGCCAAACTTTTCAATAACAAGATATAAACTCTCATGGAGGGGTAAAAACACATTCAGATTATATTTCTAGAAAGCATAGACAAAAGTTCTAGCACCTGACAGCCACTAAAGACATGCTTTGAGAGGACAGATAGCATGGATCCAAATCCCGAACTGATAAACATAATCACAAATTAATCAGATGAAGCTTTCTCAGCACATGCATGACCTACGGGCAGAACTTCGACATGAGGATCATTTGATCTAGTCAAAGCATGGATGAGGAATATTCCTATGGACAATAGTATATTGCAAACAATCAACTTACTAAGTTAGCTTGGAATTCAAGACACGGTCTTAGGCGAAAGGGCGCAGAAAGTTTTATACTTGTAAAACTGCATGAACCACAATAGACTACATTCTTCACTAGAACGTGTAATAATCTTTAAACCCATGGAAAACTTAGCAATTGGGAGTGGTCAGTTTTTTGCATATCAACCAACTAACCCATATTCCATGGCTAACTATGCCACTACCTCAGTCTCAGATACCTGAATAATACAAATCCTGCATCCTGCCATTGAATTCTCAACTAGCTCAATGACCCACCACGTCCAATCAAGCTGAACACAAATGCAACTAGAATACTTGATTACAACAAAAGATATCACCGTTAAAATGCTCCACACTCCGATCAGCTTGCACCCATCAACTACTATCAAGCTACAAGACAATTTCATTTCCTAGAGCTTCCAAGTCAAAGGAGGCGCGCCCATAACATTTCCCAGACAGCTTTTGCTCCACCAAAATCTCTTATCAACCAAGATATAGGCAACTCTATTGACAAGTAGACGTAAAACCAACGAACCCAACCGAGATAGAAGTTCCCAAGTCAAAAAGTTTGAAAAGAACAAAGACACAGCTTACAAATTGAGAACTCAGTTAGTCAGAAACTCACCAGCTTAATTGCAACCTCCTCATTCGTCTGAATATTAGTGCCTGAAAGAACACAACCGAGGTGAATTCACAAGAAGATAAAGCAGACCCAAAATTCAGAAAAAGTAAAGAGTAAAAGCACAACTTAGAAAAAGCTCAAAAAATTTCACGAACCAAGATAGATCTCTCCGAACGAACCGCTGCCGATCTTACGACCGAGCCGGAACTTATTGCCAACACGGGGCTCCATCGGAGCACAAACGGAGTGGGTCAAAAAGAAGGTATCGAAGAGAAAAAAATGAAAGAAACCCCCCTAGCTAGAGTAGCGAAACCCTAACCCAACCAGGGGAGGGCAAGCAGCGGCGAGCGAGTAAAGAGAAAAGAATAAGAATACGGGGATATACTAATAACAATATAAGGAAAGCAGTGATGAAGGAAGGAAGTGAACACAATATACAGAGAACAATCAACCCGCACCGACAAAAGAAAAGGGTGAGGGCCGATTCGGATAGATCTAACAAAGAGAAGAGCTTCTTCCGCCCACTGTTTTTTAGCGATAGGAGGCAGTAAGTAAAGATAAGAACACCCACTAAAAAAAAGCTGCTAGGAAGGGAAGGGAGGGTCAGATTTTAATTACAGAAAGGTAAGCATAAATGGGAAGTAAGAGGAAGGGAAGAGAAGAGAAGTAAGGAATTCAGAGAGTTGAGAAGTTGGGGAGAAAGGGAAGAAGAAGAGCCAGTTCCGGCGGAACTGTAATCAGCTGCTGGCGGCGGCGGCGGAAGAGGGAGTGAGATTGAGGCTGGATTCGCTCCGTCTCTGTGGCAATGGCTGATCCGACGGAAGGAAGGAAGGGTGGTGTAGGTGGGTGGGCGCCAAGCGCGCTGTCTGTCTGTGTCTGGAGCTGCAATGGGGTCAGGCCGACTTCACCCACCGCTCCCTCCCTTCCTTTTTTCCGCCTTTCTTTTTCTTTTCCTCTTCTTTTTTTTCTTCCCTTTTCAGTTTTTAGTTTCTACAACTTTTAGCGGTGACAAAAATAAAAATATGAGTGGATGCCCTTCGAATTCGACCTAATTGAGGAGTGAAAAACTCAAATTTTGAGAATTGTTTAGTCGATACGAATAAAATTTAATTTTAAATGTTGTGGATTGATGGACACGATTTCTTTACTATCTAACCTGAACTCGTTCGATTATGCACAGGGAAAAATTATTATCTATTGATAACTTTGAATACCTAAAATCGGGTATGGGTATGGATATGGTTTTGAAAATTTACATGAATCAATCCTCTATGAGTATAAGTACGGATAAATCACAAGCTATTTTGTGTATGATAATGATATGCATCATACAGTCCTAATGTGACTCGTTATCATCTATATTCTTTTATGTTATTGGACAATCCAAGTACCACGTCGGAAATACAAGGGAATGAACTATTGTGTATTAGTGTTCACCAAGCTCATTAGTACGAGTACGGGTGTACATGGGTCGGGTGGTTCGGGTTTAACCATTTTAATCACCCGACCCATGCACTACGGTTTGGGAATTATCAAACCCAAACCAATCCAAAAAAAGTTAAACCCTACGGTTGTTTCTAATTGGGTTGAGTCGGGTTGGCGATATTTTTAAGTAAAAACCCAACCCAACATAAAATATATAATTATTATACATCATAAAAATATTTTATAACTGATTAAAATTTCAAACAAATAAACCGAGGTGAAAGGTATCAAAATTCACAAATGTTGTTTGAATTTTAATAAAATGTGATTTACTTCTACATATGTCTAGTTTTTTTTTTCACGACATTTGTTGAAATAGGCTAAAAAGGTTATAAACAAACGCATCCATAATATGTTATTCTATTGAAATTGTACACAAGAAAAAGGATTATGTGAATCATAACTATGTTCAATTTATGTCTAAACTTTAAGTCGAAGAATGCATTAGATTAGGGAGACCATGATAGAAAAACATGGCGAAATATCTTAATTTTCTCATAAGTATTGCTATATACGACATACATATATTTTTAGATACGAACTCATACTAATAGTTGGAACACGGGTTGGATCGGGTTCTACGGGTTGTGTAATCCAAAATCCAAACCCAATCCAAAAGAGGCAGGTTGTACAAAAGAAAACCCTCACCAAACCCAAAACCTTCGTTTTAGCGATAAATACAGGTGGGTTGGGTCGGGTTGGAGTGGGTCAGTTTGCGGGTGTGTATGTTCACCCCTAAGTACGAGGCCTTTTGGGGAGGACACCCAAGAGTCAAACCGTGCAAGTTTGGCCCAAAGCGGACAATGTCGTACTAATTGAGCAGCCCGGTTTGACAAGTGGTATCAGAGCCTAGTTCGGCAGATCCGGGGCGGTGGACGTCAGTTTGGTGGACGCTCATTCGGTGGCCCTCAAAATCTTGTCAAAATCGGGGGTTCTCAATTAGTACGATATTGTCCGCTTTGGGCCAAGCCCGCACCGATTTACTCTTGAGTTTCCTCCCAAAAGACCTTGTACTAATGAGCTTGGTGGACACTAATATACAAGGGTTCATTCCCTTGTATTACCAATGTGGTACTTGGATTGTCCCATAACAATCCTCCCCTCAAGACAAGGACCACGAACTTCGTGTCCTTACCTTAGCGATTATCTTGATCCGCCTGACACCTTGTATTGATGGGCTTCTCGGTACAAGGATTTTCCAGACGCAGAACTCTCTTTAATCTGTCAAATCAAACGCGGATCTCCCTTGATCCGCCAAACGGGATATAGCCCAAACGTGGATCTCTCGTGGATCCACCAAACATACGCGAATCTCAAATCCCGAGGCCACCGAATGAGGGTCCACCAAACTTACGTCCACCGCCCCGGATCTGCCGAACCAGTCTCTGATACCACTTGTCAAACCGGGCTACTCAATTAGTACGATATTGTCCGCTTTGGGCCAAGCCTGCACGATTTTACTCTTTGGTGTCCTCCCCAAAAGTCCTCGTACTAATGAGCTTGGTGGACACTAATATACAAGGGTACCTTCCCTTGTATTTCCGATGTGGTACTTGGATTGTCCCATAACAATCCTCCCCTCGAGACAAGGATTGGTACAACGTCTTTCTCATTCATTGGTACTAAAAAAAATAATCTACCTATTTGAAGAAAAAAAAACTGTTGGAATCTCTAGCATTTTTGTGATGAAAACATTTGTAATAAAACGTTGTTATTCACAGTGATTAAATAATTTGAACGCTCCGACAAGCTATATTTTCGATAAAAATGACAAGAAGGACGACATTGCATATGAGGGTAAAACGTTTTCGGGGCACAATGATAGCACACATAAATTCCCCCATTTGAGTCATCACATATCGCTTTTAACTAAAAACAATTATTTTCATTTTTATCGTTCTTTAATTGACATACCTGCTATTTCACAATCAACAGTTAAAATTGACTATCACCTAGGAAGAATTTAATGGAATTGGACGTCTAGTAACTAATGAAATAGAAGTTAAAAGTCAGGGATAATTAAACAATAGCATTTTTTGGTGGCAAAGATAATTGGGAGGCAAAGATGATACAAATTGATAAACCCAGGTGTCCAACCATGCAATTCACTCCCAAAGGCTTCATATGTAAAGTATAAATTTTGGGGATTTTTATTATAGTTCACAATTACAATGTGACAATCAGGTCCCCTAAATTGGGTGAGCTGGAAAAAGAACCCCACTATGATGAATAAAGAAATAATAAATTAAACAAATAAACAAGGAAAAGGATTAAGGAACACAAATATGTGTCCCACAACCAAAAGCAAGAGAAATAATCAGAAGGCAATGGAAATTAAAAAAAAATAAACTGAATATGAATTTCATGTTAAGTCCTATTTCTACCTAGTTGTGTATTTCTTTCCACCTATAATTTAACCTAACTTGCGTGGTAAGACTGAATTAAATTTTAATTGATCGACTATAAAACTCTTCAATTAGCGACAGTAATTGTTGGGGTCCTTGGGCTAGGGAGGCCCATGTAGGAAAGCCTGGGTGATAGCTTGATCTTCGGGCTGGGCCTGGGCGACGGAATGGGCCCAAAGTTGGCGGGAGCCAGCCTGGGAGACAGGTTGACCTGCTCCAGCGCCCTGAACTGCAGCTGCGTAGGGTAGTCCCGCACGCACCCGATCCGGGGCCCGGCTCCCGTACTCCACTTGCAGGACAGCCGGTTGGCCTTCCCCAAGTCAAACGCCGGCGGCGGCGTGTCCGTCCTGCCTTCTTCTTCTTCTTCCTCTTGCACCTTCTTGACCGTCGCGGCTACAGTGGTATTTTCTACTGTTGAGTTTGCATCGTCCGATGACAATGACGACGGCGGCGGCGGCGGCGACGCGTCTTCTGTTAGTCCAGCCGTTGAATTCGACGGCTGTACCAATCCTCCTTCTCCGTTGACTTTGTACTCGGTGTCATCATCCACGGCGTACCTCTGCAAGTAGAGAATAAAAAAAATGGAGGCAAAATCATCAATTTGCTGACACTAAAAGTCGGTGATCACTCTAGTTCATCTATTATAGTGATATAATACTCTAATTTGACCGGAACTTTCAAATAATACGGTATAAATTTTGAAAGAAATAGATAGATTTTGGTTCGTATTTTAAATTAATTGTCAATATTAATGGTGAAAGACATTTTTCTTTAAGGATTCAACGTTCGTTTGGTACCTTAACATCGGCAAGATCGACATTATGCTCTTGGAGGAAGCTTATGAATTCCCTGAAGTTTTCTTCCGTAGGGTGGTAATGTCCACTGTACGGCCATATTGCCTGTCAAGACAAAAAGTAAAATAATAACAATTATAATTAATCCCAAGCAGATTGTGATTAAATTTATTACGACACAAAATATTTGACATAATGCACATAATTAAATTCACTAACATATACTAATACTGACTCGTGGTTATCCATTAAGAAAACAAATCAAAACCAACTACGAAAGAGACGCATGGGAAAGTTGCTGGGAAATTGTGGTACTTTTAAATAATATGCAAAGTCAATTACCTGGAGGACGCCGTGGCGAGCAACGAGTCGGCCGGCGGCGGAGGTGGCGCCGCCGGCGAGGAAGCTGGAGTGCTGGAAAACCCCCTTCTTTTTCTGTCCCACGTACAACACCCTGGAGGTGCTAAGCACAAAGATCCACTTCGAACCCTCCGTCGTCTCCACCGGCTCTCCGGTGCCTCTGTACACCAACTTCCCTTCTTCCACCGTGACTTCGTATTCCTCCCTCTCTTTCTGAAAAGACGGCACAATTTTCAGTTGAGAACTAATCGGCACCATCGATCAGATTCATCGTAAGGAGAGAATATGAAATTTTTTATGACCGGGTCGCCGACTTACCGGTCCAAGGTACCGGATGCACTGCCGTTGAAGAAGCGACCTCGGACATTTCTCCAGGTTTACTTCTTTGCCGTCTCCGACATCCAACCTAATAAACATTGATCAATTGCACAACAATCAACTCGATGTCCATAAGTAATCCCTTGCCGGAGTCGGCCGGAAATCGGTGAATTGGAGAATCGGCATACCAGTAGAAGAAAGGCTGGCAGCTCTCGCACTTGAACCAAAGATCGTAATAGAAGTGGAGGTTGTGACCGTACCGATGCCTCGGATCAATCTGCCGAGAGAAGAAGAAAAAAAAATCCCGATTAGGAACTGCCGGAGGATTTACATTAATGAAAACAGAGGAGGAATGAAAAAAAAATCTTAAGTTAGTTTTACCGCTTCGAGCCAGTGCTGCAGGGCGAGCTTCTGGGCCTTGTCGTCCTTCGACAGGCCTTTCCCGACCTTGGCGGCGCGGGTACGGGCCCGGGCCCATCGCGAAACCGCGGTCTCGGGCTTGCGGTCGTCGAAGAAGGAAACAGAGCTCCGCCGGAGCGCCGCGAAATCCAGCGCCTTCCACCACAGCTCCTCCACCACCACCGCGCAATCCGCCAGGTTCCGCCGCGTCCTGTAGCTCTTGTAGAACTTCTGCAGCTTCACCGCCGCGTCCTCCAGCTCGCTCGCCGGCTTCGGGGAGAACATGATCGCCGGCGACGGCAGCGGCGGCGCCTCTGCCACGGCCGATTCGTCATCTCCCCCCTCTGCCTTCTTCTGGAGCTTGATCCTCAGCGGCCGGCAGAGGTTGAGCTTTATGCTGGCGGTTCTGGTGAACTTGGAGGAGACATTGTTGTTGGGCTCTGTTTTGGGGGTGACGGAGAAGTTGTTGTGGGCGAGGGCGAGGAAGCTTTGGCGGACGATTTCTTCCCAGGCTGAGTGGAGCAGCGAGAGGGATAAACCCATATGGAGCTGTGAATTCTCTGATTGATCAAGGTTTTTGAACTGGATCGGATTGGGGGAAAGATTGGATTTTTTTTTTCTTGCTTCCAAGTTCAGGGGTTTCTTTCAAGCTTGGGGAAAGATGAATGAGGATGAATAATGGAGGTGGGTTTGGGTTTTCTGAGTCTTGACCGGAGGGGATTTATATAGAAGGAGTAGAGAGAAGGTTGGAGAGGGATTGATGGATGGGTGGGCATGGCGTTGGCAGGGGATAAAGAAATGGCAGAGAGCGTGGAAAGTCTTCGGGGGGAAGGGGGGAAGACGACCGAGTTGGGTAGAGTCAGGCGAGTTGGTGTCTGTTTTGGATTGGGAAGATGGTTTTGATGAGCGTGCGTTGCGGGTTGGAGACCTACGGGTGTGCAAAACTCATGAGAACCGCAGCTCTGTACTCTATAGCAAAGGAAAATATAGGATTAAGGATCTGATTATTATTGTAATCGGTTGAATTTGATCCAGTCTAAATAAAAATTTGATTCATTTTTTCACGAGATTAAAAACCAAAGCTCTTTCTAATTGATTTGCATCCTGGAATTTGATCCGGTCTATCGTTCCCATCTGTATGTGGGATGGGGCAGTAAGGTCGGGCTCTCATTCGGCTGAAGGGGCTGGTTATCATGAATCATGCTAAGGAAGTCCTCTTTGCTATTGGGATGCAATTCCAACCGGTTGAGGATCCCATGGTAGTCGAATTACTTGTTCTCCGGGAGGCTATTGTATGGTGCTTGGACCATGGTTTCACAGTGATGAGATTTGAAGGGGATGCCAAGGTAGTCATTGAGAAGATTGCTCGGGGAGACACCAGTGATAATCGGGTCGGAGCTGTTCTCGAGGAGATTCTGCAGTACTTTGTTGTTCATAGTGGGTTTAATATTCGATTTGTAGGTCGGAGGAACAATAAAGTAGCTCATTTGGTGGCCCACAAAGTCCTTTCTTTATACCAGACTATCAGTCTTTTTTAGTTATCAGACCTGGCTGAAACGTACTATTAGGGGTGGCTATACGGTCCGGTCCGGTTAAATTGGACCAAATTGATCTGGTACCAGTCCGGTATTTTCGGGAATATAAGGATCAAAGATTGGATTGGATACAGTCCTGCCTTTATCCGGTCCGGTCCTAATTTGATATTGATTTTAGGTGTTGGGGGTCTCTTATCCGGTTTTTATCCGGGATTTTACCTCAAATCTAAGCCCGAATATGATATTGGATTGTTTGTTATCCGATCCCGATCCGCATTATACGGTCCGGTTTCGGATAAAACCAAATAATCCGGACCAAATAGCCAGCCCTACGTACTAAACCGTTGGACAACCCTAATTGGGGTCACACACTGAGTAGTTTTGTCACTTACCTCCTTGTCGTGAAAAAAGGACACATTATTTTAAGTGGTATTGTTCTTCCGCGTTGCATTAATGTCCATGTTTTCATGCAGGTAAAGAATCCCAGTTAATTACCCCATCACGTTAAAATATAATTAAAAAATTTGTTCGGGTTTGAAGCTTAGATTTCTAAATAGATTTTGTGGTAATCGAGAGATTCGAGTATTGATGAGATTCTCGGAGAGATAGTATGCATAACCTTATTATGAATAACGCTAAGAATTTGTTGGAAAATAAGATTTGAATCATGGATTTATTGAATTTATTGATTTAGCAAATTGTTATATTTTTTTAAATCTTTTTAATCATGAATTGTAGTTTCAGATATTTTAAATCTTTAAAATTTAGAGAAATTCTATGTCTTGATCTTAGAAATGTTTTATTCCCTATTCTATCTCTTTTTTTTTTTTCATTTATCCCACTGAATACCATTACTAATAAATTCTCAATATTTTTCAGCCCAATCTAATTATTTGGTTAAGAATAAACATGTCATTTGATATAAAAATAGAATTTATTTTTTCATTGGATGTCAACAATCGCAGTTACCAAACAATGAACATTTTCAAATCTTTTCTCAACAATCCATAGAGTTAAAATCTTTGGATTGTCTAGAATCTAGAGATTTGGACTCCAATTCTCCAAACGACCCCTAAATTTATTATTTACTGAAGGTTATTAACTTTTTCAATATATTTCATAGATTATATCTCTTTTGTTTTAAATCGTAGTTTTTCTTTTGCTCTTCAAAATGACTTTCACTTTGATATATTTTAAAACAAAAAATTTAAAAATTTATTATTTGTCTTTACAATGTGGTAATGTTCGGTAGTTCATAAGATTATATGAAAGTGTATCATGGTGGTATGAACATATCATAATGCATAATGATTGCATACATATATTAGGAATATACTAACTGTCATTTACCACATTTCATCACCGTATATCACCAAGCCAGTTATCACCAAATACCATAGTGGTATAGTTTTCTCCAATGTGATGTGGATTGTAGGGCAGCAAACCCTTAGATTTCTGACTTCACTATTGTCTGGAAAATTAGAAAAATCTCCAATTCCATCACCAGAAAGAAAATGAGAGATGAATCCACCGGTGAGATGCTACCAGGAAACTCCCCCTCTGTTTTGTTCTAGTAGTGTGCCACATAATTCCCAACACTCTGATGCATTGTTTGCAGCTCTGGTTGGGGTCTAAAGAAACAGTTGAGGGACAAGAGTACTGACACAACTTCTGATTTTGTGTTGTTTTTGTTTTGTTAATGTCAGTCAGGCGACTAGGTCAATAGAAAACTAAGAATGAAGGATAGCTGATGAAACTTTTCTTATGGGTTCGAACCAGTTAATAATTTTCCTACCCTTTCCCCCCCTGAATTTTGGATGGTGGTGGACTGGTGGTGGGCGAGCGTGTGGAATACTGGGACTTCAATAGTGGAAGAAAGGGTTCACAATAAGGTTGTGGAAAAATCAGGGGCACTCCACTCCCAGCAGGTCCTCCTGTTGATGGATTCAAAGCCAAGGTTGAAACGACAACCTCATCAGTAGGGATGTGTGGGAAAAAATATCCACAAATTTACATATCCTCCCGAATCCGGTCTAATTGGATAGTGTAAATCTGGATATCCGAAACCCTATCGGTTATAGGTGGAACTTTAGTTTTTTAGCCGATTCTTGAAGGATATGAGTATGGATAAAATCCAAACTATTTTGGGTAGGGTATTTGATACGTACTATTCGTCCTCGACCAGACCCGTTGTCATCCCTGCTCATGAGGCACAACAAGAGGGTTTCTTTAAACCTCGCCATATACGTTAGAGACAATGTGATTTGATGTATATATGATAGATTCGTATAATTGATGATTCTGAATCGTGCATATATCTTTTGCTTCTTTGTTTTGTCGTTACGAGGAGAGATCCGTCACAGACGATTAACCTCTACCCTCATGAATCATGAGCACCCCGAAAAGCTCATGATATCCATTTTAAAAGGGCACAATATTCCGTAATGAAAAGGTTGTTGCGACTGCCAAGGCTGGAACCTATTACCTCCTGAATCCATACCCGCTACTTTAATTTATCAATCCCACCATCCGTATTGATCCTCATATATTTTTTGGAGTATATATATGGTATACTCACATAATTGGCCATTCAAGTTGACACTTATATCGTTTTCTTTTTTCCCTTTATTGTAAGAGGAGAGATCTGTCACGGATGGTAAACCTCTATTCAACACCTGATAAGTTCATGATACCTATTCTATAAAGGGCATGACCGGCAAGGCTCGAACCCTGAGTGTCATCAATCCAGACCTTTAATTTTAATTTATCAATTCCAGCACCTCGTAGTGACTCTAATATTATCTTTGTCCGTCCGAAAACTTTTTTTTAATACCAGATTATGGAAATTGAACCCGTGAAAATATCATAAAATATCACACATGTTGCCTTATTCCATTTGATCCATGATAGGGTTTTTTTTTTCTTTCGTTTACGGGATGTGTGAAACTAGATAAGGGAGATGGGCGCACGATTTGGCGGGATTTAATTAAATCATTCAATAGATAGGAAGTCTACTACTCTTCATTGGATTTTGTTCTATGTGTTTGTTCTTGTTGTCTCCAAATTCCATTACAAAAAGGGGAAAAATAATAAATGGAGGGAGGACTTTTCCGGAAGATTTGAATTGAATAAAAAAGAGAGACATGAAAGCGTAGTAACTAGGTAAAGGGTTTTGAAACGAAAGCGAAGAAAATTGGAAGAAGGCGGTCAAAGGAAGTAGGCCTCTCTTCTCTTCCCATCTTATTAAAGGCTTTCCCTCGTATTTCAGTTGTTTTGCACGGGTGGAGACAGCTGGCCGGAGAATCGCCCCAGGGAGGCTGGGTCGTTTCACGTCAGGATCGCGTCACCGGCGGCGGATGGAGTGGAGGATTCAACAGTTTCACACCTACTAATTACTTACTATGCTTTGTGGTGGTGGTTAGATCTTGGCGTGTGACGTGAAAAATCCAATCTTTCTGTTCTCACACATAAATGAACTTTGGTAAGCTAGACTATCACTTTGTTAGTCAGCTGGTCTGCCAATATAATTTCGGTGTTCGTCGTGTGTTTTCGCGGCAGACTGGTTTGTTGACGCCCCCGATCAAGGCCCTCTCTATGGATACCTTCCGGTTGTTTCCGTCGAAAGATTGTAGTTGTCTCCCATTCAGGGGCGGAGGGAGAGGGTTATAGGGTGGGTACCGGAACCCACCCTGAATCGAGTTAATTTATATGATGTATGATTTATAAGTTGTTCATTGTCGTATTCAATATTTTTATAACGAGCTATATACAAATGGCAATGGTGCATATGATCCGCCCAAAATTAAAGATATATTTATTTAATATCTACAACAAAATTTCACCAAATCATATGTAGCTAATTTGTAAAAAAAAAAATAATTTGCAATCGGGGTAGGGAGAATGTAACGGGTGGGTCCTAAGGACGAAATTAGTAAATTAGTATACTTGAGAATAAAATGTAGGGCACTTCTAATTGAGAATAGTTGATTGAGAGTTCATGTGTTCAAATCTTGGCGACATAATATTCGGATTTGCAAAAACTTTAAGCAAGTATAAGTTGGTTTTCCTTATCGGGGAAGTGTTAGTAAATACTAAATATATAAAACTCATTACTAAATCTTTCCCAACAACTCGAGTTATTGATACTAAACGGTCATGACAAAGAACACCATTCAAAAGCAAATGTCTAACTAAATCATGAATAATTGTTTGATACTGCATATAGAGTGATATTCTTGATAGTTTAAACTTATAATTAATTTACAAAATTTTCTAAATACAAAATTATATCATGAATGATTGAAAAAGCTAACAAAATATTTTATCGCATGTTTTTTTTCTCTAAATGGACACACCCTTGACAAAATCCTCGCTACGCCTCTCCCATTCACTCTATCTCGTAGTATGGCTGAGAAAATACACCATACCGTTAGAAAAACTGTGGTCCAAACCATACCGTACAGTTTGGTCCAGACCGTAGACCGTTAAGTATGGTCTGGTCTGGTCCATGGTCTGTATTATTTTATGTTTTGATCTCTTGGTCTTGTCTGGTGTAGACTGCGGTTTACCAGACCAAACCGTGGACCCAACCGACTTGTCAATACGTGTTAACAGCCCATTTGACCACTCTCCCCAACTCCCACAACGACATCCAAGTCGCAACCTTAATTTTGTGAATCTCGTCTCTCCTTCATTCACAACCACATTTAACCAGAGAGTAGAGACAATCGTGTCTCCATATGACATTATGTTAATATTTTATGACTTTATGATGCAAGTTGGGATGCTTTTACTTTAAATCTGTGTTATGCACTAAGAATTAGGGTATCAAAATTATTCATGCATGTTAGGATTAATGTTTTAAGGCAAATAACAATTATTTCTTGGTTATTCATGAATGATTACTATATTCTACAAAATGTCTCCTAACTTGAGAGTACATTTGGTGAAAAATGGATAAACAGATTTTCTTATTATTGGATTTTATAACAATTTCGGACCTACTTTACACAAAATCGCGGCTACGCTGCTGGTTGATAAGGATAAATAACTTGCAGAGTTATATACTCACATGATCACATCAATAAAAAAAAACCTAACAATGCCAACCTCGTTAGTCACTAATCATCAATTTTCTGGAGTTGAGGTGGGAAGTGTATAAATTAAAACGACACCTAGGTTCTGGACTATATTTATTATGTATTGAAAGAGAATACCTTAGCATGTAGGAAGGTTCAGGCGCTAAGGTTGAATATTATTATTATTATTAATAAGAGAATATTGTATAATCAATCGCTTTGGTCGCCGGGACCGGCCGGCGACTTGGGAGTTGAGACGCGGCGATTTGTGAATTGTATTTGTGCCCCTCCACGAGCCATTGAATTGACCCAAGATGTTGGTTCAATATTTGAACCGATAGTTTGCAGGTGGCAATTTCAATCCAATCCACCAATCCAATCTATCAATCCATTAAAAATATCCACCTAATCCAATCCATTTTATCCAAATTCAATTGGATTGGTGGATTCATGGATTGGATCCATGGATCATTGGCAAATTACGGTTTAGTACCTATAATTTTTATTTTTTACATTTTGTTACCTAAAATTTAATTTTTTATACGAAAAATATCATTGGAAAATTACGTTTTGGTACCTAAAAATTTTCATTATGACATTTTAGTACCTAAACTTTTTACATTTTATATATTGGTCCTTGGTTGAGGATGTCATTTGGATTAATGCATAATCCACCAATCCACTTGATCCAATCTATGAATCCACCAATCCATTTGATCCATGGATCCACCAATCCAATCCATTTGCCACCTGTATTTTCTTCCAATATAGCGTTGTTAATTGTAATGATTGTAGATTAAGAGTGACAAAGCAGATATAGCAAATGGTTAATGCTATTGATTACTTAGCTATTAGAGGTTATCAGTTGGCCGTTCGACATTGGAGTGGACCGAATTAATGGAGGTATACGTTTGATTTTAGCATTGATCAATCCAATTATATTTCTGGTTAAAATGTCATTCAATATTGTTGTTAACTCATCGTCCTAGCAACGATCTTTGCCGCTTTGGTAAAGAAATTGAGACACGCGATTGAGACAATGTTTTCACTTTTCAGAAGAATCGAACAAATTCTTTCGAAAAATTTAAAATGAATATCGTTTATCTCAAGGTATTTTCCGTATAAAAACGAACTTGGGGTCAAATACATGAGATATGGATGCGAATTTTCCGTCAAAAAGTTATATTAAAAAATCTAAACCACCTGAATTGCCTCTTTTGAACTAGGAGAAAACAATCCATTAACAACATTGATAATTGGGTGAGGGTTTGAGGCGGACGGGTACTTTAATATCTATACATGTACTGTGATAAGTGCAAGTCATGTTAGATAATACTCATGCCGATATGGAGTGAGATATGTCAACTCATTCTGATATGTTATTTGAAGAATATTTTTGTAAAAAATTGGGCTATTTTACGAGGAAACAAAATAAAACCACTTCATAAATAAGAAAAGAAATAATATATTGAATGATTGTTTGAAAAATGGAGTCTTGTGCTGATTCAAAGTTTCATTAAGGCAAAACGTACTATTTAAGAAAAGTAAAAAAAAGGATAAATACACTTAGAAATATATCAAGATAGAACAGATAGGGATAACTGGGGAGCGGTTACGGTGCTAATTGTACAATAGTTAGCAGCGTCCTAATCAAGGGAAAAACTACTACTAGTTTGAATTAGTAGTGATTTAGCTTAGTGTTGTATTGATTTTATAATAATCCGTAGTGATTTCGTTATTTTTAGTAGCGTTTTTTGCTAGTTATCACGGTGCTAACCCCTATAAGGATTAGCACCCAATCCCATCCCGGACAACTGAGGTAGGGAAAAAGTTGTACTCGTGTCTCACCCCACACTACAACGAGTCAAGTTTTCCCTGCCCCAAACATATCAAGAAATTAGGTCAAATCGGGTGGATCAAATAAGAAATTACCATCACTACCGATTCGTATGTGTATATTGCTACTGACCATACCCAATTATTTGTCAATTAGTTTACCTTATACCATATATATATATATGCATGATAACTTGATATAAGAGATTTCAGAGGATTAGAGCAAAGACTTGGTAAATGCTAATCACAATTACATTTTCAATTTAATTGTTTATGGATCAACAAGCACAATCAATTCACCCATTATGGTCTATGGATAGGTTGGAATGATGGTAGTAATGCTCCCATAGTCAAGACATTTGAAAATTATAAGGAGTCGATGGAGATGCATGCCGCCATATTTCTCTGCTTCTATTATTTCTTGGTCTTTTCCTCTTACCAGCACGACCCAAAATTGGGATAAACAAGTAGAAAACTCAAATTGCTTAAACCCTAAACTAAGTTGAATTCTTCAAATTTCTTTGCGTATTTGTTGGAGGTCTATGTCAAGAACCAGTTGATCCCAATAACTCGAGTTGTTGGGAGAGGTTCAATCGTGGATCATATACCACAACATTAACACACCCCCTCAAATGAAAGCCACTCACAAGGGCTTGAAATTTGCACAAGTCTGAAGACAAGAATACCATGTGCTTAATAAATGGGGGTCATCGGGAATCGAACACAAGACCTCTCTGTCACAGAAGGCTCTGATACCATGTCAAGAACCAGTTGATCCCAATAACTCGAGTTGTTGGGAGAGGTTCAATCGTGGATCATATACCACAACATTAACAGTCTATACTCGGTTGGTTTTTTTTAATAACTCAGTAACATCTCCACACATACCGTTTCCTTCACTTATAAGATCCTCATTAGAGCTGCCGGAAACACCACGAAAGGGCTTTGAGGGGGCGAACTTAGGACCTCACACGTTGAGAACGAGCATCCGACGAGGGTTCACCAATCGGACGGTAACATTTGGCTACTCGGTTGGTTTACTATAGCTAGATTTCTTTTCTTTACAATATTTTGTTTCCAAATGGCCATTATTCTAAAGTCTTTCTGCATAATTCAATTCAACAATCACAGTCGCCCTTATACCTTTCCGTTACTATCTTTTCTTGTATCTGCCGAAAACGAAAGGGGAAAAGTAAACGATTGAGATGCCTTGAGGGCCAAGAAGAAAAAAGGATGGGGGAAAACAGTCGCAGTATGATCTTTATTCCGTGCACTATTTAGTATTAGATGAGTAATTAAGTGGACTTTTCCAGCCAAAAGTAAACCTGAAAAGAGTGAAAAAGGAAGCTCAAAATGTTGGGATTCTTGGGGTGAATGAGAATGGAGGAGGGGAGGTCAAGGCTCACTTGTATCCACATTGGTCAAATGAGAAAGTGTAAGTGGGCATACGCAATGTAGTCAAAATCGTGTTTTAAAACTTAAAACTTACGATTTTACGTTTTTAGGTCACTAAAACTCTTTTACACAAAATCTCAGTTTTTATAACCTATGTAGTTAAAAACTCCGCTTTAAAAGTTAAAAACTTACAATTTTACGCTTCTAGTTCAGCAAAACGTTTCTACGTAGAAACTCGTTTTTTACTACATTGGGCATACGTATATGGTTCTATTGTTGGATTTCATATAAATTTTTTATTTTTGGAGCCTCACCAGATTGGTTTAATTTCATACTGGTCACATCCGCATCGTTGTAATACATGGGTTTGCAACCATCAACACAAACCTAACTGCCATACGAGCCGAACCATCTTTTTAGACGCACCCATTCATTGTCTGTATAAATTCACACTCCTTTATTATTTTGTGTCACTTATTTGTCTGCACAAAATAACTCTACTAGATATTTCTCTGTATTTTCCTCTCGTCCAAAATACGACATGGTGTATTGTGTTCGCCGTACATTCGAAGTACCTCTACATTAGTAAGGGCAATCTGTTCCATCCATAGATAAGTTATTATGTTAAATTTTAGTACTTAGAGGGAATAAAATTCATTAAGGACAAAGAGTGAAATATTTTTGTTAAGATATGTTTATTATAATTGGGGGTTTTATATCATTTTGTCTGAGTTGTTTTGTTTATGTAGGGTTGGGCATGTGGGCGGATCGCCCGCCGATTTGGATCGATCCGCCCGCATTTTACTCGATTTTTGTTATGTGGGTGGGTCTGTGGGTGCTGGGAGGTATTCGTCGGGTGATGGGTGGGTTGTGGGCGGGTGCGCAGATAACCCGCTCAACCCAATAGCAAACAGAACAAAGTTGTTGGTGCTGAAGAGTGGGGAGTGGAGTGGAGTGTAGACTCATCGGAAACTAGGGCTAATCCTAGAGATTGAATCTCAAAGCCAATCTTCCAAATCTCTACTTCCATCTTCTCCCCTTTATTTTTCCCTCTAATTATTGTGCACAAATCACCTCTCCTTCCTCCGTTGAATTATTTTCTTAGTTTCCAGCACCTGATTATCATCCCCATTCGTAGAAAACTCCTCCATAATAGAATTTCTATCCAATTTTAGAACTAATTCGACATTTTTTCTTCCTTTTTCATTTTCTTGTTTCAACCCGATAACTCTCCACCAATTATCTTGTCACTTGAAGTGAATCTCAAATTTGGAAGGTGAATGGATGTTGAAATGGATTTTTATTTTACATATTGACATTACACAGGGAATTCTGAAAAATAAATGAATCATGTCAAGTTGACTTCTTTATATTATGTACATTGTAATGTGGGTGAACCCGCAGACCCAGCGCATCATCCGCCATCCACCCAATCCAACTCGAAATGTGGGTGGGTGGTGGGTTAAAAAATTTCAATCTGTTTAAGGACAAGTGGATGCATTTTATGATCAAAATCCACCCAATCCACCCAATGCCCACCCCTATGTTTATGTGTATGTTCATGCTATATATTCTATATATTATATAACCAACAAAATATATAATGGGGATCCAACCCTCTCTTTTCTTCATTTATTTTTTGCAATGAGAGCAAAAATAGAAAGGTTACAAAAATCATAATCAATTAAACTAAAAAATTTATTATATCTTTCTAACAAGAAGTGAATATCTGAAAATATATGACTTTTCCAGCATAGTTAGCTAGCTCACTAATTCCCCTTAAGTATTTTTTTATATGTTTGATACTTTGATTTTCATTGTTTGACTATGTTATTTCAAGTTTAATAATTAATTTAATTTCTATCTATCTTGTAAATAGAGGATAATTTTAAAACCAAAACACAAATATAATTGATTCGAATATTGCATATTAATTTGCAGTATCAACGATATTTTGTGCAAATCATAAGTGACAAGTTTTCTGAAAGTGTTTTTTTTTAGTTCGGTTAATCGCTTAACCTCAAATGTCTTGCTAATCTGGTATGATTGTACTCAACAATCATGAGACGACATTGAGTTTGATGTACTTGTTCATTTCACCATTTTTTAATTTGTTAGTAAATTTGTATAGCCAGAATAAGTGATTGAGTAAACATGATCTCAAATAAACTAAAACAGTTTAAAGTTTGATATAACTTTATCTTCACTTTGTTGGTTGAATGAATTTTGTTTTATCATGCATAAAATTATTTAATTATAATACTTTTTATATTTGAAATCTTTTATGTATGGTTTAGAAGTATACTAATCACATCAATAAAAAACATAACAATACCAACCTTGTTAGTCACTAATCACCAACTTTCAGGATTTGAGGTGGGAAGTGTATAAATTAAATCGACACCTAGGTTCTCGAGTATATTTTTATATATTGATAGAGAATACCCTAGCATGTAGGGAAGTTTCAGGAGCTAAGGTTGAATATTAAGAAGAGAATAATATTTGTCAAATCAATCGCTTTGGTCGCCGGGACCGGAGACGCGGCGATTTGTGAATTGTATTTGTGCCCCTCCTCCACTCTCCGGCCACGAGCCATTGAATTTGACCGAAGATGTTGTTTCAATATTTGAACCGATAGTTTTCTTCCAATATAGGGTTGTCACTTGTAATAATTGTAGATTAAGAGTAACAACGCATTTCTATGGGAAGGGAAAGAAAGTGAAATTTGGGTGAAACATGAAAGTGAGGTCAAGGCAGGTACAATAAGAATTTATTTGGTTAGTATAACAAATGGTTTATGTATTTCATTACTTAGCTATTAGAGGAGATGATCAGTTGGCATGTACGAATTAATCACAGGGGTCGTTTGTTTGAGAAATCCTAATGAATTCTTTCGATCTGATTGTTTCGTTTTAAGATAATCTAGGCAAATTAATAGGTTTGGTAACACAAAATTTAGATAATCTAGTCAAATTAATCGGTTTGGCAACACAAAATTTAGATGAAACAATTTTGTGTGGGGAATTTCAAATTGACTCATTTTGAGGCAATTACAAGTGTCTGGGGTGGGGGCAGACAATTCGAATTTACTTGTTTTAAAAGACCCATTCTGTAAAATGAGACAATTAGCCAAATTGTCTCGTTTTTCAAATGATCCATTCAAACGACCCCAAGGTATATGTTTGATTTGACCATCCATCAATCCAATTAACTTTTGGTTAAAACGTGATTTAATATTGTTGGTAAGTCATCGTCCTAGCAACGATCTTTGCCGCCTTGGTAAAGATATTGGGACACACGATTGTGGTAATGTTTTCACAAGAATCTAACAAATTCTTTTGATAATTTTGAAATAAATATTGTTTATCTCAAGCTATTTTCGTAAAAAAAAAAAAATGAACTTGGGGTCAAATACATGAGATATTGATGCTAATTTTCCGTCGGAAAGTTATATAAAATCTAACTACTTGAATTGCCTCTTTTGGACTAGGAGAAAAACAATCAATTAGTAGTAATGATAATGGGGCGAGGCGGACAATACCTTAATATCTATACCTGTTTTACAATAAGTGCAATTCATGTAAGATAATACTCATGCTAGTATGAAGTAAGATACGTCGGCTCATTCCGACAGGTTATTTGAAGAAAAAGATGCAAAACTGGACTCTTTTATGAGGAAGCAAAGTGAAATCACTTCATAAATAAAAAAAGAGACTATATATTTAATGATTGAATCCAATTGGTTGAAAATGGAGTATATATTGTGCTCATTCAAAGTAAAAAAAAAAAATTTAAGAAAAGTCAAAAGAGGATAATACACTTATAAAAATATTGAGAAAATCAAGATAGAACAAGTCGGGACAACGAGGTAGGGCGACAATTGTACTCACATCCCGCCCCACGCTACAACAAGTCAAGTTATAATTGCGCATGCATATCAAGAAAGATTAAATCGCGTGGATCAAATAGAAAACTATCATCACTATGTATTTGTGTATCAAGAATAGTACTCCAATCCAGGTCCCACTGACCATACCCAATTATGTGTCAATTAGTTTGCCTTATACCATATATGATACCTTAAAATAAGAGATTTCAGAGGATTGCAAAGACTTAGGTAAATGATAATTACAATTACCTTTTCTTTTTAATTGTTTATGGATCAACAAGCACAACAAATTCACCCATTATGGTCTATGGATAGGTTGGAATGATGGTGGTAGTGCTCCCGTAGTCAGACATTTGGAAATTATAGGGAGTCCATCGACATCCATGCTGCCATATCCTCCTTCCACCACGACCCAAAATTGTGGCAAAACAAGTAGAAAACTCAAAATCGCTGAAACCCTAAACTGGGTTGAATTCTTCAAATTTATATGCGTATTTGTTGGAGGTCTATACTCGGTTGGTTTACTATAGTTAGGGATGGCAATTCGACGTAATTGGTTTTACCCGATATGTTTGGTCTGTTTTAGGGCGAGTTCGACTTGTCCCTGTAGGCGGGCTGGAGCGGGCATGAATACTTTTATCGATTCGACATGTCCTGATCCTCTTCATTCTCGGCTCGTTCTTGTCTAACTTACATGTAATCTTAGTCAAATTACTTAGAACTTTCTTTTATTACCTCATAATTTAGTTATCATATATACAATTGTAAATAAGTGAAAACCTCAATTTCTCCAATAATTTAACTAAACTTTTCATATTATGGTTTTGATTCTTGGGTTTCTAATGAAAATAAAAAATATTTCTAATAATGTTTTCATATGAATTACATACTCATAGAGTCAACCTGTCCTGACCCGTGTCCCATAATAAATTACCTGACCTACCATGAAACGAGTATAGTTATCGAGATACCATTCCATTAACTGCACATTGCCATTCCTGTCTATAGCTAGTTCTTTTCTTTACAATATTTTCCAAATGGCCATTATTCTAAAGTCCTGCATAATTCAATTCAACAATCGCATTCGCTCATATACCTTTCGGCTTAATTGCAAGTTTGGTCACTCGAATTGCTATAAAATTTCATGTTTGCCAGTCAAATTAATTTATTCCATTTATAGTCACTCGAATTAGTTGAACAGTTCAAGTTCGGTCACTCTCCGTTAACTTTGATTGACGTGGCGGTCAACTCTGACAGTTGACCGTTAAATGTGTGACGTGGCAAATAAAAAATAATTAAAAAATAAAAATTAAATTTTTAGAAATTACACATCATTATAAAAAAAATTATAATTATAAAAAATGAAAAAAAGAAAATTATAATTATAATTTTTTTTGACAGAACGCCACTGATGTTCCGGTAAACCTCAGCTTGATAAGTTCTCTTAGCACGATTAGGATCAGACGATAGCAGGTCAGTAGCGTCGAAGGTGATGTAGTAGTTCTCACCACCAAATCACCATAAACTACACTTCTGATCACTTGCTTGGAGAAGAAATAATAATATCCAACTGCACACAAAGATAGAAGCTTTGATGCTGGATGGTAACTTAACATTAGTAGGAAAGCAGTGTGGGCATCACAAACCTTGAATGAAACCCGACATAAGCATCAACGAGTAGAAACCAAGAGCAACAAATCTCATCACCCATCTTTAGCCTACCCTGAATAAACAGAAATGCTCAGCAACCACAATTGTTTGCAGAAATGCCATTACGAAACAAAGCAGCACAAACCAAAAGAGGAAGAATCCAAAAAAAAAAATGAGTACCCAAGATAGGTCAAGAGCTGCAAACTCAATCTGGTAAGCAGAAACGTCTCGGCCGCCGCATGACCCACTTCACGGCTCAACGACTGCTGCCGGCCGCTCACTTCATCCCCCGCCCCATCACCACCGCCACCACCATCTGAACAAACAATCGAGGAAAGCAGACACGTTTCACTAGCCATCCGACGACGCCTCTTCTTCTTGCTGTGATCATAAAACTTGCCGAACCCTTCGCTACTGCTACTACCACTACTATTAGTACTACTTCTGGCAGTGGAAATACCTGAAAAACTAGAATTCCGCGATAGCAGAGGCTTCTTGTGGGATGTGGTAATCTCGTCGGAGGAAGAAATCAGTAGCCGGGTTGAAGGGTCGTCGATGACTAGGTTCATCACCATCTGATTAACACTCTCCTCTTCGTCTTCTTCTTTGATCGACAGCGAAGTCTCTGCAATTGGCGGCGAGGAGGAATTCCCCAAATTTTGGGGGGATTTATGGTGGTGGATTGTGGTGACGGGGAGGATTTGGGATGACGGCATTATTGTATCGTGGTGGTGGTGAATGATCTGGCGGGGGGAGGGAAATGGGCAGTGGGAATCTCTTGTCTGGCGGGTGATTTGGTCGTTTGTGAAGTGAGAAACAAGTGAAATTTTTTTTCTTTCTCGGCGGGGTGTTTGGTCGCTAGGAATCGATAAGAAACGGAGAGGAATTTTCTCGGGAATTTGTTCATGGCGGGTTGGGAATTTTCATCTTTGTTTTCCTGCGTTTCCCCGTTTGCCCCGAATTGGAGACGAACCGGCAACCAACCAGATCTCACAGCCGGGAAGGTGAGGTAGTTCGGTCAGAGTTTTGACGGATCAGACTTTTTTCGTCAATATGTCTTTTTTTCATTTTTTATAATTATAATTTTTTTTATAATGATGTGTAATTTCTAAAAATTTAATTTTTATTTTTTAATTATTTTTTATTTGCCACGTCACACATTTAACGGTCAACTGTCAGAGTTGACCGCCACGTCAATCAAAGTTAACGGAGAGTGACCGAACTTGAACTGTTCAACTAATTCGAGTGACTATAAATGGAATAAATTAATTTGAGTGGCAAACGTGAAATTTTATACCAATTCGAGTGACCAAACTTACAATTAAGCCTATACCTTTCCTTTACTATCTTTTCCGCCTCTGCCGAAAACGAAAGGGGAAAAGTAAACCATTGAGACGCCTTGAGGGCCAAGAAGAAAAAGGATTGGGGGAAAACAGTCGCACTATGATTTTTATTTCATGCACTATTTAGTATTTAGTAATAGATGATCAAATGTAAAAGTGTAAGTTAGTATGTAACTTTGTATAATCCCAATATGACTAGTGTAAAGGTTGGGAAGAAGAAGATGAGCTCCTCGTGCCGTCTTTGTCGTTCGATTGCTCAACTTCATATATATGATTTAATTTGGTTTTTCGAGTCTAATCATATTGGTTTCATTTCGAACTAGTTAGTTACATCCACACCGTTGCAATCCATGGGCTTGCAACCATCGACCCAAACCCAATTGTTACACGAGTCGAATCATCCTTCTAGAAACATCCCTTCAATATTTGTATAGATTCACACTCGTTTAATTCTTATTTTTCATCACTTGTTTGTCGACACAAAACGACTCTTTTAAATGTTCTTCTTCCTTTTCCTCTCCTCTAAAACACAAAATAGTGTCGTGCGTTCCGCCTGTGATTAACATTCAAAGTACATCTACATTAGTAAGAAGTTAGTATGTTAATCTTGATTACTGAGAAGGGAATGAAATTCATCATGGAACACTTGTTTCTGGACTGTCCGGTGGTGAGAGCTTTGTGGGATTGCTCGGGATTGGAATACCTTGGTCAGGGACTCCCCTTCCCCTCTTCCTAAAGAGGTTAATGCTGCTCCTCCATCAACCTCAGCTGTTTATGGCAGTTGTGGCAATTCTGTGGAGAATCTGGCGGTCCCGTAATTGGGTTGTCTTTAAAGGCAAACTGTTCGGAATCCCTGCTCTCATGTGACAGTTTAACCAACAATACCAGGAGTGGGTCGATTTGCCAATTGATAGGGTCCAGCGTTTCCCTGCCCTGGTTGCAAATCCGGTGGATGAGGAGGGCTCTGTCCCGCTACTTGTTTGTCAATGGGATGGGCAATCAAGTATGGGTCCCATGCGGCTGGGGGAATGGTGGTTAGGAACTGGACTGGGGCAATTCTTCTGGCTCACGGTTTTCAGTTTGAGGGGGTGGTTGACCTAATGGCGGCGGAGGCTCTGTCCCTTCGTGAGGCTGTTCTACTGTGCCAGAGAGTGGGCTTTACTGGGGTGCGATTCGAAGGGGATGCCAAGGTGATTATTGAGAAGCTCCGACAGTCTGAAGCCAGGGATAGTAGGGTTGGGACCCTCCTGGAGGAGATTCTGCAGTGCTTGTTGGGCTCTCCTGGTTCCACTGTGCGGTTTGTAGGTCGACGTAGTAACAGGGTAGCCCATTTGGTAGCTAGAAAGACCCTTCTTTTGTACCCGACTGCGTGTTGCTTTTTTGATTTTTTGGCCTGGCTAAATTCCAGGATGTAACTATCGCTTCTTTGATCAATATATGATTATCTTTTGTCAAAAAAAAAAAAAATGGTTCGGATATGTTTATTATATTCAGTTTTTAATTATAATTTTTCTTACACGTTCTGTTTATGTGCATTTTTCTGGCACCCATGAACTGGAAAGGGCATATGATGCGTATAGGAATGACATTAGTATGTATGAGATTGGGATTTTGCTAAATCCTTCTATTCTGAGTTTGAGTTTGTAAATCCCCAAGCTTTTCATCTATGTATGGATGCTACTTTTTTGTCCCCGTTGAGTTTTGGATATCTACGAATAATCCTCTTCTCGCAACTTTCAACTGAATTCAATTTAAAACTAATGTAATCGAATTGAATACAGAAATCAATTTATTTTTAGAAAGGTGACACATTATCTATTATCATCGCATGCTCGATCAATGCAAGCATTATACTTTTTTATCTAGATCAAACAGGTTGGATACCCACATTTTGTGGGTATAATTGTCATCCAATTCAACAAGCATTTTTTTTGTCATTAGATCCCTAATAAACGAGGTTAAGATACAAGATCAAAGGTGAACAATACAATCAAGAACAACAAAGCCATCTAATGAAGTCAAACCCAGAAATCAATCTGGGCCTCTGGGGGAACAATTAACAGCACTATTCTTCCTGGATGACATCCAATTCAAGAAGTTTTTAACGAGCTCGTCTACTGGGCTTCTCCAACCACGGCCCATGGGCCCTTAATTACAAGCCCCACAATGTCATGCACAATAAGAAAGCGAGCAGGTCTGCCACGCCCACAACCGTTGCCTTACTGCGCGATTAAATTTCTAGTTCCTCAGTTGTGCAGGAACTCTCCCTTATCCGATGGCGTCTTCATCCTCTGTACCATTATTATTGGCTTTAATCCCCCTCCCAAAACGTCAGATGGGGATCATGGGAAACCCTCCGATTCGATTCGGCCTCCTCGATCGACGACTCTGTATCTATCGTACGTGCCCGTCCACAGTGATGCCCAAATGTCAACACCGACCCACTTGGTGTTCATTCTGCGCCATCATCACTGCCAACGTGAACCCGCAGTCCCGATGTGGATCACTTCATCTTCATCATCTCCCCACATGCCCCACTTGATCGCTCAGTGACGATCGCCCGAAACGACAAAAAAAGAAAGCGCAAAGCAATGGCGATGATGACGGAATCACCAAAACCAACACCGGCAACCACCATCACCACCTTCTTCCATACCCCTCCGCCGCTGGAAGACACAAGTTATGGCGTCACTCACCTTCACGTCATTTCGGGTTTTACACAACCCAGAAGCAGCAACATTTGACTTTGCGTGGTATTGCATACCACCACACCCACGAGTTGAGCTCTCTCTGTTCCTTCTCTAATGGCGGTTCTTCATCATCTTCTTGTTTCGCCTTTTTCGCTTCCCGTCACCCATGTTCCCAGCTCTCAAGCCCATTCCGTTGCTTCAATTAGGGTTCCGGATAGAACAAATTTCCCATTCCCCCCTTTGGGGTTTCCTAGATTCCTCCCTCCTGTCTCAGTTTCTCTTATTAATTGTCAGTTTGTCACGCTGTTTCCCCCCCAAAAGTACTCGAATTTTCAATTTTAACCTATTTTCCTCTCCTACCCACTCCCTGTCGTGGAATTCCCAGACCTGGGTTCGCGTTTGATTTTGAATTGGGATGGATTGCAGATTTGGATCCTCCGATTCAAACGACATCATCAGCAACGGGAGCAGCTCCTGCTGTGTAGAATTGCAACCTTCTTCCACTACCCACCAGCCCGAATTCGCCGCTCTCCACCGCCTCTCCAGGAATCTAGACTCCATCTTCGATCCTTCCTCGGAGTTCAACTTCTTCGCCGACGCCAAGATCGTCTTTCCCGGCCGCGAGGTTCCGGTCCACCGCTGCATTCTGTCGTCGAGGAGTGAGTTCTTCAGGAACGTCTTCTGCAGTGCCAGGGAGAATTGCTGCGGCAGGTTTGAGCTGAAGGAGTTGGCTAAAGACTACGAGGTAGGGTTTGAGCCGCTGGTGGCCGTTTTGGGTTACTTGTATAGTGGAACGGTTAGGGCTCTTCCGCCAGGAATCTGCGAGTGCGTGGATGATGATTGCTCTCATTTGGCTTGCCGCCCCGCAGTGGATTTCATGGTGGAGGTTCTCTATGCTTCTTTCACGTTTCAGGTTCCTGAACTGGTCGCTCTCTATCAGGTAAAAATGCAAAGTCTTGCTTGTTAGAATCCGCCCTCGCACTGTTGTTTTGAAGTTTGAATCACATATTTTGGATTACTTCATTTGATCCGCAGAGACGGCTACTAGATGTACTCGACAAGGTTTCAACAGACGACATGTTGGTAGTACTATCTGTCGCGAACAAGTGTAGCAAAGCTTGTGAAAAATTGCTATCGAGATGCATCGAGATGGTTGTGAAATCCGACATCGACATCGTTACTCTGGACAAGGCCTTGCCACACCACATCGTCACTCGAATCACAAACGCGCGATGGGAGCTGGATTCAAACGCCAAGCCTCGAGCATCTGCAGCAGCAGCAACTACTCATTGCTTCCCGGACAAACACGTGAAGAGAATCCATCGAGCTTTGGACTCGGACGACGTTGAGCTAGTGAGGATGCTGCTGAAAGAAGGCCACACGAATCTAGACGATGCGGAGGCACTGCACTATGCGGTTGCATACTGTGATTCGAAGACCACGACGGAGCTTCTCGATCTGGGGTTGGCCGATGTGAATCAAACGAACTCGAGGGGTTACACCGTGCTCCATGTTGCTGCAATGAGGAAAGAGCCTAAGATCATTGTATCTCTGCTGACAAAGGGAGCTCGGCCTTCTGCCCTCACCTCGGATGGCAGGAAAGCTCTGCAGATTGCAAAGAGGCTCACTAGAGCTGCGGACTACCACAGGTGTATTGAGGAAGGGAAAGCTTCTCCCAAAGAGCGTCTTTGCATTGAGATACTGGAGCAGGCTGAGAGGAGATCTCCGTTGCTGGGAGAAGCTTCTGTCTCTCTTGCCCTGGCTGGTGATGACCTACGAATGAAGCTGTTGTACCTTGAGAATAGAGGTTAGTTCATTTGAAAAAAAATTCAATTGAAGTATCAGAACTTTTCCACGAGCTGATTGAGTTGCGAAATGACTCCTTTCTGTTGTTTTCAAGCAGTTGGACTAGCAAAGCTTCTGTTCCCCATGGAAGCCAAAGTTGTGATGGACATTTGTGAGATAGATGACGCATCTGAGTTCCCATTAGGCAATATCCACGGGAAGAACTCTACCACGGTGGACTTGAACGAGACACCTTTCAAACTCCATGATGAGCATCTCAGTAGATTGAGAGCACTCTCTAGAAGAGGTATCCTATGAAACCTCTTTAATTATTCGTTAACAAAGATCCAAGCTATTCAATCCCACTAAATATGACCAAGCTCATAATATGTTGATGACTACAGTGGAACTAGGGAAGAGGTTCTTCCCGCGATGCTCGGATGTACTGAACAAGATCATGGATGACGATGATAACCTGACGCAGCTGGCGTGTTTAGGAAATGGGACGCCAGAGGAGAAGCAGAGGAAGAGGAAGAGGTACGTGGAGCTGCAGCAGTTGCTTAGCAAGGCTTTCAGTGCTGATAAGGAAGAGTTCGATAGGTCTGCTATTTCTTCTTCGTCTTCCTCCAAATCTGTTGTTGGCGGCGGTGGTGGAATGGCGTCCAAGAGGATTGCTACTGGTAAGCTTACTAGTAGCAGAAGAAGCTAATCTTCTTTTTCAGACTGGGGAGTGCTCAAAGAGTACTGTAAACATGGTTTTGATGTTGATACCTAAGAGTTCTCTCTCTGTGTATTACTTACCTATTGCGTTTGTCTTTGTAAATTGATCCTCAACACTTTTTGACTGGTGGTAGTGTAGTGAGAGGTAAATAAAGGATTAATACTTGATACTAATAGGATCTGATGCATGGTTGTCATGCCGGTGGCATGCCACTCGGTTGAACCTGGTTCAACCTGTGCCGGTCATAAAACCGGCATGACACTATTGATATGACTGGTATGATCGACTTACGCATTCTAAGTAAAATGACATCATTTTAATGAATTTAATGAATAAAAATAATAATTTATTATTCATGTTATGTTATGAATTAATAGTTAAAAGTTGATGATATTTGTTGGATTGTAACTAAATTGTCCACAAATATGTTTTATATATGATTAAATACATTGGATATTAATTGTTTTCACATTTTTTTAGACCGGCATGAATCGGCACAAATTGATTATACCACCGGTCGTATCATTCCACTTGCCAAACCGGCACAACGGTATAAACCGGTTTGACAACCTTGATCTGATGCTTCTCTTATCCGCAAGAGAAAATATATAGTACAGTGGCCGGACCAGTAGAACAACCAAAATCAAATACAATAGTGTTCGGTTCATTTGCTTGGGTGATATAAGGATAAATATAATGATTTTTCACGGTTGTACATGGAACATAATGAATCATCCTAATTTTGATCGATCAACTATATTAAGGAAAAAATATTACAACATGAACTACGATCATCTAAAACTACTTAACTTTTTTTTAGAACGAACTAATTTTATTTCTACTTTCTCTTTTTCATTTTCTAGCCTTCTTTTGAATTCATGCCATCCAGTATCAACCGCCACAATAATTACTAATTTTATAAAAAAATTATGATTTCTTTTTGAAGATTGTCTAAATGCTCAAATTTTGGTGATAAATAATATGAATTTGAATTTTTTTTTATCCTTGTCAAACTTTTTTTTCCGGTAATTTATCCTTCACAAATTAAGTCCTAAATTAGTGTCATATTTGTCTTTGATTTTGTACTGTATGAATGGTTCTAGAAATGATTAACCAATGGTTTTATAACGGTTAACCATTATATCATAAATTACTAATTTTTCAGTTCAACATCTAATCCGGTTATGAAATCCTAGAGATCCTTTGCTTGTAGGAATTTAGGATCTCAACTATAAATATAAGAATTCAAGTGTTCAACTTGAGAATCAAAGCGACGCTGAATTATATTAACTTGGACTCGGCTCTATCTGACCATGACTCAAAACATTTTGTTACATTGTTACAAGATGACAGTTGAGACACACACACAAAAAAAAAAAGTCCTCTTGAATTTTGCTTTCTGGGTAATTTGAGCTTGATTGGTGTCTGCCTCCATTGATTTAAGCAATTTAAATTATGGCTTCCTCGTCTGTCAACATCGAGGCTGCCTGATCCCTCTGTACAAGTTCTTCCTCTGCTTCTTGGTGCTCGTGGCTGATCTGTAACCCGATCGCCCACCACCTGCTCGACCAATTGCCCAAGTCAGAAACAAGAACGACACTTCTTGCATGCCTTGGTGGAAGAGGAAGAAGATGAAGAAAGCGATACCTGAAGAGGGTTGGGATGTTTTGGACGGCAAGGGCTCATAAGGGCTGATCTTGCTGATGGAAGTCTTGGGCTTGGGCCAGATGTCAGCGGCAGTGATGCTGCGGTTGCTGGGAATGAAGTCGCTGATAATCGCGCCGCCCATCTTCTTTGCTGGAGTGGAGAGAAAAAGGGGAAATGAGAAGAAGCTTGGGGTTTGGGCAGTGGTTCGAGAAAATGGAGGCTATATGCAGTGATATATATAGTCGCATTTCCGAGTTAATTTATGAATAAAGCTAATAGTATTGAATACATTTTCTCAAATACCGAATTATTGACAATTCAAGTGTGTAGCTTCTTTGTGCCTTTCTTTTTCTAATGAATGAAAATAAGCAAGTTATACAAAAATCTGCATAAATTATTGTCATAGACTTTCCAATTAAAAGTGATTTTCGATAGTTAAAATAAGTGTGAATTTTCTTAGCATATAAGTTAGGGTGCGCCTATGGTGACATGCCATAACTTGCACTTTTCGGTCGACCTCGGTTAGGATTAGGTAGACCTAATATGTTGTTTCAGTGTAAAAACAGTTTCTTGATGCCTACTTTGGAGATACATATATTACAATTGGCTCGATGGAAATTAGAGATTAATGGCTTGTTTTGAAGCTGGAGTGTCCCTCTACACATTGAAGTGCTTGGGAGCTCGATAGGAAGTCCAAAAGACCATTTTTTAACCTGATCAAAAGGCTATGCCAAAACTAGGAAACTGCCATCTGGGAAAGTGTTTGTGAAGCCTATTTTGGAGCTCAATTCGAGAAGCATGGTTGAGATTCGAGTGATCGAGTCTAAGGGGCCTCTACCACATGAAATTAGGTTTGTTTGTCTACAAAGTCAATGCATTGGATGAAATATTGGATATCTAGAAGACTTCAAACAAAAAGCTCGAAATTGCTACGAAGTAAGTTGCCTTCTAGTACAAGACTGAAACGGCAGATTTGGTCGACCTAATCCTATATGAGGTCGACCTAAAAGTGCAAGTTACGGTGATCAAAGTAGGCTAAATATGTTGGTTTGGGATGTATTGTTAGTTATATGGAGGATAACTTTTCCATATATAGTAGAATGATAAAAAAAAAAAATCAGGTTATAAAATTAAGAATTTTTTTTATTTTTCTATTTATTTTATTGCCTTATCATGCGGAGAACTAAATATTGTAGCTGCGTGGTCCTAAATTGAGTAAATTCTTACCATACCTGTATTTACCAAGCTTACCTACACATACGTAACAATTTCTATTTTACCAAGTGAGGTCTTGGGATGCCAATCCTCTCCACCTCCATCCGACAATGAGGATACGGATGCCAAATCAAACAAACAATATTAAGTATATAAAAAAAAAAGCTGTTGATTTGGTCCACATCACAAAAAAAAAAAAAAAAAAAAATCAAACCAGTAATCAGGAAAATAATCATTTTTAAGCTTTAAAACATGAAATTCCAATGCGCATGCATAATTTCTGGACCAAACAAACCACATTTAATATAAAATGAACGATTTGTTCGGTCCGCCGCTCCAAAAATATATGAAAACTATTTTTTTTTGCGTTAAAACCTATGTTTCAATATAATGCATAATTTTGATACTCTAAACCCAAATAAATAATGAAAACACTAAACCAAATCAACCCAACTTCCACAATATCATCATAAATATAAATATAACGCATTTGGAGACACGGCTACCTCTATCTTTGACGAGACGTGGTTTCTGAATGAACAAGGAGACGTGACTCACAAAATTGAAGTGAAGAGATTGATTGAGTGGAACGAATCTACAATCTGCATCAGAGCATACCGACAAACCAAAACATCAAATAATACAAATTATTGTCCAAACCATTTTAAAAGTATACATTTCGGTTTGATCCACAATTTGGCAAACAATCAGACCTACTTTCCCGTGCACTACGCGCATATTATGCACACAAACTTGGGGCGAAGTTGCAATTTGGCGCCCCAGGTTTCTTCCTCTCTGGTCTCTACTTCACTCTCTATACTCAAAAAATGCTTTTCCGCCGCCACTGGAACCCTACCGCGGCACCGCCAGTGGTTTTTGAATGGGCCTCTAGCCCAGTACTTGCTTGGCACGTTCCTAAATCATAATCCTATCCATTTTTCGAATCAATTAACAAGGCATGTTTAAAAATTCTAATATTAGTCACATTTTACATGTACCTAATATTTGTCACACTAAATTTAAGTAGTGATAATTTTCTTAATTACGAAATCGAAGTCAATTAAAATTAACAATAAATTACAAATATTGTATCATGATGATTCTTTTGCGTCGAGGATTTCTAGATTAGAACTCCATCAAATCTCATAGATTTTTTTTGTCAAATCCAAAAAGATTAACCAATTATTGACCAATAATCAGAAGAGAAAGACTATATCAACCGTTAATTATTATTCTGTGAATCGGATTAGAGAGCAATGATATTCGGTCCCTCAATTATTAGCCTAATGGGAATGGCGGTGAACTTATGATTACACTTTATAGTGGATATTAAGGTTGGTAGAAAAATATTGACACATCAACAACCACTTGAAAGGTACAATTTTAAGACATTAAAATCGCATAAAGTTTAACCAATGTCACTTAAAACTTATGATATTACATCAAATTCCATAAAGTTCAAATACAGTCATGTACTCATATTCAATCGCGAACTTTTTTTCTTCTTATTGTAATACGTTACCAAAAGAAATTTGCAACTTGAAATTGAACGATCATTCAAACTTACAATTTTTTGGATAAAAACAAGGAAAATGGAAACGTGCGGGTTTCTGAAATTTATACAGAACAAATCAAATTGGGAACGCAGCGAAACGAAAATCAAATTCCAAACTAGCAGGCTACGATGAGAGGTTAAACGGCAGCCGCGACAGCAGGGACGACGTCCTCGTCGTCGTTGAAGTTCCAGAGATCTCCGACGACGCTCTCCTCGGCTGCACTCTGAGTCGCCGACTGCCCATCGAGATACGGGATCTGATAGAACTTCATGTAGTTCTCGTACGCCATCAGCTCCTCCGACAACTTCTGTACCTCCGTCGGCTCCTCCTCCTCCACCACCACCGGCGTCACTTTCCTGTTCTCCGACGTTAATTTCTCAGGTTCTTCTTCCTTGACGGCTTCCAATAGACAATTACTGCTGCCGTGACCGCGATTGTAATCATTCGCGTTTCTGTTCAAGTCGTCCGAAGCCGACCCGGAATAATTGTCCTCCTCGTCGGAAGCATTGGAAAGATAGGCCTCGATCTGGTTGAGGTCGTAGCGGAACCCGGAATTATTAGCACGGGGGATATTGAGAATTTCATCGCTCGGGAGATTTCTCGAGTAACAACAGTCGGCGGCATCTTCGTTGGGGAAATTGACCTTCGCCTTCTTCCCGCGGATTTTGACGGCTTCTCTGTCGTAGGCACGAGCCGCTTCCTCAGCGGTATTGAAGGTGCCGAGCCAGACACGAACCCCTTTCCTCGGGTCGCGAATCTCGGCCGCCCATTTCCCCCATGGACGCTGCCGGATCCCTCGGTACAGGTTCTTCCTCTGCCTCTTTACGCCCGTGGCGAACTCGTTACCCGACCGCCCACCACCTGCTCGACCAATTGCCCAAGTCAGATAAAACAAGAAGGGCATGCATCTCTTCCTTCACGAAATAGACCGGGGGAAAGGAATAAGAGAGCCATACCTGAAGAGGGTTGGGATCTTTTGGACGGGAATGGCTCATAGGGGCTGATCTTGTTGCTGATGGAAGTCTTGGGCCAGATGTCAGCGGCAGTGGCGCTGCGGTTGCGGGGAATGAAGTCGGCGATAATCGCTCCGCCGCACATTTCTTTGCTGGGGAGAAAAAGGGGATTTGAGAAGCTTTTGTTCCTTCCGGAAAGACAAAAATTTGGACTGCAGGGCAAGAAAACGGGAAGTTGGGGTTGGAGAGTGGTTTTATGAAGGCGATGTTGAGGAAGTGATTGAGGAAGAGAGATGGAAGGGGTTTATGTAGGCCGGAGGGAAAAGTGAAAAGGAGAGGGATCTATGGGCCGCACATCACTTTCTGGTTTAGAACCAACTTGGGATCGGTAACTTCTAGATGAAATGGAAGGAGCTGCGTAGAAGGCTGTATGGCGCATTACTCACCGGATACATTCTAGAGTTGTTAATAAACCATTATCTTCATGGACGATTTGGCGTCTCACTTGAGAAAAACTCATTAGTCTTATTTCAGTGGCTGAGGGATCACTTCCTGCGGATCGTGCAACATTTTGATCGGGTCTCCTTTCACTGGCTCCCTGATGGAGAGGGTAACCGTCTCTCTACTCATGAGATGCTCCTCTTTCGCTCTATCAGAAAAGGGCTTCTAGCTTCACTTAGGATGGCTCGTAGCGGAGATGTTCGCCAAACTGCATCAAAGAAGAAATCGAGCCAGATGCCAGGCCGCGACTATATCTTCACCATAGCCTAGTTCCTCAACAGCCACCGAGATCAGACTCTTGCTATTCCTGACGTGTGAGAGAGGATTGAGGAGCGCATTCGCAGCCCTCGTATTAGAGCGAACAGAGTTGGGGTCGCCTATTTCACTGGTTCTGGGGTGAACTTGCTATGTAATGACTCGTCCTTCACCGACCGAGTCAAGGATAAGAGGCCCCGTATTGAGTTGGTTACTCGTCCTTGTCCTTTACCGCCTACCCATCGAGGAGGGGCACTATGAGGCCCTGGATTGATTTGCATTACGAGTGGTAACTTCATTCTTCTTTTCTCTCTACTCCTTACTTGGTCCAATGACGACATTGTCCCATTTAAAGTGTGTGGTAAGATTTAGTTAGTTTGTTCTTCATATTGTGAATTGTCATGCAATTGGAGAAGGGTTTTGTGTGTGCATTTATGCATCCAATTTTAAATTTTTCGAGTAATGCCACACCCCCAAAACAAATTTGAAATTCATTATACTTTGAATTGCTAGTTTTTGTCTTAATGTGTCATGTGTGGTATATGGAGGATAGTGTAGGGGCTATGAAGAAAGTCCTTGTCATGAGACTTGGATTCTATCTTAAAAATGTAAAAATTGGTGCTTTCTACCATCCTTTTCGAGTTCTCAAACTCCTACTCAAAGGAAGGAGTCTTCAGTGCTTAAAGAAAAATAAGGTAGATATGTAGTTTCGTACATTTGAAATCCTACCACGTCAAGTCTAAATCAAAAGAGGTTGCCATTGCAAATAAAGTATGGGTTAAAAGCAAAGTTTGATGCATCCTATCCTTGGAAAAACTAAGTTTTGTAAGAGATATTAGTTGAGCATTGGTGGGGTAGTCCTACGAGATGATGCTAGTTCCTCTCTTGTACAAGTAAAATTGTCACCCGTATGATAGGATTGCCAACTTGAGGATGTGTTTTCAAGGATACGGATAAAACTTCGACATCCCTTGGCTACATTGACCCTCCGCACTTGTAGTCCTTAAAAAGTTATGCGGAATAATTTTTTTTAATGATGTTCGAGATACGGAGCACAAAGTTATGGTCTTTCAAAGTGCGAAACTGAAAAATTGCTCCTTCAGGGTAGCAAACGACGTTTTGTTCGGGATGAAGGTGAGACCAATGACGATTTGAGGCTTGCAAAATCTCGAAAATTTATGCGGAATAGATTTATTTTTGCTACGAACGGATAACCGAGCACAAAGTTACATTCGTTTGAAGTTTCAACCCAGATTAGGCATTCATCGAGAAAAAAATTATAGAGCAGACCGTGGGTGGGTGCGACGGTTTGACCCGGATCATTGAGGTACCGCACGGTCAATCTGGCCACAGACACCCCACGTGGTATGGAGGCGACAGGAATGGAAACCACAACACCCCCTACGGTCCTCGTTTAAATCGCCATGGGCAGATGTGGTCCTTGTGAAACGGTGGTATGGATGGAAATTTTTGGAAAATGATGGTATTTTTTACCATTGAAATAACACTGAAATACCACATGAACAATTAATGAGTTACTTGACTATACAAATACCACATTGACAATTAATCCATCCAAATGACCCTTAATCATCTGTCATTTGCTGGATGGGTATTATAAAACTCTGAACTCTCTAAGTGGTTAAGATGGTTGAAAATATATGCTCTAATTTCTTGTGGAGTTCCACGTAGTAACGGAAGAAAGCTAAGGTGATGCGAAGATACGTGGCAGTGCCAAAAAAAAAAAAAGAGTGAATTGGGGTTTAAGGACCTCAGAAGTTGGAACTCTGTTTGTCTCATTAGACATCTTTGGGCTATTCTCTCAAACTCTTCCGCTCTTTGGGCCAGCTGAGTAAGATATTACCAGCTCAACTATACTTCTCTTTGGGATGTTTCTTCATATAATTAATTGTGAAGACAAAAATAAAACAAATAACTAATTGTGAGACAAAAATACCCATTTTATTTTCACTATGATTATTTAAAATTTTAAATGTAAAAAATTCTACCCATAAATCTGTTTTTTATATAGTATAAATAGATTATAAATTGTCATTCTTGTATTGTTAATAAAAAATCAAAATGAGAGTTACCTTTTTGGCGTATTAAAAATCCCTCAGCAAAACAAGAGAAAGGGCATGACGTTTTGGACTGTCCGGTCTTCGTTTCCAGGCTGTTCTATTACGGTGTCGTATTACTGAGCTGAAGCCTGAAAAAGGGAAGAGACGCGAAAAGGGGAAAATAGCTTCGGAAACAAATTGGCGTTTTCTCAGCCGCCCTCTGACTTCTCCGTCGTCACACTCTCTCTCTCTCTCTCGCTCAAGGAATCGAGTCGACGGAGATGGTAGCTTCCGCGATCTAATCGCTTCCCATTATCCGAGCACCGTCAAGGAATCCACTGCTACTCGTTCCTCCTGCTCCCTCCTTCCGGCCGGTGCGTTCACTTACTATTCTTCTTCGTCTTTATCTCTAGGGCAGATCTATTTGCTCTTTCATTTTCCCGATTTTTGAATCTGCAACTGCGAGCCTTGATTGGAAATTGATTGAAACCCATTGTCTGAAGATAGTTGATTTTGTTCTGGGTTCTTGCAATCTTTCGAAATCATTCATCCTCCAGTCCTTCATTCTATTCTTTCTTGGATTGCTTTTGTTTCGATAGTCTAGTTCCGCTTTCCTATTTCAGACACCGATTAATTTCGACCTTTTTCTTGCATGTTTACTTTTCTTGAACCGAGAAGGACTTCTAGATACTCTTGCTTCCAGAACTACTAGCTGTTGCTTCTAAGCTAAGACTGAGCCGGTTGGAATGGGTGATAACAACGATGATCAGTCCTCGCCCAAGGAGGGAAACCCAGCTCATGATTCCGAGACTCCTAACCCTGGTGAATCTCAAGAGGATAACTCACTGGAAACCATAGTTCGTAAATTTCAGGACTCGATGTCTGTAGGCAAGCAGCACAAGTTTTGGGAAACCCAACCCGTGGGTCAATTCAAGGATGTTGGGGCGACGAATTTGCCTGAGGGACCTATTGAGCCTGCAACTCCTTTGTCGGAGGTCAAACAAGAGCCTTACAATCTGCCTGCACAGTACGAATGGACTACCTGTGACATGGAGTCTGATGAGACCTGCAATGAGGTCTATGCTCTGTTGAAAAACAACTATGTTGAGGATGATGAGAACATGTTTCGGTTCAATTACTCCAAGGAGTTCCTCAGCTGGGCATTGCGCCCTCCTGGCTACTACAAGAGCTGGCACATTGGTGTACGTGCTAAAACTTCCAAAAAGCTTGTTGCCTTCATCACGGGTATCCCAGCAAGAATCAGGGTGCGTGGTGAAGTGGTGAAGATGGCTGAGGTCAACTTCCTGTGTGTTCATAAGAAACTTAGGTCAAAGAGGCTTGCTCCGGTCATGATCAAAGAGGTTACTAGGAGGGTTCATTTGGAGAACATTTGGCAAGCAGCTTATACAGCTGGAGTGGTTCTTCCTACACCAGTAACTACTGCTCAGTATTGGCACAGGTCCTTGAACCCCAAGAAGCTCATTGATGTCGGCTTCTCCAGGCTTGGTGCAAGGATGACAATGAGCAGGACGATAAAGCTTTACAAGTTGCCAGATTCACCTGCTACTCCTGGATACAGAAAAATGGAGCTCCGTGATGTGCCAGCTGTCACTCGGTTGCTTAGGAACTACTTGGCTCAGTTTGTTGTTGCACCTTATTTTGATGAGGATGATGTTGAGCATTGGCTCCGTCCGGTCGAGAATGTCATTGATAGTTTTGTGGTTGAGAGCCCAGAGACCCATGAGATCACCGACTTTTGCAGCTTTTACACCCTACCATCCTCTATCCTTGGCAACCAGAACTACTCCACCTTGAAAGCTGCTTATTCATATTACAACGTCTCCACCAAGACTCCATTGCTGCAGTTGATGAATGATGCGCTGACCGTAGCCAAGCAGAAGGATTTTGACGTGTTCAATGCCTTGGATGTCATGTTCAACGAGTCTTTTGTGAAGGAGCTGAAATTCGGGCCAGGTGATGGGCAGCTTCACTATTACCTTTATAACTACCGTTTGCAGCAAGCACTTAGACCATCTGAACTTGGTCTTGTTCTCTTGTAGTCAAAGGTTGATGCAGGGGATCCAATATGAAATTTTCCTTTACCATTAGATTGTTACCCCATAACAATTTTTGTTAATCCTGCCTTCAAGTTTTAGCTGGTTGTTAGTCGCCCAAAAAAGTTCACACAATGTTGCTTGTTGGTGATTTGGATGTTGATGTGGGTGACGAATGACATTTTGAGTTCCGATGAATCTATCGATGCGAGTTCTGTAATTTTTCCAGGTAGTTCGTCTGGTTGGTGCTGCAGTGCAGGCCTTGAGGGCCGTTGTTTGTTTGGTGTACAATTTGGTGGCCAGACCCCTAATTTCTTTAATTGGTAGTGTGGTTCCCTTTGTTGCAAGAGCTTCATATTAAGGTTTGTCCAACATAAGTTTGGTTTTCAAAAGAAGGCTCTGATATTTTGTATTAATATTTGAACGATTTAGATTGTGGATTACTCTTATGTGAATCAAATGTATGCCGCTGTATGTTGATACTAAACAGTTCAAGACACAACTAGATTGAGATATTTTGAATGACGAGAATGCTATGGTTGATTGGGCTGCCTTCACGACGTAATTAGGAATTCGATACCTGTCGAGAGAACGGTGCAAACTATCGATTGATGATTGCTACCCAAATATTGAAGGAAGATTCATTATCCTCCCGAATACTTTGTAAACTGTCGTTTGGGGAAATCCAGATCAAAATGTAATGGTCACCTAAATCCTTATCAATTTGGCTCATTCATTCAGAGCCTCGTTGCTCTGGAACACTGCATGGTTAGGAGAAAGAGTCTGCTGTATTTTATTACTTTTGCTGATACTACAACGAATATTTAAACGAAAATCAGCAGCTAGTGCTGCATATTTATAATGCAAACCCCGGGAACCAAGCTACCTATCCGTACTACATAACCAAACTACAAATGGAAGTGCTTGGCCTGGTTCTAGGAATGAGGTAAGCCCCTGAACTGAACATTACATCTAATAAACCAGAGACTTTTTTTTTTGAAAGGGATAAACCAGAGACTCAAGTTGATATAACAATAAACAAAACAAGCCTCATGGCATTACTGCTTCCAACGTGAGAACTAATAGAGCAAAAACTCTTGCTCTGCGATCAATGTGCTGATTGAAACGAACATCATTCGTTGCCAACAGGTGTGCCCTTCATCATTCCTTGCCACGACCATGCATGTGCAGAAGAGAATCCACTCCACAGTCTGGCAGCTGCAAAATCAAGACAGGAGCAACAGAGTTAACAAATACTTGCCCTGAAAACCCTAGAACACTTCTCCAGTTTCATTTTTTAGACCCTAGATAGGTAAACTAGCAAAGTGAACCAAAGAAATCAATATCTGTTATTCCCTTCAGTCATGTACCAGGCAGAGCTCCCCCACAACGGATGACTAGTAGCTATGCTTTTAGAAGACCTGGGTTGAGACTTTAGAGGTGCACAAGCATGCACCTAAAGAAGCAAGCACATGTTTAAGGAAAACAAACAAGCAAGGAGTAGCAGCAGCAGCAGTAGTACTACTACTTAATTTCATCAGAGCAAGTTTATAACTAAATACCAACACTGCATCATCAAATTATAGACCGAGTGAGTGAGTAATTAAGCATGTATATATATATACTTCCCTTCCCTTTAGTATACGGCGTACTGCCCGCCTGCCTCAATCACACAACCACACGGTTAGCTACATTTTTAATCAGCTAGTCATCGCATTGACATGAGAATCTTAATCATTCTCTCCCTTTTTGCCAGCTTCTTGTTAAGGCTACGGGTGTGCTTCGCCCTCCGAAGTTCCTCGGTGATAAATTTATCAACTTTCCTAATCCAGTCGATAAATCTCTTCCCCCTTGGCAATAAGCACCCTGACCCTGGAAATGGCTGATTTGCAGAAGTATCATCATGCAGCATTTGGGTCACTTTGCCAAGCTGATCACTGGAATCATCAGAGAAGCGGCCGATTTCGACAGCAGCTGGTTGTTGCGGTAGTGATGCAGGGGAGTCTGAGAATTTAAGCTTTCTCCTGGTTCCCCCAACACCTCCTAGCACCAGTTCTCTCCTTCTCCTTTTAGCATCATGTGTCAAGAAGAACTCCCCCTGCCAAACCCAAACGAAAAAGAAGAAAAAAAACACCGTCAAGACAAACAAATTAAGCTCCCAGCCCCAATTAATCGGGCGAACCATTGAACTAAATTTAGGGTTTCTTCGTAAGAAATTAGTTAGGGTTTCCGCAATGTCCCCCGACCCATTTCGGCATCGCGTTCTCAGAGTTCGTAAATCGGAGACGGAGAATCTCAAAACCAGCCGAAATTCGGAGGAAAGAAAAAGCGAGGGAAACGGGGGCTTACCTGGAGCGAGGAGGTTGAGGGCGAACCGTGACGATCGTGAAAAAAAGGAGGAGAAGAAGGCGACCGGTGATCAGCTTCCGATGTGTGGTTCAGATTCCCCAGCCCGGGAGCCTCGAGCAGGGAGCCGTTGTCGGAGTTCGACATGCTTCCGACGAGAGAACTGAGAGAGCCTGAGCGAGAAGGGAAATTAACGGGAAGGAAGACGCGAAGGAAAGAGAAAAGAGGCGGCAGTTGATGAAATCCCCGCGCTTCCTTCCTTTTTATTGACGACTTCCCAAACGGTCACTTTCTATGAATTTAGGGCGCGGGAGAAAAAAAAGCGCGCCTGTAATAACCGTCCAGCTTCCTTGACGTGACGGCGACACAATCCGATCTATTTACGGGTGAAGTTAGAGTACTAACTTGTAACTTCATATTAGTTAGCATCGTACTACTATTCTAATCACTGTTCATTTTTTTTTATGGAACCGTCCATTATTTTAAGTCGATTCTGATGGTGGTTAATAATGAAGGACGTATTTGGTATTTCACTAAATTAAAAATAATATAAAAATATTAAATCTCTTTTATCTCTCCTCTATTTATTAGTCAGTTTCTATCGGAAAATTACTAACAAATTCATTACTATTTAAATCAATAATTGATTTGACTGATAGTAGTGATTTTAGGATAATAACAGTAATTGTAGACTTTTTAATTAATAGGCACAATTTTTTTCAGAGGCTGATAGTAGTGTTTTTGGGAGTCATAGTGATTTTCATGTAACTAGTAGCGTTTTATTTTTTTTCAATTTGCAGAAAACAACAATTTTTAATAAGAATCACTAACACACATTATAAAACATACTACGAACAGGAAAAACGACTACCACAAATGGTTAAATCACTACTAACACTGGTAAAAAAAAATCACTACTAAGAGATGAATAATCGCTACGATACATGAACAAAATTCTAATACTAAACAAAAACCACTGGTATTAAAATCTATACTTGAGTTCCCATTCCTTCCTCTCTTTCTCGTCCACGGGCATATATCTTCCCAAATCAAACGTAAACCTACAATCACCATACAAAATCACTACCGTAAACTACATTGACGGTGGGAGGAACACATGAGGCGGAGGAGGGAGGCGACGAAAAGGGTTATGAGCGGTTGAGTAGATGATTGGGAATCTGGATCTGGAGCATAGAGGAGAGGCACAAAGCCTAGAACTAGTGTCAACTCAATGGTTATACCAATCCATCATTCCCTCTGTTGTACATTTCTGCCTTTCACAGAAGTCTTGGCGGTGACCTCAATACCGACGATTGATAGAGAGAGCCGACGAATCATGGGTGGACTCCTCCATCGTCATCGTCGGCGCCTACCTCCCCTATCGGCATCTCCTGATACCCTTCTTCCCCGTCGCCGCCTGCCTCCATCGCATATCTATTTGAACGCCCCTTCCTTCCAGTCGTCGAACCGTACACAGAGATGGATAAGAGGGGAGAGAGGAGAGACGATTGGTGTAGAAAGAGGGGAAAATGGAAAGGCGGTCGTGGATGAGAGGGATGGTGGATTGAACCTTTTTATATTAGGTTTTGATAAAACATTACTAAAATATCTTTCACTTAATTCTAACCTTAGGATCAACATCTTAATCTAATGGCTATTATACAGGTTAGGATGGTGCTAACTAGGGTTGGAAGTTTGGTATATGTATTTGGGATATACCGAATACCGTTCTGAATTTGTCTATATTTGGTATTATCGAATACACGTATTATTTCTTGGGATTGGGATTCAATTTCAATTGTTATTCGGGATCGGAATATACCGAAATACCGAACAATACCGAAATATAAGCTAGTGTGTAGTTTATCCTCTCAACTAGACTCTATCATTCACTACTACACTACCCTCAACCACCAATCTATTGTTATTTTCATAACACCAAAAAACAAACACTAGTATTAGTCTTCTCTCAGCTTCCAATTCGTCAAATTGAAGATTACCAATGACAAAAACTTGAGATGTCACCTCTACTCGATTCTCCTTATCTATATCCTAGCTCTAGTCAAACTCAAAACTCTTTGTTTAGTCTATTTGTCCTATATTAAAAAATCAAATCTAATTTATATATTAATTATTAATTATAAATGTAATTAATTTCGTATTCGACAATATCGATTGGGATACCGAAGTACCTATTGGGATACCGAAATATTTAGGGATTGAGATTGGGATACCGAAATTATTTAGAGATTGAGATTGATTTTAGGGTGTAATTCGGTATTTTGGTATTTGGTATTGAAATACCGATACCGTACCGATTTCCACTCCTAGCGCTAACCTTGAGGGATTAGCAACGCAACCCATCCATCTATCTACATAAGAGCTTTGACTCACCCGATTAGTAGGTTGGGTGAATTGATTGGTTGAGTAATTTGGTGTTTACTGGTTTAAGAGTTGAGAATATTTTTATTGTATTTTATTAATATGAGATAATTTATTCTAAGAGCATCTCCATCGGCTCTATTTGCCCAATTGCAAGGTCTGCAATGGCAAACTTAATTTCATTGATGTGGGAAGTGGTGTAACTGATGCAATATGAAAGCCAATTTGCAATGCCAACGTGGAGCGATGGTGGGTCAGATTCAATTTTTTTGTCATTTAAATAAATTCAAATATATTTTAAATGGATTATATTTTTATATGCAATTGCAAATGAATCGCATTGATATAGGACAATGAAATTCAAATGAGTTGGATTGCAAAATTTGATGAGGTGTCTATAAAACCACATATGCAATTGCAACCTGTGAATGAAGAATGTGTGGAAGGTAGCATCGGAGGTGGTCTAAAGTGGAGGATGATTAGGGATTTATGGGGATGTTTGTTTTATTGAATTTGATTTGATTAATGAAGAATAGTTTTAGATTTTATGTTAGAATAATAATAGTAAAACGAAAGCGATTTTTACCAATAAATTATTTTTAAAAGTTATCAAGTTGGATTAGACGGTTTGGATCGAAGATGAATGGAAGTGATAGTTTTTTTCTTTAATTTTTTTCATTTTATTTACAAGGATACCATATTTGATGAATAACTTAATGTCTTCGCTCAAGGCAACTGAACAACATTATGTCCATCTCTGGTGCGTTTTTGTATTCAGGCTACAAATTCGACTTTTGGAAAAGATGAAATGTACGGAGCTCTCAACTAAGTTGTTTAGGTTATGAAATTCCATATAAATACAAGCTTCAGTTGGAGCTTATGTGAAAATCTATATTGAAAATGTATGATTACAAGGATTATTTTTTTTATTTTTTTCAAAAACATAATTTTCTTTCATTTATATAATTGTAAAACTAAAATAAACTATATATAATATTATTTGATATAAAAGAAATCCAACAAGATCCATTTTGATTATTTTTATTTATTTTTTATTCATAATTTTTATTAGAAATTCTTTTTAATAATTTTACATGACCCCTCATTAAAAAATATGTATAATGTGTCAAACACTCAACAACTTTTTTGAAAAGTAATTTTCTAAATGCTACAAACATAAGTTGTTTTTTTTGTAAAACTACAACAGAGTCAAACTAGCACTATATACTCGCTCGCATATTGCAAACCTTCCTTAGATAACCTTTAATTTCTCAAAAACCGTCAAATTTATAAACAAAGGTCTTTGAGTCATTATTTATACTAACGGTTGAAATTCTCGACACTCCATCTTTGTACATCACATCAAATAAGTTTGTTTCTATGCTAGATCATTGTGACTTTTTTCTAGAAGTAACCACCTTGATGAGTTTACAAAAACAACATATATGGAGGCATATTTTAGAGAAATATCCCAACGTTTCCCCATTGTTTCTTTGATTTAAAGTGTGGAATTGCTCCTATTCAACATGGTATAAGGCAAAAAAGGAGCAATATAGTGTTAGAATAAATTTAGTGAGTCAATTAGTAAGTTAGTAATGTGTTTTAATGAGGGGACAACTTCGTTTGTAGTCAGTGTAGTTACTAGTGCGGGTTAAGTAGGGACAATGTTATTTTATCGAGAAGGGTCATTTAGATCAATTTTAGTTCTTGGCAGGTAGAGTTGTGTTGCTCAGCCAAAACTTGTTAGCGACGACGTTAGTGGGCAGCTGGTTTAAGGACGTCCTAATGTGAGTGGAAGCTAGTTGTTAGCTCGTAATTGGTAGATGAATAATGTTGTTAACATTTTTCCTTTCAAAATCAATGAACTGTTAGTTTTCCCAACATGTGTTGAACATGTGGTATCAGAGCCTATTGCAAATTGTAATCAAGTTTATAGAATAGCAATTGAGTGTTTGAGTTTGTGAGTTTCAAATTGGGTTATGAGTACTAAGAAAACTTGGTGAGGTGGTTTGTCATCTGTGTACGAAACATAAGAGGTAGTGAAATAATTTATGTTTGTGAGTGAGTAGTGATCATGAGTGGTTCAAGCTATGCACAAGTGTGCACTCCTAAGTTTGATGGAGATGTTGATTACTGGAGTCCCCTTTTTGAAAATCAGTTGCGTTAAAAGAAATATTGGATAGTTTTTTTTTTGTGAAGTAATTAATGAGCCAAAGGTTGGAGTTAAGCTATATGTTGTCGAGAAAAAGGATTTTGAGAAATCAAGACTGAAGTTGGATAAAGAATGATACAGTTACAGGCATGATAGCAAAAGTAGTGAAGTTGGTTGCCTTTGAGCTTGAGAGATTGCTTGATAAGATGGGAGTCTACAAATTTTAAGAACGAGTCATTTTTTCGAAATCGTGCTTGAACAACTATACTAGAAGAGGGAAGTTGCTTCTAGAGGGAAGTACACTAGAAAGTGCTGCTTTGGAAATTGAAAGTTGCCACCAAAGAAAATTGTAATGTACTAATGTTAACACGTTTCAATATTAGGGGAGGATTTTTTTAGAATAAAAGTAGCCAATCAATTAACAAGTTGTTAGATGTATGCCAACAGGTACTAGGCACCAAAGGTGTGAGGAGACCTAATGGACAATGTTATGCGACAATACAAGTACCACATCGTAAATACAAGGGAATGAACAATTGTATATAAGTGTTCACCAAGCTCATTAGTACGCGGCCTTTTGGGGAGAACAATATCGTACTAATGGAGCCATCTGGTTCGACAAGTGGTATCAGAGCTTGGTTTGGTTCAAGGCGGTGAACGTCAGTTTGGTGGGACCTTCATTGGGTGACCTCAGGATTTGAGATTTGATTCTGTTTGGTGGATCCAGAAGAGATCCTCGTATGTTTGGTGGATCCATTAGAGATCCAAGTCTTGGCAGATCAAAAAGAGTTTTGCGTCTAGGAATATCCTTGTACCGAGAAACTCATTGATACAAGGTGTCTGGTAGATCAAGATAATTGCTAAGGAGAGGGCACGAAGTTTGTGGTCCTTGTCTTGAGGGGAGGATTATTATGGGACAATCCAAGTACCACATCGGTAATACAAGGGTATGGTCCCTTATATATTAGTGTACACCTAGCCCAATTAGTATGAGGCCTTTCGGGGAGGATACCCAAAAGTAAAACCGTGCGGGTTTGGACCAAAGCGGACAATATCGTACTAATGGAGCTGCCCGATTTTGACAGCCAATCATTTGGCACGCTCGCAGAGTATTCGAAAGTCACCAAATGTCGAGCTAACAATGTCAAAAGAAAGGTGTCATGCATGTAAAAGTGTGTACTCCTCCATGCCCTCTGCTCATGTGTCTCTTAAGTTAAGCAACCTTGTCAAGATGAACGCCAAAGTCCACACTCCTCCAAGGTGCATGCAAAGATGCGGGGACTGCCTCCCACCAAGGGAAAACAACCAACAAAGGGAAGAAATACATCATGACGTGGTTGAAAGAGGATGCTCAATCTAAGGATTGACATTGTCGTGGTGTGCAAAAATCACGCCAATGGGCAATTAATAAAGGATCGGAGCCAAGGCGCTTGAGAAACAAAGATGCACTAGATGAAGATCCAATCAAAGGAAGAGCCACATAAAACGTCTGAAAGGAGGAATGGAGCACAATGGCATTATTGGAAAAGAAGACACAAGCTAAAGGTTTAATGTCGTCATGTCATGATGCTCATCACAACATCAAAGGAGTAATCGATGAGGGTGAGATAGCATGACTACTCCTAAATGGGTCGGAAAAATGACACCCCCTATTAATTATAGGCTTTTAAGGTAATTGATTTATGTTGTATTAAATAATCTGTCTGAATTAAAAATTCATATTAATTACTTTTCTTTTTTCAATGCAATGATATCAATGTACATGTGCAATGGTAGTTGTATTAGTGTAATGGTAGTTTAAAAAAAGAAATGTAATTAATATGAATTCAGTGTACAGGTACAATGATAGTTGTATCAGTGCAATGGTAATTAAATAAAAAATGTAATTAATATGTGTTTTTAATTCTCAAAGATTATTAAATGCAACACGATTTTAATACCATGATTAACTATAATTAATAGGTGGTGTCATTTTTCCAACCCTATAAAGGGGTTAGCAAACTAACTAATCCCTAATTGATGGGAGATAAAGAACAATATACATTGATTACTTCTTCTCTATTTTCTCTCTCTAAGTCTTCATAATTCATATGCTTCTCTTTTCCCTTCTCTCATACCACTGCAAAAGTACGTGAAACTCCTGGCAATAGAAAGATGTCTGAGCTCTCAAATATTTTCGACCAAGCCAACCTTCATTCTGAAGGTCTCAAATAGATTTCAATCAATAGGTGGTTCACAAGTTCAAGATTTTGGCTTCATTAAGTTCGATTCCTTGGCGACTTCTAGTCATGAAGTCGAGGCGGTCTTCCTCATCTTCAAGACCCAAATTTTCACATAAAAGTGTTTCATTTTAGGTTTGTAAAATTTCAAGCATAAAAAGATATGTTCCCTAGTTAAAACCTAAGCAAAATCCAACATGCACCTCCAATATCTCTTCTCCAAGTCGTGCTGCCAAATGCTCCAGGCCATATGAGAAAAAACCTATTGTTCTGTGCCAAACCCTGGTTTCTAATGACCGAGTTCCTCTAATAAATCAAGTCACAACAGCCAAGTACTTTCTTTATTTATTCGATTAGTATAATCCAGTGAAAATAATGAACTGGCAATGTTAGCATATCTTTTCATTGCTTTATTATAGATGACCTATGAAAAGTTACCATGATACGCCCAAAAGTGAAATTATGCTACGCAGAATGAATAATATTTTGACCGGAAAAAGTTGAAACGTAAAACATATTCTCATCCCACAGAAGAAAAAGAAGGGGAAAAAAAAAACATATTCTCATGTTACAATGACAAACTTACGACATTATATATTCACACTAATTCAGTCTTCAGTTACAAAACTGAAACATCATTTTGGCTGGGTGCCACCACATAGTCAGTCCTATTAACTATACAAACTTGAAATCTCTACATAAGATATAGCTCTAAAGAGGGTAGGGGTGAACCAGAAGAAACACAGAGCAGGAGAAGCGTAAACATCAGAGAGAGAGAGAGAGAGAGAGAGAGAGAGAGAGAGAGAGAGAGAGAGAGAGAGAGAGAGAGAGAGAGAGAGAGCTTATATGTTGAGATATGTTCTTATCATGATCGCTCCAGTTGGATCGGAGAGTAGATGCCTGACAAGGGACATCCTCATTTCGTTTGGTGCAATAACAAACATATAAAAGGAGAACAGCATGAGATCCACTGACGATAGATTCGAACCAAGAAATCCCTGCCACATCCTGCACAAATTGAACAAAGCCAATGTCACTCCGAAAACAAAGCCAAACTGATCTGTGATTCCGAAATGAACCAAACTATATATAAATGTACCATCTAGGCACGCGAAAGAAAGCACGAAAGAAGGTCCTGATGCCTTCAATGTCCAGCTGCAATATAAGCGCTAATCCGAAGAGGAAGAATGCCCTTTGACGTTTCCTTTCCAAAGGCCACAGAGAATCCCAAGCTGAGAAAAGGAAGTTTCCAGTCATTTAGAAATGAACTTCACAGACTGAATCGAGCCTGTACACGAGCACGCGTATTTCGTGCAAAATTACCTTGCATCGAGATGTTTGCATTACTTGTTCTCTGACCAAGGCTGCCATTATACTGGTCCTGTTTTAGTATGTTTGAAATGACCGAAGCATAGCTGGGTGCCTCTGACAATGATCTCACTACTGAATAGCCTGTTTGCAGAGAAAAGAGAGCAGAGATAAATGAGTAATGTCCTGCAAATGAAACTCGGTTCAACACAGAGGACAAGACTTTGCACTGTTCTCACCTGTTGCTGGATGTACCATGCTAGCAGCAGCACCAAATGCAAGGTTCTTTTGCTCCGTGTTTGGTAAGGAACCGCCAACTGGAATATACGACCATTCCTGCACAGAAAAATAAAAAGACTATGACACCTAAATGAAGCCAAGAACTTGAAATTTTTGCCTATTCTATACAATTTACACACTGGAGAAATAGATAGCACGAATGAACAGGCTCCAAGAAATATTGAGCGCAGTGGAAGGCTTCTGTGTCATGTATGATATGGTACTCCCGACAATGTACAACCCACCATAAAAGTTAAAAGAAACTAAAGCAAACAAACAGTCTAGAGGAGAATGTAGTTAGTTGACAAATACCTCTTCGTAAGTTCTCAAAATTCGGATTCCCATGGTCTCTAGTCTCGACATGAGCTTTCTTTTTAGCAAGTCAAACGGCATGGCATCTTTTGATGCTAAACATGTTTCCTGCAAAGAAGTGCCCATAAATGTTACGAACATTCTGGATAAAGTTGCAGTTACGATAACCATACAAATCAGAGTCTAACAAACCTCAAAGAAGACTCTCGTGGAGGTCATGGGCATAACGTAGAGGAATGTTGGGTATTGAGCTTCCAGTGATGAAGGATCTTGCTTAGTGTAATCTCTGTAATCCATGAAAACCATCAGACTGGGATCATATGGATTGTTTTCCACCTGAAATCGTAAGAAAAAAGTTGATTATGAAAGGCAGGACTATTGCATCTCTGAGACATAATAATGTTCACTCTTTCAAAACAGTGTCACAAGGTATATAGCGAGCTCCTAGTCCTAGACAAGCGAATTCGAAAGAAGTAAAGCGAGTATAATCGGGTAAAATGATTTAAAATCTTAGCGCTGCATGTAGCATACCTCAACTTCCACGCCATATGCAGTTTGAACAGAGACCCTCGGGCCTCCTACCTCGTACTCCAAGAGTTTTCCTGAAGCTGCACCTGATGCAACAGAGGCAAGTCTATAACAATATGTTAGGAACTTGTAGTGGAATAAACTGATACCATAATAAGCTTACTTTATACAGTCATTAAACGAAGGGACAAAGTCTACCTGCACGGAACAAGAACATTATGCTCACAGACTACAACACTGTGTCCCTCAGTTGCTTCAACTATACTTTCCACTTTCGAGTTAAGATATGAAACACCTGACTCGACACACCTAGAGAAAATCATTATACATCATATATCCACAAAATTCTAATATCTGACAAGCTAAATATGGGACGAGATCATCAGCATTATACAACACAAAGAACATTGTCACAGATCTCTTACCTTCTTAACAATTCTTCATGAAGCAAGTCTCTATTAACTCGGCCATAGGCGCGGCCAACCATAATGGGATCTCCATCATCAAGATATACAATAGTGTCCCTCCAGACGTGCTCAATGCATCCAGCAAGACCAAGATCTGGAAACAAGTTGTCCATGTGGTGAACTAAGATATAATATGCAGAGTATGGAAAAGAGAATCAAGAAAGTGGAGTAAAATCTACAGTGAGCATTGGAATGAGCAAAGATAGTAAGTTCAACGGCAGTTAAGGGCTAACTGATCAGATTCTTAGAAGTGGATCAAAAGGGTATTAGTTATTACCTTTAAATTCATCCTCCCAAACGCCGTAATTGTTAGTAAAAGGAAGATCAGGTCCAATTAGCCCGACATTCAATCCCAACTTGGCCGATTCTGCCGCAAGTGCCAGCCCAGCTGGACCACAACCAATCACCACCAAATCCAGTACTTCGCCTCTGGTTGTTATAGGCGGTAACTGCAACCAAGTGAAAATCGCAAGGAAGATTATGCTCTGTTCATCGCAACACTAAAATGAACAGAGGACTCCTTCTAACCACGAGGAAATGTAGTCTGCAAATATTGCATATAGACACTCTAATGAACAGAAAATAACTAGGTTGAACCAAACGGCTTGCGGCAAACAGGTACAGGAGCTCCTGAGTCTCCAGCCCCAGGATAACAGGAAACAGAACCCTAATGGCTAAACTAGGCTGCTTGAATGAATGCGTTCTCGTGAAAAGCAGCCTTGGCGGGAGATTGAAGCAATGGCCGGACAAATGTTTTCTCCGATTTCCATCTCATAGTTCCGAAACAGCGTAACGAGCGCGGGCGCCAGCTAAACTTTCTATTTCCGGCGGCATATATAGACCAAGAAGCAGAGCGGCTTCTCAGCCGCAGACATTGCGTTCCTAATAAGCATACACACGCTACGGAATCGGCGGCAACGCAGTAAATAGAGAAGCAAGAAGAACGCGAAATCAGTGGGGGACCGACTGCTGACCTTATCAGCAAGTTTGGACTGTTTATCCATGTCTTTCTTCCGCTGCATTTGGACGAAATACAGCTCGGAGCCACCGGCCTTGACGAAATCCTCCTCGTCGGCGAAATCATCAATAACTGCCACACAACTCTCGCTCCCTGCGCCGCCGCTCGCAATTCTCAGCTCCTTGCAGCACATTTTCTTCCGCTTCTCATCCGCGGCGGCGGCGGGAGGAAAATGAAGAGGAGGAGGGCGATAACTCAGCTGCAATCTCCGGCTCGACGTTGCCGTGGGGAAAGAGAACACCGCCGTGATCGCCATGTTCCGCGCCCCGATACACTCCATTCTCGACCTGCTTCTTCCCTACGCTCTCCCGTTCCCTCGAGGAATTAAAAAAAAAAAAAAAAAAGAGGAATCCGTAACGGCGTTCCTCAACTTTCACGACATTGCCGTGATTCTGCTAGTGATGAGGTTTCTCTCTCTCTCTCTCTCGCTCACGCCTTGTGCGTTTTACCGGCTCGGATTTTCACGCTTGGAGAGTGGGAGAGCAGCAGAGCTTCTCGCTTCACAGGAAACCAGTGGGGAAGAGAAGAGCGGATTGGATAGGGAAGGGGGAGAGAAGGACGTGGTTCTCCTGTGGCTTTGCTTTCTGCTGACGTGTCAAACGAGTCGTCTCCTATTCTGTGACGTGGCCATGTCCTATTGGCACTGTTGAGGCGTCGTGTTTTTTGCAGCCCAACACAAGCACAAGGCCAGAGGCCCAGAAGGCACGGTGCTGGATTGGGCCACTAACGACCCAATTTGTCTACTGCTCCATTGGCTAAGAAACAGTAAAGTTGGATAAACGACAGCGTATGGTAAGTTAGGTGCAAACGATGCCGTCGCTTGTTTCTCGCGATTAGGGCTTTTGATTTTGCTGGCTTGGCGGAGGCGGCGGTCCCCCGCCATGAACAAAACATCTTCTCAGGTATAGCTCAAAGGAATTTAGCGGCCGGCGTTGTTTGGGAGGAGAAAAAGAACTAGGGCGAGAGAGATGGGGAATCCGAAGCAGAAGTGGACGGCGGAGGAAGAAGAGGCTCTGCGAGCTGGGATAGCCAAACACGGCACAGGTAAGTGGAAGAACATTCAGCAAGACCCGGAGTTCAACCCCCACCTCTCCACTCGCTCCAACATCGATCTCAAGGTCTCTCTCTTCTTCTGCTCCCCTTCGTTGCCTTCCATTCATGGCGTTTTGGAAACCGATACGTCTCCCCGTCAACAATTTTGTTTGTTTCTCTGTTTTTTACTGTTTTTTCACAGGATAAATGGCGGAATATGAGCGTCGGCTCCGGCGAGAAATCGCGGACGCCGAAACCCAAAGTCGCTGCCTCCGATGCTGTCGTGGCTGCAGCTCCGTTGGCCATTGCTCAAGCTCCCGCTCCCGCCCCAGCTGCTGCTCCAGCTCCAGCTCCTGTTCCTGCTCTTGTTCCTGCTCCTGCTGCTGTTGCCCCTCCTAAGGCAGAAGTAACCATGGAGGAAGCTGCCAAACCAATTATTGTACCTGATGTGAAAATTGCCTCCAAGTAATGCTCTGTTACCATTGTCCTTTTTTTGGGTTTGGCTATCTTCGTTTCACCTTGCCCGCTGCTCCCATTCGGTTGTGTAGTTTCATGGATAATGACTTACCTAACACACTTCCTGAAGGGAGGCATTCATTCGTTGCTATCTAGATCAATCTCTGAACATGGGTCTCCCTGAATTGGAATTTGTTTGGCTTACTACTTGAGTGCAATGCTTGCTTTCACTATCTGAGTTTCCCCTCTATGCAACCAACCGTGTTTTGGATTCTTGGCTGTCAGTTTCTTCTGCTAATCCTTGTCTCCTAGAATGTTATTTGATTTCTCAAAGCCTGTTTAGAAAGGCCTGCAGTTTTACTTTCCACTTTTCAAGCACTTCAATTCCCTTAAATGTAAAGGCTTTTTTGAGTTGTACCTCTTGGAGGATATGTTGGAATCTTTAGGGTAAAAGGTTGATTATTAATTCAGTTCGAGGGTTGAGATGACAGAACATGGAGGGACGGTGTATGAATGGAATTAAGATCTTTTGGTTCTAACATATAGGATAATTATGAGCTCAATCTCGGGTGAACTCGATGCATCTTTAGCGGCAAGGCAGTTCTGCATCCACTTAAATTTTGTTACTGCATTTGGTTAAAAAATACTCTGTTCTATTCATTTTAAACATGTAACTGCTGATGGAATTCATTTAAATTTTTTACAGGTATGATCCAATGATATTTGAAGCAATTACGGCCTTGACTCGAGTTGAGACGAATGTTGTTGATATCAGTGCAATTATCAGCTTCATCGAGGTATGGTGGTAATCTCAGTCACCATGTTATTATTTTTGCTGAAAGTTTGATGTGGTCTCACCATAAGAACACTACCTACCAGCTACCCTCCCAACTGTTGATAAAAAGAGTAGATGAGCCCATATCATGCAGCTTATACATTTGTTCTGGTGGCCCTTTTCTCTTGCTTTGTGACTCAAAACACATCTCTTGTGGTTTGGTTTTTGATATATGCAGCAAAGGCAAGAGTTACCACAAAATGGTAGGAAGCAAGTAACTTCTAGGTTGAGGCGCTTGGTTCAAAAGGAAAAACTTGAAAAGGTTAGTAGTTCTAATTTTAAAGGTCACTTGTTTGTTGATGTCTTTCTCAAAATTTTGTAGCTGTACATTTGTAACCTTTGAATACGGAACTAAAGTGTCCTGCTTCATTCTTCTTTTGTCTATATATTTAGATAAAGAAACTGATATCCAGATCTAGGTTCCAACCAGTTACTGTTTTACTTCTCGGTACTCTTTTCTTCCTTTTTATCAGTAAGAAGAATGATCGAATGATAAGTAGAACAGGGCATTCAGGTACTATCAAGTAATCTCAATGCTAATAATATATACGTACTTTGATGATAAGGAAAGCAACACTCGTACGATCACAACCTTCGCCTTGTCAGAAAATAAGAAGTAAAAAAAGAAAATTTTCGTCAAATCGTAACTTGATTCAGGAATGGGAGATCTTATTACTGTCAACCATTGGCAAATATTTCTAGCTGTTACCGATTTATGTTTCTTAACTATCCTTTTTGTTAAATACTGCACCCCATTAGCAAAAGACTGCATATAAAAGTCGTCAAGCTCATCGTTATCAGTAAAAGTCATATGAGAAGCTATATATGTGATATAAATTCTACTGAAGATGGTGGTTGGTCCTTGTTGATGCATTATGCTGCATATGCAGATTCAAAATTCCTATAGGTTTAAGGAAAGTAACCCAGCTACAGCTCCTGTTAAAAAAGCACCTTCTCCGAAGAAGGAAGCTCAACCTAAACAGTTGCAGAGCACTGATTCGGTTATCTCAGATGATACAGTGGAAGAAGCAGCAGTGTCTGCTGCCTACAGAATCGCCGAAGCAGAGAACAAATCCTTCGTTGCTGCTGAAGCTGTGAAGGAAGTGGAAAGGATTTTGAAAATTGCTGAAGACACAGAATCAATACTGCAACTTGCCAACCAGATATTTGAGAAATGTAAGCCAGACATACATTTTTCAGTCTACGATTGCCTTTCAATCTCAGTTTTCGTCTCTGTTTCATTGTCTGCCAAACTTAAAGTCTCGAGTGAAGGAAAGTTCTTAAGATATGTGTGCTCTTGATGTGTGGCAGGTTCCCAGGGGGAGATTGTAATCTTATCATGTGATGCGAGTTGAACGCCAGGGGGAAACTGAACGGAAACTGAACATTCTCGTACTAAGGTGCATTGTAAATACTGTGTGTAATTTCAGTAGAGAGGCTCATCAGGGCTAAATTTTGTGACCGATTCTCTAGTCTAGTCTAGTATATATAAATGTATTCTTTCCCCTATATAATGCTCTGCTGTTCATGCAGCAAACCATTTGATTCAGCTTTCCTGAAGTTGGGACCCGAACCAAGTGGAATTCCTTACTGCAATCGTGTTATCGTTTGTTCAAAAATCAATTAATTTGAGCTTCCATATATCTCATTGATAGGGCTAACTGTGAGAGTGAGAGGGTTCATTAAGCTAACTAAAAATGCAGTCCACTAAACCTAACCGGTGGAATTTATCGGTGGTTTGGTTTTTAGTATTGTTCTAGCTAGATTGTTACCATGCTTGCAATGTTTTTATTATATTGTTTTATTTTTGTACACAAAAAATGCAAAGGTTGTTTGATTGATCGATGTGACAGAAACAATCAAAATGAATAATTATACAATCTAAATTTTAGCTGAAACTGTCGGTATGGCTTAATTGTTATTTTTGTAGTTTCTATATTGTAGAAAGTACTTTTTGTAATGAAAAGAACAACACAATTGACATTTCTGTTAAAAATTGATTTCTCTTGTTAATTGTTCATTTCTCTTGTTAATTGTTGAAAACATCATTACGTATTCCAAACATTGCAATTCATAATACATCCAATTCATTAAATACGTATATAATACATGTCTTGACCAAAATACATAGATTTGACAATCGGAGTAACCAGATGTCTCATCATCTTAGTTTACTTCGATTTAAATATGTAATGTGTTCTTGATTTAGCAACTCAAACAACATCAAGCGGAAAAAAAGTCGACGGCGGGGAGCTTCTTACAACCTGATTTTTTTTTGTTTTTGCGATTAATGAAATTGCTACTTACTTTAGTTTGCTTCGATTCAAATATCATATGTAATATTTTGTTGATTTAGCAACTCAAACAAGATCTAACCGGGGAAAAGCAAAAGACGGGGGCTTGTTTCGACTTGGAATTCTTTCGTCGATTAATGAAATTGTGAGTTACAATATCGCTTCTTTTTTTGTGTGTTTCAGTTTTGCACGTCGTCGATGGCACGACTATAGTATCGTTACGATATTGATATCGATGTAGTTTTTTCGAAACAGAGGAGCCCTCCTTATTCACCACATTCCGTTGAGGTTTTCGGATCAAAACTTGCAGCCACCCGTCGAAGAAGAATAGTTCATCACCTCGAGAAACTGGGACGAAGAAGAATGATAACTCGCAGCAGCGGCAGCTTCCATCAGCGCAATCCGCTGCTGCTTCGCAACGTCCAACTTCAGCCCTTCCAGCTCGCTTCTCAACCGCACAAGCCCATCAAGCCCAAGTTCATCTACTGGACATCTAGTCAGCCAGCTCTCTTGGGCCTTCATCACCTGGCCCACCATCTCCACGTGGTCCCTCTCGGCTTCCAGCTGAGTGAGAATCTGGGCCAGCTGCGCGTTCTTCAGCCCACCACCACCACCACCGGCCTTAACGACGGCGCTTTGACGGCGATGAGCGCCTCCGCCGTCCGGAATCGGGTCCTGATGGGCCAGGAACCTGCCGACGACCGAGCCCACGTCGGGATGTCCGAACGAGTACGCCTTGCCGGCCGGGGAGAAGACGATGACGGCGATTTCGATCCCGCAGAGGGTGCAGAGCTCGCTGGCCTTCTTGAAGAGTCCGGCGCGGCGTTTGGAGAAGGTGACCTGTAAATGGTTCTTCTTGGGTATTTTTCGGATCGGGATCTTCTGCCGACCCGAATTCGACTTGTCCATTTGGAAAAGGAAACGGACGCAACAAGTATGGAAGAAAAAGGAATGATAGATAGAAAGAAAGGAAGGAAGAAGGTGAAGTGAAGTACTAAAGATCTAGTACTTGATTTGCTCGAAAGGAAAACCATGGCTATTTATAGGGTTGTTGCTTCCCTCCAAATTATTGACATTGTTTGTGGGGTTTGTTAAACCAGTTCGGTTTAGTAAGTGGTATGAACCGATTATAGTATAACCGGTTTTATATTGGTTTTAATAAAAATTGAAGGGTTATAAAAACGCGCAGGGAAAATGGGAAATTATTAACAAAAGATAAATTATATAGATAAATTATATCTCAAGCTAGATTATATTGGTTTTAAATATACTACATTATTACAAACAAACGAAAAAAATAACCATTTTTAAATGTAATATGTTTTACATCCACATTCAAACATTTATATTTCAATTCAAAAAAAATAACAATAATATACATATTTAAATAAAATACAACAATAAAAATCAAATGACAAACCCTCATATTTAAATACAATAACTTTTTTAATTAAATTCATCAAGATGACATTATTTAGTAGGGTCATAAATTGGTAATATCGGTCGGACCATTGATTTTCTGGTTTTGACATATTTTAACTACCACTTCATACTGGAGGTATTTCAGACAATTTTGTATAAGTACCGGTTGAACTCAATTAACCGACCAACATTCCACCTGGTTTAACAACCAGGGGGTTACATAATTGTTTATGGCTCTTCAATTATCTTAATTATTGTTGTTGCTTGGTGTGATCAATGCACATTTGGGAAGGAGGGGTTATGTTATCCTCCATCATTATTCCCAAAATAATTACAATTATTTCACCAAAAGTAAATATGCTAGTTGGCAAATGGCAATGGGAGTGATTGACTTTGGAGTATTCGATCTCCAATTGTCAACCTTTGTGGTGGGTTACTAGATTGAGAAATAATAATAAATATTATTGTGAAGAGTATAATTGCGCTTTAGGGAATTGTGGTTAATGCATGTAAGTAAACCCTATTGCAATTTCCTTGCGCCAAATTAAGAAGAGATAATGGGAGTATAATTGGTGAAGTATAATTGCATTTAGGGAATTGTGGTTAATGTATGTAAAGTAATCCTATGTGATCTCCTCAGCTCCAAATTAAGAAGTTCTTTATGGCTACATCACAATGCTTTATCTTCTTCTTCTTCATTTTTTATATATTATTATTATTTATTTGTTTACATTACAGGAGGACAGAAGTCAAGAAACCTAGAAAACAGGATGGAGGAATAGGAATAAGAGGATGATTAGGCCAGCTGGCCAGGGGATGCACCAAAACTAGGGGTGTCAGTTCGGGTCGGGTTTGGTTAGCCAAACCGAAACCCGAAAATCACTAAAACCGAACCCGGTAAGGACTTATGGGTTCCGGTTACCCGAAACCCAAAAATTCCTTATCGGGTTCGGGTTCGGTTAAAGCAAAACCAAAACCCGAAAATCCGAACGCCTAAAAATACAGGCTGAGTTCTATTCATTGGAGGTTTTTAGCCGGATCCCGAAAAACCGATAAGCAAAACCGAACCCGAAACAAACCCGAACCCAAAAAACCAAAAATGTATATAATCGGGTCGGTTTCGGGTAAACCCAAAAAACCGAACCCGAATTGACACCCCTAACCAAAACTTGGCGCTCAAACCATATCCCATCATATCATCTTGAAGAAGCTTATTTAGCTATCTTGTCAGGTTAGTAAGTTCATGCATATTGTAGTGATAGACGAATTGTGTTTCAAGAGTGTTTCGAGAGCCTGATTCTATTTTCTTCTCGATATGTATGAAAAATAGTAATTAATCATGAGCTAGTTTTTTTCCCCGAATTGAGGCCAGCAAGGAGGTGCACAGGTTCCTTGATAGGGCAAAAGCGTATAGCTTCAATTCCTATCTTGTAGTAAACCGGAAAGTCCGGGTATCGTCTCTCAGGGACTGGTACAACCTTAAGATTTACCGATTTAATAGAGCAAACTATAGGTGAAAATGATTTAATGAGATTATTAACTACTAGCAAAATTAACTAAACAAGCAAATTAAAGTGTCGGGTTTAAATCAATGGGAGAAAGCTCTGGGAGAAACACCGGGATTCACTACCTATCCTATCCAGATTAACACATATTCCAATCAATTTAATCCATACCTCTACAGCCAGGATATCACGAATGTGCTAGCTATCCCTGTCGGGAATTACTACGTACTAGATAGTCAATTCAAATCCTACTGTCGCAGCTCAATGAATTAACTATTTAGTCTGAAGATCGATATCCTATTTAAGACCGCATAGCACCTTATTTAATCCACTGTCGCTTCGATAAGTTACTATGTCACATGAAATATGTTCAGTTAATAGGGTTTCACTGTCGCTAATAACCTAATTAACTACAAATCGTTGTATTGGTGGCCAGTCAACACAAAGCATTAAGCAATTTCATGCAATAGAGATTGGAAGAAAAGAATCATGAATCAATCCATCAAATCAAGAAATAGCTACATCCTATGGTGTTTCCCCCAGAAATTGGGGTTTAGTTCATGATGAAATTAAGATAAATCGATAGGGTTTTGTTCATCATGTTCTAAAACAACAAGAAACAACTAATTAGGTTTAGAAAATCCAACCAAATAATCGCTCTCGTTGAACTCAGCTCTAGCCGCTTGGAAAAAACTGCTCGTTGCTCGATACGCTCTCTGCTGCGCCCTGCTGCCTTTCTCCGCTGCTTTCTTTCTTTCTCCCCCCTGATGCGCCTCTTTTCTTCTTCTTTTTTTTTTTCAAGAGAATTTCGTTCCCCCCTGGTCAAGTAAAGTCCGCCCGGTTCCAATTGTCTCCACCAAAGAGATTCCCCTCCAAAATTGGCTGTGTCCAATTCTTCCACCCTTTGTTCCGCCGCCCAGCAAGGAGATAAAACATAAAATGGGCTTTGGCCCAATCCAATTCTTTGGCCTCCAGCTCTAGTTTCCGTCCCACGTTCCGTCCAATTCCTCTGCGCCTTAGCCCAAGTGAGTAGTCCATAAGTAATTCGAGCCCGATTTATTGCTTGTGCACTCGCTCCTCTTTCGTGTCTTCTCCACCTGTATCATATCAAACTCATGGCACTAGGCAGTAATGGTTTTTCAACCATTCTCGGGTTAGCGAGCCCTAAAATAGTACCAATTGGCTAAAACATACTACAGATAATCACATAAAGTCCACGAATCCGATATATTAAAGCCGAATATCACAACCCCACACTCAATTGTTGCTTGTCCCTAAGCAACGACTCAAACAACACAAACACATAATCATCCAAAACAATGACACATTACAGACTCAACATTCAAAGCAAAACACAAAATTTCCTTGTACTCTTGTTGTAATCAGTAGTTTCTTTCTCAAGAACAAGTTGTGCTCTAATGGTCATACTTTTCACCCCACACTCAAGTTCTTTGCAACCATTACCATTGACTGACTCAAATCCATCCAAAAACTCAAATAGCAACACTCAATTTCGATCGTCGGTAGTGGGTGGTTAACAACTTATGGTGCAACAATTATTAGGAGAATCTAACCACATCAGTGAGGTGCATATCTCGTGAGGACAGTCTGGCTTACTCACACCAATCATAAGCAATTAATTAAGCATGAGTCTCAAAAACTAATGGGGGAAGCCTTTCGCAAACATGATTTTACTTTAAGCACATCACTACCTTTTATGACAAGGAGAGGCTTTCTCTCTTTCTGCTTTTGCTTGCCGAGAGGTCGTATTTAGTACAAGTGGGATTTGTTTCTTACTACCGGTGACCGAGCAAGAGCAATTTCTGCTTCTTAGCACTCGCATAAGAGCTTCTTTTAACTCCTTATCCTCGGTCCGTGTGGAGGGTCATTGCTCCTCAAATGGCACTTCACTCAACTGGGGATCGTACTTGATAAGCAACATCGTACGGTCGCGAACCGATTCTCAATTGAATCTTTCCTCATCCCCATGTGCAATGAGTGATTGCCTCACACGATTTTGGCATTTTTACCCACACTTTAATTGTTATGGCAACTTTCTTATCTTTTACTTGTCAGGTAGTGTTTTCTTTTATGAAGATACAGTTCACCCCATCATAAAACATTCAAAACAGAGAAACTCGTTGCCAAATCAAAAGCTCACAATTGATGCAAGTAAGCACGATATCCAAACATGTCGAATGGTCAATGTTCGCCACCTAACTACTTCACCAAAAGTCATTACACTATCCTCACAAAAGAGAATGTTGCTAAAAGAGTTTGCTCATTCAAAGCATATCAAGTCAGTCAAAACATTCAAGCTCATTGTGAAGAACTATGCAATTCAACACTAGTGGGGTGATTTCGATGATTTCATTCAAGCACAAACTCATTTTCAAGGCATCACGGTCATTTACATCATGTTACCACAAGAGTACAAGGTTTTGTTTTTGATTTTTCTGATTTTTAGGTGTTTTTTAGCCATTAGATTAACACAGGCAGCTTGCTTTTTACACAGGCAGACTGCTTTTTACACAGGCAAACTGCATGCAGTTTGGTTGTGCTCAACCTAATGGCAATTTTTTTGGATTTTTTGTTTTTTTTTTTTTTACCGACCACATGACAAAAGGAACAAACAAATTTTTTTTTTTTTTTTTACTGACCACATGACAAAAGGAACAAACAAACACTAAGACTCGCCACCCCACACTCAGGATGGAACATTGTCCCTAATGTTCAACTCCTAATCTAAACATGCACGGGTTTGACACAACTAAAAATAAAAATAAAGAAAAGAAAACTTACCTTGGGTTGCCTCCCAAGAAGCGCTTGTTTAACGTCCTCAGCCTGACGTTTATGGAGCTTTCAACCAATGGGTATGGAAAGGTATCCAGCATACCCTCCCGAGCAATGGTAGAACGCATAACCTCCATCCAGCATATGAGTCACCTCTGCAGGGCCAGGTGTGCGAAAATTGGGTATGACCTTCTTAGCTGGCATGTTAGACCCTCTAGTGAGGCGTAGGTGGTACTGCAGCGCCTCAAGCAGGTACTCTTCCTGTTTCAATGTCAGTGAAGAAGGAATAATAACAGGAAGATTGAAATCCTTACCCAAATATCTATACTTGAGGTGACCTGGCAAGGATTTCTGCCCTTGCTTTGACTTCAGAATCTGAGCAGATAGGATAGGTGATAGTTCTTCGGATGGTCCACTATCACAGGAAGAGGGATTTTTCCTTTCTCGAGCTTCACTTTCAAATTCATCATGATTATGGTCAACTTGAAAGACATTAAAAATTTCCTCCTCCTTACCTACTCGGAATGTCAACTTGCCTCTCCCAACATCGATGAGTGCATCACCGGTTGCTAGAAAAGGTCTGCCGAGGATTAGAGGCACTCCCCGATCATCTTCCATCTCCAGGATTACAAAATCTGTTGGGAGAATAAACTTTCCCACCTTCACCAATACATTCTCCACCACTCTTTTTGGAATTTTCACTGATCGATCAGCCAATTGGAGAGTGATCCGAGTAGGCTTTAGAACATCTCCCAATCCCAATTTCTTGTAGACTGAGTATGGCATCAAATTAATTCCTGCTCCAAGATCACAAAGTGATTTATTGAATTCTGTACCTCCAATGACACATGGAATGGTGAAGCTGCCCGGATCATCCCTCTTTTCTGGTAATTTATTCTGAATCACAGCACTACATTCAGAAGTAAGGGTTACCTTCTCTAGATCAGCCCATTTCCGCTTCTTTGTCAGCAACTCCCTTAAGAATTTAGCATATGTAGGCATTTGTTCAAGTGCCTCCGCCAAGGGTATGTTAATCTGAAGTTGCTTGAAGATATTCACAAATTTCTTGAAGTTTGGGTCTTCCATGGGCTTCATTAACCTTTGAGGGAATGGTGCGGGAGGTTCATAAGGCTTTACCTCTTCATTCTTCAATTTTTCCACTTTTTGAGGTACACGGGCAGCATGCTTTTGCACAGGCAAACCGCTTTCTTTTTGCCTGTGCAAGGCTGATTCTTCATTTTCTGCACAAGATCTTTCTCCCGGTGCTTCCTCTTCTGCCTCTGGTGCCTTTTTCGAGCTGCTAGGGTCTTCCAAGGCCTTTCCACTCCTCAATGTCACTGCTACAACCATGGCATCCTTCGGATTCCTCTCAGTATTTGCTGGTAATGTCCCAGGAATCCTGCCTTGCATATCTGCCAAAGTTTGAGCCATCTGGCCTATTTGCCTCTCCATAGCTAGCATAGAAGATTGTAAATTATTGTTGATGGCTAGCTGTTGAGTGACAAATTGATCCAGGCCCTTGAAATTATTGTCTGTTTTCTGCATATGAGCCAAAATCAACTCCTCCAGCTGGGGCTTCTTCTCTGGTTGAGGCTGCTGCTGTTGAAAACCGGGAGGTGGGATGTTTCGAACACCAGCTGGATTATTATTTGACCATGACATGTTGGGGTGATGTCTCCATTGAGGGTTATATGTATTTGAATACATACCACCCTGGCTTTGACTTCGCGGATTATTGATGTATTGGACATCTTCCAGCTGAGCAGCTCCCAGTGGACACATATCCCTGTGATGAGGACCCTCGCAAAGTTCACATGAAACAACCTCCTCTTGTCTACCCAGAGCAATCTTGGCCAACCTTCGTTCGAGTGCATCAAACTTGGAATCCAGTTTAGCATCTATCTTGGCTTCTAGACTCGCAACTCTGTTTATCTCATGCAAGCCTCCTCTCCTTCGAATACTGGTCTCACTACCCCATTCAGTGGCTTCTGAACAGATCTTCTCTACCAGATCATATGCTGCTGGTGCCTCCATGCTTGTGAAACCATTTCGAGAAGCAGTATTCAGGGCATCCCGAAACTCCCTTCTGATTCCATTGAAGAAAATAATGATCACGTTCCAATCTTCAAGACCATGGCTTGGGCATCTCATCAACAGCCCCTTGTAGCGCTCCCATGCCTCAGTCAGACTCTCATCATCAGTCTGCTTAAAAGTAACAATCTCTTCTTGCCTCTTCATTGCCAAGACAGGTGGGAAGTATTTATCCAGAAATACCTTCTCAAGCTGACCCCATGTCGTGATGGAACGGGGTGTTAAGTTTTGGAACCAGTGTGATGCATTCCCTAGCAGAGAAAATGAGAACATCCGAAGACGGATTGCATCATCAGACACGTTCGGGCTCTTCATAGTATCACAAATGCTCGCGAACCGGCGAAGATGCTCATGAGGATCCTCACTGCTAGCCCCGGAGAAGGTGTACCCATTAGTGATCATATTGATGAAGGCTGGGGTAATCTCCATGTTTGCATCCCCAGCCGGAATGACAACACATGAAGCTCGGGCTCCAGTCCTTCGATTCAGACGAGCCCTGATCGAACGATCCTCGTCTGCCATGATGACAAGCTCAATGTCACGAGGTGGTGGTGGTGGTGGTGTAGGGACGACAGGTGATGAAGCCTGCCCTCTCTGGGTTAGGGAAGGCCTAGTGGTTGTGGTTGGCTGCTTCCCTAACTTGACCTGCTTCCTGTTCTGTCGGCAGGTCTTCTCGATCTCCAGATCTAGTGGCAGTAAATCGCCGGTCGTCCTCCTAGGCATGCACGAGGAGGATAAACCTGAAAATTCTTCTGCACACTAACACCCAGATCAAAATAGTTCACTCACAAAAATCAATAAAAATAAGGTATGGCAGTCCCCGGCAACGGCGCCAAAAACTTGATAGGGCAAAAGCGTATAGCTTCAATTCCTATCTTGTAGTAAACCGGAAAGTCCGGGTATCGTCTCTCAGGGACTGGTACAACCTTAAGATTTACCGATTTAATAGAGCAAACTATAGGTGAAAATGATTTAATGAGATTATTAACTACTAGCAAAATTAACTAAACAAGCAAATTAAAGTGTCGGGTTTAAATCAATGGGAGAAAGCTCTGGGAGAAACACCGGGATTCACTACCTATCCTATCCAGATTAACACATATTCCAATCAATTTAATCCATACCTCTACAGCCAGGATATCACGAATGTGCTAGCTATCCCTGTCGGGAATTACTACGTACTAGATAGTCAATTCAAATCCTACTGTCGCAGCTCAATGAATTAACTATTTAGTCTGAAGATCGATATCCTATTTAAGACCGCATAGCACCTTATTTAATCCACTGTCGCTTCGATAAGTTACTATGTCACATGAAATATGTTCAGTTAATAGGGTTTCACTGTCGCTAATAACCTAATTAACTACAAATCGTTGTATTGGTGGCCAGTCAACACAAAGCATTAAGCAATTTCATGCAATAGAGATTGGAAGAAAAGAATCATGAATCAATCCATCAAATCAAGAAATAGCTACATCCTATGGTGTTTCCCCCAGAAATTGGGGTTTAGTTCATGATGAAATTAAGATAAATCGATAGGGTTTTGTTCATCATGTTCTAAAACAACAAGAAACAACTAATTAGGTTTAGAAAATCCAACCAAATAATCGCTCTCGTTGAACTCAGCTCTAGCCGCTTGGAAAAAACTGCTCGTTGCTCGATACGCTCTCTGCTGCGCCCTGCTGCCTTTCTCCGCTGCTTTCTTTCTTTCTCCCCCCTGATGCGCCTCTTTTCTTCTTCTTTTTTTTTTTCAAGAGAATTTCGTTCCCCCCTGGTCAAGTAAAGTCCGCCCGGTTCCAATTGTCTCCACCAAAGAGATTCCCCTCCAAAATTGGCTGTGTCCAATTCTTCCACCCTTTGTTCCGCCGCCCAGCAAGGAGATAAAACATAAAATGGGCTTTGGCCCAATCCAATTCTTTGGCCTCCAGCTCTAGTTTCCGTCCCACGTTCCGTCCAATTCCTCTGCGCCTTAGCCCAAGTGAGTAGTCCATAAGTAATTCGAGCCCGATTTATTGCTTGTGCACTCGCTCCTCTTTCGTGTCTTCTCCACCTGTATCATATCAAACTCATGGCACTAGGCAGTAATGGTTTTTCAACCATTCTCGGGTTAGCGAGCCCTAAAATAGTACCAATTGGCTAAAACATACTACAGATAATCACATAAAGTCCACGAATCCGATATATTAAAGCCGAATATCATTCCTGTCAACTATTGATCAAAATAATGGCCAGCTGGGAATCAAAGCTTTATCTAAAATGAGTGCTGATTAAACGAAAAGGTTAATTTAAATCTATTAAATCAATGAAAATTGTAAGATGGTCATTACGAATAATCCCAGAAATTTTGATAACCAAAACCTAAAAGAATTACTAACCAATCGTTAAAAGTTGGAGCTAGAAATGGGGTCTTGCAATTCTGGTATTAGGTCACATAATTAAGCGCCAATCCTACAAACGCCACACCAGAACTCGTTGATAAAAACCTCTCCATTTAATTGTCTTGAAATGTTTAGCATCCAACTACTGCAAACAATATTTGACTGATACAGATTAATCCCAAACCCTTACTCTGTAAGACCTACAGCACCAACAACTGCCCCTAGCAAAAACTTACAACCATAGCATTGATAGATTTGGAGAAAATCAAATCAAAATGTTCATCACCCACATCAACCAACAAACGACATTGTGTAAACTTGCTTGGGCGACCTACAACCAGCTAAAACATGAAGAAGACAGGGGTAGAGTAGCAAAAGAAAACAGTTCTGGGGTTACACATGTAATGGTAACAAGAAAATTTCACGTGAGATCCCCCCAACATCAACCCTGGACTACAAGAGAACGAGGCCAAGTTCAGATGGTCTAAGTGCCTGCTGCAAACGGTAGTTATACAGGTAATAGTGAAGCTGCCCATCACCTGGCCCGAATTTCAGCTCCTTCACAAAAGACTCGTTGAACATGACATCCAAGGCATTGAAAACGTCGAAATCCTTCTGCTTGGCAACAATCAAAGCATCGTTCATCAACTGCAGCAATGGGGTCTTGTTCGAGACGTTGTAATACGAATATGCAGCTTTCAAAGTCGAGTAGTTCTGGTTGCCAAGGATGGAGGACGGGAGGGTGTAGAAACTGCAGAAGTCGGTGATCTCATGGGTCTCCGGGCTCTCAACCACAAAACTATCAATGACGTTCTCAACAGGGCGAAGCCAATGCTCAACATCATCCTCATCAAAATAAGGTGCAACAGCAAACTGAGCCAGGTAGTCCCTTAGTAACCGAGTGACAGCCGGAACATCATGAAGCTCCATTTTTCTGAATCCAGGAGTAGCTGGTGAATCTGGCAACTTGTAAAGCTTTATAGTCCTGCTCATTGTCATCCTTGCACCAAGCCTGGAGAAGCCGACATCAATAAGTTTCTTGGGGTTCAAGGACCTGTGCCAGTACTGAGCAGTGGTTACTGGTGTTGGCAGAACCACTCCAGCTGTATAAGCTGCCTGCCAAATATTCTCCAGATGAACCCTCCTAGTAACCTCTTTGATCATGACCGGTGCAAGCCTCTTTGACCTAAGTTTCTTATGAACACAAAGGAAGTTGACCTCAGCCATCTTCACCACTTCACCACGTACCCTGATCCTTGCTGGAATACCCGTGATGAAGGCAACAAGCTTTTTGGAAGTTTTAGCACGCACCCCAATGTGCCAGCTCTTGTAGTATCCAGGAGGGCGCAATGCCCAGCTGAGGAACTCCTTGGAGTAATTGAACCGAAACATGTTCTCATCATCCTCAACATAGTTGTTCTTCAACAAAGCATAGACCTCGTTGCAGGTCTCATCGGACTCCATGTCACAAGTTGTCCACTCGTACTGTGCAGGCAGATTGTAAGGCTCTTGTTTGACCTCAGACAAAGGAGTTGCTGGCTCAATAGGCCCCTCAGGTAAATTCTTGTCCCCAACATCCTTGAATTGACCCACTGGCTGGGTTTCCCAAAACTTGTGCTGCTTGCCTACAGACATGGAGTCCTGAAATTGACGAACTATGGCTTCCAGGGAGTTATCCTCCTGAGATTGACCAGGCTGAGGAGTCTCGGAATCAAGAACTGGGTTTTCCTCTTTAGGCGAGGAATGATCATCTTTGTTATCACCCATCCCAACAGGCTCAATCTAAGCAGCAAATGCAAGTAGTTTTCGGAAGCTAGAGTAACTGGAAATCCTTCTCGGGTCAAGAAAAGCAATCATGCAAGAAAAAAAGCTCGAAATTAATCGGTGAGCGGAAGTATAGTATCGAAACAAAAGCAACTCAAGAAAGAAAAGTAAGAGGAACCCAGAACGAAATCAACCATCTTCAGTCAATGGGTTCGAACAAGTTCCAATCATGGCTCGCAGTTGTGGATTCAAAGATCAAGAAAATGAAAGAGCAATTAGATCTACACGAGTGTACAGAACGAAGATTGGCGAATGAACTCACCGGTCGGGCGGACGCAGCAGAAGGAACGGGTGGCGGCGGATTCCTCGACGGTGCACGGGCAATGGGAAGCGATTAGATCGTGGAAGCTGCCGATTGAAACTCAAAGATTTGAGGGCGTGGTCGATTCTTTGAGTGAGGTGACGACGGAGAAGTCAGAGCTCAGAACTCAGAAGGCGGCTTGGCTTAGCAACGCGGAATTTGTTTCTGAGGCTTTTTCTTTTTTGTTTTTGCTTTTACTTTCTTTATAGACCATAAGACGACACCGTATCGGCTGGGTTTCGGATATGAGAACCATATAACACAAAACGGCTTGCCGTTTCTTAGTTTTTGCTAGTGTTATCGAATTGTTAATCTTGTAAAATGTAAATGGACACTTTTATCAATCTTGTAAAAGGAAATCAAAATGAACCTTAAAAAAAAAACACTTGTAAATGAAAATCATTGAGAAATAGATATTGTAAGTTGTATCTAAATAATTTTATAAAGTTAGAATAATATATACATCACCACGGGGAGTTCTACGGTATCCCGTGTGAAATCCGGGATACCGCATACATTGAGTAAGAAAACGCTATCAAGAACTTGAATTGACTGATCTTTCGGACATGATACTATACTCTAACCCTTAAAGATCATAATCTAGTTCCTAATTCTCTAATTCTTATACCCCTAGATCAATTTAATTAGAAACAATAATCGACGATTATGATTCGTCCAAATATAGGGGGAAAATCAATGCACCATCTTAGAGTTTATAGTTTATGATTTAGATAATTAGGATCTAGGGTTCACTCATTAAGGGTTAGGGTATAATATCATGCCCAAAATTCCTGCTAATTCGAGGTCTAAATAGCATCTTCATACTCAAAGTATGTGGTATCCCAGATTTTACCAAAGGTACCGTAGAAGGCACCCACCGTATATGTGTGTGTAATTTATTAGCGAGATTCAAAATAGAATGAATAAGAAAGTGATGAGAAAATAAGAGATAAACTGTCGTCATAACTAGAGATTCAAAATAGAATGAATAAGAAAGTGATGAGAAAATAAGAGATAAACTGTCGTCATAACTAGATTAGGCTAAACAATCCTCAATCGAATATTGATTATATAATTGTATATGTGATTGGGAATTTAAGATTATGAATATTGATTGTGCTTTTCAATATGTAGAATTTTATTAATATTAATTTTCATAACTACTATAAATCCGTTATATTTTATAGCATATTGTAAGTAACCTATTTTTTAAAATGGTTTCATATCCGCCAACTAGCAATTAACTAGTAAATTTTGAACCTCTTATTACTCCGATCTAGTTCTGACAACATCGGATAAAATAAACACACATACTGCCCTCATATTAAGTGCAAGACAGACAAACATTACAAGTGATAAAGAAGCTGAAAGCCTGAAATAGATCGAGTCAATAATATGCCTACATATTAGAAAACAATTATTGATTACTCCATACAACCATACTACATATATGCGATTGCGTAGTAATTACTAAATAATACGAGTAAATTGTCATAATACAACAATAGTAATCGCTAATCAATTATTAAAAAAGAAGTTATAGGAATTCCAACTCAAAACGTTACTTAAAGAGTTGGGAGCAAGGTTGTCAACCCGCGGGTTGATCCGGACCCGGTTGAGTTAGTGGGTCAAGGGTTAATGGGTCACCCATTTTAACCCGGTTTAGCCCGGAACTATGGAAAGCGTCATTATATTGTACTTATCCTGATAAATTATATCAAATCTCATATAACATATGAGTTATAACATATAATATTACACCAAAATAACATTTCGTACTTAGATTCAACATATAGTGAAAATTCACACACCCTTATATAACATTAATATTCAAATGTTCAACTTAGGATTCCAAAGAGTGAGTTAGGCGAAAAGAAAAATCGGAAAATAGGCGCATTTCGCAAAACAAAGAAAAAAATGACACAATTTGACCTCCAACCCGGTACCTTGTGGCGGTCGACCCGGCAAGTGCGTGCGGCCCGTTTTTCTCACCGGGTCAGGGTCAAAGTGGGTCAACCCTCGGATTGACAACCTGGGAGCTAAATCATCCTAATCCAAAGCTGTAGTTGTACAGTAGCTGCGACTAACCAGTGTTTCTTAATTATTTTATTTCCAAGTGAAATAATTCTTTCTTTGATTAAGAAAAAAATCATTATTTCACTAGGATCCAGTCCAGTGAAGGTCAGATGCGGCTTTGCTATGCCCACTTGGCCGGCCGACGAAAGTCGATCTTTCAGTTCATCATAGTGGTGTTTGCTTGCTGCTCTTTGGTTTACGTCGCTGTTCAATGGTGTGATTGGCTCCTTCCTTCCCCAGTTGTTGACCTCTGGGTTAGGTCTCCTTTTCTCGAATAGTTTAAGCCTTTTAAGGAATGGAATGGTTTCCGCCCCGTTGTTGGGTCGTTGGGATTATAATAAAATAAGACCCCGAGATGATCTGCACAAACGAGTAGTAATAGTTTAAGACCGATGACTCCATTCTTCGCCAATGTATATTTGCTTATTTGTCAATGGCCACAGCTTTCTGATCAGTCACTCATCGGAACAAAGTCATGGAAATGCTTTTGATTCTTGTTGTGGCGTTGAGCTGCTGTGTCCTGGTCCATGGCCATGAAGCCATAGGCTTCTGCTACCCAGAATTTGGGAGTTCAGAATGTGGCGTTTCAGAACAGCAGCAGCCGAAGCTGGATCGAGAGCAGCAGCCGCATCTGCCTTCTTTCCACTTCCGGCCTCCCCAAAACTGGCTCAATGGTTAAAACCCTTTGACCGTGGTTGTTTTTTCCTCTTTTCTTCTACTTTGTCATTTGGCTCTCTCTTACAAAGTTCTGATCTTTTCTGCTTTCAAACAATCGCCGTCTAATTTGGTGCTGTGCTGGATTAATGGGTTTCCCTTACTCTGTACTCTGTAGATCCTAATGGTAAGTCCAGTAAATTCCCTTTCTTTGATGTTGTTTGTTTGTTTGTTTGTTTGAACTGCTCTATTCAATGATGCATTTGCTTATGGTTCTGTTGCTACAGGTCCAATGTGGTACAATGGGGTGTACCACTTGTTCTATCAGTACAACCCAGAAGGTCCAGTGTTTGGTGACAAGATGGTATGGGCACATTCAGTTTCCCATGATATGATCCACTGGGTTGACCTTGAGCTTGCCCTGTCCCCAACCGAGCAATTCGACATGAAGAGCTGCTGGTCCGGTTCGATCACGATTCTTCCAGGGAACCTACCAGTGATTCTATACACTGGCATTGATTCGAATGGTGTTCAAGTTCAGAACCTGGCATTCCCCAAGAACATCTCCGACCCCTTCCTCGAGCAATGGGAGAAATCGCCACGAAATCCCATCATGACCCCTCCCCAAGGCGTTGCTGGGGACAGTTTTAGAGATCCAACCACTGCTTGGCAGGATCCTGATGGGAAATGGAATGTGATTGTTGGTGGCCTGATCAATAACGAAGGGATTGCATTTCTGTATCAGAGTGAGGATTTTGTTACCTGGACCAAAGTTGAGCACCCTCTCTATTCATCCCCAGGGACTGGGATGTGGGAATGTCTTGATTTTTTCCCTGTGTTTGTTAATAGTAGCAATGGAGTTGATACTTCGGTTGTCAATCCAAGCGTTAAGCATGTGTTGAAGATCAGCTCATTCAGTAATTTGCATGATTACTATGTGCTAGGCACTTATGCTCCTGAAACTAGTAAATATGTTCCAGATACTGAGTACACAGGTAAAAGTACAGATTTGAGGTATGACTATGGGAAGCTTTATGCTTCAAAGACTTTCTTCGACGAACCGAAGAGCAGGAGAATCCTGTGGGGATGGGCAAATGAGTCTGACACCATGGAAGATGACCTTGCCAAGGGATGGGCTGGAGTTCAGGTGAGTTCTGAAGCAGACCTTTCATATCCTTACTGCTACTAATACCTTCTTGGTTTTAACTTGGCTTCTTCTTGACAAGTATTAAAAGAAAGCATCATGTTTTCTAACATGGACTCTGGGACTCCGACATTGCAGACAATACCAAGGGAAATATGGCTTCACAGTAGTGGAAAGCAACTGGTCCAGTGGCCAGTGAAAGAATTGAACAAGTTACGCGGCCAGCATGTGCAAGTCTTGGATGAAAAGCTGCCCACTGGATCAGTTTTTGAAGTTGAAGGCATCACTGCTTCACAGGCAGATATAGAGATTGAGTTTGAACTGCACAGCCTAGAAGAGCCAGCCGAGTTCTTCGATACTACTGCGAACGATCCCCAGCAACTTTGTAGTGATTCGAATGCATCGATTCGAGGCAAAGTTGGTCCATTTGGCTTGTTGGCTTTAGCTACAGAAGAACTGAATGAGCACACTGCAATCTACTTTCGGATCTTCAAAGGCAGCAATGGATTCGTGGTGCTCATGTGCAGTGATCAAAGAAGGTATACAATAACATAGAACTTAACTTTGTTTTTCTATACCGTAACATAGGAAACCCCATAAAAAACTTCTGGGTATCTGCCTGTCAAAATTCCAGGTCTTCTCTAAGAGATGGGATGGATAAAACCCCATATGGAGCTTTTCTGGACATAGATCCTCAACATGAAAAGATTACATTGCGAACACTGGTGAGTTTACATAAAGACTGTTATGCTATAAACCCAAGTTCCAGTTCGAAATTTTGGAGATGATTTACGTCGAATGTCCCTACTGCTGCTGCTGCTGCTGTATATGTTGCAGATTGATCATTCGATTGTTGAGAGCTTTGGCGGGGGAGGGAAGACTTGCATCAGCAGCAGAGTTTATCCTAAGCTGGCTATTAACTCAGAAGCTCGACTGTTTGTGTTCAACAATGGGACGGTGGATGTAACGATCTCGAGCTTGAATGCTTGGAGCATGAACACTGCCCAGATGAATCGCGGAAGAGAAAGCTACGCGGAGCTGGACGACTAATGATCACCGTATAGAACCATGGGAGCTGGAAGTCTCATAGCAGGGCCTTAGTAGCCTACAGTGATGTGTACATCTGCATTTGCTACTTTGTGTTCATAAAATAAAGCAAATCGTTGTTGTCCAATTTGATGGTTGTTGTATGCAAGATTGCAGAGTTGTTTTCTTTTTCCCTTTTGCTTCTATGTGTCCATATGATGTCTACATTTTCTACAAGTCTTTACGATAATAAATTAAGATGTAGTGTGTTTGAACAAAATTTTGCAAAACTCCTATAATTCAATTGAAAGGAATTCTATATCTTTGTACGCTATTCACATCGACATATGCCTCATTCAAATAATGCAAAATCGAAGGTGAGAATCAATAAACTAAACAAGAAGATGAAATTATCACAAGTAAAATATAGTTTTGGATGTTTTTAAAGTGTTGGGTACTAAAAAAGGTAATTACAAGTTTTAGATTGGATGGAAAACTAGACGAATGCATTTTTTAGTGACCTTAATGGGACGTCCTATTCAAAATTAAGAAGTATATTTACCCTAATTCTTAAACTTAAATGTTATTTATGGGCTTAATTGCAAGTTTGGTCACTCGAATTGCTACAAAATTTCACGTTTGCCGCTGAAATTAGTTTATTCTATTCATGGTCACTAAAATTAGTTCAACAATTCAAGTTTGGTCACTCTCCGTTAGTCTCCGTTAACTTTCGCTGATGTGGCAGTCAACTCTGATCTTTGACCGTTAAATGTGTGACATGGCAATTAAAAAATTATAAAAAATAATATTTAATATTTTTATAATTTCCACCTCATTTTCAAAACTATTAAAAAATAAAAAATAAAATTGTTTTTTCCTCTGGTCGGCGCCGGCGACCAAGCTGCACCATTCCCCCACCGTCTCTCCACCTGCAAATCTTTCATCGTTCCCCCAAAACCCCCCAAAACACCAAGAAACCCCAAGAATCCAAATCAAGTTGCCGCCACAATGTACCGAGTCGCGAAAGCGTCGGAGTACCTGGTGATCACCGGCGTCGGGATCAAGGACATCAAGCTCGCCAAGAAGTCATGGATCTTCCCCGGCCAATCCTGCACCAAGTTCGACATCTCCCCGGTCAACTACACCTTCGAGGTCCAGGCCATGTCCGCCGAGAAGCTCCCCTTCATCCTCCCTGCCGTCTTCACGATCAGCCCGCGCTACGACGACGACGACGACCTGCTCAAGTACGCGAAGCTGATCTGCCCCCACGACAAGCACTCCCAGCACGTGAACCAGCTGGTGCAGGGCGTAATCGAAGGCGAGACCCGCGTCCTCGCCGCCTCCATGACCATGGAGGAGATCTTCAAGGGGACCAAGGAGTTCAAGCACGAGGTCTTCGGCAAGGTCCAGCTCGAGCTCAACCAGTTCGGCCTTTACATCTACAACGCCAACGTCAAGCAGCTCGTCGACGTCCGCGGCCACGAGTACTTCTCTTACCTAGGTCAGAAGACGCAGATGGAGGCCGCCAATCAGGCCAAGGTCGACGTCGCCGAGGCCAGGATGAAGGGGGAAATTGGGGCTAAGGACCGAGACGGGCTCACGAAGCAGAACGCGGCCAAGATCGACGCGGAGACGAAGATTATTGCGATTCAGAGGGAGGGGGAAGGTAAGAAGGAGGAGATCAATGTGAAGGCCAAGGTCAAGATCTACGAGAATCTGAGGGAGGCATAAGTCGCCGAGGCGAACGCCGAGTTGGCTCAGAAGAAGGCCGGTTGGACTCAGGCTTCCCGAGTCGCGGAGGTTGAATCGGAGAAGGCGGTGGAAATTATTTTTTAATTATTGTGACATTTTTAATTATTTTTTAATTTATTGTAATAATGAGGTGGAAATTATTAAAAATTATTTTTTAAAATTTTTTAATTGTCACGTCATGTATTTAACGGTCAACTATAAGAGTTGATCGCCACATCAGCAAAAGTTAATGGAGACTAACGGCTAGTGACCAAACTTGGACGGTTAACCTAATTTAAGTGACTATAAATGGAATAAATTAATTTGAGTGGCAAACGTGAAATTTTGTAGTAATTCGAGTGACCAAATTTGCAATTAAGCCCTTACTAAATAGATTAATAAATGGGAAACGTCGCCGTATCATTACCGTGTGGTTTCCGTCACCTAGTGGCAAATTCCGTATGAGCAATTTACCACTGCCGAAACTTCCGTCTCTCAACCCACACGACATCATTGACCTCAGCTAAGCTTCCCAACAGCACCTGAGCGGAAAAAAAAAATGACGTTCGTGGCCGTCGCCGTGAACGGAGGCGAAGGCATCGGAGGAAGAGGAAGCAGACGCGCACTCCGTTGGGCCGTCGAGAATTGCCTGCCGGCCGCCGATCGGTTCGCCTTAGTCCACGTCATGCCATTCGTCACTTCCGTCCCCACTCCATGTATAGCTCCTCTCTTCCCTTCCCTTCTCTTCTCCATCGTCCTTCTCATCCCTTCGAATCAGCTAGTGAAATTCAGACGCTCTTCGATGAAATTGTATGAAGTCAAATCAAGTCAACGCAGAAGGGAGAAAAAAATTGGGAGCGAAATTTTCGTTTGATGTCGTAACGTACTTGAAAAAACGAAAATTCCAGTTGTTTATTTTAACTTCCGGTGGCGAATTGTGTTTGCCTTTAACAGCCGGCGATCGGATTCCGGTAGAAGAGCTGGACGGGAAAGTGGTGGCGCTATACTTGCAGGAAGTGAGAAAGGAAGTTGAAGAAATTTTCGTGCCGTTTGTGAGGCTCTGCAGAGAACGAGCGGCGAAGAACGTGAAGGTTCGCATAATTTTGATGGGGTTTCTTCTTCCCTTTTGAAACCAACGGCTGAATTCAGCCATCGTAGTGTGATTTGGTTGATAAATTTTTGTAATTTTCGTGGCTAGGTTGAGACCTTGGTACTGGAGGATGACAACCCAGCGGCTGCCCTGGTGAGATGTGCAAGTCAATTGGGGGTCACTACTTTGGTGATGGGTTCTTGTTCTGCTAGTTGCTTACTGAGGTTTGGCTTCCATTTCTACCCTATGTGAGGATTGGACTAAGCAAACATTTGCAGCTTAGATAGTCTGTGCTAGTTTCTGCAGTTCTGGTTGCATGTTATGCGATTTCATGGAGTTTTATGGGCTGATGAGTTCATTCCCTCATTATTCACCCTTAACATAATCGGATTCGGACCTATGTTTTCTGTAAGTACTGAATTGCTGCCATTTTAATAGGCGAAAGCAAGCTGGCTTGCCTGCAAATGTGTACAAGTCTGCTCCTGTGGCGTGCAACGTGCATGTGGTACACAGAACTAAGGTGAAGACAAAGTTAGCTACTTCCTCTATCATCGCTGGTATGTTGGGTGTAGTCAGTTATTTATCCAACAAGTAATCATTCTCTGTATGTTCTTCATTTTCATGCAAATATCTTCTGGTTTACAGATATCAGCTCTAGATGTGAGGTAGTTGGAGAAAATGACTACAAGAAGTTGCTGACTGGTATTGATAACCAAGCTTCGGAGGTCCCCTCTTTCTCTAGAGATTCTAAAGCTGTGACATGCTTTGATTCTTCATCGGTGTCAGATCTTTGTTGGGTAGATATTCAAGCATTAGAAAATGCACCCAACCCTTTTCATGGCAGTTTATGTATGGAAGGAGTGGGGGATACACTGGAATACAATGTGCTATCCTCAAGCGTCGAGAAGTGTTATTCTACATCATCATCTAAACGTTCCCAGGTGAATGGCTGTATATGTGTCAACAATGTCTCGTCTGTAGAAAACTTAGTAATTGGTAGTTACTCGCTAGTATTGAATCATGGTTTCACCACCTTTTGTTACAGTCATATGTGTACGATGAGGTAGAGAAACTGCGGCAGGAGTTACGGACTACAATAGCCATGTATAAACAAGCCTGTGAGGAGCTAATTCACACGCAGAACAAGGTTTTGCTCTGATGATTTTGCTTTTTCACTTTTTAATCCTGTTATGCTTGTCATGTGCTTTCTGTTTGTGCCAAGTAGACCTGATTTGGGAGAAGCTGGTCCACCTGACCCACAGAACAAGTAGTCATTCTCTGGTTGAGTTATTAAATAGTTTAATCATTCCTTATTGAATTAGTTGCAAACCAAAACACACTGAAAAGTTCCATGACAACTATAGACGGTTATGTAGAATTCAGAATTAGCTTTAGAGGTTCAGTGTGCTCGGTAGGTCAAGTTAAGAACAATGTGCTGCCCAACATCTATGACGGTTTAACTGTAGGTGGAGTTGCTATCTTCTGAGTGTATTGAGGAATCAAGAAGAGTGATGGATGCCCGTGAAAGAGAAGAAACTTTGCAGAAGATTGCTGCTGAAGAGAAAGCAAGATGTGCCAATGCAATGGACGAGGTTGACAAGGCCAAGGAGTTGCTTGCCAATGAGGTTTATGAAAGGCAAGTTGCAGAGTTGAAAGCCAATAAAGAATCCTCAGGAAAACAGAGAATTGTAGATAAGATGTTTGCAAGTGATGCAAGGTGCAAAAAGTACACAAAGGATGAAATAGAAGTAGCAACAGAGTTCTTTGCTGAAGATAAAGTGATTGGTGAGGGAGGGTATGGGAAAGTTTACAAATGCAGCGTTGATCATACCCCAGTAGCTATTAAGGTTCTTCAGCGAGATGCCCTGGGCAAGAAAGAGGAATTTCTACGAGAGGTAGTTCTCTTCTGCATGCAGAGACTAATAAAAGTTGTTCATCACTTCTGACATTCATAGATTGTAAAATGAAAAAAATTGTGTTTCATTGATTGCACAAGTTAATGATCAAGAAAAAGGATGTAACTAAGTACTGGATCAGGTAGGTAGCTCTGAGAAATTCATCTGGTAGCTCAAATTAACTTAGCTAGTAGCTTTGTTTTTGTGTGTCAATGCTGTGTTGCATATTTGCCTCTGCTTCTCAACATAATAGTTTACTGATCACTATTCTCTTCCAATTCTTCACAGGTGCAAGTTCTAAGCCAATTACGCCATCCAAATCTCGTCCTGTTGCTTGGGGCATGCACTGAGAGTGGTTGCCTAGTCTATGAGTACTTGGAAAATGGAAGCTTGGAAGATTGCCTCTTGAACCATAGTGGGAAAACTCCTCTTCCTTGGTTCGTTCGTTTCAAGATCGTCTTTGAAATTGCTTGTGGGCTCTCATTCTTGCACAACTCAAAGCCAGAGCCCATTGTCCATCGTGATCTGAAACCAGGGAATATACTTATAGACAGAAACTACGTGAGCAAGATTGGAGATGTTGGTTTGGCTAAACTCATTACTGAGGTTGTCCCTGACAATGTCACCGAGTACAGAGACTCTATGCTTGCCGGTACCCTTTTTTACATGGATCCTGAGTACCAGAGGACGGGGACCATCCGCCCCAAGTCGGATCTCTATGCCTTTGGGATTATAGTTCTCCAGGTGCTGACCGGCCGCCGCCCAAATGGACTTCTGGTGCGTGTGGAAGAAGCAGTTAGGAGTGGCACCTTGGCCAACATTCTGGATCCATCCATTGCAGATTGGCCACTTGATGAAGCTAAGGAGCTTGCCCAAATTGCTCTGAACTGTGTAAAGCTTCGCTGCAGAGATAGGCCAGATCTTGATACTGAAGTACTGCCAGTTCTTAGAAGACTCAGCGAAGTAGCAGATGCTAGCATGAAGACAGAGAGAGGCAGCATCTATGCACCAAGCTACTATTTTTGTCCAATCCTTAAGGTATGTAAGCAAAGCAGACACTTTTTAAGTCTACTTTTTCCAAAGATGAAACAAACACAGCCTCTTAATTTAACAAGGGTCTTCATACTAGAAAAGCTTATCTGCCTTCTAATTGTTTCTTCGTACCAATGCAGGAAGTAATGGACGATCCTCACATCGCTGCTGATGGTTTTACCTACGAAAAAATAGCCATCAAGACATGGCTGGAGAGGCACAACATTTCTCCAGTGACAAAGCTTCGACTCCAACATTCTGACTTGACCCCAAATCACATGTTACGCTCTGCGATTCGTGAATGGATGTCTCGGGTGAATTCTCAATAGCTTTTCAAAGCATCACTAATCTTGTATCATCAAAAAGGTTGCTGCCCAAGTTTCTCCCCTGTAACTCATCTTCCTTTAGAAGTCGATGATGACCGTTTGTCAGCAGTACTGTACAGCATATGGTACACTCGGAGCGAATTGAGAAAAAACGAAACTGATTACAGAAAGTTGTAATTCATAACATAAGAAACCAGCATATACACAAGATATAGGAAACAAGACAGGTGCATATATTTGAAGGGAAGTGTTACTATGTACAGTGCTGTAATTCATCTACTCTTGCATATATTCGGATACTGCATGAAAAATTTTAATGCCATTGTGAGCTGAAGCTGTAGGGAGTCAATCGACTTGAGTGAACTCCAGCGCATTCGCATCCGGATCGCGAGTGAAGATTGCAGGTCTCCCGGACCGGCTAAGTGTGTAGGGATGTCCTGCAAGAACATACAACAACCTGACCTCAGGCCACAGCCCACAAGCCTAATGCAAACTGAAGAAGGTTGATCAGAAAAGAAAAAAGGGAACTGTAGGGCTACCCGCTTCGTCGAGGATCTCTTTGAGCTTGGAGACATCTCGAATGGCGAGGCAAGCATGGCGGTCGCGGCCACCGTGTTCAGGGCGTCCGGTTAAAGGGTCCGGATTCGGGAGCTCCATCAGATGGATCATCTCGGCGCCCACCCACAACCAAGCTCCTCTGTACGGAAGCTTGTCGTGAGGCCTTGCCTCGTTTATCTCAAGACCCAACATCCCCTGGTAGAACTCGAGCGACGTTTCGAGGCTGTCGCAGAGGATTCCGACGTGGTGAACTCCAACAACTCCATAATCTGCACAAAAATGGAGCAGAATGGTAAAGCAACAAACAGGGTAGTATATTATGTCTGTCGACAGTGGGTTATCGTACCGATTTTGGGATTGTTTGTGGCGGTGATTGATTCTTGTTTGTCGACAGCAGCGACATTTGGTTGAGAAGATAGGTTGGGTCTTGTTCTTCTGAATCGGCCACCGGCGGCGGGTTTCAAATTTGAGGAGAGAGGAAGAAGGGAACAGGGTTGACGGCGGAGGTTGGCGGGGACGGCGGTGGATGATGGGTTGAGTGGAAGAGAAGCCATGGCGGCGGGCCGGAGAAGGACGGGGATTAGCTGCGGTTGATTAAAATGGGAACTTGTTTTCCATGCTCTGTTCTTCGTTCCAAGGTGATATTCTCATGGCTGCTCCGCTAATTTCAGCGACTCAATTCAGGCCACCAGTTTTTTGGCACTGAGGTCCACCTTTCGGTTGTAAAAATTATCCGGAGATATGGGCCTGGAGGTGGGCCGTACGCTTGCTGCAAAATTGGGCCCTGTCAAAGAGGTCCGGTCCGACCCCTTACGGAGTTACGCTTGTTCTCGGATCCGATAGTAGAGCAACGGTTTTCATATAATCTATTCGTGGGGAGAAAATTAGAGATGACAACAAAACCCGAACCCGCGGGTATCCACCGACCCAATCCAGTCAATGCGGGTAAAATTTGTGTTGACGGGTTTTGGGTCGGGTTTGGGTTTAAATCCGCTACACTATTCATCAGGTCGGGTTGGGTCTGGGTTTAGGTAAATCCGTCTCATGGGTACCCGTCCACACACATATAATTACTTTTCTGGTATATTTATTATTCTAAATAATATATCTACCTTAAACAACTAATATTTTTTATGTTTGTGGAGACATGTATAATTCATTCTTTCTAATTGTTTAGAATGAAGTGGATATTATGAAGTGGAGAGTGAAGAAACTTAGTTGACGAGTAAGAAGCTTTCAATTAATCTTATTGTTTATTGATGTTTATCTTTAGTTTTGAACAATTTGTATTGATCATTTGTGGTTGCTTGTATGCTCTAGATTGGTGTTTTTTGTATGAATAATTTGTATGAGAAAATTGATGTTAAACTTTTATTTTGAAAGAAACTTGTTATTGTAAATTTTTTACCACAAAAAAACCCACGAGTACCCATGAACCCGCGGATACCCAGCGGATTGGGTACTGGACAAGTTAATCTGATTTATCTGTGTAAAAAAAAATTACGACTTCAAACAAAAGAGAAATAATCCATTAAAATTTTTAGAAAAAAAAATTATTATAGAACATTCCATAATTGGTGATGTGACGATAATGCGACGGGTCATGCACAACAAAGTTGTATCCGCTCCCACACCAAATAACACCCCCGAAACCAACAAATCTCGATCCCAAAACGCAAAGACACCACTAAGTCAACAAAATGAGGCCTGCTAAAGCCTTCCTTCTGCTCTTGGTGCGACACGAGGTTGACTTCAGTTTTGCTTCTTCCCCCTCCCATCTCTCTCCTCTGCAATGTGCTGGATCGGCGGATTGATCGTAGTATTCCCAGCTAACGCGTTTGTTGGTTGCCGCTATGGTCGTCGTCTGTCTTACGGATTGCTGTACTTTGTCAGAACAGTTTTCCGGCCGTTTGTTTTCTTTTTGATTTCATACTAGTCAATGCGCCAATGTCAATCCTTCTGGATTTTGTCCCTCTGCCTGCCTGCCTGCAACAACAACAACCAACGAGGATACCAAAAAAAAAAAAAAACAAGTGGACCTCCCACTTGATGACTTCCAGAATAATTGTTTTATCAACCGCAAACCACAGTCTCCCAAAGCAAGAGTATTACGGCAATTTTTTATTTTTTGGTGCTGTCACCGAGTAGTGAATTAGTAAGAAGAAAAAAGAACACTCAAGTTGGACCATGGTTACATATATTATTACACACCTGCTAAATTGGATTCCCATTTATCCCTTGCTAACTAAGGCCCTAAGCAAGTAGATCCCTTTCGCGCGAAGAATACTTTGCCTCTCTTCGAGACGGATTGGAACTAGGGATGACAACAAAATCCGAACCCACGGGTACCCACCCGACCCAACCCGGTCAACGCGGGTAAAATTCGCGTTGACGGGTTTTGGGCCGGGTTCGGGTTTAAACCCGTTCACTATTCACCGGGTTGGGTTGGGTTTGGGTTTAGGTAAACCCGACCCATGGGTACCCGCTCACACCCATATAGTTAATTTTCTCGGTATATTTAATATTCTAAACAATAATCTTATTTATGTTTGTAGAGGCATGTCTATTTTTTCTTTCAAATTGTGTAGAATGAAGTTGATGTTATCGAGTGGAGAATGAAAAAACTTAATTGAAAGGAAGAAGCTTTCAATTAATCATGTTATTTATGGATAATTTGTGATTTGCTTCAATTTTCTTGAGTTTTCTAGATTGGTGTTGAACAATTTGTATAGTTAATTTGTGATTTGCTTGAATTTTCTAGAATGGTGTTTTATATATGGATAATTTGTATTGAGAGATTGATATTTGACTTTAATTTTGATAGGAACTTGTTATTGTAAATTTTTTACGACAAAAACCCGTGGATACCCATGAATCCACGGATACCCAGCGGGTTGGGTTTGAGTTTTTCAAACCCAGTGGGTTTTACCCCGAGCTTTTTTTCACGAATAAACCCATGGTTTTGGGTTTGGGTTTGACAAAACCCGACCCAACCAGACCCATTGCCATCCCTAATTGGAACCCAATTTAGACTCAAGGATGAAAGATTGTTAAAGAGAGTACCATACTTTCTCAGTTTGACTCATAGGCTGGCGGTATAATTAAGGCTTTCACGTGTGTTTAATAAAGATAGAAGAAACTGGTAAACTCTAAAAAAAAGCGTGTAAAAATAGACACGGAGTCATCCACAAAGAAGATATAAGAGACAGGTGGCGTAATTCCCTAATCTGAATATTTAACTGAAATTGCTGGAGAAATTAAGCCACAAAAAAAAAGACCTTCGGTGCATATTGCTAAAGTTAGCGCAGAAAGAGACTCTAGGACTTGAGAAATAACAGAGGGAGTATCATTAATCGTAACCCAAAAGAGACACTATCTTTGTACACAGGCGGATCTAATATATAAAGCGTTCATTTCTAGATTAGAGGGACGTATTATTTAGAAATATCAACACTGGACATAGTAGAAAGACCAAGTTTGATGTGAAAAAATTATAGATGGACAATTTTGAAAAATACCATATATAAAAGAATTAGATGCTATTAGGGTTGGCTATTTGGTCCCGGACTGTTTGGTTTTACCCGAAACCGGACCGTATAACCTGGACCAGGACCGGACTGGGACTGGATAGCAAACAATGCAATCTCATATTCGGGCTTAGATTTGAGGTAAAAAACCGGATAAAGACCGGATAAGAGACCCCCAACACCAAAAATCAAGATAAAATTGGGACCGGACCGGGTCAAGACTGGACCGGATCAAGACCGGATTGTATCCAATCCAATCTTTGGTCTTTATATTCCCGAAAAGACCGGACTGGGACCGGACCAATTTGGTCCAATTTAACCGGACCGGACCGTATAGCCACTCCTAGATGCTATTAAGTATTAACTAACTCATTAATATGCTAGCCAGTGCATAAACTGACCATTTAGATGATATAAGGATAATGATCTCTTCTTTTTTTTTTTTGCCATGTTGAAATAAGAAAAAGTAGAAAAGTGGTGGATCGATGGACTTGTCTTTGAACGAGCCATAGTTTATAGCACGACGGAAGTTGAATAATGAATAACATCGGCCGGTGTCGTCGGGGCTCAAGTGGTGGAGAAAGTGAGGCAAAAGAAAAACTTTAGTTACCTATTATTAGATTTGACTCAAATGATGTTTGTTAAATTCTAAATAAATAAATGGTCGGCGTCATTTGTTGAAAACGACTTCAATTTGATTTTCATGGTTTTTCGCTCTTTCTTTAGTAACATTTTCCGGGGAAAGATAGTTTACTTGTAAGAAAAGCTCCTTCATCGGTAGGTAGTGTTTATGCCTACTTATTTTGTGGTCTTGCAAAAGAAACAACAATTCTGAATTCATGTGAAAATCCTATTCATTTTGTGGGTGATGGAATATTCCCAAGATCCAGTATTGTGAGGGTTGCTGAGAACAATTTGCATCTAGGCTAACCTAGCAAATCAACATTCATGCAATACATGGAGGACTGTCTCGATTGTCTTGTTGTAAATTGAGTAGTGTTGAACGTGAATGTTTTGACAAATTTTGTGTTAATTAAAACTCGATATCATAAATGTAACCAATTTAGATGAAGTGTTTGACGGAGCAGGAATTTGAATGAGGGGGTTAATTTGAACCATGATAATTGGAGAGGGAGGACTAAAGCCTTACCAACTACTATATTTATTAAATTTGTTACAAACGTTACATGTAAGTTTACTTAACATTCAAAGTTGAAAAGAACTATAGTCTCTCCTTTCAACCTACCTCTGCCACTACTTTTTTTTTATGTGGGTGATATAGGTTTACACTCTTTTTTTTTCCGTAATTAAGGTACTAGTTAAGGGAATTGAACCTGCCGACCTCCAGGTTCTACGCTAGTGGTATTACCAATAGACCAAACGTTTGTTCGTTCCATCACTACTTTTATATATATGGCCAATCGCCACTATCAAACTATAAGTCACTCTGTTGATGTGACTTGAATCGGACTATCAGCCGCTACGACTGGAAGTCACAGTGTATGGGTCGATACACGTTTGGGTTGTTAATTTTGGGTCTGGTCTGTAACCGTTTCCTTTACCAGATTGGATTAGGTTTTAGACCCACATGGAGAAGTATAAATACTTCTCATACTCCTCTGTAATCTGTATCTCCTCAAGTATAGTGAAAACTGGCTCTCTCCTGCCCGTGGACCACTGGCGGATCCAGGGTGGCCACCTCGGGCCCCGACCCAGCCCTCCTCTGGATCCGTAATTAGTATAGTCCTTATGAAATTTTTCGATTTTAGATATTCGACCCAATGTTATTTTATGATAAGATTGGGTTTAAGCAGAAAAATTATCAAGTTGAACATATTCAAATCACTACTCTAAATTTAGCTAGAAATTTTAACCCCAAAGATTATGTGTCTAAAAAAACAATGAAACCTAAAATTCTAAAAAGTTTAAAACGTAAAAGACTAAAAGAAATATGAGATTTGTTCCCTTAAAAATTTACTAGAGCAACTGGTGCGCAGGGATGGACACACAACGCCAATTAATTAGTCGATTGATTTATCTAGTGTTGATGTTGCTCGTTTCAACAGCTACTACGAAGAGAACCTTTTCCACAATGAAACATGTGAGAACTGATTTGCTCAACAAAATGAGCGATGAATTTCTCGCCGATTGCTCAAGTATTGTATTTGAAACAGTGTATACTATTGGTATGGATGTAGACTCCATTATTGATGCATTCCCTAAATTAAAATACAGTCATGTACAATTTACATTGCAAAAAACTATAATCATTATATTTTTTACGGTTCTAATTTTCTAATGAAATGCGGCTCAGTGCTCTTCTGTGTTCTGGATCCGCCGTTGTCGTGGACTAACTAACACACATTGTGTTAGTGAACCACGTAAATCGTGTGTCGTGTGGTTTCTGTTTTCGTTTTTTAGCTTTGTCAATTTCGACGATTTCCCGATCAGTAGCAGGGCAGTTATAACACAGTACTCCAACAATTTGTCAACAAGCCATCTCTAATTCTCTCATTCATTCTCTTAATCATGTGTGCCAAAGCATACATATGGAATGTATCGGCGAGGGCTGCAAATGAGCCGAGTCGAGTTTTACCCCAACTTGAGCTTGACTCGTTAATAAACGAGCTAAGCTCGAGCCGTTCATTAATGAATCGAGTAGAGTCGAGCTCAAGCTAGGCTTGTTTACTAAAATCTTAACTCGTGCTTGATACTTCGTTTTGAATGTCATGTATGATACATGTGATTGATGTCATGATGAAAAATAAATATTAATAGTCAAATGTTCAATATTAAATAATCTCATATTATACTTTGTTGGTATCATATTATTTAGTTAATAAATTTTAACTAGTCCAAATCATGTTATTTAATAGTATCGAAGCAATTTATGATATAAATTTTCTTTTTAAATAAAAATAATATATATTTGTTCACATACTCAGCTTGTTAAACTTCATATATGGTGAGATATATAATTTAACAATCATATCAATTAAACTCATAAGATATAGATTGATTCGCCCATAACTCGGTAATCGAGTTGGCTCTCTAGCCACAATGTGAGACATCTCGGGAGCTCTAAACAAGTCAGCTCATGAGTTTAGCTCAACAAACAAGCCACCGAGTCGAGTTAGCTCGCGACCTTCATTGGCTGAACAAGGCTTAGCTCATGCTCGGCTCGTTAATAAATGAATCGAGTTTCAAACGAGCTTTTCCCGAGTCGAGCACCTCGCCATCAGAACGATGCATGTGCGTGAATGGGGCATGTGCATATATGCACCGATTCCATTCACTTAATGTATTTCGTGTAAAGTTCCATCACTCGAGCAGCTCGGCTCATTTGCAGCCCTATGCATCGCCATCATTCTGATGCATGTGCGTGAATGGGGCATGTGCATATATGCACTGATTTCATTCACCTAATGTATTTTGTGTAAAGTTCCAACACTCACAATTCGGGTGTCATGATACCCTCTCTAATATATGGATGTCAATTCATCGAACAAAAAGAATTAACAAAATATCTCACACAAATTAATTTGATGTAATTTTCCATCAAATGTTGAATTTGAACAATTTCGCGAAAAAAATCCCAAAGTACACACGTTCTTAAAAAAAATTCTCAAAATACATGAGTTATAAAAAAAATTCCAAAAGTACACATGTTTGAGCATCACCGTTTTAGACAAAAACGGTGAAGGTCATCACCGCGTTTGATGAACACGGTGAGTACTTTACCGTTTTAAACTAAAACGGTGATGTATTCACCGTTCCAAACTAAAACGGTGAAGGGTTCACCGCGTTTGTTAAAAACGGTGAATACCTCACCGTTTTAAACAAAAACGGTGAAGGCTTCACCATTTTTGTTGGCCGCGGTGAAGGCGCTGACGTGGACAGCACGGGGTATTCACCGCGTTAGACAAACACGGTGAATAACCCGTGTTTGTTTGCGTCAGTGATCCGCGTTGGCGTGCTTTCACCGTGGCCGTTAGATGCGGTGAGACGCGGATCGTGGTTTTCTTCCCACGATCCGACGCCTCACAGCACGCCACGTCACCTTTGCATTCACCGTTTGCGGCTAAAGCGGGGAGTTCACCGCGTTCATCAAACGCGGTGAATGGAGCCCTAATAACTGCGCAGCAGCTTCTCCCCCCTTCTCCCAAACTATAAATACCCCCTTCCCCTTTCACTTTCAACTCACCCCACAAACATTTCACTTCTTTCTCCCTCAATTTATCCGCTCTAGTCTCGTTCTAAGTATGCTCTGTGGTTGCGGCTAAGTCCGATCTTCCACATCAGAAAGAATTACTAGAGTTTGACCCTAAAGCCCCCGTCCCGTTAAGTTCCCGTCCCTTACAAAGCTAAACCCGTCGAACCTCTGTCCGGCTTCCGCCAATAATGGACGAAGAGGCTCTTCGTGTAGGTTTTTGGTTTGTGATTTTTTTTAATCGAAACAATTTGATTTTTTTTTATCAAAACAATCTCTGATTTCATTACTTTTTTATAGATGGGTGCCGAGATATACGATCCTCGATTGTATATCCATTATGGCCCAAAGGATGCGAGTCTCTTAACCGATCAAGAAATGCATCGCTCCCGTGCCATTTGGGATAACAATCCGGTAATTTGATGAACTGACTTGCTTTATTTTATTATTTTCTAATGTTTTATTTGGCTTTATTTAATCTAATAAATTGATGTTTTTTCCTATTTTTTTTAAGGAATCGTCCTCTCGCTCATGTGAAGTACGCCCTGATCGAATGGTATTCTCGATTCCATACCACTCTGGCCCCCAAGCAGGCCATTGAACACCATCGGCCTCAACAAATGGGGCTGGTTTAGGAGGTTGCGAGTATTGGTCCCATCCTGCACTACTCGATCCACCGTAGTTGATTGAACCACCACCCTCCCCGTAACCTCCTGTATAACCACCGCCTTGGTAGTTGCTCGAACTACCACCCCATTCGTACCCTCCTGCAAAACCATCATCATAAGAATACTGGTGAGAATGAGATTCACCGAGCGCCTCGGTCTCAACATACACCTCTGCAAGCCGGACTTGGTTATCGCTTAGGAACTGTAACATCATCATAACCGCGTCATCATCGTTTATGACAACTTCTTGGAACACGACCCCGCCAGCACTCATGTCTGGATACCGGTAAGTAATTTTGCCAAGTCTCGTCTGTCCGCTCGTACAAACCCTTTCTGCACAAAGATCACAGAGTTCTTGAAAATTGAATCGGGATTCAATTTTCAGCATAATGGATTCGCCGTCCTCATAATCAATGCCTATGTCAGAGTTTGTCACCCTTCCATTCCACCGAATAGTAAGATGAAACTTCTTGAATTTACCCATATCTACAATTTACAATAAGTATCTATTAGCTTAAAGACAGTAAAATTAACCAAAATCATATTGTACAACTAATATTAAATCATACCATAACTAACGAAAATAAATTCAACTAACTAACAACAACATAATACGAAAATTAAATCATACTATAACTAACGAACATAAGTTCAACTAACTAACAACAACATAATACGAAAATTAAATCATACTATAACTAACGAACATAAGTTCAACTAACTAACAACAACATAATACGAAAATTAAATCATACTATAACTACTAAAAACATAATTAGACTATAATACGAAAAGTCTCAACATACCGAAAAATTTCTGTTCTGTGTATTATGCTCGATTTTGGCTGCTGAAATTTGAAGAAAGGGGAGTGGTTATGTTTTTACAACTGCTGGTGGTGTGCTATTTATAGGAAAATCTGCCTACTATTCACCGTTTTTGTCAACAACGGTTAACACCATCACCGCGTTTGTCTCAAACGGTGAATAGGAGGTAGCTGCGACCTAATTTTGACCTACCAGGGGTGGGAAACGTGGGAAATGATCACCGCGTTACTTAACAACGGTGAAGGCTTCACCGTTTTTGACCAAAACGGTGATGTGTTCACCGTTGTTAATTAACGCGGTGAAAACTTCACCGTTTTAGTTTGAAACGGTGAATACTTCACCGTTTTTGTTTAAAACGATGAAGTACTCACCGTGTTCGTCAAACGCGGTGATAATCTTCACCGCGTTTGTCTAAAACGGTGATGCTCAAACATGTGTACTTTGGGAAATTTTTTTATAACTCATGTATTTTGGGAATTTTTTTTAAGAACGTGTGTACTTTGAGATTTTTTCCACAATTTCGCAAAGGACAAATAGGAAATTAAAAAGATATAGGAAAAAAGGGGAAGGGTATCGATATATATATATGAAGTAAGCAATGAGGTTGGCATGAGAGTGATAGTGACGAGTGGGATGGAAGGATAGGGATCCCAATTATTGGCCCATCTATGTGACGAAATGTCACGCATTCGGCTGTCCGGTTTCAATTTTTGAGTGAACCTTTGACCCATGTTTTATCCCTTTTGGCAATTTTTTTGCTGGAGACACGCTTCTGCTATCATTGGCGTTGATGACTCAGTGACCCCAACTTGATGGAATTTACTCGATATTTTATGTTTCTTGGGTCGGCCGATTCGGCGACTCAGTTTGATTGGTGAGACTTGGATTTACATTTGATGTGGGGTAAATGAAATGAGGGGTAAAATTGTTTTATGGGGGACTTTTAAGTCAATATGACTTGGAGTTAAATAGTCGATCGTTTTAGGAAGATGGTTGATCGCTTTAGGAAATGGTAGAATGGATGATATACGTATTTTGTTGTGACATGAGTTTGTTGCGAACATAGTTAGTAAATACTCCGTTTAATACACGTATATGTACCCGTACGTACTTTATCTGGTTGATTGTATCATGTAGTGGTCGACCTGTTAGGATTAAAGATATCTTCATACCTCAAGTCAACGTCTCAGAGTGGAGTGCTCTGAAGATAATTGAACTTTGCGATTGTACCTAAAAGGTTGACCGGATGACAAACATTGCCGACCTATTGATCTACAAGTATTGCAAGAACAACTACCTCTGACGTTCCAACAGCTTTTCTTCTTCGCCGAGCTCCAAAGCCGCAAGAACTTGTTTACACAATTTTTAGATTGATATACCAATCATGTGAAGGGTTATTTATAGAGGTTCTTGTTGATAATAACTCGGATTAAATGGTAGATTGGTCCATGTTCAGTAATGAAACGTTTCTGGTTGTGGAATCGTGTTTTGATATTGATAAGGTAATGGCTAATTGTTTGACATTTATGTTGCCTCAACCAATCGTTATTTTTCTTTGCAATGGTAGAGTCCCCTAACAATACTAATAGGTAACGGCCAACCTGTCCACCGACCTATTTGAGCGGTAAACCGCTATTTTTCATTACAACAAGGTAACTGTGGCATCCAGTCCACCATTTTCTCCAACTTTTCATTTATTAATCTTAAATGCAGGCATGATAGAGAGTTGGGTTGAATTTCTCCAAATTTAAATTCAACTTTAACGAGTGTACCCGCAAAAAATCTAGTAAAATACATATTACGTTTTGAAAAGATAAAATTCAACCTGGTGCAATGGGTGCTCGTGGATATGTATGTATACAAGTCTAGGGATGGACAATGAATGAGTTGGGTGAGCTTCTAACTCAAACTGACCCTCTCAATTCATAACGAATGATACAATTGTGACTCGCTATCAATCTGTATTCTTTTTTGGATTGGGTGGGATGGGTGGGATGGGTGTGTGCGGTTGTGTTTTAGATTAGCATGCAAAAACAATTCCACAACTAGTCATTAGGTAATTCGACTAACAATTATAATAAATTTCTCATAAACGAGAAAGACTATAACAATTTAGACATGTTACTTTGTCTGTTGCGCACCCATCTAATGCTTGTAGTAGTTAAAAAATATTCTTCCACTTTTAGAAGTCCATTGTTAGTGTTTGGTGTGGTTAGGAAATTTGATCAATATTCGTCATTCGATAGTATAAATAAAAAACAACTCTAAGTCATGTGAAAGTGTGGTGTAGGTTAGGGTGACCTGTAACCCACCCAAATAAGTGCACGTAGAAGACTTACCGATCCACGGTCCGCTCACATCAATCACACGTCAATTGCGATTTTAGTTATTAGGGTGAGTCGATGTCAAGTCACTGATTAACCACCAGAGTTCCCGCTCTGCCTATGGGTGCACTGATATAACTACAAATAATTTCTCAACATACCCACATCCTTATACGGTAAATTAACTCCTTCAATTACATTGTCATAAAGACTAATATCATCAATAAATTATGGGAATTGATAAAGTTCGTCCTTAAAATTTCTATTGATCGTCCTAAAAAATAACAAAGTTACACTTTTAACCTTTTGACATCTTTAGCAAACAAACATCACTTTGACTAAAAAAAATGAAAAACACTCAATTTCCCACACTCTCGAATTCATCGTTGACATTCTCGAGTCGTAATCGTTGGGAATACGTCTGAATCATGCGTAGCGAATCCGACGAGGTAAAAATCCAAATTTTTTTTTCAAAAAAACCCAAAACCCCTCAACCAAAGCCAATTTTCGGTTGTACCATGGACCAACCGAAAATCACCTTCGGTTGAGACATGGTACAACTGAAAATTGGCTTCGGTTGAGGGGTTTTGGAATTTTTTTGGATTTGTTTGGTTTATATCAATAATTTTCTATTCTTTTACTACGATTTATGGTTCGGTCCATAAGATAATTTGTTGGATTTTGGTTTATATTTTTTTAGATTTATGGAAGGGGGAGGGGTTGTTACCTTTTTGTTTTGTGTTTGATTTTGAAATTAAAAATGGGCAATTTGGTAAATTACATATTAAGTTAGGATTATGGTTAGTAATTTTTAGGACGACCTTTAACCATTCAATAATTTATCCAGATTAGATACAAAATGACATTTTTACTTATGAATACGAATCGGTTTTGACCAGCGGCGGATCCAGGACATAAGAGAGCACTGGGCCGTATTTGAATAGAATATTAGATACCATAAACAAAAATATATAATAATATAGTTTTCATTACAACGCCAATTGTACAAGAAGGTCTTTTAATTTAGCAAATTCATCAATAATATAATCTCCATCCATACTGATAATATACTCTTTTTCAAAGAAAATAGCTAAGTAATCAACGAGAAATTCATCGCTCATTTTGTTGCACAAATCAATATTCATGTTCCATTGCTGAAAATGTTCTCTTCATGGTAGTTGTTGAATGGCTAGGTCAACACTATACAAATCAACCGACAAATCAATTTGTATTATGTGTCCATCCCTATTTCCTACAGCTTTTCTAATAATTTTGCAAGAGAAGAAACTTCATCTTCCTCACATGAGTAGTGCATTCTCCAAAGAATGCATCTCATAGCCTTCAAAGTCTCGAGGCTAAACTCTTGAGCAAGTTTGTAAATATTTTCTTCATCAAAACACAAGAAAGAACGGTTAGAATCTAGTGCCCCACTCAATTGAGGCAATCTAAATGATGACTCAGCAAGTTTGTAAATATTTCTTAATCAAAAGAATGGAAAGAAAACCAGCTCGATGGACTGGCATAGAAATCCATTTTGGGTCTGCTCGTCTCCTCGTTCTTGTTTTGTTTTGGGGGATTGGAAATTTTTTTGAAATTTTGCAAGGAAGGGTGTGCTTTAGTTTAGAGTTTTTTTATTTTATTTTAATGAAACTTTACACTTTTAGGTTTTCATGTCATTTTCCAAATAAAATCATTGGGGCTATAGAAAATTTTATATAAATTCAGAGTAATGGTTTGGATATGTTCATCTGAACCATTTTTCTAGTTACACAAAATCCTATTATCAAATAAAACTAGAAAGAATTTTAAATAGCACTGAACCAAATACCTAAATCATTTTATAAACACTAAACTAACTCTGGATCCGGAGGAGGGCTGGGCCGGGGCCTGGGTTAGCCCAGCCCTGGATCCGCCACTGATTTTGACAGAACCTTCACCAACCCAACCCAACCCACAAATTTTATCTAATTTGATCGAATCAAACTGGTTTATTTGTGTGTACCCACAAATCTAGATTCAGTTTTCATCTTACACACCACCCCAAACAGTAATCTTTAGAAAAACTATTTCTCTTGATTGACATCATGCAACCAACCCACCGGCCAGCCACCAGCCGCAGAATGCTTCTCCAAAACTCATTGACATTTTTTTTTTTTGTTGAACTCAAAGCGCTACACACACCCAGCGTTTACACGGCGTTGTTGTTCATCGTTTTGGTCAACCAAGTTCACAAATGACGCGACGCTGCCAAATAGACCACCACCCCAATAAATAAATAATAAAACAAATCATTACTTTTTTCCTCCAAATTAAAAAAATTATAAATAAATAAATAAAAACCCCACAACGCGAGCGAGTACACGCCTCTCTTTTTGGTTTTTTCCTTTTGTTTTCTAATAAATAAATTAAAAAAAGGGAAGGAAAAAAAAAAAAAAAAAAAAGCCCCTCCGTCCGCGGTTCTGCTCCTCGGGTCCTGCCCCGACCCGACCCTCTCTCACCGCGTTAAACCCAATCCAAAAAAGTCAAGTCACCGTCAAAAGCAGCACCAACGCGTTCACACTCCCGCACACGTTTCAATTTCCCTTCCTTTCCTTCATCCCCATCTTCATTTCATTCATCCTCCTTCTTCTACCTTCCTCTCCATTTTCGTCCCCTCCTTCTTTCCTTCCTTCCACCACACCCTATATATTATTCATGGACTTTCTCCTACCAATCTCCAATTCCCATTTCTCCTCTTCCTCTGCCGCTCTACTACGTTTGAACGCTCCCCCTGCTTTCACACCTGTCTTTCTTCTTTGAAGCATTTCGTCGAACACTTTTCTGACCCCCCCTTTCCCTTTCCTTCTTCAGTGGGTGGGTCGGTCTGTTTGTATGGAAATATCCTCGTTCCCATTTCTCAACCCGGAAGAGATTTCACACTTCTACACCCTGTTCCAGGAGATGGACAATAATAATAACTTCAACTTCGCTGGAGGACCCGACAGCAGCGGTAGTTACGGAGGAGACGGCAGCGGGAGCGGTGGTGGGTTTAACAACGGAGCGAATAGTGGTGGTGTAAATACCAACAGTAAGAAGCGGAGGAGGAAGGAAGCTGGCGGCGGTGAAGACGAGAGTAAGCTGAAGAAGACGAATGCGGTGAAGGATGTTCTCAGCTCGCTTGTGCTATTGGACGAGGAGGAGAAGCAGGAGCAGAATCAGTGGGTTGTGGAGTCGCAGCACGATAAGGCCTTGTTCGATTCCAATCACGATCAGAAGGTGCGAGTTATGAATGAATTCAGTTCGGATATGCAGACCCATTTCTCCAATTTGGATGATTTGGACCAATCCAGGGCCAGGAGCTCCCGCCGCTCTGCTTCCGCCGTCGTCGTCGCTGCCGCGTCCGCCGCGGCTGCGGTGGCGGGTTCGGGGGATTCGGTTCAGAGTGGTGGTGCGGGAGGTGGGTCGACGAGCGCCACGCCGCCGCAGCAGCGGCGGTTGTGGGTCAAGGACAGATCAAAGGACTGGTGGGATCGGTGTAACCATCCCGATTTCCCCGAGGAGGAGTTCAAGAAGGCGTTTCGGATGAGCAAGGCGACGTTCGACATGATCTGCGAGGAGCTGGATTCCGCGGTGATGAAGAAGAACACAATGCTGCGGGACGCCATCCCGGTCCGCCAGCGGGTTGCGGTGTGTATTTGGAGGCTGGCGACAGGGGAGCCACTCCGAATTGTGTCCAAGAAGTTCGGATTGGGGATATCGACTTGCCACAAGCTGGTTCTCGAGGTGTGCTCGGCAATCAGGACGGTGTTGATGCCCAAGTTCCTCCAATGGCCGGACGAGGAGAAGATGAGAGGGATCAAGGGGGAGTACGAATCAATGTCGGGGATACCGAATGTTGGTGGGTCGATGTACACAACCCACATCCCAATCATCGCACCCAAGATCAGTGTCGCTGCTTACTTCAACAAGAGGCACACCGAGAGGAATCAGAAGACTTCGTACTCGATCACGGTTCAAGGAGTAGTGGATCCCAGAGGTGTGTTCACTGATGTTTGCATTGGCTGGCCTGGTTCGATGCCAGATGACCAGGTACTGGAAAAATCAGCACTTTACCAGAGAGCCAGCAGGGATTTACTGAAAGATGTCTGGATCGTGGGGACTTGTGGCTACCCTTTGATGGACTGGGTTCTGGTGCCCTACACTCACCAGAACCTGACATGGCCGCAGAACGCTTTCAACGAGAAGATTGGGGAGATTCAAGGCGTCGCGAAAGATGCATTCGCCAGGCTGAAAGGGAGGTGGTCTTGCCTGCAGAAGAGAACGGAGGTGAAGCTACAGGACCTGCCTGTTGTGCTTGGTGCTTGCTGTGTGCTCCACAACATCTGCGAGATGAGGAACGAGGTGATCGAGCCTGAACTCAAGTTCGATATTTTCGACGATGAGATGATACCGGAGAACAGCCTCAGATCAGCTGGTGCGGCTCAGGCTAGGGATCACATTGCTCACAACCTCTTGCATCATGGCCTTGCTGGAACTTCTTTCCTATAGGTTTTTACCTTTTCAGTTCCTGATTCCATACAAGAAAGTTAACAGCTTTTTTACTTGTTTTGTTTTCCCTTTTTTCGGATTGCAAGGAAGGCTCTATACTTGTAGTGTTAGGTGGCTTTGCTGAGTTGGTTGTATTCTTCTATACACAGACAGTGTAGTGTCATTCTTTTGATGGGACCTTGTACTATAATATACCCGGTTTACCCGTCTGCAAAATAAGAACATAGTATCTCAGTTTTCTGCTCCAAATTATACTGTTACACAAAATGCAGCAGCATTCGAGTCTACCTCTACACAATCGACAGGAGATTACCATCGCGGAGATACTAGTCTCTTTCGTCGATTAAATTACGTATCAGCGATCAAGTCGATATGACGATATGATCTGATCATGAATTTGTGAGCATTTTGTTTCCTTTTCTGGGTTGGTTGTGTACAGTTGGTTGCAAGTCAGCTGCTACTGCGATGGATACTGGTTGTTAATTGTCATATATAAGAGCTATATATTAAAGGTTGCTGTTGCTTTCTCATCTGTTGCAATCTCCCTGTCTATTTCCCAAACGGGGGAAACACAATGGTTAACTATTTTTTATATGTAAAAATCTGTTAGATTAGATACATCCCGCCGGGTTTTGATTGATTGTTTCATCAACATTATTGTCAAGAATCTGGCTTGACAAAATGAAACCAAATCTTGTATAAACAAAGATTAGGTTTAGAGAGACATCAGCACTCACGTAATGCTTATGTGTTCAGTTCAGCAACAGGCATGTTGACAACTTACAAGATAATATGTACCCCATTCTCACCGAGTCACTCGTACATTTCAATCATCACTTTCTTTCTTACTACTAATTACTTTCTTTCCAATTATTCTACTAATTATTAGGACCCCAAACTATCTTAATGATCTAATTATCCAAACATAATGTAATTACGCTACGTATATAAATGACTAATAACTACTTTAATAATTTTTCATCATTCCCATCCACTCTAAAGCTATCTTGCCGTCAAGGTTGAACAACCCTGCCTACTCAACCAGCTAATGCATCTATCCTCTTCCATTTCATCCTCAAATGTGCCTACAAGCACCATAAGGTGGTGAACATTGTCGCAACACTGGCTAACAACGAACTGCTTCTCACAGGTGTAACATTTGCCATCCCAACACTTTCTCTCCATCTTCATCAGAGTCAGTCGAATGAGTCCCCCAGGTGAAAGTTGTGCCCCCCTCCCCCGGCCCCTTTAGGCCGATGGTGGAGCCATCGGTGCCACTATTGGAGTTTTTGTAGAACACGTGTAGCACACAAATAATCTTATAAAAGCAGATAATAAACACGTTTAATTATGACTAGTAGTCTCGACTTGCATATTGGCCTTGACTTGTTGTTTGAGCCCAAGTATTCTACACGATGGCTTTTTTGCCCCTTATCAAGTCGTCTTCAACCTTCAAGGAAGTGTTCTTGTTGAGAAGCAAACACACAATAGAAAAGAGTAGGGAGAGAGACATGTACACATGATGTTTTGTTAATATATTTCGGCCTATTGCTTTACGTCTCGGCTCAAAAGCGAATTATCCTTTCAGACCTAGTGTGTAGGTTTTTATCTTATTCCAATCTAACTCCAAGTTGAGTCGCTTTGGGTGGAACTCAGACCCTTGACAAGAATATAACAATATACTCCTTTCTCTCTTCATCACAAGCACTCACGCTAAAGAGAGAAAATACACAACCTTACAATCACTCAATCAATACAGATAGTGAACTACTATCACTTCTGACACTTATTGCTAATCGTAGAATGTTTGATCTTGCTTTGTGTATGATTGCTCTGCCATATTTCGTGAGACTTGTCTTGTTGTTTCCTTCTATTGATACTTCCTTGATGCAATCGTCTTCTCGTGATCTTTTTTATTTATTTGAAAGATTCTTCTTTTGATCCTTTTGTATTTTGGAGATCTTGCGATCATACTTTTAGAGGTATATCTAGTAGTAGGAATTATAGGGATTTTACTGAGGATATTACCTTTTAGATAGATGTGATCATAAAGGGAAAACCTTTCCTTTTCCCAACAATCTACCCTGCTTTTCTTTCTGCGACACATAAATTCTCAAGGGATACCAACCATCATAAGATATGTTAACTTGATTTTATAAGTTCGAGACGAAGTCTAAAGAATGTAAACGAAGGAAGAACATATCATCAATATTTCAAAAGAGACTAAGATCATATCAAAATGAGAACATATCAAAAGAGATATTAACATATACTAGATCCTAACCTGAAGTTTTCTGTGCTCCCCCTTAACAGGTTCTCCCCTTAACATGCCAACTTGTACCCTTAGAGCTAACTCTGCTAACATTGTCCTTATTCTCCCCCTTGGTGGCTGGAATCCCTAAGATGGTGATAGGTTCTTTTGGTTGTAAGAATGGCATGAAAAGAATAGGGGGACAAACCTATGCTCAATACAGTACACATCAAGGTTACACCCAATCTCATCAAGAAACTTGGTGATAAGGGTGGCATAGGGAAGAGTAATGTTCCTAAAGTCTTCGTGTGGAGCAATCTCAACTAAGTGAAGACACATCAGGGAGGCAATATTGATCTTTCTTCCTCGAATAACTTTGACCAAAATGAAGAGACCAATATGCTCAATGGTGAAGAGATGCTTAACAGGATGAATGAAGAATCTAGTGATGAGCCAGTGTAGCACCTTAAGAGGTCAAGAAGAACAAATATGTCGATGACCCCCTAAGTCAGTTGTTATAGCTCATCGGTGTAGTTAAAGTCATAGAGTTCAAAATTTGGCATATAACTAAGGGGAAGAACTTGAGATGGGAGGTGAAGTGTGGCAGGCAGTTGTTAGGGGGGCGAAGTTGACATGGAACCTAGGAAATTTTATGTAAGCCGAGATGGTACTGATTCAACCAGACGAAGATTGCGATAGAAATTTCATAAAATGAGAGTGCAAACCACTGAGGAATTAGGTGTTCGAAGGTCAAAGAACCCTTCCTATCCGAGATTGGCTATGACAGAAAATTTCATCCAGAAAGGATGATAAAAGGGGAAGCTCGTGCTTACTGATAATGGGGAGCATGCTAGAGAAGAAGTAGTAATCGCCTTGACTGATGACTAAGTTACACTCATCATTGGCTTAAGTTAGAATGGCATCGCAGTTAGCTATTAGCAAAGGAGGCGGAGGAGAGAAGAGGAAGATGAAAAGGTGATGTCTAGAAGATATACAAGTGAGATGAAACTAATGAAAGGAATTGATGAAAGACAAAATCTTTCCTTAGCGGGAACCATAATTTTAAACTAGTGGTCACTTAGAGAGAAGAGTGACACTATTTATCATAGCTAATTTATGGCGGAGGTAGGCGAAACGATCATAACTTAGCAGTTTAGTTAATATGTTATCCATTTGTTGATCTATATAAATGTTGGAAATAGATATTACTTCAGTCTTCAACTACTAAATCTCGGAGGAAATTATGTTGATCTCAATATGCTTAGTTCTAGAGTGTTGGACTGGATTTTTACTCATACTAATGGCGCTTGAGTTATCACATAGAGTTGGCAAGTTAGAGACATAGAGTACATAGTTCTGCAACTGTTGCTTGAGCCAAAGGAGTAGCATACAACAGTTTCATGCAACAAGGTATTCAGCTTCGGTCGTGGAAAACATAACACATGCCTGCTTCTTTGAAGCCCAGAAAATGAGTGACTCATCTAGGAATAGACAGCCGCTACTCGCTAGAGGTACTTTTTCTGCTAGTCCTGCTAGGAGCAAAGTTTGAGTGAGTATCCTATAAATTCTAGGTAATCGGATGAGGGATACCAGATTCCTAAGATAGGGGTATGAGCAAGGTAGCGATTTTTTTTTTGTTGCTGTTGTTAGATGAGATTGCTTAGGATTAGCTTGGAATCTAGCATATAGACACACACTAAACATGATGTGTGGTCTGCTAGATGTTAGGTATAGAAAAGATTCGACCTTGATAGAGAGTTTCACCACTAGAGGTACCACGTTCTTCATGATCTAGATGAAGGGAGGTAGCAATAGGAGGGGGAGTTTTGCGAGTTTGGCAGAAGACATTTGATACTTTGCTACCTGACTCGCTACGACACAACTCCTAACAAAGGCCAAGTGTAACCAATGGAAGGGACTGCAGTATAGTGGCTCAAGTGATAAATATCGAATCCACGGGTCTCTAGAGTTACTATTACTCAGCTTCAGTTTATTATTTAGCAAATCAGATTAAGATGAAAGAGCTAAAACTACTCTAGCAAACTACAGTTAAAGTTAATCTAATTACAGGTTGGGAACTCACTTAGGTATGATTCCCCCTAGCCACTAGCCAGACTAACGATTGATGATTTCCAACTTGTTTCACTTTCATTCACAATGCGGAGAATCCTTGAGTAGACCTTGAGTCTCGACTAAAGGAACAAGGCCCCTCTTGAGTCAATTGCCTAGAGGGACGTATCCTTCTCTAGAACAACTGATCAAGGCATTCTGAACTAGACTCCCTCTATCGAAAGAGGTTCTCAATCGATACAAAGCAGTGAATCAACCCTCGACTAAAGCAATCGATCCACTACTATCAATCTATGGTGCTCTATTGACCTAATCAGGTATTCCCTCTCATAGAATCAAAGCAGAATCAATAATCTCGATTAAAGTAGAATTGAATCATGAAAACATGCATAGATTGAATATGAACTCAAGATTATCCAGTCAGAGTACTCATACAATCATCCAATCAAACAAACATAGCTAGGGTTCCTCAAAACCTAAGTGAAGGGAAGTTACTCCATAGAGAAGAGAGAGACTGCAGTAAGAATCTTCAGATGATCAGTCTTCAAGTCCGGGCTTGTTCCTCGAGCTTCCAAGGCAAAGAAATCCCCCAAATCCACTCCAAGAATGCCCTCAAATCGCCCTCTCTCTCTTTGGTTCGTCCCTTGGGTGTTTGGGATCCAAAACCCAGCTCTCCCCTCTCCTTTGGCTGAAAATCGGGTTTTAAGCAGAAAATCCCGACTCACACGGGCAGGGTGGCACGGCCGTGTGGCCTACCCAGTTGCCCGTGTGAGGCAAAACGCATCGTATCACTTAGTCGAATTCCAGGCTTCTTACACGGCCAGGGTGGCACGGCCGTGTGTGACTTCCTTCTGCCCGTGTCTGCTCTCGGCGAATGTGGCACGGCCAACCCGGCCACTTGCACGGCCGTGTCAATCTGCTGCTCTGCCCATGTCTGCTCTCGCAGAATGTCACACGGCCAGACTGGCCTCTCGCGCGGCCGTGTGAACATCAGGGTAGCCCGTGTGACCTCCTTTGCGACTTGTCTCGCGCCCGATCTTCGCCCAATCGACCCCAAACTCGCTCCTAAACCTTCATTCACTTGCCAGGACCTGAAATATCACAAACAAGCACAACCTAGCGTGAAATCGGTCTAAAACACGAGAAACCACATCTCAAACGGTGTAAGAACAGGGGTGAAAACATGTGTAACTAACGGTCTATCAAACTCCCCCACACTTAACCGTTTGCTTGTCCCCAAGCAAACCTAACTCAAACCAATGCAACTCTCCAGACCTCTATAGCAACAAACAACCCAGATCGTAGGTAGAGGACTTCCTAGATCATTTAGCAACTTACGAGGTCAACCGACGCACAAGTCATCTCATAACTTCTTCGGCGAGTCGGCATCATGGCAAATAGTGAACAGAGGACAAATGAATTGTGGATGAAGAGATTCTCAAAAACAACAGATCATGGACTCACATTTTTCAAGGTGCTCTATTTTCTGCTTAAGGATGGTTGGAACCCCTTTTCTTTCTATTATGCTTGTTTTCTGTTATTTTTCTTTTCTTTTTTTCTTTTTCAAGGGTCCCAACCTGCTCTTACCGGCCATGCCAGGAGCGGATGTCTCGAGCCTCGTGCGGGGGAAAGACATGTAAGGGGGCTGGAGGTAGTAGGTGGAAATTGGGAATGAATTCCCGTCTCCCCTTACACACTTTTGCCCTATTCGCACGGGAGACGTTTATTTTGAAGCACATTTTCGAGCACCTGTTATTTTCAAAACATGATACAAGAGTCCATGACAGGCAGAGAATCCACAACACCACACAATTCAAGAGTCCTAAGATCACTAATTCACTCAATCAACCAACTCAATATGAAGAAGAAATGAGACTTCTTAAATGCATCAACATCCTCCATAGTGCTACACTACCTCCCTAGGTTGCATATTACTATAAAGACTGTCAATTCAAAGCATACTGAGCAGGCAATTGCAAGGAAACACGTACTTGGAGCCCTCAAATTTAAAAATTTGGACAGTGGACTAGGCTCCAACCACACAAACAGCCAAACATTCACCCGCATACATAATCGAACATCCCCCCACACTTAAGTACGACATTGTCCTCAATGGAGGAAAGATAAGGAGGTTAGAACGAAGTTACCAGATCAAGGGTGAATGATGATGAACGGGTCAGGCGGTGCCATCCAGAAAGAGAGAGTAATCAGAACACAAACACCACACAAAATCTCACAAAGGTTGAGTTATTGACTCTAAAATCAAATAACAAAACTGACTCAACCGAGGAGAAATAGAGAAAGAAATGCAAACCGACTGGTTGGGTTGCCTCCCAACAAGCGCTTCTTTCACGTCATGAGCCGGACGATGGCTCCTAAGTTTCGTTCCACCCCAAAACCTCCTTGAAGTTGAGGTTCTCGTCGATGAGGTGGAGTCTCAAGTCACGAGCATGTGGTATGACAGTAGATGGAAGCTCGTGCACTTGATGCAGATGAAGTCTCCACCCTCGAGACCTCTTCTTCTCTTCTCTCGTCTCATTGCCCCTAACCAGATATGACAGCATCGATTGGCCACCATCGCGTCCACCAAGAGGGACCGATGTCGAGGTGGCCTTGGTCTGGCAAAGAGACACTGCAAATGGGTCCTTGCTAAGCAGTTCCTCGAAGTTTGGTGGAGATATCACATGTAACTCATGGCCAGTGCAGGCCTCTTCCACCTTAACTCCGTCCTCAGCCTGGACGCCAATTGCTTCTTCAACCCCCCTTTCTACTTCATGTGGTATCACCCCTGGGAAATGATCAAGAACTCCTCCTGCTTCACTTTCGTCATCCTCCACAACTTCTTTCTGCGCCCTTTGTTGCTCTTCTTCTTCTAGCACGGATTGGAGAGCAAGTTGCCAAGCAATTTCTTTCATGAGATCTTCTTGCATCTCCGCACTCATGCCCGCCTCTTCAAAGCTCAGTTTGGGGTGTGGGAAGGTGTGGTCGGCTACGACATGACACTCTTGATCATGACCATCACGGGAGCTCTCCGTGACAACTTCTGTGTGTTCCATAATGTCCTTGTAGCCTTCTTCTTCCTCCTCCTCTTCTAGTATGGCAGCAGAAGGGTGATCTGGAGCAGGTTGTGCCCAAGATCGCTCAAGATCATCGACGCTCTTCTTAAGGCTCAGGAGGATCCCCTCTGTTTCACGATAGGCCTGGACACAATGATCCATACTGGAGCATGATCTCTCCATGAGAAGCCTCAAATCATAGTGTGGATCTGGCTGTGGAGTGTAGCATGGCTCTGCAGAATGGCCCGTGAAGGCCGCCATGGGTAACTCCAGCTCCAATGGCCCTTCTGGTTGTGGGAGAAATTCTTCTTGGTAATGAGGTTGTTCTTGATATGCCCAGGGGTCCGGTTGTTCTCCGTAGTAAGGGGGTTGGTACTGGAATCCGAATCCATAGTCTTCTCCGCCTTGATTGCTCCACGGAGTCTCGGGGTAATACCACCCAGATGGTGGTGGATACCCCCAATGATTGGAGAAGCCATTAGGATCCATGATTCAGATCTGCACCAACAAAAACAAAAACACCCAAGTGAAAAGCAAGGGTGGAAAAGAAAAGAAACGAAAAACGCTAAAGTAACAAACTTCTGCCTTTCCTAATACTCTAGAAAGTCCCCGGCAACGGCGCCAAAAACTTGACTCGCTACGACACAACTCCTAACAAAGGCCAAGTGTAACCAATGGAAGGGACTGCAGTATAGTGGCTCAAGTGATAAATATCGAATCCACGGGTCTCTAGAGTTACTATTACTCAGCTTCAGTTTATTATTTAGCAAATCAGATTAAGATGAAAGAGCTAAAACTACTCTAGCAAACTACAGTTAAAGTTAATCTAATTACAGGTTGGGAACTCACTTAGGTATGATTCCCCCTAGCCACTAGCCAGACTAACGATTGATGATTTCCAACTTGTTTCACTTTCATTCACAATGCGGAGAATCCTTGAGTAGACCTTGAGTCTCGACTAAAGGAACAAGGCCCTCTTGAGTCAATTGCCTAGAGGGACGTATCCTTCTCTAGAACAACTGATCAAGGCGTTCTGAACTAGACTCCCTCTATCGAAAGAGGTTCTCAATCGATACAAAGCAGTGAATCAACCCTCGACTAAAGCAATCGATCCACTACTATCAATCTATGGTGCTCTATTGACCTAATCAGGTATTCCCTCTCATAGAATCAAAGCAGAATCAATAATCTCGATTAAAGCAGAATTGAATCATGAAAACATGCATAGATTGAATATGAACTCAAGATTATCCAGTCAGAGTACTCATACAATCATCCAATCAAACAAACATAGCTAGGGTTCCTCAAAACCTAAGTGAAGGGAAGTTACTCCATAGAGAAGAGAGAGACTGCAGTAAGAATCTTCAGATGATCAGTCTTCAAGTCCGGGCTTGTTCCTCGAGCTTCCAAGGCAAAGAAATCCCCCAAATCCACTCCAAGAATGCCCTCAAATCGCCCTCTCTCTCTTTGGTTCGTCCCTTGGGTGTTTGGGATCCAAAACCCAGCTCTCCCCTCTCCTTTGGCTGAAAATCGGGTTTTAAGCAGAAAATCCCGACTCACACGGGCAGGGTGGCACGGCCGTGTGGCCTACCCAGTTGCCCGTGTGAGGCAAAACGCATCGTATCACTTAGTCGAATTCCAGGCTTCTTACACGGCCAGGGTGGCACGGCCGTGTGTGACTTCCTTCTGCCCGTGTCTGCTCTCGGCGAATGTGGCACGGCCAACCCGGCCACTTGCACGGCCGTGTCAATCTGCTGCTCTGCCCGTGTCTGCTCTCGCAGAATGTCACACGGCCAGACTGGCCTCTCGCGCGGCCGTGTGAACATCAGGGTAGCCCGTGTGACCTCCTTTGCGACTTGTCTCGCGCCCGATCTTCGCCCAATCGACCCCGAACTCGCTCCTAAACCTTCATTCACTTGCCAGGACCTGAAATATCACAAACAAGCACAACCTAGCGTGAAATCGGTCTAAAACACGAGAAACCACATCTCAAACGGTGTAAGAACAGGGGTGAAAACATGTGTAACTAACGGTCTATCACTACCAAGGAAGTGAAATACTTGCTTTGATGTATCAATATCCCAGCCGGAGTTTGATGAATTTGGAGACCCAGAAAGAAAGTTAATTATCCCATCATACTCATTTCAAAGCTACTCTGCATGAGCTTGTCGAATTCAGTGCAGAGGTTTCTGATGTGGCCCCAAATACCGTGCCATCCCCATAGATTTGAACAATGAGACTACCTAAGGAAGAATGCCGAAGAAATAGAGTTGTATCTATGGATCCTCTAGTGAAGTTGTGTTATAATAGGAAAGTACTTCATCTCTCATACCATGCTCTAGGAGCTTGTTTCAGTCCACACAGTCTCTTTAAGTTTGTAGACATGATCGGGAATGAATTGATTTTACAAACTAGGAGGTTGTTCAGCATAAACATCTTCATTTAGAAAGCTATTTAGAAATGCACTTTTGACATCCATTTGATATAACTTGATTTTGTTTGTACTAGCATATGCACAGAGTAACCTAATTGCTTCTATCTGGGCTACTGGTGCAAAGGTTTCTTCAAAATTTATTCCTTCTTCTAGTGATGTTACATATTTCATTCGATTTATTCCTAAAGACCCACTTAGATCCAATAACTGGCTAGTCTATATGTCGAGGTACAAGATCCCAAACCTAACCTCATTAGAATTGGTTGAGTTCTTCTTGCGTAGTTAGACTCCAATATTCATCTAATAGAGCTTCTTTAATGTTTTAGGCTCCATTTGGGACATATTGGCATAGTGGATATAAATAAGAGCAAAAAGATTATTTTTTTGTCGTAGATCAAGTAACTAGTGGGGCATCAGGATGACCTATGATCAGGGAAGGAGGGTACCTTTTCTATACACGAGAGGGTGCATTGATGTGATGGAGGTTCAATTTCTCAGGTTTTTCAGAGATTGGAGTTGCTGGTTCTAGATTTTGGGACGTAGATTTTGTTATTGTGGCAAGAGGTTGTAGTGCAAAGGAGTCCTCCTCAAATTGTGAATAGATTCCTCAATTATGTTGGTTCGTCTCTTCAAGATCCTGTAAGCTTTAATTCTGGTACAATATCCTAGAAAAGTAGTTGGATTTAATTTGGGTTCAAACTTCCCTAGTTGACCTTGCGTATTTAAGATGAAGCAAGGACTTCCAAAAGGATGAAAGTAATTGAGATTATGTTTCTTCCTCTTCCAAAGTTCACAAGGAGTCTTTTTCGACTGTACTCGGAACTCTATTGGTTCTACCCAAAGATTTTGAGGTAGGTGACTTGTTCCTGTTGTGACTACTATCCCAATTGTGGCCAAGTGCAACCACCATCGGGTGCAATCAGTGGCGGAGCTACTCACAAGGGAGGGGGGTGCTTGCAGCCCCCTTGGCCTGGAAAAAATTATTAGATAGTATGGAGGACACTAGGCAAAGGCATCGAACAACTATCCCTCTCAATGAAATTCAACACCCAAAACATTCACCATCTCGGCTGGACTAGTTTTTAAATAACCATACGTACATCCTTTTATTTATAATATACTATTTGTCCTTAAATAAAAAATTTGGTCATTAGTTAAATTTATGTGTTCTACGTCCATGACAGGTACAAAAACTCATTTCCCAGTTGCATAAGAAGCATAAATTTAATCCATATGTTTATTTGCTTATTGAGTTTACACTCATTTTTCGGTTGCAACAAGTGTGGAGCGATCATTTTCATCTATGAAGTATATCAAGAATGATTTTGAAATCGAATAAATGATGAGTGGTTGAACTACGCATCAATAACATTTATTTAACTAGATTTGCATGCTAGATTGGACAAAAAATGTGTTCTATAATGCTTTCAGTATGAAATTTCGTTACCGTTCGTTGTAAGCGATGAACGTCAAACTTTTATTCTGTAATTGTTTGGAGTTTGAGTATTATGTTGTTGACTTCTTATTTCGTTTAGAGTTGACTTTTTTGTTATGTAGTTTGATTTTTTTTATGATATGAAAAAACACCCCCTTGGCAAATTTCTGGCTCCGCCACTAGATGCAATATAGTGAAAGTGAAGCTTAATTATCAACTCGGGTGACAAATGTACAATTACTTCGTGGACTACCTTATTACCTAGTCAATCGAAGGTACATAGAAATATAAATTTAGTGGCAGTTAAAAAAGAAATTTCAATTTAGGGATTTCAATTTTCAAGTGATAGAAAAATGCAAAAGGAAAACAAAAGGGTTTTTTACTGTTTTATCCTTAGGCTAATAGCAGAGTCAGAGAGGCTCTCTGGGTCCGTCAGCGAGTGCTTCGTTGGTTACAAACTAACAATCATCAGAAATTCACACAAGCTCACAGAGAGAGAGAGAGAGAGAGAAGAGAGGACAAAGCGAAGCGAAGAGAGGGAGAGAGGAATTTTGAGGAGGAAGAACCCTTAAAAAGTTGCGGAGAGGGAAAGTTACAAACGGAGCGGAGGTGGGAAGTGAAAGGGAATAGTAATGGAGGAGACCGAGAATCATAATAATTTGGAGGCGGTACCGGAGGAGATGGAGGTGGACGACGTGGTTGGTTCGAGCCAGACATTGGAGAGGGTAGCTGCTGCCAAGCTCTTTATTGAGAACCATTACAAGTCCCATATGAAGCACATCCAGCAGCGCAAAGAGAGGTTCCTCTCCCTTCCTCTTCTTCCCCCATCCCGCATTTCTTTCATTCTCTCTCGCTCTCCTTTCTGCATTCTTGCTTCAATTTCTGATTGTGCATGCTTTTCAATTTTGAATTCAAACCTCCGAATATCGTTGCTGCTATATCATTTTATGCGCGGAAGTTAATTAGAAAGCATAGCTTTTGTGAAATGTGCATAAAGGAACCAGCAGGCGGCAACTTTTGTGCAAGGAAAGGCCAAATTAGGGCATTTATCGTTGCAATTCTTATCCCTTTTGGTTCCTGGAAAAGGGAGGGAAGAAGGGTTGGCAGGCCTGTCCTCAATGTGTTGATTGTCATTTCCTTTTATTAGTTTCCTAGAAGCCGGATTTCTTTCCACTTTTCTAAAGGGCACTTGCAAATTTCTCAAATCATGTAAAGTAGGACTGTCATAAGAGAAACCTAGATGACTCACACTGGGTCGTGTTTTTTGGCTAATAGTTTTCCATGCTTGCTTAGCACTTTAATTTAGTGACAGTTTTGTGATCTCGTAGGCAATGTACCTCCTGTGGTGGCTTTGTGTTCTTTTATTAATTTTGGTGATGGGGAGTAAATGTTTTGGATTTTGAAGAAATTCCTTTACCTTGCAGGCGATCTGAGCTTGAAAAGGTGTTGGCCACATCCCATGTGCCTGAGGAGGAGCAAATCAATCTACTGAAGAATTTGGAGCGCCAAGAAACCGAGTATATCCGGCTCAAGAGACACAAAATTTGTGTAGATGATTTTGACCTTTTGACTATAATCGGCAGAGGAGCTTTTGGAGAGGTTAGATATGTGCATATTGACTTCATTGTATTCTTTCTTTCCACTTGCACTTGGTAATTGGATACAGTTATAGTAATCGATGTGTCCTCTTGAACATTTGACTATTCATAGTAATGGATGAAAGTATCCAATCTACCCCAGCTTCAAATCTTTTGGCCTAACACGAAACTACAGGAGAAAATTGATATGAATGTCTTATTGGCGATCGGTATGTAAGGTTTGGCTAGCAGAAGGATATTTAGAGTTTTTCCTTGCTGTTTCCTTAAGTGATTCCTGGGACTATACTGTGCATTGCTATCACATAAGAAACCAATTTTCAATGCTTAGCAATAGTCTAATGTTAATTGCTCTTTCCGGAATCGTAAGTTTTTTGTGAGATTGGCATTTTGATCTGATTCTCCATACAAGCAAGTCGACTCCTTCAATAAGGGTTTGGCAACCATTGAATAGTTAATAGGAGCTGAGAAAATGAGTGTGAATATAGTGGTAGGGAAGGTGCTGGGGGAGCAGATTGCACCTAACCAGTCATGGTTCTCCCTCTTTGTACATCTAGATGAATTTTTTTGGATGTGTACTCTTTCTGATTTGGATATTGCATCTAGATACTCAAGTATCTGATTTTTCTCATTGCTCTAAACCCTGAACTTTGAGTCAGTATTGTTATGTTTAAAGAAGGATACTCAGATATGATGTTGTTTTGCAGGTTAGGTTATGCAGGGAGAAAAAGTCAGGATGCATCTATGCCATGAAAAAATTGAGGAAGTCAGAAATGCTCAGCAGAGGACAGGTGAGATAAGACTTGATAATTCACAGCTGTCGTCAATGCCTTGCTGACAGTGAAAAGAAGCAAGTAAAAACAACCATGTGTATTGTTTGTTGAGCTATCTCACCTGCCTTGCTGAGTTTTGGTATTTATTCATGCTGGAAAACAGCCATTGCAGTCTACGTAGCTGTCTTCTACGTGGCTTTTGTCCAATGATATTCTCATGCTATGTTTCTCTGTACGTGCATGGCTTTTGTATATGCATTTTAGGTTGAACACGTCAAAGCAGAAAGGAATTTGCTTGCAGAAGTTGCGAGTGACTGCATTGTGAAACTCTACTACTCGTTCCAAGATGCTGATTACTTATACTTAATTATGGAGTATCTTCCTGGTGGTGATATGATGACATTATTAATGAGGGAGGAGACTTTGACTGAAACTGTTGCCCGGTTTTACATTGCTCAAAGTGTTTTGGCCTTAGAGTCCATTCATAAACATAACTATATACACAGGTAGGTAATGCTTTCTTATTGAATGATGGGGAAATTTATATGGTTAACTCTTGTTTCTGAAGCCGAATTACCATTTACCTTCATTCTCAGAGATATTAAACCTGACAACTTATTGTTGGACAAAAATGGGCACATGAAACTCTCCGATTTTGGTCTCTGTAAGCCTCTAGATTGCTCAAACTTATCCACTATCAATGAACATGAAGCCCTTGATGATGAGAATTTGAAGGAATCAATGGATGTGGATGGACGATTCCCAAATGCTGGTGGAAGGCCGTGGAGGAGCCCTAAAGAGCAACTAGAGCACTGGCAGATAAATAGGAGAACACTGGTAATGAGCCTGCTTGCTTTAAGCTATGCTCATGACTTTCTTTTCATGTTACCTAGTGAACTTTCGTCCTAGATTAAAGTTTATTGAATGCATTGAACTTTGAGATGGATCTTTGGTCTGACGTGTTACTGTATAAGCGTACATCTCTTATACCTTAATTTATGCCTATTGATATGCCATGGAACTTTGAAGTTTGCATACACTATGAAGTTTGATGAAGTATGCCACATCTCTAATGCAAATAAGTTTCATTCGATTTTCAGAAATTTCCTTATTTTAAGCATTTTCCTCTTCCATGTTTCTGACAACAGGCATATTCTACAGTTGGCACACCAGATTATATTGCTCCAGAAGTGCTCCTTAAGAAAGGATATGGCATGGAGTGTGATTGGTCAGTATAGATTTCCCCTTTCTCTTGAGATCCACGCAATAGGGCATGATGTCTGGTTGCACTTGCTTACCGACTTCAGTTGTAGGAAGTGTAAAAAATAAACCTCTGTGCTGATTGCAACAGGATTTACAGTTCTTACAGTCTCCATTGTAACAAGAACTAACATATTCATAAAACAGGAGCAGAACAAACTGGTTATATAATCATAAATGGATGTAGGGAAGCCATATTTGTTCTGGTTGTGAGTTGTATATAGTCCAGAGATAAATTGAAGTTGTCACTAGCTAGTAAGTCAGGTTAAAAAAGGATCTTGCTGACCGTTAAGTTATGACTAAGATCATTATCATCGTTGAGGTGCATGCACCATAGGCTAAAGGTTTTAAGCTAATGCAAACTCTTAAGTAAGTTTTCACATCAACCATCGTTGAAAAGCTACATGATCGTTTTATCGAACATGACAAGCAGCATTGTTAAGCTAGAGAAATAAACTAGTCTCATGGCACAGATATTTAAAGAAAGGAGAAAGATACCGGTGATCCTGAATTCGACGTGGTTTGGAGAATCCCTTGTTTTCATGTTAGAATTAAAGAATTGATGGCAGCCAAGGCTAACAAGTTCTTTCAACTGACTAATCAGCCACTCCTTAAAAGTAAGACATTGCAGGAATGTTTAATTGGCTCGCTGATGAAATAAAAACCGAAAGTTCTTGAGATCTTCGACACTTTCATACTAGTACGATTATACCTGGCACCTGAACCATGACATACTGTACAGTGGAAACTTACTGCACGGTCTAGTCAGCAGAGCACTTTTTGTGCACGGTCTAGGCACTTGATCTCCAAAATAATGGAGTATTTGGTTTTTGTGAGGTCACTGATTGCATTATTCTTGCTGCAGCTCTACCACAGTGCTTACTATTCCTCATTAATTTAGTCTCCAAGCTTTTTTTCCCTGCAGGTGGTCACTAGGAGCCATAATGTATGAGATGTTGGTTGGTTATCCTCCATTCTATTCCGATGATCCAGTAACCACTTGCAGAAAGGTGTACATGCTGACTCCATTAATCGTGTTAGAACAGGACCATGTTTGGATGGTTAAGTGATGGGCATTCATGTTATGTGATCACTAGCATCCTTATAAGAGTGCTTTTGGCAGCATGCACATCTGGGTATTTATGCTTTGTTTTTGTGCATGGGACCTATTATATGCCTGGGAGCATACTGAAACGAGGGATCTGTTTGTTCAAACAGATCCTTTTTATAAGCAGGCTTGATATTTTTATTGATTGTAGTTCTGAGTCGAATCTACTGTAGCCAATTGGTTAGCTGAAGGCACATGTTCTTCACTTAGTTTTTCCCCCCTAAATTATTTGCATTTTTCTTGTGCTTTAACCAAGCTAAGTTTGACATGAGCATTCCATGTACTTGTATCTCGTCTTCCCACTCATTGTGAAATTAGGTTTCCCATTGATCACCAGCCATCTTAGACTAATATGGATTGACATCTGATTTGTGGGAAGGTTGGATACTTGATGCATTTTTTCACAAGACGATGGTGCTTTACAGATTGTGCATTGGAGAAATCACTTAAGATTTCCAGAGGATGCAAGGTTGACACCTGAAGCAAAAGATCTGATCTGCAGGTTGCTTTGTGATGTTGAGCACAGGCTTGGTACTCTTGGCGCCTCTCAAGTCAAAGTATGGTTGATGCATTATTTAGAGCTATTTTGTCATTTTTCAATTTATAGAAAGACCTTCATTGCACAAAAGGAAAGAATGACTTTCTGTCTCATAATCTTCCTTCTGATTTCTTGGTCACTGCTAGGCTCATCCTTGGTTCAGAGATGTTGCTTGGGAAAGAGTATACGAAATGGAAGCAGCATTTAAACCAGAGGTCCATGGTGAACTTGACACTCAGAACTTCATGAAATTTGATGAGGTATGGCATTAGACTTGCAACAGTTCCTTCGAAGGTGAAAGAAAACCGATTTTCTATTATTATTGTTCTACTTCTGTTTGGTTCATCTTCATTACTCTGTGTCCGGAGTACAGTACATACGAGTTAAGTCAAAGCACGAGCTTCAAATGTTTGAGTATGATGATCTTTGTGATAATTGATGGGAGATATCACCAATATATTCTTAGTCATATTAAACTTTATATGATGCGTTACGGTAAAACTGTGCTGAGTGTCCCTTGTCTATGCAAATTACTATGGAAAACGACAATATAGGTCTTAGAGAGAGGTTCCTTGAAAGTTTTGGTCACAGAGTTGAAGGTTTATGTGCTTTATCCAGAAAAATGAAATACCTACTACGCACTACCATCACTGAATGCTACAAAGCTACTAAATCCAATGACGAGATAGGTCTTCGACAAAGGTTCCTTGCTGTTGAGTGTTTTACAAGTTACTAAATTGACCTAATGCAACAAAGCTAATGCCTTGTTGGTCATAAGAAGAAAAGGACATTTCCCCGTAGTGGATATAGCTCTCAACGGGAATTGATTGTTTCTTGAACTCGGTAAAGAAAGATACTGCCAAATTAAAATCAAGTTTATATTTAAGATACTTTCATATTAAAGAACACTGACCAGGTGATGCAGTTGCAGAAACTGTTTAAATTTTGCAGTGACTTTCACTTTATGATTGGACAATGTGGGTTGATTTTTTCACCCACTTGAATGTTTTCCATGCAACTGCTGTGAGATTTATGTAGCTTGTTCTATAGATTCCTTAATCTACCTTTGGGTTTTAACCTCAACGAAGTTCTAGTATTGCATGGCCTTTTTGGGCATTTAAATGCCATTATTTCCTATGATATGTCTATTTAAATTCAATTCTGATGTAGGTGGAACCTCCGCCACTAAGAACTGGATCTGGACCCATGAGGAAGGTAATTGTTTGTCCATTTTAACTTTTGTAAACTAAAACCAAACCTGGGTAACTGAACTGTAGACGGAATGACTGGTCAAAATTTCCAGAATAAGGTGGGTAAAACGAAGCCTAATCCGGCAGGGCATAGTTCGCTCAGCTAACTTAAGATCTCACTTGGATTTTTATTTTTTATTTTTTTATGGTTGTCAAACTTAGATTTCTTTCTCTCAGAAGAAAAAGAAAAACAAAAAAAATTGTAGATTTTAATAATTTTATGATGCAAAGAAATGGTAGCTGCTCGGTGCCAACTATGTTTGATCCAAACTTCAACTTTCTGTGTCTTTAGAAGCCATTTCAGACTTCCATACAGTTGGCATTTCAGCTGATTTAGCAAAATGGCTAATTGTAGAGCATATGCCTTACAAGTTTCTGCCTCACAGTACCATATAACTACACTTCCATTTTCTGTTTGGATTCCAACACGACTTTGGTTAAAAATTGTAGCTTGTCAACTGGAGAACCCTATTTGATTCTTGCCAAACCATATGATCTGTGTCGCTGGTTCTCTTGTCAGATGCTATTGACCGCTGAGGATATGAGTTTTGTGGGATATACGTACAAGAACTTCGATGCTGTCAAAGGTCGTCATTTATTTGGTACACGACTTCTTTCAACTCGTGACAAATCTTCCCTTCATCTTGAAATTTGCATCTCATACTTATTTTGTGTACGTACTAGTAAATCATGAATCTCATCTAGTCAATACAGTCTAGTATCCAAATTCTGTTTCTATATGCTGCGAGAATACCTGTTTGTTTAGGTAGATTTCGCTTGATTTGGCATACATATTTATTGTACTTGTATGTGGTTTGATTCTAGGGTTATTATATGTAGCTCTCATTACAAGCATTTTCACTTTCAATGGAAGTAGTTTTTACACTAGTTAAAAACTTGGGATTGCTGCACTTGCAGTGTCATGTTATTTCCCCTTGTGATCCCTCTTATACAAAGCTCATTCTTGATTCATTATTTAGTTTCACCCCTTTCCGTGGCAGATGTGAAGAAGGGCTGTTTACCTCGCCAGACATCTGCCGACTCTTGTTACAGTAAAACACCCCCTAGATCTTATTCTTTTACCGCTCTTAACAGGTTGTTTTGCCAACTCACACTCTCTGGATGTTGCAGGTGATCCAGGTGTGGAGTACAGTTCCAATTCCAAAGACTCCACTGATAAAAAGGATGGCAGGAAGTTTGCTTCCTCGGGAGATCTGCTGTCACAATGAAAAAAAAGAAGAAATGAAAGAACAAGAAGCATGTGTTGTTACAATTGCAACCAGCCAGCCATACATTCTCAGAACTCATCCGTGAAGATGGCGGCCATTCCTGGTTTCTTTTTTGGTCAGGATTAGCCGTGAACCCGAAGCCATCAATAAACATATCCCGGTGTCATTACCCCTCGCTTGTGTAATATGAGCTCTCTGTGTACAGTAGTATCGCCGGAGCAGCTTTTTTTGGTGATGTTTTGTAGCTACTGATTACCTATCTGGGTGTGCAAGTGTAAAAAAGAAAAGAAGTCTGAAACTGAGAGGGCCTTATATTGATTGCCCAGGTTGGAAGATGCGAAAATCAACTGTTACATCTCCACCTTGTGGCGGCCATTTCATTCAGACTCTCCTTTGCCTCCATTTTTCTTGGGAGGAAGTATCGTGAATCATGTACTGAGGCTGTAATATGGTTTTTACTGTTAGAATCTGTTCCGACGAAAAGATCCAGCTGGTTTCGTGCAATTTAAACCTGCTCATATATGAACTGAGTAAGTCGCGGACGCCTATATCCTACACTGCAGCAGCATGAATTCCAGCCCAGGCAGGCAAGACAACTGGCCTACTTGCGTGCCACTATGTGCGTAGTTGCATTTGCAGAATGGGGGATATGACTAATCTAACAGTTACTTGCAGAAAGAAATGCAGAGGTTGAGAGCTATGTAGGAATCAGAAGCCATAGACGATTGAAGTTGTTAAAACACTACTCGAGGAACCTGATCAAGGTTGTCCTACTGAAGCTGGTCGTCTCGCGAGCTACCGAGAGTTCAGCAAGATGTGGAGCCGGAAGGGACTTTAATACCGCGAGTTCATCGTGGCAAATTAACTCGTAAAGCTACCTTTGATGAAGCAAACAAACTTCAGCATGGATTTCAGACTCATAATCCACTAGGTACTGAGTCATTCGATGTCCGTAAGGCCTTGATCTCCGGTAAATGATCATGAACCATTGCGAAAACAAGAAAAACGAAGAACTATCGCGTCATTACGAGACTTCCAAATTCGTTACACGTTACACGATCCGTCGTAATAGCTTCACTACTGAGGGGAAGTGGCTAGGTGGTTTGAATGTATTGCATAGCACAGGTTTGATTGAAGAAAGAAAAGAAAATGGCAAAATTAAGTGCAAATATATATGAAATAACAGCTCGATCAAAGTCTATAGATGGCAACTTGAGGAAATATTAAAAAAAAATCTTAATTAGAAAACAAAAAGATTCAACGAACTGAAAAACGACGTCGAAGAATCACTGTCCAGCCTCCTCCAGCCTCGTTTGCCGATCCCTTGTTCCATTATTCTTTCTTCCTCTTCGATTCACTTCCTCGCCGGCGCAAATCTCCCCCTCTTCCTCCCCGCCTCTCCCTCAATTGCTCTGCATCCCTAATTATTCATTATTCCCTTCCGCTGAATCCCTAACCCCTCAAAGGGCTACAAGGAGGAATTCCGCCATCATCTCCTCCATCCAATCCTCGTTGGAAGCTTCATCAAGTTTTTTTTTTTGTCATTGGTTGATTGATTTCAAGTTGTGGCAACTGGTAGAGCAACTCAGTAGATTGTTCGCATTACCGCCTAATCGCCGCCTTCAGCAGGCGAGTTCGAAAAAGCTTGCTGCGGTGGAATCGAGACTTCCCCTGGAGTCTCTTTACTTTAAGCAAAACAGGAAAGGCAGGGGTGTTCAAGGTTGTAACTTGCCTCGAACTTCCTTTTCTCCTTCTTATCTAAGCAGGTTTGTGATTTCAGTTTTTTTTTTAGTCAGTACTGCTGCTGACTGCTATCTGGACTTGAATTCTGTTTCGTTGAGTTGATTTGATATGATCTCAGTTTTTGGGTTGCTTCCAGGCGATGTGATTTTGTTTTCCTTTTCTGGAATGGCTGAGTTCAGTTGGAATGTTGAAGTTGAATTAAGTGCTGCAAGTGGAGGAAAAATTATAGAAAAGAGAAAAGAACACATTGTACTGTTTAGAACCTTCCCAGATTTGCTGGGTTGAATTTGTGGGGATGTGAATGCGATTGAAGTTTAGTTTGTGCGGGGGAACTTTTTTCTGTTTGACCGGGATTTGGAAAAGGTGGCTAATGTTACTAATCTGAAAGTTAACTTCACCATATTAGTTTGTTGTCTATTTGACGGCTGATTGCACTGAACGCCTGTTAGAAGATGAAGGGAAATTCCATAATCTTTGACCTGTTGTAATGGCTCTGATGCATTGATTATCTGGGTTCACCTAAAATTTGAGCGAGTGAAGCAGAGCTTGTCCAGTTTCTAATTCATGGAGACTTGTCACTTTATTCCTTTCTCTATCACAATGAGGATCATCCAAAGTTTGGGAGGTTATGAGATTTATTTAGTGGTGAACGGTTCCGGCCTGTTATAAGCTTTTTGACTTGAGTTCTCATTGTTCAAATTCTTCTTTGCAGGTGCATTGACTTTTGAAACCTAGACTGGTCTTTATGTGCCGCATTGGTACAGTTTGTCATGCATTGTCGTATGTGTTGGGCTTATAACACAGAGGATGTGAGACAACCTATACAATGGCTACATCTAGTAAGTTCGATACATCTTCTGGTAGCCCAGATAGGCCAGTGTACAACAGTGTCCAGCGTGGATCCCATACCGTCACTCAATTGGATAGATCAAGTAGTTTCCGTGAGACCATGGAGGGTGGTCCAGTCCTATCCTCTCTCCCAAACACAATGAGAAGTGCTTCTGTGCTATCACAGGGAGATGTGACAAATTTCCTCCAATGCTTGCGTTTCGATCCAAAAAATGTAGCAGCAGACCATAAAGCTAGTCGTCAAGGGGATTTTAGACGACACCTAAACGTTGCCCTTAATGTCTCTGTGGACGATTCCCAATCTGTTTCATCGAAAGGAAAGGTTACACAGGCTCCCACACCTGAGGAAATAAAGAGAGTCAGGGTTAGTCTTCGTGAATGCTCTGTGAAAGCAAGGTAGGGTTTCTAGATCTTCCAGTCCTTCCTACTTGTAATTATTGCCTGATGTTTTTACTTGTTGATGAAATTTTATCTCAATGGCAGGGAGCGTATGAAGATCTTCAGTGAAGCGTTATCTGTATTTAACAAGTTCTTCCCAGCAGTACCCTCAAAGAAGAGATCTAGATCAGAAAGTTTGTCGAATGACCGCTCCGGTCCCTTATTATCTAGTGAACGTTCAGTTTTGGGCCAAAGCCTTAGTAAGATGGCAATTCAGAATCATGGTGTTACCAGCAACTTTGAGCTGGAACAGCAGAAGCTAGAAGAACGAACCAAAAGTGTTGTTCCAAACAAACGCACTCGCACTTCTTTGGTGGATGTGAGGGTTTGTATTCTGTTACCTTACTTCCTTGTATACATGAAATGGTGATTCCCCTTTGATTCGCCATCTTAATTGACTTGTGATTTCCATTTGAGTACCTTCTATGGAATTGTATGCCACTCTCTGAATGTGAACTACTACTTCCCTTTTTTTTGGTCTCCATGTTGATCACTAATGTGTCTAGTCATATTCTCTACAAAGTGGTATTCTGGATTCATTTAGTTTTCATTCTGGGCTTTCCAGGCATGAGTTTGTGCTAATGGGTTTTTACTAGTTTCTCTGTTGGCTCTCAAGGGACGTGCCCTTTCCTGCATCTACTTGCTTTAAAAAGAAATTTGGCTTTTATTTTAATGTGCAGACCAATGCCCTTGCCAGAGCACCTGGTACTGCAGATCGAGATAGGGAAGTACTGAGGCTCGCAAGTAATGGCACTGTTCAGACTGACGAACGGACATTATCAATTGGTGTTGATGGTTGGGAAAAGACAAAAATGAAGAAGAAGCGCTCTGGGATTAAACCTGATGCTTCTGCAAGTTCAGTCTCCACAAAGCCCACTGACTTATACCGTGATCCTAAACAGGGACTGCAACAAAGAGCTGCTACTGACACCCGTTCAAGGTTGAACAGTGACTCTCATGGTTTCAGGTGTGCAACTAGTGTCTGTTTATTGTTTCCTGCTGCATACATCTATAACTAAGGTGTTAAGTTGGTGCTTAATTGTTCATAAACTTGAGGCCCCCACTTCAGTTGTTTTTGGCAACCTACTTGATAATGCTTGTTTGAATGAATCTACAAATATGATCAGAAATAGTGAGGCAAGCAGAAATGATGAATATTTCTATCTGCGAGACTTTGGTGACTTTGATTCAAATAGTGGTGCCCTTTTTGTTTATTCTTTATTCCATCTTGCGATGTGGCATGGTCTCCATCTTTGGTTTAGCCTTGAAGCAGTAAGAAAAGTGTATTGGTGTTCAACAGCAAGAGTTAAAACACCTTATCTACACATCCTCATGATATTATAATGCAATTTTAAGGTGCTTTTTGAATTCTTGATCATGCTTATCAGTTCAATTTGCTATACTTTGTTGTACATTTACATATCTTAGGCGTTTGACTACGAAGAACTTTCAGTTAAGATTTGACTTGCTTGGTGTGTATCATGTTTGCGGGTTGTAAAGTTCTAGTAATTACCAGAACTGTGGTTTGTTCTGAAATGTGGACAATGATCTTACTAAGGTGTTCAAACAATTTGCTGGTTGCTTCCTAATAATTATAAAAAATAACTGTCCGCTTTCCATGCTTGATTCTTAGTTCATTTTGATATGCCCAAATCAATTTATTTTAGTCTTTATTCAACCGAGTTCAGCATTTGCTTTTTAACATGATCATGTACTCTTTTGATGATTACTGATTTATATTTCAAACTTTTAGGCCAGGAGTTGCAAGTGCTGGTGGTGTTGGAAAACCCGACATTGTCTCTCAGTCACCAGGCTTGGGCATGCGCTCATCCATCCCTGAAAATGGTGCTGTTCTAAATGATAGGAGAGAGCGCCCAGTCAGTTCAGATAAAGAAAGGGCAAATATTAAAAGTGTTAACAAGTATGTGACACACCCCAGGCTCTGTTGTAGTAGGGATTGTGTAATATTATCCTTCAAATTCCAACCTATCTGCTCTCTCTCCTGCTCGCTCACTGGATAATGTTTACAGTCGTAATGCACTGACTTCCTTTATTGTCCATGATACTCAGGTCAAATGTTCGTGATGATTTAAACTCAGCTAGTCCTACATCAAGCACAAAAGTAAATCCATCTGTTCGAGCTCCCCGATCAGGCTCTGTTGGTGCACCCAAGTTGTCCCCGGTTGTGAACCGTGCAACTACTGCCAGTGACTGGGAGCTCTCCCATTGTACAAACAAGCCACCTGCTATTGGAGCTAATAACCGTAAACGCACTGCATCTAATCGTTCTTCGTCTCCACCTGTTGCTCAGTGGGCTGGCCAGAGGCCTCAGAAGATCTCTCGCACAGCAAGACGAACAAATTTGATGCCTATAGTTTCTAGTAATGACGAGGTTTCAGCTGTAGATACTGTATCAGATATCTCCGGTAATGAAACTGGGATGGGACTTTCTACTCCCAGGCGTTTGTCAGCTGGCTCTCCTCAACAGATAAAACTAAAAAGTGAGCCCTTATCATCTGCTGCACTATCTGAAAGTGAAGAATCAGGGGCTCCTGAAATCAAATCTCGAGACAAACCCAAAAAGTCTGATGAAATAGATGAAAAGGTTGGGCTAAATGTTCAAAAAGTATCAAGTCTTGGTACACCATCAAGGAAGAATAAGCTGATGCAAGGAGAAGAGCTAGGAGATGGTGTGCGAAGGCAAGGAAGGACTGGGCGTACTTTCTCCACACCAAGGTCTCTCGTGCCCATGGGCATGGAGAAGCTTGGACCAGCAAAACAGATTCGAAGCGCGAGGGCTAGTTCTGACAAAAATGAAAGGTCAAACATTTGATCTCCGATTTTATTCTTTCCCATGATCAATTATATGTCCCGATTACTACTGGATTAGCTCCTTATGATGCTTATAGTTGGTTGTAATTATTCGCTCAGCAAACCTGGTCGTCCACCAACCAGAAAAGTATCTGACCGCAAAGCATATACCCGTCAGAAGCATACTGCTGTCCATGCAACATCAGATTTTCTCGGTACTTTCTCAGCATTCTTTTGAATGAAGTTAAGCTGCAAAGGCTTATGTTTTGGTATTATTGTTACTTAACTTTTTGGCTTGATCATTTTAGTTGCTTCTGATGACGGGCAGGAAGAATTACTGGCTGCTGCGAATGCTGCCATTAGTCATGGTAACGTGGTGCCATATTGACATTACAGTCGCTTTGTTGGGAAACTTCATCCTTTCTGCCGTTTGTTTACTATGTATTAATTTATTATTTTCTTTGTATTAGCATCCCAAGTGCTATCTTGTCCATTCTGGAGGCAAATGGAACAATACTTTGGCTGCATAGCGGATGTCGACCTTGAATATTTGAAACAGCAGGTGAGCAACACTTTTTTGGTTCATCTATATAAGCATTACCAATTCTGAAACTAGCTTCCCTTATAATTTGTTTATTGGCAGGCAAATTTGGATCCTATTGTGTCGCCAGTGCCTTTTTCCTCTGATGCCCACATCTGCAGTAACATCTCTAATGGATATAGATTAATTGACCAAGGGAGAGAAGTCAGGTGTGCCACCGAAACAACTGGCGTTGAACTTCATCCGGGAGAGTCTGTGGTTGGTACAGGGGATAGTTCTCTCTGCCAGATGCTTTTAGCAGCTATAATCTCAGAGGATGACTGTGGCCTTGAAGATGAGGACAATGAATTCGGTGCATATGAAACTGGATTTGAACCGGATCGGGTACTGGGTTTAAGTGGATTGGATCACCTGGATAGTTTCCGGGCATCTACGCAAGCTGTATTTAATGATTACAAAGTGACAGTAAAGCCAGGACATGATTCTTCAGAAATTAATGTATTAGGTACCCCAAAGGCAGGTACTTATTCAAGTTCCATCCATGCTACAAATGGTGTATTTTCAGATCAGATACCAATACCTATAGCAGCTTCAGAACTCCAGTATGATAACATGCGTTTAAATGAAAAGCTGCTTCTGGAGGTTCAAAGCATTGGAATATTTCCAGAATCAGTGGTAAGTTTCCAAATGTGGAGGCTTTTTTATAGTGATTGGTTTCTTCACTGTCATTATTTTATTGTTTGTCAGTTAGTGTTTATTTTTTCTGATTGTGTTGTGAGTCGGTGTTTGTCATGTGCGTTTAGGCTAAATATGGCCACCTTGTTCTTGTCCTTGTTAATTATTAATTTTCTCCCATTGCTCTCTATTTCCTTCGTTGCAGCCCGGTGTGCATACTGAGGACGAAGGAATCGCTGTGGACATCTGTAAGTTGGAGGAGAAGCATGCTGAACAGGTATCCTTTAGATCATTGTTTAGGGCTTTAGGCTCCCATATCAGGCTACTTAGCTTATCTCTTCAACAAACACTTCATGGAACTTTACATGCATCTGTTAATTCACCTGGCTTCAGCTGTATGTTGCTAGTTTTTTTTTTTTTTTTTGGTCCGCTGTGTTGATCACTGGTTGTAAGTTGGTCGAATCATTTTATTTTTTGTTATGCAATACTACTGAGTTCCCACATTTTCAAGGTATTCGATGATCTTATGTCTCTAACTTTGGCTGTTGCTGCGATAGGTCTTGAAGAAGAGAGGTTTAGTTGATCAACTGTTGAAAGCTGCCATGGAAACAAAAGAAATCCAGGAAAGGTAAGTAGTCATATTTCTTTACTGGCTAAATGAAGTAAATTATGTTCCTTTTCAGCTTTGCTGTATATTGTCATGACTCAAAATCCAATATGTTTTATTAGGGAACTTGAGCAACGTGCTTATGAAAAGCTCACTACAATGGCTTACCACAAATACATGGTACATTTCCTAACGAACCTCTGTGTATGCTAAGTCACTTGTTGCTACTGTTAATCTGGTATGCTTAATAGGATACTCAAAGCGAATACCATCCTTCAATTGTTATGAGTGCATGATTTGGAAATAGGAACAGAACTTCAAAAGAAGCTAATTGTATTTTCTAAAGCAAGATCGCTGGATTGTGGACATAATGTGTGGACGAATATAGTGCAATTATTATTTGGTGTCCCAACTCTTGCTGCTTACCTCAGACAGCCGATATTTAGAATCATGCTCATTTGGTTTATATTATGTTGGCTGCATTAGCTTCTGGTCTCAGTTTCAACTCCACATTTACTGCCTAGTCACATCCTTTATGTTCTTTCCATTAGTTTTTTGTATGTTCATTTTGCAAAATTTTCAGCATGATTTCAACTTGATAGAATGGATAATTAGTTAAATCTTTCAACTGGATGTGTTCTACTCATTCTGTACTAGTGTCTGGTGGAAACTGCCATCGTATTTGCATGTTCATTTTGCAAAATTTTCAGTATGATTTCATGATCCTGATGTCTTTAATAGGCTTGTTGGGGATCCACTGGCGGGAAGACTTCCAACAACAAAATGGCCAAGCAATCTGCCTTAGCATTTGTCAAGCGCACGCTGGAGAGGTGCTATAATTTTGAAGATACGGGTAACGGCTGCTTTAGTGAACCCATGTTTAAAGAAATGTTCCTCTCTGCACCTTCACAAGTCAATGGTTCACAAATGGTGGACTACACTGTGGATGCCGAACCTGCTAAACCATTTGTTGCTGCCTCAAGCCGATTATTAGATTCCAGAGTTTCAGGTACTGTTGTCAGACTTACGGTTTACTTTATTATTTTCGTGGCTCTCAACTGCTACCATTTGCATTTCTCTGGTCTTCCCTTGTGCTTTTTGCTTTTTCTGGTCATCTTGCGGAAGTTGGACTGTTATTTTTATCTTCTTTGCAGCTTCCACTGGGTTACAGCTAAGTCCTCAAACTTCACGACTTAGTCAGAATGGGGATGGCCATGTTGCTAATCCCTGTGACATGCTTCCACCTGTACATCGTGGATCTGGTAAAGAAGATACATGGTCAAATAGGGTGAAGAAGAGGGAATTGTTGCTTGAAGATGTTGGTGGTGGTACTACTGCTACCTCGTCAGGGATTGGAGGTTCTCTATTAAGCAGTACTAAAGGAAAGAGGAGTGAGAGAGACAGGGAGGGAAAGGGACACAACAGAGAGATATTATCTAGGAACGGAACAAATAGAAGTGGACGGCCGGCTCTGTCAAACTCTAGAGGAGAAAGGAAATCTAAAGCGAAACCGAAACAGAAAACAACCCAGTTATCTGTTTCTGTGAACGGCCTTCTGGGCAAGACTGAACATCCCAAACCAACATTGCCCTCTGAGTCTAAGCGGACTCATCAGACTTCTGGCAGCAATGCCAAAGAAAAAGATGGGTTTGGTTTGGATGTACTTGAAGACCCTGATTCTCTTGATTTGTCCAATATTATACCAGGAATAGATGATGATGGCCAAGGACAGGATCTAGGTTCATGGTTGAATATTGACGATGATGGGTTACAAGACCTTGATTTCATGGGTCTTGAGATCCCAATGGATGACCTTTCGGACTTGAATATGATGGTTTGAAGTCTTTCTCCTGTATAGTCTTGTTCATTATATTATTGACAAACAAACATAAGCAATGTTATAAAGGAAAGGTGACCACTTACTTGTAAGGTCATTTTGCTGCCGGTCCACAGTTAGGTTATATAGATTCTTTTGTAGGGTTCACAAGATTTTCAAATGAATTTCAGATCCTTTTTTATGCTCCTGTATCAAGTTAGTGACTCCGAATGTAAAGATCTCTGTTTAATGTTCAAGGTAGTACGTTTCAGTGTTTACGTCTAAGCAACAGCACTGTGTCGTGGCTGTAGCTTCTGCAAATCAGAGAACAGTGTCATTGTACATACATTTTATATTTCTAATAAGATGAGCTTTCCATTCAGTGTTACTTTTTTCTTTTTCTTTTCCTTTCTGGGAGACTAACTCATTTTGGAAATGTCCTTATCATTTTTCAGACGATCTTGTTGTCCTTTAAGATTTACTTCATTAACCTCTTGTAACAGCGTGGATTGCTGGGACATTCTATGTATACTATCCCCCTGTCAGCAAGGTAGTGCAATGAAAGATCTGAAAATGTTAGCACTGTCTGCTCTGCATATAGTTCTGGTTGCTGCATACTTGAGATTTTGTTAGGTTATGTCCTGCATAGTTATGTTCCAGACTGGTAAGATCTTTCCTGTTTCTCGTTATTCATAGTAACATCGTTCTGATTTTATTTTCTTCCATAGCTCTTTGTTAGTTCTTTGCTGCAGATTTCAACTATCCATGAGATGCCCAGGTTCGGTCAAATCATGTTTCGTGTGCACAGTTGTTGCGACCACTGTGCCTACCTTGTAACTGAAAACCAATGTCTGCTTCTGACTAATGCTTATGATTTCAGAAGGGAATTATGTTCGTTAATGGTTTCTGCATTGGATCTGGATCCTCTGATCACCATATAGCTTCTCTGGTCCAAGTGAATCATGCATCGAATTGAAGATTGCGTAGGTCAGTAATATTATTCTTATGGTCTGTGTGCTTATTGATGTCTTTCTCCCTTTTCCATTTTTCCTTGGATAAATATTTGCCTGTATTTATGATGTTAGTGGTAACTCACTATGAGACTTGCTCTGTCATCCTTTCCTTGGGCATATATCATTTGTGGACTCATTGAAGTCAAATCAGCTACTGGTGATTTTTGTTCAGAACGCTGGAAATCACCATGGCATGTGGGTCGAGGTGGTCAGAATACCATTTTCATTCAGAAATTTTCTCTTGCCTCGTTTTGGTGCCACTTATGTGATAGACTTGGTTGGCTGGTTTTAGTCTCAGATTTTTAATCATTCTTTTCTGGGGAGGGTTAACTGTGAAATCGACTGATGCAGAAACATCCCTACGAAGGAAATTTATTCTGCTCAAGTTGTCTTGTGAATCTGGCTGCTCTTTTGTGTGGGTTTGTATTATATCTTCAATTGTTGGTTATGGTGGGTGGATTGTTTCACCATTACTTCACGGATCTCCGAACAATATAGGTGAGAAGATCTGGGTTGAATTTGGTGGTGCTGGTGTAAGTAAAGAGGCTGTAAGTCTTTGTTTCATAATGCAAGAGCTTTATATTCTTTCGCCTCCTGTTCTGGAATCTTTCTGAGTTCGGTTTTATTATTCGAATAGGGTTTTTACAGAAGTTGTAGCTTTATTCGGTGGGTTCTTACTTGGGAAGAGATGTTGGCAAATGCAGGTCTCTGAATTCAGTTGTTACTCCCACATACGTTCGGTATTTGATTCTATCTTCTACCTTCCTCTGCTGTTGTTCATCTGCTATACTCACCATTCCGACCTCTTAGTTTAATCACGATTGGAAGTTCATGCTGATTGAGAGTGACCCTTTCCTCAGATCCCTTTTGATTAAACAACTTTGTTGTTATCCTGTGGATTAGTCTGTTCTTATGTATACAATGTCCTGGGATTCCAGGGTTGGTGTGGAAGCCTACTTGGAGAGATTTGTTTTCAGCCAAAGCCGAGATGTATATTGGACGTTGTCTTCGTGGGAATTAGTTGGGATCTCCTTATTGCTAACTGGTCTTGTTTCCACCACTCTTGAGGAACCAGACAGTTTCGGTTCATCTTATAAAACATTTATGGTTAAGCAGAATACATCCATGGCTTTGGTAGAAATGCTTTGCCTTTTGCGAACATGTTTGTTTGTGGGTTAAGGCAAGTGGCAAGTCGTTGCAGGTCCTGTCAGTAACCATCGAGGTCTGGTCATTTCATGTTGTGAGTCGTTAATTGACGGATGTTAATTGCTCGCACTGGCCATGAACAACACCACTGTGCGCCCATTTATCATCGCCTTTCACTTGTGCCAGTCATTGGTTAAAGTGCATCAATAATGTTGTGCTGTTGTATTGAGAGTTGTGTGAGTTACCCCGAGTTACATCTTACTACAATCATTCGAAAAATGTCTTAAATTAAAAGCAAACTCTCACCCTTCACAAACCCTCCAATCCCTCTGGCTGTTTGCTCCGGCGAACCAGAGACATTATGTGGCCACTACAACGAACAGACAATCTTCTCCGTCGGCTGCTCGATTAATACTGGTTTTCCTTGCATGACCACGGACAGCATGAATCGAATTGTAAACAGCAAGTGCACCATTGCCGATGACCTTGATGTTTTAAATTGCACATGCTTGCCTTTCGCCACATTGCCATCGCCTGGAAATTAATCTGTTACATTGTTCCTGCAGACGAATACCACTGGGGATTCTGTGACTGCCGTAAAGCTCAATCCAGCACCTCGCTGGTGCTACCATCACCGAGAAATGTGTCTGCACAAGCATCCTTCTTCTCCATGTTTAAGCGCATATGTATTTGAGCTTACTGGACCCATGATCAAAGCAAATGGAGCCGGAAACAACGAATCAACATTCTTACATTCTTCAATTCATTCCTGGGGAGGACTAGCCATGTCCTTGGACTTGGACAACAGCAGCTGCACCCTCTTCGTTAGATCTCTCATCGCATCTATAATGAGAGCCTTCTTCTGGATTCTGAACTGGATGGCCAGTTCACTTGTCGCCGACGAGACACCCTTCTTCAGCAACAATTCATCCTCCATCATTTTGGTGGGGAAGTGTCCGAGTGCAATCACACACAGAGCAAGCACGGTACGAAGAGCCGCCACTTCAGTTGCGGTACCAAGAGGTGCATCAGAATCAGATGACAGGGACATCAGTGTGCTCAAATCATGTTTCTCCACCATTTCCCTGTCGCTCGTCAGCATCACTCTAACAGCTGCCAACAATCGCCCCTCCACGGGCTCCTGCCCACCAATTGTTACCTTGAGAACAGGAGCTTCTCCATCCAACTTCAGCTGGGATAAGATCTCTTTCTGCCAAGGAGCAGGCGATGAGAAACTTGGAGAAGATACCCCAGCAGCTGTGCTCGCAGCATCCAGAAGCGCGCCATCGAATCTGAGCTCGATGCAGTCATACGGATTCGAAGGCACCACGAATCCATAGTCCAGTAAGAAAAGATCATTGTTCAAGCAACCATAGTTGATCACCAAGGGATCATCCTCTTCAATTGCAGTCTCTGCAACCACATTTATCAGCATATCATCATTTCCCCCTTGCTCCTGAACAATTCGCGCATTCGGATTGAAACTATGGTTGCACATATCAATCAGCGGTAGCATCATGGGGATATCAATATCACCATGGCTTCCACCTCCGTGCAAACGGAATGCCCTCGACGAGACGGCAGACATTGCCCATCCGAGAGACGATGCATCGACGGCTTGCCCCCCAAAAGGGTGATCGCTGCTGCTTGTCTCTACACCGTCGAGAACATGCTTCACTAATTGCTCAAATTCAAGAAGAAAGCGGCATCTTTTGTTCACCTGGTGAAGCAGAGGTGCGTACTGAAGGTTCTTAATGTCCTCCCCAGGGAAGAAGATGGGCACGCTGTATGCTTCGGGGAGATTGCTGATGTACGGCCACCAGAAAGATCCGAACTGGGCTCGTTCCTGGAGAAGCTTCAGCCCCAATTTCATTGCCCATAGCTCCTCAGGGACATGACGAGCCAAATTGGCCAAAACGGAAGGAGCCGCTCCATCGCCGCCGCTGGCGAATTTCAGAGGAATGTGATCGGGAAGAGCAATGAGCTGGGAGCCTTTAGGGATTGGCTGGGAGGCGAAGAGGCCGAATCCGGTAGCGTCGCGCGATATTTTGACGGCCTGGTGGACGAATCCACCTTCACGCTTGACCCATTTGATGAGGTCTGGAGGGTGAGGGGCGAGACGCGAACCGTAGGGAGAGGCTGCATCGGCGGATGCGGCGGCGCAGGTGAAGGGGCGGCAGTGGGTTAACGAGGCGGCGGCGACGAACTTGGAGGCAGCCATATCTGATCTGAGAGACGAGGTCCGATCACACTGCGCTGGCCTCTGTGTTCTGAGTTGAGCAAGGCTTTCTTGCACCAGAAAATGCGGCGGGCCAGGCCGGTTTCCCAATACCTCGGCGATTGGCAGAGCAACCCGTTCAAAAGCCCAAAATCTGTGCTCAAGCCCCTTAATTTACGTTGGGCTCAAACTGCAATTGGCCGGGTCCAAGATAGGGTCAATAAGTACATAACCATTGCATAACAAGATCGGATCTATAGAATAAAATTACTGTTTATTTGTTTTAGTTTTCTTAATCGACTTTATTTTCATTGTTCTAATTTGAAAAGGTTAATCCAATATTAGAACTATAGAATTACAGAAAATCGATAACCACTAATCGTAGTTTATGACATAATCTGAAATAAATCATCTCCTTTGCAAATACAAAATGTTGGACAGCAAGTTATCATATTTAAAAATAAGTGAAGTATAATTTATGTCGTAAGTCAACTAATATTCATATATAGTCATTATCACTTGATTGAATAAATTACGATTAACATTTTGACATGAAAACTAGGTGTATTTTATGTGTAAAAGAAAGATGATCCACACGTACCTACTGTACCCACCCGAACATGTATGAGAAGAGTTATAATTGTGTGAGTTCAAGTGGGTTTAGTGGTTGACTCACTCATTGCTCATCCTCGTGAACCAACAAAAAACATGTAAGAACCGTTTGAAGTTTATATTTAAGAATAAGACCATGGATTGTGACATAAATGACCATTTTAGTTTGAACTTTCAAATAAACAATTTTGTTTGAATTTTGAAAATAATGGTCAAATTGGCCTGGAATTTGGGTTGACTCTTTTTTGTATAAGGGTATTATGGGTTTACTTTTTGTGATTGGCGCTACTTGAAAGATTTGAACCTGAAACTTTCAAGTTCAAGACTAGTGTGTTATTACCACTAGACCAAGCTCTTGTTCTCTTTGATTTGACTGTTAATATTGAGAGCCAAAATTTTCTTCTGTCTATGACTAAGCATACAAAGCTGAGGTGGCTATGACTTGACTTCTACATCATAAAGACAATATCCTATTTTAGCTCGAACTTTGGCGTAAATTTTTTTTTTTTTTTTTTTGCCTGAACACCAAATAAGACAGTTTTGACTAAATTTTAAACAAATGAACAAATTTGGCTTGAAATTGAGGTTAATCATTAATATTGATGGAAATGGATACAAAAAGAGATTTAGGTCGCACTGTGGCTTCTACAACATTTATTTATAAACTCTAAAAAGCTTGAAAAAAATATGAAACTTTTTTTAGAAAATTGTTTAAATAAGACCACGTGATATGACCTTTAGCATATCCTAATATTTTATATTTTTACTTTCATAAATCAAATCCAAAAAATGAAATTGATTCAGGCCCCCCAAAATCCCAATGCACACAATTATTTCTCTGTACCCATTATCAATATTAACAGTCAATCTAAATTTCAAGCCAATTTTATCCATTTTCTCCCTAAATTCGAGCAAAGCTATCTTATTTAAAAGTTCATACCAAAATTTTCATTTATGTTCTAGAATTGTCCTTATATATAAAATTCAGTATGCCCTTACGTATTTCTTCAGGGCACGTAAGAAACATATTTACTTACGAGAAATTTTACAATGCTATATAGTATTGGTGCTATAAGTTTTTGCCTTTATGGTACAACTTAAAATTGTACATTTACGTTATGGTACAACTTCAGATTGTACCTATACTTTTTTTACAAATTCTTTTATGGTACAACTTGAACTTGTACCTTTATGTAATGGTACAATTTCAAGTTGTAAAGTTGTACCATAACATAATGGTACAAATTGCTTTATGGTACAACCTAAACTTATACATTTAATGTTATGGTACAACTTTGAGTTGTACATTAAAGCACCAATGCTATATAGCATAGTAGAAGTGCTCTTTACTTACAGGCAAATATAGGATAAAATTCTATATTTGATTTGAAGTTTGTAATTATAAATGAAATATGAGATCTAAGCACGATACTTCATATAAAAAAATTATATCATTTCATAAATAAACTGAGCTTAATATGACGCTTCTCCCAAAGATAAGATTTTGCTAGTTCCAAGAGCCTTCTTTCCTTACTAGCTCCAGAAATCCATATTCTTCAATTTGTAAGCCAAAGTCCAATGGAAATGGACCCATGAAGAGCCATCGTACAAAAGGATAACCCAAACATGCCTAAAGATACAAGAGAGATTGAATGGAACTCATGACTTCTTTTTTTTATCGAAAAACTCATGACTTTGGGTTTGGAAATCATGTGTTAAGGGTGTAAATCATGGTAAATCATCATATTTGATCATGATGCATCATTTTCCAATTTTCATGGATACTTGATTATGATCTAGTGCAAAAAGTGAGGTGATACAAATAAAGGAATGAAATTGTAAGAGATAGTGGTTAGAAACAGTTTTGAACCTTCAACTTGAATCGAGTGTCAGCCCCAAAAAAACAAATTAAAATGAATTGAATTTCGGATATGATATATCTTAGTAACTCTAGTTTAAGTAGGATAAAGAATCAATCGATTTGGTAAAGAATTGAGGGAGAAATGACTAAAATTGTGAAAGGGGGTAAATTACACGGGCTGAAAAATACGATCTTGTGTTGGATTAATTTTGTCGTGTTTTCAATTACGAGGGCTGAGAAAATTACACGATAGTATGTTTTTTAGTGTCGAGCGTGTTTTCTAGGGGGCTGATCGTGTTTGGCAAGTCTTGAATGTACTTCGCTGCACTTTGTGATCCACCATATCTAAAGGACTTGTGTTTGTGAACTATTTCCAAAGGAAATGATCCTGACGATCATGTATGAAGAAAATCTATAGATCATGCATCAAATTGACAATCTAAAAGATTGTTCACTAACTCACTCCCGACAACAATCTTTCTAAAAGTTGTTCGTAAAATTTGAGTTCAACGACTCAAAATCTGAAGTGATGTGGTCATGCAGGGGAACATATACGCACTGCACTCTTTTTCCCTTAACCATGGTTTTTTTCCAACATGGTTTTCCTGGTAAGGTTTTTAATGAGGTGGTATGAGATAGCGTAATGCAATCTAGTGGTCATCCAAGGGGTAGTATTATGTAATTATTGATATATGGATGACCAATGCCCTACCACATTAGATGCTCACTTGGGAGTTACGTGTAACCCCTATTCCTACATCATTATCTCTCATTCATATGCATTGATATAAGGATGTAGTGGTTACTAAAGTGTGTCTATAAATAGAACACACTATTGTATCAAAAGTGAAGAATGAATAAGAACTCTTCCCCTCTCTAATCTTCTCTTGTAGTTGTTTATATTTTCCATTAGTTTCATAAAAGAGAGTGCATTGGGGGTTGGGGGGGGGGGGGGGGGGGGGCTTAATAGGTGTAGTGATGGGGAGGGACATTGATTTTTTTTTACGAGGAGAGGCCTATATACGGAGCCATCTCCCTCACTTGTAACTCATCCATCATTTTTGTGAGCAATACAATCTAGAAAGTTTCTCCCATTTTCTTGTGACTTGAATGAGTTTGAGTGAGTGAGAAGGCTGACTTAGCACCTTAGACGGATTTAAGGGCTACGGTCGCACGGTCGAGATTTAAGTTCGTGTAGGGGGCATGAAGGACCATGTAGCTGGAAAGAAACAACATGGTGAAGCCCAATTGGGGAACGACTGGATTCTAGAAGAAACCCGTTGAAAATAATTCAGCTATTAGATCACTTTCATTGAGAAACATAGAAAATTAAAACAAAGCAAGAGATTATAAAAAAATAAAATCAAAACTGACAAAAGAGATGAGACTTAAGAGAGGCGGGAAAGGGAGGGGGACGCGCGGGACAAGTGTTTTTAGTTTAGCGAAGAATTAAAATTTTTAGTTTATAGAATGTTCTTATTTGGACTCTTACACCCCCAGTTCCTCTATTCTGTAGCCGACTTCCCATTTGTGACCTAATCAGACTCTGCTGAGAAAGTGTAGAGAGATTCACTATATACTAGCTTTTACCCGGCCCGTTGGTCGGAGAGATTTATTTTATAATTTATATTAATTAAAGTTTAAATCATTTTGGATCTTCTATTATGTTATTGATTCATAACAGAGTTTGTAGACTGTAGTATGTTTATATTGAAAATTTTCAATATTTAGCACACTCACTTGTGATGCTTTGATTTTCTAATAATAAATTATGTCGTTGTCATGTCCCATTTAGAACTTATTTCAAAATTTGTCAATCAAAATACTAATATTTAGCGTACGTTAACCTGACGCACACTATCGAGGATTTTGGTTTTTATATGGTCGTTGAATGTTCAAAGATTTATCAGTTACATATTATTAATTGATAAAGAGTGTATACATTACACACACATTTCAAGTGCATTTAAAATGTCTTATCATTTGAACAATATCAATGGATTTCATTTGATTATTTGCATTAACTTATTATCTTATACAACATATATCAATTCGTGATTCTCGAGTTTGGACGAACTGACAACCAATTTTGAGAGTTGAGATTATTGGATAAAGATATTTGATTGCTGAATAAATATGCATATCCCAATTGACTATCTTAATAAAAATTGTCAACCTTTATTTGGAAAATGCCTAGGTTAGTAGTTGATGAAACATAATGTTTATCATAGATCTCATTACAGATTATTCTAACCTTCACATATGTAATTTTTGAAGGAATCTTGTGTCTCATCCTAGGGTATGAAGTTAAAGTTCATTAACAATCATACTTAAGTCATTTTGAAAATTTTGATTTATAATTGTGCACGATAACTCCAAGTCTGAAAGAAAATTTCTTAGTATACGACTTAGGATCTCAATAGAGCTTGATCAATCAACATGATATAGAGCAACTATTATTAATGTGAACTTATGACACAATATAAAATTATTGCACATGCGATTCCTCTTCATCTGAGGAGTTTAAGGTAGAGCATGATCTGAATGAATAAGAAGTCTTATTTAAATAAATAATTGTAACTACTCGATCAAAATTATACTCTGACATTTTGCTAAATAATACTTGTTTTATTTTATAAAGATAAACTTTACGAATAAGAGAGTGTTTCATTGGAACAAAATATAACGTAATATAGTTTATTTTTCAAAGGTAATTGAATGTCAAATGTTTATTTTCTCTCTTTTCATATATATTTTGTTTAATTGATAAAATTATCATTTTTTATGCGTATGTTTGTTTAATTTTTCATCAAAATGTAACTTATCATTCAATTTTAGTAAAAATGAGTAAAAATTTATTTTATAAGGTTTTATCAGATATTTTTTTTTTTTAAATGTGATATATGTCACTCTCTGTTTTCTTATTTATATTTTGTTACTTGACAAAGACATATTATTTATGTGTGTTTAATTAAGTTTATCAACATGTAACTTATTATCAAAGCAAAACAAAGAATAAATGCATAAATGAAAAAGAATAATTGGATAAAAGAAATGAAAATATTAAAGAAGAGAGAGGTAACTCCATAAATACATTAATAACTAATTTTTTTTATTTGTAAAAAATTTGTCCAACTTGGCAAATTGTGGATCCTCCAAGTGCTTATGTGGCAAGATATTGCTTTTGAATTGCCATAATATATAGTATATACTTTACGAATAAGAGAGTGTTTCATTGCAACCAAATATAACGTAATATAGTTTATTTTTCAAAGGTAATTGAATGTCAAATGTTTATTTTCTTTCTTTTCATATATATTTTGTTTAATCGATAAAATTATCATTTTTTATGCGTATGTTGGTTTAATTTTTCATCAAAATGTAACTTATCATTCAATTTTAGTAAAAATGAGTAAAAAAATTACTTTATAAGGTTTTATCAGATATTTTTTTTTTAAAATGTGATATATGTCACTCTCTGTTTTCTTATTTATAATTTGTTACTTGACAAAAACATATTATTTATGTGTGTTTAATTAAGTTTATCAACATGTAACTTATTATCAAAACAAAACAAAGAATAAATGCATAAATGAAAAAGAATAATTAGATAAAAGAAATGAAAATATCAAAGAAGAGAGAGGTAGCTCCATAAATACATTAATAACTAATTTTTTTGTTTGTAAAAAAGTTGTCCAACTTGGCAAATTGTGGATCCTCCAAGTGCTTATGTGGCAAGAGATTACTTTTGAATTGCCATAATATATAGATATAGATATAGATAGATATAGATAGATAGATAGGCCTTAATGTGGTAGGTAAGCATTAAATGAGATAAGACTGGGTGTCAGTCTCTTATTGTATACACTGCTTGCTGCGCGAATAAGGTGAAAGGTATCCCGGTGCGCGTAACGTCTTATTCGCGGGATGCCTTAGCCATATCCCCAACAGATATCTTCCAAAATCATCAGCTTTAAGCTAGATCCAACAGCAAACATCAGTACATCAATCTAAAGAAGTTGTAAATGATATGAAAACAAACTAATCCAAAGATATCTTGATCACTTTTCGTATAGTCAGATTAGTAGCCAAATCAAGCTGAAACGAGGAGTATATCAGGTCGAAGTGAGCATGATCACCTGGAGGCTGAAATCTGCACAAAGCAAAGGAATACTCAGATGATGTCGCCATAGCAACAATAACCAATCACAGAAAATAAGTAAGACATAGAAACAGTCACTCATCCACCAAGATTGGCCGCCACCCATTTACGTTGAGTCCAATTGAGAGCAACCTCACCAGTCTTAAGACTATCACGAGGCGTAAGATGCAATTAAAGGCCACGAACATCAATTATAGAAAATTAGACTAAAGAGAATTCCAAGGGGAAGAGTCATTTATAAAGTCAAGAAAACTCAACAAAGCATCTTGTTAAAGATATTGCAACGAGAAGATATGATCGTCGCCATTAATTGCAACCAAGAATGGTTCGCCTTGTGCAACGAAGATCTTTTCGTGATCAATGGTTGAGCAATAGGCGAGGTTCAAAAAATTCTAGACGCTCCTCTGACAGAGTCTTCACAACCGTAGCGACGAAGATCGACCATGGATCTCGGAGGTAGGGAGCTTTTTTCTGAGTCTGATTATGTCACAAATGGGAAGTCGGTTACAGAATAGAGGAACTAGGGGTATAAGAGTCCAAATTAGAAGAATCTATAAACTAAAAACTTTAATTCTTCACTAATCTGAGGTGTTAAGTCAGCCTTCTTACTCACTCAAACTCATTCAAATCACAAGAAGATGAGAGAAACTCTCTAGATTGTATTGCTCACAAAAAGGATGGATAAGTTACAAGTGAGAGAGATGACTCCTTATATAGCTTTCTCCTCATAAAAGACATTAATGCCCCCTCATAATGGTATCTCCCCATTACTACACTTATTAAAAGGTGGAGGATCCTAGAGGCATCTCTATGCTTCTAGTCTTCCATACACGCCACATGTGCAGCCACCCTTTTATAAAATTGAAAGAACCAAATTTCCCTCCATTTCTCTTCCATAAAATTGAAGAATTAAATTTTCATCTTTCTTCCTTCTTTACAAAAAAGTTGAAAACTCAAAATTTTCTTCCTTATTTCTATTTTATAATAAAAAGAATCAAACTTTCTCACTTCTTTCTCTTCTCACAAATCAAAACCACCAAAGTTCCCCCTTGTTTCTTTTCTCAAAAATTCAAAGAACAAAATTTCCCTCTTCTTTCTTTTCCCAAAAAGTTGAATACACCAAAATTTCCCTCTTCTTTTAAAAGTATCAAATTACCAAATACATTACTTTACTTTATTTATATGTAATTGATAATTTTATTGAATAGGTAAATTAACCAAAATTTCTCTCTTCTTTCTTTTCCCAAAAAGTTGAATACACCAAAATTTCCCTCTTCTTTTAAAAGCATCAAATTACCAAATACATTACTTTACTTTATTTATATGTAATTGATAATTTATTGAATAGGTAAATTAACCAAAATTTCCCTCTTCTTTCTTTTCCCAAAAAGTTGAATACACCAAAATTTTCCTCTTCTTTTAAAAGCATCAAATTACCAAATACATTACTTTACTTTATTTATATGTAATTGATAATTTTATTGAATAGGTAAATTAACCAAAATTTCCCTCTTCTTTCTTTTCCCAAAAAGTTGAATACACCAAAATTTTCCTTCTTTTAAAAGCATCAAATTACCAAATACATTACTTTACTTTATTTATATGTAATTGATAATTTTATTGAATAGGTCAATCGGGTTGCGGGTTGGACGGGTTACGGGTTGTTGACTTATAGTCAATTCGGGTTGCGGACGGCTTGCGGGTCGAGTTAATCGGGTCGGGTTCTGTTTTGACACCTACAGCCACCATGTTGTCACCTTCTTGGAGCCATGTCATCTGCCACATGTGACATTCCCCCACCTATTCTCGTGACGCCCTCGTCGCGTCCTTTACGAAATGCCTCGATCAACCTCAAGCAGCCTCTCCCGACTCTAGAGCCTCGATCGTGACATTCTCCTCCTCTTAATCTAAGACGCCCTCATCGTGGCTTTTCGTCAGACGTCCTCCTTGCCTTAGCCTCATTGTGTGCAAGGCCTCGTTGCATTTTCCTCCAAGTCAATGATGGCTTTAGCTCGCTCTCGAGTCTTGTGCTCCCATGATGTTGTGTACTCTTATGTGGTCTTCTCTATCGTGTTTTTGAGTGTCCCGCCTTCTCGATCATGGTGGCCTTTCCTTGCTCTTCTTGGAAAGTCGAGGATGGCTCGTCATCTTCTCTAGTGGCTCCACAATGTCGCACACTCCTCCTCCTCGTCCTTCTCCGACGAGCCTTCAAGTGAGCCACTCCTTCCACCATCGTTGCCACTTCTCCTTGTTCTTACCTTGCCAAACATCTGTTGTTTGACTTGGGTTGCTCTCTTGTCAAGGGAACCGATCTTGCTCCGCCTTCAATGCAGATTTTGTTGGCGCAGGGGATTGTGAAAGCTTTCTCCCGAACTATGAACTTCATGTCGATGATGACCTGATAGTCATCCAACGACAGAACCTCAACGTCCACCACCCCAGTCCATCCTCTAAGCTTGAGTAGCACCTGGAGCGCTACTCCGTGAGTTCTAGTGGCCTTTGAGTTGGTAGCCTTCAGCCACCCTCTTTGCTTCTTCTCGTAGGTGATGCCTAGTCTTCGAGCTTCACCCACGTCGAGAAGGTTGTAGCTTGCCCCATGTCAACCAATTCCTTCATCTTCCTTTGGTTGAGTTTTGCCTCTATGAAGCATTGACTGTGTCGCTCGGGGTGAGGAGGCCTTTTCGTTCGCTTGATGGCGCTCAGTCTCTTCATGCAGCCAATCTTCGTGACATGCGGCTCCACTCTTGGAATCACCTCCTCTTCATCTCTAAGCTTGAGAACTCTACTAGTGCGGCCTTTGTGGCCGACAACTTGTGCTTATGTGGGCAATCTCTCACACGATGCACACCATCACAAAGAAAGCAAGTTAGGGGTTTCTCAGCCTCACCATTACCTCCTTGGTCTGGCCTATCATGCCTTCATGTGTCTTTGTCATAGTAGTGCCCACCTCCATTGCCTCTGGAATCCACTCGTTCCTCCGGCTCGTGGTACTCGACTAGGGACCCGGCAAATCACCATTGCCTCTGCAAGAGTTTTCACACCTCATCGTTGTAGCTCCAACTTCGCCCATGGTTGGAGGCCGTCAAGAAAGATGAACATAAATCTTAAGTGTAGCCGTGTTCCAGAGGGATAAGGGCTACCTAGTGGCCTATAAATATTGTATCAAGCTGTACACCAGACTTTAACAAAATAGATAATATTAAAATCCAAGAGGGAGATCCTCTTCGTGAACTAGTGTCTCCGAATGATACGACGTTAAAATATTTGTGTCTTCTCTATTTTCTGTTTGTATTGCTAAATTGATATGGTATCAGAGCCCCACGACTAAGGGCTTGGTTTAATTTTTTCGGCCGCAGTCTTTTGTTCTGGGTTATCGTGTTCATCAGCTTTTCAAGACTTCTTCTGGTTTTTTGGATTTTGTCTTTCGTCCGCTTCGCCTCCGAGGTTTGTTCTTCTTCTTGTCTGCTTTGCTCCTTGCGGCCTGTTTCCTGGGTATCATGTTCTTTGCTTCTTGTTTAGGGATTGGTGTTTGCCCTAGCTCTTGGTGTTTGATCGTTTTCAGTCGTTTTTCTCATTTCTTCGTTGGCCTTACTATTGATCCTAGAAAATTCGACCAGTTGACCATCAAGTTTGATGGAAAGAATTTGTTCTTTGGGAGTTCCAGTTTCGCAACCTGGTTGAAGGGCGTCGTTTGCTTGATATTTTGATGGGTGATGTTCCATGCCCTGCTGCGACTGCTGACGCTAAGGAACGTTCTAATGGGCAGTAGGCAACGCCCAAATTATTACTTGGCTCCTAGCCTCTGTTGATCCTCTCACCTCTCTTACTCTTCGGCGGTTTCCTACGACGGTTGCAATGTGGACTCATCTTCGTACTATCCACTTCCAGCAAGATGCTTCGCGCTAGTTTCAACTCGAGACAGAATTGGCCAATCTTTGTCAAGGATATTGCGATATTCAAACTTACTATCACACAAGCATTAATATCTAGACAAAGCATGATCTTTTGACCGCCTCCTAGCTCTCTGGTGTTGCCTAAGCCGAACTCATTGTCGAGTGTTCTCGCTCTCGTTTGATGCAATTTTTATTGCGTCTCTGCTTGGATTTCGAGTATCTTTGTTCATCTCTCTTTCATTGCAACTTGACCAGCATTGATGTGGTCGTTGTTAAGCTCGTCCGCGAGTAGACTAGGCTTAAATTCTAAGCTCAACTTGATTCGTCGGCTGCTACGTTAGACACTACCTTTGTCGTTGGTAGTGGTACTTCTTCGGGACTTCCACAATTCCAGCGTCCTAACTACAGTACTCTTACTTGTCATTTTTTTTAAAAAAGCATAATATTTGCTCTTATTGCAAGAAATCAGGTCATGTTCTCTTCGATTGCCCAAATCTTGCTCGTTGCGGCCAGTCTGCTCGCCGTCCTTCCTCTGGTCGTTCCGGTGTGGGTTATGCCATGGACTCTGTTGGTCCTCATTCTTCATCGGCCGACTCCTCATCTCCTACGGCGCCAGGTACCTCTCCATCTCCAAGTTGCAAATGGTGATCAACTTCTGGTTCTTGGTTCTAGGACAGTTTCTATGAGCAATATTACTTTACCCGACACCATATATGTCCCTAAGCTCGTTCCCAACTTGGTTTCCGTTGGCCAATTAACAGACGACGGTTGTGATGTCTCCTTTAATACGAATGGATGTATTGTGCAGGACCAGAGAACTGGGAGGGTTATCGGGATAGGACATAGGCAGGGCCGAGTTTTCGTGTTGGATGCATACCAGCAGCAGCCCTCAGGGCACTTGGAGGCGACGTCCAGTAGTAGTGATCACCAGTCTTCTCTTTTGGATACTGATGTTTCTGGTTTTTCAGTTAAACCTTTGGATTTTTTTGGTTCAGACCTCTCGTTGGGATTTATAGCATTGTCTGTTGGGCCATCCTCATTCTGCTAGATTGCTTTATATGTTTCAGAATAATATTTTGACAGACACAATTCTCATCATCTGGATCCTTTTATCTTCTTACGTGAGTTGCATTGAGGCCAAGGCACATAGATCCTCTTTTTACTGCGAGTGATACTATGTACGATGAGTCATTTTTTGGTTCATACTGATCTTTGGGGTCCTTCGCCTGTTACCTCCCGGGTTGGCTATCGATATTTTGACTTCTTTATCAAGTTGTTGATGTATTTTCAGGCAACGTGCGGCGGGTGGAGGGTGGTGCAGCTTCAGGGTTGATATACGAAGGCAACTTGTGGTGGGATAGTTAGAAAGTTTTTTCTTTTCTTTTTGGGCTATGGTTGTAAACTTGTAATTGGGTTGGGTTAAGTGTGGATTGGCTATGTATTCGGCTAGTGCTTCGTTCGTTGGGCTTTGAGTTGGCTTGGGCCTTGGTGTATTTTATTCAGTTGTTTTGTTTAGTTGTTTTTCTCCTCTTTTCGGTGGGTTTGGTTTGTTCCATTGTATTTGGGGTATCCTTTGTCTCCTGGACTTGTCTTCTATAATTATGAACTTTGGCCTAAATTTTATAACAAATTTATATTTTGTAATTAAATTAGGTTTCGTAAAAGAAAACTCTTAAATATTTATAGTTCTCATTGTTGTGTTGCTTTTAGCCATAGACACCTTCTGTTCTCATGAGTGCTTAGAGCATTAACAATTTTTTGGTCTTTTTCGAAGCATATGCACTTAACAAATCACAATCACATAGGTAGTGTCTAAATGTTTATTTCATAAACCATTTCAAGTGTTGGGAGCATCATAGCAATAATTATCTGAAAGCATTGAACTGTTAGAAGACTGTGTTGCAAACATTTTTTTTATGGATGGAGACGAATGAACTTAGAAGTGTGTGTACAGCAGAGCCATGGGCACAAAAGTTTAGACCAAGATATTTATGAAGAAGAAAATGTGTTGTTTATGTTTGTTAGAAAAGAAACAACAAAACCTAATAATAATAATAGAAAAATGAAATTCCTTTAGATGTACGTAGTAGTGTAATATTTTAGGAAAATTCCAAATCGATAAAGTATGAAAGAAATTCATGGTTCATAAGAAAAAAATATCAGCATTAACCGATAAGACGCATTTTGAGGTGAAAAGGATAAGTTATTGTAAGAATCCAAATAAGAAGTCATCTTGATTTATATCCCAAAGCGAAGCCCGTGAGAATTTAGATCAAAAGCGCATGCATGAATGTGGATGGTGCTGGTGTGGCAACTGAGAATTCTTGAAAAAAATAGTACCAAGTGTATTTTAACTAATGTTTTAGAAACCCACCGCATTACCCGGTCGGAGGCGACGCGGACGGCATAAGCGGCAGGATCTTGAAGGTAAAAGCTCTGGATGGTCGTTTTCAGCCTTGTTTGTGTTTGAGTTTCGTTCGTCGAAGAACAAGAACCAAAGAAGACATATCAGATCTGGAGAAGCAGGGTTCACTAGTCGCTTGGTTCGTTGGTCGATCAATGGGAGATACTGGATTTGATTCTCGAAAGAATAGGGGGCAGGGAGTTGAATTGGAGAAGATGAAGAAGGGGATTAAGAGACGGAGAGTTCATCTCCTTTTTTTTGTTTATTTATGTAATTAATAATAAAAAAGATAAACATTTTCATTTGGAATATTTAAACGATTTTTTTTTTTACTTTTGTAAATGACGTGTCGCCTAGCTATCAGTGAATGTTGAGGTGGAAAAGAAAGAGAAGGTGAGTTGGCAGCCAGATCATCATTCCGTTAATTTGACTAACGGTGTCACTGACGCCGTTAAACTATGTAACTGAAATGGCTATTATTGTCATCAAACTTTTAAAATTTTGACTATTATTGATATTTTCTCAAAAGTGGCTGTTATTGTCACAAACGTCAAAGTTTTGGCTACACAGATGAATTTTGCCAAATCCAACATAAACCCCAAGATTTTTATTGGACAAAACCCTTATTTTTCAAATCCAACAAGCAAACGACCCCTAGTTGTTCGTCAATGAACACGCCTGGAAAAGGGCTGTCAACGATATCTTCCTGAGAGAGATTCTGACAGAAGCTAAGAATGTCCTGCGAAACAGCCTCTTCTCTGTTAGCAAGCTCCCAATTGATTTTAATTCAACCAATGTGGTTGAATTTCCTTCTATAGTTTGCCATTTGATGAAAAAATCCGCTGTTTCTATCACCTACTTTCAACCATGGGACAAGATTTCATAATGGGAATGGAAAACCATCATTCCACTAGGCCTGAAAGACGGATAAAAAGAGTTACAAGTTGATCGACTCAGCGCGATTACAAATAAATCATTTTGTAATATCTGCCGTCAGTTCACAGAGATTACCTGGACCGCTAATGGGTGCAGTGCATGCAAGAAATCTTCCATTGTGATTTTAAAACTCTCTTCATCAAAACCCATCTTCGTCGGATGGACACTTGACGCTCTGTTGAAAGCACACGACACAGAACTATTCACCAAAGCTTCAAGCTCTGCACCACTATACTTCTCTGTGCGAGCAGCTGTACAAAGAGGACAAGTATTAATACAAAACACAAAAACTCGATTTGCTCATAAGGTACTCTATGAACTTGGCTACTTGACGTCACAAACGAGCCAACTCATGAGCAAAACAAGATTTAGCTCAACTAATGAACGAGTATTGGTGGTGGACGAGTTTTTTCCGTCCAGCCGTGACCCTAACTAGGGATGATATGCAGACATCAGAAACACGTACCAAGCTCCTGAAGGTTCACATCAGGAGCAAGAAAGGAGTTCTCCATTTTGTCTGTAAGAATCTCGAGAATCTGGAGGCGACCACTTTCATCAGGAAGGCTAAACTTCACTTTAAGCTCGAACCGGCCAGGTCTATACACCAGCAAACAAATTTGATCAGGGACAGTAGCCAGAGTTTTATATACAATGCTTCTAGGGCTCGATGATACAACATAGCAGTACCTCAGTTTGACATGGTATAGATTATAGTTGCGAAATATGTGATAAATAATATCAAGTAGCAGAATGTCATGGAGCAGCCCTTATATGACAAACGCTTGAAAGTGATTCAACTATCTAAAAAAAAAAATATTTCAATATCCAACCAGTCTAAATGGAAATCCTGACTAAGCCATTCTGACGACGGGTCAGATGTAAAGGGACAGTGTATACCAAAAATATGCAACTGAAGAGAGAAAAACCTTAATAGTTCTTCGGGGAGCAAATCCTTTCTATTGGTCACTCCAATAAGCAAGATATTGTTCAGCGCCTTCATACCATCCATCTAGAATTCATAGAGAAACAATGATGTAACAATTTATTTATACTATGTTTAGGCGTTTAGTAAAGACAGCAACCAACCACTCTACAGTTTACCTTTGTAGCCAACTGCTGTACGATGCGGTGACGAGCTACTTCAGCAGCCCTTGTTGATCCTCCCATCTGCAAAGTTAAACTAATAAATGATATCCATGAATGGACACAAAAAAATTATATACTAACAGAAAAGGCCAGACAATTACGACAAAAAGGAATAATTAATAGGTTAACAGTTGAAAATCAAAAGTGTTTAATCCGCATTTAGGATAATTTCATAGGAAGAATTTTAAACCATTTCAAGGGATAAAATTTCATTACCATATCGTTGTGATCTAGATTTCATCACTACTGCAACTAAAGTTTAAGAAACACTGCATCCAAGGCAAACTTGGCTAGTACTTTACCTTGCATATAGCATCAATTTCATCAAAGATTATCACATGATGTTTACTTTGATCACCTGAAAGGAAACAATTACCCAATCCAGTTATCACAAGAAATCATGTCATGCCAGAAGCACCTGAAGACAGAGGGATCTTACCACGCTTCCGTTGATCATTTTCGGCATCTGCAAACAGATCTCTAATATTCTTTTCAGTTTTACCAACCATCTCACTAACGATATCAGGCCACGAACAACCTGGAACGGATTCCATTGAAAGAGGGAAACGTCTCAGCAAGTTCATTGGTTTCGTCAATGGAAAGCTCCTAAATTATGTAGATAAAAAAAACTTTTTGTTCCACATAGGTGATTGCAAAGCAGCAAAACCTCGCAGCAGAAACAAATGAAATGCAACTAAGCTAGATCCACCTTAGGTTCCTTTCCATTCAATATTTTCCCGATCTGATTAGCCATCAGAGTTTTTCCTGTTCCAGGAGGTCCGTAAAGCAGCAAGCCTTTCACATGGTTAATCCCCAACCTAGATTACCACATTGACATTTGTCAACAGAGAGCAGCGCATATATATAATGCACATAACATCTGTTTTGATAAGTTGATATCCAAATTTTATTACTTGTGAAACATCTGAAGAGGGACAAAACGAGATAGCAAGGCTCTTCGACATATATATGCAAACTGTTCACCCAAGCCACCAATGCCGAGTGATTGTGGATTGACGTCACCCTTAAGGATATTGCTACTGGCTGCTTCATGTTGATTGACAAACTGTAAATAAAGTTCAGTAGAGATCAAGATAGATGAATGCATAACCCAGCAAATTTATAAAGTCCTAAACCATAATAGGAGAAAACAGGAAGGGGACCAAGTTGAAACTAGTCAGCGACTTCGATACTATCTTAGAATTCTTAACAACGTAAGACCGAGAGAATCGTATGTAGTAATCATATCTATTCCAAAAGAAATCAGGAGTTTAACCTTTATGCTACTAGTATTTGCTGCTTCAAAGATGAAGGAGGTGTCGATAGAAATCATCCCTCTTTCAACATCACCAGAATTTTCTTGGCCCTTCATAATAACTTGATTAACGGTAAAAATGTAGGCAGTCATATGTTACTCTTTGCCCTGAACTCATAACCTGCAATGAACAAGAAAATTAACCAGAGAACATTTCTCAATGTAGCAAATGATAAAAATCAAATGACACCAGTAAACATTTGCATCACGCATATTTTCCTCATTCACCAACACATTCACAGTCAGTGGCATTAGGTATAAACCATTGATCTCTTTATATTCCACAGCACTGAGTGCCAAATACACTAACCAGCAAAAAACAAGATTCGCACAATATATTTTAAGTTTTTAACGCCTTCCTCTAATTCTTGTTTCTTACAAACCAATCATCAAAGGCATGCAGACAAGAATTACTCTATATTTCATCAAACGTTAGACCCAAATTTATTCGATCACATGAAGTATTTAAGTGATGTACCTAGGGTTTCATAGTCAAAGAAGTAAACTAGTTGCTGGAAATTTCATGAACAGTAGTAAAGTGGACTAGTTAGGGGCTGACTCTCCAATCCAGCTGCAGGCCTTCACTTGAAAATCCTCTCAATAAAAGGTTTCGAGAATCCACCCAAACAAGCAACCGAAATAATCAAATAACTCTATATACAAGCGTGTGAGATCTGTACAAAATTCTTCGTATATGTAGGAGTCATAAACTTATTGAGCAAGAACTAATCATATTCTAGTATTACTTCGTAATACAATAATACTTCCCTAAATGACATTATCTTATCCAAGGAAACTTCTAAAATATCTCTATAGCAGTATAGAGAAGTTTGATCAGACATGCATAAGAGTAGTTTGATCAATCCCTTAGCAAGAACCAAGAAATTAAAGACTGGGCTTCACCTGGTTCATAAATATTTTCTTAAGATGGTTGGACAGCACAACAGCATCAACCTAACAGAAAGCAAGAACCTGTGTTAATCCAGTTATGTTGTATGTAGTAATAAGATCAATAGTAAACAATTCATTACAGTACTATGATCTGATATATGTATATATTAATGCATAGGAACTGAATTCGACCTAACCGCACACATTTTTTGATCCCTTGTACATAACTGCTACAAATCAAATCATGCATATCCAATTACACCACACCTAGACATTAATGTACTTACTATTACATGAGAGGCTCAATCTCTTAAATTATTTGGCTTTATTAATCATGTCATCCTTTTCCATTTTCGTAAAGCATGTGTTGTTTCACAATCAATTAAAAAAACAACCCACAAGCCAAATACTCAGGACCTGCCACAACCTGATCACATTCATTCCTACCAGTGCGCATATACCTGTTCAGCTCTACTTGCTTCCTTCTTCACAAATTCCAGCTTGAGCTTGAGCAATGCAAGGTCGAAGTCATTGGGAGGGATGAACCTTCAGGAGATACCGTGGACAAATAAGATACTATTTTTCAACTTCAAAACACTACTACAAAGAAATCAAAAAGGAACAATCACCTGCTGACAGAAACTTCATCACCAGAAGAAACTTTAATACACCGACGCTGAGCACCATTGAGCGCAATATGCCCTCTCTCAACGCTTTGATGGGAAGTAAGACTAGTTAAGAAAGTGTTCAATCCCGGCAGATACATCAGAATTTACCAAACAAAGATGCAAAAAATACAGTGACCTTCAAGATCTCTATGACAAAGCCAGTCAAAATGCAAGACAATGCCACAACATTAAACACATCAGTCGACAGAAACATCTTAACAATGTAGGAGCTGAAAGTTTCTTTCTTCTACCAAAAAAAAAAATCTTTCACTCAGCAACTAGATGATTCCAACCAAATCTTTCATAATTCACACAAGCATGGAAACAAAAGCGGTAAATAGAATTTCCTTCCCACAACCAAAACCCTTCCCCAAACAACACCTAATTGTTCAGAGCATACCAAATTTTACTTGTTTAAACCAAGTTGCTCAACGATTGATTAGTTTTGCCTGATTGTAAAGAAAGCGAACAAAACAAAAAAAAAAAGAGTCGAGCTTGAAAGGATATGCAAGATTAAGAATGACTCTGTCGGCAAGCAAGGCCATGAAAAGCTCTGTCCCCATGTCAGCAAAGTGGTGGAGATCAGCAGGGGAGCAGTAGGCGAGGTTCGTCATTGTGAGATCCATGGAAGGAATCTTGGTTACTCTCATTGTAGCCGGCACAGACATCTTGGGGAACAATTGAAAGGAATGATGGGCTTTAGATATACAACAAAGTACATTAGGGTTAAGGGTACATGCTATTTGCACCCAAAACGGAACATTAGAGAATGGGTTTGTCTCGCAGAAATCAGAAATTAGAGAGCAGGGGTTACCTCAACGATGGAACGGAACAGGTATTTTATATATTCAATCAAGTAAATCAATTTATATATTTACCGTAAAAAAAATCAATTTATATATTTTTATCACATTAAATATATTCATCAACAAATTATTCCGTATATCTGGAACCACTCTAATTTTTTTATTAAAGATAAACATGTTATTTAATATAAAATTATAATTTTTATGTTTATTGAACGTTAACAATCACAATTACCAAACAATAAATTTTTTAAAACCTATTTTTAATAATCTGAAAAGTTAGAATATTTATATTGTTGACAATCTATAGGATTTATACCCATATTCTCCAAACGAACCCTGAATCCATGATAAAAAAAAAATCAACTAAACAAACAATATTATCTTTCAAATACAAAATGCAACAAATCATCGTAAATCCAGAAAAATTCAAAACACAAAATATTCGTTTTCAAATCCAACAAACAAACGAGCCCATACGATAGTTTCTTTTTCATATTATTTTACCCACGGCAGGACTTGATTTGCATTACCCATATACACAAAATCAGCCACCATTTGAGAGTAAAGTGTAGGTAGCAGCCACCATTTTATACGAGAAGCTTTTATGCAAGTACAAGATGTTTCTTAACATTTTTATATTCTGTTTCCAAAAATTATAATTTTCTTTTATTATATCATTTTAAATTTTAAAAAAATTATATAATATAATAATATATATTTACTTTTTTATATTTGAAATATATTTATTATTCAATGATTATTAAAAGTATTTCTTATAGTTTATTAGTCATACACTAAATTGCTTCTTGTTAAATTACTTTTCTAAAAGCTCCAACTACAAGATGTTTTTACAAAATTACAACAGGATCAAACTATCACATTGTATATGCTTATGGCCAATTTATTCAATGTCTAATATGCATATATTAAGAGTTATGTATTTTTATTATGAAAATGTACGGTCTATTTTCAACGCAAAATTATCCACCAAATATTGAGTGGTTGGTTAAAATTCCATAAACCTGCATTTAAATAACACAAACCAAATTACTTTTGACAAATATTTTTCAATGAAAAAGATAAATATCTAAAATAATTTAAGTATAAATTTAAGTATAATATCCAAAATCATTTAAGTATAAATTTATATGATAATCGAATGAAACAAATTCCGGCAAATGTCGGGCACAAATCTAGTGTCATTTTAAATTTTTTCTTCTTTAACCCACCTACTCCCTATTGGCCATTGGGTTTCATCTCCTTCAGAAGTCTTTTGTCGTTCAGAAGTCTTTTGTCGTGTTTGGAACCTTTGCACGTAATTAGGAGTGGAGGGTGATTAATTTTACTGCTATAGATATGTACTGTACTCTTAGTTTTATAATGTGGATTATTTTGTTATTTAAGATATTGAGTTTAGTTATTGTTTATAAATTATACCCAATCACTAAGGTTTAATACACTTGTATATCCAAAAGTATCAAGTTTGTGTCAATAATATCCAAAAAACCGGAAATACCACTTATATCCATGTTTTAAAGTTGTTCTTTGCCAAATCTATCCATCTCCATTAAATGCTTTGACGGCGTTAATAACTCCGTCAACATAGCTGACGGCAAGCTAATTGTACGCCAACTATGCAGACACGTAAGCGCCAACTACGCCAAAAGTGTCACGTAAGAATGAATTAAAAAATAATAATTTTTTAAAAAAAAAACCTAACCCCCCATATTACCACTGACGACGAACAACGAGGTTGCTCCGAAATCCCTTTCTCCTTTCGTTTTTAGGGTTCGCACCCTGGCGGCGACAAAATCTCCTCCTGCCGAATGAGGCTCCTCCATGCGATTTAAGATCCTCCCGCCGACTGTATATACTCCCTGAGATTGAAGATCCTCCCGCCGAGTGAAGATTTCGGATTCGTGGTTTCTGGCGATTTGGCGACTCCTGCGATTCTGGCGGATTTGGCGATTGGCGATTGGCGATCGGCGACCCAGATTCACGACAAAAGCGATTTGCAGACCCAGATTTCCATTTGTCGTAGGTGATTAACTTCTTTGTTGATTCTCGTCTCTGCATTTGAATTTAGTCGACGTTTCGCCATGTCGAAGAGATGTTCTTCTTCAACTTCGACACAAGGTCATGGGGTGGTAGTTTGCAAACACAACTTGGCCTGTGTGGTTAATACCTATGGTACGGAAATGAACCCAGGCAGACAGTTCTATGGGTGCCGATATTGGAAGGTAAGGTGGTTTTTGGTATTTGAGGTTGCCTTTGGTGAATGTGTTTTTTGAGGTTGCCTTTTATGGTGCAGAACGAGAAAAAGAACTGCGGTTTATTTAGGTAGGTACATGGGATGGTTGATGAAGTGGATGAAGAAACCTCTTCAATTGGGAGTTCTCAGCTGAAGCTCGAGGATAATTTGCGGATAGCCGAGTCGAAAGCGGAAAGGAGGAAGAAGGAGAATAGAATTTTGGTTGAAGAGTTGTCAAGGTTGATGAAGACTCAAGAAGTTATGCTGGCTGAAGGAAGGAGATTGGCTCATGACATCCGTCTCATCCGATATCATTTCACAGTGGTTGTTGTAGTGAATTTCATATTGCTTGTTCTTTTGTGGCAGCACCTTGTTATGTAGAAGTAGTTCTATTGTACTAGGTTTGCTTCCATGAGAAAGGTGATTGTTGTATCTTAGATGAGATGTTAAACACAAGGGAGTTGTGCCAGCACCAGGTTTGCTGTCAATTGTAGTTGTTTTAGTTGATGAGCTTCCAAACATGAGCTCCAATCTGATATGCTAAATAGCTGTTCATTACACTGGAATCTAAGTTATGAAGCATAACAGTCAGCTCCAATCTGAGATGCTAAATACCTATTCATTACAGAGTAGTCTAAGATTCTGAAGCATAACAGTCAGCTCCAACCTGAGATGCTAAATACATATTCATTACAGAGTAGTCTAAGATTCTGAAGCATAACAGTCAGCTCCAATCTGAGATGCTAAACAAAATGGGCCATTACACGTCAGCTAAACAAAATGACCTCTAGTGAGGTAGCTTAATGGCCTATCACAAAAAATAACGCCTTTATCCGTCTAAGGTTGAGTGTTGGGTGGCTGGCTACCATGCATCTCGATCTCAGTGGGTTGAGAGCCTCGAACTGGCCGTCCTTGAGCGCCATTGAGCTGAAACCATGTCATGTTAAAATCAACTTTTGTGCATACAACAATAACATGTTCTATTCATTATTGAGAAAGCAGGTACTCACTCTAACGTATTGGTTACCGGTAGTCTCGTTAACATATACTCCTATCCCGGATGTGGCAATTCGTAACTCGCGTTCAATCGTTCTTCGGTCGCTAACATTGAGTCTAACATCCTATGCAACCATTCCATATAATTTAGCTTACTTGGATTCATAGCATACATAATTCATCATTCATGTAGATAGCTTACTTGGATTCCAACCCCTCGATTTAGAGGACAGGTTCTGACGTTATGATTCCCCGAGCCACATTTGGAGCAATGGCCAACACGAGTTCTCCGAGTTGCAGGAGCTGTGTTTCTTGGGGTATCATGGGCTGGTCGCTTTTCCCTACTACTCCTTGTGTTGACCATGCCTTCTCCATCTCTAGGGACAGTCCCATCGCCTCTAGGACGAACCCCTCCTGCTGCAACAGTAGTAGCAGCCCTATTACCACGCGTTCTCTATCAATCAATAAGAGAATGTTAGGCCTCGGGATTAACTATCAATGAAGGAAACTAAACAATACGCTATAAATAACATCTTACCATGCCTGTCGCGATAGTAGGAACAATACAACATCTTGCATTGTGGTCTTTTGAGCCACATTTGGAGCAATGCATGATTGAACCACGTCTTGCAACTTCCTCTCCTTCACGATTCCGTTGCGGTCGAACCTCTCGCTCATGGGCTGCCTTTCTTCTGTTTTTTTTTTTGGGCCTTCCAGGCATACTTCTTTGTTTGGGTGGGAACACTGGAATGCCCTCAGCAGCAGGCCAAGCTTGTCTCCCTTCAAGACATGGGAGACCATTTTTGTAGGCGTGCTCGGCGTTGTGCACATAGTAATTGGAATGCACGTAGCTGTCCAAGTCCTTTCTCAAGTGGGAGATCGCATAGACGGCATGGCAGCAAGGAATGCCACTCAACGACCAATAACCACACGTGCAAGATCTAGTAGTTAGGTCGACTATGTAACCTGCAGCACCTATCTTGACCTCACACTTATCATGCAAAGTTTGTCTTGCAGTGCATAACCTTGCCACCTCCTTTTCCTTCTATATCCTTTTTCTAATTCTAGGGCATAGCAGATTGGTACAATTCAACATCATCTCATACTTCACAACAACCCTATCCATAACATACCCTTTAATTCCCTCTAACATGTCAATGATTTGCATTCCCCTATACTTGACAATCACCCCATTCCAAGTTTCACAAATATAAGATTCAACCGAGTCACACTTTGGTAAGGTAGACAGGAATGCACGGCAAAAGGACCTAGGTTCTGCATTCATGAAATCAGTGAAGGGGGTTGTACCATGTTACTCACCTTCAATACCTTCCATTTCGGTTGTGGCATTCTTCCAATCAACCTCATTGCAAGAGTATAATGCTTTCCAGAAAAGCTTTCTCACCCTATCTGTCTTGTTCTTGACTTTCCAGTTAGCATACACGTGCCTTGCGCACTTACGATGCTCGGCCTCGGGTAACAAGTCATGTAATGCCTCCACTAACCCCTGCAAAGTAAACAACAGTGTTAGAAATAATGCATGTGGAATTTAATTGAATTTAATGGAATTTAAAATGCAATTGGGTCCTACCTTTTGCTGGTCCGATATGACAGACCACCCCCTACCATCCCGAAGCTCCAAATCTTGAGCTAATGTGTTCACAAACCACATCCATGAGTTTGTGTTTTCTCCCTCTATAACTGCCCAAGCAATTGGGTACATTTGGTTGCTATCCTTACCAACTGCCGTCAGAAGCATGCCTTTAATTTCTCCCTTCAGAAAACATCTGTCCAATCCGAACATCGGACGACACGCTTCAAGTAACCCATCCCTTAATGCAGAGAATCCTATGTAAAATCTTTGGAAGTACACCTTGTCTTCTGAAGGGTGCGGCTCAACTCCAAGAATGAAGTTCCCTCTAGGATCTCTCTTTTTCAACTCTCCCAAGTAAGACCTCACCATGTGATAATCTTCCACAAGTGAACCACTCAACATTTTGATAGCACTTATTTTGGCTCTATAGCAGGTTCTTCTAGCCACCTCTATATTATGTTTCAATTTTACCTCTGCCATGATTTGAGTTGGCGCCCACTCGGGATTAATTCTGAATCTCTCGAGCATATCCTGTGCAATCCAGTAGGCAGTGACTTGGTTAACCCGCAGTTGTCTTGCACAAGAATGTGGCAGCCCGGTTTTCCTCACCATGAAGCTCTGATTCCGCTTGAATCAGCTAGCATATACCCTCCATTTGAGTTCTTTTCCTTGCATTTGACCTCTCTTCTTGATTTCTCAACCCTAATCCATCTCAAACCGGCCCCATGTGCTACAGAGTGGCGAACCACAGCTGCCTTAAATTCCTCAGGACTTACAAACTTCATCCGCGGCACGAACTGGAGAACCTTGTGGTTACAATGTGGATCGTATTGCGGTGCATCGTCGAAGATGTCCCCACCTTCCAAATCAGAAAGATTGACTCTTACATGGTTGGAATCCTCAGAGAGCCTATAACTCGAATGGTTCGAGTCTGCTGGCCTAGCTTCTTGCATTGGAGGCACCTCGGCCGGTTCATTCACACCATTACCTTCATTCACACCATTACCTTCATTCACATCTTCATTCACACCATTATCCCCATTCTGACCATTATCCCCAGCCAATCCATCCTCCTCCTCAGAGTCATCATCAGAGGATTCATCCTCCTCCAAAACATCAAGCTGTTCGACCTCCTCTCCATGGCCATCAATACGTGCCTTCACCTTCCTTCTCCTACTCTCCCCATAGGCTCTAAGATTTGCCATTGCTTCATGGTACTCGTCATCAGAAGTGTCTGCATCTTCTGAATCGTAAACATGGTATATTTCTCGAGCAACAGATGCCTCGACACCATCATGTGCAGCCAAGGAAGCAACTGGACTATCCTGAACAACATCTGGATCATTCTCTCCAAAAGCCTCATCCAATGAATCAGCAATCTGTAACAGCCTTAATCAATTTTTTAATCACCATTATCCCAATTAACAATTCTTTAATCATTAACTAACAAACAACTAGAAAAAAACAACGATTGACATTATTCAATTCTAGGGTTTTTGCAACCAAAGTTAATGACAATTCTATCCAGAAGATTCAGCTACTCACCGTCAGATTCAGGGGCAAAATCGGTGTGGAATCCAGTCGAGTGGTCCCCTTGTTCTTCTGTCTTTACTCCTCGCTACCAACCAAAAAAGCAAGAGAAAAACACTACTATAAGAACTTTCCAACCATAATCAACACCCACAACTACCAATTCAAAAGGGAGACTCACCTGTGGCTCAACTCGAGGTTGCTCATAAATCCCCCTTTTCGGTGCGATTATGGTTTCTTCGAATTCTATCCTCGTGTTTCCAGGGTTCGTCGCGAATAGGGTTTCCACCGGAAAGGAAGGATGGGAGGAGCCAGCCTAAGCTCGTCGTGTTTCCAGGGTTCGTCGCGATTAGGGTTTCTTCGAAGGTGGGCGAGAAGGTTGATCGACGAAGGATGAAGGAAAATCAGGGGATACGACGGATTAGGGGGGTCGCTGCCTTCGTCCTTCTCCGTCGCATTCGTCTTCCTCTGTCGCCTTCGTCAAAATCCCTCTCCTTCGTCGCCTTCGTCGCCCTCCACAACCGAAGGGTTAGGGGTTGGTCGATGGAAAAATTCAGAAGGGTAGAAAGTTAGGTCAAGTCGAGGATGAGGTCAGATGGAGTCAATTGAAATTTTTTTTGTTTAATTTTTTAAATAATATTAAGTAGCTATACACGTGGATAAGTAAAGAGGAATTGGGAAATAAGCGTTCGCCACGTAAGCACCACCGTTTGTCCAGTCAGAATTAAAGTTAACACCGTCAAAGAATGTGACGGAGTTGGATATAAGTGGTATTTCCGATTTTTTGGATATTATTGGCACAAACGTGATACTTTTGGATATACAAGTGTATTTAACCTAATATTAATTTGTATACTTTATATGTATTGATTTGTGATGCAAATCACGTCGCTTTGTATTGTAAGTACTAATAATTTGTATACTTTATATGTATTGATTTGTGATGCAAAAAACATTACAAACATGGTTGACAAAAATGACAAACATGGTGGACAAAAATAACAAAACTTACAAACAATACAAAAGAAACCAACAAACATTACAAAATAACAAACATTACAAAAAAAACCGACAAACAGTATGAAGCATACTACACGTACAGAATATCACTACTTACAATACAGATTGGTAAACTTGTATTACAAACAAATGAATACAAAGTATACAAATCATAACATAAAAGTATACAAACTTGAATAACAAAAATTACAAATTACAATATATACAAAATAGTCATATAAACATTACAAATGTAATAGAGAAAAATGACAAACAAGAATAATAAACAATACAAACCGAATTGATATAAAGATTACAAAACAGACTTATAAACATTACAAAATAGGTCGACATTACAAATCCAGCAATGTCGCCGGAAAATCATCGGTTGTCATCTCCGATCGCCGTTGCCGGAAATCTCTCTCTCTCTCTCTCTCTCTCTCTCTCTCTCTCTCTCTGGAATTTCATAGGGGGCATTCCACTCTCTCTCGGAAAATAATTTCCCATGTCACCTCCCTCTCTCTTTTCTATGTCCGCGGGGAAAGAAGATGAGAAGCCAAAAAAAAATTGGCCGGCCGGAGGTGCGAGAGGAACGACGATCGGCGGGACGGAAGTGAGGTGGGAGGGACGGACGAAAGTGACCTGTCCAATTATTATTTTAATTGTTAAATAAATAAAATGTATAATTACAACATTGTCCTTCATTAAGCTAGATAAACTAGAACCATTAGATTTTAATGAGCTGGGATAGCTAAGATTGGCTTAGTCACTTGATCTTATCCCTTTCATATGTGGTGGATGGTTGTGAGTTTTTTTTTTGGCTATGCTTGTAAGGGGGCTGGGTTAATTGTGGATAGGTTGTGTATTGGGCCAGTGTTTCGTTGGGCTTTGGGTTGGCTTTGTGGGTTTTCTTCAGTTGCTTTTCCCTCTCTTTTCAGTGGACTTGGTTTGTTCCTTTGTGTTAGAGCTATTATTTGTCTCTTGGATTTATCTCCCATAATTCCTATATTTTTGTCCAAACTCTATAATACATTCCTATTTTATAATGAATTTACGTTTCGTAAAAATAAACTCTTAAATGTGTGTAGTCCTAATTGTAGTGTTGGTTTTAGGACTTTTTTAGTCTTTTCGAAACGTATGCACTTCACAATCACATAGGTATTGTCTAAACGTGTATTTCATAAACCATTTCTAAGTGTTGGGAGCATCATAGCAATAAGTATTTGAAAGCATTGAACCGTTAGGAGATTGTGCTGCAAGCTTTTTTTTTTATGGATGGAGATGAATGAACTTATGAAGTGTGTGTACAGCAGAGCCATGGGCACAAAAGTTTAGACCAAGATATTTATGAAGAAGGAAATGTGTTGTTTATGTTTGTTAGAAAAGAAACAACAAACCCTAATAATAGAAGAAAAATTAAATTCTCTTTAGATGTATGTGCAGTGGCATGATTCAGGGCTGGGCCAACCCAGGCCTCGACCCAGCCCTCCTCCGGATCCAGGGTTAGTTTAGTGCTTATAAATTTTTTCGATTTAGGTATTTGGTCCAGTGCTATTTAAAATTTTGTCTAGTTTTATTTGATAATAGGATTTTGTGTAACTAGGAAAATGGTTCAGATGAACATATCCAAACCATTACTCTAAATTTATACTAAATTTTCTATAGCCCCAATGATTTTATTTGAAAAATAACATGAAAACCTAAAAGTGTAAAGTTTCATTAAAAAAAAACACTCTAAACTAAAGCACACCCTTCTTTGCAAAATTCAAAAAATTTCCCAATCCCCCCCAAAACAAAACAAGAACGAGGAGACGAGCAGACCCAAAATGGATTTCTCTGCCAGCCCGTCGAGCTGGATTTCTTTCCATTCTTTTGATTAAGAAAATATTTATAAACTTGCTGAGTCATCATTTAGATTGCCTCAATTGAGTGAGGCACTAGATTCTAACCGTTCTTTCTGGTGTTTTGATGAAGAAAATATTTACAAACTTGCTCAAAAGTTTAGCCTCGAGACTTTGAAGGCTATGAGATTCATTCTTTGGAGAATGCACTACTCATGTGAGGAAGATGAAGTTTCTTCTCTTGCGAAATTATTAGAGAAGCTGGGGGAAATAGGGATGGACACATAATACAAATTGATTTGTCGGTTGATTTGTCTAGTGTTGATCTAGTCGTTTCAACAACTACCAAGAGAATATTTTCAGCAATGGAACATGAACATTGATTTGTGCAACAAAATGAGCGATGAATTTCTCGTTGATTACTTAGCTATTTTCTTTGAAAAAGAGGATATTATCAGTATGGATGAAGATTCTATTATTGATGAATTTGCTAAATTAAAAGACATTCTTGTACAATTGGCATTGTAATGAAAACTATATTATTATATATTTTTGTTTATGGTATCTAATATTCTATTCAAATACGGCCCAGTGCTCTCTTATGTCCTGGATCCGCCGCTGTGTACGTGTAGTAGTGTAATATTTTAGGAAAATTCCAAATCGATAAAGTATGAAAGAAATTCATGGTTATAAGAAAAAAAATATTAGCATTAACCGATAAGACGCATTTTGAAGTGAAAATGATAAGTTATTGTAAGAATTCATATAAGAAGTCATCTTGATTTATATCCCAAAGCGAAACCCGTGAGAATTTAGATCCAAAGCAGACAATATAATATCTAAAAAAGTTTGGAGTGTTAATGCGATCCCGGATAGAAAAAGAAATTAAAAACAATATTGAGAGGAAAAAAGACGACTATAAAAAATGTACAATGTAAGTGCATGCATGAATGTGGATGGTGCTGGTGTGGCAGTGTGCGTGACGACTGACTAAGATGCTAAGAACAATAATAAAAAACAATATTTACTATTTCTAATCAATCGTCACCCAATCCAGTCCTTTCCATTTGTCCCAACGGCCAAAACCAAATCCATAGTTCTCTCTCTAAAAAAAAAAAAAAAACCAAATCCATAGTATCATTCCTTGTTTCCAAATTCGTTTGTTTGTCTTTTTTTCCTTCTTACATTTCATAGGCCAAAAGACCAAACAATCACTTCCATAAACATAACAGAGGTTGGAGAAGGAAGAACCCTACTACCACAATTATTTATTGCATTGGTAAGTGAGAACTAATGTGTCCATACTACAACCATCAACTATATATAATAAATATATATATAAAATATATAGAGTAAAATATTATAATTTCTAGAGAAATATATGTGTATAATTGGGTGTAGGTTCAAGTTGGATAGTGAGAAAATCATGTCAACTCATTACTCACAACATTAGCATATTGGTTTTATCCATACATATTAAAAAATTTATCGAGTTCAGATTTTACGTACGCTAACTTGTTTGATCGGATTCGAACGAATATCACGGATATGGATATCTTTGACATCCTTAATTTGATAGGAAAAAGGTAAGGGAGCTTTGACATGCATTTGTAGAGGTGCTTTGGTAAAAATCAACAATGAGCTAGTTTCACATTGTTGTAGATTTTGTAAAAGCAACTTCCGACCACTTTTAGAGATGGATCGGACTTGAAAAACAGTTGAGTGTTTGATCGATTACCTATTAGAAGTACTTTTTTAATGTCAGAGGTCATGTAAAATGACTAAAAATTATGTCTTATATAAAATGTGAATAAAAATAAAAAACAAAATAGTGGATTTCTCTTCTATCAAATAATATTATTTTATAATTTATTTTAGTTTTTAAATGATATAAATGAAAAATAAAAAAATGATAATAATAATCTTGAATTTTTAAAATAGCTTTTCGCAAAAACTCCAAATTAGAGATTCTATTTTTAGGTTGTGAAAAGCACTTTTTATTTATTTAAAGCGGGGTGATTTTTTACTTTTTCAAAATCCGGACTTATAGAGCTGTTTGGCTCGACTTCAATTTTTGAAGCAAAATAATACTTCTAAAAGTTGGGTCAAACATAAGCAATAATCATAACAGCTTCCAACAAACTTAACGGCCCGAAGTATGTAATGATTTAATCGGTTCGTCTGATTAATTAGCCACTAACAAAAACCAATCTGATTCCGATCTCCCGATTGATTGTAATCATATTTACTTGTACTTGTTTTATATATGGAGTAGAGAAAATGCTTGTTAAGTTATTGCGAGTAACTAACTCTTGACATGGTATTAGAGCCTTCAACAGACTAACAGCCAACAGGTCTAGTGTTCGAATTTTGACGGCCTCTTTTATTAAGCACATTATATTTTGATATGTGCAAACTTCAAATACATAAATTTGCTTTCGTTTGTGAGTTAAATTATATAATAAGATTCATAATGGACTTTTCTACACAAATCGAGTCCTAACATGAAATATTAGAAAATGCAGTAGTTGGATAGATAGCTGAAGGTTTAATGTGTACAAATCTATGGTCGACACATTCGGGTGCTTTTTTCATCACTTTCCTTGAATTGATTGCTTGTCGAAGGTCAGAGTCACAGGTGGTATTCGTGTAAACTATGCAACAGGGGAGATGTTCCTCTGTTTCTCTCTCTCTCTCTCTCTCTACTCGCCAATTGCAGACCTTTCCTCTGTTTCCATATTATTGATATATATGTATTGGTGGTTATCGAATATCGCTGTTAGATTACAGATGGCGGGCTCAGTTGGGTATGGTTTGTTCCACAGTCTCTTGAGCTAAGCCTTGGATTGGAACATGCTCTGTATCTGTTACCCTTGTCTTGCAATGGTGGAGTTGGAGGAGAAATGGATGTCATAGTTACCCTTATCAAAGCACAATATTGTTATGGTGAAAGTGAAGAAGTGAAAAGGCTAAAGAGAAGTAGGGACTAGGGATAGCAAACCGATCAGATTGGGAGCTCATAGTTTATATTTATTGGGGTTAAAGACACATTTGGTCACTGAGATTACTAAATCGGGACATGTTTAGTCACTAGAAAAACTTAATATCAATTTTAGTCACTCGAATTACTGAAACAGGTCACATTTAGTCACTCTTCGTTAGTCTCCGTCCAACTCTGTTAATGGAGTCCGTTAAGTGCTGATGTGGCAAACAGAATTGCCTAATCAGCGCCGTTTTGGGCCGAAAATGGTCAAACCCGACCCGCCACGTCACTAAACCCACCATGTCATACACCCAACCCATTAACCCTACCCACTAACCCAACTCAGTCAGACTCCGAAAATTTTGATTAAATTAATTCTTTTGACCGAATTAAAATTCTAAGTAAAAGTTGAGCGATGACTCATCTTCTTATCAACCTTTTACTAGCCATAGTGTGCTTTTGTACTTGTGTATCCACTTACACTTCCACAACTCACCAATGTGTTATAAGAGTGTAAGTGAGCTTTCGAGTTCCCCTCCTTTCATTCATATTCAAACCAACAATCCCCAGGGTGTTAAGTATTGAAAACTATGGAAAAAGTTGTGATTCGCAACTAATAATTTATTGTATCGTAATAATCAAATCTCATTTGAACTTTTTCTAGTGTACATATATTGAGTACACTCATCTATCGGTAGATGCGATCTTGTTTAATCACATATCTTTTTGTATACTAAGACAATATATGTCGTCGACATTCAACTCTTGGATGTTCATTGTTGTGTTGGTTTTATCCATTAACAGTTTTTACCATCCCTGTAGAAAACCAACTTTTTTTTAGTCTTCTTGAAGTGGCTCCACTTTACAATCAAATAGGTGGTGTCTAAACATGTATTTCATAAATAAACCATTTGATAATTTTAGTATCAGTCTAATAAACCATTTGATAATTGACTGTCACAATTATTCTCATTGGATGAAACTAGTGATTCGGGTCGAATTGAAATATCTTCCACGAAATTTTGAAGCCATTCGACTTCTTTATTTGTATCCTCTGTTTTTAAAAGAAAGAGAGAAAAAAAAAAAACAGAGGCCCTCCTCCCAAAAAGTGTATTCCTGTCCAAATGCAGAAACAATTTATAATAATGAAGAAAAGAATGAAAAGCATAGCGACGGTTTCAGGCGTCTGGTTTCGTAAATCCGCGAGTCTCCTCTCCATTTTACTACATTATCCCATCTCCATTTCGCCATGGCCATTACCCAACTGCCTCCTTTCCCCCCATCCCTTCTTCTTCTTCCTCCTCCTCTTATTCTTATAAAAGAAAAGCTCTGTTTCAAACCCAGCTCTCACATCTTCCTTCTCTAGACCGAACTGGGTTCTGGGGGAAGGAGCCATCTAGCCTGCTCAGCTAGCCGTCCCTCCAATCTCCCCTTACCATCTGTGCAATCAGGATAAGTTAGTTGAAGCTGAGGTCCAAATTCGGTTGTGGTAGCTAGCTAGGTAGAACTAGGTTCAGTAGAATTGTAGGAAAAGAAGTAACAAACAATGGGACAGATAGCTACCAAAGGTGGGTATTTTCTTCTTCTTTATTTCATGAGGCTCACATGAATTGCCACTGATTCAGGCAAACCGCTCTCTCTCTCTCTCTGTTTCTCTGTAACTTCACCTTCCTTCTCCTTCTGGCCATTTCTATTTCTTTTATTACGGCCGGTTGGACGCTTCTTCAACCCGTTTCCTTTTTCCCCTTTTTCCCCCACTCCCCATTGCTTTCATCACTTCCTTGAACCTGTAGCATTTATCCACTAAGAAGTTCCAAAAGTTAGTTCACAGAGTGGGGAGAGGTGGAGAAGGAGGTTTTCTGTGGTTCTCTGTTTCTGGTCCTTTGCCACAAGGTTGAGAAACCTCCAGCTCCCCCAAACTGCTTACGTTTATAAACTAACCAGACCCTTCTGTTTTCTCCATCTATTTTCCACCTCCTTCTGTTTCCCTGCCCATTTTCTCTGCGAACCCAGTTCGCTTTACTAAGAATGAAGACTACAGGGGAGATGTCCCCTGCAGCAGCCGGGGTTCCATTCAGCATAGCCAGCCTGCTCTGCAATCCTACCTTTAAACGTGCAGCAGAGAGATCAAACGTGTTCCCGATTCCTCCTCCTAGCAGCCATAGTCTCTCCAGTTCATATCACTCCACTCCTCTGCCGCAAAGCAATCAATCCTGCAGCATCAGTGCCAGTGATGCTGGCTCACATTGCGGTTCAATGGAAGCTGAAGGGATTAAGGGAGGTGTTCGTCGTGGCGGGGTGTTTGAGTCGGACAGCTTAGTGCTATGGGGGATGACATCGATCTGCGGGAGAAGGCCTGAGATGGAAGATGCAGCGGCTGTTGTTCCAAAGTTCATGACCATCCCGGCTCAGATGCTGGTGAGCCAGGTCGACTTGACTGCGCATTTCTTTGGTGTGTATGATGGACATGGTGGCTCTCAGGTAATCACAATGATAACTATAAAAGAAGACCTCCTCTGATCGTTCTAAGTATCCATTGATGCTGACTCGAAAAGGAGTTATTGCATTTGCAGGTTGCCGAGTACTGCAGGAAGCGGGTACACGAGGTGATATCGGAGGAGATCAAGGAGCTTGCAGAAGCTGAGGATGGAGACTCTAATGGAGAGGATGCGTTGAAGAGAGCCTTCTCCAATTGCTTCCTTAGAGTTGACGCCGAGATCAGTGGTGGTGGTGGTGATGAAGATGCTGCTGCTGCTGTTGAGGTAGCCCCTGAGACAGTCGGCTCGACAGCCGTAGTAGCCGTGGTTTGCAGAACGCACATCATTGTTGCGAACTGTGGCGACTCCAGAGCTGTGCTTTGCCGCGGCAAAGCAGCCATTCCCTTGTCCGTGGACCACAAAGTACGTTACTGACTGGTCTCTTGATCTCTTTCTTCTTCACATTTCTCTTAGAAAAGTGAAGTGAGTGAACTGGGCTGACTGGCTGATTTGATTCATGGTTCTTTGTGGCAGCCTGACAGAGAAGACGAGTATGCACGAATCGAAAGCGCAGGAGGCAAGGTGATTCAATGGAACGGAGCTCGAGTTCTGGGTGTTCTTGCAATGTCGAGGTCCATAGGTGCGTCGCGTCCTCTTGTTACCGATTGTACTCTGTCTTTAAGTAGGAAGTTATCTTTCTATCTGGCCTTTTTCTCCGGTGAGACGAGAAACTGAACGTTTGAAACCCACGGCGTGGGCATTCAGGCGACAGATACTTGAAGCCATCGATTATCCCAGACCCTGAAGTGAGAATCGTGGAGAGGGCGAAAGAAGATGAGTGCCTAATTTTAGCGAGCGATGGAGTGTGGGATGTGTTGACAAACGAGGAAGCGTGCGAGGTTGCCAGGAGAACAATTCTGCTGTGGCACAGAAGAAGAAACAACGGCCAGGCTGGGCATACTCAAGAACGAACGACGATGTCCGACCACTCCGGAGCTGACCCTGCAGCGCAAGCTGCAGCAGAGACTCTGTCCAACCTTGCTCTACAGAGAGGGAGCAAAGACAATATAACGGTCGTCGTGGTGGACCTGAAAGCACAGAGGAAATTCAAGAGGAAGACACAACAAAAACAACAGTAGCAGCAGCAGTAGTAGTAACAACTAATAACCTTACCTAAACCTTACCTTCTTAGGCCCTTTTTAGCCATTCTACACACAAACAGCAAATGCAACGTTTGGAGCTGCTTCCATAGAATGACACTCACCAACAGCTCTCGTTTCTACGATTTCAGTCTCGTGACTGGTAATGCTTCTGCTTCGGCTGATGTCCTTGTACAATATACAGTAAGATCTGCGACACATACGACATAACAATGCAATTTTTGCCTTCCGGATAAGCAGCAAACCTTTCAATTCTTGGCTTCTTGCATACACAAAATAATCGGTGTAGCCGATTGCTTGACTACCACGCTACTTTAGGGTTAGGACATAAAACACAGTAAGAAGTAGTGGAGAAAACACCTAACAGAGTTGGTAGAACACCATGTACACTACAAACGTGTTAAAAACAAGAGAAACAAAGCCACACACCTTTCACACAAAGTGGTGTGTTTTTTTAATACACTGTTGTTTGTCATACAAGCAAGTTGCGGTACTCTTTCCTCTGGCAACTCAAATTATACAAGGGGGATCCCCTCCCAGTGTAAGAGATAACAACACCTCGCGCTAGTTACACTGCAGAGAAGCAGTTCGTTTTACAGTACACGAATTGTTTTGAGCAATTTGATACTCGAGTTGGTACTTCTTGACACATTGCTGCTTACCTGCCGCGTTTTGCAGCTGAATACTTCTCAGAACTTCAAAATTTTAACTAGAACACTTCCCTTTAGTTATTTCAGAGCGAGTCTCCATGAGCCGCATCTGGTACGAAGTGGCAAATCTAATCAGTGTAAACAACTTTCATCAGCAACCGAATTTAGATGAATTGACTGGTTCACGACTCAAAAGCACAGGGAAACTTTTACATAGTAAGCTGTTAAGCCACTTCTGAAAGTAAAAAGAGCTTTGGTAGAAGAGCGTACATCAGTACAGAACCGTGAGCTAGAAGCTGTGCTTTGGTAGAAATCATGCTTAATTAAAAGAATTAGGAAGGAATTTCTTTATCTCCTTTTACTTTCAAATCAGAACTTGCAGATTCATCATTTTAGTTCACTGAACGAAAGATAAGTGGAGCTTTTAAACGTGTTTACTTTTCTTAACATTACTCTGTTCTTTTCCTTATCCAATTCATGCGATGTCTTTCCCATGAGCAATACACTCAAATAGAGAGGAAAACCATAAAACATAACTGGAAACAAGTGAAGGAAAGAATATCAACAGATTGAGGCAAGGCTTGTTTGTGCAAAGTTGGCTAAGTACTCCACTTACCAGATACTTAAAAGGTTGCAAGAGGCGAGCCAGCATTCTTGAAGTAAGATGAGAGATCTATATGAAGGTCCTTGTACAAGTTCATAAATGGATGTGACTGACATTGCATAGCAAAGAAAAGAGACACACAGATGTCAAATTTTCTCTGAGTTTACTCAAACCATATGAACCAATAACAAGAGACAAGGCAAGAGGAGATTTCTTGTACCATAAGTTCAAGTGCTGACAGTCTATATTTTGGGTCTTTTTGAACACTGAAAAATATGCAGCAGGCAAGAATGGTAAGCATAATAGAGCTTAAACAAGTAGAAATTAGTGCCGCCGAAAAGCAGATACAAGGAAACCATAACAAGAGTAAATATTATTCGAGTAATAAAGCTCAGGAAGAGGATTAAGAAGTTTACGTAAATGAATCAGAAATAGTAATATTGTGAAAATGGCTTATTAAAGCCAAGCAGGTTAGCATTACCATGCAGATATAAATGAACCAAATTCTGGAGAAAACTGATCAGAAGGCAGATGAGGTGGTGGTTGCTCAACGATTGCTTCCATAAGCTCATATACATTAACCCAGCCTTCCTCTTGCTCTGGGGGTGCATATGGAAATTGACCTGTTGCACATTCCATCAACACTAACCCCAAGCTCCAAATATCACTTTTGTAGTCATATTTTCCTCCACTAATTCTCTCAGGCTGCAACAGGAAGATGCTTATTAGCAATTTACAAGCTGCTGGCCATTGGCCATTGTAGCAAGAACAACTAGAATGACTATCACAAGAAAAATTTGGCCAAAAGTGATTTACTTACAGACATATAGTTGTAAGTGCCAACAAAAGTATTTGCCTGTCCTGATGTGCTTTGCATTATTGCACTCACACCAAAGTCAGTGATCTTGACTTCTCCTCTATGATTTATTAACAAATTGGAAGGCTTCATGTCTCTGTGGATAACATGTTTCTCATGATGAAGATACAACAAACCCTTCAGTACCTGAGTTGACAGGGACAGATCTGGAATAAGAAAATTGATAGCGCTAAAAGTATTGAAACCATAGATAACTAGAATTTGAAAGCCATCGAACCTGGTTAGTGATAGCAGCAAGGTATGGTTCAGGAATTGTTCTAACTTTTCTCAGAAAATCTGCTAGGGAACCACCATCCATGTATTCCAAGATAATGGAAACAGCACCGTTATCATAGAAAGATTGATAGCACATAACGACGTGGGGGCATTGTGCTGATTGATTAATTTTAAGTTCCTTAGCAATTGCCTTACGTGCAGACTCCTCGATATTCATTTGTATAACCTACACATAAGCAGGGACATCAATAGTTAGCTGGAGGGGTAATAAATGGAAACATTTTGGCAAGCACATATAATGAAAAATCAGTCATTTACAAGGTCGAGAGTCATTTATTCACTCCATCTTATTTAAGAAAGAAAGAAAAAAAACTAACTACTCCTGATAATGACTTAGTACAAGGTCCTTAAGTCAGGAGCAATTCAACCACCTTGAGAATTAGTAGACATTCGTAGAAAGAAGATCGCTACTCTCTGTACCATCGTCCGCATCACAAATACATATTTTTGTTCAATGCACTACAGGTAGAGGTCAAACGAAATGACAGATGAAAACTTTTATAAAGTTCTACTACAATTAGTAAAGCAAAAAGGGGGAACGATTTGCAACTTATGCTATCAATTAAGTTCAAATTTCAACTGATTTAAAAGCCAGAAAGCAAATATCAACAAGAGCCTAGTTCTTGATTGCTAGCTAGATAATCAGCTGAAGTAGCAATTAGAAAGGCTGAAAGAAGCTTTCCGCAACTTAATGTTGCCAGTAAGTTAAGTTCATAATTAATTTGAAACCACTGTTAACTTACACTTCCCGTTCCACTGCCAGAAGCAAGCTGAAAATAGAAAGGCTGCTATACAAACAATCAATAGGGAGATACGAACCAACCTTTAATGCGAAGAACTGGCCGGTCCATTTGTGCTGCACCAGCTGAACAATGCCGCCATTTCCCTTTCCGATGACCTTGATGGTGTCTATATCAGCTAGGCTCATCTGGTTGTCGGCGGGCTGAATTGGCGGCGGCTGATGAAAAATCCAGTAAAGAAGCAAACAATTAGACAAACAGTACCACCGAGACTTTCAACCACTGAATCGGATACCATTTCCACAAAGCAGAAACATATAAGGAAAAGATATCAAGCGTGCGTACAGCGTCGGGCTCGGATTGAGAGACGATTCGAACCCCGTCGCGATTGACGAGCAGATCACCGTCCATGAATGTGCCACTTTGTGTTCTGGAAGCAAATCCATCAGCAGAAGAATAAGATCGAGATTCTCCAAGTTCAGAACAGAAATCAAGCAAGCAGAGAGACATATAGATACGGAGAGTGGAGAATTACAGGAACTTGGCGAAGGCGACTTCATCGGGAGGAGGAAGAGAAAGCTTGAGGTTGAGGTTAGGGTTCAAACTCCTCTTGTTCATGGCGGGGGTTGCTTGGTGTCCGTGCCTTCAGGTGCGTGGTTCCGCAAGCAGAGGACCGGAGGCGCCGCCGGAAGTCGGGAGAGCGGTGGAAGGAAGACCGAGGAATATCTTACTGGATTAATGGCGAATTGGATTGATCGAGAGTGGAGTTGAATCACGTCAGAGAGATGGATGGAAGGAGTACAAGACTAGCTCGAGCTATTAGGAGGGAAAGAGACAAAAAGAAAAAGGAAAAGTCGAGTCTTCGCTCTCTCTTTAATTACTTGCTAAATGCAATTTTTTATATGTTGAGATAGTGACGTACTCGACGTTACTGTTTTTAATCATGTTTGTTTTTCGTTTGGGTCGTGTTCTCACTTCTTTTACTTTTTATTTTATAATCACCTTTATTTCAATAGCAAAGCCAATTAAGGATGATCCATAGAGTCTACATGGACATCACTAGCTAAAGCATCCATAAACCAACAAAAGAAAATGTTTCGAGAAGACTTGGCATTGAGCCTTGAATGACTCCATGCGGGGAAAGATCCGTATATGATCCGCCTTCCTTACGAAATTTACGTCGCTCTACTATCTCCTTCTGTAAAATCAACTCACAGAACACTTATCTTAGATTTATTTATATATCTCTCTTCTTCAATTGCTCAATCAGCACTTCACAATCACTTTCAGCGATCATTATGCTCGTCCAAATAATCATGGCTTCAGCGTCATGTAGTCTGGAAACTCCCAACTCTTTTCGAGCAAAACCAAACTAAAAAACAACAATTCCATCACTCCTCAAGACTCCAATGCAAGTATTGAGCTTGTAAATCTCCAACAAGGACGAATCAAGGAGTTCAGCGTAGAAGACATTGCATACATACCTTCTTGTTTCGAAGGATTCGCCTTCAGATAGTCTCGAACCTAGCACATAACATGATGATTTATATTATCCTCCTTCATCTTGAAATTGTTGAACTGTAATTATCTAATTCCTTCCACAATAGCAATTAATCAATGTCCAGCTACTTACTTTGACCTATCACGATTCCTAATAAGGTGAATTGCAACTAGTCTCCTAACATACAATCCCATCAAGTCCTGAATTGCAAGAAAGACAGACAGTCTAACCAAATCAACTTTGATTTCTCATCCAATTAGTGGGTTAGTTGTTATGTTTGTTATTCAAAGAACCTAAGAGGGTATTTCTAGTCAATCCTCATTTCCAGTGGATTCATAAAGCTTAGGACTAGCTTTCTAAGATCATAGCAAGAATAATCAAACATAAGAAACAAAATGATAACTAGAAAACAACGACAATTGTATCGATGCATAAGTATGAAAACCTAGCATCCCCTGAGACTCCACAAATTGATCCAAACAATAATGAAATTTAGTTACACACATTCAGGGAAGAAGAATAATTGCAAAGGTGAAGAATAATGGTATTGAAGTTTCCTTGAAAATTAGAGGTGGCAATTAGATCGGATTTGTGGATTCGTGGATTGGATTGGTGGATTAATGGATCAAATGGATTGGATCCAATGTATTGGTGGATTCATGGATTGGATCAAATCGATTGGTGGATTGATCCATGAATCCAAATGACATCCAAGGCTTGGACCAAAATGTAAATTTTGAGAAGTTTAGGTACTAAAATGTCACGATGAAAAATTTTAGGCACCAAAATATAATTTTCTAATGTTATTTTTCGTATAAAATATAAATTTTACGTACCAAAATGTAAAGTATAAAAAATATAGGTACCAAATCGTAATTTGTCATTTGAATTCATGGATTGATCCATGAATCCACCAATCCAATTGGATTTGGATAAAATGGATTGGATTAGGTGAATAATTTGATGAATAGATTGAATTGGATTCATGGATTTGGATCCTAATTGCCACCTCTACTTAAAATTAATCCTCTACCCTCTCCAATTGAATCTCCATGCTTGAGAATTAGTTTCATATGCTTATCTACTCTTGGGAACCTCCAAAAGTCGAATATATAATGTCCCCTTCGAATTTCTCTCAACTGTCGCCTTTGTACCCATACAAGACTGAGACAGACGATCATAACTATAAAACTAACGGTCTTGGTCATCAGTTTTCCTCTAAAGACTTCAGTTTCCTTTGGAGAAACAGAGAATGTTGAATTTTGTCCAAAACTGGCGATCAAAGACCATCAATTCCCCCTGGACCTTGATTAGAGACTAGCACTGTTGGTTTGAGACTTCCATCAATATATCTCCTTTCACCAGGCATTCGAATTCGTTCTTGACTAGTTCCACGCACTCGTGTTCTCCCCTCAACGATATCATGTCTTGAAAATCACCGAAATAATATTCCAAAAGATATCAAAAGTACCAAAATGGTCCTAGAATAATTGGAATACACATATGAAATAACACCAAGTAAAAAGTAGTTTGATACCAAAATAGTTAGTGTCACAACGGAAATGAGGAAAATATGGTTAAACATAGAAGATATAAACATTATAAATTGAGTGTCATTAGTCTCATAATTTAATAGTTTTTTAGCATACTCAATTATCGCTTACTATTCTTGTTGCTCGATTTGCTTTGCAAGTTCAGTAATTCTCCTCATCTCATCCTTGTGTTCATCCTCCTCCCCCTCCACTCCATCTTGTGTCTTCGCCGTCCTAGTCTTTGGCTCGACTCTAACTACATATTCTCAATCAACGACCACGCATAATCGACGACCGGGTGTAACATAGGGTAAACAAACAATAAAAATTATCGAATCACGGATCTCCTAGGTGTACCTTACTTCAGGTTTAGGTTTCGTTATCTAGCCAAACAAGAATAGTGATTAAGAAACTAATCTAGCTACACTAACCTAACCAATACTCTAGCTAATTAAATGTTGTGGAGCTCTCTTAGGTTTGAATCACTCTAGTTTATCATTTGGATCGATGTTGGGTACTATCATAACTTGATCGATTCACTACCCTACTGTTATGAGATCGACTCACTCAGAATTTACCCGTAACGGCGAAGTGATAGATGGAAAGGTACTCTATTCAACCTAGGGATTCATATATCGTTATGAGATCGATCGAGTCAACTCCCTTGGGATTACCCGGACGATATACGATAGGAGTGACATGAAGTGGAATTCAAAATCATGAGATCCATGAAAACGTCCATCAAATAGATAAATTCATCAATCAAACATAGGATATGTCACATACATCAACAACAAACCAAAATCTAGAACTAGGTTTCATCAACTAAGAGAAAGAGGTCTAGTTCATAGAGAAGATGAGAGAGATTATAGAACAGCTCAAGATCTTCATCTTCAAGACTTGAATCCTTGACTTCAAGATCAACCCAAACCTTCAATTAAGCTCCAAGATCACTCTAGAATTCTCCCTCTCTAGAACTCCTCTTTGGTGTTATGGGTCGAAACCCGAGAGAGAACCAAGTTCTCCAAAAATCAGTTCTCTTTTCTCTCTCCCTGTTGTTGTCTTTTTATACAGCCCGAGAGCTAATGTCACGGTCAGATGTCACGGGGTGACATTGGCAGCCCTGGCCGTGACCTCATCCTAAAACGCAGGTGTTCTCTGCCGTTTTGGTCCAATGTCACGGTCAGCTAGAAATTGCCACGGTGATCGTGACAATTGATTCACCCGTGAGACGTGCAAACCCTTTTGATCCTTGCAATTGTCACACCTTGGGCTCATTTGTCACGGCCTAGACGTCGTGACAATTACCCCCAAACCGTGACATTGACCTTTTCTTAGCTTTTTGGCACTTTTCGAACTCCAATTGTCTCGAAACTCGTCATCGACCTTCCCACACGTACTAGGACCTGAATATAATGAAAGAATCACAATCTAACATAAAATATGTCGAGTGACGATGATTACCAAGTCAAACGATCAATAAATAAAGAGTAAAATATGTGTAATTGTCGATATCGTTAGCCATCATGCTCTAGGTTGCACCTCTAGCCATAATGGATGGCATAGTACACGTGGTTGATGGCCTCCAACATGTTTGTATATAAAATTCTTACCATGTTGATTTGTTGGTTGCACGAGATGGGTCGATCGCCTCCACGGTTCACTCCAAAATGGTGGCTTGGCTTGGACTTTGATATGATAGACAATCTTAATATTTGAGATCGCCTTTATATCATATCAACTCTAGATCCAAAATTAGAGTTTTGTGTGTCTAGTAGCCTACTAGATTCAGTGCCACACAAAATCTTTTAGAATAGTTTTTGTTCCGCTTTTGTGCCTAGCATTATGACTTATGAGTGATTCATATAGTGTGTTTGTTTTAGGTGTTTCCTTTTATTAAAATGCGTACAAGACTAAAAACTCAAATGAAATTGTGTCGAATTACCAAAACATAACAACAATTTTGTAATACCTACTAATAGGAAAGACAAATAAAACATTTTGCAATATGAACACTACAAGACATCTTTTTTCTCATTGGGAACAATAATGATTAGCCTAAATTGAATTTCGAGAAGAGTTGACTATTCTTTATAGTCCAAGTCGGTCCAAATTCTGTTGCTAACAGCTTCGAGCCTTCGCCCGTGCGAAATGCACTTCTTAGACCAAATTACTCCACACAGATTAATTGCAAGAACCAATGGATTCAGGGTAGGGTTTGGATTTTGGATTTGTACAAGCTTTCCCACGATTTTTAAAATCCATGAATCCATAGCCCGTTTGGTGTGTCCCCGTGTGTATATGGACCTTGAAGATCTTTCATAACCTCAAAGCTCTCTCTAGCAACATGTCCCTGTCGATTTGAATGAGAAGCAGACGTCCAAAATCATCTATGGACTCATCAAGTAGTACTGTAGTAGTTTACCTAGAAGAAATACAGACAAGAAATCTCTCACCAAGCCGCCGTTTAAGCGAAATTCATTACAATACCGGTCGCGGTCCATAAAGTCATATACAGATACAGAAGAAAGAAACCATCTTTACAATGGAAGCTGATGTATACCCTGTCGCACATTCTAACCCTTCTACTATAAGCTCAAAAGCCATACCTATCCCTGTATACAATACACACATACACTCGAAGATAGAAAGGAAAACAGTTTCAAGGTCTGCAAGTATGAGACAGACACACTCTGGCAACCCGGTTTCGCGTGGAAACAGCTCTCTCATGTCGATATAGCGACTACTTTACAACCTATTTCAATCACACTATGCTCAGTTCTGCATCATTATGGGATCACCCTGTTGATGGAGAATTTGGATAGCATCTGTGGTACTCCCGATATTATCTGTCCATACGTCTACAATACAGCGAAACACGCATTATCAGCTAGTGTTCTGTTTTTCCATAGATAGTTCAGGGAAGAACAGATTGTACCTTTTGGTTGCCATGGACCTGGCAGAGTGGCACAGCAAGCAACTTGAAGTTTTTCGGCACGATGAAGTCCAGCCTCTCTGGTAACCTGACTAGGAATAGTTTTGTGCATTGCTACACAACAAGGGTGAAGTAAGAACTGCGTAAGAGAATGCTACTACAAGGAGCTGGAAACAATCACAGTTCGATGAGGGCACTGGTGTTCCACAGGCGACTGACTACCTTGGGTGATTTCGTGGCAGGCGGTAAGTACGGGTACATTAGTGTTTCGAAGTCCGGTCTCCACCACGTACTAAGGCGTTCCCCAACCTGGATTATATAGGAAAATAGATTGCATGACTACCTAGACCCTTTAACAACTTCATATATAGCATCAAGGGAAAGTGAAACCAACAGCTCATTTACCTCCCAATCATTTTCGCTGTCATCGACCAAGAGCTTCCTGCTCAGCTTACGCTTCAAACCGTCGACATCTGTGAAAAGGATCAAACAAAACACACATCCTAGTTCAGAACAAACACCATTTCTGTACACTAGCTGGATCCAACTGTTGGCCCCAACAGAAACCAAAAGACCCACCAGTTTCGCCCGGCCTAAGGCGGCCTCCAGGCAGGCTGAAGAACGAATTCCTCTCTTGCAGCAGCAGCAGATGCGGGTGTTTGAACAACTCCACCTAAAATCAGCTCGGAACAACAACAACATACAACCCTTCCAAATTCAGTTCAAGAGCTAGTAAGTTACTATAAACCCATCTTCTTTTCGACATCGAATTGTATCAAACTCAGAAGCATAACAATTTAATCAGCTAAAGGTTCCGAATTTGACCATTGTCGGGCCAAACGAACAGAAACATTTTTTTTAGCCATTTCCAGCCCAATCAAACGTGATCACTAAAATCTCAGCAATCAAGCGGGAACAACCCTAATAACACCTTAATCGGAGGAAAAGAGATTGAGAATGATCACCAGTATAACAGCTTCGACGCAAGTCCTCAACCCCTGAGCATTGTAGCTACAACGAAACGGGAATTAAGCTCTCGTTAGAAATCAAAGCAGACAACAAAAGAATTGCAGAGAGACGGAAAAGGGAGAAGGAGAAGGGGGGCGAAGTTACTTGGACTTCATCCTGTAGAGTCGATCAGCGAGAGTCTCGTCCTTGAAAGGAAGAGCATCTTTCGATCCGAAGTAGTAGCTACTGAGAGGGTAAATGTCGACCACGGGACTCGTCGCCTGATCTCCGCAGCCGTCGTCGCCGCCGCCGTTTCCAGCAGCAGCCATGTCACTAACGAATGGAAACTCCCTCCCCATGAGAAGATAGCCAGAAAAAAATAATAATCGGGAACAATCAGAAGAAGAGCGCGAGAGAGAAGAAAGGGGCTGTGGGTAGAACGGTGCGAGAGAATGATGGTGACGAAGGAAGGTAGGAGAAAGTCCGAAGAAGAAGGAATGAAAAAAGGCGCGGAGGCGAGGGCACGTGGCGGAGGAGGAGGTTGCCGAACGGGCATACGTGGCAATCGCTGCGCTGTGAGTGGCTCACTGCGCGAGTGGCGGTTGTCGCCCCCGCCGACCTTTGACGGGAAAAACGGAATTACGGGATTTAAAATAAAGCGACCGCGTGGACTGCGGATGGACGGATGGTGACTTGTGAAACGGAGTTGCCGACCTGTTATGGGCTGGACTCCTTGGGCCTATAGAATTTTCCAGGGCCTTATAGTGGCGGGCTTGGACTTTCTTGTGAGCGCCCTCGTTCCGCTGGCCCTTAACTATGGGCTCGGGACTCCGATACCTCCTTGGGCTTGACTGTAAATTTAGTGGATAATTTGTGGTTGTTGTGGTGGTTAGTTGGGCACGATAGTTAATTGAAATTAGTGGATCGTCAACAGTACCATACGTTGTTGGTATTGACGACTAGTCATCTCTAACGTCACATTATCGTTCGTTCACCATTATCGTATCGACGCGACTCTAATTATATAATGATGTGCACAACTCCATTCCTATATTTTATTTCGTAACAACTAACAAGTCCAACCAAACCGAGTTGGTGGAGGCATCAAAGCTTTTGCCTCTATTTATTGTTGTGTTGTGTTATAAAATTCGAAATAAATTAAATGGAGAAATGAATGAAATCCTCAATGATTGGAGAGATTTGGGCGAGAGTCCAACCGAGGAGGGCTCAAGTCTTTGCGCCTCGTGCGTCGTCGTCCCCTTTCCCTGCTTCTATAGACTCCCTTTTTGTGTCGTTTTCCATTGTTAATCCCCCAAAACGACAATTATATTTCTCTGAGTCAATTTGGTTTCCCTGTTTCTTTTTTCTCCACGGAAAGGATTACAGCTGTAAAAAAAATTGAGATGACATTATGGCAATTTCGATCGGATTCATCTATCTAAATTTTCTGTCTAAATTATACATTTTTGTAAGCGAGGTGAGGTGGGCATGTCCATTTATTTTATTTAAATTATATGCAATTTTATTTAAATAATTTAGAAATTTATCTTTATTTCTTGGGTAAACACAATATATTGGTCACAACTATTATGAAGCGGAGAATTATAGCCACAACTATGTAAATTCAAATTATTAGCCACAACTATTGTTGCGGGTCAAGATATGGCTAACTGTCCGTGACTATTATTGAATCTTTAAAGGAGAAGGCCACGTCATCGGCCACGGCAGCAGCCACGTCAGACTGCTTTTAATTGATAACTTTAAAACATAAATTGTTAACAGAAAGTTAACGTTTGGCTAATAATTTGAATTTTCATAATTGTGGGTATAATTCTCCGCTTCATAATAGTTGTGGCTAATATATTGTGTTTACCCTTATTTTTTATATCATATTTTAGCTATAAGAAATTGTAATTAGGTGAGAATATTTATTTCTCGAATAACTTAACTTTATTTATCAAATTATTAGTTTGCTTCTTGAATTTTTTTATGAAATAATTAATGTACTTCTTTGTTAAAGTACATGCCTATTAATCTATTTGTTCCCGAATTGCATCTCAAAATAAATTACCCGACTTGAACCGGATCACCGAGAAAATATATATGACTTATGAGTATCAAAATATCTATCGACATGTGCATTGTCATTCCTAAAGAGCTACAAGAGGGTGGATATTATTTGGGGTATGGAGTCGATTGATTGAACATCAATTATACTAGTAAAATATTATGATGGTAATTTCTACGGTACACTATGACAGAAATTAGGTAATGTTACATTAAAAAAAATGTTATGTGCGTTCTTGAGAGAAAATAAAACTTCGTAGATAGAGTAACTATGATTAGTAAGAAGTCATTTTCCGCTACGCAACAGGTGGGAAGAAAGAAGACAGCGGGACGGGTCAATCTTCTTTCACACAGCTTCATCTCTAAAGAGAGGGGGAAAAATTCTAACAATGGCCGTCTCCTTTACTTGACATGTAAAACACCTTCCCCTGAACTTCACACCTCTCCCTTCACCTTCAGTATTAATGAACTTCTAATCACCAGAGAAAGACAAGCGCAATCAAGGGCAAGAGTAGGAGGAAAAGGGAAGGAAACCCTTCATTGTCAGCCCTTTTTATTTGGTACCTACCTCCCGCCCGCTGATCTGCCGGCCAGGGCTGACCTCTGCCACCGTAATTTCATCGCAGCCTCCGCAAAACCCAGTTGGGTGCCTGCTTTCCTAAGGTCAGTTATTTACTTTCTTTCTATCCTTCGTCGCTTATCATTAAAGATGTTTCCTTTGGATGGTTTGAAAGCCTGTATGTGGGTTTTCGCGGGACTGGATGATGATGGGTTGAAATTGTGTTTCTTTTTTAATGGGTGATTTTGGAGGAATTTTCTTCGTAGCTCGGTTCATAAGCTAGTCAACCCTTGTGGCGTTGTAGTTTAGGAAGGAGTTCGAGTTTCTCATGGGACCCTCTTCGCTGCAATCTTTCTCTTTGGAGCGATGATGAGCTTTTTGCGATTGTGGGCTCAGCCAATATCTGTTTTTGGATACTTCTGGATTTTGGTTGTCAATTGTAATGGCGAGCAGTACATGCGCGACGGAAATGGATCATATAAGTTCCTAAGCTGATGCATTTTTTCTGTTCATGAACTGCTGATGATGTTTAAAGAAGTTGCCAAAAGAAACGATTCCGCAGCTTCCCAATCTATCAACCCGCAGCATTGTATTAGTTCTAATGTGCCCATAATCAGATGGGGAAGTGACCGGAAGGGTGGTTTTTACATACTTTGTTCGAGTTCGCTGAGTTGGATGGAGAAACTTCCCCATGATTTCTTCAGCAACATTCAATTCCTATGTACTCCCCTTGCTACCATTCACGTTGATCATCTTGAATACTCTATTAAGTGCCAGTAACTGACTGTATGATGGTATGATCCTTGTCGCTGCATCGAGGGTTTAGAGATTGAAGACTGACTCGCTCCTCTTTTGGCAGATTCTTTTTGTGGGTTTCATGCTGGCTGAAGGAAGCTCGTCTGTACCTCTCATGGATAGAAGTAAAGCCCCCCTCCTACTTCTTTTCCTGCAACAAAATGCTTGCTTATAAAATGCTTGTGCAAGAACTTAATTGAATTCTGATACAAATTACATGACTGGTGATATGGCATCAGTGAACATTGTGGTTCACAATGTGCAGGCTTCATTTCTTGTTTCATTGGATACATCTGCCTCTGGTCCGTTAATATTGAAAAACTCTTCTTCACCCTGGTCGACACTTCTTTGGTGCTGCAGATGCAAGCTTTGAAGAGAGGGAAAGTTTAAGGAAAGGACTTGAGTTGGTGAAACCTGCCACGGATAAACATATGGATCTTCTGAGACCGGCAGCTAGAAACCTTTCAGTATTTAGAGGTATTTATCTCTTTTGCTCTTAGCTTTCGATTATGTTGCTTACAGTTCCGTTGAGAACCGGCTTATCACATTAATTTGAGTTCTTGAAAGGAGTCTGAAATTCATCTTATCTCATGTCCATACATGCCTGCTAACCTGGCTTGGGTCTATAGTGCAAAGCGGAAGTAGGAACAGAAGGGTTCTGTTTCCACGTAGTTGGTGGAAAATCTGGAAAAAATAGAAAAGTAGGGTTTGAGGGGATGCCTCTTCAATCTACGAGCAAGACTTCCGTTGACAATCCAGCAATCCACTCAAAGAAAACAAGTCAGAAACTCAAATAAGCCTCTTTTTTTTTTCATTCTGAGAATAGGCTCCTTTATATGGTTATTACTAACTCATAATCCAAGAAAACAAAGCCTCTTCTTGTAATAAAAGACTTCCCATTTTGCGAAAGAAACTACCAACACAAATGGCCTAACTTAACTAACAATGTATTCAAACTGAGACAGAAAACAAGACAAAATTGATGGATAAGACTCCTCTAGTGAAAGATTCCAGATTACTGTGAACTTTGCATTTTACGCATACATGCTATCCCTAAATAGATTTTTATGTTTGGAGCTACCAGAATTGCAATATGAGACACCTCTTGATCAGAATGATCTGATATTATTTGCTTGTTGGCAGAGACTAACAATAGATTTTAGGTCATCCGCTTGTAGAGCTGCCTTGTTGTTGTCCTAGGTCAAAGTCCTGATTGAATGCGCATGAATCTATCGCTGGCGTTTCCATTTCTTGTCTATGTTGTAGGGCCAAATATTGGTTTCAGGATCTGTGCACATCAACTCTTTTCTTGTCTTAACTTCTGCCATTGTGTGTTTTCCTTGTCCACTGTGGTTTCCTTTCATATGTTTGTATTATTTTGGTTGGACAAACATTGTTTTCCTGCTTGATAAACAGACATCCTAAATACACCTTGTAAATGATTTTAGGGCAACCGTCGCCACCTCGTGGATTGGAGCAGGAAAAGGGAAAGTACTCGCTGATCAGAGATCCTGAGGATTTCCTAGCAGGGGGTGCATTCGATAAGCCCCTACCTTGCTTTGGTTGTGGAATAGGGTGGTTTTCGTGAGTGTCTCTCTCTCTCTCTCTCTCCCTCCTCTCTTCCCTGCCCTTAAAATTCTCGACATCTTGCAGCTACTGAATATTATGCTCCTCTTGATTTTGGGGTGCTTCCAGCTTTCTTTCTGGGTTTTTGTTCCCACTCATGTGGTACTATGCCACAATCCTTTACTTCGGAAACTACTACCGCAAAGATCCCAGGGAAAGAGCAGGCCTTGCTGCAGCAGCAATCGCTGTAAGTCGGAACCCTTTCTTACCATGCTTCTAACTGCTCTCTTGGTAGGACTGTCAAGTTCTTCAGGTATTGAGCTGAGATGAATCCTGCTCTGTTTTTGGCTTGCAGGCAATGGGTTGCTCTGTTGTATTGGTGCTCATACTAGCTTATTGTCTCTTGTTTTGATCATTCGAGAATTGAGATCACTCCAGGGCAAAATTAAATGTGCAAGAGAAATGCATCAATTAGTTGGTGGATTATTGGAAGACGGCTGTGTTATATAGTGTCTAGTTCATACATAGACTTCAATTGTAAAGTATCGATTTCACCACAGAAGTTTGTTATTTCGCGCCAGGCAAATTGTTATTTCAACGGGGTTGAATCTTTTGTAAGATTTCGATTGGAAATGAGAATGAAGTCATGATGAATAAAGCTATAAGATTCGAGTAGCAAACCAGAAGTCCTGAGATTCATCGTAAGACATCACATTCTTAAAAAAAAAAAAAATGAAGATATAGAATCTGAGTTGGGTCAGAAGACCAGAAAAAAGGCTACAGATTTTGTACAAGTAATCTCATTCCAAAATAAAACAAGAATCAGCCGGCAAAACTGTCTGAAACCTCTCGGACTCCATCAATGGATTTGTGAAAAAAAGGTACAAGAATATCCCTCCCAAGTACATGTATCATCTTGCCAAATGCCAAGACCCCAGTTTTAGACTCTGGCCACAAGCCTGACGTATTTGCCATCAATTGTGAATCTGGAGTTTGAATTGACCTGTCACACCATTCCAAATACGAAAACTAGCATTAGACTCCTGCCATACAATAATTGAAGTAACATCTAGTTGGCAAAGAAATATGGGAGGCAAGAATGAAGTACCTTTTGTCGAAGAATATTGCCAAGTTCGTCTTGATCTACGCCTTTTCCGGATTCCTGGAGCAGCTTCTTCACATGTTTCTCCAATTTCTTCAATTTCATAGCTCCATCTGGATTCTGCGACACATGCATCACAATTGCAGTCAAGAACGAGAAAGATAGCGTGGCATGTTACAATGTACACTAGATGCATCAAGGAAAATCACTTTCCATACTTGACTTATGCGAATAATGGTAGTAGTTATATAGTGATACAGTGATCGAAGCTAGATTAAAGAGCAAAAAAGAGAGGGAATCATCAATCAACTAGAGAAACGTTAGGGAAGGTAAATACAGATTTCAGGGCTGCCTTGATCCACTTTTTCCACTTGATCTTGTTCTCTGTATGTTCTTCCGGACTGAGAGATTCTAACTTCTTATCAGTTCTCATCTCATTTCGCTTGACTTTCTTTGATTTACCATCTGTTTCACAGGCGTTGACACTTCCAACCTGAACCACATCACTTGGTGTTTCGGCTTTGGAATCACGCTTGCCCATTTTCACACAAACATCACCATTATTATCTAACACGTCTAGTTTTCTTTTCTTTTCTGATGGTAAAACCCCATCCTCCAGCTTTCCATCAGTATTTGCACCATCAGATGTAGGCTTCTCACCCGACCCATTTTCTGTAACAGTGCGATCAATGTCCCTTGTACAACATCTTCAGTCTGTTTAGGTTGCCTGCCAGCATGAAAGGCTCGTGCCTTAGCTCGATGCTTCTTTCCATCAGCATGCAAAAGAAGAGCCTGTTTACTCGTAGCTTGGGTATTACAGAGACTGTAAGAAAAGAAGAACTAGCAAGATGAGATGCTACAACTCGGTAAATAACGGCAAAACATTGGCTTGGGATACTTTTATTTCTCCGTGCAGCATTCATAATTGTGCTTGGCTAAATAAGTTCATGGCATGGATCTGCTTATTCAGCGCTAAGACACGGGTGCAATGACAAACATGGACACCCATGAATAGGAGATGACCGAGCACACAATACAGATCAATGTTTAAAATCAGATCAAAGAACCCTGTCTTGCCAGGAAAGTGGTAGTTGGTAAAACACCCAAGGGGTTGACTAATGACTAGTAACTATATTGAAAAGAGAGTGGGCTACGAATTCAGTAGGAATTGCCATCTCCTTGCAGCATTACAGAACAAGCATCCTTGTTCCGCCTGAATAAATTTTGGAGACAAAAGAGCCACAGTCCCACGCATCTATTACAAAAGCGGAATGCTGTCCACTGGGATTGGAATTCATCTATTTGTTCTCATTCTCATCTTCGTAAATGAATTCCCAGCAAGGTTTGATATTCTAAGCTTTAACTATGACAATCCAGTCATCTGGGATAACATAGATATCAGGCTATCAGCTGAAACCTAGCATGAATCAAATCTTCGGATTGAATTATCAACCTCATTTGTACATCAGCCCCCACAACAGTCAGAGACAACAATCTATTGCCCAAGGCCTATAGCAAAAGCCAAAACACAATCAACAATGTGATTCGTACGTTATATTGATCTACCATGTGCTAATGCAAACAGCAAATTCGATGAGCTCACCTGCAATACCATGGCGGGCGGAGGGACAAACCAACATTGATATCGACATCAGGCTTTTGCTTTGAATCCTTGGATTTAGGGGTCGCCCCATTAACGGCAGGGTTCCCTTGTCCTTTTGGACCATATTTTTCCTGCAAGCCACCAAGTAAAACATCACTAATCTCCCAACCAACCAAATGGTGGCAAGAAGCTATTCAAAAATCGGCGACCCAGAGTTCATTTTCGCATTCACAACCAGAAAACAATGGGGGAGAAAGAAGCAGGAATATACCGCCTCGCTGATGCACTGCGTGTGGCCCTGGACGGTATCAGGGCTGAAAGTCACCCCACAATCAATGCACGATAGCTGCAACAAGAATAGCCGGCATTATATGATTAATTACAGACTACAGATTCAGAAATTCCCAATTCTGCGAATCGAAGTTGTGGGCTTTGAAGAGAAAAGGGAAGAACAGGGGTTAGAGGACCTTGGAAGCGGAGCACCTTCGGAAGTGATTAGAGAGCTTGGGCTTCTTCAGTTCCTCGCCGCAGTCATCGCACTGAAACCACACCATTGGGTTGTTTGTTCGATTTTCCTCACTGGTTCACTTCAATTCAGATTAGAGTTTAGAGACGCAACCAGAAAGGAAAGGACTGGCCACTGAAAGTCAGGGAAGGTGAACGAACCAGAGGGTTTAAGGCTTTAGTAGGGATTAGGGTTTTGTTCTCCTTTTTCGCTCTGATTGTTTTTTTTTATTATTATTTATAAAGAACCCGTGTAACATCCCGAATCTTTTCCCGACGAAGATATTGTCCGTTTTGTGCCTCGACCTTCATGGTTTTCGATTTGGGGTGCAATTCAAGATGACTTTGCATAAAGTCACCCATTATTGTTGTACTCTCACCCTGAGCACGTTTAACTTCGGAGTTCTCACAAGAATCCTCCATTTCGCCCCAAAACGCGTTTTGTCAGTTAAGGTCAATTTCCTACTTATGAATTATGGATATCTCCCGTGCTTTGTCGATGTGGATTTGTCGCTACATACCCCCCCCCCCCCCCCCCCCCCCCCCCCCCCCCCCCGCGGACTCAACGTCCTCGATCGGTTTCCTACTTATGAACCATGGATCTCTCCCGTGTTTTGTCGTCCTCGTTGAGATTTGCTCCACCTAAGGTGACTTCCCATAAGATCACTCATCTTTGTTGTACTCCACCCTGAGCACGTTTAACTTCGGAGTTCTCACAAGAACTCCTTCATTCCACCCCAAAACCTGTCTTGTCAGTTAAGACCGGTTTCCTACTTATGAACCATGGATCTCTCTCGCTTTGTCGATGTGCTTTCCTTAAGATATCGTACGGGTCGGTTGGATCCGGTTTAAGCTGTAGGAAAAGGATCAACCGATGAAGGTTGTTAAACTGGATTATCCGATGGAGTCAGGTTGACAAGTGATTTGTGGTTTAATGGTTAGATTAAGTTCAATCAGTTTAACATAATATATGTGAAAAAAATTCTAATACCAGATATATATGCATATATTTCACATATTTTAAAACGATTTGGCTGATTTATATTTATATATTATCAAATTATTTCCTTAAAAGAAATATATATTACAACTGTTTTAGTCAATCCATCTAAATAATAAATGAAACCAAGTAACCAACTGATTTTTAGTCATGTTCTTCCTTTTCAATCAAGTTTTAGCGATATTTCCTTGAAAAATGAAACCAGATCAAGGTTGTCAACCCGCGGGTTGACCCGGACCCGGTTGAGCTAGTGGGTCAAGGGTTAATGGGTCACTCGGTTTAGCCCGGTTTAGCTCGGAAATATGGAAAGCGTCATTATATTGTAATTATCCTGATAAATTATATCAAATATCAAATATCATCTAACATATGAGTTATAACATATAATATTACACCAAAATAACATTTCGTACTTAGATTCAACATATAGTGAAAATTCACACACACTTATATAACATTAATATTCAAATGTTCAACTTATGATTCCAAAGATTGAGTTAGGCGAAAAGAAAAATCGAAAAATAGGCGCATTTCGCAAAACAAAGAAAAAAATGACATAATTTGACCTCCAACCCGATACCTTGTGGCGGTCGACCCGGCGAGTGCGTGCGGCCCATTTTTATCACCAGGTCTGCGTCAAAGTGGGTCAACCCGCGGGTCGACCCGCGGCACATTAAGTTTCAAATGATTTTCGTGATATAAAAATTTCCATTTATATAATGTTGTATGCGTATCTTCGTAATAAATTTTCAAGCTCACAAAAAACAAATCAAATATTTTCATTTAACTAATTTCCGAAATTGTTTCAAACACAAGAACTGGAACTTAAATTTCGGGGAAATAAGAATTATGAACGAATATTCTATTTTTGATAAATTTCAAATATAACTTTGGATTATCAAATTAACAATTACTCCTCCCCGTCATCATCGTCCCCTCCGTTCTCTTCTTTCGAAATTATTTTTTAATTCTTCCGTCACCGCATCTCCTTCATTCTTCCTTCGTAATGACCGAACCGAGCTCTCCCTGTTTGTATTTGCAGCGCCGGACACCGGCAGATCATGCTCGCCGACGGCGGAGGCAGGGAGGAGAATCGCCCGAACCGATCGAAAATTGCAAGGATATTCCTGTGGATACTTTCGTGCTTCGCTCGTCGCTGTTTCCATGGGGCAGGCCACCGCCGCGAAGCGAAATTGAATTTTTCGCTCAGTTCCGAACGCCCCCGCCGCCTCTTTCGTCGCCAGCTCCTCCCCCTCCATCTTCCAATCTGCGAGAGAATCAATACGAGGAGGAGGAATTGGGTGGTGGAAGCGAAATTGAATTAATTGAAACCCTAACTCAGTTCCCGTCGCCACCGCCTCCGCCGCAATCATCAATCCCCTTTTCAAATCGGTGGTCCAAGACAAAGATCCAGATGCCCGCGCCACCGCCTCCTCCGCCGCCGCCGCCCCTGCATTCGTCATTCGCCTCTTCAAAGAGGTTGTTGTCCAAGAGAAAGATCCCAGTGCCGGCGCCACCGCCTCCTCCTCCTCCTCCGTCCTCCAGTCCACCGCCTCTTCCGCCGCCGCCGCCCCTGCATTCGTCATTCGCCTCTTCAAAGAGGTTGTTGTCCAAGAGAAAGATCCCAGTGCCGGCGCCGCCTCCTCCTCCTCCTCCGTCCTCCAGTCGTTTCCTCGGAGTTGTTCCTCGCCGAGAGAATCGAGATGAGGAGGAGGAGAAGGGCGGAAGAAGAGAGGAAGTTTTGACAATCAAATCTCCGCCGCCGCCGCCGCCGCCACCTCCTCCTCCGCCATCATTCTCCCATTCGCCATTCAGGAAAGCAACCAAAAGCAAGGGAATCCACTCATTTCCACCGCCGCGGCCGCTGCCGCGGCCGCTGCCGCCAATGCGTCCTCGGCGGTCGTCACTAAAACCACTTCACTTTTCAAAGATTGGGTCCGACAGAAAGATCCAAGTGCTCGCGCCACCGCCGCCGCTGCCGGATCTTCCGTTGGCGCCGCAAAGAGTGGTAGATCCACACAGGAGGAGGCCGGTCGAGCGTCCGCCGTTGGAGGAGATAGTAGGTGACAACGGTGGCCAGACACCATTAAACACAATGCCTCCACCACCGCCGTTGCCGTCACCAAGAATGGACGGCGAGGAAATGGGGAGCGGGCACGAGAGTGAAGGTGGATCCGGGTCGGTTTCTCGACCCGATGCTAACGTACAGGCTTGTACGTTATTTGTTGGCAATTTTGTAATTACTTATTCGTTAATAAGCAACTAGCTTTATAGTACCTTACCTAAAATTAGTGTCTTTTAGTTTTTTTTTAGTAATTATTTATTAGCTATTAATAGATTTGAAGATTTAGTGGTTAAGACTAATTTTTTTTATATAAATTATAAAATAATTCCAAATAAATAATGGCTAATCCAATATTCACAAAGTCCAGTTTGGATGTATATGACTTATTTAGACTTATGTACTATTTATTTATATCAAAATAATTCCAAATAAATAATTGCTAATCCAATATTCATGAATAAGTTGGTTATCCATTCATCATTAACAACTTAATGACAACTTGTAGAAAACGATTACGTCTGTCTTAAGTCTTAATGCATGTTTGTAGTCCTAGAAGTTTGAATTCTCGTGATTACATATATTGCATAAATATATTATTTTAAATTTCAACTTCCAAACGGCCCCTCAATTATCCATACTTACTTTGTCTTTGTATGAAAGGCGGCGTAGGAAGAAAAAGTGGAGAAAATAAGATAAAAATAGAGAAAATAACAAAAAGATCCAAAAATATAGCATTAAATAAGAACAATCTAATGTATTTTAATCTCTTTTGCAAGTTTACTTGGACCCAGCCTTTGGGTGAAATATTAAATTTAGTTTTACTAGTTTAAGTGTAATTTTATTTCTATTGAGCATTTTTAGTTGAGCAGTTTGATCCATCGCAATATCAATATATCAAGAACCCCCTAGAACTTGATTATAGACTTATAGTTAATAAATAGGTTTGTCGGCTATGATAATCGGATCGATATTCATAAAAGTTTCTATACTAATTTGTTTAGATTTTTGCATCAGTTAAGATTTCATGACTGTAGCACTTGATCCATCATCATAAAAAAAAAAATCCATGGGTGTGCACCTTAGTTAATTTGTGGATGTTGAAACTTGCACGAATGGTGGATGATTGGAACCTTTTGCCTCTTATGATGGTCCATTACTCCATTAGTTAGATTATCTTTAAAGACAAATATAGATCATAATTGGTGACCCAATAGAATTAGGACTGAGTAGAAACCAACTCCATATATTAGTGAAGATTTATAATTGATCATATTTTATTTATTTTAACTCGTATTTTTTTATATAGAAAAATTGAATTGGTTGAACGGTACCTTATGACATTCATTTTTATATATTTTGAGAGAAAACAAAAGTTGAACTAAGAGAATCGAACCTGCGGAGAATTCATTAATTTTTTTTTAATTTATAAGTGATCAAGTTTTGTGTTCTCTACTGAGCTTGCTTAATTTATCAATATTTATAGAGTATTTTAATACGAGATGACTAAATAGAAATCTAAATTAAATTTTAGAACATATTTTTAAGCTGAATCAAACATGTCGAAATCATATACCGTCTGCGGATGTTGCATTCTGAAAATTTTACAAGCAAATTCATCATAAAATGTTTGATTTTTCTTCATTCAATTAATTTTAGATTACTTTATCTAATTTTACTCATATCTAAATAACAAATTGACTGCGATTGTTGAGGTACTTCATAGTGGATGTCCATCGTGTAAATGTGAATACATAGTAGAAACTATTGAATTAATCATCTAACAAATAATTCACAATTGCGGGAAAAATATTTTTGCTCGATTCTTAAGTAAAATATTTTCTTAAAATAAAATACAGAGCGTATATCCTCCTACTAATATACTTAGTTCCTTTCTTATATTAATATAGCACACTGGATGTACATAGTATTCCAAATAAGTTGATGCATTGTGAATATAAAGATCTCACAAGTGAAGATGAAGGGGCGTGGAGAATATAGTGTTTTCGATTGCAGAGAAATTACAAAAGAAATCCAAAATAAAATTTTGAAATAATTTCTTACATTGAGCATTAGATTGAAGCGACCTGATTACAAAATTTTTAGGAATAAATTTCCTATGTATTTTTACTTTTTTATGAAGACTTATATGATTATGAATGATCAGCATGTATGTTCCTTTTATTATATTTCTGTAATTGAATAATACTGATTCTCTTATTGTAGCAAAAAAAAAAAAAAAAGCTTGATTTCACAATCATTTATAAAATTGTTTATATTATCGATGTTATTCATCCAACCAACGGACGGACACAAATCTAGTAGCTAGAAATAACAATAGTGCAATGTTATCACTATCCAACTAATCAAACCACACAATAATAAAACAAGTTATTCTGAACTAAATTCAATAAACCAACTAATGAATCTAATATTAGCCTAGGCGGAAGAGCCAGCAGTGCAGTCCGCGGGCTTGAAGGACAGAGTCTCTCCCTTCAAATCGTACCCAACCCTGAAATTCTGCTGCGCCACGTTCCCATAGATCGCCAGCGAGGCCGAGCCGGCGAACGCCAAGCACACCACGTTCTCCTCCGCCTCAACAAACGTGTTCCCGGTCTTCAGCTCCACGTCAGCGCCGCCGTCGAAATGCATGGTCAAAGTCGGCGCCTCGAAGCTTCCCGAATCCTCCACCTCGAAACAGGTGTCCAGCCCTTGCACCTGCACGGGCGTTCCGCCGCTGACCTGGCTGCTGACGGCATCCGCCAGCTCGGACAGCACACCCTTCGGCACGATCGTCAGCGTGGTCCCGGAGTCGATGATGATGTTTCCCCCGGACGAGCCGCCGCCGCCGCGGCCGGTGAAGGCGATCTTCTTGGTCCCGACGCTGATGGCGTCGAGGCGGAGGAAGTAAAAAGTCGGATTTCTAGGGTCGGTGAGGAGCGGGGTGGACACGCCGCCCGAAACGGCGGCGGATTGGCCGAAGGTGAGTGTGCTTGGGGTGTCGTCGCCGAATGAGGCGAGGCAGTAGGAGAATTTCCCGCCCGTGGTGGACCCCAACTGGCTGACGAGGGAGGCGGCTCCGCCGCCGAGTCCCACGATTCCCGAGGCGTTGGGGGAGAACGTTCCCTCGCCCTCGTGGCTGCACCCGAAGATGGTTTTCGGTAGGGCCACTTTCCGGCCGGCGGTGGAGTCGAGGGTTAGGGTTTCCGTCGCCATGTCGCCGCTCGTGTTAGAGCCGTCCCCATACGTTACCTGCATGCATGCATGTATATATGGACGTACGTATAAAAATAGTAATACATATAATTGTTATTATATAGGGTTAAACATGTTATAAGTTTACAATACGAACCTGATAGTGGCAAACGTCGCTAGAGCAAGAGGTGCCTTCGTCGGTGAGCGAGGTGCAGGTTTCCGAGGAGCAGGAGATCTCCCTGTACGTGGTGGAGGATTTGGGGTCGAACATCGGGGCGGTCTGGGTGTAGCAGTCGGTGCAGGGCTCGCACTGGGTCCAGATGACGTCGCTCCCGGTGTCGGCGATGGCGACGATGGGGAACGCCGGGGTCCCCAGCGACACGTGGACAAGGTAGGACCCGCTGTCGGCTGTCACGGGCGCCTCGGCGTCCATCGGGGACACGGAGGACGAGAGCCCGAGCCTGCGCTCCAGGAAGCGGGCTCGGTCGATGGATCGAGCCGCGGCGTTTCGGACTCTCTGAGGTTTGGAGAGGTCGGGGTGGGACAAGGGGGAGCGGGTTGAGTCGCGGTGGATTAGTTCGACGGTGAAGCTGTTGCCTTTTGCGGCGTTGGGAGCGGCGACGAGGAGGAGGAGGAGGAGGGTGAAGGTGGTGGTTGTGGCGGCCATGGTTGTTTGATTGTGTGAAAGTGTGATCTCGAGGGAAAGGAATGGAGGACTTGATTTGATTATTGACAGTGAGGACTTGGGATTTATATATTGTGTAGGGTGGGAGAGATGGAGGGGAAATTAATGTCGGAATCAAAGTTTTGCTTGATTAGGGGATGTGATATTATTGTGAGAATATTAGGGTAATTATTAATGACGGGGAACCTTGATTTGTTCATGGGGATCTTTCAAGTGATTATGCAGAGAGACGTTAGCATAGTAGTATTTCAAATGGAGAGATCAACAGGGAATGGAGCAAGGTTGTTAACCGGCCCGGGGTCGAACCGTGGGTTGACGCAGTGGGAAAAATGGGCGGCACACACTTGCTTTGGGCTTCGCATAGATTCATCAAACCCACCTCAACCTGGTGCAAAGTTGGCTCCAACGCGATCGAAATCGGTCGACGAACTTTCACTCCAGAAGGCCACTTTGCTTCATGCAATGGTTATGGTATATGTTACATAGGTTTTATACATGACTTTTTACGAGTATTAACAATACAATGACTTTTTTTCCCGGAGTAAACCGGACAAAAACGGTCGGACCAATAGCTCATCGCCTAGACCGGGGTAAACGGTAAACCGGGGGTTGACAACTTCGAAATGGAGAGTTGGGGAACGAAGATCAGATCAGCATGCAGAAACATGTACTAGAGATACCTATAGTATCTAAGAGAATCTTTGTACGGCTTAATCGCTTATTGATGGAGAACAGATATGGTAATATACGATTAAATTAAAGCATATGATCGCAGCCTTTAATTAGGCTAATGTGTATCAACTGTTGCACAGATGTATGGTAATATAAGTTTAGAGCAGAAACACATATAGTATCTAAGAGAATCTTGTACAGCTTAACTGCTTATGATTCTCAAGTATATACTACGTACGTAAATATAATGGGCCAAGAATGCATGCAGTAAGGTTCAGTTTCTGATGATTCTGTCACGTACGTATATCCTCGAGTTGTTGGGAGAGGATCAATCGTGGATCATATACCACAACACTAACACCCCCCTCAAACGAAAGCCACTCACAAGGGCTTGAAGTTTGCACAGATCTGAAGACAAGAATACCATGTACTTAACAAATGGGGTCACCGAGAATCGAACACAAGACCTCTCGGTCACAGAAGGTTCTGATACCATATCAAGAACCAGTTGATCCCAATAACTCGAGTTGTTGGGAGAGGTTCAATCGTGGATCATATACCACAACACTAAGAATAATAACACTATGAAGTGTTGTTCTACGGCTAATACTGAATTGCATTTATAAAGAGTTATCGTTTAAAATTGCTCAGCAAATTAAGGAAATAATTATTATTACCCATGCTATATTTCTAAATTCAAATAGTGTCATTATGATATCATTCCCTGAATATATATACAATAGTTCTACTTTTTTTATAAATTAGAAAACAAAATTACCAACTGATAACATTTCATTTGACTCGGTCACTTCGAATCATGTACAAAATGATAATGTAGCTTCAAATTTATAACAAAAGGTCATTTACGATCCATCTCTATTCAACAATTCAATGGATATTTACGTTCTGCGCGTTGAAAAAAAAAACGACGGCAGGGGAGTTACCGAGTCTCCCGACGAAATCGGCGTTGCTGTACCTTAAAAAGCAGCTGGTGTACCTATTACAGTATATGACAGATTCGTAGAAGTTAGTTTTCGTGTTATCGTTAGGGTTATTATAAAAATTAGTCATTATAATTAATATATTCGAAATCGCTATTCTAAGTTTTAAAGCGTAGATTTTGACTACAGTAAATGAAAAGCGCGATTTTACGTAGAAATATTTTGGCTATTTAAAAGTGTAAATCCGTATTATAAAATTTTAAAACGCGATTTTGACTACTTTAACTGTAATCTACTATCTATATAAACTCATCGTGATTTCAGCAATAGAACAGAGCAATTTCCACCGAATTCTGATTTATCAATTCCGCACCAGGGAGTGATGGCAGAGAGTCATGAATTCATGGCTCTCTGGAGTTTTGTGTGTGGCGAATATGGTTTGGTTGGGCGGGGGGAAGCTTTAGCTTGGGTGCTAATGGATAGTTGATTGGTGGGTGATGGAGTTTGCTTGGATTTAAGTGGGAGAGTGGTGGGATTACCTTTTGGAAAATAGCTTAGTGGGAAAATAAATTACCTAAGTGGAAAAATTATGTCACTCCAATTTGATTTGGATTAAAATACGAGGAATGTAACAATCTTCAATTAATTTAACGGTTCGAAAGTAGAAGAATGAGAGATTATAGAGAGACTTTAAAGTGTTTTCGATGTACCGATTGTTGTATAAGAGCGGATAGTGACAACTCGAAGAATATATAATTGCGAAAAAAACAAATTTTAGGAGTTCACTAATGAAATGTGGACGTGACGATCGTGTTGATGGGAGGAACGGGTTTCGGGCCAGTGATGAGTTTTTTTTTTTGAAGAAAAAATAAGTTGAATCAAAGACCGGACTATCATTGCATTCGTTCCAGTGTGATTCAGGTTGGTCAGATCCAAATATTTTTGAATAATTTTTATTCACCGTTTATAAAATTCGATTCTAGTATGATCTTATCATATATCAATTTGGTTCAATGCGATCTAATTCGGACTGAACTACATGTTGTGCTAGGTATTATCCTAGACTAGGGGTGGGCATTCGGTCGGTTCGGTTTGAACCGAACCTAACCAGGACATCCCAATTTTTCGGTATGCCCAACGCCCCAACCGAATTCGAACCGATATATAATTCGGTTCGGTTCCGAAAAAACACAGCTGCTGAGTGCTACCCCATTTTTGCCTGCAGAAGATTGAGATTCAGTGGCGTCGACGTCGGGAGGAGACTCGGCGGCCGGCAAGTCCTTGTCTGGGTGGCTGGGTCTGGGTCACTACCTACTGGGTGGGATTGCGAGAGGCGGAGAGTTGGAGACTGGTGCCTGGCGGGCGGCGGCGAGCAGCGAGGGTGAGGATCGAGTCGACTCGAGAGGAAGACGAAGCAGCCTCTCTCAGGTCGGGCCGTCGACGTCGCCGTGCTCGGGCAGTGGAGGAGGAGTCGCACTCGGCGCTGCAAGTGCGTCGGAATCGGACAGTTCCCCAGTGGCCAGTTCAACTTCCCTTTCCCTTTGTCGCGATTTCGTCAATTCGATAGGCGCCTAGGGTTAGCTCGCAGACGACGGTGGGTACTGGGTCGAGTGACTTGAAGTCTGCAAGGGGAGCAGGCCTAGCCGCACATGGCCCAGGAAGCCCAATCCAATTTGTTGGACTAGGGCGGAGTGGGCTGAAAAAAGAAGGTTGGGCCTCTAGTATTGGGCTGAGACATTCAGGCAGTGGGATGATATTTTCGGAATTCGGTCGGTTATTCAGAATTTCGGTTCGGTTCAGACGAACCTGATTTTCGAAATTTCCCCTATTTACAGCCGAATTTCGAACCTAATTACAAGTACTTCGGTTTTGATCGGTTTTTATTCGGTTCGGTTCGATAAAACCGAACCTAATGCCCACCCCTATCCTAGACCTAGTCCTAGAGTTGGATTTCGAGATAAAATTCCGCTAATGGGAAGAAAATATGGACTCTCTCTAATCTTCCAATTTACACTAGCTAGTCTTGGGCTTGTCCTTTTTCTGTTGGCCTTTCCTAGCTTCCCATGCGTTTGACGGACACTCCTTACGTGGGCCTGGGCTTTCCTATCACTGATCAACCTCAACAGTACTTTTTGACTGTTAAAAGAAACTGCAAAAAGTTCGGGGACCTCCTTCATAAAAAGTGGTATTGCGTGTTTATGTCGCAACTCAGCAGCGAGCCTCGCCGGACGCCGGTTGCCGCCGCCGTCCCTGCCCGCCGGGCTTGACTTTTGATTGCCCACCTCATTATTCGATTCTCCTCCCTACCAGCTTACAATCCGATTAACGTTCATTCATGACAATTAATGAGATGATGGAGCTCCTATTGTACAAACCAAAATGAGTTCAATTTTTTTTCATAAAACAATCAAATAAATCATCAATAAAATAAAATTATTTAAAAGAATTCAAATAGTAAATAGACTTGATTCACCTGAATAGGCTATGAGAACTTAATAGAATTTGAAAGAAGTATATTGAAGAATCTAAGAGTTTAGAAATAAATAATAGGGAAAAAAATGAATATTAGATAGGAAAACTGATAAAATTTTAGTCTAGCCTATTTACCATTGATTTTTTATTTTATTTTAATGTTGTTGGATTGTGCCTTGTTAATAATAATAGGAATAAGCGGTCTTGCCTCTCTTATTCTCTCTATAAATAAACAAAAAACAACAAAAAATATGCTCGTTTGGAAAATAAGTCTAATAAATAAATAAAATTTCCTTTTGCATGTGTTCATTATTATTTCTTTTTTTTTTGTTTGGATTAATTTTGTATTATTTTAGACACATAATCAAAATACAATCATTAATTTTCTACGTTTTAAATTTATAATTAAAATCTAATGAAAGTATTTAGCATTATGTAATTATACATAACGGAGACCCATATAATTTGGAGGCCGGGCCTTCCCGACTTCCGCACACTCATAGAGTCGGTCATACGTTCACTGAGATCGCTGCGTAATACGTATTCGATACTCGAATCACCGTCTTAGCAATTTTGCAGGACGATATAATTCAACATTCATTCGAACGCATTGAGACGTTCCAACGACGATTCACATTAGGATATTATCTTTTAATTTTGATTCGATTCTCATAACCATCGAGATCATCAACACGTGTCTGGATCAGGGAGGCACGGGAGCTTCTGTTGTGTGTCGGTTAAACAAAATTCACTCCCCCGCCCCCACAAAAAATATTATTTCTTTCCTTTTTCGCAAGCCAGCGCCAGGCCAGAGCATGATAGTGGGCAGAAATCATTGCTCCTCGCAGCTCTACTGTTGTTTGTTATTATACTGGTTTCGTACTTGCCTTTTGCCTTGCCTTGCCTACCTCATTAATTATTTTGTATATATGAGATTTCCTGTCCGTCTGACTCTCTCTCATTCTCCCATCTATCTTTTCAGAATCCCCATGTTCGGTTCCTACATTCTCCTCCCTATATAAATATAACTAATACAAGTCAATTAGATTGAATTAGTGATAATCTATCTCGAATCAATGAACATAAGCATAAACGACACAAGATTTAACGTGGTTCGGCTTTTCAGAAAAGTTTTACTTCACGATGGTAAATAGAGTTCTTAGATTAGTTAATCAGTCATTAAGTCAAAATGGGGGGCTTAAATAGGCTGCAGAGAATACGTAGGAGCTTTACCACAAACCTCAACGTATATCCTCCTCAGTCCTCATACAAAAACTATTTACATTTTTAATCCTCTTAATTTTACATATTCCAACCATTAGAATTTAGAAACCAGACCCCATCAAAGCGAGGGAGGGAAATATTCAACCTTGAATGTACAATTATGTCCCCTATCAGTCTATTCAAACTGAAGTGGAATTGGAACGTAAGCAACATAAAGTAATCACGTGGAATTGGAACTTATAATAATAAGCACGAATCATAATGAAGAAATTAAGGCCTCTAAAGTCTTAACCAAACAGTGCATGCACCCGAATGAGAGCTGATTAGCACTACCTGCCTTATTGTACATCTTAGCCTCATCCGATTCTAATTCTGCATTAGAATTTGTAGAATTTTTCAAATCAGAGATCCAAATAAGTAGTGTTAATGAAAATAACGATCTGTATATAATCCCATATCCTACAAACTACAACAAATTATGAATACCATCTATATAACTTATTTATACATGACATTGTTTAATTCTCGCTTATCAAAAGTTATACGGTTTTTACAATAGTGATGCGACCTTATCTTACCTGTAATAATCGTATCATTCCTCGTAAATCAAAGTTATATATGAAAGGTTATACGGACCAAGTTCATGCACCCGACCCGCTCTCACAAAGACAACCACCAGACCATCATATATGTGTATAAATGGATGATTATTTTTAGTGATTACATGTCTACAATAGATGTACCGAATCAATATTTGGATAGAATCGAATTTGATTGAATGTATTTTGATTCACTTTCAATCTTACAAGTTGTCTCAAGTATGAAGTAAAAACAGACCGAGAATTGAATTTAAACCCGACCGATATGGCACTTTAATTTCCTTTAATTTTTCATCTAGTCTTATCTCGATTCCATCTGGTTCTTAATATCAGTGGCGGATTCAGAAATTTCAGATAGGGGTGTCCTCATCTAAAAAATTAATTAAATTAATAATTAAATAATTATTAAATAAGAATATATATGACTGGCACAAAATGCAACAAAGCACATAACGTGTTTTGTATTATGAAAAAATTATAAAATAGCATCGATGTCTAACAATGCTCTACAAATCTCTCTCGATATATCCTACTAGACAACAGGAATCCGTAATTGAGTTTAATCGTTAGCCTTTGAAAATAATTGGGGTAAAAGAATAACTTTTTACTAGTATATATGGATTTAAAATACAAGAACAAAGGAGTTGTGGTCTAATGAAAAATATGTTTCCTAATAATAGTAGCGATCAAAGTTCAAATTACATAAGCTACCACTTAAACGTTTTTCTTTACACATATGCAAACTACTACTTAATTTTTCCAAATTTTTCCAAATTTTAAGAGTATCCCGCTATCACTTAATTTTTTCCCCACCATTATACAAACTACTATTGGGGGTTGAATAATCGTGTTCCCAAATTTTAGGGGTGTCCCGGGACACCCCAAAGTGCCATGTATCCGCCATTGCTTAATATACCACTATCCACACCTAATTACAACAACAATAATAATAATAACTTGGATGCCAATGATTTTCTTCATAAAAGTTTATAATTCTAATTGTGTGTGTAACTAAGGACCTTGGAAGATAGTAAACGGCGTACAATGGAATTCGCCACCGTTCAACTTTGACCAAGGAGGAAATAGATGATTACATACCTTTCTTTTTAAAGAAAAATAATCAAAATAATTTCTGCGCATTTTAGTTCCTAATTATGCGATTAATTCGGTTACATTAGGGTTGAATTGTCAGTTACACTGCAACAATGACATCCTACCATTCTATAATGTCTTCTCGGACGTTCTCTAAAGTCTAAACACACTGAGAGATAGAGAAATATCTTTTTTCTGGATGAATATTCAAAAAGCAGCAATCCGTTCTATCTGTGGCACTACCGTGAATAACTGGTAATTCAGGCCTCAAACCAAACCCTAATCCCTAATCATCACAATCACTGTCCTTTCTTGGTAATTAAAACCCCAAATAAATATAATAATAAAAATATAAACACGATTAGTTAAATACTTAAATTTATTTATAAAAAAAATCCCACTACCCCGTTTGTGGCAACCACGAACGGACAACTCAGCAAGCGTCACAGCCTCACCGTTAGTGGACCCCACCTACCTACATAAGAGAAAAAAGAAAAAAAAACAGCAGGACGACAGACAGAGTAGAAAGAAGCGTAAGAATAAAAATTCCCCCATTTTACGGCGCTTTTTCATTTTTTATTTTCCATTTCACATCATATATAAGCTTTTCCTCCGCTTCGTTTTCGCAAAATTTCCGGAAAAACCAGAAGCTACAGCTCTCTCTCTGGAGGCTGAGAGGAAAAGGGAAAGAACGATTGTTTTCTGTTTGGTTCCATTTCCATTTCCATTCCACCTGTGCTGTTGTTTGTTGTTTCCTTCTTTATCGTCTTCCTCCACCTCAATTCTCTCTCTCTCTCTCTCTCTGCTTACCTGGAAGCAAGTCTTGGAGCTGTTATTATTACAACTAAGGCACTGCTTCATCGTCCTCGCCACCTTCCCTCCGATCCGAGTAGCTGAGCTCGGATTTTGGGAGACGCGGTTGTTGAGGAACTCAATGAGGTAGGGAGAGTGGGGAAAGGAAGATCTCAAGCGTACAAAGATCGCTCGCCATGGTGAGTTAGTTGGTTGATTGATGTAGTGCCTGTTTGAGATCATCAGTTCATTTTGATCACCCGATGCTGGATTTGGGATTTTGATTTTTGAGAATTTGATTTTGAATGCTCGATTTTTCTGCTTCTGTGTTTTTAACTTTCTTGCTTGCTTGCTTGAGATTCGGTGATAGGAAGTTGAAGTAACTTTACCAATTGCCAGAATTCAGATACGGAAATTTCGGCACTCTGTTTTTTTCTTCTTCCTTCTTCTTCTTGCCAGATTGGTTGTGTTGTTGCATTGTCTTGAACTCTAGATCAAGTTTGAGGATAGGATGGTGGAATTCTGGATTTGTTTTTGTTTGCGAATGATAGGATTTAGAACGGGGACTTGATTGCGAACTGAAAGCATTTGGAATTATGTATTATATTATTAGAATAAGTTGGAATTGGCTTCGAGGATTTGTCCTGGGCTGAAGAAGACGCAAAACAAAGAGACAAAATGAGCAAGAAACTAGCTTTAGTATAAGTTGCTCTATTTTTGGATTACATTACATTGTTTGCTTCATGTTGGATTACTCTGGCTAATGAAGCTTTGAGTGGAATCTGTAGTCAGATTTAGTCCAACCAAGTCAATGGCAAGCTATAAAACTGGAAAAAAGGTGGCAGGAGCTGAGAATGAGATGGAGCTTTCTCTCTGCATTATCTTTTCTTCTGTTACAGAATCTCATGCACATTTCTGTCACCTTCACCACTTGAATTCGTGGCTCTCGTATGTGTTGGTCTGATTCTATATGCTATTTCAGTAACGAACTCCAGGCATTTGATTGTGACATGTGGCTTCTCAAACCCAATTCATTCTGTTTAGAAAGTTCAGAAGAAACATGCTTTTTATTCTTTTTGTCTGCCTTTGCTTGTCATGGTAGTTCAAGCCAGTTCAACAATGTCAAGTGTTTCTTTCAAATTTGCAGGCTACGCCAGTCAACATTATAGTGGGTTCTCATGTATGGGTTGAAGACCCCGATGAGGCATGGGTTGATGGAGAAGTAGTGAAGATTGATGGAGAACAGGTCCATGTCAATGCAACAAATGGGAAGAAAGTGAGTTCATTTAGGTGTTTGTTGAATTACTTTGTCCACTTAAGGTTTTCAAAGATGTCTCTTTTCTATATGATATATGAATGCCATCAGTTGTTTTAGCTAGAATCTAGAATCTCCCCTAACAGGTTGATAAACTACTGGACTTGTGTCCGCACATAGATTTTCTGTATCGTATTGCCAATTAAGAGGTACTGTGTGACCCTATTACCTGAAACCAACTTCTGACAAAGATTCCGTTTTTTCCTGGTCCGGTATGGACTTGCCATTGTGCAAATGAACATTACTGCAGGTTGTTGCAAATATCTCCAAAGTGTTCCCCAAGGATACAGAAGCTCCAGCTGGAGGTGTGGATGACATGACAAAGCTGTCATATTTGCATGAGCCTGGAGTTTTGAGTAACTTGGCTTCCAGATATGAGCTCAATGAAATCTATGTGAGATACTTCTCAATTTTCTTTCTAGTAATTGTGCATTTCGTATAGAGATATTTCATTTAAACTTGGCGTCTGCCTTCTCAAATCAAACGCCTATTCTGTGTGCCATGTAGACTTACACGGGAAATATACTGATTGCGATAAATCCTTTCCAAAGACTACCGCACCTGTATGACACTCACATGATGGAACAATATAAAGGTGCGGGGTTCGGAGAGCTAAGCCCGCATGTTTTTGCAGTTGCAGATGTTGCATATAGGCAAGTGTTATCGTTTCAACTTCATGCTGCTGTTGCATTCGTGGTTTTACTGAATTCTGTTTTGCCACTCCACAGGGCCATGATTAATGAAGGAAAGAGCAACTCGATTCTAGTCAGTGGAGAAAGTGGTGCAGGGAAGACAGAGACAACAAAGATGCTCATGCGATATCTTGCATACCTAGGTGGTCGGTCTGGCGTGGAAGGGAGAACTGTTGAACAACAAGTTCTAGAAGTAAATTAAATGATTCTCTCTTTTCTGGATACGTGTATCTGGGTTCCTGCAATATTTCAATTTGTATTGATGAAGTTAAATCTGCTTCAATGAAACAGTCCAACCCAGTTCTTGAAGCCTTTGGCAATGCAAAAACTGTTAGGAACAACAACTCAAGGTTAGTACTTTATTTTCTGCAACTGTTTTTACTATACCTGAAAGGAGGGGGAATACATGGGATGTTTTGACAGGTTTAGAATCTTGGAAACACTTGGAAATAGTATTTTTTCCTTCTGAAGGGGATGAATAATGAATCGGCCATGTTATTCTGGCTATTTAGAGGGCCATATGGTCAGTCATGGTCAAATTGTTGGACCAGACTTCATTTTTTGGTTGTGGATAGCTGGTTCAACTATTCATGAACATTCTCTTCTAATTGTAGATTTACTAGTTTCTTTCAACTACTTGTCAATTGAAATAGTAATGTTTTGGAGGAATAAGTTTGCCTATCATGATCATACATGTAGAGCTCAGTTATTTTTCATCATGGTTTGACAATGCAGTCGTTTTGGTAAATTCGTTGAGATCCAATTTGACAAGAATGGGAGGATATCGGGAGCCGCTATACGAACTTATTTGCTGGAAAGATCTCGTGTTTGCCAAATTGCTTCTCCTGAAAGAAACTACCATTGCTTTTACCTTCTTTGTGCTTCACCACCTGAGGTACCAATTCCTTACCTTCAATAAAATATGCAATTCTATTTGCAGGTCCTTGGTATTGTGCTCATAAATTGCATTTGGGTCTTCTATATTCCCAGGAAAGGGAGAAGTTTAAGTTGGGAAGCCCCAGTTCTTACCATTACTTGAATCAATCAGACTGCTATGAACTGGCTGGTGTAAATGATACAGAGGAATACCTTGCCACAAGAAGGGCAATGGATGTAGTTGGCTTAAGTGAGGATGACCAGGTCAGTATCTTCATTTAATTCGGGGAATGGCTTTCGTATTTATGTTTACTTTCCACTCACATTTTTTTCTCTCTCTCTTTAGGATTCTATCTTCAAGGTTGTAGCTGCAGTTTTGCATCTTGGGAATGTTGAATTCGCTAAGGGACCGGAGATAGACTCTTCTGTTATTAAGGATGAAAAGTCAAGGTTCCATCTCAATACAGTGGCAGAACTACTCCAGTATGGCTCCTTTTCTTTGACTTTGGTTCACCCTCTTGTATGTTTGTCTTGTTGCATTGTTCTTTGACCAAATGGCTCCTTTTATCTATGTATGCAGGTGCGATGTCAAAAGCTTGGAAGATGCATTGGTAAAGCGTGTTATGGTAACACCTGAAGAGATTATTAAGAGACCTCTTGATCCTGCTGGTGCATTAGGAAGTCGAGATGCCTTGGCGAAAACCATTTATTCTCGCTTGTTTGATTGGTAAAGCACACATTTTGCTTCCTTTATAGCTCTTGACATGTTGAGTATGACTCATGAAGAGATAATAATTTTCAGATTTTCTGTAGAGTTTGATCAAGCATATAGGTATTGGCCTGATGATTCTAGAAGCTGTAGTCTCTAATGAGTTTTCTTTCTATCCACAGGCTTGTTGATAAAATTAACAATTCAATTGGGCAAGATCCAAACTCGAAAACCTTGATTGGAGTTCTTGATATATACGGTTTTGAAAGTTTCAAGTTCAATAGGTAAAGTTTTGAAAGTGATGCTATGTGATGTATAATATTTCGCTTATGGCCAACTAACTGTCATGCTATGTAGTTTTGAGCAGTTTTGTATCAACTTCACAAATGAAAAGCTGCAACAACATTTCAATCAGGTTCATACTCTGTGGCGTTGTTGGTGTTTCTGATTTTATCTTCTATGGGATTTGCTGTCTTAGACTTTATGGTGATCGTGGTTGCAGCATGTCTTTAAAATGGAACAAGAAGAATATACAAAAGAAGAAATCAATTGGAGCTATATTGAGTTTGTTGATAATCAAGATGTCTTGGATCTTATCGAGAAGGTATTCTGTCATGACTATGATTGACACTTCGATTTCATTTCTATCAGATTCATGTATATGGAAACTACAACAATTTAGGGAAGACTCTATATATGTTTGGTTTACTTGATGGAAAAGTACAGTCATTCTCTAGTCCTTTGGGTTTCAGGTTCAAGGCCCAAATTAAGAATTGAATGCCGCCGCAGGTTTCTTCTCTAATAAAGTTTGCAGTTGGTCTAATATAATTTTATATTTCACCTTATGCAGAAACCTGGAGGCATCATAGCACTTCTGGATGAAGCCTGGTATGCAGTTAATATTTTGGTCCTGTTTTTTATTTTATTTTTTTATTTCATGATTAATTGGAGAATCTCTAGATATGCTGTTCTTCCCATTTGTTGGAGTTTTCTGATGTACTTTGAATTGATTCAACAGCATGTTCCCAAAGTCTACACATGAAACATTTGCACAGAAGTTGTACCAGACATTTAAAAACCACAAGCGCTTTATCAAACCAAAGTTATCTCGCACCAGTTTTACAATAGCTCACTATGCAGGAGAGGTGAACTTCTATTCAGATTGTATTCTTACTTGGTTCTTTCTGAGTCTAATACTTGCTAATTAATATCCTGTTCCTTTCAACAGGTAGCTTATCTGGCTGATCTTTTCCTGGACAAAAACAAAGATTATGTTGTTGCAGAACACCAGGATCTCCTGACAGCATCAACATCCTCCTTTGTGGCCAGCCTCTTTCCAGCACTTCCACAGGAGACTTCAAAGCAATCCAAATTTTCTTCTATTGGATCTCGCTTTAAGGTAGATATCAATTCATACTGGAATCTTGTATGTCCTTCCATTCATATTGACATTCTTTTTATGGGGTATAGAAGTTTCGACAATGTACTTACCAGGTACGAAAGCATGCTTGGTATATTGATTTGGAAAAATTAAGCATTAGGGGTTCCTATATTATGTTTCTTTCTGGGGGGGGGGGGGGGGGGGGGGGGGGGGGGGGGGGACAGAAGGTTAAAGGGTTTGTAAGTCCCAGCGAGCGACAAAGTGCGCTATATGGCTGTCTGTGGGTCTTTATTTGGACTGGATTTTCTTTGTTGTGCATAGTAAAACAACTTATGCTATGTCCAAAATCTTTCCCAGATCCATGGAGGTTTTTCATTGTTGACAAATCTGGATATGACTTGAATTTGCAGCTTCAACTCCAATCATTGATGGAAACTTTGAATCAAACAGAGCCTCACTATATCAGATGTGTTAAGCCAAACAATGTACTGAAGCCTATGATTTTTGAGAACGTTAACATTATCCAGCAACTACGATGTGGGGTAAGCAGTTTCACTCCCTGCTTTTCTAATTGTCTTGAATCTCCCATTTCCTTCCTGTCTTTAATTTTTAGATTCTATTATTTCCATAACAGATAAGATTCCAAACTAAGAATTTTAAATGATGGCCATTCTCATGTCATTTGTCACGCATTTTTCCTCAGGGTGTTTTAGAGGCAATTAGAATCAGCTGTGCTGGATATCCAACCAGAAGAACATTCTATGAGTTTCTTCTCCGTTTTGGAGTTCTTGCTCCAGAAGTTTTGGACGGGAAGTAAGTCATATGGAGTGAAAGATTGGGGCACTAGCATATAAAGTTTTGTGGCTGTTTCTTTTCATTTTCTACTGGGTGAAGGTTTGTCTGGTGTGTACTAAATGGCTCGCTCTTTTTTCCCGCTCTTGCTTTACAGCCATGATGACAAGGTTGCTTGCCAAATGATTTTGGACAAGATGGGATTGAAAGGTTATCAGGTAAGAACTTATCTTCACTGCAATTTTATGCCTGCCGTACCTGTTGTAATCTCTTGTTCTGCTGTTGGAAGTTTAGGGAAATTATTGATCAGTATCTAACTTCTGGATCAAAATAAAAAACTCTGTGTATGCATTTATTATTTTCATTTATCAGCTGGCCAAATGAACTTGTTAGCATATAATGTTATTTGACGCATTTCCTAATGAATTTGCAGATAGGTAAGTCAAAGGTATTTCTTAGAGCTGGTCAGATGGCTGAACTAGATGCAAGAAGGGCAGAGGTGCTTGGAAATGCAGCTAGAATCATTCAAATGCAAATCCGCACATATATTGCACAAAAGGAGTTTATTGCCTTACGACGATCTGCTATTCACTTGCAATCTCATTGTCGTGGTGTCTTGGCTCGCAAACAATTTGAGCAGTTGAGAAGACAAGCAGCTGCTTTGAGAATCCAAAAGAACTTCAAGGCATACACAGCTAGGACATCGTACATGGCTCTCTATTCATCTGCGGTCACACTACAGACAGGCTTAAGAGCAATGACAGCTCGCAATGAATTCCGTTTCAGAAAGCAGACGAAGGCTGCAATAATCATACAGGTCCCACCTCAAATTTTTTCTGATACTCTGCCCTAAAATCCACACCTTTCATGTCAGATTCATTAGTCAAGATCAAAAGAGCTGCATTTCTTTATTTAAATATTTGTGTAAGCAGCTGACCTCATATCTCGTTGGGACTTTCAGGCACAATCACGGCGCTATGCAGCATTCTCTTATTACAAACAGCTTCAAAAGGCTGCATTAGTTTCTCAATGTGGTTGGAGGAGAAGGGTTGCTCGGAAAGAGCTTAGGCAACTCAAAATGGTGTGCTCAATTTCTTCAAATTACTCCTTTGGCACATGCATGTGCATAAAGCGCCTTGTGCAGGATGCCAAAGAAAGGCTGGTGCTGATGATTATTTGTATATTTACAGGCTGCTAGAGAAACAGGTGCACTACAAGAAGCGAAAGACAAACTGGAAAAGCGTGTGGAAGAGCTCACATGGCGTTTACAGTTGGAGAAGAAAATGAGGGTACATTTCACCTTCAATGATTATCACTGGACACTAAGAGACAAATATTGCCAATCTCATTTGATTTGGTGCTGTAATCCAGACTGATTTGGAAGAGGAGAAGGTTCAAGAAGCTGCGAAGCTGCAGGAGGCTTTACATGCAATGCAAATACAAGTTGAAGAAGCAAATGCCAGAGTCCTCAAAGAAAGAGAGGCAGCTAGGAAAGCTATTGAAGAAGCTCCTCCAGTGATTAAGGAGACTCCTATTATGGTTCAAGACACTGAAAAGATTGAATCACTGACAGCTGAGGTTGAGAGCTTGAAGGTTGGCATTTTACTGGCTTGAGTCCCAATCTTACTTTCTGCTCACTTTGTACTTTCTGCTCTCTTCTGAAACTAAACAATTTTCTGGGCATGTAAATGCTGAGTAAATCAACCTAAATCTGCTAGATTCTTCATTCCTCTTCCCAGTTTACACCTCTAAACTGAAAGCAATTTCTTCTTTCCTCCTTACTAAATGCATGTCAATGGCAAATTTTTGTTGATTTCATGACTCTCTGGTTCTGTACAGGCTTCATTGCAATCAGGAAGAGAGGCTGCAGAAGAGACGAAAAAATATTACACGGATTCTGAAGCCAGGAACTCTGAACTAGTCAAAAAGCTTGAAGACGCAGAACGGAAAGCTGATCAGCTTCAGGAATCAGTGCAGAGGTCTGTAAATGCTTTATGGAAAAGGACTTATAACTTATTGTCAATATATGGTAGTTAAGATATGAATACTGTGCAGATAATCAACTTATTTTGGAGGAACTTAATTTTTATCCTACACATGCTAATCACATAAAACTGCTGTGGTTTCCCTACTTGCTAGTGTCTCTTTGTTCCTCGAGCTCTAAAAACTAAATTTTGTATATAGGCTGGAGGAGAAACTGTCTAATGCAGAGTCAGAAAATCAAGTTCTGCGTCAGCAATCCCTCTCCATGTCGCCAACAGGGAAATCTTTGTCTGCACGGCCAAAATCAGTCATTCATGTACGAATGTGTAACTTTTGGCAGTCTTTTATTAATGATTCTCACAAATAAATTTGCTAAGAACTTGTTGATAAAATATATTGCAAAATTGCAGAGGACACCAAAGAATGGCAATGTAGCAAATGGAGAAACGAAGGGAACACCGGTAAGTGGAAATTTTGTCAGCATGTACCTTGTCTCTTAAACTAACGCTAACACTAGTACTTATCTCAGGAAACGCCTTCGTCTACACCAACTACACGGGAACCTGAATCAGAAGAAAAACCACAGAAATATCTGAATGAAAAGCAGCAGGTTAGCAAGCTGCCTTTGATTCGCTTCTCATTGTTCTTGGTTAAACAACCTGCATAGATTGGAGATGGCCATATAATTTGTCAAAACTAAATTTTCTGTTCCATTTCATATACAGCCACCATTAAATACGATTATGATTCAACTTTCCCCTTGCTGACTTCTTCAGGAGAACCAAGACCTGCTGATCAAGTGTATATCACAAAATCTAGGATTTTCCGGGGGGAAACCTGTTGCTGCATGTGTCATATACAAATGTCTTCTCCACTGGAGATCATTTGAAGTTGAAAGAACCAATGTATTCGATCGTATCATCCAAACAATTGCTTCAGCAGTCGAGGTAAGTCACCCCTCCTGTTAACTCTTCTGCAGCATGGGTGCATGTCAGAGAAAATCATGTCAGTGAAGGTTTCAAAAGCCTACAGCGAACCAGATTCAACAGTCTTTCAAGCTCAAAACTGAAAGCTAAATGAAAGTATAGATTTCAGAGTAAAGCATGCTCCAAGTACACAAATGTAAAGACTTTGATATCACTTCAGTCCCGATAGGAACATAAATTCCTTCAAAACGAGAAGGTATAGCGAGTTGGAGAAAGAGGTGTGGGGTGGGGCTGAGGGGTAGATTACCTTATCAGAGTGGTTGCACTTAAGCCTTCTCTTTGTGAACTAACTTGATCAAGATACATAGTGACTGCACATTGGTGATTTTTCTAAAACTAATTCATAACTGAACTTGTTGCAGGTCCCGGAGAACAATGAAGTTTTGGCATATTGGTTGTCTAATGCATCCACATTGTTGTCTCTGCTGCAACACACGCTCAAAGCAACTGGAGCCGCGAGCTTGACGCCACAGCGACGTAGATCAGCATCAGCTTCTCTCTTTGGGAGGATGTCTCAAGTAAAGACTTAAATTCTTCCATTCACGTCGAATCTCTGTCCTAGTTATTGAATACTATCTTCTGCATGTTCTGAATGTTGCCATTGGTGTGCTCCAGGGGCTAAGGACGTCTCCTCAAAGTGCTGGCCTCTCGTTTCTTAATAGTGGCCGAGGTATTAGTAGATTGGATGACCTACGCCAGGTTGAGGCAAAGTATCCTGCATTGCTGTTTAAGCAGCAACTTACAGCATTCCTTGAGAAAATATATGGCATGATCAGAGACAACTTGAAGAAGGAGATCTCTCCATTGCTTGGGTTGTGCATTCAGGTAACTTATAAGTTTCTATTACGTGCAAACTCTGACTAGATACTTTTGGATAAAAAGGGAAGTCGCTGCTATTGTTTGGATGATCCACGCCATTTCTTAGGTTCATCATGTTTTCTAATGTGCTTTGTCTCTTGTTATAAAGACAGGTGTTCTGTTTGAAATCACTCATGCATATTTTCTAACTTTTCTTGCTAACATACTGCAGGCACCAAGACATTCACGCACAAGTTTAGTGAAAGGACGCTCTCAGGCTAATGCTATTGCTCAGCAAGCACTGATCGCTCATTGGCAGAGCATTGTCAAAAGCTTAAACAGTTATTTGATTATGATGAAAGCAAATAATGTGAGTTCTGGAGCTCGCAAAAAGGAAATAAAATAATTGTCCAGTCTTGGTGATCTTATGTGAAGAATTTTTCATTATCTTTGGTATGGTGTTTGGCAGGTTCCTCCTTTCCTAGTGCGGAAGGTTTACACACAGATATTTTCTTTCGTCAATGTCCAGCTATTTAACAGGTAATGCATACATTTTCGCTTTATAATGGAGAGCAGACTTTTCAAGTACCACTATTATTGACTCGTTTATTGACATCTGCAGCCTTCTTTTGCGACGCGAGTGTTGCTCATTCAGCAATGGGGAGTATGTAAAAGCAGGTTTGGCCGAATTAGAACATTGGTGCGATGAGGCAACTGAAGAAGTAAGTGCTTAGTTTGAAAATTAAAACATGAAAAGGTTCTTTCACTTTGTTGATCTGGTCGTTACCTCTTAATTCTTGTTTCATTTACAGTATGCTGGTTCTGCATGGGATGAACTAAAGCATATAAGACAAGCAGTTGGGTTCCTGGTAAGCCTCAAGGCTTATTTTGTTACTGCATCAAATGATGGATACTCGACTTATTTCTATCATTTCCAACTGTTCTGATTGCTTTCTAATCTCGTGTTTCAATATCACAACCTCAGGTCATACATCAAAAGCCGAAAAAGACATTGAACGAAATAACAAAAGAACTCTGCCCTGTGAGTACTCTTGTCCTTCTCCTCCATCAACAATATCATTGCACCTGTGTATCTCTTACTATCCAGTCCACTTCCCTTCTTGTGAGACTCACCCTAGTTTTCTCCATTTCTGTAGGTTCTGAGTATACAACAACTATACAGAATCAGTACCATGTATTGGGACGACAAGTATGGCACGCATAGCGTATCTTCAGAGGTAAATTTGTTTTTACTCAATTCTGAAAACTTCCAATGTTGAAAACTCCGATTTACTCACCATAACTGTACACAGGTCATAGCCAGCATGAGAGTGATGATGACCGAGGACTCGAACAATGCAGTCAGCAGTTCATTCTTGTTAGATGACGACTCCAGGTACAATATTATTAATAATAATGGTATTAGTTGTAGTAGTTGTAATAATACTGATAATTATAGTCTCATAATTAGATACCTCTGGATGATATTAATAACAACAACCCTCATTCGCCCTTCCCAGCATTCCGTTCTCTGTGGATGAGATTTCCAAACCAATACAACAAGCAGACATTGCTCATATTGAGGCTCCACCAATAATTCGTGAGAACTCCGGGTTTGGGTTCCTACTGCACAGCTCTCAGTAGCATATGGCCAAGCCACAGACTCAAAAAGGCTCATCTAGTGCAGGCCATCATGGGATGCCCTGCCACGAACCAATGATGGCTATTGATTTAGACCATGATACGATGCACGCCTTTTGAGCATCCCCCGGTCGCTAGTAAGACATGTGAATATAGATACTAGCTTCTCTTGTTTTGCTTTGGGATGGAGCAACAGCAGCATCAGAAACGAACGAATGTGCATAGTAGTGGGTACCATTGTTTTCATTAATTATTATTTGGACGATCATCTCAGGCAAGAGCCGTCCAAATAATTCATTCTTTTTGGCCTTTCCTTTGTTAAGTAAACAAGGAGAAGGGCTGTTTGCTGAGAAAAAGGCGGATTAATCACCATCATCATCAACAATGAGTTGAGTTGAGAGTGGTTATACGTCGCAGTGGGGTGTTTTGGGTGGCCTCATCATCAGTCTCCTCATTCCAGGCAGCAATGAGGAGGTGGTTTTGTAATCAAATTTTCATGTTCTTGATTAGCTTGGTTCATTTTTTTTTTCTTTTCATTAGATGATCAGAACTTCGTTTTGGGTTGTGGTTAGTGGGTTTGGGTTTGGTTGGGGTGTTGTAATTTTGAGGTTGCAGCAGCATTTTTATAGGCCATTTTTTTACACAGGTTCTTTCGACATATTATTATTTGTATGTAATGTCAGTTTAGTGTTTCTTTTCCTCTGCCATTGTTTTAGTTGGCAGTGTCATTGGTATGAAATTTGGGTTGCAATTGTGCGGTCGTTTACTATTGTATTTGTAAGGTCATTAACTAGGTCGTTTGCTATTGTTGCCAGGCCTCGAGGCCTCCATTACAACACTGTAGCCTTGATATGCTATAGTATTATCTCATTCAAGAAAAGTTCCACCAGGATTGTAGCCTAGTTTCTATGCCGCTTGCTTCCTTATGTGGTTTGGGGGGTACAACAGACACCTAAAACGACACGAGATAGTTCGAAGTTTGTGAGGGAGAACAGACGCCATCAACCAAAAAGAAGAACAACCCAGTGGAGTTTCTTTTACTATATACAGCAAACTGCAACCTGAAACTCTCATGCACCTGAACTGAACCGAGAGATCCTACCTGAAACAAGTCATCAAGAGCCAACGAATTATTCGACTGAGAAGAGGAAAAGGTGGAGAGAGTGAGTGCGTCGAGCGCCCCAAGGCAAAGAGTACAAAGTGACATACAACAGCAAAAATGTAGATCTGAATTTATTCCTGCTGGGGCTGCAATGCCTCGGCAGAATTGCTCATCTTCATTGTCGCTTCCACCAGGTTGGCTGAACCTACTTCATCATGTTCGCCAGCTGATACTGGTTTGGTCTCCAATTTCTTCTTGTTCTCCTTGAGAATCACCTGCCTAGGCATTACTTCCAGGAGGAAGCTCCCACCATTCCACACGGCAGCAGAGACTTTCAGAATTTGGAACACCACGTGCAGTCGATAGGACAGAAAGATGGGCACTGTGAGGGCCATGGTCGCCACCGTGAATAATCCTTGCAACAAAATGTACATGAGCATCCGGTTCTGATCCCCGAGTACACCACTAAGGCGCCACCATACATTGTTTGCTTTCTGTGCCTTCTTTGACAGCTCCCTATAGGAATAACAAATTATGAACACTGAGAATAGTCCTTATAATATCACACTTAAAATTCATTCTTAAGATGAACTATTATTGATCAACAGAAGTGGAGAGGAACAGCATCCAGAAATACCTGTAGGAAGTCATGACTTCTGGGTCTCTCAAGAATCGCTGACGGCGAAGGACGTTGACGATGAGGAAATAGAGTGTCTGCCACAGTGTGTAGGCAGCTAGAGGCACCCAAAACAACCAATTGAGAAGGAATGTTTTGTCTTGTACCACATATGGCCACGACACTCTGGCTGCAGTTCCTTCTGGATGCATGGCCTCGAAGGTTGCTGGATTCCACCACCGAATGGTAAAGAAAACCACCCCTGCAAAATAATGCATCATGAGAACCAATTACTACCATAAGCTAGGTGCTACCAGTACCAGGTGCCAAAACTTTCCAACTTTCAGGTTTTAGTTTGTAAATGAAGGGAAGTAATGTTTATTTTCTTGAAGAAGCAATTGGAGATGTAATTGTCTATGTTGAACATTAAGCCTTAATCCTAGGACTCCAAATTATAAAATAGAAAATAAACTACTCCTGAGTACATCATTGGAAAAAATCTAAGATCCAAAAGCCAAGTAAATCCTTCTCTGTTCCCTATTTCCATCCGGTACTATTTCTCTGATAGTCAATTTCAGTGATATGCACATCCAAACCACTTACCATTACTATAATGATGATAGTAAGACCTATAACTTGGGTGTTTTTCAATGGGTAGCAACGATTCACATAAAATATCACCAAAGGATAAAAACAGGGAGTACAGGAACAATGAAGTTAACTAACTACCCATTTTGGGGGACTACATCTGTGCCAAGGCCGACAAAACAAGAGGCAGGAGAAATCAATACCAAAAGGGAAATGATCGCAATCTCTACAATCAGCTACAAAGAGAAGAAAACAAACTCACCTGGTAAAAGATGTATAAGGACACTAACAAGTTTGTCCACAGAGTTGAAAACCAAACTACATCGCCAAACAATCAACGCCCATGCCAACGGCCCCTGCACCAGCACCATTGGGTTAGTCAAATGAACCAAAGACCTCATCCCACGCTCAAAATGGTGAAAAAGGTCCACAAGATTGTTACTTACTTCCGCAAATGAAAAGCAAACCATGAAAAACTTCTCATTCTTGGGGTACAGAAGGAGATTGACCAAGAAGATAGTGTTTGCATAGTAGCAGAAATCCTGAGATTCAACAACAGGTGAACCATAATGCAAGGTTCAGTGGCTAGAAAGAGTTTTAAGAGATCATATATCCGGATCTTCTCAGAGAAACAACAGACAATAGTGAAAGAAAGTAAACCCACCTGTCCTAGACCTTAAAACAAACATCTGATTTGACGGGTCAACTTACCAGAAGATAATAGTGCCATTTCTTGTAGCGGTAGTATATCCACCGAAGAGGGACGAATATCACATAGAACAAACAATAGACGTATGGAATATCCTGCGGCCCTGAACACATTAAGAAAGGAAGCAAAACAACAGACAATCAAAATCCTCAAATGGAAAGCTTCATTATGAAGTATGTACGTTTCCATGGCTGTCCTAAAAGGTGATAACTTACTTGCACCCAAGAGATAGCAAAACCCTCCAAACCCAAACACGCCAAGAAAATGGGTCACCTGAGAATGAATTAGACACAGACAGATATCAATGCCAAATTTTCTGAAGAATTGCCCAATCCGTGACGAATCAAACGAAACAGTGAAGGGGGGGAAAGTTGACGGACCTTATTGATGAACCTTTCATGCTCCTCTGCTTGTTTAGCGATCTTCACCGCCTGTTTGGCGATCTTCGCCTTGGTTTGGGTAGCCTGCTTGGACAGAATCTCCTTGGTTTGAACCACCGTCTGAAAAGTGAAAACCCCCCAAAACACGCAACAAAGGGTATATCGTCAAATTTCAACCGCAACCCAGATCCTGAAAACGAACTCCACATAATCCCAAGAGAAGAAGAGGAACAGAGAATTCGTTAATAACCTTGGTTCGATCCCTCAACCGCTGCTTCAAATCGCTGGCACCCGAATCCCCATCGTTGGTAATGACTTCTTCAACAAGCTCTCCGTCGCTGGAGGACATTTCTGGCGGTATTGCGCTGCTGCTGCTGCTGCTTGCTTGCTGTTGTTCCTTGCGAGAAACAGAGAGAGGGTACGAGAAGAAAGAAAGGACGAGGTAAAATGAGCTTTTTGATTGTGTAATTGGATTTTGGTAGCTAGCCAGGAAGCCAAGCAATGGCGTCGCCGATTATATATAGAGACCGGAAATTTGTTTAGAAGCCGTAGACCTCTTTTTCCCCGTTTTGCTAATATCATCACCGTCACGCGTAATTGCGTGTAATATTGAACTCTTAAAAGAACATATTATATCCAGATTCCAGGCTTATCATTTATTTTGCTACAAGTCAATATTTTATTTTATAATCTTTGATAATTGACCGCACTAAAATATAAATATGTGCTATGTGATGAGGAATTTTCTAATGCTTTGCAATTTGTTTTGTGGATTTGAAAAATAAAGTTTTTGGTTAAATTTAGGTATTTTAAAATTATGAATTTATGGTGGAATTGGTTTATTGTGAACTTGAATCAAACCATTGGTTTTTTTGATGGATTTCATTATAGATTTTGTTGAGTTAGATTTGTGAGTATGAAACACAATTTGTCTTGTTAACCTTTTTAATTTTTAATAAGCACTAAGACAAGAATAATCAACTCACTTGATGAAAGTAGATTATCTTTCCATTTATTACAAAACTTCCATGACCCTTACCCAAACCAAATTTACATGAATCTTTCTATTCATTTGGCTCTCACACTCAATTTTTTTTAATTACTTATGAGAAATTCCTATAATTTTTTTTGACTAGAATGAGTCTATCCTCTTTTCTCTAGTTCGAATTAGTATTAGAAAATATAATAATAATAAAAAAAATCTAAAATGAAGTACATATATAGAGAAATGGACCCAAATCACTAATGTAAGACCAATAATTTAGAGGACTCTTCTGACCAAACAAGCAATTGTCAATAAAGTTGTTTTTTTTTTCAACTCTAAAGAATTTACTTTATGTCTAGGTTATCGATTCAGCTTCTTCTTTTTTAACCAAAAATGGGTTTCAATTTTTTTCGTTTTGACCATGAGTGTTACACCAACGACAATAACTATGGTTAATCAGCACTCGTGTTCTTATTTTTATGAACAATAAAACGTAAAACAAGAAGAAAGATATTCAAGTGTTAAGAGGAGAAGATGATTTTATTGCCCTTTAGTTGTCGCTTTTGTTGTTTTACTAGAATCAAGTGCCTCTCACTCTTTCTCAATTGAGATCGGACCCAAGACATACTTTTCGTGCTGAATGTTTTGAGATTCAGGTTTGGAGAAAATAAATTGAAAGGATTAAAGCATATTGGGAATATTAATAATAGATTGGATAAAATAGTAAGTAACCATCATGAATTTGTTGCCTTTCATTTAAACATTTTGAGAGGTGATATTCCAAGTCCATGAATCCCACTGATTTGGACCTTCAAGTCCATGGGTCTCACAAAGTTTACACCACCAAAACCTTCAAGTAAACAATGAAATCTTGCCAAGTCCATGATGGTTAAGATTTGCTAACTAAACCCATCATCACAATCCATCAAACAAACAAGCCTTTAGTTAAAATAAGGTTGTGGTACAAAACTACAAACCAAACGTGTACTTTTAATCCTATGGTACAAATACAATTTGTATCTATAAATTTTTATATAAATTTTTTATGGTACAAACTAAATTTATACTTCTATATTATGGTATAAACTGAACTTGTAACATAACATAAAAGTATAAGTTTATTTATGGCACAAACTAACATAATTGTTCCACATAAGTTTTCTAAGCAACTTGATCATGAAACTTCTTATAGTGAAGAGACTTTATAGAGATTTGGGTGTCAATATTGCTATAAAGATGGTTAGTAGTGCAGACATTTTAATAATTTTTAGTCCACGGTTTTTTAATTGGATCAGATGGTGAACCGGAAAAGCTAGTGGTTTGTGGTTCAGTGATTAATTATTATAGAAACGTTTATAATCTATAACATATAAGACATGTATAATACATTAACTTAGAACTTAATTTATCACTTGCCAATTGCCATTAAAAAAAGTTCAAATCAATGTCTTTCTTCATCTCAAGTTCAAACAAAACATTCAAACTGGTTCACAAAAGAATTCAAATATGAATTTTTTATAAAAAAATCAAGTTATTAATTAGGGGCCAGTTAGCATAAAGTCGACAAGGAGACTAGAAAAAAAAAATAAGAGTGAGCAGAAATAAATTAGTAGTTAAGATTGGATGATCTTAGCTTTGGTAATTTTTCTTAAACTTTTGTATGACTAAAGTAGTGGACCAGTCAAAACAGGTTGGTTCATATGATTTCATGTTCAACGGTTAAAGATTATTCGGTTTGTACTTAACCGTCGAGACAAAGATACCAAATCACTATCATAACTGATTTGATTGTTCTACTAGTCCATAAGTTGGTCCGGTTTGATTTTCATAACAAACTTTTTTTTACTTAAAGTTGAATGGATGAACAAAAGCTGCAAAGTTTAATGGTATTTTAGGTCACTTTAACACTTTTAGCATAACTAGAATTTGTTGGTTCAGAGTGTCGGAGAGCTCATGATAGAATTAATAGTGGCCACTGGCCTCAGACTTTAGTTAGTATTAGCAAAATCTTATCGTATCGTGTGTATGATCAAGAAAATTTGTCTATCAAAATTCAAATTGTTAAACCATAATCACAAGCACATTAATATCACGATTTCAAGTTTCAACGCATATCTTGCTGCACATTAATTACAGAAATTCATACTAAATCAGGCATGACGAATGGTAATGGAGAGAAATCGAAATTCTCATTCGTGGCAGCAGAACCAAAGCCGGAGGAGGAAGTATGTGGACCCAACTTATCTCAAGTCCCGAAACCCTATAATTTGCTGTTGCTAAGAGTAGATTCGCCACTCCACTTAGAATATCCTCAGCACTCTGGAACCTTCCATATTAGTTGCAAATATCTTACCGTTATCTTAGGCCCAACTTGGTTCCCTTTATTTCCACCGTATTGATCAAAAAATTCGTCTATAAAAATTTGATAGACTACGGGTTCGTTCAATGTTTTAGCAGAAACAATACATGAATTGTTTCTGTGATATGACAGAAACTATCACTCATTTTGAGTGATTGTTATATCTCAACTTTTAGTTGTGATTGTTGAGATAGTTGAGTTGAGATTGTTTTGTCTCAGCTTTTAGCTGATGCAACATACACAATCACACATACCAAACGTTGTATTCTACAATACATCAAATTCGACAATACATGTACAATATTATACATGCATTCTCAACAATACATCTATTTAACAATCGCAACTTCCAAACAACCCCTAAATTTATAATATTATACATGCATTCTCAACAATACATCTATTTAACAATCGCAACTTCCAAACGAACCCTACAATTTCGACACAAAATACTTATCATTGCCTTTTCTGATACAACATCTATACTCTACTACCACTAACTTTTTTTAAGATTAATGTATTCTTATGCGTGAAGTGGCAAAATTAAAGGCAACAGGTGGATGTTCGTAAGGATGAAGAAAACAAGGGAATAATTTGTACCCAGAAAAAGGAAAAATGCAATAGCACTCTGTATAACATAGCCTACAAAATCTGTGAATTCACAGGAGGAAGACACCCAAAAACCAGTAAACCCATCTGTGCACATTCCTACATACTAGCCTAGGAACGAAAGCTGATCTGATCATTTGATCACAAGCCTTTTCTACATGAGATCTGTTGAGCCAAAAAACAAAAAACACTTCCTGGTAGAAAGGACTCTGCAGCTTCTCTCTGTGCAATGCACCACCTGCGATGGCTGCAGATCACCAGGAGGATCTACTGCTACTTACTTGAACCAGCTCGATTGTTTTTTACTAGGCAAGACTAGATTCGGGTTCCTCTTATGCTGGTTTGCTGCTCCCAGTTGTTTCAATTTGTCCCCCTTAGACGATACGCTCCACAGACTATCACCCGAGCTTGCAGCTTTCGACTTCATAAACGAATTTTTACCGCCCTTGCCCATTCCATTAGCGAGCAGCCAACGAGAACCGGCCTGTTGCTGCGAAGCTGTACCCCAGGGCTTCTTCTTGTCAGGCTCGGGCTCGGTCTTCAGACCCGCGACGTGTACTTCAGAGATTTGGAACTTGGGTATTCCTTCCACTTCACCACCTGATTTATCCTTATTTGCGGCATTCGATGTAATCGACTCATCCTCAGACTCATCCTCGTCATTGCTATTATTCCTTAGCTCGGCCACCTTGCAGTAAATTTTCGGCTTTGGTGGGATGAAAACCCGCTCTACTTGAATAAGAGCAAGCATCGGCGTCCCTACAGGCTCAAAGTCTCTTAGAGGATCACGAAGTTGAACCATTAACGCTACAGTAAAGTTGTTCCCAAGCAAACCACACTTTTTGCCACGCTTTCTGTTGTCTCCCTTGGACCTACCACGCAGCGTGTTTAATGAGTTGGCATGGTGTGCCGCGAGTATCTTGGAAGTCCGTTCGCTTATTTGATCTTCTTCATCGCCAATGTCACCGGAGTCCAGGCGCATCCATTCGTCAAGAGTTAAGGAAAGACCCATTAACCCGTCAACATCACCATCATCATTTTCTTTTACCTCCATCAATTGCAAACCAGCAGCTCCCTCCAGACCAAGGGACCCAGAAGCATTAATACCAGCCTTGCCCTGGAGAGTTGAGATCTCTCCTATGGAGTGTGCAGAGATGTTCGAGGGTGCCTCCTCGGCCGAAACACCAGACTGTATTCTCAATCCCTCCATTGAGAGTGCTTCAATCTTATCCATAGCTAAAGGTGCAAGGTCTTCAAGAGATACATACTCTAAGCCGGAGTCATTTCCTTTTGAGCCAGAATTGGACTTAGTACTAGCGGCTCTACGTTGAGCACTTTTCCTCCCCGCAACGTTCTCTTGCCCATGTGAAGACCACTCACGCCCTGTATCATACTTCTTCTGCGGGAATGTATTCTGCCTGTGCAAGAAAGAAAAACCAAACAAAGAGAATAAGATTACTGAACCACCAACGAATCGTTTGTGTCACTCAGACAAAGGACCAGTGACAAATCCAGAGAGACAAACAAACCTTTCAGGTCCCTCTAAAGCACCTGCAGCTTCCCAAGCAACTTGCCGCATTGTTTTCCCAGTGATATCCTCCAAAGGCATTAACTTATTTGCCTGCATAGACAGCTTTTCAATTCCAGCCGAAGCCAGTTGCTGGAGTATGTCCGCAACATCAGAGCCCATCTCTGCAGGCACCACAACAGGGCTAGAAACCTGCATGATCAAGCTCCCGCCAGCTTTGGCACTCTCGAAAAGTGAAGGATTCATAGAACGTACAAATCCACCATTCTTTGTTTGGAGAAATGGGCCTAAACCTTCAGCAAGAGCAGGTAATTCAAGTGGGTCTTCTGGAGATGGATCAATTTGAGCCCCAAAGGCACCACCACAATTCTTAGGTGGAGAACACTGAAATGTCTTGTCATTCAAGCCCCATTCATGCATTAAAGCCTCTGTCTCAACATCCTCTAAGATCTTGGCCCTAATCTTGCTATCCATAGGGTGAGTTCCCGTGTCATTTTCTCCTTCTGCATCATCGATAAATGATGACAGATCAAACCCAGCTGTAGACTGTCCTTGCTCCATCAATCCATCATAGCTACTCTCCATCTGATCCCAATCCTCTGCATTATAGTCAAACAAAGAAAACCCACCAGCCAAGGCATCGTTCTCAAACTGCCTTAACAATAGCTCCCTTGGGGACTCAGGTTCACTCTCAGTGCTCAACCCAAATGGACTTTGCTCAATTCCCAACATGTCTAAAAACTCATTCGCAATATCTTCTGCATCATCTGGGTTAACTGAATTTTCATTCCTGTCTGCTTGATAGTCTGTTTCGGATTCTCTATAGTTCTCCTTTTCATCAGAAGAGTCAAGTGCTTCAGTTTCCAATTTTGAAACACTATTTAACATGGATTCTAGTTCTTTCATAACAGACTCTTTTGAGCATAGATCGTCATCAGATTCCGAATCACGGGTCAAAGGTTCATCTTTATTATGATCATTCTTTCCTGTGCCCTCATCATGAAGATCAATACTCTCTTCAGGCACTACCTGAAGATTGGTATCAGATCCAGTTTCTGCAGTAGGGAAGCCATCATCCTTCAACGTAAGGTCCTCAGTTGTCTTGTTCTCATTCGGCAACTCCTTCCTGTCTTCATTGAGAGAAACTTCACTATTGTCATTTTCACTTTCAGCATTTGGTTCGCTAGATTCGGATACAGAAGGAAACTTCAGGTTATCAGGTATGTTTTCTCTGGCGGAAGCATCCAACTTTTCCTCTTCAGACCTCTCATTCATCATGTTTCCTGCTGCTTCAACTTCAAGTTTTTTGTGAGTTATAAATTCACGAAGATCTTTTACCTTTGCTGGAGACCGAGATTTGGCAGCAAGCTGCGAGTTAGAAGTGGTGGTAAGACTCTCATGACGACGCAAGGCAACCCTCCCTTCAGCTTGGCCCATTTTGGGCATTGTTTTTGCTGTTGCCAGATTATTCCTTTTCGTACTTGCTGACTCAGGAGCGTTCAGACCATTTCCAGTCAAGCTCTCTCCAACAACTGTATAACCAAAACTCACATTCATCACTGCACCCTTAGCCTCTCCTGACAACTTATAACTTGTAGTCCACTTTCCAGAGCTTTTCTCTTCATCCAACTCCTCCAACGTGAGAGGAAGTAACCTCGTAAGATCAACCCTGTGCTTCCCCAAATCAACCTCGGGCATACCAAACACGGATGCAAACAGCAAGAAATGCTTCGCCTCATACTTTGCCGAGTGGTGTGGACCACTACGACTCCCGTAAACCAGACAAGTGTGCGTTAACTTCTGTTCAAAATCCGCAACACCTTCAAACACCTTCACAGGACTCGTCACCAGCTCCCCATCCCGCCTCTTCCAGTTCACACACAAGCTCACCCCATCAAAACTCGAAGGAAACCCTTCAATCGAATGGACTTGTAGGGAGAAACAGCAATTGAACTTCCGGTTCTTAACCCCAGAAAGCGCCTTCAACGACGCCTTCCAGTTCCATATGGACTTCTTGTCCTTGCGCGACAAGTCTTCATTAGCCACCGCAGCCCCAGCCCCAGGCTTGAGCTTCGTTCTGGGATCGACCGCAGGCGGCTTCCCAGCTGCTTTTGCTAGGCTACTTGCCGTGGGTAGTAACGTCCTCGATGGTTTATGCTTGTCAAGGTACAGAGCTTTACTTATAGTTTGCAAATCATTCAACAGATTCTCCTCCCCTGCTTCCTCCCTAGTCTTTTTCCCATGCTCCACTCTCGACAACATTATCTTCCCAAACCCAAATCACATGAAAGACAGCAATCGACAGCGCCCAAAAGTCAACACTGCAATGAAGCAAAATCAGTAAAAGAAAAGAAAATTGAAGAAGCTCTGCTTCGAGTTCGTCCAAAAACAAAAAACCAAATCTCAAAGCAGTCGTCACAAATCACAATCCACCTCGATAAATCATGACAACTCAAGTTCTCAACAGGAAAACAATAACCCAGCTAAGAAAACAAGAAACAATGAAAGAACGGCGGGTTCAGATGAATCAATCGATTAATCAAAGCGGGAAGCCATGACTGACCTCGAATCAGGAAAATGCAGGGGGTTCTTCCCGAACCCTAGAGAATCACCGGGGAACGAAAGGAGGCGTAAAGCTCGAATTCAAATTCAAAATTGAGTAGACGACGGCGATAAGGAGAAAATGGAAGGTGGCGGTGTGGCGAAGAAGTAGAGAAGAGCGGTCGAGGAGCGGGGTTTTGGATTCCAAAAACTCTTCCTGGGAGATGGTGGGGTTACTTTCTTGATTGGGTTGGGTTTTCCCTCTCTAAATTGCCGCTGTCTGGCGTCTTCGTCCAAAGTTTCAAAACCAACTACCAGACGTTTTAGACAAGTAGACAATTGTCTTACGGACAAGAACATTTCTGATTTGAGATTTCCAGGACATATTCCTGATTCCTCCCCTAATATCTCGGTTTGGTACCTCTACTTTGCTTTTTTCGATTTACACCCTCCTAATTATTCTTTTGTCCAACATGTATCTCGTGAGACGTGACTACTGACTAGGATTTGGTATAATTATAATAAGGGTAATTAGCATAAATGGTCACAAACCTTTGCACTTAGTACAAAACAGTCACAAACCTTTAATTTGTAACCATTTGATAACAAAACTTTTTCACTTGGAACAAAACGGTCACATGTGACCATTTCATACCAGTTCAAACTTTTGTTACCGTGTCGTTGCAAATTAGACTTTTGGTGACCGTTTTGTACAAATTAAGTTCAAAAGTTTGAACGCTCAATCACCATTACAATTCACTCTAGTTGTATGGTGGTTTTGTTAATGTATGTGAATGATATTCTGTTGTTTAGGATGACAATGAAAGAATTCAATGGCTCACAAACGGTTTCCAGACTGCTTTTTAGTTGAAAAAACTATGTCTACTTTCTTACTTTCTTGGTATCGAAATTGAAAAGTCAACTGAGGGCATTCTTATTTGGCAAAGCAAATATGTCGATGAACACATGACCAAACATCTTATATGTCGTTCAAGTGGTTAGTCGCATATACTTAACGAACAAACTACCCGACCTCAAAACATGACAACATTTAATTTGTAACGATTCGGTAACAAACCTTTGCACTTAAAACAAAACGGTCATAAATTAAATAGTGGTGACCATTTTATACAATTTCAAAGTTTTGTTACCGTATTGTTACAAATTAAAGGTTTGTGACCATTTTGTACTAAGTGCAAAGGTTTGTTACCATTTATGCTAATTAGCCGGTATAATAATGAATTGAAAAGTGGTCAATTGGAGACTTGGAGTGTCTACTTGGTAAGCTAGAAAATTTTAATCTTATTATTTGGAAATGAAATGATAATAAAAAGTAACTATAATGCATTGCTACATTAGGGCATGTTTATGCTACACTCTCCGTTTTTAGTTTATACTTTCGTACAATACGCTCTAACCTAAGTGTTGACTTTAATCATCAAACTCAAGCTCTAAATCTTAATCACCAATGTTTGCTTAGTAGCCTAAGATTACAGCTAATCCATGTATTCTTGTTATTAAATTTATCACTATAGCAGTATTTGATGAACTCCTAATGAACAACTTTTAGAATTTATGAATATACAAACAAATAACATATAACATTCACGAAACTCATACTTAATTTATTATATAATTGAAAATTGATATTGTATAAAAATAAATAACTTAATCTGATTCATTATTATACGATTAAATATTGAGAAATCACATAATCAAAATTATGATTATGATGCCACGATATGAAGATCAAAGATACATCATAAAAGCTCACATGTTGCATCCCATCTAAAGTAATCAGAACATCACACAGGAGAAATTTTTATTGTCACTATTTTATTCTCTTATTTTATTTTATTTTATTTTATTGTGTAATTGTCTCTTCTTGTTTCAACCTAGCAAACACGCACAGGAGAAAATTGACTATAGCAGTGAGAATTGGCGGATCCACGATTGAGTGGCTTGCAAGTTGCAGCCAGTCGACTATTCTCAATTAAGATGAACATTGAACTTCAGAACAAGCTAGGATTTCATTCATCAGAACATCAAACACACGAATGAACCGAAAGTAACTAAAGCTATTAAGAAAGACGCTAGAAGAATGCTCATAAATAGACTGTTAAGTACTGAGTACATATGGACATAATCAATTTCCCAGGCAACGAAATGCCCCTTCCTATTGCACATGATCATCATCAAAGAGAAGAAACAGTGATGTACAATGGTTCGTGGCCTCGATTAAGCAAACGGGGATTCTGCGATCCCAGTTGTAGACGAGAGGGGGGATCAAGCTGTGCTGGCCATGGATTCAATTAGGATCTGGTAGCCTTCTGCCACAGTCGTCTGTGTAAGGACACACTCTGCAAGTGCAGGGACATCGGAATTGAGGTCTAGAAACCTAGCCAGGAATAGCATCAGATGGAAGTCAGATATCCTCTTCACGAATGGAAGGCTCCTTGCGCGTTCGAGGTGATTCTTCAGTGCCCTCATTGTCACTTGTGTGGCCCTGTTCTCAATAGGGAATGTTGATGTAAGAGGACCCTGCAGGAGAAAATCAAGACATTAGTATAATTGCTCAAAAAACATATGGAGGTTATAAGCAGTAAACAGACTGCCCTTGTTCCAATCCACTCTATAAGAAAAAATCACTAATTTAAAGTGGCGATTTCAATCAACCGAGGTTAATAGCTGTTTCTTCATTAACCAAATGCACATCATTCCACAAACTTGTGTACCAGAAGTACCAAGTTCTTTTGAGTGCCAGCATTAAAATGTGGAAAACTAGTACCACGAAATTGCATGTGAAATCAATAACAAAGAAGGCATAGCACACTGTTCAAAATGCAAGCTTGGAATAACAAGTTCAGCTCTATGTGCACAAAACAGTGCAACGATAACACTCCTTATCTTAAGTTCATGGATTCATTCCATTGTCACCTATCATTGATTAATATGCATCTATATGTAGCGTCTAATTCTCATAGAGATGAAAGATTGTAGAATCATCCTACTTTTACAGTTCAATAGCTTCAAAAGCAATCTAAGCCAAACCAACAACTGTCACAATGCAATGAGTTAGCCCCACAAACAACGTAAAGCCAACAAAAGAAAACAGGCCTGGCAAAGTAGTGGCAGTTAGCTAAGTATAGTTCATGCATACTGGAGCAAGTGACCACTCAAACCTAAAATACGGTAGCCACAGTCGTTGTTACCAGAAAAGGAAAGCACACTGTAAATAACGAGCCAACCCTTGGTGCCAACATGTTCACCTGGCCTAGTTACAATCTAACACCATTTGCACTCACTAAAACCATCCCCACTAACGCAAGGCAGTTCTCTGAACACTGCATATGTAACATAACCTTCCCATTCGAGGACTGAGCCCATGACAGGATCTATAAGCAAACCTAGGTTCACCACAGAATACAGGTTATTATAGCCTAAGAGGCAAACCAAGCATAACGTTTGAATTCCTCTGCAATCTCCATCATTAACCAATCAAGGCCGACACCTACCTAATAATGTTTCCAAGCTAGTCTAGAGCAGTCAGAAAAGCAAGCATAAATTGACAGTATTCAGAGATTTGACATCTTTGATCAAACCCTATAACATTCGTACCAACATATAGATAAATAAAAACAAACAAACCATAGGAATGATGAAAATGAGGGGAACTTACCATGTGATCCAAAATCTTGACCACAACCAAGAAGAAATCGTTGTCGACCTCCTTGACATCTTTCACGCCCACAACAACATCCTTCTTCATGATAGATAACTTGGGATCCACATCCTGCCCAATCTCAGTCTCAAACCACCCTTCCTTGAATAGCTTGACGCACGTATCACTAAGCTGGAAGGCTTCAAAGTGAACATCCGCACCACCATCCTCGTTCACCTCCAACTTCACCACCGCAGTTACCCACTCTTTCAACTCACTCTCGGCATGGAGCTCTGCGGCCTGCAGAATCTCTCTATTAGACAAAGTGTAATCTTTCTTATCCTGCGCTATGGTCTGCGTGAATATGAACCCAACCCTCCTCATCCCCAACCCTGACGCAATAGCATCCACAGCTTTTTCTTCACCGGAATCCCTCAAAAGCAACAGAGCTTCCTCGGTCCCTTGCTGAGGCGGCTCGTATATGAAATCCACCTCAACTTTCCCCTCTTCGGAGACGGTCCCGTACATAAACCCGCCCCTCTTCACCGCGAAGGCGAGGGTCTCGTTGACGTAGTGCTGGAACGCATTGGCGGAGTCGCGATCGAAGGAAACCGACTCGCAATGCGGGTTCTCCTGCCTGGAGACCCGCATCTGCTTGGCGATCAGATCGTCCATGGTCATCTTGCGGCCGAAGGATCCGGCGGGGGAGACCGCGGGCCCGGCGATGCTCCTCTCGCCCTCGTAGGCCAGAAACACGATGGAGCCGTGGGCTAGGTTGAGAGACGAGAGCGGTGTGGCCGGGTCGGCCATGTCGGCTAATTTGAGGAGATCGGCGGGGGATTTGGCGAGCAGGAGGTTCTGGTTGGTGGAGAGGGTTTGGTTGTGGATGGGGATTTGGAGCTGGGACTGAATTAGGGTTTTGAGGTGGCCGACGGTGGTGCAGGAGGTGTCGACGGAGACCCGCTCCAGGCCGTCCCGGCTGCGGATTCTGAGCATCATGGTTGGTTGTGCTTGGGCGAACTTCGAAGAGAAATTCGCGGCCGGCGAGAGGGGCTTTTTATCTCTTCCAAAAAAATCTTTTGCTTCAGGATTTGGTAACCAGAGAACCAGTTCTTGGAGTCTGGCGATTGAAGAAGAAAGCTTAGCCTATAGGCTTCTGAACTGTGTTCCAGAGAATTTTGTTTTTATTTTTATTTTAGTTTTAGTTTTTTCCTTTCTACCTTCGATCTTGGCTTGCTGAAGGAGGCAGACGGCAGGTCATACGCACCGTTTTATATAGGACTTCTCACTTCTGGTTTTTTCTTTTCCGTTTTGCAAACTGCAAAAGTAAAAAATATATATAATTACCAAAAATTTCTTTTTCGAATATAGAACTGATTGGGATGATGTTGGGCCCGAAGGTCCATGTCTGTACAAAAGGCCCACACAATTTGTTTTGTGGCTAAAGCCTACGGGCCAATGAGACGGCCCAGCACATAAGGATTACTTCCCGCACCAAGTCCTAAAGATTTGATAACCATCCCTTTTCCAGCTAGAGCTAGGGAAGGATGCTGTTGCAGTTGCAGAAGGAAGCTGCTAAATTTGCAGCAGAGAACGGCTGGGACTACACAGCCTTGTATTCGAAGGTTCTCACTCTCCTTTCTCGCCTTCCACTGCTGCAAGAGTCGCGAATGAATAAGAACTTGAGTCCAGTACACCACTCTTTTAGCCCCTTTCGGTTCGAAAGAATGCTAGTCTTGTAATACTCGTATCGCTGCATCAATAGCTTGCGCTTGTGGACTTCTTCTGTCCATCTCATTTCGTGCATCAGCACAATGAGTCTCTGGCATCTGTTCAATCGACTCCCCACACTAACAATCCAACACACAACTGTATAGCTAAACTCTCACACAGTAGGCAGTTTCGCATTCTTTACGCAACAAATTTCAGTCACTCTGAACGGTTTGCAGAAGGAGGCCACTGAAGGGGATGAGACAAGAGACAGGAGCCAAGGAACTAACTACAAATACTGGAGAAGTTGTTTCGCTGAGGGGAGACGAAGTGAAACGACAATCAGGATGATGATGATGATGATGCAGGAGGTGGGGGTGGAGAAGACAGAGCTTCTGTCCGTAGCTCTTTCACAACAGCAGCCAGTGCCTCGGGGTTCAGTCCAAGGTCGCAGAGGGCGATCAGCACCGAGAGCGTGTGGCGGTCAAGCCCCGTGTCGAGAATGTTGGACATCTGGAACGACAATTCCAGAGACTCGCGTGCTGTCTTTGCTGCTTCTGGATCCATGGATGAAATGGGAATTTTTGTCGAGAGAGAACTGCAATGCAATAACCAAAGCCAAATGAAACAAACATTGTATGCTAGGGTACTTAAGTTGCAAGATATACGAACTGAACTGAACTGATATCGCTTTAAGCGAAGCAGGAACGAAGAGATGGAAATGCTTTCTGAACTTGGAAACACATAACACAAAGCACTGCAACTTCATATAGTTATGACAATTGCAGATATTTGATGGTAAAACAAAGGGTTCCCCAGTAGGCCATTTGAGGAATGATCATCCTAAAACCAATAACCCATCAGAGCCTATATATCATAAGGGTATATAATCGGGCAAAACAAGAAAACCCCAACAAAAGTGGTATCAACGCCAGTACTTAAATCCCTCCATGCCCTACCTTTTCTCCAAAGCCAGAAGCATCCAAGCCAAACTATAGTTATGAAGAACGAAAATGGAGGTTCGGAAACAAATTGGCTACGGATCCCCTGCTTCTTTCATATCCGGCGGAGAAGGAGAGCAAGAGAGAGGATGATTGCTGCGTTATAAACCCTAAACCTTGCGACCGAATTGCAGAGCAGATTAAATGCACAAAAGAGGAGCAGAACAAGGCACCTTCCGAATAGAAACGCGCTGAAATGATGAGATGACTTTGGGGCCGAGAAGCAGGAGACTGGCCGAACGCCGGCGGGGTCCGGTGGAGCTTTTCCGGCGTAGCAGAGCCGACCAACCCACTTCTCTTCCTCGATCTTGAGGGACGGACGCGGGCAAGCAGGGGATTCAGATTGAAGGATTCAACTGAAGAAAGCCTCACTCCAGGGATAGATTTGTATTAAATTCTGTTTTGTGGGTAAATACGTCAAATTAAAAAAAGCAACGGGCCAAGAGACTAGATGGGCTGAGTCCCACAATTCAAAAACGTGGTTCAGTTATGACCAAGCCCAATGGGCCACCTTCTCCTAGCGAGTTGACTCCAAGTAACCTCCTTTTTCCAGCCCGCCACCAAACCTCTCCCTCTCTGAAATCGATTGATGCCGCCGAATCGCCGTCCTGTCTCCATTCCCGTCGCCGCCAAACTTGTCTCCTCCTCCCGCCGACGGTCGATCTAGTCTCGCAGTCGTCGGCCGCCCTCCCCCTGCTACTCCTCTGCTCTGCACCTCCAAGTCCCCACCTCCTCGCTGACGGCCGACGTTCGAATCCAGTCCCGCGCCGCCCTCCCCTGCTACTCTGCTCCGCGCCTCCAGTCCCGCCGCCTTCCTCCTTCTCCTCTGCTCCGCGCGTAGTCTCCACAACCCGCCAACGTCGACGGTCCAATCCCGCCGCCCTCCTCCTGCTTCCTCTCCTCCGACCCTTCCCCTGGTGGTGGATGTAAGTGATGTTGATGGTGGATGTAGTAATTGAAATTGCATAAACGAGCTGTTGATTGAGTTGTTGATTGTGGTTTTGGACTAAATCTCTCTTGCATTTTTCATTTAGTTAGGCTGTTGTTTTTAGGGTGCAGTTTAGGTGCCATAATTCTATGTTTGTTTCAATGAAATCATATATGTCCGTTCGATGCCATTTTTTTTTAAATCCATTCTGCTTGTTGCAGATAAATGGCTCAATACGATTTCAAGAAGATCACTGTCGTCCCAAGTGGGAACGACTTGATCGACATCGTTCTCTCTCGCACTCAGCGCCAGACCCCTACGGTGATCCACAAGGGGAATGCAATTTCGCGCGTCCGCCAGTTCTACATGCGAAAGGTGAAGTTCACAGAAACCAACTTCACCGAGAAGCTCTCTAAAACCATTGAGGATTTCCCTCGGGTGGAAAATATCCATCCTTTCTACGGTGACCTCCCTCCTTCACCTTCTCTACAACAAGGATCACTACAAACTCGCACTTGGGCAGCTCAACACAGCGAGAAATCTCATCAAGAGGATACGAGAAGACTATGTGAAGCTCTTGAAATATGGCGACTCCCTCTACCGGTGCAAGTCATTGAAGCGTGCTGCACTTGGCAGAATGTGTACTGTGACCAAGCGTATTGGGCCGAGCTTGGCGTACCTCGAACATGTCAGACAGCACATGGCGAGGCTTCCCTCGATCAACACGGGCGCTCCAACGATCTTGATTTGTGGGTGCCCCAATGTTGGGAAGAGCTCTTTCTTGAACAAGATCACCAGGGCTGATGTGGAGGTCCAGCCATATGCTTTCACAACGAAATCGCTCTTTGTGGGGCATACGGACTACAAGTACCTGAGGTATCAGGTGATTGATACACCGGGGCTCTTGGACAGGCCTCTTGAGGATAGGAACATCATCGAGACGTGCAGCGTTACAGCTCTCGTGAATCTCCATGCTGCTATCTTGTTCTTCTTGGACCTATCGGGCTCGTGTGGCTACAGCATCTCTCAACAAGCAGCATTATTCCACAGCATCAAGATGATGTTCAGGAACAACCCTGTGCTCATTGTCTGCAACAAAACAGATTTGCAGACTCTGGAAGGACTGAGTGGAGAAGACCTGAAGCTTGTCATGGAGATGAAATCCGCAGCACTGAAGACTATCCCTGGTCAAGGAGGTGAAGCTGCTAATGACCAGGATGTGCTCCTGACCATGAGCACGATAACCGATGAAGGCGTGATGGCAGTAAAGAATGCAGCTTGCCAGAGGCTGCTGGATCAGCGATCGGAGCGTAAGATGAAATCCAAGAAGATGCCTACCGTGTTGAATCGCTTCCATGTAGCAATGCCAAAGCCGCGTGACCAAAAGGAGAGGCCAGTCTGCATACCCCAAGCAGTTTTGGAAGCCAGAGCAGAAGAGGCAGCACACGAGGAGAGAAAAACCGAGAAGGATATCGAAAATGAGAATGGTGGTGCTGGTGTGTACTCTGCCAGCTTGAGGAAGCACTACATTCTAGCGGATGACGATTGGAAGCTGGACATATTGCCCGAGTTCCTCGATGGCCATAATGTGTATGATTTCATTGATCCGGATATCTTGCAGAGGGTTGAGGAGCTGGAACGTGAAGAAACAGCAGTAGAGGAAGATGGTGGTGACTTTGAGATGGAGGATGAAGATTTTACTGCCGAGGCTGAAAAAGACCTGCAAGAAATCAGGAAGGGGAAGAAGCTGTTGATCCAAAAGCATAGGATCAAGAAGAGCACTGCAGAAAGTCGGCCAACTGTGCCTAGGAAATTTGACAAGGACAGGAAGTTCACTAGTGAGAGAATGGGAAGGCAGCTGTCAAGCTTGGGGATCGATCCTTCTCGTGCTATCGAACGTGCTAGGAGCAGGTCTGTCTCCAGGAAAGGAAGGAAGAGAGAGAGGTCTGTTGGTGGGGATGGTGAGGATGAAATGGAGATCGATGGTGGTTTGGATAACAAGAAGAAGCTGAGGCTGAGATCGAGGTCGAGATCAGTGTTGTCTCAGCGGCCTCTTGGGGAGGTTGTACCTGGAGAAGGGTTCAAGGACTCTGCTCAGAAGATGAAAGCTGTTACAATGGCCAGGAATGCTACCAAGAAGAGGAACAAGGATGCTCGGCGTGGTGAGGCAGATAGAGTTATCCCGACGCTTAGACCGAAGCACCTGTTCTCTGGGAAGCGCTCCATCGGGAAAACAGATCGAAGATAATAGGCATTTAGAGGTTTGCAGGCTGCACATTCTAGTTCCTACAATGTTTTCTTCTTCTATCTGGTTAGCTTTTATGTTGCTGTTTTCTCTTGACCGATGATATATGTGCATGGCTTTTCTAATCTTGCAGGAAGGGTATTCGGCTTGCTGTTTGAGTTTGACTATCATTTTGCTGCTGATTCTGGCCTGGCGTTATTAGGTGGTATAGAGGTGCTTTATTCATTTTGTGTTCTCTTTTCTGCTGAGAAATTGTTCTGGGAGTGAGGCTCTATCTATTTAGATTAGACATGGTCCTGTTGGTATTACGGTAAAACTTTATGGGGAGCAGGGGAGATTTTGGGTAAACTATGTTCTCTGAATTAAAGAATTGTTCGTGGGTTATGTTATGAAGTCGTTTTCTGTTTCACCGTGGGTTAATTTAGTGATGGCAATTTCAACCCGCCTCGCGGGTATTACCCGACCTGATCCGCAATAGGGTGGGTATTACCCGACCCGCAGTAGCGTGAGACGGGGCATGGGTATCTACTTTCGACCCGGCCTGCCCCGCCAGCCCTATTCTAGAGTCATTTTATCTCAATTTCTTACAATATCTATACATATTTCTCCTATTTTAACTTTTCTTCAACTAGTTAAGAGTCGATCTTTCAACTTGTTAGACTCAGTTATCCATTCTATTATCAATATTTTTCATTCTTAAAATAATTTTTCCCTACGTTTTATTGTAAAAAGTAAAATTTACTTGTATTTTTTTTAAATTTTTGAATATGTAAGAGTGAATCGATCCACCCGCCACATAGTAATGTGTGACAAAGCATGAGAATTGAGGTACCCGCACGCTCCATTGCCATTACTTATGTTATGAAGTCGTTCTTCTGTTTACCCACCGGTCCGACGATAAGTCAAACAAGTAGATTGAAATCGCCTTCCCGAGAAGGTTTGACATTACAATCAGGCAAACAAAATGGTTGTCAATATATCATCAAAATATACAGGAACAATCCAAGATCAGCACAGGATCCATTTTCTTCTCTTTTCACTTTCTTGGGAAAATAATGAAGATTGAATTATTTGCATACAAATAATAAGAAGTCAGAAACTGACCACCTATATAGTATTATATAGTGACGAGTCAAAAAGTCAAAGGTACTACATTATACCAAAGGGAGCTCGCTACTGAGTTGAGCTTTCGACTACTGCCTCCTGTTTTCTAAGGTGGCAACCAGCCACAGTAAGAAGACCAGTATTGTTTCACTCGTTTCTTTTACCCTTTTTTGGTCCCAATAAGCAGCAGCAGCAAACCCTCAAACACCTCCATCACATTGAGCTTTTAGTTGCTGCAACTTCAAACAGAAAAACATACACACACTTTTCAGGTCCTCCGATGAGTTCTCAAAATTCAACATCGAAACACGTCATCGCCCTTCAGAATCTGTAGTGAAACAAACCGATTCGGGGGGAAGAAATGAGCACGGAGACAAGTATAGAAGCAAAGACACAATTCACTCGTGCAAGAAGTATGCTTTAAATGAAATCTCAAGAGGGATCAAAAAATTACCATGGCTGGTAACGCTTGAAGAATCAGGTTCATCATTCCACGGAGCATATTTTTCAAGGAACTGCTGAATAGTAGCCCAGTAATGATCCCCACCAGCCAGCCAGGTATCCATGTGCATGCCGGAAGGAAAATCCACAAAAATGCATTCCTTGTTGTGAGCAGCTGCTTTGGCATAAAGCATCTGCATGTGGGACGGCGGAACCATCTCGTCTTGCAAACCCGACAGGAAAAGGATTGGTCGCTGAACCTGCAATTACATGTTACATTTATACTCAACATTTATAGCGCAGTAGCAGGCATTGGAGAAGCTATTGCGGTTCAAAGAGATTTTTACATGGCAGATTGACAGTTACTGCATCTGAAACATAGGTTGGCATAAGCAAAGTGAGCTTGGAATATCCATCCTCTCAGCGATAAATAAAACCATGTGTGGGATTCTTTTTCAATAAAGGACTACTACTCTCATTTATTTAATAGCGGAATGCACAACTTCAGGAACATGACAGCGTATTTAAATGTGCGAATGTAGAAGAGACATATTTGAAATATCTGAGGAAGGGGGGGTACCCCAAAGTCTGCACTCACCTCACCAATCACATCGATTGTGTTCCATGGAGAGCGTACGACAAAGTTTAGAATTTTAACACCTTTTGCACCAGATCCTCCAATCACCCACTTCAGAAAGGGGAGGAGAACTCCTGCCATATCCAGAATAGACGTAAAAGTATTTTCCAGTATAATACCAGCAACCTGAAAGGCATTGCCAAAGCAAAAAGAAAGGTCAAGAACAATGCCTCATCATCTACGACTTGCCGGCCTTAAGAAGAACAAGGGGTAGAACTAAAGTACATATTAAAAATAAAATGTCCACTGGTCATGTCTCATAAATATCAAAGATTGCATATTGAATTCGAAGAGCTAGTAACTACTAGACACAAACTACTTGATTTCACATGCTAAACAGAACAAAACATCAAGCTCGAAACCATGTGCATTTGTATATTTAAGGAGTTGGCTTATGGGTGCCATTTCTTTTTCTCCACCACCTTTTTCTTCTTCAGAAGTAGAGGAGCTCTCTAACTTTCAAAGGAGTTTCAAATCTCAGTCTTCAAGGAACTAGTAATATCGGATATATGAAGAGAACAAAATCCTTAATGTTAAGCAACTGGGAAGAGAATATCATGGAACTTCCATGGAACTTAAAGCAAACAAAAGCTCACTAGAAATACTTGTAAACTAGAAAAAATGCAGCTTCATCCTATTCAAATGGATGAGCTTGACTAGCTTCAGGAGGTTAATGAAAGGCCAGGATTACACACAATCTAGGAAGAAGAATGAGGAGGAAGGGCAAAACTTGATTTATAATAATGCAATAACATTTACCAGGATAATACCTTGTCAGGGTTGTTTCTCGTAAGTAAGGCTCCAACAGCACCACCCAGTGACCTGCCAAACACGACTATTCTTGAGGTATCAATATCATTTCGCTGACAGAGATGATCCAATGCAGCCTGGAAAGAAGTTTTTAAGTGAGAGGCTGCCACCATCAGACATACATAAAGCAAAGGATGGACTACAGATGCCCCACCTGAGCGTCCTTTGTAATTCCATGCTGGGAAGGAGATCCATCACTCGCTCCGTAGCTATAAAATTAACAGAATGAATCATATATTTTAGATCAGGCAAGTACAAGATATTCAAGACAATAAGACATGTCCATTACGTTGATACAAGTGATACAAGATAAGGAAAAAAGAGAAACTCTGACAACAAGAATGTCCATCGACTCATACCCACGGTAAGAAAGCATGAACACATTGCACTGCAGCTTCTGTAGCATTATGCGGACCATTTCAAGACGATGAGCAATATCTGAAAGCCTCTAGTTAAGGCAACACCACTAGACTGTCACCCATGTAGTAGAAGAAACATAACAGCAAACACAAAGTGTAGAAGCAACATAACAGCATGCACAAATTGTCGAAGAAACATGATAGCAAACTAAACTTGACTACAGCCAAGGCAGCCTAATCCCAACGCTGACAAGGATACTTCCTGCATTCTCCTGGAAGAAAAGGATGGTTGGACCTGCAATGGCAACGAAAACCTTTCAGGATAACAAGCGAAATGCTGCAGTGAAGTTCAGAAACGACCTGTTCCCCCAGCATGTCAAATTTTCATCACAAATCACGTCCGAATCAGTCCTATGTCGAAGTAATGTTCTTGATCTCGTCCATATAAAACATCCCACATGCACTCTTACGTACGACCGCAAAGGCAATTCACTCCTATTTTAGCATCCGAAAATCTCAATTCAAATTGGGGAGTAGCCAAAACCTAGAATTTCAAACCTCAACCCCCCCAACCCCATATCAATTCACCTACCACAGTTGGGCAAGTCTTCAGCACGGCTGAAACATAAACCCTAACCCAACGGGAAAACAGACTAGAAGAAAGAGATCCAGAGAAGGTACTAGAAGAAATAGAACATGCGATGAAGAAGGGGGGGGAATGAAAGAGAGTGGAGGAATTGCGGAATTATGACCTCTGCAGTCAGGGAAGAGCTTGATGAACCAGGCATGGAGGCGGACGCCATCGGAGGATCGGAGCCAGACGTCCTCGTAAGTGAGACGGAGGCGGGCGGGAGTAATCGGGTAGGACTTGGTGAGACCAGGGACGACGGGGACGTAGACGAGCCGCTCTTGAAAGGCAACCAGCAAGGCCATCCCGGTGAAGACTATGCCGCCGACGCCGTAGAGGAGGATGTTGAGGTACGCCACCATCTTTCCCGGCGGGGTAGTTTCCGCGTTTCGATCGGATTTGATGATGATTGATGGGTAAAGCCGTAAAGGGAACGCCGAATCCCCCGAAAAGGCAACTCTTTAGCCGTGACCCTGAGGTCGCAGTTGAGTTGCGTTGCTGTGCTTTGGGCCTTGGAGTACGTCAGCGCGAGTGTGGTCTGCCTCTGTCACTGTGAATTTGCTTTCTTTCGTTATCCTTCTTGATTTTCATTTGTTAAAAATTTAGGCGTGATTTGACAACTATGTATTGCGGAAAACGTGTATTTGTAGAAAGTATGTATTTTGTTAACTATAAGAATACATGTACTAGAGTAGAGACTAGAGAGTATATTGTCTGGTTTGCAAGATGAGTTGATTGTGTTAAAGAGTATATTATTATCCAATTACAAAATAGTGAGAAAAAAATAAAATAGATTTTTTCCCTTTTTTTAATTTGATGAAGTAAATAATAAAAGAAATTTGAAATTTGTATTTATTTTTTTGTTTGATGCTGACATGGCAGTGATTTGAACAATTGCATAAAGGTAAGTGATTTGACCGTCCAAAGTCCAAACAGACAGTCAAACCACGCTTCTGGTCAATTGAATCTATATGATGCATATTTCGAATCAAAATTTTAATTTTTCAAACCACTAACTAAAGTTAATTATATGATTATAGTTCGGGCCACACCGATAAAACTAAACATTCTAACTTCTATTGGGTTTAGGAGGGTATGTACGTCACAGATTTGGGGCCTAGTGGCGACGAAACAAACATACTCCTCCTCACTTTGGGCTCAGACTAGATCAGAGGTAAATTGAGCTCAAAATAAAGAACATATCAAAAGCCCATCCCAATTATTAGTAAGAGATGGGCTCAATTGGGGTCATTGGAAGTAATGCCAGAACGGTTTTGGATTATGGAGACTAGTTTGTAACAAGGAAGGGAATAAGTGAATAACTACGTCATATTTCGGAGCCCCTCAAATTGTGGATCTGCAACAAGAAAAGAAAAGAGCGTAAACAGATTGTAGGAGGAGGAAGGAAAAATTACTGAGAGCAGATGGAGTATCTCTGGATCATCAAAATGGAGTATGATTTTGTTTCCGACGGATGACCAACAACGGGAAGATTGATGTTTGGGACTTAGAAGAAGTTAGGACGATGCCCAAAGTTTGTGTTGATATTGCAATTTGAGTATAGGATCATAGATCTTGGTTGGATGCAAACTTTTTATTATTAGTCATTTAAACGTGGTAAAAATTATGTATAGAAGTTGTGGAGGAGATTTGTAGAATGTTAGGATGTTATTTTGCCCAAACTAAAAGGCTTGGTTTATTAAATTATTTTGGTTCTACATTTTTGCTCGCGTGTCAAAAAGCAACATCCACGTCAACATAATTTGCCATGTCAGAGTTCACTGACGTTAGACTGGATAAAAAGTTAACGGTTTGGCTATTTTATTGTTTGTCGAGATATTTGGCTTTTTTTTGTTAAAAACGAAAGGTTTGACTATTATTTTGTTTTAATCTTATATTAAATATGATGAACAAGATAATTCGCTCAAAAGTTCGAAGTAAGTCACAATAATTTGTGCAAGTGTTTATATGCCATCTTTGTACAGTGGTATGGACTTGTTTAGCTCTTGATTCCTTGTAGGGATAACAATCAAACCCGTAATCATCCGTACCACAACTGTCCCGACCTAATTAAAGCTGGAAATATTGTTGCGACTAGATATGAGTAAAATTACAAAAAAAAATTTGATGGGAATGAGGAGGGTATGATTTTAGCATTCCCACTTCATAGAGTCATAGTCATACCCACCATGAGCATTTTTTTTCATGTATAAAAATTAGTGAGATCAAATTTTAACCTTCAAACGAAAGAAGTAGTGTAGTTCAATAATAAAAATAAAAAGAGTTGAAATGTAACTGAGTGGTTATCCACCAAGCCTTAATTTCTTTCCCTTCAATTCTCCTTTCACCCATTCTCTTCTTTCTCCCTTTTTAACAAGATTGCATTAGACATTTGTTTTTAGCAAATGTGTTGAAGTCGTAGATTAATCATTTGGATAATAGTATATTTTATTTTATTGGTTAATGGATGTTTTAGAATCGAATGAGTTAAGTGAATATTAAAAGTGATTTTCATGATTTATTATGTCTATTTACGGTAAAGGATAGGGTGTTGGGTTATGCACCCTTGCATAACTAGATCCGCGCCCTTAATTTTGACAGGGGGTCAGGAAAGTTCATATCTAAGGGGTGTGAATTAATGACTTTTGTTTTCTAGGAGTTTTTTCATAAACGATGAGGTGACAAGTCCTACATGGTTATTGACCATAAAGTTATTGACCAGAACTACTCCCTCTGTTTAATGTTATAATTGAAGATCTTTTTGAATTTTAAATATGGTAATGTTGGATGTACGATACGAGTATTATCCTCAAGTATCCAAAAATCGATGTACAAAACTTTCCTCATATGAGTATGAGACGGTTACGAGTTATAATATTTGAAAATAGGAATGACGATGGTGTAGGCAAAACCCATTTCCGGTGTAATCTCTAATCTCTAATACCTTGTTTATTATTTATAATAGTTATCTTTCTTTTCAGGATAATCTATATAACAGTTTAATGAATTAAGCAGAAAAACAAGTCGAACTGAAATCAAGGAGACAGAGAGGGGAAAAAGCAAAGCAAAGCAAGCAGCATCCCACACTCTCTAAAACACTACAGTCTAGAGGTGGTAGCCTAGCCCACCCAAATCACAGTGTCACCACTCACCACCACCAAAGAGACTCCCTCGCCTTCTTCACTCAACCATATAGCGCTGAGCCTGACGACGCTCTCTAACCATTTGCCGCAGAAGAAGAAACACCCCGTACCCGAGAAAACCGTCGAACATCCTTCTTGCCGGCCGCCTACCCAGAAATGCCGACGCCGTCCTAACTGGCCGCCGCTCCGGCGAGGTAAAATCTTCTTCTTCTTCTTCTCCATCTCGATTTTCACTCCTATTCTTTGTCATTTCCAAGAATTGTATGTACGATTGGCTCAGCTTTCTTTCTAATTTCTCTTTTTTTCCGTTCGGTGCCCTCACTTTTCTATTGTGGCAGAGATTCCCCTGATCGGAATATCTTTGAAGCAGTGGTGGTGGTGGAGACTGTCTCGTCACTCGACCGCTATCTCTCTGACACTCTCTGATTCACCATTAACTCTCTCTCTCTCTCGTCTACACTCTTCTTAATTAGAAACCCTCAATTCCCCAACTCCAATTCTCTGCTCCTCCGGGAATCGGAAAATGCTGACGTGTATCGCTCGTCCCAAGCAAGCCAGGGATGAGCCGGACGGCTCATCCGCCGCCGCCGCCTCCAACAACAACGGTAGCGGTTCCAACGCCAAAAACAATCAAGCAATCAAATCCCTCACATCTCAGGTTTTCTATTTTATTCGCGAACATAAGCCCTAAACATCCTTTCTTCTTTTTTTCAAAATTTAATTCGGCGTAATTCTGTTGCAGCTCCGGGACATGGCGCTGAAGGCCTCGGGAGCATACAAGCACTGCGCGCCGTGCACGGGGCCGACGACGACCGGAAATCACCAGAGCCGGTTCAAGACGACGACGGCGGCGGACTGGGAGGCGGCGGATTCGGAGCGGTTCCGGTGGTCTCTGAAGCGGACGGGGAGCTCGAGCTCGACGACGCCGCGGACGTGGGGGAAAGAGATGGAAGCGCGGCTGAAGGTGATATCGAGCTCGAGCGGGGAAGCGACCCCGACGACGTCGGTGAACGGGAGCGGGCGCCGCGCGGAGCCGCTGATCGTGTTCGTGGAAGAGAGCGAGCCGAAAGAATGGGTGGCCCAGGTGGAGCCCGGCGTCCTGATTACCTTCGTCTCGCTTCCCAGGGGAGGCAACGATCTCAAGCGGATACGTTTCAGGTACACACACGCCTTCGTACCCTTCACGCCTCTTTTTTTCCATTCTCCAGATTAACGGTCTGGATTCGTTTTTTCTTCCGGTGATCTGGACGATGACCTGGCCGATCTGAAATTTTTCTCTTTTCCCGGTTTTGAAATCGGACGGTGGTTCGGGGTTTCCGGGGTCAACTGTGGCCGTTGATTAACATAGTTATTATTATTATGATTAGTAATAATAATTAATAAGTGGGAACAGAGTGTGGTAGGAGGAGGTCAGGGGTTGGGCCCAGAAGCTTTATTGATTGGTTTGGTTAGCTTCAAACTGATTGCTTTTCATTTTTTAGATGAATGATTAATTATATAGATTAATTTCATTATAACTTAGCTCCACGCTAATGATAGGCTATAATAGTATTAGTCAAGGGGAGAAAATTGTGGGGTGCAAAAGATTTTTTGGTAATCATATTGTTAATATTTCAAAGGTTGCGGTTGGTAAAATGTGACTCAAAAACTAATTATAAAATCTAGCATCTGGACAGACAACCTGTTTATTAAACTATATATGAATATAGCTTTCCCCTTATCTCCAATAGTATTATGGTTGTGTCTTTTTGTAGAAATAGTATTATGATGGTTGTGATGGTTTTCTTATTGTGTTGCTTGAATAGATTATGGTTGTGTGATGTGGATATGTACATGATAGTTACGATGTAAGTTTCATTTAGAAAGCGATGTTGTTGGGATCTGGCCTTCTGACTTTTTCGCTACTTGCTCTTAAGATGCTGCTTCGCAGTTGTTTGTCTGATTGTCTCATACTACGGTATCTAATCTGTCATTAATTCAACATTAAGAAGCGAAAATCTTTGGATTAATTATTAAGCGTGACGATGGCAGCCAACAGAAGGGTTTTTAATAATACTCGGTTATTACTTGATGTTCTTATTGGAAATTTTCTGGTTGAAAAGCATGCAAAGGTAAAAAAAGTGGAACTCATTGTGCCTGCCGCATTAGTGGGCTGTGGTGGGGGCAAAGTGATTTTGATAGTGTTCGGGCCAAGCTTTTTCTTTGGTTTGTTTTGGACTTCACCGACCCCATTGTCCCTCTGGATGTCGGAGAGAAGAAGCTGGGGGCTCTCTTTCTTCCTTCTATTCTTTATTGTTTTTGGCCCTTGTTAGTTCAAAACAAAACAATTCTTCACGCCTGATTCTCGTGCCCTTTGTCACCTTGTGTGGTCAGTGGTCACCACCCACCAATCATTTGTCCATTTTGGGGAGGGTTTTTGTCCAGTTGAACTTATGACCCTCCCTTCTCAAAACTGTATCTTTTGCTCCAAGACAAAAAGTGTTGTTGCCCCTTTTGGTTGATCCCAGCAAAAGCTATTGGATTGAACACAGCTACAGGCTAACAGTAGAAGGGTTCAGACTCTTTCTTGGTCTAAAGGGGACATTGGAAACAGTCTTTATGATTAATTGGTTCCCAAGAGTTGGTCTTTCTTGCCTGGTAGTTGATTCTAGCTCCATGCTGAAGCTGCTACATTTGGACTTAGTTTCCCCTTTGTTGTGTCCCTGTCTGGTTCGGTTCCTACCTTGATTTCTTGGTTTCTCTTTTTTTTTTGCATCTTTTGACTTCAAACAGATCCATTCCCATATGAAACCCACTCATCATATATATAGTCTCTTTTTGTTGCTTCTTCACTGTTTCATGTAATGATGTGGCTTCCACATATTATGCTGCTTTGTTGACTTAACTAATACTCCCCTTTCTTAGAAAGTAGAGTTTATTATAAGCATTTAGTGGTTCAGCATTGATTTCTTACTCTTAGAGTAGGGTCTAATAACGTGCCTAAAACATGTTTACTGAAGTAATTAGTGGCTATGTAAGCTGGCCTAGTTAGTAGTTCCATCTTTTAGGTAGCCATTGTATGATTGTTTGCTTCATTTCCTACCAACGATGAACAGAGGGTTAAAGGTGTAGGCATTTGACCTCAGTTATACACAATACTCCGGTTCATCGTGAACTGTTCTTGTACCTCTGCTTATTAAGCTGGCAAACCATAACGACGAACCCTGTTAGTTTATAATCGAAACCGTTTTTGATCCTGCTAAAGGAATGCATTCTTTGAAATTTGTTTCTTTGCCTTTGAAGGCGCCGTAACTGCTATGTGTTTTTCCAGTGAAGAAGAACTAGATAGTGCATTACCGTTTTGGTGTTGTTAACTCTGTTGTCTTCCATTCTGCTCCATCTTTTCTTCCAACTCCTGACTTATTAATGCTTTGACACTACAAGAATTCTAGAACATACTTAAAGAATGATTTTTTAATCTGTCTGACCAGTCGAGACACGTTCAACAAGTGGCAAGCTCAGAGATGGTGGGCGGAGAACTTTGACAAGGTCATGGAACTTTACAATGTCCAAAGGCTTAGCCGTCAAGCTTTTCCTCTTCCAACACCCCCAAGATCCGAGGACGAGGTAAAGTCTCTACTCATTCCCTCGTCAATTACACCATTGGGACTTGAAAAGACTTCATTCTGTCAATACTGTACTTTCTTCTGCATGATATCCTTCAGCAGAGCTCAAAGATGGAATCAGCTGAAGACAGCCCGGTCACACCACCACTAAGCAAAGAGCGGCTGCCGCGTAACTTATACCGCCCAACAGGAATGGGAGTAGTAAGCTACTCGTCCTCGGACTCGCTCGACCATCCTCATCATCCGATGCAGATCAGGCAGTACTCGGACTCCATCGGTGGCCTCACTTCCACACCAAAGCTCTCCAGCATAAGCGGGGCTGCCAAGACGGAGACATCAACTTCATCCATGGATGCATCCATGAGAAGAAGCAGCTCGTCGAGGGACGCGGATCGCTCCGGGGAGTTGTCGATCAGCAATGCCAGTGATATGATGGACAATGAATGGGTTGAACAGGATGAACCTGGCGTGTACATCACAATTCGAGCCTTGCCCGGTGGAAAGAGGGAGCTGAGACGAGTCAGATTCAGGTAAAGCAAGCATTTTTTTCTTCTTTTCTTCTTGATGCATGAATTCCCCGCCATAATCATTTCCATGTGACACCTTCATTCTACGTGCACATAATTTGATGCTCTCTTCCACTTAAAGTCTTGCAAAGGAAGAGCATAAATTCAGCATGAATCATTTGGCCTTTGGGTCCACGGTTTTACTGATAGCTTATTATGGTGGGTGGGTGCAGCCGTGAGAAATTTGGAGAGATGCATGCGAGACTATGGTGGGAAGAGAACCGAGGTAGAATACATGAACAGTACTTGTAGAGTGGAGAGAAGAACTAAACCACAGAGAAAGCACAACGAGGGGAAGTTTTCGAATGGTAAACCAGGCGGGTCTCTTTTTTAACTTGGAGGTTCCAGATTTGAATTTCGATTACTTCGATCAATGTTACATGCTTCGTGGAATCCTATCGGAGCATACCATTCTCTGATATCAGTACCTCAGCTGATGAAATAATTTTCCCTACACAGATCCTTCTGAAAACAGGTGCTTACTGTTTGTTTCTCTCTCTCTCTTTTTTTTTTTTTGTTTTTGTTTTTGTTTCTTGGGTTCAAATGTTTATAGGGGTATTAGAACTGCTGCTTGGTATATGGTCTATGTGTTGATCAAGAAGAAGGAGCAAAGCCTTCTTATCTTTTGTCCTGTAATGTTATTTTTTACTTTTTACTGTTATTTTACTTGTGGTGGGTAATGAGTATCAATGGAAGATGTTGGTTACATTACATGGTATCTTTTCCTTTGACATAATCAGTTTTGACCAATTTCTTCTGTTGCCTGACCCAAATTAGGGCAATCGATTACAGGCGTGCTTGCTGTCTTTGTACTGTTTGTGGTCGGCCTCTCTCCTTGACTTTGTTTCTAAACAATCATTAATAGCAGCAGGATGAACCCTAATTTCCTGCCTCCACTTCGCTGATGATGGGTGACGAAAATTTGTGACTAATTTGGTCTCAGATTCACGGAAAACCGAAGTATTTAAGTGGGTCATTGGTGATAACTGATGAGTGACCAGGTGATCCAAATTAAGAATGTTATTTTCTGCTAAAATGAATAAAATATTCCCGATTTCAGAGAGTGGTATTTTTAGGCCTTTTGATGAACTAGTTTATGAAGTATGTGGGCATACTCAGATAAATTAGTATTGATATTTCAATTGTGTTTATTTGTGACACGTTGTTTAGTAGAACACATTGAATTTCTATGATCCATCTAACAAGTGTGCACGATATACTTTATAAACGGTAGGGTTTTTCGAAGATAATAACTGTAGTATTACACAATCACCCTTAATTGATTGAAGTGTCTCACACAATCACCCTTGTTAAATGTATAAATAGGAACTCTCTCTTAGATGTCTGGCCTCTCAAGTCTCAACTACATTAACCCAAACCAGCAGCGCTCAAACCCATGGGTTTTTTACATCTTAGCTTTAGTGAGTCAGCAGTCAGCACTCGAGAACCATGTAATGGGCCAATTACATTCCTACCGCTTTGCCTCCCAAACTATTTAATTGGGCCTAAGATCTACCCGGACAAAATTGCTTCACTAGATCCAGCTAATTCTTCTCCGCATCAGCTCCTCTGCTTTTGATCAGTCGCCAATTTGAGGATCGAGATTTTAATAACTTGGCACGTTAGATGATTCGTCATTTCTACCGGCGAGTTCGGAGTTGATTTGCTAAATTTATTCACATTCTTATTTTTAATCCGTAAACTCATAACATCTTCATTCTCGGATGGGTAAAAGCAACGACGGGGCCAAAAATTTGACTCGGCGTGTCCCCTTCCAAAATTATATTAAAATAATAATTAAAATTTAAAATATTACAAAATTAACTAGTAAATATTCGGCTATTATAATTTATAGTGAAATATCACAATGTGTTTTCATTTTCTCGAGAAAAAATACACGTAATCATTATGGTTCTCAGCAAATCTTTTTCATGTATGACAATCATTTACGAACAAAGTGTATATTCGGTTAAATAACTTTTTCTTAATGTAGCATAAAATTGGAAACATCTTTCAAACACTTGTAGTTGCAACTGGTAAAATGAATACAAATTCAAGAAGTAAATAGTCCGATAAATAAGATAGATTCACTTTTGTCATCTTCACCATAAACTAAGCTAACTCATTAATTCCATTTAAAAATTCCGTTTAATCTAAAGAATAACTCATCATTCTTGACATAAAGATAATAATTCTCAAAGCTTCGCAGAAGAAATCAGTCATAAAGGTGATCAAACGTTTTAGGATAAAATCGAGTAAGACTTATTAACTTCTCCTTGTCAAATCTTAAGGGTTGTCCCAAACATTACGAAATAACCGTGGATACGTCGTTATTCTAAACTCAAACTACTATCGGAGGTAAACAACCCCCCCCCCATTTAGGGATGTCTCGGGACACTCATAAACCCCCATGGATCCGTCTTTATTCTTATTTTTATCCCCATCATCGCGGTTTCCAGATACCCGTGGATAATACCATCATGCAAATCAGAACCAAACTCAATTTAAAATCAATGTAATTAAGTGGAAGACACACACAATTTTTAGAGCTAGAACGTTGAACATAGATTATGTATCATAAATTAATCGTATGAGAAACTTAACAAAAATTGAAATTCTTAAGGCAAATCAAGAATAAAAAGATGGCATATATATATATATGGGTTGGGAACCCCTAAACCCATCTCCAGCCTAAAATCACCACTTTCTTTGTACATATTTGTTAGAGTAAACCCTATGTGGTATCAGTAATAATACACAACCGTTTCCACCATATTCTGATTTATCAACAACAGTATTATCCATACTCGTACTATATCCCGTCAATGTAGGAATTTTTATTGTTGATTGGGACGGTACGAGCAGAATCGAATACCCACAATTGAAAAAATACAATTTCCATTCCTACTTGTAGGAGTTTTTATTGTTGATTGGGACGGTACGAGCATAATCGAATACCCACAATTTGAAATACAATTTCCATCCCTACTTGTCATGTTCTGCGTTTATCATCCCAAAGATTAATGGAGTTTGATCTCCCCATTTGATTAAATTATCTCAACAAGATTGGTAATGTTGGTACAGACTTGGGCCGAGAAATTAAGTATTCGAACATAGTGCAGTGTATGTAAAGGTAGCTGTACTGGTCAAGCCCAATCGAATGGGCCGATCAAACTTGTGCTCTTTTCCTTCTTAGTGTTGGGCTAAGTAAGTAATGTTTAACTCAATGATCCACATAACATAAGTGTGTTTTTTGTTTTTGTTTTTGTTTTTTTTGTTTTTTTTTTTGAAGGAGTTTTTGTTTTTGTTTTGATCGAACATAACTACATAAGTATGTTTACTGGAAGTTGAATAAAGTACTCAAGTCCCCAGCAAGCAGCAACAGCAAGCACAATTTAAAGTGGATCTTCTTTTCTTCTTCTCATCACGACAAAGGAAAAACTGGCAGCTTTCAGTACAAAAGAGAAAAAGATGCCCAAGTGAAAAATTAAAGCAGTAAACAATCATAAGAAATGGGGGAAAATTGTGAAAAGTGAAAACCCTCTTTCATCACACTTTATCATACTTTATAGCTCACATAACCCCAACAGCAAAAAAGGGAAAAGTTAGGAAACTATGGGTAAGAAGAACTATAACAACCTCTAATCTCGGAATAGAATGACGTTAATCCGAAAAATTCTATCGATTCACAGTTCAATAGGTAGTTGTTATAGAATTTACATTGAACTATTTATAGGGTCATTTATATGTGTAAATTTAGGAAACACAACATATTAATTAAACTGAAATTTAGAGTATGGTATTATACCCGAATCCTTAATGAATAAACTCTAGTTATAATACTCTAAATTCTAAATCCTAGACCGTGTACCTAGTATGTTGGATATTAGTCAACGAACCAGAACGGTCGATTATTGTTTCTACTTGAATTTATTTTTAAATTGCTCCATCTCGCAATTGATGCATCGCTTAACAGTACTTTACCTTTCAACGGAACAATTGAAATATAATTGACCCAATTGTCGCATCCCCATTATGTGTTGTCTGATAATGCTATTTGACCTCATCATCGCGCTTCAGTTTGAGACAATTGAGTCAAATGCTTCATCCAATTTCATCATCCAAACGACCTATAGAAAATCAAGATTTATTGTATAATACCATGCACAAACTATTCACGATCTGGATAGAGATATATGCGCGGTATTCTCATATTTACGAAACCGGACCACCACAGGATTGAGGATCTAACCAGAAGGTTGAAAGAAGGAAGCAGGTGCAGCTGCAATAGATGAATGTTGGGAGGGGACAACACACCCTGTCAAAACACTCACACACTCTCTCAACCAAAAACCAACCAACAAACAAACAGCTTTCTTCACTACTGGTATATATAATTAACCCGCACGCTCACTCCCTCACCTTTCTTCTTCTTCATTTCCTTTCATTTCCCCCACTTTCCCTTTCCTCCTCCTCCCTCCCACCACATCTCAAAAGATCCTCTGCATCTCCACCACCATTTCCTTTCCTCCCCTGCTTCCTCCCTCCACCAAAAAAGCCATATCCGTACAAGAAAAGCAAAACACACTCCAGTATTCCCACACGCCCGATACCCCCCTCAAAAGTTGAACAAAACCCTTCAACTACACTACTGCCACTGTTCCCCTTTCTTCTTCCTCCTCTTCTCCCACATGCTCTACTACTACCTCTGCTACAGCTCTGCTCTGTTTCTTACTTGTCGTTGCAGCTTTTGACATCCCCTCACCAGACACACGCACGCACGCACAATCACCATTTCCCCATTCCCTATTTCCCTTCTCCTATATAACCATTTCTCCCTCACTCTTCATAGCTCACTCATTAATCCATTCACAGCAGATAGAGGCATTCTCTGTCTTCTTGCTGTAAACGAATGCTTTCTACAATGACATCACAGGAGCAATCGTGCGCCAGAACGCCACTCCATCCTCAGAGAAGGAGGACTCCGTCTTTCTCCTCCTCCCTCCTCGACGCCATCTACCGCTCCATCGACAATGAAGGCGGCGAGGGAGGAAACTCGGACTCTGCTGCTGCTGCTGCTGCTGACACTTATCCCGTTGTTGAGAAACAGAGTGGCGGCTCTGTTTCAGGGGAGGTGGAGTATAAAGAACCGCTGTCCTCGTCGTCGTCGTCGACAAGTCTCCGCCGGGCGATTATGGTGGAGACGTGGATGGAAGAGAAGCAGAGTACTCCCTCCACTTCGAAATCAAGCTACTCTCTGGGAAGCAGAAGCAGCTGCAAGAAGAGTGTTATCTTCTCGTCTACGGAAACAGAGTCTTGCTCCACCGTGAGATCCTCTGCCTCTTCCTCTTCCTGCACTCCTCTCAGGACCAAGGTGTTTGACAGGGCGGAAAGGAAGAAGAAGAAGGTCGGTAAGAAGAAGGCGGACACTACTAGTGGTCACCCGAGTTACGAGGAAGAAGAAGAAGAAGCAGGGTTCACGAGGACAACCAAGCTCAGAGCTCTGAAATTCTACAGCGAGCTGAAGAAAGTGAAGCAACCCATTTCCCCTGGAGGCAGAATCGCCAGCTTCCTCAACTCGATTTTCAGCCCCGGCGGTGGAGGAGGAGCTGCGAAGAAGGTGAAGATGTGCTCGGTCAGTGCCGCCATGGAAGGCGTCACTAAAACTTCTTCCAATTCAAATTCAAATTCTTCATCCTCTGCCTCCAAATCCTGCTTCAGCAGCAAAACGCCGCCGCTGAATGCGGTCAGACCCCTGAATCCCAGCACGAAGAAGAGGTCGGTGAGATTCTACCCGTTCACCGTGATTGTCGACGAAGATTCGAGGCCTTGCGGGCACAAGTCGATCTACGACCAGGAAGATCCCGCGCTGATGCCGTCTTCCAAGATCCTCAAAAGAATGGCGTCGTTGAAGGGTGGGAAGATCTGCAATGGGGATAGCGATCATGGGTATTACGGCAGAAGGAGTTTTCAGAAGAAGAAGAACAAGTTTGCCGCCGCCAGTACGTTCGATTACAGAGACTACATGGATGAGGAAGAAGATAGTGACGGGGAAGGGAGTTGCTCAAGCTCGGATCTTTTCGAGCTGGATCATCTCAGTGGGATTCGGAGGTACAGCGAAGAGCTTCCGGTTTATGAAACAACCAGCTTTCAAAGAAATCGAGTCATCGCTAATGGCTTCATTCGCTAGCTTTTTTCTGGAAAAAAAAAAATTTCATTCGAATTCGTTTTCTGTACGTAGGGGGGGTTTCTGTTTCCTTTTTTCCAGGGGTAGTTCTCGTGCCAATTCGCTAATGTAAGCCGCTTTAGTATTTCCAACTGTGAAAAAAAAAAAATTTCATTCACACCAATAATTCATATTAGACTTAGAGATAAAAACAGGTCGAAAATCTTTCAATTGCATTATGTGTAAAAAGATTAGTATTTAGCATATCTTGAGTCTAGGCTGGGTCACTAATTGGATTGTGTTCAACTCGACGACTTGTAGTGTTCCATCTAGATGGTTTAGAAGAGTACCAATGCTAGTGAACACCATCACAATGTTGTTGTCTCTAGATTACACGAGTTGCTCACCTACCCGTGGGAAGTGTCAATCATTCATTTTACTGTGAGGGTAATAGGTGCGCAAACTATTTGGTTAGTAAAGGGCATGCTCTCTCTTTTAGTTTCCGTTTTGTATTGTAATTTTTTATCTCTCATATTTTTATTGGATTATGTATGATTATCATAAGCACTTCAGATCCTGATTGATTTTAAATGAAAAATAAGGTGTCATTACATTCATCATCTAACTTTAAATTAGCTACAATCCTATGTCAACCCAAGTATAGAGAATAATCTCCGTGGCAACACAATCAACGAGGGAGCGCACATGAAAATACGATTGACACTCAATTCTGAAGTTAGGCTAGGAAGAAAACAATCTCCATAATAAATTTACAATGCTATATGTACTATAAGTTTTTGCATTTATGGTACAATTCGAAGTTGTACTTTTAACGGTATGGTACAACTTTATATTGTATCTATACCGTTTTGTACAAATTCTTTTATGATACAATTTGAGCTTGTACCTTTATGTGACGGTACAATTTTAAGTTGTAAAGTTGTACTATAACATAAGGGTACAAATTCCTTTATGCTACAAGCTGAACTTATATATTTAACGCTATGGTACAACTTCAAGTTGTACATTAAAGCAACAATGCTTTATAGCATAGTAGAAGTGCTCATTATTATGATGGCGGGTTGGTTCCTCGTCGACTACATCAACAATGGTGGAGTTAGAATCTTAACCAGGGGCTAAAAAATCTAGGTTTAAATCTTAGTATCGAAACCCATGTTATTAACAATTCGGATCAGCATCTTTCAAAGTCGATTAATCTAATTACCAAGCAGAGGCGTCCTTTTTTAGCGTCCCATTTTTCACAAAAAAAAAAATTGAACCGTAATAATTATTGAGGGTGTTATACTCTTACTATTTAGACTATTTCTCATATTTGCTACAAATTTTACATATAATTTTATCTTCTTTTGAGATTTGAGCAGTGTTATAATTCCTACCATCAATGTGGCTCTGTCGCTGTCGATGAGTCTAATAGTTGCTATGGAGTCTAGCTGAAACATTACATTTTGGGATCCCTATTGCTCCAACTTCATATGCATACTTTTTTGCATGGTTGATGAAGCAATCTCAAAGATAGTATAAACCACATAAATTTCAAAATATCAGAAAAGAAATAATTAAGGGTTTGATTTAGCTATTAAACCTCTAGTCTTCGAATTTGAGGTCTTAAAATCAAATCCTTTCAGTAGCTTCTAACATTAAAAACTCAACATATACCACCCTTATAAAAAAAACCAAGTTAAGGGAAGTGAACCAAGAAAAATGCAAGATGACCAAGGTTAAGGGAGAGTATGCATTCTAAGAAAACCGCACTGATATGGATCTTTAATGATGTCTGAATTGGTGCTAGCCCTAGCATGTAAACCTAGAATAGAGATATGAGTGATTTAGGTGGCGTTTCCTACACTTTTCTCTGTAGGGGTGATAGTCGAATCGGTTAGCGGTTAGTGGACAATGTTGTTAGATGTTACTCGCGAATCAAAAAATCTTTATCGTTAGCCAACCCGCGAAAGAAAGAATTGTGTTAGGTTTGTGGATTTGGCAAAAGGCACTCGGTATAATTATCATTTTAGATAATGTATAAAAAGAAAGTGATGGGCAAGATAAACCCTAGCCGCACACTCCCTTCTTCTCTTCATTCTCGTCTCTTTTTTTTTTTTTTACTTTTGTAGATAAAAAAAAAATGAATCTACTCCCTCTATGAACCAACGAACATAAGAAAACACATCCCTTATTCTCCTTCACTCTCGAACAATTGAACCCTACACGCCACCCCTTCTCCTCTCTTCTCCGTCTAATTAAAACATAAGAGGAGAGTTGGCGGTGGCGGCAACATCTAGGCAACTATCTTCACTTCTCTCTCGATCATCTTCCCGTTGATCTAACGGGGAAGCCACCAGATAGGGTCAGTAGGATGACCAGTGATTCATGGTTCGTGGAAAATCCTCTTCGACCGTCCTTCGTTTTTTAGCCGAGAAGACGAGAAGTTGTTTCCTTCGTTGAATGTTGTGTTTTGTCTATTTTGAGCGATTAACAACCCTTATAAGTTATTAATCAGTTAATTGCTAACCGTCAGTTATCACCGTTTATGACTTGGTAACCTAATAAGAGATTTTGAACTTCCGTCAAACGACCTACATTCTCTTTAGCAGTTAATAGTCAAACCGTTAACCATCAGTTAGCAATATGATTAGCGGTTGAACCGTTAACGGCATAAGTGAGCATAACCATTTATCACCTCCTATTTCTTTAATTTGATGCAAAAAGATTCACCTATTTTTTTTCTTCCGAACAGGAGATTCAACTGCATATTCACATGATTATTATGTGAGATCCAATGTTACAATTCACAATCATTTTACATACCAAACATTAAATAGAAATTCCGATCACATGTAAAATAAATGAGCTCTTGAAATTCATCGGATTTCAAATTCAAACTAAAACCAAAATAAATGTCAAGCAGAGACGGTGAGAAGGATTGGAGACAAGTAGGGTTCCATTCCACACAAAGGAAAGGAATCTCACAAGTCAAAAAATATAGCAAGATCTGACATGATATCCCCAAATTCAAACCAACTTTAATTTGCCCTTTGTTCGAGTTGGGAAGAAGAAAGAGGAGTCTACTTTCAGCGATTACTAATAACTTTATATATGTAACGAAATCATAAGATTCCATGGATGATATTATTCTGCCTTTGGGAGGCTTTGACTTACATATCCATGACTGCTCTAATTTCAATTATCATGTCTTGAAGTTACTATAACTTGACTTTTTTTTGAGCCCGAATGGAGTGAAATCTCAAAAAATAATCCAAATCAAAGATTGAGAGCCCGAATGCTTAGAGTTAGTAATTATTTAAGAGGTTTAAATAATATCCTTAAAACATCAAATATAATCCTAATGCGAGAATGATAATATTTACTGTGTATCTAGGTCCATACCTGCCAAGTATTATTTTTAGCATGCACTACCATACAAATAAACGAAGTAATAAAAGTTGTCAAGTCTTATTATAGAGAAATACCAATGCAAGCGAGAGTAACATCATATATTCACATAACATGGTTGCGATGATATGTTCGTAGATATTGATTCTCACTGTCGATATGATCGCCAGGCGAAATCAAAGAGCACTTCTACTATGCTATATAGCATTGATGCTTTAATGTACAACTCAAAGTTGTACCATAACATTAAATGTATAAGTTTAGTTTGTACCATAAAACAATTTGTACCATTATACTATGGTACAACTTTACAACTTGAAGTTGTACCATCACATAAAGGTACAAGTTCAAGTTGTACCATAAAAGAATTTGTACAAAAAGTATAGGAGTTGCTAAAGGTCGCCCTTAAAATTGCTAAATGTCGCCCTAAAAAACATCAAAGTTACAAATTTAACCTTTTAGCTTATTTGCTCTTCCTTTAGCAAACAAACACCACTTAGTAAAGAAAATAAAACATTATTCAAAAGAGAGAATCCATCATCGTCATTCTGGATTTGGAATCGTCGATATGATGTCTGGATCATGACTAGCGACTCTGAATCGGTAAAGTTCACTCAAAAAATTGAAAAAAAAAAAACAAAAAAAGGGAACCGTAGCTCATTTGCGGTTGCACCATGGGCCAACCGCAGCTCACTTGCGGTTGGTCCATGGTGCAACCGCAAATGAGCTGCGGTTGGTCCATGGTGCAACCACAGCTCACTTGCGGTTGGTCCATGGTGCAACCGCAAATGAGCTGCGGTTGGTCCATGGTGCAACCGCAGCTCACTTGTGGTTCCACCATGGGCAACCGCAGCTCACTTGCGGTTGCACCATGGACCAACCGCAAGTGAGTTGCGGTTGCACCATGGACCAACCGTAACTTGCCTTAGGTTGAGTGTTTTTTTGGAAATTTCGTTAGAGAACGGGCGACGACGACGGCGGGAAAGACGCCGACGAACTGGTGCGTCGAGAGGGATTCGCGAAGAAGGCAGATGAGGGGTTCAGTTTGAGGGGTTAGGGATTGTTTGGTTTGTTTAAATTTTGAAATTTTATTGGGGGTATATAAGTCATTTATCATTAGAATTAGGGCGACCGTTAGCAATTTTAAGGGCGACATTTAGCGATTCAGAAAAGTATAGGTACAATCTGAAGTTGTACCATAACATAAATGTACAATTTTAAGTTGTACCATAAAGACAAAAACCTATAGCACCAATACTATATAACATTGTAAAATTTCTCCAAATCACATGCTTTTATGAGTTTTTAGAACGTATTCATCGTGAGGAAAAAATCAGTTGATAGATTAGCCACCGATTAAGTTGTGAGTTCAAATGACATATTCGAGTAGCAATGCGAGAGAGAGAGAGAGCAACATCACACAAACAGGGTACCCCAGAGAGAGAAGGTATTAAATGCCCCTGTTGTGTTTCTCAACAACCCTGCACCAATCTGTGGCTAATTTCCTTCACAAACAGAGCATCAAAGGGCGGAGTTTAATGGATTGGATCAACAGATCAGGAGAATGGATTATTATCATCATATACATTGCAGGCAGGCAGCTGTGTGAGAACAGAAGTGACCACACAAACATCCAGACTAAAACTGTCTCCTTACCTAGCTAATAATGCAACCACTAATTAATTAATTATGCATGTATGTATTTATGTGTATTGGGGTCACGTACATTGCTAACCTCTGCTTACAGTTACAGCCTTTTGTCGTCTCTGCGTATATATTATGATCTATCTGTATGCATGCGCTCTGTAGCCCTAACTCCCTGCATCTCTTGAGCCTACATATATCTGTCAGCTCTCAACCACCTCTCGTACCACCAATTTGTACTATATTATAATATTGTTAATTAACGATATTAATCATACTGGGCTGGGCTGGGCTGTATTGTTTGTTTGGATGAATATATATATATATATATATCTCCTATCCTACACACAAATAATGAAAACCATCTGTCACTTTGAATGGCAATTCGTCTATATGTGTTATTTCTGTCATTTGTTCAACCGCATTCGAGCTAGCTAGCAAGCTGGCTCGCCTAGTCGATCAAACCAGTAGTATCTCATCGCTACTTCTGCGAAACTGTTTTGAGTTTTCTTGGACCACTTTATTGAAATCATACACTTCTTAGAAAGGATCGATACCTTGTCAGGGAAACAACGGATTGAAGGCGTGATTTTGATCACTCTCCTTAAGAGTGTTTATTTGCCCCCACTACTTAGTTGCTCCCTGGTGATTCTGGAGATTGAGAAGCGTAGATCGGAGGTGGAGGTGGAGGTGTTGAATTGTACACTAGCCACTTAATTGGATTTTGTTTCAACTAAACCATTGAAGCCAAATCTAGGTAGCAACGTCAGCATTTCTGTTAACGACAAGTACTAAATTACAATTTTCAATAACGTGCTGGCAATCCCTATCAGCAAAGCTGCTGAGTCATCATCGCATCCAATCATAATTAAACAGCCATGTCCGTCCTAACGGGATCAATCGAAGCAAAGCTCTCGTAGTCGTAGTCGTAGCTCTTCCGCTATATACCATTAGTCGAAGCAAAGCTCTCGTAGTCGTAGTCGTAGTCGTACCTCTTTATATACCATTAGATTTCATATTTTCCCTTTTTTTAATCTTACAGTCAAGATGCTTTTAGGGTAATTTTGGAAATGAAATAGTGACCACACCCGATTATTCTATATAATCTACCCAAACCCTAGTTCTACCCTCCCTCCAGCCAAACCAACCACCTCCACCACTCCGTCGCACTATTCTCGCCAGCCGCCTACACCAGCCCCTCTCCTTGGCCACCCCCGACGACCAACTCGATGACATCGAGACCTCTTCGAATGGGAGCTTAAATTTCAAGAGGAGAATGTATCCAAAGTTTTCATAGCATAGCACACATAATTAGTCGAAAGCTACAAAGTTTATTGTGATGAAACTATGATTTAAGAGAAACAAGAAGAGGAGAATGCAAGTTAGATCTGGCAAATGATGACTTGTTCCAAATGCGATTGAGAAATCCAAGATTGGGTTGAAGTTTTCGTAATCGAAAATTGGAAAAATTACTCAAAAAACGGTATGATGTTTATTTTGATTTTTTTGCAAGGATTTAAGAAACAAGTTTTGGAGTGTAGGGATAGACAACTATCATGTGCTTCTTGCTATATATTATTACTCTCGTGGTGTTTTTTCTCCGACAATTTGTGCAATTTGCATTTCCTTTTATTAATGTGTAAGGATTTAAAATATAGCAACTGGTCAATGCTAAGTAAATTATTATCATATATGTGTGATAATTTTGCGTTATTTGTTGAATTTCAAGTACGTTTGTTCTTGTTTATGAGAACACTTGTAAGTGACAATGACCCTAAACCAAACAGAGAAGTCCTAGGTTGAGTTAATATATTATCCAAAATCCATAAAATCGACAAGTACTAAATTGCAATTTTCAATAACGTGCTGGCAATCCCTATCAGCAAAGCTGCTCAGTCATCATCGCATCCAATCATAATTAAACAGCCATGTCCGTCCTAACGGGATCAATCGAAACAAAGCTCTCGTAGTCGTAGCTCTTCCGCTACGGAATCCACCTCCTCGTCCCCTTTCCTCCACGTCACCTCACTCGTCTCCTTCGCTTTCCTCCTCGCCTTTTCTTCCCACTCCCCTCCATCACCACTTCTCTAATCACCTTTGCGATTTCCCCTCTCTCAAGCTCCCCATTCCCGTCTCTCTTCACCTCCACCCCAACTCCAATTTCTTCCACCAAATAGATTTCCCGGATTAGGTCCCCGAGGGAGGGGAAGAATTCAGAACCGAAGGAGACGAATACAACGGAGCAACTTGATCTTTTTCTAGTCCAATTATTCAATGATGTCGTCTCTATTCTTCCCATCTTGCTCTGTTTCATCATCTACCACTAGCGAGGGGAGGAACTTATTTCCGGTGAGATGGTTTAAATAGTCGAGGTAGTTGCCTCCGATTTCTCGAAAATTTTTGATAATTACTACTCGGGAGGATCGTTCGATGCAGCGCTCGTATCGAGTTATGTCCTCGGCAGTGGCGGATTCACATCAACTCGGCAAACGCTTCCTGGTCCCGTACGTTCCCGGAGACGAATCGAAGAAAACAGGATTGACTTTTTCTCCGCACCGAATTTGTAGAAATGGGAAGCCATCGGCGCCGGTGGTGATGAATTCGACGGATGGGATGTGGAGAAGGGAAGCGGCTAAGCGGGGTGCCCAGGGCTGGAAGAAGTCGTAGATGACGAGGTCTGGGGATACAGAGACGAAGACGGTGGAGAAGCCTGAACTGACTGTTGAGTGAGCTGTTGAGTAACGGGCCTTCGGCCCATGCACATAAGGCCCATTAATCAAACCAACACCATCCAACACATTAACTTGTCTTTCCGCAGATTTCATATGCTTCACTTGTATAATTAGTAAACATGAGAAGCCATTACCTCTAAAGTCAAAATCAAATCTTTTAACTGCTCAGATATCTCCAGCAGGGAGGATGATAGCAGCCACAGGTTGATCTTCACTTCTCCCATGTGGCATTTTTGTCAGGGAAATAGTATGGAGAAAATGGATTGAATGCGTGATTTTGATCACTCTCCTTAGAGTGTTTATTTGCCCCCACTATGTTGTTTCTGGTAGGATTTAGGCAAACCACCCTCCAGGTGTCCCTCCAATCAAAGTCAGAAAGCAGCACCTTTCGTGACTTCTGTGTTTATGTTTTTTGGAGATGGAAAAACGAGGAGAAGAAGATGAACGTTGGAACTCAATCTTCTGGCCAACGTCTCTTATAAGATATGAGAAAACGGCAGTTCCCTTCTCAAAGGTTACATCGTTTCACAAAACTCAAATTCAATCAATTATCCGAAATTAATTAATAAAAATTAATTCCAAAAATTCATTAAATAGCCGAAAATTAATTTACTCAGTAGAGTGAGAAGTATTTAATGAACTTTGAACATACATTAATAACCCAAATGAATTATTTTGTTATTGCTATATAATTCATTATGCGTAAGTATTATGACAATCGCTATGTATATAGCTAGGTTAATTTAATTTATAACCGGGTAAAGGATGTGAGAACATATTGATGACCAGGTTCTCCGCTTGCGTTTTCGGCATGGATCTCCGCCTTGTATTTGATTTGGCCAAGGTTAGCGGACGAGACGGTAATGTATATATCAAATATTATCGCGTCTGCACCATCTTCCATAAGATAATATCCTCTGTCCAGACTCGCGAACTTTAATGTCTCCGATTTAGGGGCTTTTTTATTGTTCTCCGTCACAGCATACTCAGCCATTTTCATAAGTTGTGGGCTAGTTTTCAGATCATGGTCACTGATTGGAGTCATATAGTCAGCCTCTGGGTCCTCATCGAGAAGTCGGGACATCGAGAGTGGAATGTGGAGGAACGCGACGAGCATGATCAATAGTATCGTGAAGGTTGCAGTCGTCGCTGAATGTGAACTCCTCATCTTTGTAGCCATTGTATATTGTCACGCACGTACTTTCAATTCCTTTCGATTTATTTGTTGAACTTAATGTTCCCGTTAGCTTATGTTTTGGTATATGATCTCTCTGTATAAAGGGATGTGTGAGTTGTTGCATTGTTGCAGCCATGCCACACACATATATATGTACTTACATATATAAGTTTATAAAACTCATACGCTAACTCTCTCTAATTAATGTCCATTCATAAATAGAATAAACTGATCGTCTATTAGTTCTTGTGATAAACCTACGTGTGTTGATTTTATTAATTGTTCCTCAATGCGATCAATTTAACAGGTTTATTAATTGCTACCAAATGAAAAATGTTTAAGAGTATGGTAGGGTGTGATAAACATATTTTCTTTTCCAACCTTTCCCTCCCTCCACCCAAACCAACCGCAACCGCCTCCACCACTCCGTCGCACTATTCTCGCCAGCCGCCTACACCAGCCCCTCTCCTTGGACACCCCCGACGACCAACTCGATGACAACGACGCCTACAGCCGGCCACCCTTCCCTCGGCCACCCCCGATTTCCCGGCGAGCTCCCGACTGTTGCTGTTGAGCACGTCGCGGCCCAAAGGAAGAATCGGCTCGCAGGAGCATCAACTGCGATGGAGACGAGATGGTGATGACATGGAGAGATTCCAATCACGTAGACACAATAAAAAACTTATTGGAATTGCCTGTGGTGGAATTCCAGAGACGCCTATGGTGGGGGGTGAGATGGTGATGATTTGGTATAATTTTGTGCCTTCTGTGTTTGATCACCCTCCAATCAAAGTCAGAAAGCAGCACCTTTCGTGACTTCTGTGTTTGTGCCCCGAATTCATATCCTTGTCACGGATACGAGTTTCCTCCTCGATCCTAAGGTGCTTCTGTATCTAGTTCAAAGTGAACTCCTCTGACGTATGAAGTAATTTCTTCCTATAGTTGTTCCATGATGGAGGCAACTTCGCAATAATTGCCCCCACCAGAAACGCATCAGGAAGTGTTATCTTCAACGCAGTGAACTTAGAGGCCAAGATTAGGAATTCATGAACTTGATCCAGAATTGAACGCTTATCAGTCATGTTAAATTCAAAGAACTGGAATGTGACAAACTTATCTGCGCCTTGTTTCTCTGATTTGTACTGGTTCTCCAAAGATGTCCAAATTTCAGTAGGGGTCGCCAACTGGGAATACAGATCGTAGAGACGATCAGAGAGTGAATTGAGGATGTATCCTCGGCACAACAGGCTATCATCATTCCTCTTCTTGCGCTCAGCCTTCAATTCATCAGAGTCAGTGTCTTGTGGTTCTTCTAGCGGCACCAAATCAGGATCCAATATGTACACGATCTTCAAAGTAGTCAACAGAAACTTCATCTTCTCTTGTTGGAATCAGAGGCATACGCCTTCAAAGTGCTCTCCACTCCAGAATCCATTGTCACACGAAAATAAACACTCTAAGATTGTCAGGGAAACAACGGATTGAAGGCGTGATTTTGATCACTCTCCTTAGAGTGTTTATTTGCCCCCACTACTTAGTTGCTGGTAGGAATTAGGCAAACCACCCCCAGGAGTCCCTCCAATCAAAGTCAGAAAGCAGCACCTTTCGTGACTTCTGTGTTTGTGTTTGTGTTTTTGGAGAAGGAAAAGAAGGGGAGAAGAAGATGAACGTTGGAACAGAAGTTCGGCTGCAGAACTTTTTATAGTGAAAACGGTAGTTCCCTTCCGAAGGGTTACGTCGTTTCACAAAATTCAAAATCAAATAATTATCCGGATTAATTAATTAAAATAATTCCGGTAATTAATTAGCCAAAAATTCAAATCCGAACGCTAAGTGCTAAGTGCGATTTAATATGTCAAATTAAATAGCCCACACTTTTTCCAAAAGCCCACTAACCACTTTATCCAATAACTAAAGTGGAAAGCAAACTTAAAAGCAACTTGCACTTTCCTTCTCCCACCAATGTGGTATTTGCTTTACTCTTTGACTACTCTAACACTATAAACTATAGGTTTACGGGGCGGATAAGCTATCGTGATTCGTAAATCGTCATGTTGATTTCTTCTCATATTCTCAATTTATATAGCATCGAAATTTTGAAATTAGTGATGGTAATTTGAACTCGCTTTATTGGGTATTATCTGACCTGACCCGCAGTAGCGTGGGCCGGGACATGAGTACTACTTCCGACTTGTCCACCTATTTGTTCCTTTTATGTGGGGAGGGGCTATAAGCTTTAACCAGAAAAGTGATAGAGAGGAGGGGAGGCTAGATGGTTTTCAACTGTCTAGAAGAGGACCAATTATCTCGCATCTTCTGTTTGTTGACGATAGCATCTTCTTCACTAGAGCTAGTTCAACGGAATGTGAGCAAATAAGGGATATCGAGAAGCTCTACGAAAAGGAGTTAGGGCAAAAATTAAACCTCCAGAAGTCATACTTGATTTTTAGTCCGAATGTGAGGGCTGATCAGAGAGCGAGGTTGGCAGGGATACTGTGAATTAAGCAAGTTGAGGAGCATACTAAGTAACTAGGAAGTTGTTGCCGTGACTATTAGCTAATCATTTAAGTATAAATTCTATCGACAATGGAATAAATATCACACCAACCAAATTAACCAAACTTTTTTTTTTTGACAACTAAAACTTAACTATTTGGTACAAATTAACCAAACTAAAACTTAACTATTTGGTTACTTTGGTTAATTGCCCTAACCAATATAACATTACATTACACACAGAAAAAATTATCCTCTTAATGCACCAATCCATAATATAAGGAAGAACTAATACTCTCATTCCATAATAAACCTCATATAAATGAAGAATTAACTAGTGCACTTATCAATTTCGGAGTCCACTAAAATAGATTGTGGTTGTGGGTCTGACCAGCTCGTCTTTTGTAATAAGAGGTTAATCATAGGTCACACGGGAGGAGTTATAGGAAGTTGTCTTGTTCGGCATTGATTGTGATCGTAAGGAATTTGATTTGGGCTAGCCAAAAATATATTGAGAAGATGATCCATTAAAATTTAGTTGAGACTTATTATATAAAACAAAAGATACAATAGGTTAATTGGTTTGATTGGTATTTAACCATGTCAAGCCAATTAAATCAAATTAGCTAATAATTTTAACCAAATACAAATTAATTAAATGCTACTGATTAAAAGATTACCATGATTTTCCATTCCTTTGAGCATCCCAACACCGTAGTTTGTTGCAGAAGAACTTCTCGTAAGTGCTCCAAACTTAAAAACAAGTCCCTAGTGTAGCGACGGGCCCAGCCCAGAAACGAGAACAAGAATACCTGAGAGAAACCCAAGATAAAACGGGCTCATAGTGTAGCGACGGGCCCAGCCTCCCCCGGGCCTGCCGTTGGTTCGACGACCGTTCTCTCCCAGCTTCCGCGTCGGCCAGCGATTCCTCAACATTTCCCTCCACCGCGTTGAAGCGAGTTTGGCTGGCGGATTCCACGACTGCTTTCTTTTAACAACTAGTAGTTCCGTTCGTTCCCCCAATTCCTTCATTCAAACATCAAATCTCTCATCTCATCTCATCTCCAATCCGACACCGATCTCTCCTCCGCACGCATAAATTCCAATCCCCATTGATCGCTAGCTCTTCACACGCCGATTCCATTCATAGCCGTTGCTGCCGCCGCCGGGTTCCTCTTCACAGCGTCGCCATGAGTTTCATCTTCGGCAAGCGAAAAACTCCCGCAGGTGATTGCTTCTCCCATCGATATCCTGAGTTGGGTCGGTGTTAATTTAGGGGTAGTTTTGTATCTAGCGTTCTCAGATACATGCTTTGGTTAGAGAATTCAGATTGCTTGTTTGAGGTTTATGGTCAATGGAGCTGGATGACGATGGAGGCAGGGTTTTATTTCTGTAGTATCTCCAACTTATCGTTTTTTGGTGGTGTTGTTGTTGTTAGAGCTTCTGCGAGAGAACAAGCGGATGCTGGACAAGTCGATTCGCGAGATTGAGAGGGAAAGGCAAGGTCTACAAACCCAAGAAAAGAAACTGATTGCAGAGATCAAGAAAAACGCCAAGCAGGGGCAAATGGTGGGGAATCAAATCCTCCTCCCTTCTCTAGTTTCAAATTGCTATCTTCATAAGTGTTAGCTAAGCCTAGATCCCAACTTCTGTTTGCTGTGACTATACATTCTCAGGGTGAAGTGTTTGTTCAAATGAGATATCGATCTCATCTCACCCCTTGAATTTGTTTCGTTTCTTCCTTGTTTGACTCAATTGAAGAATTGTTACAGGGTGCTGTCAAAATAATGGCCAAGGACCTTATTCGTACGAGACATCAGATCGAAAAGTTCTATAAGCTCAAGTCACAGCTCCAGGGTGTATCTCTTAGAATTCAGGTGCGTTCGATCATGGGCCTTAACCATCTCTATTGTTTCTTTTGTTCTGTGGCTTGCATAATGAATGTCCGTTATGGAGCTTCTTGGCTTGCTGCATATGTAATATGCTGGTGTCACTGACATATATGATTTAAGTCAAATGCTCAGGGAATTTGAAATCGGAGGATTGTCGTTATACACATGAATCAAAAAGCTTCATTTGTTTTTGTGACATGGATACCTTGAATTGAATATCGTTGCATAAAACTATAGAAGGTAACAGCAGCAAGCCACCGTCTGTGCTACTCAATTTATTTGTAATTGTGTCATTGGCATTTACGGGTGAAAGGGACCTTCGATGTGCTAAATGCTTCTGTATAGTTAACGGGCTTTTACTATCTGCTAATGCTACCCAAACAAATATCTGTAAATGTGATTTGATATGAAACCCTGATGTGCTTGAGTTGAATAGCAACTCTGATGTGCCTGAGACCCTGAGTTGGTATATCAACGGCATTTTGATCCTGATTGTACCTTCTTGCCTTGAATTTTCACACTGTTAATGCCACCATCTCAGGACTTTAGGATTTCTATACTTATTAAATTACTGAAAGCAAATGAAAGACCACGATGATACATTAGCGTAAGGGATATATCTAATAAGGTGAACTTAAAATGGAAAGTGGGACATAAACAGATCTGAACTTCTTGCTGAAGGAAAACGGACCTAGAGAAGGTAAACCAGCAGAAGACATTAATGTAGCATGAACAGGAAGCCTCAAGTAATTGTTTTTAGAAACAGAAGCGTATGTGAACATATGGCCATAACAAGTGGTTTATCTTTGAAATGATTGCAGACGTTGAAATCAACACAAGCAATGGGAGAAGCCATGAAAGGCGTGACAAAGGCTATGGGCCAGATGAATAAGCAGATGAACTTGCCAGCCCTACAAAAAATTATGATGGAATTCGAGAAACAGAACGAGAGGATGGAGATGGTGAGCGAGGTAATGGGAGATGCAATGGACGACGCATTGGGAGACGACGACGAGGAAGAGGAAACAGAAGAGCTAGTGAGCCAGGTTCTTGATGAGATCGGGATCAACGTCAATCAGGAGGTAAAAAAAATGCGCATCTTGGGCGTTTCCTTGTAATTCACAGCTTTAGCCTTTTTGGGATGAGTACAATCATCAGAACACGTACTAACAATTTGTTTGTTTTGTGTTGGCTTTACGTATTCAGCTGGTGAATGCGCCGTCTTCGGCTGTAGCTGCACCAGCAGCAAAGGGTAAGGTTGCACAGGTAGAATCAGCAGCAGAGGGTGAAGACAGTGGGATAGATAGTGACCTACAGGCTAGGTTAGACAACTTAAGGAAGATGTAAACCCTTTTTGTTTTTCCTTGTAATATATCGATTATAGCTTCTGTGCGACGATCACTTTAGTTCGATTCGGGGCCTGTAATATAAGCATCATGTACCTCTAGCATCATCACATCACGTTTCAGAAGCAAACATTCACTTTCAAACCCCTAAGTCATGGCCTTGTCTAACAAAAACATCCTCGTATTATTGTCTCAATTCACGTCAGCTGGTTTTCCAAGTTGGTACTATGTATAAGCGTTGATCTAGTCATCAGTGGATTACTTACATGGCATCTACTGGTCTGGTTGTTTCATTCTTGCAAATTTGATGGTTCATAGCATAGCATCGAGACCTCTTCGAATGGGAGCTTAAATTTCAAGGAGAATGTATCCAAAGTATTCATAGCATGGCATCATAATTAGTCGAAAGCTACAAAGTTTATGGTGGTGAAACTATGATTTAAGTGAAGTGAGAAGAGGAGAATGTGAGTTAGACCTACAAATGATGACTAGATCCGAACGTGCTCGAGAAATCAAGATTTGGCTGAAGTTTTCATAATCGAAAATGAAAAAAAACCCCCTGATGTTTAATTTTTTGTTGTTGTAATGATTTGAGAAATAAGTTTTGGAATGTAGGGATAGACAACTATCATGCAGTAGTATTACTCTCGCGATGATTTTTTCCCCAACGATTTGTGCAAATTTGTATTTCCTTTTATTCATATGTAAAAATTTAAAAATATTGACAACTGATTGATGTTTCTTCAGTCGATATCCTGAGTCGGTCGCAGTTAATTTAGGGGGTAGTTTTATATCTAGCATTCTCATATACATGCTTTGGTTAGATAGTTCAGATTGTTTGTTTAAGGTTTATGCTAAATGGAGATCGACGAGAATGATGGTAGGGCGTGATTTACGTAGCTTTCTCCAACTTATGGTTTTTGTGGTGGTGTTATTGTTATAACAAGCAGATGCTGGACAAGTCGGTTGGAAAGATTGAGAGGGAAAGGCAAGGTAAAAAAACCCAAGAAAGAAACTAACGACATAGGGGTAATTAGCATAAAAAGGTCACAAATCTTTGCAATAGTATAAAATGTTCACAAATCTTTAACTTGTAACAATACGATAACAAAAGTTTGAAATTGTATGAAATGATCACTTTTATTTAATTTGTGACCGTTTTATAATAAGTGCAAAGATTTGTTACCGATGAAACTGTAGCTCTCTTTCTACAACCCCCTTCCCCACATTCCACAAGAATTTATTGCAGTCTCCTCAATTAACTTCAACACCTTCATTGGCAAAAGAACAATTGTCATCCAATACGAAAAACACTCGTAATAACAACTGAGATCAACTGCAAACGCCCCGCATAAGTAAGATAACGAGATTGTCAGCTTCTAACACGAACATTGATCATGTCCCCTAAAACCTAAGACTCTTTTGAGCTCAATTTGCCAGTAATTAAAGGAACTCCCATGTACTTTACCGACAGAGAATCCAAAGAGAAGCCAGTTGTTCTCGAAAAGAAAACTTACTTGATAAGGTTTAATCATATATATTTTGTTTAAACAAACACAATATATGACACTTTCCAAACATTAGTCTATTGTTGCTACACATATATACAAAGCAAAAAAAAAATCGATAAAAAAAAATATTAAAAGAAGAGAAATAGTTACATAAATAGATTATTATCTAAACCTTTTTGTTTGAAAAAAATCCACCTTGAAAATTTGAAAATTCCCCAAGTACTCATGTGAAAACAAATTACTTTTGAAATACCATATAACAGTAAGTAAGATTGATATAGCTGAAAATAATAAATCCTTATAATTGGTAGGAAGTGGGAACCAAGGGCAAGTTCATGGAGTACCTGCATTTTAAGTAGGGCAAAATTCGTACAAATTTTGTATATTTGACTAGTATTGTTGTGCAAAGTGTAAACTCAAAGTCCATTAACTAGTGACCCAGATGTGGAGGCATCAGGCAACGCCGCGTGCCTCGATGTTCCCATCCTTCTCTGTTATCTTTTTTCATGCTTTTTTCTTTCTGCTATTGTCTTCTGGTTTAAAAGCAACTAGAGGAAGCACTTATGGGAAATCACTTTCTGCTTCTCTTAATCCTCTTTGTTTTTCTTCTTCGTGTACTCGCTAAAGTCTATTGAATCCAGAACCAAGGAGGTCAACAAAATGTTGCTCAACCTCCACTAATCTTTCTGTGCAGCAACCGCCCGAAAAGGTTCTACACACTCGGACATATCGTCAGCAAGGTTATCGTAATCTCTGCACGACCTGCTAACATAGATTCAAGTCCGAAAATCTTTTTGTCATTCACAAGGTGGAGTTTCAACACTAGTTTTTCAACGAATAGTTCAAATTTCAATAAAAAAAAATTAAAATACAAGATGTTCAAGTGTTAAAATACGAGATGTTCTCGTCTGACGTATGATATACGTCTATGTCCTCTTTAACACTTGAACCTAATAGGTACGGGTGTGCAATGGTTTTGTACGCATTATCAGAATAAATTGATCTTTAGATAAGATCATTGAATCAAATATAATATGTTCCTATCTTTGATTTTATTAGTTTTTGTAAATACTAAAGAAAAATAGATCGAAATTATATTTAGAGATATTTCAGATGGATCATTCTCAAAATGAGACAATTGGATGAAGAATTTTTTTTCAAAATGTATCGTTTGGATTGGACTGTGAGATAGGTAATGTGGGTGAGTCAAGGGACGTAGGTAGAGCCGAAAAACTCATTCGGCTAAAGCTATCTCGTTTATTTCGGCCGTAATAGTGCAAGTGAATGATGTCTCTCGTGGAGGGACGATAAAAGAAAATGCGGTCCACTCCGGAGAAAAGCAGCCATCCATACTGGGAGCATGAAATACATGCAATAGAAATTTCATCAGGTGCGCGCATATAATACGTTTTGGAATATGCAGGGGAGTAGGCTCGATAGCAGTTCAAGAGAGCGGGTGAATCAGTTCCAGTGGTCTTGGAATAATGCAACAGGAAGGGATACTTGATATTCTTGTAGACACCATGGTCTAGTTCAGCCGAGTAACTACAGTGACGACATGTCAATCCAAAATTGAAATAATCCTCCCACGATAATCTGTCACGAATCAAGCACAAATTTCCGATGAAGAATTTTTTCCAAAATGTATCGTTTGGATTGGACTGTGAGATACGTAATGTGGGTGAGTCATTTTGGGCAAATACCAATTTACCCTTGTCTTCTCCAAGTTCTCGTCCTTGTTTTGTTGCAAGATTTGTGTCCTTGTTTTTGTAGATCTCAAGTAATCCCCCCTCACCCCCCCCCCCCCCCTCTACGAGTTCATCATCTTCAAAGTTATAATCAGATCCTCTCGAGTTCAACATATCCGCTCACATGCAGTAAGTTTCTCTAGTGACCAAGACAGATTAAGCGGCAATAAAAGCTGAAGCAAGTACCCTTTCATCCATGTTTTCTGCAAATTTCTCATCCATCTTTCCGACGAGTTTCTATTTTGTGGGTTTGATTTTTGGTACAAGTGGGCTTTCGTAATGCCCACACAAAATCAACAATTTTAAAATGGAATCATAATCCACAAACTAACTAAATCGAGACAAAAAGGGGTTTATGCTTTGGTGATGTTGAGTCCAATCCTTATTTTGCCACTGCTTTTAAAGGTTTGGCAGAGAAAGTCGAGGATTAGAACGAAGAGGAGGAAGAAACCAAGGTAAGAAGAAGAAGGCGCCTTTGTCTCACTGCAGAGAAAACATAATGGAAAAATCATACTCGTCGTCAAAAACTGTTTGCACCAATTCAAAACAAAGTTGAAAATGGATGAGAAATTTGGAGAAGGAGTAAGGATCAATCTCTAAAGATCTCCCTACTTGGGAACTCATCCATTTGCTATCAATTAAGGATCAATCCCCAAAGATCTCTGATTAAAAAGAATCATCCAAATGACCCTTTAGATCGACCCAATTCTAATCAATATAATGATGGTCTAATTCTTGATCCTAAATTTTCTTTTACTATTGCACAACAATTCTGAAAGTTTGTTTTCATTGTACACAATTACTAATAAGGATTTCAAATAATAGCAAAGATTGTAGCAGAAACAAAAGTGCTACGATGTAGGATATTGTGTGCTTAAACTGTGGTTAAACCATTTTATAACAACAAAACCGTCTACCAATTTTAACTCTGATACACAATTTTTTTAGTTGAAGGCTTGAACCGCATGATTTTCAAACACGGCTAATAAGCAGAAGGTAAAAAAAAAAGTAAAAGTACTAGTGATTCCAACTATGATTGTCATGCCGATTGGTACAACTGGGTTCAACCCGTTACAAAACTAGATGAAAGGCCCCCAGTATTAGGGATGTTTAAATGGTTATCATGGTAATAATCAACTCAAATAGTCATAAATTCTATTAATCATGAAATACAATATCATAACCAAACCGACCAAAATCATACAAAAACCAAATTAACCAAACTAATATTTAATCAGTTTGGTTAACCAGGTTAACCAGTATTATATAATATTATTATTACGTGAGAAAAAAATCTTATGTTAATGCATCAATCCATAATTTATATATAATGAATAAAACATGGCAATCAACACATAGTTAATTCTTAATATAACTACATGCAACTAATACAATTATCTTACCGTAATAAGAAGTAGACAAGTGGCCACCTAACAAAAATATAGTCAATGATATGAGGTTTCGAATGGGTGTGTACATGTGAATTGCGTTAGGTTCTTAGCATTATAAAAGGTTGAAAAAGCCCATCCATTTAATGTTTTCATCTCACATAATCTATTGAGTTTGCGTTATCTAAATTGGTTAACCAGGTTAACCAGTATTATATAATATTATTATTACGTGAGAAAAAAATCTTATGTTAATGCATCAATCCATAATTTATATATAATGAATAAAACATGGCAATCAACACATAGTTAATTCTTAATATAACTACATGCAACTAATACAATTATCTTACCGTAATAAGAAGTAGACAAGTGGCCACCTAACAAAAATATAGTCAATGATATGAGGTTTCGAATGGGTGTGTACATGTGAATTGCGTTAGGTTCTTAGCATTATAAAAGGTTGAAAAAGCCCATCCATTTAATGTTTTCATCTCACATAATCTATTGAGTTTTTATCTAAATTAGGTGCTCATATATTGTTGTCTATGTTATATAAAAACAAATGTAATATTAAATGATTTTTGGGTTAGAAGTTAAGGTATAGTATCATGACCCAAACTTCGGTTAATTCGTGATCTAATAACAAAACTCGGCGGACGTATGATAAAGTAAGCGTACACCTGATGTACACTATATATTCCTAAAGTTATTTAGTGTTAGTGATTTTCCACTTCCTACATGTTTTGCTAATAATGACATAAACCGGTTATACCACCAGACTAACCAGACCACCTGCCAAACATGCAAATGGTATAAATCGGTTCGACAACTTTGATTTCGACTGAAAGACAACCACTCTCTTTTAGGGGAGCTCAAACGGAGTGGTTACTATGATAATCGTTTTAGCCGATAGTATTTGAATAATTTAGATAAGTTAATTTGGATAGTTTGTTTGATTTGGTTAAACTTTTACCTTGTGTGGTTTGGTTTCAGACACTCTTAACCTATCAAACCAACTAAGCAAATAGCCACATATTTTATGTATTATATATAATATCTAATATGGATAACCACTAAAAGAGTCAAATGTTTGTCTCCTTAGACCAACTCCAATGCAAGCCTCCAAATTTGGGGATCTTCGTCTCCAAATTTGGGGTTCATCCCCATTTTCCCTTCATTTGTTCCAATGCTACATCCTCTATATTTGGAGATCTCCATTTTTTAAGTTTTCCATTTACTTAAAAATGTACTTATCGAAGTCTTAATATAATTTGTTCATGTTAATTTTTGTATAGTTCGTCATCATTTATCAATACAAATTTTCTGGTAGAATTTTTTTTAATTTTGAGACCAAATTTTTGTTGACCAAAAATGATTGACCTAATTTGGGTTTACACACAACACTTGAAAATTATTGATTTAATTAAACCCCTAACTAATCCCCTAATTAAACCCCAATTAACCCTTAAAATCTTAAAAAGAAAAAGAAACGCCACGTGGCAGGCTTTGGGGAGCCTCTATATTTGGGGGAACCCCCATTTCCACCGCCAAATTTGGGGATCCTTTTGGAGATCTCCCCCAAATATAGAGACTCCTCCATTTATAGAGGCTCCATTGGAGCCAACTTTCCCCCAAATATAGAGGCTCCCCCAAATATGGAGGCTCCATTGGAGTTAGCCTTATGACCACTACCGCCAAAGTTCTGGAATTGTGCGCTTCCAGCACCAGCGCCGGCTCTGCCACCAAACGCTCAGCTAAAACCTTGAAGAAATGTACTACTCCCGCCCTTGAGATCCCCTCCACAACCGCATCCTGCTCCGCACGAAATCCTCTACCATCATCATCATCCTCGACCACCAAGGTTCCACTAAAAGCCGAAAGCGGCCCTCCCGCAAAACAAAGCAGCGTCGTCCTTCGGCTACTTCAACGTTGTTGGACCGGAAAAGAATTTGAGGCTTGAAGTCGATGGCCGCGTGCCCTCGCACCGACAGCAGGGGAGAAGGGGAAGGTGTTGATTTTGTTTCGATTTAGGGATTTAATCTTGGTGGATAGTTGGGTTGGTGGGTCGGGTCTGGTTTTGTTTGGTTAGAGGGTTGGGTAGGTTTAGATGAGCTGGCGGGTTTCAATGATGTGGCGGGTTCAGATTATTTTCAAGTTAAATAGTGCTGATTAGACGATTCTGCCTGCCACGTCATCACTTAACGGACTCTTTTAACGGAGATGGACAACAGCTAACGGAGAGTGACCAAACGTGAACGGTTTTTGTAAAATGAAGTACCACCAATGGATTTAAATATTTCGGGTGATCAAACTTGAACGTTTTTTGTAATCTCGGTGACCAACTATGCAATTAAACCTTATATTTAGATTACAAATTGATGCATTATAAGAAGATTTTGCCCTACATAATGATAATCCTATATCATATTAGTTACCAATTAACCAAACCGTCAAACTTTAGTTTGATTAATTTAATTGTTGTATTAGTTTATCGATTTGATTATATGATGTTATATTTCAAAATTAAACTTAATTAATTTGATAATACCATTTGACACTCCTGCATGGTCCATGAAACCGTACCAGAGATCGTATCGAAAAAGTCAGTGGTAGGGTATTTTATAACAAAACCGTGGTTTAATCGTAGTTCAACCGTTAGTATCGTTACATACCGCATATCGGTTTAGCCTCTAATACTGGAATTTTGTGGTTGAATCGCCAATATGGTACGGTTTCATGGACCATGCACTCCTGCTCTCTCTTCCCTCTGCTACCAAACCGGTCCGACCCCACTGCTGCCTCCAAATCATCACTTCACGTTCAAGAGCAATCGCTCACACTTTCAAGTTTCAAACTTCAAACACCCAAATTCATGATCTAAATCTAAGACCAACGATCAATCTAGAGGGAGAAGAAGAAGATGGCTACGGAGAGGCACGGTCATCCGGCTTCCACCTCACGTGAAGACGATGCTCTGTCAGTCCTCCTCAATTCCGTCTTCTCTTTTAACACCTCACTCGCTCTGTCCAAATTCTCTCATGAAATTCTTGGTGTGTTTAGGTTCCTAGACATACTCCACGAAGCTCCTTTGTTCGGTCACCGCAAATCCAGAAGTCTCGTCGGCGCTATTCTCTACTCCTTTCTACTGGCAAGTTCAACCGCGATCTTATCTCTCAAATTTTCTTTCCTCTTTTGGTGGGTTTGGTTGATTTTTAAAGTTGGCGGAAAGGAAACCTGAGGCATCGTTACCATCAATGATTGTTGTTGGTGTTTTTTGGCTTTAGGCAGGTTATGCTGTTCTTGGTGCTGCGGCTCCTTATTGCTTCCACTCTATCAAGAATTGGGTTCCTTCCCTGCTCTGCAGTTGTGATGTTGTTCTTCTGATCCTCACAGGTCTGGCTTTTCCCCCACTCACTCACTACTAGGTTCTTTCTTTATCTGGAAGTTTGGATTTTTTTGTTCTTCTTTTCTGATGATGGCCTAATGTGATTAATCAACCGCCGTGTCTGATTTGTCAATTGCACCCATCTCATTGAAAAGCCTTATGAAGTTCTCTTGATGTATGATGATGTGTTCTCAAAGCAGTCTTGGAGTTGATGGTTTTCCTCTTTTTAGCTTAATGAGGGAATGCTTCTACCTTTAACTCGAAAAACTGAATTTTTTACTCTATCAGGCATATTCCAGCAATATTTTGTTTCTCAAGTCCAGAAAATACGACTCCAGGTACTCTTAACACATTCCCCTTCACCAACTCGAGGTAAATGTAGTTCAGTCGTTTCGTTTCTATTTTTGGGATGCTGGTTGTGCTGTTGCTTAACAGTAAGCCAGAACGGATTCACTGTGTCCTGGATCCTATATAATATAATTGAAATGTACACTTCTGATTGAGTCATAACCAAATTGGAAACCACGTCAAAATAAATTCAAGAACTTCAAATATCCTGTTATGGAAGTAAAGATCTTACCATCCGTTAAGAGTAAACATGTTTCGGAGTGATTGACTGGTTGGTTCCTCAATTTTGAAGCCATAGAAGTTAGCTGACAGAATTAAGTCTTTCACATCCATCAATGCAATTGAAGTTTGTTGGGCTGCAGAATCATGGTTGCTCATTTGTTTTGTAGGGTTACTATAGTTTCAGCCAGAAGTTGAAACATATTGTCCGCCTTCCATTTGCTATCACTGCTTATGGTAAGTAGAAATATTCAATTTGTTACTTATCCTACCACTAGGTTGAATGTGAAGAACATAATTGCAACTACAATGTTCTCCTCTTGTGTAAAATTTTTTTCTTTGGGATTTTCCTCCCTCTAGAAGATGGGATGTGGAAAGTGTTAGATCTATAGTAATGCCTTAATTCTGGTTTTCCTCCCATGAGTTTACTAGTTTGATAGGTTTCTTATTTCTAGAGCCTTCTGCTGTGCTACTCCTAATGTACGGTCAAATGTATAATTCACACTAAGCTGTTTGTCTGATGAATTTTAATAAGTTTAGGAACTGGTTTCATGGTGCTGGTCATTGTATGGGATCCTCAAATTAAATTCCTTACAATCCCTGCTTTACTGAGGTATGCCTTATCTATGTTCAATTTGAGTATAATACTTAATCTGCTTGTCACAAGGACATATGTTTTCCCCTACTTTCATGACTATGAGGTTTTTCACTCTCATGTAGAGATATTGTGCAACTTACTGAGAACATTCTGCCTTCACTGCAGAATTATCATGTTGGCTGAAGCAGTATGTGCTACATCCTTTATGAGTGTTTATATCGGTTAGTTCATGCTGCTGATTTTTTGCCACACTCAGCTCTTAACTCTGTATGTCCTTGATTAGTCCTCCGGGATAGTTAACCATATTCCATATTCTAGTGTGAGACACTGTTGAGCTTTATATTGATAGCCTTTGTGGGTATTCTTTCTTTCTGTTATCTAGGTGAATCTCAAACAACATTTGTTTTTATTGAATTACGACTTGTTAGGGGGGGAAGAGAAAGAGGTCAATTTATGGGAAAACACACTGAACTGTTTTTTTTTTTTGGTAATTGTGAATAATAGAATTGGAATCTAATGAGTTTCTTACATCCAAGTCTCATCCCAACTCTTTACTTGATATTCTTCGTGTATGTTTGGACCTCGCAGGCTATCTGCATCAGTACAATTCGATAAACTCTCAGCCTGATATTTTGAAGTCGTTGTATTCTCCACTTCAACAATCAAGCCCTTTAGAAGGTTTGAGGTAGTCATTCAGTTGCTTTAGATTAGCCTTAATGAAATGCCTTATCAGCACCATGCAAGTCTTTGGTGAAGTTGATGCAAGTTTTGCAAATGCTTAACCTCGATGATTATGTGGTCTGTATAGGTGCCTAGTTGTTTGGCCATGTTGCAGTTGTGGAACCAACTTGATTAAAATTTCAAACTTCATTACAAGAATTCCTTACAATGAGAGTTGGGACCAATTTCTTCAACAGGTACCAAGAAGGTGGTAGACTTTCTGATCAGCAAATGGCCCTGTTGCAATATCAACGTGAGAATCTACATTTTTTGAGTGAAGAGGTGGGTGTTACTGAAATCCTGAAATCGTTGGTAGATTATCTTTGCACCTTAGTTAGTAGCCCCCTGTTGGGCTGGTGTAATTAGTGTGATATAGTCAGTTGGTAGTTTAAAATCCTCTCCATCCCAAGACACTTCTCATTAAAAGATTATGATGATTCAGGTTCTACGCTTGCAAGAATGTTTAAGCAAATATGAGCAATCTAGCGATGGGAGCACACCTCAGGTGATAACTATCATGATTCCTTGTTGATTTCCTGTAGTGATTTGAATGGATGTATTCATCTTTTATATGGCAATTAATGTACTTTCCAGGTTGACGTTGCACATTTGTTGGGTGCTCGTGAACAGGAGTTAAGGACGCTCACTGCCGAGGTAATGGATCATCAATATAGCAAGTGCTCTACTAGTTTAGTGGTTTGCATCTCTGTCAGTTTATAACTCTGGTCACTAAACAATCGCTCCCCCAGATGAATCAACTACAGTCTGAGCTAAAGCTTGCTCGGTCTGTGATAGCTGATCGGGAGTCCGAGTTCCAGAGGGTACGAGCTGCAAATAATCAGGCACGGATTTATCCTTCATAGCAATTAAGTAAAACATTCTTTTAATCTTAATTCACATCATGCTCATCTTGGTTCTTATTTCATACCCAAATTACTCAAAAAAACAGTACGTGGAAGAGAACGAGCGGCTGAGAGCTATATTAGGGGAATGGAGCACTCGTGCTGCCAAGGTAATTCCTTAAATTTTATTCATTTGCAGAAGTTATACTTAAAAGACGGTAGTGCTTCCAAATTAAGTAAATTTGGCTTTCCCTAAACCAAGTGCTACCTGTGAATGTTTTGCTAGCTTGAGCGAGCTCTGGAGGCCGAACGGATATCCAGCCTAGAAATGCACAAGAAGCTATCATCTTCTCCCAGAAATCAATTGAATCAGCATGGGTTATAACGTGCCCTATTACTGAACGAACAAGTTACAATCATCCTCGTGTGATGAACTCGATGTGGTTTACGGAACTAAAAGCACTTGTACATAGCCAAACATTGTTAATGCACTTTCAGATAACCATTTGTTTGTTCAATGAAAATACTCGTTACCGGAATAGCTGTTTGTTGTCTTTATAACTCTCAACTAGCTGGAAGCCTCTCTCGATAGGGTTACAACTTACAAGTTACAAATATTGTAATGAAGCTTGAAACATTAAAATGTGGCTTTACAATCGGGAAACATTGTTCTCCTCATCCAAAAATAGACAACCAAAGACATAATTGTAGAAGTCACGTCCTTTGACTGCATTTTTCGTTCCAAATAGATTCTCTGTATCATACTTGCAAGCTCTTGTACAATCAGGACAGTAAGTGACCTGCATTCCATGGGGAAACCAACTTGAGCCATAGGGCAATCTACGCATTTCAATCTCTATATATGCATACCAAAAGGAAAACGTAAGATTGATGATAGGAACTAACCTCCAATAACTTGGGCTGAAAATTAGTATCGAGCATTACATCTACGCCGTAAATTGCCCTGGATGTTGGACTGTGCATCTCAGGTTGGACTGAGGCAGCCGCCTCAAAGACAGATTTTATCATCATCCTTACTCTCTCATGGATATCCAACCACTGAACTGCAGAAGCGCAGAATAGTTCAAATATGTCAAGTCTCAACATCTCAATCCCATAAATGTGCCTAAATCTTTCTTATATTCAAGAGAGAAATCTCCATACCATTATGTTCCTGTTCGAATTCATTCACGAACTCAGGCGTGTTCTTGTGGTTTATCGTCCCTCGGTAGTTCTGCAGGCCATTTAGTTGATAAATCACCATAAAGGAATTAAAAAATTCACATGGTAATGAAGCAAAGCTTTGACTTTGCCTCAGCATTCAGCTTCAACATTTGTTTTTTGTTTCCACGAATAGCTTCACATGAACATACATAAATTGGAAGTCTTACACTTGGAACTTACCATGACAGTAAAATGAGTCTCATAGACGAACAAGCTTCGTTTCTCTAGTGTATACGGGTTATTTGCTAGCCTAACCTGAAAAATAGAATCAAAACAAACATTTAAATACAGGTATTTCACAGAAGGAGACGAAATGCCAGTCAAAGCGCCTTGAAAACATTAACTGGGTAGACCCTGCCATAAAAAAATGATCACCAAAAGATAGTCGCATCTCAAAATAAGTGGAATTACTTACCCAGAAAACATCTGCGAGAAACAGTTCCAGAGGGTTTATACTGCGAACCAGGACAACATAACGAAGATCGAATTTCTTCCCCTGAAACAGGGCTGGGTGCTCGATGTATTTCTGGCATATTTTAGGACCGGTCTCCATCATACGGATAATGGCAGACAGATTATCAGTCACAGTTGTATCAATGGTCCGTGCCATGTTCCATGGTTTCAAGATCCACAGGTTGTTCGCCCCATCTTTTTCACGGCTAAAGTAGTCACCTATAAGTGGGGACAACTGGGTTTCTAGATTATACGTGGGCTGCAACCATTCAGGAGATCCATGTGCCTGTTTGAAAGATGATTTTAAGCGTGCATGATTAGAAAGCTTGCTTGTCACAATTTTATGTCAATCTAGGGGAAGTGTTAGGTTTTTTATTTTAGAAAGTGCTAATGCTATCACTTGCACAAACAATGGTACAAATTGTTTTTACCAACCTTCTGAACAGTATCGGCCAGATGATGTTTCATGACGAGACACGCCTCGAAGGGGAATTGATTTATTACTTGGCGCTCTGTGATTCCAGTTGCTTTCTTCACCTCCTCATCTACTTGTGTACTTGTCCATATAATATCAGCATTCTTCATTTCAAATGCTGTAAGCCAAATAACACAAAGAATTTCAGAGATCATTTTAAACATCAGGAATTTCAACAGGATGCAAGTCTTTTCCCCCAAGAAAACAAACAGAAATGATGAGGACAGAATAAGTTTTTGAGTCTGTGTCAATAAAGTGAACCCAATTACTTTGAACCCTCAATGCTCAAACTGTATGATAACTCAGGATAACCTATCAACGAGAATACATGCCATATAGTAGATGCTTGTGTTCAAAAGGAGAAACCAAAAATTACTCACACATAAGTCAGTGAGAAAGCAGGAATAGGTTACCAACTGACTAAACTACAAATTCACAGATACAGACTGACGGATCAGAGGAACTTGAGAAAAGATGGCACATGACATACTGATTACAAATTCCGGACGGGTCAGAAACTCCTCTACTTGAGGTATATCAGTGTAGACATGTAAAGGTTCTCCATCACTACGACACAAGCTCCGGACAAAAGACGACTTCCCTAGAGAAGAAGGTAATCTCTTTGATTGCAGATTCTGACAGAATTTCTTGTACTCCTTCAGAGAGAGGAATGCAATCAATAATAGGTCACGGGACAAGACTAATCCAGTATACTATGAAGCCAACTCAGAAAACTTTCGAAGACAAAAATATAATATATAGACTCAATACTTGAAGAAAGTAATTCTGTGGTGTATGGAAATATGCCGTTAGCCTTGCAGAACGTTGCTTGTCCTCTCCAATCCCAAATAAGAAATCACGAGTACACTCATCTCCACTATCAACATTACGGATTGGCCATAGTATGGAGTAGCTGGAAAAAAAAATGATGTTAACTAGGTCCACATTACTGAGAAGCAGAAAGAAGCTTTAAAATTTTCGTAATTAAGCCTATAACTAATATTTCACTTCCACGAAGTTCAATACTTTCCGTAAGGAAAGAATGAAAAAAAAAAAAAAAAAAGGAAGAGGACAGAATTGAGAGACAAAACCTCACGGCTGACTCCAGTGTCCCGTCTGGCATATAAAGGAAAGGGGCTACCCTGAAGTTAGGCTCATCACTGTGTCGCAAAGCTGAGCCCAGCTCATCCATTACATACCTGCAAGATTTTGGAGCAATACTACTTAATCTTTACATAATGCAGTAGGTATGCAATCTGAGCGTGTTTTTTTGGTTTAGGACTTGGTGCATGCGAGGAAGCTTACAATAAAGGCAATAGCTAATTAGCATTCCTTAAGATTTTCCGATCAGCTGACAATTCCCAATATCATGTGCACATGAGATAGGACAGCTCTAATTCATTTTACAGAGATAGGACAGCTCTGTTCCATCCGAGATTTCTTACTTCCAAAATTTGAAATGCAAAATATCAATGGATCACAAACATGTCTCAACCCAAACTTGAAGTGTGATGCAACTAGTAGATATCAACCATGCATATCAGTGAAACAAAAAGGCGTGAATCACCTACCACACAGAAGATTCATCTAACTTTTCCTCATCTGCAAGCCTATAGGTCATAACATATAACCACATGGCATTTACAACACGATCAACCACAGATTCTTCTGCTGTCCATTCCGGAAAACGTGGCTGAAGCATTGAATCAACCACAAGCTTTCCAGTTTCAAATATCTGTGATGCCTTGACACCATTCAGTAGGTAAATACTTGGAAGAGATTCAGCAATTTCTACTGCATTGTCTCCAAGTGGGCCGGGTATATCCACCTGGAGTAGAAAAGGGGGAAGAAATTAAACATTTTACATGTGACAACTGCTAGCATTTTCAGTTTTCCAATTATGCTGATTAGATTGCATAACGCTCTTAAGACGACAACAGCAAGGTATGAGTTATTAAAGAGTACCTCAAGTGACTGCAAAGAGGGAAATCTCTTCAAGAGTGTGAATAGTTCACTAACAGAATCCTCCAATGGATTCCCACGAATATTCAAATGTGAAAGAAGAGGCATCTCGACCGGAGAAAATGGCTGTGAAAAGGAATCACAGTAAAAATCAACAAAAGCATTCGTCAAAAGAAAGCCATTGAAAGTTACCAGTATACCCAATTGTTTGTTAGCAAGAATTCATTAGGCATAAAGTTTCCGCGTTTACTGAAATTCCTAGGCGGAATACTAGAAGCAATCGATTGAAAGTTCCATCGAAACTGTTCACATGTTCGTTTCAGAATACCCATGAACAGAGAAATTCTTAACCTTGTTCTTCAGAGAACGGATACATCTATCTGAAAGGTCAAGAGATGTTATATTCTTCAATGGACTTTCCCCCTGATGACCAAAGTCAGGATTATCTTTCCCATATACTCCACCACAGAATCCCAAGGCCCATTCACCATAATTGGGAGTGAAACGTGAGTTGTAGATTTCCAGTCCAGGGCATCCTTTAAGAATTTGCTGTTCCATTTGGACATCACTGAAAAAAGAAAAAGGCTTCAATTTTCTATCCTTGCAAAATAAAACTGAACCATTGACAATATAATATCCAAACCTGTATTACAAAACATACCACTTCTCAACAGGATTATTGTTAAGCCAGAGGGCCCTTAGGCTTTTAAACTTAGTAAGTTCTTCTGCCACTACTCCCACGTTCTTGAGCTTGTTTCCGCACAGGCTGAGTGCCAGTAAATCCTATCAGAAAACCATCAAAACAAATTAATAAATAATGTTTATTGCCTCATCGTAAAGAAAAGTGAAAGACTTGTCTACAGAGCTTCCGAGGCCAAGAGACTCGATGTTCCTCAACAAGAACCATTCTAATCACTTAAGTTATCATATACTTCAATTCAACTATCACGCAATGTCTCAAATGGAAAATACCTCACTCTTCATTTCTAGTCCTGCACTGTTACAGTGATCAAACTCTTCAAATGATCACGAATCCAACCATATGAATGGAATTCAAATAGAACAGATGAGCAGGAACAGCAACAAACCGGAAATTTACTAGTCAGTTCGAGAGAAAGCAGCATATCATCATCAATATCCATCTCCTCAAGCTCCAACCACCTAACAGTGTCGTTCCCTTTCTCTTTCGCTTCGCGAATTTCATTCTCGACCACATCTGCAACATTCAACTTGAAATTCTCTTCTCCAACCCCTTCTGCCTCCTCGGCATCCGATGGATTCAAATCAATATCAACGCACATCAGAGCAGCCATTCTCTGAGCCAGCCCTGGCACTTCTAGAAGCTGCAAGGACGCCCTCATTCAAACTTCAGCAAGGAGAGAATTGAAAAGGAAAGAGCAGTCATTCGCATATGAAAGAAAAAGTGAAGGAAAACTTCACCTGATTATAAGCATCCGGAAGACGGAAAGTCCAGGCGTGGTCGACTAGGAAGACGTCGGATTCTCTGGGCAAGGCTCCGGCTGTGAGGACGAGCCGCCGCTGCCGGCCTTCCTCACAGGGCTCCACTTGGAAGTAAGCGCCGCCGTCGAAGGTCTCCGAACTCAGTTTGTCGAATAGCCTCCGGTGCAGTGATCGAGGGAGACCGGAGGCCGCTATGAGGACGCCGTGAACTTTCACGAAGTCCTCGTAGGTCCGCGGCGGCGCGGCGGCGGGCATATTTTTGGCCGTTGGTGGTAGAGTATAGCCGGGGTTGAGCTGAGTTGAGGACTGAGTGAAAGTGTAAAGAAAGCAGCAGAGGGCTTTTGTGAGGGTTTTCTGTTCTAAAACTAAACTCTATACAAGTACCTAATGTTTATGTCAACTTGCTCTTCAATCACCATGTTTTGGAGATGTCCGACTTAGTCCTCACCTTTTTTATTTATTCATTTATTTATTCATTTAGAGCCCTTAATGTCTATTTTTTATCAAAATCTTTTTCAGATTCTTTTATATTATCTAAACCTATTAAAATGTTATTAATTAGTCAAATCTCTCATAATACATCAAAATATTAGCCATTTTACGTTATCGTTAATAATTTTGTAACTGTTTTTTGAGTTAATAATTTTGTAACTCTTTTCTGAGTTAAAATACTAAAATTTTGCAATGTTAACCTTCATGTGTCTCTTCCAAGTTGGTATCATGTTGCCAAGTCAATATTACTAACAAAATTGCTAACTGAAAGTTAACATTTGGCTAATTCTTAGTATTTCGATAGGTTTGGATGATATAAAAAAATCTGGAAAATTTTTGAATAAAAAATAGACATTGCCCTTATTTATAATCATACATAATAACTGATAAATGTATCATATTATTACTTTTTCTTAGAAAAAATGTATGTAAATCCTACTGTGTCAAAGAAATTAAAAATAAAGGGTGTTTATTTAGCCAAATCTCGGTTCCATCTCATCTACCATACATTGATAGGAAATTGCTTGTAGAACTGTAATAAGTGAGATAAGCATAGTAAACTAGAATGTACTCGAGTAATTAATTGTATGAATGAATTATTTAGGAGTTGGTAAACCTCAGAGAAATTTTAGTCTAGACAACGATTTCTCTCTTTGAACCCAATTATGCTTTTTTAATTGTGTGCTTTCTGGATTTGGTAACAGTAGAACTAAATGGCACTTCCACCACAATCAATGTTAAGACATTAGTTGACAAACGAACTCTATGTAGGTGCACTTCGTTTTTTGCCCAATATGTTTGATCTTCTCATACACAGTTCTTAGCTCAGATAAATCATGACCCTGACCTAGCAATTTGACCACAAGCAATCGTAGTCTGTTTCCAGCTCTGAGAGCATGAGTTCACAATCTGGTATCAGGTGGATTCTAACCAATATAGCTTTCCTTCCGTTAATTCACATATTCACTATCCCTATCGTTAGGATGCAATCTAAGTGCCACATAGAAAAATTACGGTCGTGGATTTTGACTTGAAGGGAGGATTGTTGATGTACAATCCAAGTACCAAGGGGGAAAAGAAAGTTCCTTTATATATAGGTGTCCACCCATCTCTATTAGTACATAATTATGGGAAGGTGCCCACTAACAAATTCCAAAGGATTTGCTTCAAAGCGAACAATATCGTACTAATATGGAGTGCCCGCGGTATCACCAAGTGGTATCAAAACTAAAGGATGTTATGTTTTAGATCCAAGGCGGTGGACTACAAGTATATGGAAGATGAACCCTCAATATGCGACCTCACAACTGGATATCTGTTGTGGTTCCATGTGTAAAAAAGATGCTTGGCTTATCAAATGGAGATGTTGTTTGGTTCCTTGTGTTTGAGATGTTTAGCGATCCAAGAAGGTAGGCATATCAAATATTGGATTATGGTAGGCACAACGTTTGTGATCCTTAACTTGAAGGGAGGATTGTTGGGGGTGTAATTAAATTAACATATCAGATAAAACAAGAGAATGTTTTCTTGTATATAAGTTTTCATCTAATTTTATTAGTACGAGGTATTTCAAGAAGGTTCCCGAAAAAGTGCATGTGAACCTGGCCCAAAATAGATAAAATCATACTTTCCGATCCCAAAAGATGCACATCACATATTAATGTTTCGAAACCCGTACTAAAAGATCATAACAACAATAGTTGCCACATAAGAATTCAACTTCTTATTGCAGTTTATGTTATACAAACTCATATAACCATCTTTGATGGTTTAACATAAGCTCTTGGATCCAATATTTAGATAAGAAATGAAAAAATTTCGTCAAAATCAATATTGAAGAATATGGTAGTATAGGCAGTTGTCTTTTGTTTTACGTTGGTGTTAATTTTCATTGGTAGGATATAATCCAAGTATCACATCGGAGATACAAGAAAATGACATTTTTATATCAGTGTCCACTTAATGCCATTAGTATGATGCCTTTTGGAAAGAATTCAAAAGTACATTCGTGTGGACTTGGTCTAAAGTGGACAATATCATACTAATGAAGCATTCGGTCTCAAAAAATGGTATCAGAGCGTGATTTCAAAGTTCATACCAAATATGGGGCAGTGAGTGTCAGTTTGCTAGACCCTCATTCTGTGACTTGTGGATTTTTTATTCACATATGGAAAATCTAATGGAGATATGTGTCTCTCTGGCAAATCAATGGAGGTTTAAATATGGTAAATCTTTGTACAGAGAATTTTATGGATACAAGGTGCCTAGTGGATCAAGATAATTGCAAAGTGGAGGAAAAAAGTTTGTGGTTCTTGTCTTGAAGGAAAGATTGTTTTGGTGCAATCCAAGTACCACATCGAAAATGCAAGGAAAATAATCATTGTATATAAGTTTCCACCTAACCCATTAGTATGAGGTCTTTTAGGAAAGAATCCAAAAGTGAATCCATACAGACTTGGATCAAAGTGAACAATATCTTACTAATGGAGTATCTGGTTTCAACAAGTAGTATCAGAGCCTGATTTCAATTAGTGGATTCGGACGATGGAGGTTAGTTTGGTGGACCCTCATTTAGACATTCAGTGACCTCAAACATTGAGATTCGCGTTTTTTTCTTGAGGAACAATTGAGATATGCATCTGTGTGAGGATCAAAGGTAATATGCATATGGGAAATTCTTGTGTTGAAGAGCCTTTCGATACAATGTTTCCGGTGGATCAAGATAATCGTTGAGAGAAAGAATCGTTGTCCTTATCTTAGGGAGGAGTTTTAGATTACAATTCAAATACCACATCGAAAGTACAAGTAAAATGACCATTGTATATAATTATCCACCTAGACCCATTGGTATGAGACCTTTTGTTAAGGAATCCAAAAGTAAATTCATGCAGACTTGGCCCAAAGCGGGTAGTATCGTACTAATGGAGCATCCAGTCTTAACATTCTTATAGTTGAGAGAGGTGAGATTAATTTGAACAACGCAAGTAGTCTATTATCCTATGATATTAGTTATCTTTTTCCACTAAATGACACGATTAGATGATTATAGAAAACTTGATCACTACAAACTACTCCTACAAAGACCAAGTGTAACTAATGAAAGAGACTACAGTACAGTAGTACAATAATAAAATATTGAATTCATGGATCTTTAGTTGTATATTACTCTGCTTCAGTTTATTATTTATCAGATCGGGTTGAGATTAAACAACTATAACTACTCTAGCAAACTATAGAAAAATGTTAATCTAACTAATTACATTTTAGAAACTCACTCAGTTATTGATTCCCTCACTAGTTGAATTAATGATTGAAGATTTTCTAACTTGTTTCATTATTCATTCGTTATGTGAAAAGTCTTTAATAAGTCTTGAATCTCAATTAAAGCAAACAACTCTCTTGCATACACTGCTCAGAGGGAGATTATCCCCAACTAAGACAGAAGACCAAGGCAAATTAGAACTATACTTCCTCTATTTAGCAAGACTCTCACTCAATACAAAGCAATGAATCGACTCACTCTCGTGAAATCGATCCCCTACTTTCAATCTATGGTGCTCTATTGACCTAATAAGGTATTATATATCTTAATATAGATTAAAGCATAATCGAATCATAAACATGCATAGATTGAATATGAATTCAAGATTAACAAGTAAGAGTAATCAATAATCATACAATCATCCAATCAAATATAACATAGCTAGGGTTCCTCAAAACTTAAGTGAAGGGAAGTTACTCCATAGAGAAGAGAGAGAATACATATGAGAAGATGAAAAACTTCATTGCGGTGATGAGATTATTCTTCTGATCGGTAATATCCACTCCTAAGATTGATTCATGGATCCAATGTCGAAGAAATCCTCCAAAATACCTCAAAGAATGTTACCAAGTCGCTTTCTCTCATAGGATTCATTTCTTCGGTGTTTGAGATCCAAAAAACCAGCTCCCATGTTCAAAATTTACAGAAATCCAAATATACCCATATGAGTCAATGCTAGGGGCTTGATGTTGAAGGTTCAGGTCGTGATATCCAAAAATCGTTGTTTCATTAAGTGGGGAATGTCACGACCTAATGCCATGGTTAGGTTGTGACATTGAAGGTCAGGTCGTGATATTGGGAAGTGATTCTGCCTTTTTCGTCAATTTCACAACATAGGATAAGATGTCACCCCCTGGATCGTGAGTTCGTGACAATGGGGCGAAATCCCCTTTTCGTCCCATTTTGACCTCCAAACGTCCCAAACTCACTCCTAATCTTACTCTAACTGCCAGGGCCTTAAATACGGGGAAAAGAACTCAACCAAGCATGAAATGGGCATATGAAAGAGTACTTTCAAACCAAATGAATAAGAAACTCTCAAAATACAAGGGGAAAAACATGTATGATTAAGGTCGCATCAATCATTGCATCGATAATATGCATCGACAATAAACGAAACTATGATAAAACCAAGGCGACATCTTCTAGTTTAAGTTGTATATCATAGTTTTAGAGACGACAAAACAACTATTTTCATCGATTCCATCAATTATTGCACATTTGCAGGTTCTGTTGACTTAAACATCGTACTTTTGATTCATTATAAGGATGATAGTCAAATTAACTACTTGTACGCTCTCAACTATTTACTTTGCTAAAATAAATTTTCAGATATTTACGTATCATTTAGACATGGAAGGAAATTGAAAAGAAAAAAAAAAGAATCTTAAGATGATTTGTTGCCATTCAAACCAATGTCAAAGTTATCTGCAAATTTGAATATGATAAACAAGAAATTTCATAATGGTATCCAACTAATATTGCTTACAAAAACTTTGTGAATGACCATAATTGTTCATTTCGCCTAATATGACACAATTTCAACTATGGAAACTTCATATAAACAACTCACTATATAAAGATAACAACACTCCATCAAATCATGTAACTTGTATTGGAATCTGCAAATTTTCATTACTGTTGCTCACAACCCGAAAAAGGTATGATATGAATTTGAACCAAACAATCTCTTCCATCAAGGGATTAGTCCTAGTATGCAAGCTTTTCCATTTTACAAAAATTATATTATTGATTTTTTCTTATTTCACCCTTCGATTCAAATACCTTATTCACGCCATTTCATAATAGTTATCTGACGTGTGTAGAAAATTTTGACTTATTTCTCTAATTGTCTCTGAATTTGTTCATAGAATCTATTGAATATTATCATTACAAATTCCAACATTTTGAATTTACATATACTAATTACTATCACACACCAATTAAAAAATGTTACATGAATTTGAACTGGACATGCTCTTCCAACAAGAGATATGCCATGCTACTATGTAATTGCTTATTCATTTCCCACAAATAATATTATTCCATTTTGCAAGACTCACTCCTCAATTCAAACAATTCATCATCCGCGCCATACTATAACGACTATCTGACACGTGCAGAGAATGTCAGTTCATTTCCTTTAGTTATCGATGTATATGTCCATAGAATCGTCGATCCAATTGATTTACTCATCGAACATGTTTAACATTCAAAAGTATTTATTTATTATTCTCGATGCAACTTACACTTGAAACTAAGTTGATTGTATAGCTTATTAGTATTTTTTTTCCTTCTTTCAATTTTGTGTAGTCCCGTCGGCCAACGAAACCATCTCCATCCCAATGGGAGTGACGCAAGAGGAATTCACCACCTTCCATTCCATCGACCGCGACCTCTATGTCATCTTGAGCATCGCATTGTGCCGCGACCCAATGGAATGCATGCAAATCATGGCATTTTGGTTGTGGCTGGAGCGGATCTGCCCATGCGACGTCGTTTACAATATCTTGTCTCTGCCGTGGGCCCTCATCAACGATCTCGCCGAGGAAGCCACCCTGTGCCTTAGCTGCATCAACTCCGACGTCTTCATCCCGGCGCCGGACAACCTTGACGTCATCCCACTGACCGTCGCAGTACTAGACAAGGACTACATATCCCTCCCTTACTTTTTCCAGAACCGCTTCGAAGCGAGGAAGAAGATAGCTCAGGAATACAGCACCGTCTGTGTGCGTGCCCTAAGCGATATCATGCAAAAGGTTATCGAGCAGAATGCCTGGCAGGCCACAAAGGCCGCTGCTGCAGCCGCCACAGCCGCTGCCACAACTGCTTTCGCCGCCATGCAGATGCCTTCTGCGTCGTTTGCTGCCAATTCACCTAAGGATGTGCCGATCCAGCCTGTACAACAACGGTACATAATCATTTTGTTTTTGTTTCTATGAATTAATTAATTATTCATTTATATAAAGTTTTTTATTATGGTATTTTTTTACTCAGGTACAAAAGAGCTCCTGTCCATTTTAGTGTGAATTCATTTTTGGCGAATAACTAATTGAAATTTTTAATAGACGGATTATTTTTCCTAGATTGACAGATTTCATAAACAAACTATTTTTTTCCTAGCGAAAAATATTTATTTTGATGAGTGTTGGCTGCAAGTCCCAAGATTTAAACTCAAGTTCTTGTTCTTATTCACTGCGTGTCAACATATCATTGGTCTACATATTATGCGCACGACGCCCTAATTTCTCTCATTGAACATGATTTGTTGTCTCTAGAGGCGCCACCAACATATAATTCACGTACTTTTTTGTTTATTTACACCACTTTATGCTTAGTCATGCCACATTGGTGTTTACTCATGTAATAGTGGTGATTATTTATGCAAAAAATAATGATTATTTACACAATTGATGTTTATTATTGCAAGTTGTAATGTATTGACGTCTTTCTAAAAAAACTATATTGTTTGGTACAGTGAGCAACAACAACAACAGGGAAGTGATGGGGTCGAGACGGCGGATGGGGACGATAGGACCATGTTCGCAACGTTCTCCAAAGGGTACCCGATTATGGAAAGGGAGCTGAGGGAATTTCTCGGCAAGAACTTCGGCAGCAGCTGCATCGAGTCGCTCCACATGCACGAGGCGCCGCCGCCAAAGCAGTCGTTGTATGCTAAAATCATCTTTCGGTCGGCGACCACCGTAGAGATGGTGCTCAAGGGGATGCACAAGGCCAAGTTCAGCATCAACGGCAAGCATGTTTGGGTCAGGAAGTTTATCCCCTACAAGAACAACTCCAAGCCCTCTGTAGGTGGATCGGCGGGTGCTAGTAGTAGTGGCACTGTTGTTGGTGCCCCTCCACCGCCCAACTGATATTTGGTAGTGATTTGTGTGTTTCGTGGTGAATGATGAGGCGAATTTGGGGTTAATAAGCAATTATGATGGTTGGGATGTTTGGGTTGAGGTAATTTGGTGTGTATTAGTGCACCTCATTTTATGGCTTTGATTCTAGCTATCATAATTCATGTTTCAATATAATTGCATGTTTTCGAGCTTAAAATATTCTTATCAGCTTATTCATATAATTTGAGTGTTCCTATATTTTTTTCCCTTCATGAACGTTAACGTTAACGTGACCATAATTCATTACATCTTATGATAATAGTTGGAGCCGATCCACATTATATAACATGGATCATGGAATAAACCTTTTGAAGTTCATATTTGAGTAAAACGTGATTAATTTTGAAGAGTAAAACCTGATGTTTAAACTCGATATTGAGAAGGCGTTTGATAACGTCAACTGGAGTTGCTTGTTTAAAGTTCTCACTAGTTTGGGTTTCCCCCAAAAATGGCAGGGTTAGATCCAGGGTGTCATGTGTTCTCCGGTCTACTCAATTCTTATTAATGGAGAAGCAAAAGGTTTCTTTCCGGGTCATAAGGGTCTTCGTCAAGGAGATCCTCTCTCATCGAGGCTCTTCGTGCTTATCATGAATATTCTCTCTCTTTTGCTTGGTAACCTTCAGTAGGTGGGGAGACTTAAGGGATTCTGTATGGATGAAGAGAGGGGTCTCGGGGAGGTGACACATCTTCTATTCGCCGATGATTCCCTAATCTTCTGTGAGGCTTCCCATGAGCATATTCTCCTTATTTCGGTTGTGTTGGTGTGTTTCCAGGCTATTACTGGCCTCAAGATTAATCTCAACAAATCGGTGATGTATACTGTGGGGGATGTTCCTGAGCCAAGGTTTTTTGCTGATTTATTTGGATGCAATTGGAGTCGAGATCCGTCAATCTATCTTGTGTTTCCTCTCGGTGCTAAAGCTAATGGGGTGGATATTTGGGATCCCATTGTGTCAAAATATCAAAAGAAGTTACAAGGGTGATATCTCTCCTTTGGGGCCAAGCTTGTGCTTATCAAATCCATCATGTCCAGCCAACCTGTCCATCTTTTTTCTCTTTTTAAAGCCCCTAAACTGGTGATTCGGAGGTTGGACAAAACCCATAGGCATTTTCTTTGGAACGGTACTGGCGATGGCTCGAAAGTCCCTCTGGTTAAATGGGACACTTGCAAGGCTTCGATGTCAAATGGTGGGCTTGGCATCATCGATTTAGCTAGCTTTAACAGTGCTCTCCTTTCCAAATGGCTTTGGCGCTTTGCTGTCGACCGACATGGATGGTGGCGCAACCTTATTGACATCAAGTACCCAAGCAATGTTTCCTCGTGGCGATCTGGGCGGATCACTGGGGGGGTTTTCCATATCAGTTTGGCCCAATATTTTACGTGAGACAGGTGATTTTGGGAAATCCGCCGGTTTCGATCCTGACGGAGGCTCTTAATCTCTTTCTGGTTTGACCACTGGCTTCTCGGTACTATGCTGGCCTACTCCTTCCCTCGCGTTGCTGCCACTGCTAGAACTCCCGAGGTCGTTAACCGCTCTAGTGAGGTATTGGGGTGCAATATTTCTTTCAATGTTACCTTGAGAGGGGGGACCGAGAGGGAGCGTGTTGATCTTTTGGCTTTGCTCAATTCTAATGTTGTTGGGAGAATTACTAACGGTCCTGTAGACTGGTGTGGCTTCCAAACCCAGAGTCTAGCTTTTTTGTTTGTACAGGTTGATGAGGGATGCTCGGTTTTCGCGGGAGGTGAACTTTTCGAAGGAGAATATTTGGAACCAAATGATCCCCACCAAGGTGTGTTTCTTCCTTTGGACGCTATTTCACAAGAATATCAATACTCTCGACAAGTTAAAGGGCAGGGGTCTGGCCCTCGCCAACCGATGTGAGCTCTGCAAAAAGTGATTACAAAGATTAGATTCGTTAAACAACACTAAAACATGTAACAAAATCTTACATTAGAAACACAATATGATTATCACATGCTCCAAGAGCCAAACAATGCTCCATGGCAACTTTCCTTCCCCTTATCCCTACAGGGACAAACAAACTTAAGCAAATGAACTGAAACTCTTAACGAGACTGCAAAGACTTCACATTACACTCAATAATGGGTAGACATTCAGATCATTGTTATGAGTTCTCCGCATTTGCCAAAATTTGATATAGTGCGTTCACTGCCACAACCAATAATATAATTCCGGAGCCAATAAAAAAAGAATCAGCTCTGTCCAAACAATGACAAAACAACCGCTCAATAAAAGGCCACAAATTGAGTGTTCCATGTCTACTTTTTTAAGTAACAACACTGTCCAATAAACAACAAAAATGCAGCTTTTAAAGGTCATTAATTTAGTGTTCTAAAACTGCTTTCCTTAGGAGCAATACTCTCCAAACAATTTTAAAAAAAAAGCTCAATAAAAGGATAGGAATTCAGCATTCTCTAACCAAACAACAAAAACACAACAGCTCATCAAAGAACCATAAATTAAGTGTTCTGATATTACTTTCATGAGCAACTACACTCTCCAACCACAACAAAAATGACAGCTCAATAACTAGCCAGAAATTCATCATTCTGAAACTTTTTTTCATAGGAAACCTCTCCAGACAACTAAAATCAGCAGCTCAATAAAATTATAGAAATTCAGTGTTCTATATCCAATCAACAATAAACAGCAGCTCAATAAACATATAGGAATTTAGTGTTCTAAAGTTGTAAAGGAGGAACAATTATACGTACTTAATGTTGTCTATTTTGACTACTTGCGAACATCTCTTGCAACTTCTTCTTTTCAGCCTTCATATTGGTCATCTCCTCAGCTTGTTCAGAAACAGTACCCTTCAGTTCGATGACAGAATGTTGAAGAGCTTTCTTTTCTTCATCTGACCGTCTCAATTGGGCTTCCAAATTCGCATCCGTTGCATCCTTTGTGGAAGTTGAGCTCTTTAAATCCTTAGGCCTCAAGCCACCGCTAAAACAAATCACATGACCACACTTTTGTTCTCCTAAGATTGCTTCTACCACTTCAAGTGCAGTGATTGGCTTCCATTATCTCAAGTATCTTAGACTAATCAAGAACCACACCACAGTTAAAATAGCCAAGCAACCTAAGTGATTAGAGGCAAGAATTTTGAATAGAAGTTACATGTCTTTCATTTGTTGCATCATCTTTTATCATGTCTCTTTCTTTATAGGTCTCAAACACTAGCTCAGCTACAGTTGGAGGTATGCCCAACTTCTCTTCCTACAAGCAACACACACACACACACACACACACACACAGATATATATATATATAATTACAAGTTAGAATAGAAACAAACAATTTCGGTAGCATTATGTCTTTGTATTCCTGTTACTTTTGTTCTTTAATCAATACAATAAGCATTAATTGAGGCTGGATTAGTGGATGAAGTAAGGGCTTCTGAAAACTTCTTTTGGCTTGGACACCGAGCGTGGCCCAGAGGTGGCATCCACCATCGTCGTTTTTCCTCTTGGATTGGGTTCCTTTTGGGGCAAGTAACGCTTCTTGGAAATTTGGGCTTGACTTGAGCGACTTTGGGCTGACGGTAAATGGACCCATCTTGAGGCCATAGCCGATTCCTTCTCCGGATTGGACCGAGTTTACTACAGTGGGCTCCTCTTGGGCTCCAGTTAAGACTTCCAGTAAACTCCTCTCCTTTAGGCTTCATCTTATAGGTGAAAACACCATTGATTTTCTCAGATATGCTCCATTGATCCTCCATAATTGTCCAAGCTTCTATCCAAATTACACTAGATTGTATTATACCTTGAAAAGCACAGAAACATACCAAAAAGGTATAAAAGGATTCAAAAACACAACCTATGTTTAATAATAGCTAATTAATCAAATAGATATGATATTCATATGAATTCAAGTCAAAATTCTAAAGATGCATTGATAGAAGGGGAAATGTATCAAGTATGGGAGTGAGAAGCACTATAATTTGAGTGTTATCATTTTCAGTCGTGAAGTACTGAACTTGGTCGCAGCTTCTGCTTCGTCGACCGCTTTGTGAAGTCATGATGATGGAAATGAGAGTCTTGTCAAGAACCAATTAGTCAAAATACTCAAGTTATTGGGAGAAGATTTATTATGGATCTTATACCACTCTCTTACACCCCTCGCCCCCCAGCCAACTCGTATAGGATTGAAATTTGTTCAGACACTAGGCACCATGTGCTTGCTAATGGGGAGTTATTGGGATTCGAACATAAAGTCTCTTAGTCACAAAAGGCTCTGATACCAAACTTTGATATCATATCAAGAACTAGTTGGTTTTAATAACTCGGGTTGTTGGGAAAATGTAAATTATGGATCTTTTACCGCCACTCCCTTACAAATCCACCTTCGTTAACTAACGTTCGGTTTAGTATAATTTCTTGTTTATGTTTTTTGTTTTCACATGTGAAAATAGACACCGAAAACAAATTTGGTTATGTTTTCGTTTGTTGTTCTGGTAACAACAGTTGGCAACACAACAAAAATTAGTTGAAACCAGTAAAACCATTCATTCAAGGGAGTCTATACCAAATCTCACCACACCCACTTTCTATGGGTTTCTTTTAATGAGTATTAATGTCGTGTTACATAAAATCTAAGTAATTATGTGAGCTTTACGTAACTCTTTCGATTTCACTGTTACGTAAGAAATAACTATCGTTCTATAACCTTTACGTAATGAGTATTAACCTCAATTTACGTAAAGTATTAAATTATTACGAAATTCTTACGTAACGCTTCTACTTCAATAAGAATTGAAATAATGATAAATATGAAAAAGGAAAGAAAAAAAAAAAGATAACTTGTGTGGGTGGTCAGCAACCCATGTTGTCATTGATTTTTTTTATTTTTTAACAATGATTTAAAATAAATTTGATCGGATTTAGAGGTATACAAATTTCCTAACTTAAAATTATACTCAAATTATTGTAGGAGTTACCTATATATTATACACCCATGAACACATTTCTTTTGCTTCCCCAACTCCGTTCCGTCGAAGGAAACGCAAGGAAGGAAGCCGAGACTTCATTTCCTTTTTGTTTATTTCTTTTCCCAGTCGGACAAATTAAAGGAGCCGCAAAAAGGACGGACCCCGTACGTAACGTCTTCGTACCTTTTTCCTTCCACTGTCAGGAGGAGAAATTCATTCTTCCTGTATCTATAAACAGCCGAATCTTACAAGTTCAACAAAAAGCAGCGACTTCTCAATGAGTGATGCAGCAAGATCGTGGGCCGACCTTCCTGGAGAGGTCCTGAATCTGATACGACGGAGATTGCTACGAAAGGATTATTCCAACTTCAGGGCCACCTGCAGCAGCTGGAACTTCAAAGCTGGCTTCGATCCTCTTGTCTACGAGAATGTGAAGTATCCATTCTTGCTGTGTTTTCCTAAAAGTAGTGATGATGATGATGATGATCATTCATACGCCGCCTATTACAAAGCTTACTCTGCTGCATACAACAAGACGTATCACATTCGCACGTCGTCCCAACTCCTGGTCGACGCACATGTTTTCTACTCTGCTGATGGCTGGTTGCTGCTGGGTAGAGGCCACCAGGCGTTTTTCTATCACCCTTCCACCCAAGACATGATCAAGTTGCCGGTTATTAGAACAGATTGCAAGGTCCCCTTTGGTTGGATGAAAAGCTAGGCCTACGTCCTCGGATTGCTTGGTTCTTGGCGTTACACCTTCGAATTCGAAAGAGAAGACGTGGTTTTCTTTCATTCGACGAGGGCAACGCTCTTGGAAGCACTACCAAGTTTCCAACAGGATGAGAGTACTGCTGCACAACCACATAATTCCTCATCACAATAACCTGAATTCGGTGGCTAGGGTGAAATATTTTCGCAAGATTCCATGCGTCGGAGATTTTTTGTGGTCCGATTCAACTTGTTCCCCTGTGTACTACAGAGGAGCGTTCTATTGTTTAGCTCGAGACGGGAGGTTGGGAGTACTTGTCGATCCCGACGAAAAGAGAGAAAACAAGAAGAAGATGTGGAGGATATTTGATTCGACAAAGAAATTAGATTCGTTCATGGACGACCCTGGCAATCGGGCTTATCTTGTGGAATGCAAAGGAGAGTTGATCTCGATCGTGGTGGCTCCTATGGGAGAATTCGTAAGAATTTTCAAATTTTACAATCGCACAAAAGTGTGGCGGGTTGCTTATGGGCTTGGAGATCAAACGATTTGTTGAGTCCTGTTGGGTGCTTATCGATACCGTGCGGCGACGACATGCAAATCCAAAGCAAAAAAGAGTTTTAGAGAGAGAGGGAGAGAGAGAAAAAAAAAGAACAAAGAACAAACCCTAGGTTAGATTTTGAAGAGAGAGAGGGACGAGATAGGTCTAGTACAAAGCGGCGAAACCCCTACTTTGGTACTTCCTCTCTCAGAGAAGAACGGAAGTGGATTGTTGACTTGTTGTACGCTTGGTACTTTTAGGTTTTTAATTTTTATCTTTTACTTTCACTCTCACACTCGTCAATCACCCAAAACCACGTTGATTCCGTATTATTATTTTTTTATTTTGCCACAGATATTTATTTTTACGTTGCTTATATTCTTTCTTCAGTTTATTTCATTTCATTTAAAATTAGACTTGTATATTCCCTTCCTAAAATAGCCATTTCCATATTTCACAAAAGTAAATCAGAGAGATTAAAGAAATAGTAAATAAGAACAATTTCGCTAATTAGGAGGACGAGTAGAAGCTAATTTCAATATCTAAGTGTCACTCACCGAAAATGCGACTCGAAAGGTCTATTGTTATTATTCATTTTCTTTTCTTTTTTTCAAATGAGGCTTTTAAGACCACCCACATCAAACATTGAAAAAAGGGGGAAAAAGAAAAAAAAAGGAGGGGAAGGCCTACAATAGGGGATGATAAAAAGGCTAAAAAGGAAAAGAAGGCTATTGGGGGAGGGTTTACCCTTTTGAAAAAGACAAAAGAATGAGTAAAAAGTGGGTTGCTGGTAGAAGAAGATGATTGGGCCAGGCGGCTGGTGCCCTCTTTTTTTTTTTTTTTATCAGATTGAAAAAACCCCTCCCCATTACCCTATTTTCCCTCCCACCCATTGTGACCAATCCCTCTCCTCCACCCTTTTTTCCCACACTTTTCACCTTTTTTTCCCTTCCATCATTGTGGATGGTCTAAGCCAAGAATAGAAACTAATTATTCAATATTTAAGTGTCACTCACCGAAAATGCGACTCAAAAGATCTATTGTTATTATTCATTTTTTTTTTTTTCAAATGGGGCTTTTAAGCCAAGAATAGAGTTACGAGAGGGGGGGGGAATAGTCAGAAAGAAGGGAAAAATCAAGGTTGTCAACTAGCTGGCCGATGCGTCAGGTCGATTGGAGGTCAAACTATATCATTTAGTTTGAAATCATTAGTTTCAAACTAATGGTTGATAGATGAAGAATAGTTTATTATTAGCGCATTAAGAGGGAATTCATTTCATTAAAGAGATCAACTACATGGTTCTCTCTAAATCATTACTAACCCGAAAACATCATTTTTTTTGTGGATGCAGGATGCTTAGGGACTGATTACTCTGAAGGACATGAGAAGTGACTCTAATGATAGGAACTTGCTCCCTATCTTTCCTCCTTCACGTTTCTTAAAAACTTACTGGTTCTTTTGATGAGTAATGGGACAAGAATGAAAGGCAAATTTGAACATGACGTGATGTTGATTGAAGAATATGTGGTTTATGATGCTTATGAGTTTTCAGAAACGTTTTTTTACCACCGTTATTATTACCCACACAGGAAATGAGATCCAAACTTCTCGATACTTTTTTTCAAACAGATAACTCATAGATAGAAAATGCAATGGGCAAAGCACTACCATGTTGAACCAAACAGCTTCGGATGCTAGCTAAACATCAAAAAATTCGTTGCAACTTATTCACTCTTTCTAACCATTCTGCCATCTCAAATCTGTAAATCAATAAGACATCCAGCGCACCAACAAAAAATAAAGCAAATTCTCTATTTGCAAGCATCAAGTGAGATCCATACCACTTTTACTTTGATATTTAGATCTGAGTAGAACTTCAAACCCTTGGGGGAAATATGAAAACGCCAACTCATTCATACTCTTGAACTGTCCAAGTCCTCCTCTTCTATATGTTCATGCTCATGTTCGCTGCAAAACAATTACAATCAGATCTAGATCAAACAAGAAGAAGACTAAATGAGAGGACATGTTAGATCTACAAACAATAACAAGTTCAACGCAATCTGAATTTGTCAGATCTGTTGGTATAGAACCAAAAACTCAACATCGCTAACATAGATCTAGAACAGAACAACCATAACGGTGATGAGAAACCCAGCAACACCATTGATCTATTTCGACTAGGAACCCCCAGCAAGATATTCAACTCTGCCTCTGACAAAAAAAAATTTAAAAATAAATACGTCTGTCTGAAACAACAACAACAAAAAAGTAACAATAATCTCACCCATGCCATGGATCAGACAATAAAAAGGAATAAAGTTTCGAACATTATTCATATCTGAGACTAACCAACCTTCAAAACATGAAAAGGGTCGGCTTTTCATGTGGTAAGGGAGAGAGGGAGCTGGGGAAAGAGTACCGGCGACGAGAGGACAGGGGAGGCGGAGGAGGAGAGGGAGAGCGACGGAGCTGGGAAAGGGGACCGGCGGCCAGAGGACAGGAGATGCGGCGGAGGAGAGGGAGAGGCGTATAGGTAGAACTCGGCACCGTGAAGATTATATCGGCTTGGAAAAAGGTAAGGGAGAGAGGAAGAATAACGGAGTTGGGGAAAGGGCCGGCGGCTATAGGACAGGGGAGGCGGAGGAGAGCCGTATAGATTTGGTTTTTTTTTTAGGGTAGAGCAGAATGAAAAAATTTGAGGAGAGAGAGGGACGAGATAGGTCTAGTACAAAGCGGCGAAACCCCTACTTCGGTACTTCCTCTCTCAGAGAAGAACGGAAGTGGATTGTTGACTTGTTGTACGCTTGGTACTTTTATGTTTTTAATTTTTATCTTTTACTTTCACTCTCACACTCGTCAATCACCCAAAACCACGGTGATTTCGTATTATTATTTTTTTATTTTGCCACAGATATTTATTTTTACGTTGCTTATATTCTTTCTTCAGTTTATTTCATTTCATTTAAAATTAGACTTGTATATTGCCTTCCTAAAATAGCCATTTCCATATTTCACAAAAGTAAATCAGAGATATTAAAGAAGTAGTAAATAAAAACAATTTCGCTAATTATGAGGACGAGTAGAAGCTAATTTCAATATCTAAGTGTCACTCACCGAAAATGCGACTCAAAAGGTCTATTGTTATTATTCATTTTTTTTTCTTTTTTTCAAATAAGGCTTTTAAGACCACCCACAGTTAACATTGAAAAAAAGGGGGGAAAAGAAAAAAAAAGGAGGGGAAAACCTACAAATAGGGGATGATAAAAAAGCTAAAAAGGAAACGAAGGCTATTGGGAGAGGGTTTACCCTTCTGAAAAAGACAAAAGAATGAGTAAAAAGTGGGTTGCTGGTAGAAGAAGATGATTGGGCCAGGCGGCTGGTGCCCTCTTTTTTTTTGTATCAGATTGAAAAAACCCCCTCCCCATTACCCTTTTTCCCTCCCACCCATTGTGACCAATTCCTCTCCTCCACCCTTTTTCCCCACACTTTTCACCCTTTTTTCCCTTCCATCATTGTGGATGGTCTAAACCAAGAATAGAAACTAATTATTCAATATTTAAGTGTCACTCACCGAAAATGCGACTCAAAAGATCTATTGTTATTATTCATTTTCTTTTCTTTTTTTCAAATGAGGCTTTTAAGCCAAGAATAGAGTTACAAGAGGGGGGGGATAGTCAGAAAGAAAGGGAAAATCAAGGTTGTCAACTAGCTGGCCGATGCGTCAGGTCGATTGGAGGTCAAACTATATCATTTAGTTTGAAACTAATGATTTCAAACTAATGGTTGATAGATGAAGAATAGTTTATTATTAGTGCATTAAGAGAGAATTCATTTCATTAAAGAGATCAACTACATGGTTCTCTCTAAATCATTACTAACCCGAAAACATCATTTTTTTTTGTGGATGCTGGATGCTTAGGGACTGATTACTCTGAAGGACATGAGAAGTGACTCTAATGATAGGAACTTGCTCCCTATCTTTCCTCTTTCACGTTTCTTAAAAACTTACTGGTTCTTTTGATGAGTAATGGGACATGAATGAAAGGCAAATTTGAACATGACGTGATGTTGATTGAAGAATATGTGGTTTATGATGCTTATGAGTTTTCAGAAACGTTTTTTTACCACCGTTATTATTACCCACACAGGAAATGAGATCCAAACTTCTCGATACTTTGTTTCAAACAGATAACTCATAGATAGAAAATGCAATGGGCAAAGCACTACCATGTTGAACCAAACAGCTCTGGATGCTAGCTAAACATCAAAAAATTCGTTGCAACTTATTCACTCTTTCTAACCATTCTGCTATCCCAAATCTTTAAATCAATAAGACATCCAGCGCACCAACAAAAAATAAAGCAAATTCTCTATTTGCAAGTATCAAGTAAGATCCATACCTCTTTTACTTTGATATTTAGATCTGAGTAGAACTTCAAACCCTTGGGGGAAATATGAAATCGCCAACTCATTCATACTCTTGAACTGTCCAAGTCCTCCTCTTCTATATGTTCATGCTCATGTTCGCTGCAAAACAATTACAATCAGATCTAGATCAAACAAGAAGAAGACTAAATGAGAGGACATGTTAGATCTACAAACAATAACAAGTTCAACGCAATCTGAATTTGTCAGATCTGTTAGTATAGAACAAAATACTCAACATCGCTAACATAGATCTAGAACAGAACAACCATAACGGTGATGAGAAACCCAGCAACTCCATTCATATATTTCGACTAGGAACCCCCAGCAAGATATTCAACTCTGCCTCTGACAAAAAAAAATTATAAAAAAAATATGTCTGACTGAAACAACAACAAAAAAAAGTAACAATAATCTCACCCATGCCATTGATCAGACAATAAAAAGGAATAAAGTTTCGAACTTTATTCATATATGAGACTAACCAACCTTCAAAACAGGGTCGGCTTTTCATGTGGTAAGGGAGAGAGGGAGCTGGGGAAAGAGTACCGGCGACGAGAGGACAGGGGAGGCGGAGGAGGAGAGAGAGAGCGACGGAGCTGGGGAAGGGGACCGGCGACCAGAGGACAGGAGATGCGGCGGAGGAGAGGGAGAGGCGTATAGGTAGAACTCGGCACCGTGAAGATTATATCGGCTTGGAAAAAGGTAAGGGAGAGAGGAAGAATAACGGAGTTGGGGAAAGGGCCGGCGGCTATAGGACAGGGGAGGCGGAGGAGAGCCGTATAGATTTGGTTTTTTTTTAGGATAGAGCCGAATGAAAAAATTTGAGGAGAGAGAGGGACGAGATAGGTCTAGTACAAAGCGGCGAAACCCCTACTTCGGTACTTCCTCTCTCAGAGAAGAACGGAAGTGGATTGTTGACTTGTTGTACGCTTGGTACTTTTATGTTTTTAATTTTTATCTTTTACTTTCACTATCACACTCGTCAATCACCCAAAACCACGTTGATTCCGTATTATTATTTTTTTATTTTGCCACAGATATTTATTTTTACGTTGCTTATATTCTTTCTTCAGTTTATTTCATTTAATTTAAAATTAGACTTGTATATTCCCTTCCTAAAATAGCCATTTCCATATTTCACAAAAGTAAATCAGAGATATTAAAGAAGTAGTAAATAAAAACAATTTCGCTAATTAGGAGGACGAGTAGAAGCTAATTTCAATATCTAAGTGTCACTCACCGAAAATGCGACTCAAAAGGTCTATTGTTATTATTCATTTTCTTTTCTTTTTTTCAAATAAGGCTTTTAAGACCACCCACAGCAAACATTGAAAAAAAGGGGGAAAAAGAAAAAAAAAAGGAGGGGAAAGCCTACAATAGGGGAGGATAAAAAGGCTAAAAATGAAAAGAAGGCTATTGGGGGAGGGTTTACCCTTCTGAAAAAGACACAAGAATGAGTAAAAAGTGGGTTGCTGGTAGAAGAAGATGATTGGGCCAGGCGGCTGGTGCCCTTTTTTTTTTTTTATCAGATTGAAAAAAAACCCCTCCCCATTACCCTTTTTTCCCTCCCACCCATTGTGACCAATTCCTCTTCTCCACCCTTTTTTCCCTTCCATCATTGTGGATGGTCTAAGCCAAGAATAGAAGCTAATTATTCAATATTTAAGTGTCACTCACCGAAAATGCGACTCAAAAGATCTATTGTTATTATTCATTTTCTTTTTTTCAAATGAGGCTTGTAAGCCAAGAATAGAGTTACAAGATGGAGGGGGGGGGGTAGTCAGAAAGAAGGGGAAAATCAAGGTTGTCAACTAGCTGGTCGATGCGTCAGGTCGATTGGAGGTTAAACTATATCATTTTTTTCCCTTTTCGCCAAAGCCAATTTTTGGACCTCCTACCATGTCCTGAAGTTACTATAACTTAAACTTGTTGACATGTTATAGCAGGTTTTACAAGTCACATTACGTAAACTAATGTTTATTACGTAATAATTAAGTAATGCTTGTTAGTCTTACGTAACAGTTAAACTAGAAGCATTACATAATGTTTCCGTAACAACTTATCATTTTACGTAACGCTAGGTTAATATTCATTACGTAAAATCATCGACTATTACATAAGGCTTCCGTAATGACATTTTACAACTGTTACATAAAATACACGCTCATTACGTAAAGGTTACATAACAAAGGTTATTTCTTACGTAATAGTTAAATTTGAAGTGTTACGTAAGACTTTCGTAATGACTTACCACATTACGTAACTTGATTAATATTTATTACGTAAAGGACCATCCGTTACGTAAAGTTTCCGTAATGACACTTTACAACTCTAACGTAAAGTATGCATCTATTACGTAAAGGTTACGGAAAAATAGTTATTTCCTTACGCAACTGTTAAACTAGAAGCGTTACATAAGCCTTTCGTAATGATTTAACAGGTTACATAACGAAAAGGTTAATATTCATGACGTAAAATGAGTGTCTATTACGTAAGATTTCCGTAATGACATTTTCAACTATTACGTAAGATAAACACACATTACGTAACTGACTCGCTATGACGCAACACCTAACAATGGCCAAGTGTAACCAATGGAAGGGACTGCAGTATAGTGGCTCAAGCAATAAATATCGAATCCACGTGCCTCTAGAGTTACTATTACTCAGCTTCAGTTCATTATCTAGCAAACCAGATTAAGATGGAAGAACTAAAACTACTCTAACAAACTATAGTTAAATTTAATCTAATTATAGGTTGGGAAGTCACCTAGGTATGATTCCCCCTAGCCACTAGCTATATTAATGATTGATGATCTCTAACTTTTTTCACTTTCATTCACAATGCGGAAAATTCTTGACTAAACCTTGAATCTCGACAAAAGGATCAAGGCCCTCATGAGTCGATTGCCTAGAGGGACGTATCCTTCTCTAGAACAACCGATCAAGGCGTTCTGAACTAAATTCCCTCTATCTAATGAGGTTCTCAATCGATACAAAGCATTGAATCAACCCTCGACTAAAGCAATCGATCCAATACTATCAATCTATGGTGCTCTATTGACCTAATCAGGTATTCGCTCTCATAGGATCAAAGCAGAATCAATAATCTCGACTAAAGCATAATTGAATCATGAAAACATGCATAGATTGAACATGAACTCAAGATTATCAAGTAAGAGTACTCATACAATCATCCAATCAAATAAACATAGCTAGGGTTCCTCAAAACCTAAGTGAAGGGAAGTTACTCCATAGAGAAGAGAGAGACTGCAGTAAGAATCTTCACATGATCAGTCTTCAAGTCCGGGCTTGTTCCTCGAGCTTCCAAAGCGAAGAAATCCTCCAATTCCACTCCAAGAATGCCCTCAAATTGCCCTCTCTCTCTTTGGTTCGTCCCTTGGGTGTTTGGGATCCAAAACCCAGCTCTCTCTTTCCTTTGGCTAGAAATTGGGTTAAAACCTAGAATTTTCCGACCACACGGCCGTGTGGCTTTCCAGTCTGCCCGTGTGGATGTCAAAACACCGCGTTTCGATAAGTGGACTTCAAGCATGTTGCACGGCCGTGTGGATTTCTAGTCTGGCCATGTGAGCTCCATGGACTTTCCACACGGCCACAAGGGGTCCCCTACACGGCCAGTGTGGCTTGCCCGTTCAAAGTGATGCCACACGGCCGTGTGGAAATTTAGGCGTGCCCGTGTGGCTTCCTCAGTTTCTCGCCAAATGTCCAATCTTCGTCCAATCAACCCCGAACTCGTTCCCAAACTTTCATTCACGTACTAGGACCTGAAATATCACAAACAAGAACAACCTAGCGTAAAATCGGCCTAAAACACGAGAATTAAGACTCAAACGGTACAAGAATGGTGGACAAAAACATGTGTATATATCAAGTCATCAGTAACCTTTTCGTAATGCCTATTGTATTTTACGTAATGCGACTTGTGAAACCTGTTATAGCATGTTAAAAAATCAAGTTAAGATAACTTCAAGGTATTGTAGGAATTTCCTAAATTAATTTGTACAAAAGAGTATAGATACAATCCAAAGTTGTGCCATAACGTTAAAAGTACAACTTCAAATTGTGTACTATAAAGGCAAAAATCTATAGCACCAATGCTATATAGCATTGTAAAATTTCTTGAAAAAAAATATTTTTTTTAATGGAAATTGACATTTAGATGGAAAAATTAGTGGTTCAATTACTAATTATCATCATAAATTATAGTGCAGATTCACTGAGGATTTCAATGAGGGTTCCTTTTAATTGTTTTAAGATATGTTTGATTTTGTAATTGGTAAAAAATACCTTTGTTTGCTTTAGTAATTGGTAAAAAAATATATTCAAATTATAAAACAATTACATCCAAAAATATTCATCTTAATTAATTATTATCACCTACATATAAATCTTAAAATGATTATCTAAATAAAAAAGTGAATTTCATACTAAACTAGATTGTATTAAGAATAAAATTAAAAGAGTGGCAATTTAGCTCGCCAAGTATTTTTCAAATGGCAAAAATGTAACAAAGGTAAGATAGTCTAACGGTAAAGCTGTCGCGACAGTGAATTTTGGGAGTTGTAGATCCCAGATTCGAAACCAAGCGAGGTCCGTTGGTGTTTCTCGGAGGTACAAGGCTGCTGGGGCGGCCCCGTTGCCGTTGAATTTAATTGCAGATGACCCCAGATTTAATAGAAATACATGTCACTTTAATACATGTCACAAAGTGACATGTGGGACTGAAGTTTCTGAGTAAAAAAAAAAAAGCAAAAAAGTTAAATCTAGCGCTCATTTTTAGCATTTTATTACTCCTTTTCAAACATAGAATTGTGTTAAATATTATATTGAAATTACTAATTCAAACGTGGGACTCGTGAGTTGTCCTATTTTGTTATTTTGAAAAAGAAAAAAAGAAGAAAAAAAAGAGGAGTAATAAGCCCTGGAATTGGTGGAGAGCACCGCCCTCGCCTTCTGCTCGTACGGCTGCGACTTACTCCCACTCTCCGCCTACAGAATTCAGTGTCCCTCTCGTGTAACCTCGCAGCGCTGACTGCAGCTTGCCAGTTAATGTGAATTGCTTACGGTTCGGAATCAGATGATGCAATTGCAGGAGTTGGGAAGACTTTTGGTTTCTGCTGAGTCGAGTTTGATTGCTCTTTCTCAGTTCTCACTAGGTGGGGTTGTGGCTGTCAGATAGCTGGACGAAGAAGAAGCAGAAGTTGAAGAATGATGGAGCCGGGTCTGCCAAGCCAGGACGAACCAACTTCATGGGATGAGCTCTGCGACATCAATTTGGTTCCTTCAGAGTTGTTTTTCAAGTTCAGGAAAGAAATTGAAGGGATTCGGATTGGTGTCAATCTAGAGGTACACTCTTCCTTTCAATTCTGCCCTTCCTTCCTCCTCGATTTTGTGTCCGTTTGTTTACTGGAATGACTACTGGGTTCGTTCGTCTGGGTACATTAGAATTCAGCTTTAGTTAGTCAATTTACTGTTCTAAGAATTGGTGCAGTGAACCGTAATTTGGGGCAAATTTTTTGAAACATGCTTTATGTTGTAAGCTCTATCCTGACCCGGAATCTTAACCAATAGCTTAGTTTTGTATTGTGCAAGTCTGCAACTGATCAAAGATAGTTTATGTTGGTATTCGTTGATTGAAGTGTAGACTAGTAGGATTATGGATATCAAAGAAGCCTCAAACTTTGGAGATACTGTATAGATGGGGCTTCTTTGTATGTGTAATATTGTGAAGAGTTATGGGGCTGTGATACATGAAATTTGCCTACTGCTTCGCTTTCTGTTTTCTGGTGTTTCAACTTTCAATAGATAAGAAGACACTCAGCTTGCTGCATCTCGTTGATGTTGAAAGAAACGAACCCTGAAATGAGATCATTATCAAAATTAGAAATCCATGGATGAGTTCAACTTCTTAAAGTACACCTTTCACTGTTGAAACCTCTAGAATCTGTACATCTTAAGCCTTTTAGGGAGAGAGAAAACGTGGGTTTCTATATGGTTACATTATAAGTGGTAAAGTGCAAGTGAATTGCTAATGTTGAAGTTTGAACCCTTCGTTTGTAATTCAAGTGTTTATCTCAGGTCAGTCTTTGTGGACTTTATGAAACAATGCACATCTCTTGTGGATTGTTTCGGTGTGTTTTCTCCTTTCATTCTCATTCATCGTTTATGAAAAAGAGATCCTTTTTTCCTATGTATTGTAAATCCTGGACTCTTCCTTTTCTTTTTACTCAGTTCTACAATGCTCCCTTTAATGATGTCCAAACTAAGCTTGTCATGAAGCCATTGTCAGCAGAGCGGCAATGGAAGTTCATATGCAAGCCTATCCGCCAGGAAATCCGTATTCAGTCCAAAAAGATTCCTTTGACCAAATTTCTGAACATACAGGTTTTGTAAGATTCATTTTTTCCTTCACTCTGCTTTTCGGATTTGATGCAAGGAATGGTTTAATACAGCAAAGTACTTTTACTACAAGCGGTTCTTTTTTCCAGATCTCTGCTACTTTATAGAAGTTGCTCAGCTCTAGAGTTACAGGTTGGCATAGGCCATAACTTCAAGACGAATGCCCTTGCTTGGCAGTGGAAGCTTAACACGTGCCTGGGCGGTGATGGTATATCTCGAATCCGGAACAAGACGACACTCGGTTTGTTCCCCGGTCTAGATTTCAGGTTCGGGTGGCGAGCAGATTATGTCCTCCCTGAAGTTACAGGGCAAGTTCTCCTTTGATCTTCTTCTCTTACTTCATTTATATGGTATATAAATTAAGGGCTATAAGACCTAGCTTTACTGATGTGCAGCCTACTCCAGTTTACTGCTTTAGTATGTGGTCATCAAAATCAAATTATGTGCAACACGGTGGTTGTGGTTAGCACCTATAGTGCATATTAGTCATAAGCTGTAAGTGTTACTTTTTCCCCCCTTAATTGATGGAAGGAAACTTGGGTGGCACAGGGCTTTGGGCAAGGACGAGTCATTGTTCAACATGAAGAATGGACGACTTGACGCCTCCTTGGACAGGATCGAGACGATTGTAAACCCAGACCTCATGATTGTACATTCCCGGGAGTCGCCAGAACTCTAAACGCACCGCCACCATTGCGCTGCACTGCTGCTATGGTGCACCCATTGGAGCTTGTTGGTCCGTGAAGTTGCAACGCGCCATCCTGATTTATCTGGTATGAGGAATGTGGATTGATCGTACTTGTATTCACCAGTTTGCTTGGTTTGGCGTCTCTTTTTGCAAGATTGTTCGAATGCGCGTTTCACCATTTATAGACGTTAGTAAACCGGGTTAGTGTATGTAATGTACTTGATCTTCGTTCTCCAAACTTGAGATTAAGTCGTGTAACGTGAGAGCTACAAGGTGTTGTTTGCTTATGCTCTTCTTCTATGTCATCTCAATTTCTAGTCTTGATTATGCCATCCTATGATGGAGCAACATGAAAAATCTTAAGAATAGCTGGGCTCACTGCTTAGTCGCTGATTATGAAAACTAGAGGATTCTAGGCGTCTACCCTTGTTGCCAAACATCCATGGCAAAGAATTTTTTATTTATTTATAGGAACCTGTTACAGGGTGCTACTAAAAAGGTGGGGAAGGGTAGAAAAGAGCGTTGTCCCTGAGATTCGAATCTGGGGGTCCAGGCTGAAAATTAGCGGCACGACCACTCGATCACGTACTCATTCGCACATCAATTGCAAAGAATTGCACGAGCGATTTTCGCAATAAGACGCTTTTTTGTATCGTCAATTTTCAAGGAAACTTTTAAAAAAAATCAAGCAAGGTAATCTGAGTGTTCTTCCGTACAACTATGGGTTCATTCCTTCTAGCAATTCATAGTGTTTGCATAATTCGAGAAGACCGACAACTATTGAGTATTGAGCATAGTTTATAACATAATCTAAACCAATCATCTTATTCGTGAAGAAAAAACATGTTATAGTTTTATATGTAGTTATTATATTTTTAAATAATTGATGTATAATTTATGTTATAAGTCAAGAAATACAAAAAGTAATTATCTTTTATTCGAATTAATCACGATCAATATAGACAAAATTACGCTTTAAAATTTATAACTTATGCTTTTACATTTTTTAAGCTATCAAAACGCTTATATGTAGATTGTAGAATCATGTTTTTACTGCATCAATCATCATGAAAGATAGGAAAGAAATAAATGTATTATTAAAAAATGTAGATTAATTTCTCAGTATACGAGCAACTTTCTTTTATGTGTATGGAAGAACTATGAAATTACTTCTAGAATTATTAATTAGTTGCTAAAATGACCAGAAAATTATTAAGAAGCAGTTGCAACTTGCAAAATGGTGTGTAGGTAAATGGATTATAAGAATATATATATATATATATATATATATATATATATATATTATTATTATTATTGATTTTTCACCTTATCTAAAGAGTAAAGACTAAAGTTGCTGGGGCCCACAGCTTTAAATGAATGAGCGTGTAGTGCGAAAAATTAGCAAGGTCGTTGGTCGTTAAGTAAATGGATTATAAGATTTTTTATTTTTTATTTTCCACCTCATCAAAAGTTGTTGGGGCCCACTACAGGCAGGTACGGCGACGACCCTTTTTCCTTCCTTTTATATGCTTTCCCCTTCTGCAACAAACCAACAGAATCAGAGAGTCTCAGAGAGTGTAGTTTGGAAAGCGACGAACCAACCAGCCAGAAAGGAAACAATCGCCATTTCCGCTCTCTTCTTCTTCTTCTTCTTCTTCTTCTTCCCTGTTCTCTCCGCTTCGGAAGATCGAAATTCTTCGGCGGGAAGCCTATTCAGAGAAGTTCTTGCTACCATGCTGACTACCGCTGTTCCCATTCACGCGCCGCCGGTGCTCTTGACCTCCCCGGCCTCCTCCAGAGCCAGAAGCATTCACAAGCTCTTCACTGTCACCGCTTCTCGGAGAATGTACGAATCCAACGACACTTTCTCTTCTCGTTTTCTGTTTCTTTGCTTGGTTCATTCTGTTCCTTCTTTCCTCTTTGGGAATTGGGTGGGAAATTTAGTGACCGCCATTGATTCGATTTTCTTTCTTTCTTTTCTCTCTCGGGAAGTCCCTGATTCCGTTCTTGTTTGGATATCTTTCGTCCAAGTTTCAGGGCGATGAATTCTGGGTCTTTCCTGACCAAGAAGAGGGAAGAGCTTTCGCTACACATACGTCACCCCGCGGCTTTTGATCCAAAAGGGGACGACACGCCCACTCGGCCTGATGAGCACCGCCTGCAGATACCCGAGCAGGATTTGGTGGACATTGACAAGATGGAGTTCGGGGAATTCGTTGCTAGAGAGGCTTTAATTGATGAAGAATACTGGGTAAAGCCCTCTTTCTATTTCTAAACAACGTTTCACAGTTGATTCCCCATCTGGGTTCTGCTGCAATCGGAGTTCCTTCATCTGGGTTCTATTTGTTTTCTGGAAGGAAACCTTCTGAATCATCTTGTTATCCCTCGCACTTCTTGTTCCTATTCTTGGCCACAGTATCGTGGGCCATTGCAGTTAATATGATGCTAAGCAACAATGACTCCAATGTTTGCTTTTGTAATTGCCCGCAGATGGCAGGCTTAATGCGAGGTTTAAGCCACTGGGAGCATCGACCTGAATTCAAGTACGGTAAAATCCATCGAAACTGCCTTTTACTAATTTTCAATTTCTGTATTGTTGTGGTCCTATTCCTTGATTCTTGTTCATGTTGTTCTTGTCCACTTGCTGGTTCAAATTGATCGCTTTTTACTTGAAAACTTGATTGTAGTGCATTTGGAATTGAATGGTTCATTGTTAAGGTTAAGACCAGTAGTAAGACCCTAACGATTTTGGCCTATATCTGATGAACATAGATTTGCTCCTAGTCTGCAGGCGGAAGCTGCGAATCAGGTAGCAATTGTGGACTTTTCTGTAGACTTTTCTTCAGTTGGCTTCTTCTAGTATAAACAAGGATTCCACTGAATTATCTATTTACTGGCTCTGTTTCCTTAAGGGGTGGCGGGAGTTCCTTGCCATTAGAAGGCAATCCATTGGTCCATTTGGCCAACAGCCTAAGTGCATAATCACAGTACGTGCTTCCTTCGTCTAGAGTTTTGTATCTTTGCATAGCAGCATGAGGGAAAAACATACAAAGTCATCCTCGTTGTTTCTTTACTTAGCTGAGAAAGCAAGTTGGGATGGAGAGACGCACAATAGTGGAAAGTGTGGTTGGGACTCTGGACTTGAGCATCCGCTGGTTGCAGCCTGGAGAGATCTTCCCTGGGGTATATGGAAAGACTCTAGGCAGATACGGTTACGTTTCCGACTTGACGGTCCCGAGGTTTGCTCGTCGTCATGGGATAGCGACTAACATGATGCGGTTTGCAATTGAAACGGCCAAGTCTAATGGTAGGTATTAAAATCAGAGGATATAATCTTAGAAATGGCTCGTTATTACAGTTCATGCGGCTTAAGTTGTGAATATTGTTGATTCCGGTGGCAGGTGTGGAAGTTATGTACGTTCATGTGGATAGAAACAACAAACCTGCATTGCAACTTTTTGAGAAGATTGGATTTGAGGTTAGTCCAGTAGCAAACTATTTATCAGTTACTGCCTGGTTACTCAGCTTGGTTCTTGTTCGTTTGTTTGTCCTGTCTTTCTGACTTCGATTATATGTCTGCCAGATGATTGAAGAGGCAAGTGAAGGACTGGTGGAAGACAACACTTACATCCTACGTTGCAGCTTGTAAAGATGAGTACAGATTTGGTGATACAGGAAAGGAGTTCAGTTTACAAAGCAGAGAACCAGCACTGCATAGGCCAGAGTTTATTACTAGTTTTGACAGGAATTTGATCTGATAATGTGTAGACTTAGATTTGGCAATTCAGCACCAACCTATGCACAGACATTTCTTGAGAGGGAAGCATACAAATACCATGTATCGATCGATCTAATACAGTTTCAGAACAGCATATTTTTGTACAAAATGCTGCTGTTCATTGCTTGCTACCAGTGACTACTTCAGTTTAATACAAATACATGTTGTCTCATTCGATTCAATCATAAACTGCAGCATTTGCTATTTGTAAAGCAAAAGGAGGTTACTTGCACCCTTCAAAATTTGAGGTTTACTTCCCAGTTCCCACCTTTGATCCAAACAGGAAGGTATTTACATGCAGTGATCATTAAAATGGCTTCTTCTTAGTACCTGCTTAATCGAGAGTAAATAAATAAACATCCTACTACCACTAACTAGGTTCAAACAGGTCGACCCTCCATATCTAACAGAGGTTCGAATCACATGGAGGAGAGCACTGATGAATAATGGACAGGGAAGGCCTGTGCATCAATCACTCTGACATTTGTTAATGCTGGAGACATCTTCATCCCAATGATTTCCACTACTGGATTCGAGTGACCACATAGTAGCACATCCGTCAGCTGTTCCAGAAGAAAAACACAATCACCCATGTCAGGTGTTTCAAATGAGATGGAAAAATTGTTCTGTCGGATTTTTTGTTTTATACATCTGTTTACCTGATCACACCCAAAGATCTTGAGCACCTTCAGTGACAGGCAGCTATCCACAATCAACCCAACCGCCTCGTCTGCCAAGTTCCGGCACCACGATAGATCCAAACTCTGCAAATTGTTTGCTCGTCTAGCAACTGATAGTGCAGTGTTGTGGCTAACCTGATAACAAACATAAGAGAACAGATAAAGAAGACGAGAGCCGATTTGGTCCACAACCAAATCGAAATTGAATTGAAAAAATGGACTATGTGTCGAGTCAAACCATCATAATTTAAACAGGAAAAAGGAAAATTTATGAACACTGAGTTTGATACAATTCTATGTAGCTGAGTCCTCAATACCATAGGTCATCATCATCAGAATATTCTTCGATAAACTCTCACCTGCTTGACATTATTCAGGGAAAGATCTTTCAATGACCCTCCAGAGGCTTCTATGAATGCTGCAATAGCTTCATCACTGTTCAAAAAGAACAAGAGAAAGGGAGCATTAGAAAGAACTCCTCATTGAGTTTCAGTAAGCCGAAAAACAGGAATAAAAAGATGGGAAGTTCCCAAAAAATACCAATGCCCCTGGAAACTATCAATAACTTAAATCCGTGACTGAAAGATTTCCAAATCGTGATATAATGTACCTGAAATTGTTGCGACAAAGTTTCAAAGTTTGTATTTCTTGACACCCATTTGCAAGATATCCCAGTGCAGAATCAGTCAACTGCCTCAGATTTGAAAGGTTGAGTGAGTGCAGGCGAGGACATGCTGTAGCTATGGCTTTCAAGGAAGAATCAGTCAATTTCCTGCAGCATATTTCCGACAGTCAGCATAAAAAACAAGTGGAAATATGAAAACTTGACGGGAGACAGATTATCTTTAAGGGAAAAAAGATGCTTACACACAGTCAGAAAGAACAAGCTCTTTCGTCGCATGGCCACACACAGCAACAAAGCACGTAATGAAGTCATCAGAGACAGTCTCAATACCACCCACTGATAGAACTTCAAGATTTTCAAACTTCAGCAATGCAGGTAACATAAGCATAGCATCAATGCTTTGGCAGTCATTAAGGTACAGTTCTAGCAAACTAGAACCCAATGAGTCCCCCAAAATGCTTATACTAGTTGCAGAAACAAGGGAGCATTGGCTAAGATTCAGGCATCTTAGGGAAGGAGCAGCAGAAACAAGTGATCTAAGTCCAATATCTGAAAGGCGATAAGCACCATTCAGGGATAAAGTATTTAATACAGGCATGCTTCCTGGAGACGCGGCTAAGGTAGAATGTAAAACATAATCAGGTATGCCTCGCCCAGAATAGTCAAGTTGAAGAACCTGAAAAGAAATACAAAACGCAAGTCAGCTTCATAAGAAGTTTACTCGTTGATAATAAAGAAATCAATGAGATTGGGGCATTGCCATACTAGCTCACACGAGATTCAGTCATACATACCCAACTCACCACTTTATTCCAACTTTAAAGTCTAGTGTTAGTGATCACTGGAAGTTTTCATTTAAACATACCGTTAAGTTGCTGGTGTCAAGGCCCTGGACGCAATCTGTGAACTCTTCCTCCGTTAGCCAGGAACAATCCCTGATTCGTATCTCAGAAGGAGAGCCACAGGCAAGAAGATTCAGAAAATGTGTATTCATCTTTCGAGAATCGCAAAGCAACTGGGAAAGCCTGTGCCTGAAAACATCAGGAACACAGTCAAGTGAAGTGATTGCATCAGCATTTTTGGCAAGACCTTCCATGCACAGCTGTTCCAACGAAGGAACCAAAGTTCTTGAGCGATTACAGCCACCGACATCTCCTCTAGGAGTCCAATTTATTGCAACAGAGTTGGCCTTGTCCGAAGTTGCTCTCTCACTTTGCAAGTTCATCCTATTTGATCTGTCCCTAATAATTTTCATCGCAGTCGAGAATGGACCTGGCCAATCTTCAACCTTCTCATCATCTCCCTCAGTGGATTGCTCAGCTGCTTCAACACCAGGAGGAGCCGCCTGCAGATGCTCTTGAGCTTCGAAATGAGCAAATCGAGCAGCATTCTTTCGTGCTGCATCCTTGAACTGGTCCATTCGAGAACCGGATTCGGTCTTCTTCGACAGTGCATCCTTTGTTCGTTCCTTCAATCTCTCTTCCTCTTCTCTGTTGGCCTTTTCCGTGACCACTGTGGAAGGCTGACAAGTAGGGTTTTGCCTTCCTTCACGCTCAGCCCGGCCCTCATCGATTATCAAGGTTCCTGGAACTCGTAGTTCCCCATTTCTCACATCAATCGCACCCACTTCCCCCAATTTCCCCTTCCCTTTCTCTTCGCTGGTCCACCTTCTAGTGCGCTTCACACTCCGATTCTCCTCCAAACTCAAACCTTTCCCATCATTTCTCTGTTCTTCCTGTTTAACCCTCTCAGCGACCCTCTCCGCCGCCTGATTCTCTTCCAAGACAGATTTATTCTCCGTAATCGAGCTGACGCCGGCTGAAGCACTCCTCCTCTTGCGCCCGGTAGCCTGAAGGGTTTCCTGTCCCGCTTCCTGTTTCACCCCATCAGCAATCACATTACCTTCGCTAGCAACTCCCTCGGCCGCCGGATTCCCTTCATCGACCGCTTCATTCTCCGAGCTGACACCATCTGAAGCGCTCCTCCTCTTGCTCCCGGTAGACCGAGGGGTTATGGACGGCGATCTGGAAGCAAGTCTGCCGCTCCGTCGGTGAGCGGAGAGAAAAGGAGTGGCGGGAGAGACAGGGAGAGGAGCTTCAGGCTCTTCCGCTTCCTGTTTCACAACATCCGCCGCCGGATTCCCTTCATCGACCGGTTTATTCTTGGCAATCGAGCAGACACCGGCTGAAGTGCTCCTCCTCCTCCTCCTCTTGGTCCCGGTAGTCAGAGGGGCTTCATCGGTGGACGGCGATCTGGTGGCAAGTCGGCCGCTCCGCCGGGAAGAGGAGAGGGGAGGAGTGGCGGGAGAGACAGGGAGAGGAACGGCGGGGGACTGCTTGATGACGGAGGGACAGGGAGTGGTGTCTTTGGCTAGGGTTTGTGGAGTGACTGTTCGGGACCGAAGCACGACCATGGCTGGAGGTGAGAAAGCGGCGGCGGCGGCGGCGAGTACGAGAAGAGAGGAGACAGTGGGGAAAGGGAAAGTGGAGTAGGAGATGGGAAGCGGGAAGGAGTAGAGGACGCGGGTAAGTAGGTTGACGATTTAGGCGCCCAATTTTAATTAGGGCTTGTCCCTTTTTTTTAATCGGAAAACAAAGCTTCTCGATCACGCTCCCCAACCAGAACCATGCCTTGTATTTCCCGCCTTTTCTGATTTTTCTTTTGGTTTTCTCTGTGAAGACTGAAGAGCATGTGAGTTGTCGTGTCGGCCAGTCTTGCTTTATTTCCCAAAGATTATAAGATTTAAATTTTAAAGCAGTAATAAGAATTATAGAAAAATAAGAGTATACAAATAATGGAACGGGTTGTGTCTAGCGCTACAAATGAACCTAGATGCTCGCAAGCGGCTCGACATTCAATTCGGGAAAATGCATTTGAAATTGGATTAGTTTACTAACGAGTCGAGTTTGAGCTACTTCGTCTGTAACTTGCGAAGCTCATGAACTAGCTCGGCTCAGTGGCTTGTTGAGTTTAATTCCTAAGCAAACACATTTAGAGCACATGAGATGTATCAACTCTCAACATTATAGTTAGAGAGCCAACTAGATTGCCAACTTATAAGCAAAAGAGCCAACTAGATTACCAACTTATAAGCAAATTGATCTTTGATTATAGGATTGTTAAATAATATATATATTTCACCTTATATAAAAAGTTCACGTCATCAAATAGTTTGCAAACAAGGATGGCAATAGGTCGGGTTGGGTCGGGTTTTGCCAAACCCAAACCCAAATCCATGGGTTTATCCGTGAAAAAAAATCCGGGGCAAAATCCAATGGGTTTGAAAAACTCAAACCCAACCCAACCCGCTGGGTATTCGCTGGTTCATGGGTACCCACGGGTTTTTGTCGTAAAAAATTCACAATAACAAATTCTTACCAAATTAAAGTCAAATATCAATCTCTCAATACAAATTATCCATATATAAAACACCATTATAGAAAATTCAAGTAAAACACAAATTAACTATACAAATTGTTCAACACCAATCTAGAAAACTCAAGAAAATTGAAGCAAATCACAAATTATCCATAAATAACATGATTAATTGAAAGCAAATCACAAATTCTTCCTTTCAATTAAGTTTTTCACTCTCCACTCGATTACATCAACTTCATTTTACATAACTAGAAAGAAAAAATTAGATATGTCTTCACAAAGATAAATAAGATTAGTTGTTTAGAATATTAAATATGCCGAGAAAATTAATCATATGGGTGTGGGCGGATACCCATGGGCCGGGTTTTTCTAAAGCCAAACTCAACCCAGTCCTGTAAATAGTGAACGGGTTTAAATCCAAACCCAGCCCAAAATCCGTCAACACGAATTTTACCCGCGTCAACCGGATTGAATCGAGTGGGTACCCGTGGGTTCGGCTTTTGTTTTCATCCCTATTTGCAAAGTGTCTTCACCGGCCTATTGCCTTCCTCTTATACCATATCAGAGTCTAGCTATATACGCTTCTGTAAGAAGGAAAAATGCTCGTCGCCACAAACTTGAAACGATCTGATTGTGCAAGTCATTGTATTGATGCACATTCAATTCGTGAGATGCTTCTCACGTTATGCTGCGAGGTTTCGCTACAAATCTGGGCACTGGGCATCTACCTCAATGTGGTAACATCTTTTGAAGAATTTACAGAATGTCGCAGCACTACCTGATAAAACGAAGTCAGACCAGAGCTTTACAATCATGTCGACCAAATAAAAAGACAATTTACCTCCTGGCTCCTGTAGTACCCAAAAGCAAGTTCGAAAGAACACAATCGATAACACCGGAAAGGAGGGCACAAGCAGCGGAGAAACGGGAAGCACCTCAAATCCTAGTACAAGAGGAATCGAAATCGTCAGGGGCAACTTTCGAAATCCAATTGTTCAACGTTCTCTTGATATCGGAGTGATTAACGTAAGCCAACTCGTACATGCTGCACAGGTTCACCACGAGGGTCTCATTCAGTGCCACCGTGGGCACCCTCTCGAGCGAACTCTCCAGCACCTTTATTGAATCCGATAAGTCCCTCAAGTACATCAAGCAAATCGCTTTGTTGTTGATCGCCACAGCATCCATAGCATCCCGCTCGATGCATTCGTCGTACTCCCTCACAGCAGAGACATAATCCTTCTCCACTAAGTACATCAAAGCCTTGTTCCTGCTTACCATATTCGTCAATTCTGCCTCATTCAACGATTTCTGTTTCTCCACATCTGCGAACGAGCACTTAGCGCCCTCTAGGTCCCCGATTTGCATCTGTATGTACCCTAATTTCGACAACAAATGCGGGTCCGAGTTCCCCCGAGCAAGCAGACACTTTATCAAATCCAAACACACCCCATGCTCTTTACCTTTCAAGTGCTCTGTAACAATGTTGTTCACAACAAAGACCTCTCTCTTGCTCCAGACCTCGAGTGAAGCGGCTGCCTCCTCCTTTTCCTTCATCTTAACTCGAACAAAGTCGAGCAGAAGGTACAGCCGGTCCAATCCCTCTTGTCTGTCACCCAATTTTATAGGAACCAATGCGTAAAGCCACCTGAGGGAGAAAGGAACCATGGAACCTGACCGGTCCGGGTAGATTTTGGGGTAAGTTTCATACTGGTAGTGGTGACTATCGAAATCATCAACCGTTTCAAGTTCTGTCAGAGCTTCCTTGAAACGTCGAAGCTTAGTGAAAGCAAGGACGTTATAAGCCAAATACGTGAGGTGGTCGTGAGGCGTTATGAGAAGGGAGAGAGACCGTGCTCGAGCAACCTTATCGAGAATTGACCGCCAAGAACCGCGGTTGGAAAGGTCTTGGAGCGATGCCAGCTCATAAGCCAGGTCATTGAGGTAGGCAAACTTGTTGGATAGTGGATCACTAGATGATGGTAAGGGTTCAGGTTGCAAATCCAGCGAGTCAGCTTCCATGGTGCTTGTTGAAATAGATTACCTACCAAGAACAAAAAAAAAATGGATAGAGAATTAACTAACCAAGATTCTTGCATCCAACCCTAAATCGCATGAACCATTTTTTTTAAGTAGTAGTTAAACACCACATAATAAACTTGGCCACTGGCAAGAGAAAAGGCAAATGAAGGCCAAATTGCATTCACCCATGTTGGCCCTATGCTACCAAATATTCCTATGTCAAAGGAGGACACAAAGAGTCAGGAAAGAATAGATATTGTCTAAGCAAAATATGAGCATTTGTATACTTCTTCCCACCCAATACTTTCATTAGCAGCAGCAATCTACAGAACCAAGCAAAGCAAAAGCCCATATGAGAAGAAGAAGAAAAAAACAGAATTCTGATCGACACCAGAGCAGGATAACCTCTTTCGGGAAACTATGAAGATACCCAAAATAGGAATACAAAACAAAAATGGAAGCACATGGAACCATCAATAGTCTTTCTGGCAACAAGGAATTTAGCAGACTAACTGATTATCTTTCACTTGATGACATAGTAACTAACCTATAAGCAGATAAAACACCATTTATTTCAAGATTAAAAATACCAAGACAAGAACGAACATTGGAGGATGATGAGTGAGGGTCATCCATTGGAGGATTTACACAAATACTGAGCAGTAACGAGCAAAAAGAAAACAAAAGCCATAAAAGTACGAACACTGACATGCATTGCTAAATCCTTCTATTGTCAGCAATAGAGGGGTAAAGAAGACAAGTTCCGGAATGGGAAAATTACATAATTTGACTCATGGAAAACCAACAATTCACAGCAGCACAGATCCTAGATTCTCATGTACAACACAAAACAAGATGTGTCTTCATCGTCACCAAGAATGAGCCATCAAACCACAAGCAAACCATGACAGGCACCTACTTCACCTTTTCCACTCAAACAACCTCTAAAATCCTTGACGAAAAACCCGATCTCATGCACACAGCCTCCCAAACTTTGCTCACATGTATAAATGAGCGGCAAAAGCATCTATCAAGAAAATAAAACATGCTTTAAATAGAAACGAGTCCGGCTGTGCCGAACACAGTGATTCCAACACATATACACATTGCTGAATCGGAATGGAAGAACATAAAGCAAAATAGACACCTTGCTACAAAGCCACCATTGACAGAGGAATCCCTTGAACAAAACAAGCTAAAACCCACACTTAAATACAGCAAATTCTCAAGATTATCAAGTGCGGCAATAGCAAGGACTATTCAAAGCTATTGCAGAACGAGAGCATATAGGTATATATACAAGGAATCAAGAAAGGCATTTAACTTATGCAGGCGAAAATTGTACAACAATGCAAGCACAAGACAATGTCCAAGTACAACAAAACCCCGATCCAGGCCACATACTGAGACGGATAACGAAAGCCTCAGACCTCATCGTCGAAACATTTCGCAATGTAGCTAATCTGACCTCGAGGCGAAATACCTTAGATTTAGCTCAGCTCGTTACCGGGAAGTCGTCGAAGTTGCGCAGAGAGAGAGCTTCGATTCCCCGGGGAACGAAAGGAATCCTGTTCTGTTTCGCCGACCCGCTCTCTCCTCCCAGTCTCCCACGCGATGCGGCTCCGGTCTACCGAGTCAGCCCTATTTCTCCACCTGGTTCGCTATCCAACGATATATCTATCTCTCTCTCTCTTCAGATACAACGAGCTCCGACGGCTGACGGAATTAACTGCGGCGGTGACTGGGACGCTTATCGTTTTTCCTTCTGTGATCTCGATCGATTCCTTCTCCCCCTCGATTCTCTCTGTCTTTAGTCCTCCTTATTTTTCCAGAAATATTTTATTTTTAATCAAGAACAAAGTTTTAAATTGGGCCCAAATTGGAAGCAGAAACTCATTCATCGAAACGGCCCGCTTTGCATCATAGTTCAACGAATCACGGCCCGCTTCTTATTATCTTCCGCAATTTTTTTTGGGGGGGGGGGGGGGGGTGAAAAAGGCGGGTTGAATTTTTTTTTTTTTTTTAGTGTGTAAGATTATCTATGATTATCTATGTTTCAATCACGAAGCAATATGAATTAATGGATGTTGTAGTAATGATTAACTTGAATTCATATTGTGGAGTGGTTTATATTTATTGACTTAATAGTTTATTAGATACATTTGATGTTTAACTCAATAATTAATTTTATTTTTAAATTAATTCCATGCAGAATCCGATTAGATATACGAGATCCATAAATCGCGAAGATCGAGATAGAACTGCAAAACTCCGCACAATATAAATCGGGATATGGACTTTGCGATTTTGAAAAATGAGGATGTGAATGGTTCCTGGCAACTCGCTTCAAGATGTCTGTGAACCAAGAGTTCGCATACTTTTTTTGACAGTAAAGAGGTCGCATACATTCATCAGAAAAAGATGGAAAATTTCCAAAGGTGTGAAGTTTATACGCAAAATAAGTTGAGGTTGAGGTCTCAAATCAATTAGCTCCAATTGCATAATACTTACTACCAGCTCATGTGATGAGATCATGTGTCGGCATTAATAACAAGCGAAGCGAGAGCGGCGGATTTCACAGCTATATAGGTAGGCTGGGTCGGGGAAAGCAACAATTTTGATTCCAAGTTTACAGCTATATATATATACTCTCGTTTCACTTCCGCACGTTCTTCTTTTCGCGTCAGTTGGCCGACATATCTCTCAACACAACACTGCCGTCAAAATCTAATGCCTTGGTAATTTACTTGTACTGCTGCCTACCCCTCGATTGCTTTTCTGCCTAAACAACAAACGGGGGAAAATACTTGTGACTAGAGAACCCAATTATTTTCGACAATGGCGATGTAGGTGAGTAATTTGTTGTTTAGATCAATGTAGTCAAAAAGCGTGTTTCTAAGTAGAAAGAAGTATAAAATCGTAATTTTTTTAGTTTTAAAGCACGTTTTTAACTACGGGGTCGTTTGGAAGTTGCGATTGTTAAATAGATATATTGTTGAGAATGCATCTATAATATTATACATGTATTGTCGAAATTGATGCATTGTAGAATACAACGTTTGGTATGTGTGATTGTGTATGTCGCATCAGCTAAAAGCTGAGACAAAACAATCTCAACTCAACTATCTCAAAAATCACAACTAAAAATTGAGATATAACAATCACTCAAAATGAGTGATAGTTTTTGTCACATCATAGAAACAATTCATGTATTGTTTCTGCTAAAAAAACAAAAACAAAACGATGCATTGTAAACGATACATGCATAATGATAATCTCAACAAAACAATCGCAACTTCCAAACGACCCCACATTAGCTCTAAAAACTGTGATATTGTGTAGAAGCATTTTGGTGGCCTAGAAACTTAAAACCGTAAGTTTTAAAGCGCGATTTTGACTACATTTGTTTAGATAAACCTAATACCTGTGGATCACTTGTGACATCTCTTGGTCTCGGATCTGCGAAGAGAGGAGGGGGGGGGGGGGGGGGGGGGGGTTGATCCATATCCATATATGAATTTGGCCACACTACTCTGTACACTATGTCGACCTTACTCACCTAATATTCGACTATGAACGTTGAAAGAGTATCGTTACTCACCTAATATTCGACTATGAACGTTGGAAGAGTATCGTTGCGCCTACAATACATTTTTCGTAACACATTGGTCACGATAACAACTATTGTTACCGGACTTTTACTTAAAGTGATAGATCATATGATAACCAAGACTTGTACACATCATAACCATCTTTATGGGCACCAAAACGACCCCCAAGCAGTAGAGGTGGCAATTAGGATCCAAATCCATGAATCCAATCCAATCCATCCACCAAATTATCCACCTAATCCAATCCATTTAAATCCAATCCATTTGATCCAAATGACAAATTACAATTTAATACCTATATTTTACATTTTGGTACCTAAAATTTATATTTTTATAGGAAAAAATCATTGGGAAATTACATTTTGGTACCTAAAAATTTTCATTAATACATTTTAGTACCTAAACTTTTCAAAATTTACATTTTGGTCCAAGCCTTGGATGTCATTTGGATTCATGGATCAATCCACCAATCCATTGGATTCAATCCATGAATCCACCAATGCATTGGATCCAATCCATTTGATCCATGGATCCACCAATCCAATCCACGAATCCGATCCAATTGCCACATCTACCAAGCGGCGATCGAGGGTCCATGCCGACAGAGTATGTAGTTGAGCAATTGTATTCATTAATCATAATTGTACGTGTTGTGAGTGATAGTTTCTCTGTAATTCCCAGTGGGCGCGAGAGTTATACTTATGTATATGGTTGCCTGCCCATTTGCCATATCCAATCCCAAGGGCCACAAAATTAAATGGTGTTTGGCTGACTGTCTAGTTCGCTCATTAGTACCGATGTTGAGGTAGATGGAAAGCTTCTATTTGGGCTATCCTCCCAACAGATTGCTGAATTCCCATTGTCATGTTACAGTGTAATCAGATTGTGATACATTAGCTGGTCGTCCGATTAGTTATGTAGCCGGCGGTTTCAATGTTGTCCAAAAAAATTTGGTCTTTTTTTGGTACTATATCGAGTGAAGTTAAAAGTGTGATTCTACATAGAAGCATTTTGGTTATCTAGAAGCGTAAAAATATAAGTTTTTAAGATTTAAGTCGTAGATTTTAACTATGCTAGTAAGTGAAAAGCGTGATTATCGTATAAGCGTTTTGCTTACTTAGAAGTGTAATCTTTTAAACTTTAACTCGCGGTGATAACTGCATTCTACTATCCAAATTCAATTTATTGTGGATCACATTAAGTTTGACTAATATCACTTTTGGGGTGTATCCATACTCAACTTTTTAGTTTGGATCTAAAAATTAGGCATGTTACATTGGCTATCGAAAAGAAAAAGGATACTCAACTCTATTGCAACTTTTGCCCTTTTTTTCTTTGTTCAAAATCAAACATAAATGTGCAAACACAAACATTAAATATGTTAATCGCTTGAAGACAGTGGTAAGATTATAGATATTGCTTTTTCGCAATTATAATTATAAAGACTCAAATAGATTTATTTGGGTCTGCCCACCTAAATTGGAATGATTATGAACTCAATCAAAACTCAAAATCATTAAAAGTGCATTTGAACCCGGCACGATGTCCATAAAAGTAATGGAAATTGGGTGAAATTATCCAATAAATGGATTCATTGCCATCCCTAATAGCGTGTTTTGTAAGAGAAGGTTTGATATTGTTTGGGAAGAACTACCTTTGGAATGCCTTGGCACTAGATCGAGGGTCATCTCCCCCTTGAACCCAGCAAGTCTGACGTATACAGTGGTTGCATTGATTGTTGAAATTGGGTAAGACTACTGAGATTTTTATTCATACGAATTTGAATTATGTCTATGTTCATCTATGATTTCTTATATTCTCTTATTAATTCAGTCAAACCTCTATTTGATCAAATTATATAATAAATAACCTTCTTCAATAACAAGTCAATGGTGCTCAAAATGTTGTGTGTTAACCTTAGGTGGATGTTTATGGTGCTATAGCTACTTGGTTGTTTCAAAGACCAGTAGGTTATCTTCGCCATTGTTCCTTATAAGTTATAATCTAGTTTTCACGCCTATTGTGAAAAATTAATGCTGTGAAAATTTGGAGCTTAAAATAAAGCAATCCACTTACTATGTCAGCTTATTACACCAGTCCTCTTGATTAGTTCATACTAGAGAACACCACATATGAGGTTACTAGATACTAAATTGTCAAACTTGATTTGATGAAGCTTTTGTTTTATGGATAAGGGTGATATAAGTTTCATTTTTTTTTTTTTTGTAATTAAGGTACTATTTAAGGGATTCGAACCTGAAACCTCCAAATTCTAGACTAGTGGTATTACCACTAGGCCAAGCCGTTGTTCGTTTGATTTGATGAAGCTTTTCATTAGTTGGACCGAAAAAGAGAAAGAGAAGAATAGGGATGACAAAAATATCTGTAACCGTGGATATCCGCCCGAATCCGACTTGATTGTTTAGGGTAAAACCCGAACACGAAGGACTTTTAGTGGGTACGGGTAAAACTTGAACCCGAATATTACGAGTAATGGGTGGGGATGATTTTCTCACTATCGAATCTGAACCCGCCCAATTATACACATGCATATGTATTTTGTCTAAAAATAATCAATATTTTTCTCTAAAATATTTTATATTTAGCATGTAAATATAATACTTTTATGAAATTATGTTGTTTTAATTAATTTTCTTCATTCTAGTGAATTATTGTTGTACTTTTCGTCTTACATAACGTGAGAATACGTGTGAATATTAACATATTGATTAGAGTTATAAAATGAAACTATTACCCTTGGATAACCATGGATACCCGAAACCCGAACGAGTATGGGCATGATTTGGATTTTCTACCCATTTCTTATGTGGGTATGGGTAAAACCCGAACTACTTTGGGTAGGTAACGAATATGCACTATCCGTCCCCGACCCATTGTCATCCCTAGAGAAGAAGCTTTTTGGTCCAGCTCTTTCTCTAAGTTATTTGGCCATTATTTTCTACAAGTATACTTGATTGACGATGTTGACTTTTGTTTTTATGTTTTGCAGATCATTGGTTTTCAACCCGGAGATTCATAGTGAAGACTCCCTGTTTCCGACGAGGAAAATCTAGTGTTTGATATTAATGATTTGCACCTTGACTTCTTGAACAATAGTTAATAACACGGTTCACACCTCTCCAAACAATGTTATAACGAGGGTGTTTGATGATTTGGATGGTTTTTCGGAACAAGCTAAGTTACTTTACTTCTACTCCTATGGAGGTCTTGTGAGAGCTCCATAAACTAAACTACGACTATGGCTACATTGCAGTGGAAAAGATAAAGTTTGACATGTGGTGTCAAATGTTTGGTTGTGAAACCCTTGCTTCGTTTTCGCACCTATTGCCATTACTAGTAACCATTGTGTAACCGCCTCTTGGTAACCGCTGCTCCACTGCTTGGTGCCTGATGTAGCTTGCTTGATGGCTTACCTGCCTTGCGTGCTTGTCACTTGATAACTTGCACCTTGATGACTTCACTTGATAGCTAGCCCCTTGTGCCATGGAAGTGTCTTGCTTGGTTAGCGAGGTCCTTGTGCCATGCGTGCTTGCCACTTGATAACTTGCACCTTGATGACTTCACTTGATAGCTAGCCCCTTGTGCCATGGAAGTGTCTTGCTTGGTTAGCGAGGTCCTTGTGCCATGGAGGTGTCTTGCTTGGTTAGCGAGGTCTTCACGCAAGGTGGTCTACCATGTGATGATGTTACATGACTGACAGCCTAACACTTAGAAACTTGATGACCTTGTTTACTATTTACTAGGTACCATGCATTGACTACCCATGAAGCCTAGCATGCCCGACTACTTTGCACTCTGCCCTGCTTGGGTACTTGTTCGTGGTTGGGTCTCTACTCTCAACAATTAGCCAAATTTCTCTTAGTCGAATTTCTCAAACATACTTGACAATCGAGTATGTAAACGGCTTGGTAGGTGGGTGCTTAGCTGGTTGGTATTGAGGAGGTGAGTATCGAGGTTGGCCTTATAAGATCTGGATAGCTCAAAAGTCCATCACTTAGACCCAACTTAAATCACTTAATTAATATAGTTAAGTTTCCTTATACACCAATATCAATTCTTGAAAATAATCAATGTGGTATCAAGTTTTTTTTTTTTTTTTTTTGTGATAAACACCCCTAATATTCATACGCCTAACACCCCCAAGTGGCCTGTATCATACTACACGGAATAAACATGAGCTCTTTGCCTTGGAACTATTTCATCATTACTTCGTAAAGATTTGTGTCATAAACAATTGCTTTGCTTTCTCCATATTAATGTAAAAGTTTTTGCCTCCTTTGGTTTAACTTAATTGGAATGATTTGGTTGGATTGGAAAACAATTGTCCAAGTCAATAAAGCGACGCGGGGAAGAGAAAGACTTGACTGAGAACTGAGAGGTGCAAGTTTTGGGTCTTATTGTCCTCCATTTTGGACCATTCCCACAACACCATCCATCGTTTTCCCAACCATTTCTTCTCGCCATTTTCCTTTTCCCCAACTTAGGATGAAAACGAGTGGGATCCGAGATAGATAGTGAGCATGTATTATCCTATATAATTAGTTCGGAGTTTATCTATATTCATAGGTATATAAGATTCTCATAGTAAATAAATTCATATTCGTACTCAATTAAATATCGGGTATTTATGGATATCTATATATAAAAAAATTTCTTTTATCATTTTAACTATTGTATTACTAATCACAATTATATTAAAGTTACATAAGTGAAAAATGATGAGAATTAAAAAAAAAGGAATACTAGTTTATGAGATGCTCCGAATACACTAGAACACCAAATATGTTAAATTAAAAAAATGAAGATTTATATAAAATATTGTATATACATGGATGGTTCGGATTGGATAGTGATAAAACCATACCCGCACTATTACACATGATGTTCTGCTTCGGATTTTGTCCATACTATTAGGCATTTTATTTAGTTCATGTTTTACTCTGCCGGATCAGGTCGGATTAGTATGCGTTATTGACTAATTATGAGTATTTTATTTTTTCCATCTCTGCCCCAATTACCTATACTACTACATAAAGCTGGGGAAAAAGGGCAGTTGCTGAACAAAAAGCTTCTACTCGTCGGGGCAGCCGGCAACAGTACAAAGGCATTAGTTCCTACAGTGTCGACTATACTTTTTGTGGACTTCCTTCCTAGTTGGCCATTATGTTTCCTCTTTTAATGACGACTTAATCCATCTTATTCGTCAAGACAAGGACAAAGACACCTACAAGAAAGACCCATCACCCATTTACTAAACCTAAATTTCCATCCATTTGAAAAGATTGGGAGATGTTGAAGTCTCAACTTATTACAGCGATCAACTCAACTCAAAGTTGAAAGTTGCAGTGGTGTGTAATTGTCTAGTTCGACATGAAAGAGATTTCGTGTTGACATCTGATGTTCGCATTGCGCGATGTTACATTTTTTTGTGCGAGACATTGAAATGGTTCGAGTTAAACTGAGTTAGGTGTACTTGGCCCGGTGGGGGGTTTTCAATTAGTTGTTAAATAAGATACTAGTTCTAGTCAATATTGGAGCTTCTCATCACAAAAGAAAAAAAAAGAAAGAAATTTCTAATAATATTTACTCAATTCTATTACTTCAGATGAAAACCCTTATTTACAAAAAGAGAGTAGAGATATATGAGCAACAGATCTACATAAAACGAACCAACAAATGACACGAATGTAGGAATGGAATGAAAATGGGGCAGGTCGGGTTGGCCGGTATCTCGATACCTATACCCGTTCTTTGGTTGTGAGAGGTTGGGTTAAGTTCGGGTAATTTATTATGGGACATCGGTCAGGGCTTGTCGACTCATAGTCATATGAGTATGTAATTTAAAGGAAAAATATTAGAACTATTCACGTTTTAATTAAAAAGATAAAGAAACAAACTATAACATGATAAATTATTCGAGAAATTGAGGCTGTCATAGTTAAATTACTCGAGAAGTTGATGTAATAAAAGCAAAATCCTAAATAATTTGAGTAAAGTTATATATAATTTAGAAAAATTGGGTCGATAATGGAACGGACGGGCGAGTCAGGGTAGGTGAAGGAGATTGCCCATGCCCGCCCAAAACAAGTGAAATAGGTGAGGTAAAATGGCTGGTCACCTCGAATTTGTCATCTCTACACGAATATACTAAGAAATTCATCATTATAATATTTGAATTTAATATTTACTCTAATTATTTTTATGATGCAATTTTAAATTGGAGAGTTCCATAATCAATTTGGTAATGAACAGTAGTTTATATTTGTAGAAAAACGAAAAGTAACAAGTAATGGTCCCGTAGCTCAGTTGGTTAGAGCGTTGGTCTTATGAGCCGAAGGTCGCGGGTTCGGTCCCCGCCGGGACCAAAAATTCGAATTTTAATCGATGCATATTTAAGAAGCTTGCCCTGAAAAAAAAAAAAAAAAAAGAGGAGCTTGCCGTTTCGAACCATGCGCTGGACAAGTATCTTTTTATTTAAAATCCCACCAAAGTTGTAATCTCGAATGGAAACATGTTGATCAAATAATCAGCTTCTCAATAAAATATGATCTATATATCTTTCTAATATCATTTTAAAATTATTGTGAGCTCCAATTTACGTAATCTTTTAATGTAGATATCTTTGTAATCTAATATTACGTAATCTTTTTCTATATATCTTTCTAATCACACATTTGAATAATTTCATCTAGACATTTACCTCTAGTAAAAATATTGCAAGATCAACTCACCCCTTCACTTCTTTTCAATGATATATTCAAACACACACATCTACTATGTACTCAATTGTTTTTGTTGACAACTTCACCGATGTGCATCTACTTCTAAAATACTAGACCACTCTTTGAAGTATTCAAATGATACCAAATTTTAATATGAAAAAAATAGTAACCTATCGTTGAGCATATGAGGAATATCTAATATTTATAATCTTGAAAATTAATTGGTAGATGATTCTTATTGATAATGAACCGTTGAACCACGACCAACTCATGATTTCAACATAAAATAACTTGCCGCTAACTTTTACAGTTTCCGGCACGGTTTTACAATCATGGAGAAAATTCTCCCAACACTGAAAACTGAGAGGAGCACGACTCGTGATTTTTTTTCAAGGAAAGGATATTACGTCTCATTCCCATATCCAAAGCCAGAAGAAAGTAAAGGACTAGTTTGACCCTGTTGTAGTTTTTGTAGAAGCAGCTTCTGGCTAAAGCTTATAAAAAAAAGTATTTTTCAAAAAAAGCAGTTGAGTGTTTGAATTTATAACATAACGTCAAATGTACATGCTCATTTAGCCCAGGACATACAGAGACCACACACAAGTTCATTTAGCCGAGCTCATCTACTATGCTGCGAAACATTGAATTTATAACACAACGTCAAATATACATGTTCAATTTGTATCATTAAGCTTTTGTACCTAAAAATATAAAATATAAAATAAATGTTGGTTTGTGATTGTGAGTCGGTCTACTCTAGCAAAGGCCGTATAAAATTGACCTATGATTGCATCAGCAGGATGACAACTGCCAATTGGACTTGTTTCGCGCGATTGGATCTTTCGCTTTGTTCCCTTTTCCCTCCTCTTTAAAGATCGTCAATTTTAGTATAAAAAAGATGATCAGTTTTGTATCTAGTTGAGTATATTATTATATTAACTTAATGACCTTTCATTTTTAATACATTTGGGCGCGACACATTTTTCTTATTTTGGCTGTATTTCTGATTAAAACTAAAGTAGAATTATAAGATATAAAATTATAATCAATCAAACAAGTTATAATCTCAATTTTAAATGATTCCATATATTTTACTCGTAAACATGTACTTATAACAATTCTTAGCTAACATTTTCAGAAGTGCTTAAAATACAAGCACTTGCAACCAATTTGAATTTTCATGCAAGCTTACATATTTTCTTGTACGTTATTATTATATAATTGAAGATTAAAATAATTTTAGTACGTATTAAGCTAATTCAACAAAGTTAAATAACGCAAATTAACCAACATTGCGTAAAGGAAAAGTGAATCTCTGTGTGTATCTCCCGAATCCGTCTGAAATCCCAGCATTAATTTAAATTTAATTAAAAGGTCAAATATTTTATTTTTTTAATGGTTAAAGGCCAAAAAATCAAATATCGTAGAAAAGGGGAAAAATACATAATAATTGAGCTGGGAGACCTGAGAGGAGGAATGGATTTGGACAGTGTAAAAGCAGAGCGAGAGAGAGAGCGAGAGAGAGAGAGTCCACATTCACAAATCACAACTGGCCAGCTGCTGCCAAATGCCAATTCCCTCCCTTTCCCTTTCCATTTCTGATTTTTTATTTTAATTTTAATTTTGCGTCCTTTTTTGACAACAAATCATAATATATTTTTTTGTTTCAAAAAACAGAATTTCCCGAAATAAATTCCTTCCTGTCCAAAAATCAGTTTCCCGACCACCGCCCGCACTACAACACACACAAAATTCAATTACCGCCCTCCCATTCCTTTCAATCTCTTCCCCTTCTTCTTCTTCTTCCTCCACAGTTCATCATTAATGGCGATCTCATCGCCGTCGTCACTCTCTCCGCCGCCGTCGTCTTCTTCCTCCTCCTCCTCATCGACCACGTCAATTCCTCAATCGCGATTGCCATCTCCGGCTCCTTCACCCCTAATTAAATAACAAACAACCACAAATACAGCACTACGTACCCCCATCTCTATATTAATTGCTCCCAATTTTGTTCTGCCCTTTCTCTTCCTCTTCGTCTTCTTCTCCTGTTCTGCACAGCAGCTCTGTAATCTTCCATTTCATTTGTCATTTATATATGGGACACCACCCTCATTCCCACGCACATCAGCACAACACCAGCGATGGCGTCTCGCAGCGAGTCAATAGCCCTCGCTTCACGGGCTCCATGACTCGCCGGGCCACTTCCTTCAAGCGCAACCCCAACGCCACCACCAACGCCGCCCCCGCAGCCGCTGTCTCCGCCGCCGGTAATGCGACGGGCGCCGCGGGCAACGGCGGCGGTGGCAGCGCTGCTCAGACGGCAAGCAACAGCACGGCCAACAGCGCCGGGGCCAGTCCCAGGTTCGGCTCCGGGGGGGACGAGATTGATCTCCAGATCACCTCGCCTAGATCTGAAGTCGTCGTCGTGGACGGTTTCGATCGCCAGCACCTCGTCCAGAGAGTACACGCCGGTGTCGCCAGGAGTAGTAAGAAGGGCGGCGGGGGAATCGGATCCGTCGTACGGGATTTTGGCTTCCGGGAGCGGAAGAAGCTCGGGCAGTGGATGTTCTTTGTCTTCTGCGGCGTTTGTTTGTTTCTAGGCGTGTTTAAGATTTGCGCCGGCGGCTGGTTTGGATCTGCGATCGACGGCTCCACCTACCATAAGGTCGGTGTGGTGTGCCCCTTTCTCGCTCTGTCTCCCTCTTCTCTTTTTCAATTTACTTTTGGAGCTTCCATTGGCACAGAAGTTTGTGGTTTGGAATTTAGAGCTTTGTCCTACAATGTCGGTGGCCGAGCTTTTTTGTGCTAAGTGCCATATGTGTCGCCCGGAGCTGATGTCATTCTGGCAAATGGTGCCAGTCTCCAGTTATCCAGCCGGAGCTGCTTGCCGGCGGTTTTTTTGATTACTTGCTGGCTTCAGGCTAATTGTGAATCTCAGTGCAGTTGAATGAAGTATCGCCGTTGATTTGCTTTTTGGATAATGGATTCCTATTGCTTTCATTAAGATCTAGCAGTAGTGAGACAGATACAGACGGAAGTAGGTGCACTGCTACTATGAGTAAAATTCCATATGCCTCGTTTTAGATTGTTGGCTCGAATTTCCTGCTTTGAATTTGCCAATTCGGGAATTCCAATGAACCTCCACTCCTGGGTTTTGTTTGATTTTGGTTGCCTCGCTTAGCTATGTGCGCTCCTCGTGTGGATATCTATGCATTGATTGTTATTTTCCTCGGCCTCTGTAGTAACATTGCCCTGCTGTTCCAATAGGATTTGCCTGATTCTGTCACCCAAGTAGACTTGGATGAGAGCTCCCACATTTCTGACACTTTCGAGTATAAAGACAATGGCGATGGAGATAGAAATCTGAAGGCGGTCACTGCAGGCGTATCTCTTGGTGATGATGCCAAGGTGGAAGTAAGTCTTCAGTCTCATTAGTCTATCCTTCATTTTGGGTACTTGTTTTGTGATTGCTTACTGTAATTACTACACCTGAATGAAAAAGGATGTGGATCGAAATCTAAAAATGGTGACCGCTGGACTAGCTAACAGTATTGGTGGCAAGGTTGAGGTAAGGGTTGAGTTCCATTCTCTTTTTCTTCATTCAGATGGTGGCTTCATACCTTCCCTTGCCCCTGTGGCTACTCAGAGTGAAAAGGGTTCTGAGGTTCATGTGTTATGTGGGTTTTATTCTGAAGTTCATTTTTTATGGTTTAGTTGTCAGGTATCTGGGCAAGACCTGACAGTGATAATTTCACCCACTGCATTGACTTACCAAGAAGTCATAAAAGTATGATTACTGAACAGTTTGAACATTTAGTAATCCCTCTCCTCTCATCCATATTCAGTTCGTCTATCTCCTCTGCTGTTTACAGTTGTTCGTTACCTCTAATTCTTGGTCTCATGTCTTGACAGAGCTAGATGCAAAAACAAATGGTTATATCCTCATAAATGCTAATGGTGGCTTAAATCAGATGAGATTTGGGGTCTGGCTGCTTATTCTCCTTTATTTCTTAGTTTCTATTTCGTGATTGTTCCTTTATTTTTATGACTACATCCTGATCATCTGAAAGCTCTTAATGTGTAGATCTGTGACATGGTTGCTGTGGCTAAGATTATGAAGGCAACACTGGTCCTTCCCTCTCTTGATCATACCTCGTATTGGGCCGATGACAGGTTTGTATATTAAGCTTCACGGTCTTGCACTATTTCTGTAAGGTCTAGATTTCCCTATTTGATAGAATAATGGATGCCACAAGCTCCAACTTATTTCATCTGATATGGGTATATTGCTCAAAGGGCCCTGATTTCTTGTGGACAAGAATTTGTATCTTAATAAGACTACATGCTGGATCATGGTATCCCGAGAGCTTTTCTCAACTCAGTCAGTACTGGAGTATGTAATAAATGCAAGGCTCAATAGTCATTCATTTCCTCTCTTAGTTGATACAATACAGATGCAATATGTTCTTTTTATTTTATCGGTATTAAGTGAAGCAAACTTATTTGCATCATATGGTTCAGTGACTTCAAGGATCTGTTCAACTGGCAACATTTCATTGAGACACTACAGGATGAAGTACACATAGTTGAGACTTTACCAGCACCTTATTCAGGAGTGGAGCCTTTTATGAAAACACCAATATCTTGGTCTAAGGTCGGTCACCTTAACTTTTGTTCCTTTATTAGTTTCTTGAAGTCCTAAAATAATGAATGATAAAGTTTTTCTACTCTCTAAACGAAGAGGATTCTATTCCCTTTGTGCAGGTTACTTATTATAAAACCGACGTCTTGCCATTGCTGAAGCAGCACAGAGTAGTCTACTTTACGCACACTGATTCTCGGATTGCAAACAATGGTATCCCGGATTCAATCCAAAAACTAAGATGTCGTGTGAATTATAGGGCATTGAAATATGCCAAACCAATAGAAGAACTTGGAAACTTGCTGGTGGCAAGAATGAGAGGAAATGGCAATCCTTACCTTGCACTTCATTTGAGGTTGGTTCTGGTTGTGGCTTTACTAAACCCTGTGTTTCAGTTTCTAGAATCCTTTACCTATTGCCTCGTCTTTTGAAATACTGGTTGCATAAAGTAAACACACCGTTAGTTGTATTATAAAAAAGGTGCTTCTGCAACAAGCATGCTTCTAATATTTTTCAGGTTCTAGTCATTGTGCATGCTATGTTGACTCATGTCATGTTCTCCATTGGCTACAGGTATGAGAAGGATATGCTTGCATTTACTGGCTGCAGTCACAGTTTAAGTGCAGAAGAGGACGAGGAGCTACGCATCATGCGTTATGAAGTGAATCATTGGAAGGAGAAAGAGATAAATGGGACAGAAAGAAGGTTGCAAGGTGGTTGTCCATTGACTCCTAGGGAGACTTCTCTACTGTTGAGAGCACTGGGTTTTCCTTCCAGCACTAGGATTTACTTGGTAGCTGGCGAGGCCTATGGGAATGGGAGCATGCAGTATCTCGAGGACGACTTCCCGAACATCTTCTCGCATTCATCTCTTGCTACAGAAGAGGAGCTGGAACCTTTCAAGAATCATCAGAACATGTTGGCTGGTATAGACTATGTTGTTGCACTTCAGAGTGATGTGTTTGTGTATACATATGATGGAAATATGGCTAAGGCAGTTCAGGGGCACCGTCGATTTGAGAACTTCAAGAAGACCATCAACCCCGACAAGTAATAGTCTCTCCCCAAAAAACATGACCTCCGAAAATGTTATTTTTGCAGTTAGACAAGCGCTTCGTACGTAGCTGTTTGTCATGTTTTGCTTCATTGTTTGTTGCAGGATGAACTTTGTGAAACTTGTGGATGAGCTAGACGAGGGGACATTGTCATGGAAGAGGTTCAGTTCCAAAGTGAAAAAGCTTCACCGGGATCGTGATGGAGGGCCATACTATAGGGAGGTAGGAGAGTTTCCGAAGCTGGAAGAGAGTTTCTATGCAAATCCTCTACCAGGGTGCATATGTGAAAAGGGAAGGAGAAAGTAAAACCAGAAGTCAGAGGCAGAGAGAAAGCTCTCCCCCCCTTTTTTCACTCTCCAACAGGTTGCGCCCAACTCCAGAAGCCTGACTTTGAGGAGAGGTATGGTGCTGCCTGCCATTCTTCCACAAGTATTAAGTCGGAAACTGGCGTTTGTACATCTCGTCGTCGACCTTTTTAAGAACTGTTTCTACTTGATAGGAGAGAACCTGGAAACATTCAACAGCAAGAAAGAAAAGTGCATAGCTGAAGGAATGGAGGAGGGAACCATTGGCATTGATTGTAGTCATAGCTCCACAACTTTATTTTTTTGTGTGTGTACAAAACACAACACCGACACGAATACTAATGTATGTAGCCACCGAGGGATATGGAAAAGCTGTAAAATGTCGGCTCAATTGGGGCTGAACAGGGTTGGTTTGCACTTAAAAAGCGGCTCCAGATTTGTTGGAGCTACCATATACACATTGGATGATGGCTTAGTGAGTAGAGTTTATATTCATTCTTGGATGTCAATAAAACCTTAAACAGGACTGTCAATTTTGAAAGCAAATGACACTGTTTCAAGCTGTGCTTTATGCAGTTCAATAAGTTGCTGAACTTACAAGCATTGACATTAAACAGGTTCACTGTTATGCTCACATCATGATGTGACCATTTCAACGTCGATTAGGAGACCAGATCATATCTCGTCGTAGAACACATTAAACCTCCATAACGAGCATAATTTAAACACAATTCCACCGTTTGATTTATTCATCCATCTTGTCGAATTGCAAGTTGTCTGCTATCCTGTTTGGAAAGGCTAAATTTTGAGAAAATGAAATTCTAATTCTAAAACTTTTCAGGATTCTCCTGTTTGGAAGTAAAAAATGAAAAGGAAATGGAATTCCAAAAGGTAAAAAGTTGGAAATTCTAAATCCTACCAAAAGTGGTCGGAATTGGTGGAGAGAGTGATGGAATTAGTGAACCCCGCATTAATTTTGACCCATCTTTACAAGAAAGTTCTTGCTATTTTGAGTTTTAAATCATTAATACCAAGGATATTATTGTAAAAGCACGGTAAGAAATCATTTTAATTTTTTTCTAAACATAAAAAAAATAAAATCATTTCCCAAACTTTTGGATTTGTTCCAAACATAAACTCTTGAAATGAATTCACACTTGAATTCAGGTTCTCACAAGAAATAGAATTCATTTTCCAACAAAATTATATTCAAACAAGCTCAATGTGCACGTTGTATCCCTACATTTCTTCTCTTGTTCTTCAACTTGAAACAGTTCTCGACTACATGGTTGTCCATCTTGCAGTACCTGCAAAACAATCTCTCACTCGAACCATCCCTACCAACCTCTCTTGCTTCCACTCGTAATTCGCGCACCCTAACTGTTTGAGCCTAGAATGTACTAGGCGGTTATGGGGCTCTGATCTGGACTCCCTCATCTGATCTCCTCGGGAGTGGAAGAACCTGTGAGGCGGGGGGGCGGCCCCCGGGATCTACGCTCCGACGCCCAAGTTAGTACGATATAGGAAGCGGTTTATGGTATATAGAGAGAGAGTTTAGAGAGAGACCTTAGGGTAAGAGTGTGGGAAGGGAAGAGAGGATCCTTTAGTTTGGAGGGTTAGGCCTCCTTATATAGGGTTTGGGCTTCCTTGAGTGGGCTTGGGCCCAGGACGCCTTGCGGTGGGCTTGGGCCCGTTTATAGTCGTGTAGGCATATTAATCCATACCCAACAATTGCCCCTTTACTTCTTGTATTCTGTAAGAATGAAAGGAGTAATATAATGCATTAATCGTGTATTAATTTGCCTTACTTGCGAATCCGTATGATGCGGTTTGCCCCTAGTGCGAGTTGCGTGATCATTTCCTCTGCCCCTTGCTTATCTTTCGATGTCTTAAACTAAAGCTCTCAAGTCGTTAAAAGTTCCTTCGCTAGTCCATTGTTGTTAGCGCTAGTAGACCATAATTGATACCTAGGTAGGGTGGCCCCCACGGCTTGAGAGTTTTAACTCAAGACGCTCTTGTTTAGTGTTTCTTCGGCTCACTGGGGTGTGCTTCTGCTTCTGGAGAAGCGCATCGCTCCTTCGCTTCCAAGGAGGCGCATTAGTCCTTCGGCTTCCTGGGAAGCGCTTTAGTCTTCGATTTCCTGGAAAGCGCATTAGTCATTGGTTTTATGGGAAGTGAAGTCTCCGACTTCCTGGGAAGCAAATCTCTCCTTTGGCTTTCTGGGAAGCGCATGCTCCTTCGCTTCCTGAGAAGCGCATCACTCCTCGGCTTCATGGGAAGCGCATTGCTCCTTCGCTTTTTGGGAAGTGCATTGCTCCTTCGCTTCCTGAGAAGCGCATTGCTCCTTCGTTTCCTGGGAAGCACATTTCTCCTTCGCATCCTGAGAAGCGCATTGCTCCTCCGCTTCCTGGGAAGCGCATCGCTTCTTCGCTTCCTGGGAAACGCATTGCTCTTCGGCTTCCTGGGAAGCGCATCGCTCCTTCGCTTCATGGGAAGCGCTTTGCACCTTAGTCTTTCATCCTATGAGAGGCGCTCCGCCTTCTTGCCTGATGGGAGGCACTCCGTCTCTAGCCCGCCGAGCAATGCTCGAGCCTTGCCCAAAGGCGGAAGGCGTGAATCATTCCCCAGAGGGAGGACCGCTCGGAGGTGGGAAGAATTCCCCGGAGGGAGCATCGCTCGGAGGCGGAGTCTTCGAGCCTAACCCGGAGGTCGGAGGCGTGAGTCATTCCCCAGAGGGAGGACCGTTCGGAGGCGGGAAGAATTCCCCGGAGGGAGCATCGCTCGGAGGCGGAGTCTTCGAGTCTAACCCGGAGGTCGGAGGCGTGAGTTATTCCCAGAGGGAGGACCGCTCGGAGGCGGGAAGCATTCCCCGGAGGGAGCATCGCCCGGAGGCGGTAAGCATTCTCCGGAGAGAGCATCGCTCGGAGGCGGGAATCTTCGAGCCTAGCCTGGAGGCATGAGGCGTGATTCTTCGAGTATCCGAGAAAGATGCAAGTATCTAGGGTGCCATATATTTAATGTTTGAATATAGCATAGAGAGCGCCTAGCATAATAGTAATTAACTGCTTTGCATAAGATATATCTCTGTAAAAGCAACTTAGCTTTGGAGAAGTTGGAGGGCGGTTAAGTATTGACCGCTGCATGTTTGATCAACTCTGTGTCCATGTAGTATACTGGTTGGCGCTGCTGCCCATGAAGGAATTGTCTGCGGTTCGAAGGTTGGTGGATGCGCATGCTGATCTTTTTTCAATAAAGCGTGTGTGGGCCGCCTAGGCGAGCCGGGCCTCAGCGGGCCTATCATTGAAGCTTTGTTGGCGGTCAAACATCGAAAACGGGCCTTTATAGAGCTGTCGGAGACTTGGTGGGCTTTGCGGTTTCTTGATGTAGCGATCCGGGGCGGGTTGAGAATTTGGAGGGGCGGGCCCATTCTACGCGGGTGGTGAAGATGAAGACTGAACCGTTCCTAATAGTTGTTTGCTTTGGTGGAAGCGGCTCACGAGAAAATAGAGAATGAAGCGGTCTTGATATAGAAGATGCTCTTGTAGTCTGCTGGTATGTGGACCTTGATTTAAAAGTATAATGCTTTTTGGTAGAACGCATTTCTTTCAATATTTTTGGGGTGAGGCGACCCCACGGTGGGCGCCAAATTGTCGCATTTCTTTCAATATTTTTGGGGTGAGGCGACCCCACGGTGGGCGCCAAATTGTTTGAGCCTAGAATGTACTAGGCGGTTATGGGGCTCCGATTTGGACTCCCTCATCTGATCTCCTCGGGAGTGGAAGAACCTGTGAGGCGGGGGGGCGGCCCCCGGGATCTACGCTCCGACGCCCAAGTTAGTACGATATAGGAAGCGGTTTATGGTATATAGAGAGAGAGTTTAGAGAGAGACCTTAGGGTAAGAGTGTGGGAAGGGAAGAGAGGATCCTTTAGTTTGGAGGGTTAGGCCTCCTTATATAGGGTTTGGGCTTCCTTAAATGGGCTTGGGCCCAGGACGCCTTGCGGTGGGCTTGGGCCCGTTTATAGTCGTGTAGGCATATTAATCCATACCCAACAATTAATCCATACCCAACACTAACCTCGTCCAAAGCATCACGAAAACTAGGCAAAGGGTCCCTAACCAGCAACCGATCCCTGACGGTGCTAAATTTCTCATTCAACCCATTAAGGAAGCTTACCACGCGCTCTTCTTCCCGATACTTGTTTAGAGCTTTCACAGCCTCACAGTCGCAGTTACATTTAGGAATCGGCCTGTGAAAACGATACTCTGCCCACAGGGCTTCGAATTTGGAGTGGTAGTCCGTGACAGAGAGGTTACCTTGTCGGATGGTGAAGATCTGAGTTTTGAGTTCGATTAGGCGAGCTGGATTTGGTCTTCCGAACGACTTCTCCAGTTGCTCCCACAGCTCGGCCGCTGTTTCGACTTGGTAGAAGGTTTGGGCAATTGGATCGGTGAGGGTGTGGAGGAGCCACAGCAGAACGGTGGCGTTGGACCTTGCCCAGTCGCGGTGATTTGGGTCGGTGGTGGCGGCGGCGGGTTTCTTGATTTCGCCGTTGACGTAGCCGATTAGGCCGGCGGCTGTGAGGGCTACGGTTACGCGACGGTGCCAGAGGTGGTAGTTTGTTCTGTTTAGCTTGGTGGGAATGACGGGCAGCGGGAAATCCTCGTCGGGGGTTGGGTAGGAGATTCCTCCGCCGATGGTGAGATCGCCACCGTCCGTCATGACGATTCGTTAAGTGAACGGCTATTTGCCGCCAAGCAAATTGCTATTTGTCGCCAACAAAAAAAAAAAAAAAAAAAAAATTTGAATTCAAATTTTGAATTTTCCCTCCCTTCCCTTCCTTTCATTCTATAAATTCGGATACCCATGAACATTTGACTCATTCCAACAAAAACTTCTGTTGACGAGCCCAGTGCCTCCGTCGCCGGCACCGTTCTTCCATCGTCGGCTAACCTCCCGTCGCCCTCAATCGTCGGAAAACAAGTAAGTTTATTTTTTCCGGCCAGTTTTCCAGTTTTCCGACAAGTTTTCCAGTTTTCCGGCGAAAAACAGGGCGGGCCGAAAAAGATTTGCGGCTGGAGCGTCGGCCGGCCGAAAAAAAATTTCGGCCGGTGCGACGGCCGGCCGAAAAATTCTTTCGGCCCGGCGACGCCGCGGCCGCAAATTTTTTTCGGCCGGTCGCCGACCTCGCCGCCCAAAAAATTTCCGGCGGCGTGTTCGTCGGCCGGCCGAAAAAAATTTGCGGCCGCTGCGTCGCCGGGCCGAAAGAATTTTTCGGCCGGCCGTAAAATTCTTTCGGCCCGGCGACGCACCGGCCGAAAAATTCTTTCGGCCCGGCGACGCAACGGCCGCAAAATGTTTTCGGCCGGCCGACGCTCCGGCCGCAAATTTTTTTCGGCCCGGCGGCGCACCGGCCGCAAAATTCTTTCGGCCCGGCCAGTTTTTGTATTTAATTTAATTTAATACGATAATTAATTAATAAATAAATACTTAATTGGTTAGTAGAAATTAGCAATTAGTGTTAATATTTATTTCAGTTGGTTTATAAATGTTTTTTTTTGTAATAGGCGTTTGAATGTTTAATTACTTAGATTAGTTAATGGAATTTTAATTAATTAAGAATTGATTTAACAATTAATGTTAATATTCAGTACATTAGTTAATAGAAATTTAATTTAATATCTTTCGGCCCGGCCAGTTTTTGTATTTAATTTAATACGATAATTAATTAATAAATAAATACTTAATTGGTTAGTAGAAATTAGCAATTAGTGTTAATATTTATTTCAGTTGGTTTATAAATGTTTTTTTTTTGTAATAGGCGTTTGAATGTTTAATTACTTAGATTAGTTAATGGAATTAACGCTATTATCCCTAAATCTTAAAAATAAAACAAATGAAAACTATTCTATAAAATGAAATGTTATATACTAGCCACCACGGTGTCCATCGCGTCAAACCACAGCTTGTACTGGAATAGCTGGTCACCATACTGACGACTGTTGGCCGAAAGCCATCGAAGACCACGTGGGAATGCATCCTCGGTGGCCTGTGCCCTCGTCTCGGAATCTCGAGGTGCCAGATGTGGGAATCGCTCCCACGCCCAAAACTGCAGTAGGGCGACCCATCTACCAAGGTCACCGCTAAGAGAAGTGCCGGTATGCCTAATGTGCAAAGTCGACCTACCCATCTCATGGTACAGGTAGGATAAAACAGCAGCTCCCCAGGCAAACCGTCCAGCTCTCTCCCAATCCTCAATCAGAAGTAGGTACTGTAGGTGCACCGTACTTCCAGACCGATCCGAGAAAAGTACACCTCCAAGCAGAGATAGAGCATAAGCTCGTGCAAACTGCTCTATAACCTCCTGTGATGCATTCTCCGGCAGATGACTGAATTCAACCCTCAGCCAAACAATCCTAACAACAGCGACACTGCCTACAAGATCGGCCGGAACTCGTCCTAACTGTCTCAAACAGATCGCCGACCACTCCTCATCCGGTATATCAACTACGACGGCATCACCGTCGATCGCCAGACCGGACAGTGTAACAACGTCCTCTAACGTGATCGTGATCTCACCACACGGTAGATGGAAGGTCGACGTCTCGGGGCGCCACCGCTCTACGAGCGCAGTAATCAAACTCGCATGGGGTTCATAGGGACTAGGGGCATGACACTTAACAAGCCTGCCGCTTCGAGATATGGCCGATAAAGCTCATGGTAAGGTACTAAAATGGTCGTACCTCGAACATGGTACGATCGATCACCAGCCTATAGTGCACAAAGCTTATATTAATTCATTTTCATACGTAATAATTCTAATTTCACCTAATAAATTCTAATCTGTCTTATCTAACATAAAATTATACTAATTTGAAATTATACTAATTTCACCTAACAGTTCAGTTCACAACCTAAAATAATCTAACTAGCTAATTAACTTTACATGAATAATTATCAAATACTTACCTCGTTTGTCCAAACAGAGTCGATACGATGTTGGCCATGTCCCCAAAGAAGTGTCGGATCGACCGGACTTGGATCAATTGTCGCCGGCGGTAATCTCATCGAATAAGGATCCATAAGCCTAGGAACTCCAAAAACAAAGCAACAAAACATTAAAAAAAACACAAAACATTAAAAAAAAATCAAGCTGCCGACGACAGTCTCACCGCGCAAACGCCCGCCGACTCCACCACGACCTCGCCGACCTCTCCCTCTGCCTCTGCCGGCGGCGTGTGGTTCTTCGTCGGAGGACATCTCGGGCGGCGGCGGTTCAGTCAAAGGCGGTGGCGCTTCTGTCAAAGGCGGCGGCGCTTCAGTCTGGGACGGCGGGGCTCGAGTCGGCAGCGGCGGCGCTCGTATCTGCGGCGGCGGCGCCCGAGTCTGCGGCGCCTAAGTCTGGGGCGGTAGCGGTTGCGGCGGCGGCAAGGCTGGTCTCTGGTTCGCGGGGTTGGGGGGGAGGAAGAAGAAGAGAGGAGGAGGATGTGTGGTGTGGGAGGGGGGCCGTCGAAATTTAAAAAAAAAAAGAGTCCGGGGCGCTCCCGCCTGAGTCTCGGGCGCCAGCGCCTAGGACTAATTAAAAAAATTTGACTGAGGCGAGGCCGCTTGAGACTGGGGCGCCAGCGCCCAGGACTGGCTAATAAATCAGTCCCGCCTGAGTCTCAGGTGGTCCCGCCTCAATCCTTACTAAAAAACACAATATTTGTGTCAATAGTTTTTAATTTGTAATATTAGTGGTAAATTAAAAAAAAACAATATTTGTGTCATTTATCCCTCAAGTTGATGTGCTGAATTTTTTTTTAATGATTTTTTTTTTGGTGATTGTATTAAATAATACTAGAAAACTCAAAAATTGTGAGCTTCTTTTAAGGGAAGGGGTAAATGCTACATTTGGTCACTGAGATTACTAACTCATGTTATGTTTACTGTTTAGTCACTAACAAAAAATAATATCAATT